GGCTATATAGCATCGCCTTTTCTAATTGAACATATCTGTCTGAGACAGGCCAATTCCTTCGACCCACGTCAGTATACTATCAACGCCCCTTCACTATACCATCAAACTCTTTTTCGGTTTGAACTAGATTGTATACGTTGCCTGCTCCAAACCTACAGTACACATCCTCCCTAAAATGGCAGGTCCGTAGAACAAATTCCCGAAGCCCACTGCGAGCTGAGAGGCCCAGTGGAGACAATATCAGCAAGCTTTACAGTACAGGCACCATGTTTTAATTGCTGTACTGTTGAGCAAATCAGATTAATTTCCCGGGAAAATGGTTTCCAAGGTTCCTGACTCCGTTCGATTCCATGGGTCTTGCCCACCATTGATCCCCCCACTCCATCCTGTGGTTCACCCTGACTGTCACCGGAAGATCAATCTTTCACCTGTGATAAGCCTAACTTCTAGCTTAGACATTGTACGCAATCCCGGTCATGCAACTCTCCCAATAATCGTACCTATCACACGAATCAGCGAACTCTCCGCTCAACCCCCCTGGAGACGTGATCGTCTCGGTAGATGCATGCGCTATCGCAAACTCTATAATTCTGTATCGGAAATCCGGTATCTTTTATAAAGATGTGGGTTGCTGCCCTTTGAACCCTCTCTTCCCCCTCTTGATCGCCAACTGACCTTGAACTCTCCATCTAAAGGCCGGTAATGTCGGGTCTCGGTGGTGACTTTGCCGTGCGCTTTGCGCGAGAGACATGGGCTCTCTACGCCGTCGGTGTCTTGGGCGCTGTCCTTCGATAGTGAGTACCTTCGTGCGACGCTTTGCAGTTTTGGACTGGGACATGCCATTAACCAAGATCATTATAGCACCGCCCGTGTTAGACGATTGGGTATGCGCAACCTCCAAGCCGATGACTACCTCATGTTGAATGCCGTGCTTTGGTATACTATTCTCTGTGTCGCCTTAAACGAAGTGGCGTCGGGAGGAGGATCGAACTTAATGACCGACTACGAAAAAGCTCATCTCACGGACAAAATCATCGCCGAAAGGACAAGGGGCAGCAAATGGGTGTTTGTATCGGAACATGCCTTCATTCTCTGTGTCTGGAGTTTGAAGGCGTGTATGTTGGTTATTTATGCTCGTATCACGTATGTGACTGGATCTTAACACTTGATGAGAATTCTATGCTGACATTCTCATAGCGAGGGATTGAAACAGCGCAAATGGATCAACTGGATTGCTATCTACGTTGTCATCGGATTTGTTGGAACTGAACTTTCTCTGTTCTTGATCTGTCGCCCATTATCAGCCTACTGGGCGGTCCCCACCTCAAATTGTAAGGAATATACGCTACATATCTGTCTTGGCCTTCATGCTAATTATTTTCCAAGACCAATGTTCATCATATCAATACTACGAAATCGTCCAAGGATGTCTTTCTATCTCCGCCGACATCTTCATGTTGATCGTCGCCATCCCGATGATGGTTCAGGTCCGCGTCCCACTCAAACAGAAGATGATTCTCATCATTCTATTCGGCATGGGTGTTTTCGTCATCGTCGCCGCCATCTTGAACAAGATCTATTGTCTCGTCCCCTCACTTATTTCCTATGTCTACATGAACTGGTACTTCCGCGAAGCCACTGTGGCGATTTTGGTTACGAACTTGCCACTTGTTTGGTCGCTTCTCCGAGACGTCTTCCCCGCCCTGAAGAGCTGGACTGGAGGATCGAAGAGAGGCACCGATCGATACAAGTCGCAACCGTGGACCAACAGCAAGAACTCTCGACCCTATGGACCTTCGAGCCAGCTCCGCTCTGGAGACTTTAATATGCAAGATTTCCACACGGCATCGGTCACTCCGACAAAGGCTGGCCCAGCCGTTTCCGACGTCAGTTTGCAAGCCAGTGACGATCGAGATATGAGCAGTGATGACGGCTCAGCTCGCGCTTTGCGGATCCGTCAAGACATTACTGTCACGGTGGAACACGATTCGAGGCCACCTACTTACGAGTCCAACAACGCTGGCGTGGCGCACGGCCACGAGGCCGTTTAGTTGCCTCCGTCTGGCGATCCCCAAAATCCTTGCAACTTTTTCATTTTTGTCACGAATATACGGAGTCCGAGTGGACCTGATACCCAACTAATCATTAGATGGTTTTTTTTTTTTTTTTTGGACTTTTTCTTTTTTTCTATGCACATATTCACCGCTAGACCCTTTTTTGTGGACCATATTTTGGGAGGACAGGAGACAAATCGGCAAGATTGGAAGGACATCTACCGGACTTCCCGACCGTGTACTTTACATCTCTGTATAGACCAGTCTAGTTAATACATAAACTGGATAAGCCGAGGCCCTTCAATATCTTCTCAGCGCCACACAAAACCTGACCTGCGAAGTCAATCTATTCCCAAGGTGGATAAGTCCAAATCCACTCTTGCCCCGCCGATCTCCCGCCTTGCGTCAACACTGCTGATCTTATCATCATCGGGCGGGATCCGGCCGCTCGTTGGTCAATTCTGAAAGCTGAGTGGGAGGACCAGATCACACCCCTGCATTTCAGCCTTGGCCATTTAACATCCTGAGCCAATGGCCAGCGAAAAAGTCGCAATGTGTGCAAATTTCAGGAAGGGAAACAGGGACAGGAACATTGAGTTTCTCCTGATCCCGCACGCTAAGAATCTCGTTAGAATGTTCCATGCGAGATTCGCTCCCATTACCAAGACAACCAAGAAGACCAAGACCTCCACAAGCTACTGAATCGACTTCCCCTAAAAACCAGACCAGTTACCCGAATTAGTCCAACCCTCTTGTCAACTGGTTCCAACTATTGTTCCATTCGGCGCGGCCGCCGGTTCAGCCCGTTAGAGTGAAGTTCAAGGGCTCCACTTACAATTGAACCCGGCGACCGCTGTCTACGCAAAAGTATTGGCTCTCCCAGCCCTTTCTGCCGTCTATCATTGTTCAGATGATCCACGGTTTTGACTCAATTGTCCTACCATGGTACAGTGATGTAGTAGTGGACATATGATTTTCGGGAAATGGAGACGCACACATCCCCCATTTACCAGGGAAATTCTCAAAAAGATCGACTTGTTGCGGAGAGTGATAAGCGGTCTGGAGAAAGCATTATCAATACCCACTGGTCATAGCAATCACCGGCCGAGCTTCGCCCGTCGGGTATAAGCCCCTTTTCAAGTTCATATACAATGTCAAAGTCGATGAAACCTCATTAAGTAAAAGAATAAAAATAACAATCACGGCAAGCCGCGGATGTAAACCAGAATGACAACCAGGTTTCACTTTGATTCCAAAATAAAACCCTGAATTGACTTTTAGCCATAAGCCACTTGCATGCAACATAACCATCACCACGCAAAACAGAGTTCAACTGTGAGTTTAGGTGACCCACGTCTTGCTCCAGCGCGGTCCGCCGGGCCAGCAAGCCTCCAACCCTCTCCAAGTCGATCCAGGACCATGTCTCGCTCAACGGCAAGGACCTTGTGGTTTAGAACATTAGCAATCTTAGCAAGATCATCGCCGATGTCGCGGTGATATTACGGTCTACATATTACTGCAATTTCCCATCCAATCCGATTAACCGACAAATGAGCCAAGTACTGTTAATCCACAAGCCTTTATAACAGGTGGAGTAGCCGCGGGAAAGAAATGAAATCTGGCCCGCTTGTTTAGATTCTCAATTTTCGCACTCGCGTTTGTTTTACCGATCGATCTCGGTCTACTCCGTGTAGATTTGTTCGTTGTCGCAAAGAGAAAGTGGACTAAATTAAGACTAGACCAACTACTGACCAGTAGTAGTCTTCGTACAGAGAGGCTTGCCTCGACAGAACCCGATATACGAACCGAGAGTTCATTCTATGCCCGATTCGGGATGTGGACAACGAGCAAGTGGGCCGGGTAAACACCAATGATCGAGAACGTCTCAGCTTCGATCGCTAAGCGGGTTGTGCGCGTTCGCTTTCTTCAATGTGGTTCCTGATCCACTCCTGGCTTGTATCGGTATGCGGGCCCGTGCTGTCTCTTGAGTGGCTACAGGAAGTACACACTCCCGGGTACGATTGTTGTTCCTAGTTTTTAGCTTTGCTCCAATTGAAAACTCAACTAATGCTTAGCGCCTCGGGGCTTGAGGGTATCCTCGGGATCTGAGGGTATTCAGGCAAGGGCCCGGCGCCTAGTTATGTTTCGGGCATAAGTGCCGGAATTGGTGGGTTAGCGAGACGCCAGCATGCGCTAGGTGGCTTTTCAGTCCGGATGTCAGATGCGTTCGGGTTCTAGTGCTTACTTTGGAACTATCTAATGAATCTAAAAACAATGACAACAATGTTATTGTCATTGCGATAGTCTGAATTTTTGATTTATTTTTACCTAACGAAATAAGGGGTAAAGAGCTAATCCAAACTCAGTAACTCGCTCGCGTGTTTAGTCAGAATGTGATCCCCCCACGTGATGAACCTCGCGGCCACTTGTCACGCTCTATCTATCGAATCTTACTCCGGTAATCTAACTCTAATGTCTGAATCGAGTTGCATAAAGCGAGAATTGAACTGACGTGGTAAAGCTTATTCGGCCCCATTCAGAACCAAGGTCTGGCCAGCTTGTTGCGCACAGACGCAGGAACAGACGCCTCGAACCCACAGCAAAGTTATTTGGAAGGGTGAGTTTGTATACATCCAGATCGGGATCCTCTTGCCAGCTTCGATCAAAAGCTCAATCATTTCTTGCCTCCAGCCTCATGGCCTCGGAGGAACGGAAGCACATGGAGGGTGTTGGAGTAGTGATTTAGACTGACACATCGATAGCTACACGTGGGTATCAACACTGAGGTTGCCATCGGTGACTACTTGCACGTCTGGGAGATCAAAGTCTCTTCCTCGCAGCCAGCAATTGCCAACTTCAGGTCCCAGTCCCGCTGTAAAATCACAACAGCTATCTTTGTAGATCCGGGCATTAAGAGTGGATCTCGAAATCTGTCCATCAGACACCATGTCCACGGAGTCGGTTTCCCAGCGGTCTTTCCTAGGCTTGGAAGGCCAGCATGTTTTCATTACCGGGGCTGCTAGCGCCATTGGATCCGAGGCGATCCGAGAATTTCTAGGTAGGTTTTAGTCAACCCTTCCTCATCCCTTCCACAGTTGGTGTTGGGGAGAGACGGGAGCTGTCTTGGGCATTAGCTGCAAGATAGTAGAGTCTCTCCGTCATATTGCCTCTTGTCAATTGCAGTATTTTCTACTATCGGCGCACTTAATACCCGTTGTCTACATGAAGACCCTCCTTGAGATACTTTAAACCTGCAATATTGAATATATTTGATACTTTCCAAACTTCCCAATGACCTGACCATCGTCCAGATCACGGATGCCGTGTCACAGCCTACGATAACAGCCCAGTACAGCTTTCCGGCATCGACGCAGAACGCTTCTCTCGGTTGCAGATTTTGGACGGCGATATCACTAAAGAGTGCTCCATCCAGTCTGGCTTTGCCAAGGCAGAGGAAAGATTTGGACCTGCCACCATTCTCATTGTCAACTCCAAAGATGAAGAGACGACACGCCAGCAACCCATCTGGGATCTCCCACTTGAGGACTGGGAAAAGAGCTACAAGTTGAACGTGCGCGGATCTTTTCTTGCTATTAAGCATTTCTTGCGCCGGGTGCGTGAAAATCAGCAGATAGTAGGGAGTAAGCTGGCGAGCCCGTCTATTGTTGTAATGGAGACCGAGACACATGCAGGCCTCGCTGCTGGAAAAGCTGGTCTTCACTATGGTCTTCTTCAAACGGTGCGGAATGAGATCCTGCACCTCAACCCCGAGGGCCGTATCAATGCTATTGCTCCTGGTAAGGATATCAATGCAAGCGACGAGACCGCTGGCCCTTGTGCTGTAGCCCCAATGATGGCCTTCCTAGCTTCAAAGCGTGCTTCTGGTCACATATCCGGGCAATGCATTCAAGTTGAGGGGAAGCAGCCTTCTGGGAATACGCAAGTTCCCAAGCTTGATGCAAACCGAACCCAGATCCAGTCCATTCCTCGTGGACTTGGAAAGCCAAAGCGCAACAAGATCCGTGTCGCCGTGTCAATTGACCTTGACGCAGTGTCAGGATGGCTTGGAACGAGTAAGACCACCCACTCTACCTGAATCCGCATACCTAAACTGACCACTCGGTGCGATAGACGCACACTCCGATAATGGTCTTGCAGATTACTCAGCGGGATTTTTCGCTGCCCATGTCGGAGTCCCCCGATTACTGCGTATGCTGAAAAAGCTAAACATAGCCGATCGCTGCACCTGGTTTGTTCCAGGCCACTCAGCCGAAAGCTTCCCAGCAGAAGTCAAGCAGGTCGTTGACTCGGGCTGCGAGATCGGTTTGCACGGCTACGCGCATGAGGGAGCGTACCAGCTCACCCCAGAGCAGGAACGCGATGTCCTCATGCGGTGCATGGATATCGCGCAAACCTTAACGGGCAAGAAGCCAGTCGGCTATCGAGCACCACTATACCAGCTCCGCGAATCAACCCTCGATCTTCTCGAGGAGTTCGGATTCGAGTATGGTATGCAGTGTCCTAGACCCTTGATTAACTCGATATCCTAAACTGACCTCACTTACCTAGATGCCTCTCTAACCGATAACGACTGCCACCCCTTCTTCGCTCCCAGACGCCCCCCTATCAAACCAATCGATTTCTCCAAGCCAGCTTCCAGCTGGATGCACCCCGTCCAGGAACCCGTATCTCCGCCCGATAGACGTCCCCTCGTTTGCGTGCCATGTAACTACTACATGGAGGATATGACACCAATGCAGTTCCTGCCACACACCGCGAATTCCCAGGGATATGTCGATGTGCGGGTTATTGAACACATGTGGCGCGATCGGTTCTTGTGGATTCGTGATAATGAGGAGGAGCCTGTTTTCCCTGTTTTGATGCATCCGGATACGAGCGGTATGGCTCATATTATTGGGATGTTAGAGCGGATGTTGAGGTGGTTGAAGGAGTGGGAATGTGAAGGTGAGGTAGAATTTTTACAAACAGGGGAGATTGCAAGGTGGTGGAAGGAGAAACAATTAGGCAGTGGCACTCAGTGAGAGCTGAGAGCTTTGAATAAAATTTCAGATATCAATTCAAGAATCCTTCGCTATGGTGAGGCATTCTGGTATCTAGTTATCGCAGGGCCATTCGCCCTCGGAGCAGTGTGCAATCTCGTGGAAAATGGAGGAGACTTTAAGAGTAAATGATTAGTTTATTATTTGTTCTCTGCTTGTTTCAAGTGCTTGGTAGACCCACAGATTCCTGGGTCCGCCTCGGCGTCGGCGTTGGGGGCTGCGGCTGGAGCTGCCTCAGGAACGGGCAGGGCAGCAGCGGAGGCCATGGCGGCAAATGCAGCGACGGCGATAATCTGGGAGAACTGCATTGCGGCTTTTGAGTTGCGTGGGCTTTGAAATTTTCAAGACTTTGGAGATCTGGATTCAAGATTCGAATATTGAACTTGTGGATTGTTGGGTTGGAATATGTTGACAGAGAATCGATTTTCATGGGCGATGAGCTCCAAATTTATTTGTTTCTTTCTTCAAGGTATAATACCTAGCCTATAGTGGGTGTTGCATTCATGTTTCGATTACATTACTCCTTTGGGTAGTATGATGTAGTGTTGAAGGATGTATAATCTGATTAAGAATGGATCGCTGTGCTAAATGGACATAATGACGACCCCATCTTAGTAACCTCTGCAGATTCTGTAACTACATGTCTCCATCGGTCACCTCAAATGACGATCTCTGGGAATCTATTACCAAGGCAGGTAGTAGTATAGGGCCCTGGGGCCGTCGCAGGCGAGAATGGGGTCGCCCCGGGGGGCTGAAGAATGGAATAGCAACAACTTCCATACGTTCATGATCAAGACATTACCACCGCTCAACTCTTTATCCAAGATGGCTATGGCTTGGCCCCACTCTCGAAAGGATCTTCTTCAACAAGAATACCCATATCTTCTTCACTCGTCTCCTGAATTTTAGTATGACCCACAGACAGAAGATCAAGCTCACGGTGCTGGGAAGAGCAATGATCCAGAAAAGGCTCTGATTGAACGTGCCGTCTCTGATGTCCACACTGTTCATGCCGAGGTAAGATGTAACAAATGATAACGGTAGGAAAATAACTGTCACAGTGGTGAATATAGTGATGGCTTTGCTATTGGACTCTTTTCGAACTTCAATCATGGATCGGAGCTATTGTCTTGAGTCAGCAAAGAGAAACAGTAAAGGCCCATTGATTGTATATCATTACCAATATAGATGCCTTATCAGCCAACCGATCAAGCCCAGCTAGGTCGTGCTTCATTCGATTGATCTGTTGTCGGATATGGCAGATCCTTTGCTGGCTGATTTGGCTTGTTGAATTTTGAGAAAATTCCCACACCGAGCCCATTTGTTCAAGGAACTCCAATTGCTGATCAAAAATAGAATTCAAAATACCAAGCTCCTCTCTGAGCTTCTGAATTTGGTCAAATACTGCGACATTGGGTGAGTTTCGTGATTGCAACTCCTATGAAGTGGTAAGCTCGGGGTGCTTATTCTTTCGTACGTAGACGTATCTCACTAGATGTTCGATCTGGCCTCGATAAAAATGTAAGAGGTCAAATTCGTGCTGTGAAGTGGCTCGCACTGTCATCATTTTCTTTGGTAGTGTCGCCAGTCGCTCAATTAACATTGTTACCATGGCCTGAGCATCAACGCGCCTGAAGACCTTAGCTTCACTATAGTCCCCAGTACTGATCATGGCCATAAGTTGGTGTCTACCAATCAAAAGGTCCTTTCCAATTTTTGATGCCCTCTGCTCAAGAAAGTCACACCGCCCGGGTTGTACGTGGCTTTCTTGACTGCAAGCACAGACATAGAAAATTAGCCGACTGAAAGCATGAACCAGCGCTTTGGGGATAAAAAACTTGGTAGATTTTTCAGCTGGTCCGCATGAGACCCCAGCCTGAATTTGTTCCAGCTTCTGGTGGAAATACGACAGGTTCTGTGCGACCTTTTTGAGGTAGCTGTCGGAAAACTTCTCCTTTCATTAGCATTTGCTATAAACTTTCGGACCGTGGGTAGATATTGTGCCGTGGATTGCCTCACATTTCCATCTGCTATCTTCATGGCAGCCCCATAAAATTTCTTGATAACCCAGTATCGATAAATTTCCTGGTAGAAGACAGGCACAAATGCATCCAGAATTCCAACTGAAGTGGAGATCACTTTCTGCTTCAATGCCCAGCTTTCTCGTTTACCCGCAAGCTCATCGGACGCCTCAATTTGCATCAACCCGATGCCAATGCGCTCCATGTGTGCGCGTAGTTGCATCCTGGAGCAATCAGGAAAATCATTTATCGCTGCTAGTTCTCCCTCAAATTCAATGTACCATGGGGCTTCACTGTCTCGTTCCTCCAGTATCGCACGGATAGTGCTATCAACATCTTTGTATTGATCGGGAACAGGGCCACAATCTGCTGATGAGTTGTCAACTATCCCGTCTGCTGTCTCTGATTTCCACGCAAAGATAGGACATGCCTGCGTTTCTAGGATTTTGTGGGGTCGGTCATTGACTCTTGGGGAGATTGGTGGAGAATTCTGCTCTTCAAGTGACATTTCTGTGAATGAAGATGGCTGTAGGCTTTTTGATGGAAGGTTACCGTAATCAGACATGACATCTTCTCTTGATGAAGATTTATCGCTTGTCAAGCTTAAGGTTGACTAGCGGTGGTGATTAGAGACAAGATAATACCATATGTAGACGGCGACCAAACTGGTTTCTGTTCACTTACATTTATTGACCAGGCATCATTGCAGTTTTGATACACGAAGGGGTTTATTCCATCGATACTCGCACCCCTTTGTGGAATTATCAGGTAATCCAAAGCATTGGTAGATGTATGCTCGTCCCCAGCGGATGTCAGTATGTCGTCTTCTTCTTCTTCTTCTTCTTCTTCTTCTTCTTCTTCTTCTTCTTCTTCTTCTTCTTCTTCTTTAGGGAGCAAGTAGTCCCACACGCTGATATCACTTGAAACTTGATCTTCCTCTGTTTCCTCTATGTTCGATAGTAGGGACTCGGCTATTGTTTCAGCTGTTAAACCTGGTCGAGATTCTTCTATCAAGTTAGGATCCACCCCTGGGGAGAAGTCTTGGGTTGACTGTGGTAGGATGGGATGAGCTTTGAGAAGTTAGCTTATTGCGTCATTGTAAAACGCTTTTCTCAGGAGCATCAGCACCCCCTGACTCTTACCTTGTTTTGATAAGTTGTTGCATACTGAGGATTCAAGTTCATTTTCTGGAGTAGGGATTTCATCTTCACAAATCTCAGCGCCAACTCGCTCCATGAGATTGTTTGAGTCAGATGAGTGTTCGATGGTGACTGAAAGTTTGAGCTCGACCCCGGGAGGGAAGGTCTCTTCCTCACTGATCTCAGAGCCAACTTTTCCCAGAAGATCCAGTGAAAGGGATGAGTGCCCGGCGGCAACTGAAGAGTAATCATCGGCTTCTGTGTCATCCTCAACAAAGCTCTGCATGTCCGTATTTTTTCTCCGGAGTTTCTGGGGAACAATTTCTTCGCCCTCTAGATCTACCTGGACATCTGCATAAGATCCGAACTCTCTTGTCAAGTGCTCAGTCTCATCAGATGTGGATGCTAATTGACTTTCTTTGTAGGTCTCAGATTCCGACAGATGCCCCGTTGATATTACATGTACTGAATCGGGATAATTTTGGCCATGGATAGAGTGATATCGAGTCTCCGAATGGATTGAAGATTGACCTCCATGAGACCCTGGAGGCAGATGCGCTAATGAGTCTGCATAGCGCTTCTTCCCCTTGCTAGGGGAATACAGACTGGCGGTTCGGGATAGGGGAATCACGGTTTTTGCCGAGCTTTCATTCTGTAATGAGGACTTGTCGCTCCCCCGGGGACTGGCTGGTAATTGAAGCATTTGAGGCTTCTGTAAAGAGTACCCATTCGCACGCTCACGATGGAGCTCAATTTTGCACCCAGGAAAAACCTTCTCACGCCATTCAGAGGGAGCGAATGGCCCCCTAGGGCCAATTAGGCTGTATCCCCCAGCAATGAAGATCGACCAGTCCTGGGGTCTTCTATACATCTTTGTGCCAAGCAAAGAATACATTTTCTGCAATCTCTTAGCAAATCATCATGTTCTCACGAATTCGACATATTCAATCAGGTGAGAATAGCCTTACCTCCCAGTCTCGGGCGATACGCCAGGGGATAACCATTTCAACCCCATTGAAGTCTTTCAATCGGATTGGCTCTTGTTTCCTCCAAGCGTTTTCGTCTATTGCTTGCGTGTTATGGTTTTGAATCTTATTCTGGTGTCCTCTGCTTTTCTTGTTTAGAAGGACAGGATGTCTCTCGAGAATGGCATCGCGAGCTCTTCTGGATGATAGAAACGGGGGCTGATTCTGTCTTGCTGTCTTGATACCTGATTTGTAAATTTCAAATGTTATAATTTGGCTCATGTGCTTGGTTTGGAGGGGATTGTCGGGCTTAAGGAAATTGCAAGCTACTAACCGGCCGAGCGTGACGGAGCGCTGTGTGGAAATTGCCTTGTAAGAGCTTTTGTGCTTCCAAGAGCCAATGGATGATAATGTGGGTCACCGGAATGACCATTGGATAATGTGTGATGGTAAGGAGTGACTGTAGTCAAATATCCATTGTCCTTCGCAGAAAAGGGATCAGTCATGCCGTACCCGTGCAATGCGGATTGCGAATACGCATTCCCATAAGGCGGCCTCCAGAGAGGCGGCTGGTAATAAAGGCTAGACTGTGGGCTCATTGGATGAGAGGGGTAGGACGATGGTAGATTGTAGGAGTAAGGATTGAGCATCTGATTGAGAACAAGCTGGTTTTCCTGCAATTCATATGGTATCGTAGGGAGTATGGCTCCCTCGCTTTGTACTCTGTTTCCTTGCCCATGAGGTCCTTGGCTATATGAATGACTTTGTGAGAAGGGTGGTTGTAAGATCGGTGGTGGCGGTCGCGGTACTGGGTGCGTCGGTGGTAGATATGCCTCTGGTTGCACAATCTCAGGTTCAGGTTCTGGAACAGGCTCTCTTGGCTTGCGCAGGATATGAATGAGAATGTCTTCATATTCTTGCTTTGTAATGATTTCAGACCAATTCACCTCTGAAATCAGCTCACTGTTTGATTGCAAGTCGTAACCCTCCTTCCAAGAGTCATCGTAAAAAGATTTTGACATGGAGTTTTCTGACCCTAGAACACCCACGAACACATTGATAAACTCCTATAATATCCTAGTGTTAGTGCATTTGATAGATGGAATGTTCAACAAGCCCCTTTTGTTTACCTACAAACCATGTTTGGCATTGCGCTTTGGGCAGGCAGTACTCCTTTCCATCGAGATCGATTACCCGAATCTGAGAAACCTCAGCGGCTGATCCTGGGCTAACAGCCTTTTTGAGTATAATGTGCTCCCCTTGTAGCTCCTTCAAATCCGTGGGGCTCATGCTGAGGATGACATCTAGTTGAATATTAGAGATGAATAACTCCCTCTGTCATACACAGGAAACTTTCCTCCATTTATAAGGAGCATCCAGGCCTGTGGTACATGCAGTACGTCAGTTGACTCTCCAGTCCCGAGCACAACTTGCCGTTCATTTTGTTTAATTGTTGATTCGAACGAGTATTGGAATTGATGAAGACTTCTCACTGGATGAGAAATCCCAACAGGCTCGTCCCCAGGGAACTCTTTTGTAGAATTGAGCGGCTGAAGAGCCACGAAAGGAAATGCGAAAAACGCAACGGAACACTGGTCACTCGATTGCTCCATCGTGCTAATATCGCTTGTTGAGACAAAATTCACTGCCGTCGAGTCGAAGTATTTCCCATGAATGTAGCTCTTCTCCTTTTGGCGGAGGTGTTTAAACAATGAAAATATCAGCAGACTCGTCGCTTGTGAAATGTTCTTCAACCTCAATGCCTCGGTCTAAAACTCGATCAGCAAGGTGTCCAGGGGCATCATCGCGAACAGCCTTACTTGAAAAACTTCCAAACTCATTGGACTGCTGTTGAAGTGACTTTGGGAATAAAATTGGTGAGCTTAATTGTATTTGAAATAGGCGCCATTGTCAGCGATGAAATTCGGCTTACATCCATCGTGTCTCTGCCTGAACCAAGCCGCCCTTGTCCCCGAATATTAGAGTCGCAATGTCATGGTTGCGATCCTCCAATTCTGTGGTCAATCTTGTTTGAATGATCTCATATATCTCCGTTGGAATCGCCTTGTCACCATGGTTGAATGTCGGTTGGGTATACACCTTCTTTGGGGGCAGAGGACTGGTATCTTCCCCCTTTGCGCTGCCAGATAGATGACGGCCAATTTTGATGAAGTTGTTTACTTTCGTTTCTCTGACGTCAAAAGGATCTGCTGCGTTATCTTTACACCGTGTGAAATTGGTCGCGTCAAAGCTATTACAAGTTTGTGCAATCTCTGGAGGTGGCGATGGTGGAGTCTGGACCCCTTCTTCGGGCAGGCTAGGCGTAGGAGCACCAAGCGGATAATGTTGTGGCTTATATGAATTTGCTAGGGGAATATTTGAGGTATGAAACGCGTATGGTGTCGGAGGTTGGTAGGGTTGATACGATTGGTATGGCAGATTGAATGGGTAAGATGGGTAGGAACCATAGGGAGGGTACGAACCGTATGAAGGGTACGAAGGGTAAGAAGGGTAAGAAGGGTAAGAAGGGTAAGAAGGGTAGGAAGGGTAGGATGAGTAATGCTGGCTGTATGGATAGGATGGATAGGATGAGTTGGGTCTGTTCGCAATTTGTTGGGGCTGCTGGTGCGCTCTCGTGCCCTGCGGTGGATATGGACCGGTATATATCTGTTCCCCAGTTGTGCTTCGAAACAGAGGCGAGGACTGCGACGAAAAATGCGAGTGATCGTTTTCGATAATGCGCGGTCTCCTTGGGTTAGACCGAACATAGCTATGCTGTGAAGATGGAGATGGCGGTGAGGCAGAGGCTGATGATGAAGATTCGTAATCACTTGAATCGGAAGTCTCCATTGTCGCAAGCAACCCAAAGATGAAGTTCTCGGATCCGGACCCAGCGGTTACCCAGGAGGTAAGTTAGGTTTCCGTCAAAGATGGCTCGGTCAATTCGTACCGGCTTCGCCGCAATCCACGCAAATAGGGCCCTAGCGCACACATGCATGATACATGCATGAACGCTAAGCCCTTTACATTGGCTTGGCTGTAATATTTTGTTTTGATGAAAAATAGCCCCACGGGGTGTGTTGGCATTTTCAGCTATGCACGTGTATAATCACCTGGGCGTTTAACACCCATCTCTCTGTGGACCAACAGTCTTCTGCGCCGCATCCGGTAAACCTAAGAAGAATATTTCATCCTAATTCTTTGATACTGAAGAACAAATACCACTCTTGCTTGAGGTTGTGGAAAGAATTTCAAAAGTTTGAACGTTTCAGTTTTAGAAGTAGTATTCAGTTTTGTTTATGCTATTTTTTCAGGCTGCTTGATTTGCAGACTATGTTAGCATATGGCCAGATGAGGGCACACGAGATTTTATTACATGAATGTTGCTATTCATATAATTCCCTCTTTTTCCTGACCATGATACTTCGTTGATCCGGGCTCTTCTCACACTATATTGACTTCTCATATTATATTGAAGCTCACTTCACAATCCTTCCGGCGGCCCGTATCCTTACATGCATAGGCATCACTGTCTTGGCGGCGAGCAGCCGCTAACCAAAAGAGGACCCGACCTCGAGCCTCCGACTTGTCAGAAGCCTCCAACTCGCAAGTCGCCGTGGGATTGGCTGTTTCAGACCATGGCTTCCTAGTGTAGTTGAGCGAGAGTAGTAATCCCATTGGATCACTGAGGGCAATACGGTGGTTGCGCCATCCCGTGCAGGTGGGTTTCTCACCCCCGGTCGCGTGAATACACCGTAAAAAAATCAACGAAGGAAATATCTTAGAGTCGAAACCACCTGCTAGATAGTAGATATCATATCCTTTCTGTACCGATGTAAATGAGCAACAACAAATTCTGTTGCTCAATATTCTACCAAGCTCTGATTGGCATATATATTTGCCCTCTTCAACCTCTTTTGCGACTGCCACGAGCCCCAAACCCGCATACTTCGATCACCTCTTACTATGTGCTGGAAGCGTTGGATTGGTTTGCATTCGAGACAAACTATCTAAAAGTCGCGCTTGTCTGTGGCATCCTTGGATCGTATTGGAAGGCATAAATTATTTGTTTTGAGAAGGCGCGATGCAGTCGAATACCACCCACTATTCAATCCTTTCTTCTATTGGTTCCTGATCTCCCCTTCTCTTCAAAACTTGGAACGAAAGAGGATACAAACAGAACGTCATATTGCGTGAAAAGGAGGACCTTTATCTAAACTATCGCGAGATAAATTTCAGTAAATCCAAAGACCGACACTGATCTTCCATTGGGAATGAAATTACAAGGTTCAAAGATTGAATTGAAAGTACCTCCTTTGTTTGAAAGCTTGTCATTCGGTTGTTTCTTCGGGGCTTGCTTCGATCCCTTTAGCGTCGGAAAGACCGAATACCCCACATCGAAGGGAGCACTGGGCTTGAGTGGATCTCACCATACCTCACGCTCATCCGGAATTTCTTGTTACTGTGGCTGGACAGAAGAGTTTAATAGGAGTGTTTTGCTCGGGTGACCGATCAATACATCTCTGGGTAATTCAAGACTTGATTCATGTATATGCATATAGTAATGTTGACTGGAACAGAGGCTAAAAATAAATGGGTATTTCCACAAGTCGACGGACCTCCCAAAAAGAAAGACAACGTGGAATATAATCGTGTATATGTAGGTCCACGGGCAACATTGTAATGCCAGACAAAAGAATCATGTATAAGCTGGTAATCCAATGCGCCAATAAAAACCAAACATTTTAAGCGTATAGTTCATAACACATTCAAACTCAAATCAGGCTCGCGATATCCATCCGTGAATGAGCAGAGCTTGACCGTCCATCAGTGGTATCCGAAGCAGCAGACTCAGGATTCAACATAGAGACAGATTCCTGCTGAGGCGTCTGAACCGGGTCACGCAATAACGCGTCCTGATCTCTCCTCTGTTTCTCACTGATAAGTTCATGAACTGTACTTTGGATCCATGCCCATGTCTTCTCGGGCGTTCCCCAGGCCGCATCGTCCTTCTCGGGCGGTTCCGATGTGTTACGGGCTGCTGTGACAGCTTCGAGATGTGAACCCGTCTCACTACCCTGCCACACCCAGCTTCCATCGCTGGTTCCCTGCATATCACCTGAGACGTATGCCATCATTTCTTCGTCGTGGTCGAGGATGCCCATCTCGCCTTGTCGGAAGCGGTCTATTAGTGCACGGAGGAAGAACGCGAGGTACCGGCCGCAGGCTACGTTGATGGCGCGGCCGTCGCCGATAGCGGCGCTGGCTTGCACGCATGCGAGTGCGGCGGTGTATTCCTGGCGGAAAAGGAGGAAGAGAGTGCAGCGCCAGATGTGGGTGCAGAGGAGGGTACCGGCTGATGAGGCGAAGAGAATTCGCCAGTCGGTTGGGGTGTTGGTGCGCATACAACGGGATAAGATGGTGGCGGTGTCGATTGCAGTAGTGACGCAGTAATCCATAGCGGTTGAGCGGATGATATCTTGGCAGTAGGGTGTGATATTATGGCGATGGAGAAGAAGGCGGGCATTCTGGAGATAAATGATTGGGGCCAGGGAGCGAGGGTCGAGGTCCTGGTCCGTTTTTGGGTGAAGATGTGGAGGGAATGTTGCTAGACATGTGTTGAAGTGACGTTCGAATGTGTCCAGGGTTGCGTGGCTGATTGTTATGGAGCGGAGGGTGCGAGTGAGTTGACCGATTGACCGGACCACGTGGATAGTTGCTAGTAATGGGGTTGTTTGGGGGCTCTCCGGAATATTGCCACTATCTGTGATATATTGGTCGTCGACTGGACAAGGGAGATCGATGTCGCAGTCTTGGTCGTTGATTAAGACTGGCTTGCCCATCTCAAGAGCGAGTAATCTGTCTCGTGTAAGTCAATGTCTGGAATATCAATATCAGTCAAGGAACACCCACCGATCCCATGTGTACAAGCCCCACCAGAGGCGTTTCCGCATTTCTCCTTCAAGCGGGGGCCATGGACCGGACTCGATATGCAAGCCAATCTCTTGAGCTACGCGCACCGCAGATGCAATCCACACCCAGCTCGCGGACTTAGAGTTGACCTCATAGAGAAATATGCTGGCAAGTAAAGCTGCACGGGCTCGGTCCTGGTTGAAGTTGTCTTGCCATACATCTATGATCCCGCAAGAGATGCGTACGAACTCTTTACCCTGCTCCTCACGATTCGGGTTTATTGTGTGGATAGCACCACACGCGAAAACTCCAAATAATACAGCCGCCCATTCACTGGATATACCGACGATGGAGCCTTTCCGATAGACCTTGTCGTACTCTGCGGTGAAAGACGGCCAGTGGAGAACTGGCAGAACCGAGTGGACGCAGTTGAAATACTGTGCCAAAAGATTATCTGCAATCTCCTTCGGTGGTAGAGCCGGTGCATCGCCTGATACGATAGACTTGGAGTCTTGTTGCTGATAAGGAGTCGGAACCTTTAAGATACCCCGACCATGTTGGCGCAAGTTCCTGCGCACATCCGATAGGTCCTCGGTAATCGATATTCTGGGTCGTCGAGCAGGCCTGTACTCAATCTCCGGTAATGTGATCAATTGCTGCGACGTGACTTCATCCACATCCATCATCTGATCAGGACGAAGCCTCCCAGCTCTGAACTGCTGCAACTGCTGCTTAGTAGACTGAAGCTGCTTCTCCAGATCCTGCACCTGCTTAATAGACGACATGCGACGATTTGTTTCCTTAGTGAACTGGCAACGAACACGTCGGTTATTGCATTCGGTGCAGCTGCTTGATTCCGACGCATCACATTTCACCTTACGTTCCCGACACGCATCGCAGCTCGGATCCTTCCTGCGCTGTCGATACGCTCTCTTCTGCTGCAGTTGACTTTGAACATGACTGGAATGTCCGATCGGGCTTGTCTGGAACAGACCCGGGTTTCCCGGTAGAGCGCCCATAGGAGGAGCGTCACGCAGGCCCCCATTTTCAGCTGGGGATCCCGAGGCAGAGTCGTAATATCGGTCATACGGCGACGTCGATGGACCCGGAGCCAGACTCATTCCGTGCTGTACCGGACCCTGAGGCATTGGTTGTTGAGCGGGAGCCTGGGGCATGGGCTGTAATAGATGTGCCATACGCATCCCGCTGTCGGGTCTACTTGGCGGGGCGGAAAGCATCGCACCGGGAGCCGCGAAAGCGCCCGACGTCACCGACTGCACGGGAGGCAGCTCATACGAGCTTTGATTTTGAGCCCCCGCGCGAAAGGGAAGAGGGTTCATTTCGGTAGGAAATTTTAAACCTCCACTTTGGAAATGTTATTCCCACTTTGCGCCCGAGAAAACCAAAATGCTTAAAGGTAAAGTTTGGTTAGGGTTTTTTTTTTTTTTCCTTCCTAGAGAAAGGGTAGATGCGCAATGTCAGAAAATCATTCGATGGCCAAGAGTCCAGCCGCCGTTTCCTGGAATCAAGATCATAGAACGGGCAATATGCCGCGAGAGAATCCTAGTGGAGGGAAAGAAGGTTGCTATCGCCACGGGGGAATTCCAGGCCCAGATCGCTTAGCCCCGAATTCAAGATGGAAGCGCGGGTCACTCAACACAGCATTTGCAGGCCATTCTTAACGCAGGATTTGCGTAGCGTCAAGAATCAATGCCGTGGACAGTGGACAGCAGCGAAATGTATCGGTGGAAACGACCAAACCAGTAAACCCAAAATACCCAAATAGAGTGCAAGTCCGGGATGACGATTCAAATGCCGAGGTTGGGGCAACTTTGCGGCGAATTAAAGGACGAATGAAGATGAAGAAAGGTGTGTAAGGATCACCCGTCAAGGAAAAAAAAGGTTTCAAATTTTTCAAAGGCAAAATAAGGGAGAACAAGAATAAAAAGGCAAAGAGCCGAAAGGAACCAGATCGACATGGCAAATAGGAAAGATTCAGTATTACGATCACCGTTCACCTAGGCCCCATCAGGGTCCGGTATTGTGACCCAAAGAGTCAGATCGTGGAGATGGAAATGATGAATTAAGGAATCTTCAGCCGAAATGACTGATAAACCTTACCGAGATTTTGGGTCCATAATTACAACGTATACCCGTGGACTACATTCTCAATCACGTTATACAGATCCCGAGATCGGCTGTCGATGGATACTTGAAGTTGAAGGACAAAGTGCAAGGCCCCACGTAAGTTGAACCTTGTTGGGGTTTGGCTCGATCCGGACTTGCTACGACAGTCGGTAAACTGGCCCTTTGTCGGCAGACTTAGCGGGGTCCACTTGAAGCCATCGAGCGGTCCGTGACAGCTAGATCGTCCGTCGGTGGCAAGGAGTGTCCGTTGTCCAAGGATTACAAGTCACAGTTGGGTGTGGGTTACACGGGATTTAGGGTCATTTTTCTTTGCTTTTAGGTTTCTTATTTTTTCCGAGTGTTGGTTATAAGATATCATATCTAAGGAATGAAGATCTCGGCGCCCGCCGTGCCGTGCCTTTTTTAACCATTTTACTGCGCCCCGTTTCATCTTCTGCACGGTTACTGTACTCCCGACCCAAATTAACAAGAATTCGATGATCGCTCGGTAAGTATGCACCGGACCACATGGAAATCTAGTCCGGATGTTGGCCCGGTGGGACCCAGTGGCAAAGGAGTGAAGGTTGAATGGTAGAAAGGCACAATTGGGGGATAACAAAAAGACATAAAGGGACAATCGTTGCTTATTCGGTCAGATCCTGCCGAGCATACATTCATAAGAGCCTATCTCCCCGATGTAGTAACGTGTACTTCCTGTAAGGCAATGGTCCATGTCCAACAACCGAGTTTTATCCGAATAACGTTGAGTTCCGGCCCCAGTTTCTTTTTGACTCCGCAAAAGGGGAGATCAAAAGTGCGGCCTACGATGCCCCGAGCGTAAATAATACGGGCTTTTAAGGGATAATAGTAATAATTTCGGCAACTTTCATGTCCTTTCTTTATTTTTAATAAATTTTTTTCTTTTATTCTGTGCATCCTGGAACCAGTAACATTATCACAGATTAAACAATATCTCTGCTCGGGAGGGTTCCACTTACAAGGATTGTGTGCCGACGAGCCTGGGGCCGGAGAATACCTCCCGAGCCAGTGTCGTGGATTCCTGACTTTCCACAGGTTTGGGACCATGATCACAGGACCAGGTACCCAACCGTGCATTATATGCAGGAGACCACTAAGTACCGGTTAGGCTAGTTCGCCGTAAATTCCTTGCCAAGTCTTGCCTGGCCACTTGGGCAAATTGATAGGACTTCCCGGACTTCAAGCCACCAAAATAAAATACGGATCGATCATTGGGAAACGGGAAAACCAAAATTGAAATTACATGCCACACATTCTAGCCCTGAGCCCTTCAGGGCTGCACTCTCTATCCCCCGTGGCGCGCGGGTCAAGGTCGTACTCCTCAGGGCTGAATACGACATTTTTTCCCCGCACCCTTCGGCTACGAGATAATGACCCTCTCCCCCAGATACCATATGAGGAGCTTTCTACAGTGCACTGGACGCCAAACTCGACTGGTCCGTTCTACGCGCCAGTCCTGCGCTATGATGTGGTGAATTGCGCCATTTGCGCCCACATGGCCCACGAGTCTAGCACCGAGTCGACGCCCCGAAATTACTGTAGCGCCAGTGTATCTAACCCGAGTTCTAGCCCGTGACTGTGCTCATGTGCATCCTGCATGGATCAAAACTCTAGCCCAAGGACAAAGACAGAGCCGAAGCCCTAGGAAAACGAAAAAAAAAAAAAAAAAAAAAAAAAAAAAAAGATTTAATTTATGAAATGGTCGAGGCGGCTGAGTCCTCGGTTCGTGCCGTGCTGCCAGTCGGAAGTATTTGCACCTCGTGCATGAAAGACTGGTCTTTCTATTGGGTTATGCACGGTCCAAAACTGCTAAGCTTGGCGGGAAAGCGTAGACCCTCTTTAGACCAATGCTAAGGCAAGAACCCTGGTGGTTTGGTCGCCTCGATGATCGACACAGTCGCCAAGTCGCGGCCTAGAGCCCGACGTCCCACTTGAAGCAAGAGAGAAAAAACGAGATTATTGAACGACGATACTGACACTATTGCTCGTCTAGAAGCCATTAGCTTGGTCCTTCCTGACTTATCACTAGCCAGTGTCACCTCCCCACGTATCCTTGCCGTCTCTCTTCACCTCGCATGACCTTCCAGCTTTCTCACCCCGATGCCTTCCGATCAAGTCAGAAAGCCCCAAGCCCCCACTTCTAAGAATAGCGGGTTCAACCAGAAGCCGGGCCTGGGAACGGCGATCAGCATACGTTTTAACTTCTGCTGTAATTAGCAAGTCTGGCACGAACCGAGCACGCCACAAGTTCTTGGAATCCAGTCCGTACCGTTGAATTTTTTTTAAATGGAGTTCGGACTCCAATTGCTTCACCGAAGCAGTCCCGTTCCACTTGCTTTCCTGGTCTCCTCAAGTCTATTTTCCAAATGCCCCACAGCGGGACAACGATCCGAGGAAGATGAAACACCGCCGGCCACCAACCGAGACCTTCCGATTTGCCTGGGCCTGAGGCGGGTTTGTGACCTGACAGACAGCTTTCTATCTGAGACCGGAGGGCTCCGTGATCTAAATCGCGGGAGTCTCAGTTTAAACGATTGCTTGGCCTGCATCGATGACGTAGCATAGCGTCTTCTCGGGATACGCCGATTCTGGTAAATGATGCCCTTTTACTCATCACATCAGGCATCGTATTACGGAGTAGACGGAGTAGGTAAGAAGCTTTTGCCTCCTCTTGGTAGATGCTTAGGGTTCCCTGATTTCGGTTGATTGTTGGTTGTTGATTCTTGGTTGTTGGTTGTTGGTTGTGATTGTGATTGTGTGGTTCCAAGGTTCGATTCCTTCCAACCGAGGTCTCCATCCCTGCTAGTCTAACTATCCGGACGCCTCAAGCCAACGCGAACGCCAGGAACCCGCTGTTGCATTGGTTGGCTTCGTACGGTTACAATTTAATCTAAGAGTCTTTGATGGCGTTATGGGCCGACATGTTCCTCGATGTCCACATGCCCACTTCTGCACATGTTTGTGATGGGTGCGCCGCGGGTAAGCGCATCTACATTGCGACTGCCACCCATAAGACATACATATTTGCGTCTCATCCCGAGGCCAGCACTTACAATTCTATTTAATTTGATTCAATCGCCACCCATTGGTATGAAGGGGTGGAATGGTATGCCTTTGGTACTTTGTTTTGGTAGAATACGGGAGAAACTTTCTGCCGGTTGGACGATCGCGCTGATCAATTCGCCTGCTATGCCACTGACGTTTACCGCCACTCACGATACCGGAGGTGAAGTCCGCTGTGCAGCCGAACACTTACACGTGTTGGTATAGTGATCTATTATCCAATTTATTGGATTGAGCACAGCCAGTGTCCCACCGTACTAACTCCGTAGGTGCTATAGATATTGCTCCTCATTAATGTCCCTTTAAGGACTAGTGCTTTCCATCCCACCACTTAGGCTTCACCTCTCATAGATCCTCTTCTTCTCCTTATCGCTACCTAATATTACACTACGTACTATATTATATTACTTCTACTTTCTCTCCTATAGGTTATAAGCCTAGGGCTCACGAGTACTCTTACTGTAAGGAGTAAAAGGGCCAGGTAAGAAGATAGTAAAGGAGATCTGAAAGGAATATAAAATAGTACTAATATGGTATGGATTTGAGGTCCAAGGCAATATAGATCATATTGGTTTCAAAACTAATTCTTAAGGAAGGAAACAATCAGAAGAGAGAGATTCTTCTTCTTCCTTAATATAGAGGAAGTGAGAGCTAAGTGAACGGTTTATAATGATCTCACTTTAAATATCTCTTCGTCATGGACTAGCTCTAGGCAAGTCTAGAGCTCACTCTTGATCTAGATGCTGAATCAGAAGTGATTTGTACCATTTCGGGATATTTGAGATATCCGATGATTTCTACCTTAACAAAATGGGTAACCATCCTTTCGTAGCACCTAGACACCCTAAATATAGGGTAATATAGTATAATAAGCTTATATTAAGCTATATTATATATGATTATAATAGGTATGGTAGATTATAGGAGGAAAAGTGGTTACTATATATATATAGACTAGAACAGATTATAATAAAGTTAATGTCTTAGCAAAAAATATACAAAGTCAGGCATCACATAGGCCTATACAGGGGCCCATGGGCCCCTATATGGGCATATAGATTTTATGGTGTGGTGTGGGCCCTGGAATATTTAGATGGTGCACCATATGCCGAAGCCTAATATAGAGTTGAGGTAGCCTGCATGAGGGGTCAGGGTGAATGAAATCATCATCATCATCTGCTGTCATGTCGACCAACACACGCGAACTCCTCCTCCCGAACTAACCCCCACCACCTCGTGCCAGAGACGATAGACGCGCTTCAACTGCCGAGAATGGGATGTTTAAAACTTGGAAGCGCCTTCAAGCCAGCCTATTAACAAAATTACTATCCCGCGAGGATCCACCACGATAATGACAGCTGAGATGACAAATACAGAAAGCAACCATTTATGGGCTGCAAGGAGACAAGGCATATGTTGGGACATGTATTGGTAGATTAGTGGCAGTTGCCCTTTCGGCTTAGCCGCTGGGCGTTAATAAATTGTGTGTGTGTGTGTGTGTATGTACGAGAAGGACTTACCGAAATTTCTTTGGAGAGGACTCCGACAATTTCCAGTTTCTAAAAAACAACGAGACAGTACTCTCTCCTGGGCCCGTTCCCTCAAAATACTCCTACAAACCCATTTTTTAACGCACTCAAAACGTACCATCTAAACCGCAGTAAGCCAGTTGATCACGACTATCTCAGGCCTTACTAACTCTGAATCTCCTGTATATTTCCCAAGAATATGGGTTCCCAAGCTCCGTCTACTCCTTCTGGCGTCCAATCTGAGGGCCTCTTTACCACTGGTAATCTACAGCTGGAGGGGGCTTTTAACTATTGACATTCGCAGCGATGATGATGAGATGTCACACGCTGCACCGCCACCTCTTATCCCGCTTAGGGAGATGGTCACTTGTCTGGAATGTCTTACGTGGATTGCCAGTGGACGACGCCGAGCTGAGATTTTTAGCTTCACCGACTGTGCTATGGAGGAGATGTCAATATCCCGTACTTTCAGTGCACCCGCTACTCCCGCAAGCATCATATTCTACCTCGCCTCTTGAACCCCTATACGATTTAATATTATTCTGATAAAATGTAATCCGGTTTCGGAAACAGGTAGCTGTTCCTGAATTGAGATTGAGTGATGCTGAATATCGATCTCAGTACATCGCAGCACGCACTTCTAGTATCCCGATCGATCGATCGGTTTTGATGGTAACCCAAAACAACTGCAAGTTGTCAATACTCACCAATTTTGTTTGTGATCAGTTTTTTGTTCTTCATGAAAGATACTATCCTTCATTCATGGTTTTCTATCTGAGATAACTTTCCTGGATTCCGCCCTGATCATTGTTCCGAGCATAAGGATATAAAAGGTAAAGCGATTTTGGGTGCGAAATTTCTTGTCATCAGACACATGAGCCAGTTGGGAAAATTTTGCCCGAAAGACCCTTCTCAGACATGTCTGTCTATAAGTACATTGGATGATGGTTCACTTGACAGGCATCTGATCATATCTTCAAAGTAGCTAACCACATAATCCGCGGTTTCCTGATCTATGAATTCGCTTGACATTGTCATATTAATACGGAGTTCAGATTCGTCAGGTATAACAAAGACGTTAGCAGTCTCCGAGGGTTTGTTTGGTAGGCTATACAGGCTTGTTTCGCAAGGAACCCCATGCAATTCAAAGTTCCCAGCCTCGCTCTTGCTATAGTTCTGAATTCGTAAAAAGCTGCCGAACTTTGTTTCTGGCTCCCATGTCGTGCAGTTCTGGACGATGTCTTTAAATGCAAGACTCTGTACAGGCATGGTTTCAATATGTTGCTGTTGAACTTGGCGCATCAAGTCAATACACTTCAGCGCTGGTGGAAAGTCAACTCGAACTGGAATGATGCTCCCTGATGGTCCAACCAAACGGCCTTCGTGAGGAATCCCGAGTCCTCTCTCGAGAGTGTATTGACCAAAAACGACATGCTTCACGGAATCGTAGCTTGTTTCTGATGAGAGGCGCATTAAAGTCATTGCCCACGCTGATTTAATCAAAGTCGCAATCGTAATGCTGGAAGGAGGCGAAGGGACTGGAATTTTTGTCGAGGCGGTCACTATCCATGGATCCCGAGACACGATGTCTCTTTTCTTCTTTTCTTCGATAGATCCATTTGCAGGAGCCCAAGTCCTCTTTGTAAAGCTTGTCATTTGAGAGTTCTGTAATATCCTTCTCCACGTGTCGTAAGACTTGGGACTCCGGATTGCCATGATTTCTTTGACGTGGTCAGAGAATTGGGCAGCAGGTGGCAGTACATTGCCATTGTAAGCGGTCATAAGATCCTCACATATGATACCAATGGAGATTCCATCAAATTGAGCATGAGCCATTCGCAATACCAGAGAGCTTCTCGAACTCGTCGAAGTCACCAGCCAAGCCTGGAATGCGGGCTTCCAGTTTGCAGGACTTCCCATAGCAAGGGAATCATCGGCACAAGACCTCTCTATGTCGTCAACTCCTGAAAGATGTATTGGATTGATTTTCAATTCCCTCAGGACCCCCTGAACGATTGAGTGGTCATCGCAGATTCCAAAGACCGTCCGTAGTGAGGAATGCCTCCGAACAAGCTGCTCGCATGCTCCCGACATACGAGATAAGTCGCATTCATTTGGAAGAGAGATTATGAGATACCGGTTATAGAATTTCGAAAGCGTCATGGCCTGAAACTCCGTGGTAGGAAGAAACTTAACCGCATTCTCTGTGATATCCCTTGGCAATTCGCTGCTGAGCTTTTGATAGTTCCCTTCACGGCAAAGTAATTTAGGTATCAAGGATGATCCTTCTCGGCAGAAAGTCTGACCATTCATGCTGTGACCAACTTCAGTATGGCCATTCAATTTTCTGGTCAAGCTTGACGTCAGTTCTGACAGAGTCTCGTGTCTGAAAATATCTACAACAGTTAAAGGAAGACCCTCTTGCCTTGCCAACATGGAAACCTGCATGGCGGTAATTGAATCTCCACCAAGAGCAAAGAAATTTTCATTCAATGATATTTCCTTTGGTTCTCTGTTTAGAGCCTGGCCGATGATACGTTGAATTTTCAGGTCCTCTTCCGTGGTAGGCCGCTCAGGCTCCGAAGAATGAGAATTCGACCTCCACTGATAGCTGGAGATTTGAAGCGGAGACCAGGTTGAAACAGTTTCTTGGAGCTGACGTCGATTGGTTTTCCCGGACATGTTGAGGGGTACCTCGGTGATTGGGATGAAATAAGTCGGAATCATGTATGCCGGAAGACGCTCGCCTAGGTTAAGTGTCATAGATTTCAAGTCATCGTAATACTGGTTCGTCAGGCAGGCGATAGTCTTCACTCCATTGGAACTCATATCAGTTCCGTTCAATGCAGCATCGCTCCACCTCTTATATATGGTAGGACGAATGAACGCAACCAAGAACGGGCGCTCGTGTTTCTCATGTTTCTTGATCAATTCAACAACTGTGCTCTCAATGTTTGGCGAAGAGGAAGTAACACATTGTTCAATATCCCCGATCTCTAGTCGCTGGCCATTTAACTTCACCTGCAGGTCCTTTCTACCGATAAACTGAAGTGTGCCGTCAGGTGCATATCGAACGAGATCCCCGGTCTTGTACATCCTTCCTGGGTGAGTTGGGAAATCAGCTCGCCATGATGGACTCCTAATAAAGGCCGCGATGGTCTTCTCGGGCTCCTGAAGATAGCCAGATCCGACAACTGGTCCTTCGATAAGCAACTCTCCCACTGTGCCGATAGGGGCCAGTTTGTTATGGTTCTCAGGATCTGCGATCCAAGAGATTGCTGCAGGGCTTTGGCCAATATTACTGCAATCAGAGGTCAAAGAAATTGCAGCAACATGGGAAATGACCGCACACTCAGCAATGCCATAGAAGGCAACGATATTGGCCGTCTTTGCCCACTTCTCGATAACTATCGGAGTAAGAGGCTCCCCAGCAGAGCATAAGACCTTCAGTGTTGGTATGTCTGATGGCTTCATTAGTGTAATGACGGATGGTGTAGTAAATAACCAATTGACACCAAGGGCGGCTGCTGCTTTGGCTGGATTATCCATTCGATCCTCATCGCTTGGCATACAGATACAGCCCCCTGCGGCCAATGTGAATAAATGGTCGCCAACGCTGATATCGAACGCATGCCCGGCAAACTGGAAAACCCGGCTTTCCGGTCCGACTTTGCCATGCTCATGCATAACCTTCGCACTTGTACAGATGGCACTGTGGGAAATTACCACGCCTTTGGGATTTCCAGTGGAGCCGGAGGTGAAAACAACATATGCCGGGTCATCAGGTGTAACCAAGGCTGGCAACGAGACAGATTCGACATTTGCATGGTTCAAGTCGTGAAGTAAGCCTTCTAGTTCTAGGACGTGGGCCTGGAGCTCAAGACTTTTACTGATTTGTGCGGATTTCACGGATGAGATCACAGTATGGGCCTCCATAGCAGCACATGAAGACTTCAAACGATGAACAGGGAAAGACGGATCGAGCAAAGCAAAGGCAGCACCAGCTTTGAGAACTCCCATTACGGCAACTGGTATCCAGGGCGACTTCTCGGAAACAATGGGCACAAAATGTCCCCGACGGATACCCTGGCTGATGAGGAGAGACGCAAGCTGACTGGAAAGTCTGTCCAGTTGACCATACGTAAGCTCAGCTTGCTTAGAGCACACGGCAGGTCTGTGAGGCTGAGAAACAGACATCAACTGAAATAGGTCGTGAACACAAGCATTTACAGGAACAGGGTCATGGCTGTTCCAGTGCATTAGCATTTTAATATCTTGCTGGGGAATAACTCCAATATCGGCGAGCGGGGTTGAGTCAGATCTGATGAGTTGTCTGGTAACATGAATCATTTGTCTGAGAATACTATCCATATCGGCTCGAGGTAGATTTGAGGGATGATATGATGATGTGAAGGTGATTGACTTGTCTCCCGGCCGACATGTGAGCATTAGAGGATACCCAGCGAATGTATTGATGTTATGTGAAGCCGCCGTCACTGAGGCTGAAGAATCCAGCATCGATGATTCTGCTTGTTGTCGTCGTGACTGCACCACAAGAACGGTTTGAAAGTTGCATGCTTCAGCCGCCTCCGGTCCGATCTTTCGGATATCTATCAGGCCAGTCTGCTCGTAGGGCATCATCTCCGCAAACTGGTTTTGGACTTGCAGAAGCATTTCATTGACTTTGCAGTGTGGCGATAGCATTATGCGTAAAGGGACAGTCGACAATGTGGGACCGCTGAGTTGATCAATTCCATGAAGTCCTGCGCTACGTCCAGTGACAGTAGCTCCAAAAAGAACATCTTCACAACCTGTCCGATGCCAAAGGACAATAGCCCACGCTAGGCGCAGAACAGATGAAAGAGTGAATCTAGTCGAAAAACTTCTATCGAGCTCTAGGACTTCTTCAAGTACGGCTTTCTCTGTGACGCGATTTGTGATCACCGGGTGAGATGGAAGGGCAAGGAAATGTGCTGTCTTCAGCCCAGCGAACTCTTTAGCCCAGAATTCTCTCGAATCGTCCACTGGTAGGTTGAGAAGAAGCTGGACAAATGGATTGAAAGGCCTGGGGTGGAGATCCTTCCCCGCATAGGCGCTCTCAATTTGTCGTAGTAAAAGGTCGAGGGACCACTCATCGAATATGGAATGGTGAATTTCCAAGTGGAGGATTCCATTTCTCACATGGAACCGGACAAGTGGGCCATCTTCAATATTGATTTTGGAAGGTGTTCCATCGCACTCATTGGCATACCAAGGAATCTCATCGGCCAAGACAACTTGAAAAATTCCTGATGGGACTTGTATAAATCGAGTACGAAGGATTGGGTTTTGCTCCCAAGCCAGCTCGCATGCCCGTTTGAATTGGCATAAGTCAATTGACTTGGGGAGTTTCCAGGCGTATTGGGCAATGTACGCATTTGGATCTTGAGCGGTTAGGGCAATCAGCCCTGCCTGTAAAGGTGTGCAAGGATAGACATCTTGTATCGGAGGACAGTCTGGCTTCAAATTTTCCCTCACTAGGCCTAGCACTGCCTCGCAGTCGCGGAGCAGTGAAAATGGAGCCAGTTTAACTGGCCGGCAGGGGTTTGTTTCCTTGACCAAGATCAACGACATTGCCGCCAATGTCGAGGACTTGAAAGCATCTGCTATCTTCATAATGTGCCCTGTTTCACGCAATTTGGCAACAAGGTTCATCATATCGATAGAATCTCCACCTCTTTGGAAAAAGCAATCATTCTGTCGGAGACTCGCTCCTTCAATCCCCAAAACATCCGCCCAAAGCTCCCTGAGAAAAGCTTCATCAGGGGTGAAAGAAACACTGCCTAGCTTGACCCCTTCCATCCTAGACTTTCCATGTTTGCTGACTAGAAACAGTTCAGTCGCTTTCTTGCGCAGGCTCACACGATCGATTTTTCCAGATTGGGTCATCGCAATGTTGTGTACGAAGAAGAACTCCCGCGGAATCATATGGGCTGGCAGTACATATCGAAGGGTCCTTTTGAGTTCTCCTTCCATGGATCTCGAGCCTTCCCATTCGGCTATCGTCATTTTTCTCGACGCTTCTTGGCCTTTGGAGCATCCAATATCAATAAATCCGAAAAGACGCGTAGACCCATTCACTGCGTCGGCGGAGGCAACTATGGTAACGTGGCGTGTTTCTGGGATCAGGGTATCTGCACATAGTCTTACGTGGTGCTCAATTTCTGTCAGTTCAACCCGTTGCCCATTGATCTTGACTTGACTGTCTTTTCTCCCCACATAGTGAATAGATCCATCCAAGTTGTACCGCACTAGGTCACCTGTACAATAAAGACGTGGCAATGCATAGGACTTTTCGCTGTGATCGTGAAACCTGGTCTGCCATTCTGTACTCTTCAAGAAACTGCTCTTTGTTTTCTCTTTTTCTCCAATATAATGCCGCGCGAGAGAGCGTCCCTCGATAACAAGTTCGCCAACTGCACCAATAGGGATCAGTTGATTGGCGTTGTCAGCATCCACGATCCATAACCTTGAGCCACATCCAAAACCAATATTTCTCGGCGAGGAGCCAGGTTGAACATTTCGCAGTAGACATGCAATTCCAGGGCTTTCGCTAACTCCATAAGCATTGAAGAGCTGCACACTCCTGGCCCATGTCAAGATATGGGCCTCGGTCATTGGCTCTCCACCGAGGACCAACATTTTAAGAGTCGGTACAGACTCTGGAGAAAGTAGATTGGCTAGAGATGGGGTGAGACTTGCTGAAGTGACGTAGTATTTGTTGATGAATTGGGCGAGGTTATTGACTCTGTCATCCTCTGAAGGAATACATATGCATCCTCCGCACATCAGAGTGATGAAGATCTCACGGTTGCTAACATCAAATGAGTATGCTGCAAATTGCAGCATTCTGGTATGGGGTCCCACCCCCAATGCCTTTCCATTCGCAACAGCCACCGAGTGGAATGCACCATGCTCAGTGACAATGCCTTTAGGCTGACCTGTGCTGCCGGAGGTGAATATCGCATACATAGCATCGGACGGACTGGTTTGAGAGATTTGCGAAGTGTAATTTGAATTGGCTGCCAAGGCAGACTCAAGATATGCCCGGGATCGATTACTTAGGGGTTGCACTCGGTTAGTCAGATCATTGGCGAGCGCTTCAAGTTGCGGTGAACAGAGCACAGCAGTAGGAAGCACGGACGAGCAAATACTGCGTATTCGTCGCATCGGGAGGGAGCAGTCAAGGAAGACATAAGCCCCGCCTGCTTTTAAAACTCCTAAGATAGCAACAACTACCCACTTAGATTTGTTGAAGCACAATGCGACGAAGTCTTCGTTGCGGATTCCCCAGTCTTTAAGTCGAATCGCAAGACCTGATGAGAGGCGATCTAATTCCGCGTAGCTGAATTCGCCGTCCCAGGCCGACACTGCAATACTGTCTGGTACCTCCATGCATATTCTGGAGACAGCTTCATGAACAGATCTTTTGGGAAATGGCTCTTCGTCTGATTTTCTGTTCCAGGAAAAGACGCAATTGATTTCTGCGTTGCTACACACAGTGAGATCCTCAACAAGAGATTCTGTATGGACTATGATCTGCTCCATAGCCTGTATCGTAGTCTTTGATACCATTTCTGCCATCTCCTTTGACATGGCTCCATCTTTGTAGTAGATTGCAATTGAAGGTCGATGGCCCTCCACTTCCCTAGAGAGTTGGACTGCAACTGCAAACTGTATTGAAAGGTAAGTTCGTCAGTTCCAAGTATGCAATCTTAGACATCAAATCAGTCATACCTCTTTCAATGTGTCTATTGTGCACTTGCTTTTGATAAAGGCTGAACCAGAATAATATTCCACGGAAATTGCTTCCACGGACAGCATTTCCAGCAGTCCACGTACGGACTTCGTTCTCGGGACATCATAGGATAGTCTGATGTTCAATCTCGTTAATGAAGGCAAAAAATTAACAATCATCTGGACACATTACACTTCAAATCCCTCGCAGCTAAAAGAGACAGTGTCAGAACCACCGTAACTGCGAAGCACAATTGCCCATGCAGCCTTGAGAAGCGTGAAGGAGGTAATATTTTCATTGCGGAGCCATTCAACAAGATGGCTACTGCTAACTTTGTTGAATAAGGCCGTGGTCGATAGAGCCGGCCCTTCAAGCTGCGATGGAGGCTGGCCTGAATCGTTGATCAGGACTGACTGGAGCTCTGACGGTGGAGTGAAAATAGACATTCTGTAGACTGGATAGAATGGGCACAGCAAATGATTTCGAAGCTCCGAGGTTCTTGGGTGCTTGTCTCAATCGATGACACAATCGAAAGAACAGGTAGAATACATAATAAACCAAGAAGACAAAAGAAGATCCCCCTATTTAAACAAATAAGTGATTGAAACAGAGTAATGATCGACAACTTTCTTCTTCATTTGAGGAAGTATTGATTTCCTGCATTGAAAATGCATACATGTGTATTCGCTGAGATTTTTTGTGACTAGTATCAGCGGCACAATTTGATAGGTCGGCTCAATTATTCCCACTATAAGATTGAAAGGCCAATATCTTGCTTATTTGTTAAGAAAAATCAATATTTTTCAATTTAATGGGCCACATCAATAACCGGTGAGAAGGTTTGTGACCTCTACCATCTTGCCTCAACATGACATTTGAACTTCATGCGAACTCATGTAGTACAAGAACTGGACTTGCATTTGGCGGGACGCGCCACAATGAAGACCGCAATATTGCACTACGATGGGATATTGATGCAGCTTTCTTTTCCCTTGCAGTTCAATATTGTATTTCTTCAAATTTCCTTAGGGGCAATAATACACTCCGAGCCATATCAAGATACATTGAATGGATCAATATCATGTACCTAGTAAATCATACATTAACCTTCCCTGATTACGATTAGCTGAATAAGACATGATCTACACAGTGTAACATGCAATGTTGCAAACCCCATGCCACTTGGTATGCAGTATTGCATTATGATATCGTATAATACTGCATATCTTATCGCACATATTGAGAATAAACAACTTTGGACGTCCGGGGTACGATAGTGGAGATCAATCTTCAGCCTGCTCTCCTCTGTTTGTCTCGTCTACAAAAACTGATTTGACGACCACGTTACCTCCATGAGACTAGATGCTCATATACGATTGCCGGACGAATTATTAGTTCACGAAAAAGTGAGCAAGAACGAACACGGACTTTCAAAATCAATACACTCTAAACAAAATAAAAAATAAGAAGAACTCGCTGCTTCTGTGCCTTTTATGACAGATTAAAGTACACATTAATCGATGCTGAGGAGATGATAACAGTTACTCCAGGGGGTATTCTGGAATCAACAGAACGGAGATTACGGCTCCGATAGTTGCAACAAGCGCAAGCACTATTTTCCATCATTAAAACCCATTATCACCTCCTATAATTTGAGTACTCACATGGAACGGCTCTAAAAGCATCTAAGTAACTTGATCGTACAATGAATTGGATAGACTCTGGGAGCGAAGTGGCAAACCGAGTATCACTTATCACTTTTTCAACAATCTGGAGTCGACCAAACGTTAGTATTATTCTTTTGAAGCTATTCTCCATATGAATACTCACCTCAATACTCTTAGGTTCGAATCCAAGTTGTTGTAACATATTCCCTTCAAACAACCCTCTACTAGTCGTTGCTATTATCGTAACCCCAATTACCACTGCAAGTTGCTGTGATAAATAATAAGCTGTGATGATAGCAGCCGATAGTTTCTTTGGTGTTGCTGCCGTAAGTCCCACAAACTGGGCAGATAATATGCCCCCAACTCCTAGTGCAACTGTGAAAGAATAGGCGAGTTCCCAAGGACTTGGCACATGTGGCCATCGAAGTGAAATGAGGAAATACGCAATCATGGATAAGCATGAGCTCACAACTGAAACGGGTTTGTATCGCCCAGTCCTATATTTGGCACTTGTATTAGTATACACAACAGCCAAGGGACATTAGCTATTAAAAACTTACCGGCGGATTATAAATCCTGAAATCAAACCGCCAGTGGCCACGCCCACAGAACAGGGTAACATGTACAATCCCGCAACGCTATTGGACGCATTCACAGCTCGAACGAAGAATTCTGTGATTGTAGAGAGAAACTTATCGAGACGATGAGACTTGTGAGTCGTAAAACATAAACATAGGGTTCAATGGATAGACTTACGCCAAAGTACGAGAACATAGTCAGCATCTGCGCGGCGTAGATAATCCCGATCTTGTTAGCTCTTATCTCCTGGAAAGGTATCATAGGATCCTTAGTCCAATATATCTCATTCGCATAGAACAGAACAACGGCAAAGAATAGAACGCAAACTAGAGTTATTATAGTCCAGTATGACCCCGATCTACCTTGGATTGTCAAGCAGAGTAGCATAAATGTCCCAACCGACGTTCCTAGAAGGCAGGTACCCCAATAATTCATATCTGGTTTTCGTATCGTGTCTTCGTTTTGCTTGCTTGTGCTTTCTTCCCGGATTTGTGATGGAAGCCGCCAGATAGTGACAGCAAGGCAGAGAAGCGCCATGGGAGCTTGTCCAAGAAACAACCTAGAAACTTAATGCGAATTCTCATGAAACTTATCAGCAGGTGCTTACCATCTCCAGCTCACTAGGTCAATGATCAGACCACCAAGAGGGGCCCCTGTATTGATACCAAGCATGTTGAAAACTCCCATATAACTTCTCAATGTGGCAATCTTCCTTGGATCAGTTGTTTCTTTCATACCGAAGTCGTTAGCTTGACATACCAATGCGGTGATAAAATCACCTACCTGAGATGATGACCGAGATAAGATCGACCATGCCGGCGCCGCCAGCGCCAGATAGTACCCTACCGGCTACAGCGACCCAGAAAGATGGTGCGACACCACTTCAAAATACGTGAGCCTTATCCCATTTCATCTCCAGGATTGGGGGAATATACGTCACAATGCAGCCCAGTCCGAACATGGTGTAGGCGGCCAGGAGTACGGATCTACCCCCGTATATATCAAATAACCTTCCGTACTAATGAACAGAATTAGCACAAGCTCTGGGGTTCCATGATTCGGTTGAAAAAGAGAAGGACGAAGAGAGATAAATCCTGCTCACAATTGTTAAAGATACCGAATATCCCAAGTTATACGCTGTCACCAACCAGTCCCCGGCAGTCACTTCATGGAATTGGGAGGCGATCTCTGTATGTGTTGACATCACAAGGGAAATGTCTACAGAGGCAAGATAAATCCCTATCAAAGATAGACGTTTCAGTCAGCGAACAATGATTGCTATTCAAGTTTTAAATTGAGATATTGTGCACCTATCTGGCTGGACAGAAAAAATGGCCAGTCTACAGCAGATACTGGCTCCTCTTGAAGAAGGGGTGACTCTTCATTTTCGATGGGCGAGTCAGACGAGGAAAGGAAATCTTTGTTCCTGTGAGCCATCTTGGAATGTCCATGCACAGATACTTCAGTATGATTCCGAGTCTCTCCAGTGAAAAAGAAAGCTTGTATAATCCTCGGAGAAGTTGTCGGAAGTTTGTGACGAAGGTGAAAGGTGATCTGGATCATAGAATTGAACTCAGCTGAGAATACTTTTAGTCTTATCTAAACATGCAAATGTACCACCTAGGAACACCAAGGCTTGTGGAACACCCTTACGCCGTATCGGAATTATACACAATGTATTACTACTGCATGTACGCGCGTAGCTGATCCACCCAAAATTTGAGGCGCAATAGGCCACAACTGTATTTGTTGAAAAGCGTTTGAATCACAATGATACGTTGACTCATATTGCTGCAGATGTCCCTTGCATTGATCGAGAAGTGTCTTCCGACAACTTGAGTATATACATTTGCTGATGTTCAAGTTGATTCTTAAACTTAAAGGACTCGTACTAAAAGTTCAATTTCAAATCTACTCATAGTTGACCTTTCTGAGTGAAATTTTAAACATGAATTAATTCATTTTTCCTAGTAATTCTTGAAATTTTTGAAATCAAACAAAACATTCTAAGATATATCTTTATAAGAATGACTAATAATAATTTCTTAAAAAAAGTACAGAATGTCGGTAGAAGTAATTATTAAGAAGTTTTTAAGAGTAAGTACCCTTTGTATGACAAACACATACAAAAGATACATTTTCCATCTGGCTGTTATTTCCATCTGGCCGTGGTCCTCCCTCTCCGCCTTCGGCGGTGACGGGGTAGTAGCGGAGATCCTATAACCGGCCCCACAGTAAGCGATGGTACAATTAATATTGGAGAAATGTAATGTGGGGCCGGTTAGTATTTGCGCCTTCCATTCGGTATTGTTTTTGTGTTTGTTTAGCGGAGAGAGGACGGCACGCCTCAACTACCCCTAACACTATTCCTATCTTCCGCTTCTCATGGCCCCCTACCTATAGATGCTAGTATTGAGTTCAAGAAAATGCAAAGTACTAATCACCAATACATGATTCTCCTCCAGGGCTACCTACACACTAAAGACTACAGTAAGTCTATCATGATGCAACCTGCATCACATGTGATGGCATCGATCTCGACACGATGTGATACGGTATTACAAGCGATACAAGGACTCGGTACATTTATCACCAATGTTCTTGCTGTATCATTATTTTGGATTTACGGGCGGCTTCTTGGATCCACAACTGTCGTTACACAGCCTTCTGCAACCAAGCTCTCGAGGCCTCTGCCATTTACAATGTATGGAAAAACGTTCAATCCTATCAGCTTTTTCTTTTTTCTTTTTTTTTTTTTTTTTTTTTGTGGGGTTGTTGCTTGCAGACTTTGATCCACAGCCGTTGTACAACTTGAACTGCAGGTTTTTGGAATGCAAGCTCGCACGTCATTGCACTTATTACGCAGGAATCAATAATCAGCTGAAGAACATGCAATGTATCACATAGCGGTCGCAGGTGTGAGAGCGTGTACAGCCCTAGGATCTCTACAAAGTTGAATTCATTCCTATCAGCTTTTTCTTTTTTCTTTTCTTTTCTTTTCTTTTTTTCTTGTGGGGTTGTTGCTTGCAAACTTTGATCCACAGCCTTTGTATAACATGAAGCAGCTGAAGAACATACGATGTATCACATAGCGGTCGCAGGTGTGAGAGCGTGTACAGCCCTGGGATCTCTGCAAAGTTGAAATCAATCCCAACACCAAAATTTGCCGGGGCCATTAGAGGCGGTACGACTCGGTCATTGAATCTATCAAGAAGATCGACGAAGCTTGAATAGCAGGATTCCGCTACGGTCTTACCTCGATTGAATTAAATCGTTCTGAGGAAGCGGCTTCCTGTAGTGGCTTTTGCTTCCGCTGTAGTGCTTCCCACTTAAGCTATATTTTGGCAATCGGAGAATGGGCAGGAAAATTTGAGAATAAGAAACACTTCACAATTTGCTCATGTCGAACCCGGGCTCGTGAACTATAAGTCACAGCATGTGACCCGGAGGCTACATTGATTGAGGGCTGGTTAAATCAACGTCCAGCAATACTTGGGATCAAGACTCGATGGAATTTCCTCGTAGTGTCAACACTCGGTGCTCTCTTTTGTGCTCGACAGATAAGTGGTGATAAATGTTCGAAAGTCAATTCATGGACGAGGAATTTTGGTTTGATTCATTTAAAAAAAAAGAGAAGACAAAAACGGCACACTATCGTTGATTACCTGGCACATCCTGTAACTTGAAGGACACTACCATCGTGGCTTTTTTGCGGAAGAGGTCACGGTGGGCGCTTGACAAACAATATCCAGTGTCGCTAGTTCACGTCTTTGCTTCAACTCGAGACAGAGATCTTTCAATGCCTTCCCCAGAAACGCAAAATCCTTTTCCTCAAGATATATCTGACCACTTGCTCTGATCCAAAGACATCCCGAATGCTCAAAGACAGGAACAAATGTCCGATACTTCCAAACCAGTGATCTTGATATCCAATCGATAATTGTTGATGGCTTCTCCACCCCATCCAACTCAACTGGGAGCAAAACATTAACCATGCTGCACCCCCTAGTCAGTGTTCCATTATCATTGTCAAGGACCTTGGTGCCCATAATTTGCGCAATCAGTGCCCCTCCCTTCTGTGCCAGTTGAGAATTGTATCTCATGATCTCAACCTCGCCACCATTTGCTTCGCGAAAGCGCAAAGCTGCTGGAATACACAGAAATGCACTGTAATCCATGGTTCCAAAGCTCTCAAAAAGAGCTTCAAATGCCGTCTGATTCCCCTTTGTCTGCGTGAATGTATTGTGACATGATCCCTCTTTCGGTGAGTACCCCCAGCTGGTTGGAAAATTTGTTCGAAACAGATACTGAGTGCGGTATGGTGCGTAGAGAATAGCACACCCACGTGGAACAAACAACCACTTGTGAAGATTACTGACAAAGAAATCTGGATCGAGGTTGACAAGATCGATTGGAATCTGACCAGCACAGTGGGCACCATCAACGCATGATAGTACATTGAATCTTCTGCATGATTCAACAAGGGCTTCAAAAGGCATCAGCACGCCTGGCTGAAAGCTCACGACATCAAAGACAGCCACCTTGACCTCTTCCCCTCTCTTTCGTATTTTGTCCACAGTGGCCTCAAAGCGAGAGATAACCTCATAATCCGAGATTGGATACTCCAAGGCAATGCGTGTTATATTCACACCAGTTGTTTCAGAAAGATGCAAAGTTGCTCGTTCCACTGTTCCATACACCGTGTCAAAAATCAAAATATGATCGTTCTCTGAATACTCTAGATTCCGAAGAATAGTATCAATGCCGCTACTTGCATTTGGCAAGAGGACAACGGTGTCCACCGGGGCATGGACCAGTTTGGCGATCGCTTTGCGAGATTCCAGTAATTGACTTCCATATCCAAAGCGGATAAAAGCGTCCGGCGTCGATTCTACCAGGTTCTGCTTTTCGTGCAACACACTTCGTACATAATTTGGAACTGCTCCGAAGGAACCTTTGAATCAGAAAATTCACATACTTTATTAGTTTCCGGTATGTAGTGAATGTATATAATTGAATGCTGGACAAAGGCGGGATATGATTACCTACCATGGTTCATATTTGTCCAGCCATCTTCGAACAAGAATTGTTCTCGCATTTGTTTACCGAAGGAATATTTCATGTTCTCGATTCTTTTGTTGGTTTCGTAAATGTAAGTTGAGAAATGAGAATAATAAAGATGAATTGTACCTAGGCAGAGCAAATTGATGGCTCAATTTTAGACAGTGCAATTTTTGGCATGTAGCAGTCCCGTCATACGGTACCAGTACGCTGTGAAGCTTCATCAAATCTTGGTATATATATATGCAGGCGATGGATCACACTATGTAATAATACGCGGCTATTTGGTCCAGATCGAGATGGAAATTCTGTCGTGAAACAAGACCGCATGCACAAGTGCAGATCAGCTCCACAGCCTCAGCTACGATTTTAGCGGTCATTTATAATACCATAATATTCACTACAGTTCTGTTCACCAAACAACTGCATTAACTATCACTTGCATATAAGTGGTGGGATACACACCAATTGAACAGGAACAGGATGTCTGCGTCCAAGGTTTCCATATATTTAGAAATAAATCATGCACGTAATAGACACTATGTATTAGATACCAATAGTTTATAGATTTGCAGGAGCGGATGTGTGTCAAAACATGCAGGTCAATTTGGTACTACGTCAATCAATTGATACTCTACATTTCAGGTATTCTGGGGGTATTTGATGATGTAAGGAGTGCATGTTTCTGACAAGCCTATACACAAGTAAGGTGGCGTGTTTCTGGACTCGATGAACTCTCTCAGAGGAAATTATCCAACAAGGAGAGACGTATTTAAATTATTGGCGTTCCCTCGAAGAGCGAATAGCGATTGTATTACTATTACATCTCTCCATATCTCCCACAAAGAATGGAGTATTCTAAGATTACCGCTGAACCCTTTCAGCTGCCTCATCTAGGTGTCACGATCACCCCCTTCAGTCTACTCTGGGCCGCCCTCGTCTCCTTAGTTATATTATGGTCATGCCTTATAGAGCCACACGGATCATTTGCGGGTTTTCCAGTTGTGAATGGAAGAAAGTGGTATGAAATTACTTACACCCAGGCAAAACAACGATATCAAAAATTCGGAGCTTTGCCATTGATCAAGTCTGGGCTTCAAAAGGTTGTTGGATCTGGAAGTTTGAATTTTCATGTCACTTACAATATTTGGAGCAGTCTTCAAAAGCCTTCTGGCTCTTTACTGATCATGGGTATCGCCTGATCTTGTCACCAATGCACGCGAAAATAATTCGGAATGATGATCGCTTGAGTTTCAGATGGTCCCTTTACCATGTAAGTCTATGAAAACGTTGTTTTGAGTATTCCCTCTGGCTATTACAATTTCCCTATAAGTCTATGGAAATTCTCACCAATTTTTGACAGGAGTTCCACGGAAATATGCCTGGTTTCGATATTTACAAAGAGTTCGCGGAAAGCTCTCTCGTTTTGGATATGATCAAAACCAGATTGACTACTTCACTGGGTGAGTTTGACCGCGAGCCAGAGAGATTATTTGGTACAAACCACTGATAAGAATCCAACTATAGATGATCTTATAGTGCCAATTTCAAAGGAATCTACCCATGCACTTCAGAGAAACTGGGAACATAAAGAAGGTCTGGATCCCGTAATTCTGATTTGCGCCAATTAACCGCGTTCATGTCTGTTCTGACTTGTTTCACAGGTTGGCAAGAATACAATTTGAAGGATTCGATCTCGAAAATGGTGGCCCAGGTGACTGGAAGAGTTTTTCTTGGTGATGATACGTGCAGGGATCCAATTTGGCTGAATATGAATATCACCTATACCGACCAAGTAGTCAAGACCGCAAAGAAAATCCGCCTTTGGCCAAAGTTCCTGCTCCCAGTTGTTGGAAAGTTCTTGCCAGCATCTCGCAGACTTCAGCGAACTTTGCAAGAATGTGAAGATTTCTTACAACCTCTGATATCGCAAAGGAAAACCTCTAATGAGCCACGTCCGCAATTGAATGCGATCGATTGGTTTGAGGAACTTTCGAAAGGTCAATCGTACAACCCTACGATTTCCATATTGAAGATATCCCTTGTCAGCCTCGATACCACGTCCGAGCTTCTTTTTCATGTTATTCGTGAATTATCAACGAATGAAAGCCTTGTCAATGATCTACGAAGCGAGATCCTGACTGTCTTCCCAGGTCGAGAAATCGATCTTGATGAAGGTTTCAACCAGCAAGACTTGAAAAAGTTGAAACTCCTAGACAGTGCTATCAAAGAAAGCCAGAGGCGAAGCCACAGAATGAGTAAGTGCCATGCCACTCTATCAGAAAAAGAATGACAACTCTCTAACATGTATGATCTGGATTAAAGTAACTCTGAGACGGTTTGCTACGGAGGATGTCACGCTAGATGATGGCACTCGCATTCCAAAGGGCACCCAAGTTGCCGTGGCAGCCACCCATGTACGAGACACGTCGGTATATGAAGATGGCGACACTTTTAACGGCTACCGATTCTTGAATGCAGGAGCTCCATTGGTTGTTCCGACTCCAAACCATATGGGATTCGGTTATGGGAAGCAGGCATGCCCAGGGAGATTTTTCGTCTCTGTTGAGATGAAGATATTGCTATGCAAGATGCTTTTGAATTATGACTTTAGCATGGATGGTTTGGATGAACCAAAAACTGTGATCAGCGGGTACAATATCGTGCCAAATCCGCAAGCAAAGATAGCCATAAGACATCGCGCAAAGGCTACCTGTGTAACTTACCAAGAGAATTAACGATATAGGTTTACCGGTAGGTAGTACTGGAAGTCGGAAGCTTCCAAGGTTAAAATGTAGCAATACATGGGTTTATAAAAGAACGGCTGCGTCAAGTTTGTCGTAAAGCTTTATCTCTTTAATAAAGCACGAAATGGGGTAATGAAGAGAGCTCCATGTCTTGAAGTTTTTGAGAATGGAAAATTCACATCATCCTGCTTTAGGAGCTTCCCGCTTTCTGATCCTCAACACATTTTGTTTTAGACTTGATTGTGATTAAGTTATCAGAATGACAGGCAACTGCAAAGATTATCTTGCGGTGAGGACGTATCGGATTTTATTAGGCGCAGGGTTTTATGTTATTGTGAGGATGCTTACGTTTTCACAAACCCTCACTTTAGACCCTAGGTACCCTAGCTCCTGTCTTTCTGCTTCTCATATCTGCCAATCACGTCTCTGCCTCTCGCGCCCCGGGGGCCGAACTCAGATCCGTCAATGTCTCTCTCGTACCCAACTCAGATTCATGCCCCCTCCCTACCCCCCAAGCTAAACCATTATTTTAGCCCACCAAGTATTGCGATTCAAATCTTGTCTCAACAGACTGGGTAGTCAGTGCAGCTTCTTGAACTATCATCATTGGATTCAGCGATTTCTTTCGCTGGAGATTCACGGTTGACGGCCATGAATTTGAGCCAAGAGCCTATACAGAACGTATTATCTCTTGTTGAGTACTCCTGGTGACATTGGTGTTCAGCTTTTACCTCAACCCGCAAGCATTGTCTGGCCGTAAATTAGGGGTCTCAGATGCTGCGGAATGTGTTCTGCAGTACCCTCACTTGGGTATCATGGTGCTTGATTGTTTGCTCGTATTCCGTCTAGGCTGTGCGGTTGAGGATATGAATCTTGAGTCATCCAAGCATATAGAAACATTTGAAGGAGCTTGCTTGTACAGGCAGAAAGCATGTTTCCAAGTCAGCATGGTCACCTGTGGCTGCCCCCCATTTTGCGCACCAGCTGTACTGACGCATAAGTACTTGATAATCTCCATGAATACATCCAAAGTCGCACTGCGCCATATACCGCAAGATCGCTGGTTTTCGACGAAGGGTTTTAATTGCACATGCTGATTATTTCATCTAAATGAGTCTCCAGGTATCAGTTCCAGAAGAGCATTCCAAGAAATTCGGGATAGCGTAGGAGGTAGAAGGATCAAAAGGGAAAACCATGGTTGCTGTCAACTGAGGCAACCGTGTAGCGTCAGCTAAACTTATCTTCACATGACGGATTTTGAGTGTATTGGAAGTGCCGAACTGGTTTGCATGGGATGTTTCGTTTGTCTGTCAACATTCCGTTCTACAAAGGCGCGATTCTCAAGTCTCCTTCACCCCTCGTTTTTCATCCAAAACTTCTCTTCTTTTTCTTTTTGATCCTCCCCCTCAATGCCTACCGTCGCAAGCTACATTTATGGATGTTTCCAGGCATCGTTTTGGAGTATAAGACAAAGGAAACTGAAGATACGTAATCTGGGCATTAATTTTGGAAGTATTGTAGGGCTCCCTATGCCCTTCTGGTCTATAATATCCCCACAACAAATCTTGACGAGCCATATTCGCCTCTGTTATTTTGAAGAAATCGCCATGGACATCAGCGAAGTCCAGGGAATTGTTGGCTCAAACATATCGGATTTTCCTACAAGCCAACTTTGAACCTTTAGATATATGTATATTTGAGAGGAGTTGGGATAATTGGAGAAGTTTCGGTTCGGGATAGACCTCGGGAACATGCTGAGGTTGTCCCAGCATACTAGCAAGTTTGAAATAATGGCCCCAGTACTTCAATGGGTAAATATCGAAATCTAGTAAAACAAGCCACTCATTGACCACTAGAAGGCTCTTTAATTTCAAATGTTTCTTTAAAGCAAAGTGCAACATAAGGGTAAATCCCGACAAAGTTTCAAACCCCATCATGAACGGAACATGTGCCCAAGTGGTAAAATCTCATTTCGGATGCGGAATCAACAGCTATTTTTCTTGCTGTGATGCGAATTTCTCTGTAATAACATTCACGATCTTGGACAGACCCTCCATTTCCTCCTCAACGGTCAACCCGAGTCCGTTGGGGTCAATACTGCAGCCAACATAAATTGGCTTGCCTGTTCGCCGCGCAAGGATCTTGGCCACTCTTGTGGTGTATTCAATGCTTGATGGCGCTGTGTAGATAATGGTCGAAATTGTTTGTTTTGAAGATGTGCGCTTTAATGAGTCAGCGAGTGCCTTAAAATAATGGAACCTGGGTGGACCAGGGGTGATATAGTGACATATAAGGGTATCACAGGGATAAAATATAAGTATCCAGTAGATTTAAAAGCTTGAAGCACAAGCAGAGCTGGAAATAAAACGGTAGGAAATGTTGAAAGACAAGAGAGGACATGAAAATACTTCAAATAGGCAAAAATATATCAAAGACTTTCACATGAGACTTACATCCGGCATCGCATAGACAAAGCTTCCCAGTGGCTTATATGAGCCCGCTGAGTCACCGGGCGTAGAAGTTGTCAAGAAGACTGTTGTGCAATTTCCCAAAAAGGTCAAATGGACATGCGCTGTCGTATGCAAAGCTTTAGGCAATGGGAATGAGAGCTCTTGTGGCTGGAGACTGGGCGAGCATAGCTCCGTTTGGGGGACGGCCAATGGGTCTTCAGTTGCCATTATGATGAGTCAGGTGGATATTTCAGAAGTGATGGCGTTGATAGAGTGCTGAACTATGTTTGTGATTTGGAGGTTGCGGCGAGGTTGAAGACATGCGTCCCCGCCATGCGGCAAAACCCAAGCGATCCACCAGTCCCGGTCAACCTTGCCCGCACCGCACAAACCAACGAGATCATACTATCAGTCACCACCAGATCAAGAAGAAACCTGGTCTCTCCTGGGTATCTGCTAAGATGGAACACGAACAATGTACCCATAGCCACGAGAATGCCCATAGCCATGAGGAGGATCAACGTAGCTGGGGAGGTGAATTTGATCCTTTCGCTGACCCCGAGGAACGCCGGGTCCTCTTTGCTGCATTCGACTCGTTCAGGTGAGTGACAATGTAGAGTGGCATTCTTTAGTCCTAGTGTGTAGAAGATGCAGTGAAAATGGAGGCCTCTACTAAGAATGCTACAGGCAATATCGGCGAAATGCTCACCAGAACACGACACATCGCCGGCGACAGGCCTTCTACGCCTTACCTTCAGAGCACTGGCAAATGCTTTCTAAGCCGCCTTTCTCCATTCTAGATCAATTGAACAAGGTTGATGATGCCATCGACACTAATGCTGAGATCGCCGATGCAATCCTGGCCGTCGGTCTCGAGTCCTTTGGCCTTTCTGCCAACCCAGACAAAAATGACCCAACCCAATACTGGCACGGGACTGCGACATCAGCCGACGTGAACAAAGCTCATTCGACCATTCGGCAATTCTATCGGGACTGGAGTGCCGAAGGTCGTATCGAGCGCGAGGTCTGCTACGATCCAGTCCTCAAGGATCTACGCAATGAATTCCAGGTGCGCCGTGACGCTGGCGAGGAGATTCGGGTCTTAGTCCCGGGCGCCGGGCTGGGTCGGTTGGTCTTCGAGGTCTGCATGGCTGGATTTGCCGCGGAAGGCAATGAGATCTCGTACCACCAGTTACTGGCCAGTAGTTGGATTCTCAATCACACTAACGGGCCTCAGGCGCATGCGCTTCATCCTTTCGCGCTACACTTCTCCAATCTCAAGTCTCGTGCGCAGCAATTGCGCTCGGTTATGATTCCAGATGTGCATCCTGGAACGGCAATCGAGGCAGCGGGCGCCAGTGGCAGCACACTTGGGTCGATGTCGATGTCCGCAGCGGACTTTGTGGTTCTATACAGCCAGCTCGATAACCGGGAGGCATTCGATGCGGTGGCAACGGTGTTCTTTATTGACACAGCGCCTAATCTGATTCGGTACATTCAGGCGATGCAAAACTGCCTCAAGGACAATGGACTCTGGATTAATGTGGGGCCATTGTTATGGCATTTCGAGGACGGGCAGCACCGCAAAGATGGTGACGGCGACGCGACGGGAATTGGTGAGCCGGGTAATGTGGAGTTGACAGAGGAAGAGGTGGTTTGTCTTGTTGAACGCATGGGATTCCGTTTCGAGACATTGCCGGGCGATCGGCGGTATTGCGGCTACATCCAGGATGACGATAGCATGCTTCAGAACCTGTACCGGCCTTCGCATTGGGTAGCGCGGAAAGTGGCTGACACTGTCCATTACTGAATCATCATGAGTGTCCAATCTCCAAATTATCTAAAACAAAAGTAAAATCTCCGACTAGTGGCCCCTTTTCAATGAAGTTGGGGGCGGGAACAAAGGGACATGAGAGATCGCTGGTTCAGCACCCGCGTTACCATGGATCGAACAAAGAACGTTAGAACCAGTGTAAATAAATAAAGAACCAGGTTCGAGGTTCGAGGTTCGAGTTTCGAGGATGTAGAGTATTGGAAATGCACCAAGGTTTACAAGCACCTGGGCAATCTGCAGGTTCTAGGTTCCTAGGTTTTTCAGTTTCCAGTGTTACAGTTACCCTAGCTGCAGGTTAATGAGGGGGGGGGCTTATTTGTATTCAGCTTCAAACTCCGTAACATTACCCACTTTGTACATTCTAAGTATATTCTTCGACCCCAATTTCTCCTTCTCAGCCTCAGGTCAATCCTAACCCCCCAATCAAGTCCTTTCATTCTCCCCTAGACAGGAATTTTTTTTCCTACCCGATCCCTTTTACCGGGCTGACAGGCGAAAAGAGTGAGAGAGAGTCGATCCACACCGTCTGTTTTACTCGTATTCCAGGTTCAGCCTTGCACCCCCTCCCCTCCCACCCCCAATCTCTTTTCTTTCTTCCCTTTTATCCACCCCCAACCCCTCAAGCGGCCGCCGCATATGCCCGACCTGATGAGCGCCCGATTCAAGTCGTTCGGCTTTCCCAGACGTAAAGACAAGCACAACTCCACTCCACTCTCCACCCCCAACGCCATCCCCGTTCCCCCCTCCAACGGTACTTCTCCCACCTCACCTCCTTCCAACCGCAGCTCGTCTACCACAAGTCTCCCCCAGGCGATGACCACGGGTCGACCGCCCAGCTACTCGATAAATAACAGCAATCGTCCAACAAGCCCCTTGGCTCCCGGCCAGCAACTTGTCCAACACCCCGCCCCGCTTAACCCTTCCGCGATGAATCAGTACGGTCAACCCATCCCACCACAAATGAATGCGCCTCCCGGATACGGTATGCAACAACCACAGCAGCTGGGTCATGGTGCTCCTGCCGGTCTTCCTCAGCAGTACGCGGGACGAAACCCGGCCGCCGAGGTCCAGGGTGGAGATCGCAATAAGGCCCAGCTCATCGTCGGTATCGACTTTGGTACCACCTTCTCCGGTGTCGCATTCGCCTTTGCAACCAACAATGAAGCTAGGGAGGACATCATCACAGAATGGCCCGGTGCCGGAACCCACACCAAACAGAAGGTGAGCATACTCGGCCATCGATGACAAGGCTCTCTCTAACCTTTGTTCGTCTTTCAGATCCCCACTGTTCTCTACTATGACCAGTACCAAAAGGTAGTTGGCTGGGGTCCAGATATTGCCGAGGCGCTGGCGCCGACCGGATACCCCAAGCCAGGTGTGCAGAAGGTAGAGTGGTTCAAGCTCCAGCTGATGCTGTCTGGAAACACGTACATCGACCCCATCAACCTGCCCCCACTGCCCCCGGGCAAATCCGAGATTGATGTCGCCGCCGATTACCTCTTTAAGTTACGACAGGCAATGCGCGCCCAACTACAAAAGACACTGGGTGAAGTGTTCACCCGTGAGGAGCGCAACATCCGTTACTACCTGACGGTCCCGGCCATCTGGAATGACGCGGGTAAGGCGGCCACTCGTGCCGCCGCCATTCAGGCTGGTTTCCTGCGTGACGAGAATGATAACCGGTTGACCCTGGTCTCAGAACCAGAGGCCGCTGCCCTGTTCTGTGCGAAGACTGGTTTGCTAAACCTTAAGATTGGTGATGCGATCTTGATTGTGGATTGCGGTGGTGGTACCGTTGATTTGATTGCATACGAGGTCGAGGAGGAACAGCCCTTCAGTGTGATGGAATGTACAGCCGGCTCGGGTGACTCTTGTGGTTCAACAGCGCTCAACCGCAACTTCAGCAACATCTTGCGGGCCAAGATTCGGAAGATGAAGCTGCCCGATGGCTCCCGAACGGCTGGCAAGGTCTACGCCAAGTGTATCATGGACTTTGAGAACCGCATCAAGGCCGACTTCCGGAATAATGGACAGAAGTGGGCCGTGGATGTCGGTATCGAGGCGGACTTCCCCGATGCTGGAATCGAAGAGGGTTATATGACCTTCACCAATGAGGAGATCCTACAGTGCTTCGAGCCTGTGGTGAACCGTATCTTAGAGCTGGTCCGGAATCAGATCATTGCTATCCAGGCCCAGAACCGCTTGCTTCAGGTAAGAGAAAGCACATTTTCTTACTTACAACTATTGCAGCATATTGACTTCATTCTTAGAATGTTCTTGTTGTTGGTGGATTCGGTGCTTCCGAGTACCTCTTCCAGCAGATCAAACTTCACGTGCCTCCCCAATACCAGACAAAAGTTGTTCGTCCTATGGATTCGGTAGCCGCTATTGTTAAGGGTGCTGTCACCGCCGGTATCACCGAACGAGTTATCACCCACCGTGTCGCTCGTCGACACTACCTTATGGCCACTCTTCAGCCTTTCAAGGAGGGGTACCACCCCGAGCAATACCGAGTACCCAGTCTGGACGGCCGGGACCGTTGCAAGTACACCCGCCAGATCTTTGTCCAGAAGGGCGAGCGGGTCAAGATTGGAGAGCCTGTCAAAGTCAGCTTCTTCCGTCAAGTGGCTCCTGGTGCCACGCTTATGTACGAGGATGTTCTCTACGCTTGTGATGAAGATGTCTGCCCCGAATACACCAAGGATCCTCGTAAGTTTTCCTCGCTTGTTCACGTCGCTTTACCTATTCGTCTAAACTTACCATCTTCATTATAGGCATCAAGGAGGTTGTCACCCTCACCTCGGATCTGTCGCGCAAGAACCTGGAGACCGACTTTGAGCGCATGGACACCCCACAGGGTATCTTCTACCGGGTCTACTTTGACATTTACCTCACTCTCGATGGCAGTGAATTCAGCGCTGAGCTGGTCTGTCAAAACGAGATTATGGGCCGCTGCCGTGCTAAATTCCGGTAAAGCCGCACCGACACCAAAATATATGACTGAAAACATCGGATGCGAGACATGGGAGTCGTAAATATCATCTCTCCCATGCGAAGAAAAACAGACGAAGGTGGCGGACGACGATTCAATATTACTCTTATTCCGGGACGACCCTTATTCACAATTTACTGGACAGCACTGCACTGGAGAATGGGCGTTGTTTGATTCCTGACGAATCCTTTCCCTCTCTACATACCTGCCACAGCGTGCTTCTTGATCTTTTTTCTGTTCTTTCTGATTGGTGATATCCTCTGGCGGATTGCCTATCATGTTTCATTTGATTTCTTTCTCTGGCCCTCTTAGATACCTCTTTTTATTTTTGATTCGAATGACATTTACGAGCTGTGGTCGACAGATTGGCAGTATCTGGGTAATGTTTTACATTTCAGTCTTCAAAGTCATGTTTAGGAGCTCAAAATCTTGTAAAACCGGTTGTGTTCTACTCTTGGTACATTGATATTTTCGTCCTTCATTTCTATTTAAATAGGACAAGAGAAAAGAAAATCATAGTCATCAGGCCATTAGGTCTCCAGATTGATACTGCGGCCGAATCGGGCATATAGCGAGACCTTAAGCTGTTGCAGCTCCTCGCGGAGTTCACTAATCGAGTCCTCTAACTTGGAAACGTCTGTGTCAATCTGCTCGGTCGATGTGGTGAGCATAGCCTGTGCCTCTTCCAGGGGAAGCTGGAAGAATGAGTCGCCGATTTTGTATCTATAGATGTTAGCAGAGTCCGGTCAATATACATCCCAATTCTGACAGAGATATACAGGGACAAGAATGGAATATCAAATACGTACGGGACAAGTTCATCCTCATCAGCCAGCTCCAGTTCCATAGAAACTTCCTCGAGATCCTCCTTATCCTTCTGTATGATTGTCAGTTCCACCCGTCCATAAATTGAATCTTAGAAAAAATATACCTGCTTGGCCTTCAACTGCTCCTCCAAAACGGTCTCCCGCTGATGCAATCGGCTGAACCGATTGATCTTCTCCTGATCCTCACGACGGACCTCGTTCTCCTCGCTAACAGCGCCCTCGTCATCCCTTGAAAGCTATACGTATCCGGGTCAGTAAGATAAAATCTTGAATCCCTCGTTGACTCGATTCCCTGTTCTTTCCTCGTCTTTCCTTTTCTTCCATGCCAAGGCTTAAGCTCGAGCTCAAGGTGGGATGGAGGGGTAGGTGACAATTTTCCCACCCCACCCCCTATGTTCCGGGTTGGTATGTTATCTGCTTACCATGCGTGGTTGGACCATTGTGGTGTGTGAATTGCCTTTGCAGAGTTGATCTGGGCTGGACTGATGTTGTTTGGTCGTTGGGAGGTTTTGGTTGCGAGATTGGATTTGATGACTGGTCCGTGCGCACGGGGTTTGTGGGCCGCAGCTGGAGCTTCATGACTTTGGTGAATGCGGCTCTACTAGATTGTATCTCTGCTATGGTATACATAAGATGAGAGTATCTATTGGTTGGCTTGAACATTCATTTTAGATTATAGATGGGATGTTGGTGTTGGTGTGGTCTTGGTGCTTTGCTGTTGCCAGTTGACATATTCTATGAGAGGCACAGGCACAGTGCAAAGGAAAACCAATATGATAGCTATCAAAGCTTAAAGTACCATTTCATAGCTTTGGTTTCGAGTCTACTGCTGCTAGGTATGTCCGATATGGTAAAGATAGCCCAGCTCACGAATAATAAAGTACAATACAATGTAGACAATGTCACTGTTCCCGGTCGGGTGACATCATCACAAGCTGGACAAGAAGTTGATTTCAAATCTTCAACTAATGTATTTTACCTGACAAATTGACCCAAGACCAATTTCGAAATCCCAGGCAGATAGATTGTTGGGCAGTTGGGCGGCTCCTTGATGTGCTGCCTATACCTCACCAGCACAGCCAGTAACAAGCCACCTCGGAGAAACGAAACACCTCCGCAAATCCTCAGCCATCGTCATCTTCAACTTGACACGCAAGCTTCACCACCACAACCTCTCAACCAGTCACTCATTTCCGTCCCGACATACTCTGGGACACGGTCCATACTCTCAGAGTCCTTTTAGGAATCAATCTCCCGAGCTCATAAGCTCCGACCCGAATCGCGAATCCACCCCAGCCCCATAGACCGACCGCCGCCATGCGAATACAATCCAGCGGAGCTTCACTCCTTCTCTCGGCACTAGTTCCAAGTCTCGTATCGGGGTATATCTTCGATTGCGCGGACGTCAAGACGAAGGAGCATACATATGATCTCAGCGGACTGCGCGGGACTCATGAGATCGTGCACACGACCGGTAATGGGACGGAGGGTCTCATGACCAATACGACATATGTGCTCAATATCTGCAATAACCTCAAGGGAGCTGCGAATCGCCCTGAGGGTAAATGCGGGACAACCAAGAACAGTACGTGGACCCATCAACCTCTACCTCCGTGATTTGAATGGCGGGCCGGGGACAGCAAGACATTGAGCAAGCTAAACAGCATGGCTGTCATGCGATTCATCCGATTACTGGACTGACTTATCTCCTTAGTTTGCGGTTTCACAAAGACATCCACGGAAGACGGCGGCGGTTCACACTGGGCCTACTCCCTTGCCGGCCTCGACCACCTAGGCGAAGGCGGCAAGGATGTCGAAGCTACGCAACTGAAGGAAATTGACGAGGCACAGGAGGGTGTACGCGTCAAGATGGCCGGGGGTGAATACCGGGAGGAGGCCGACGCGAAGAAGAAACCTGCTGCCGCCGTAATTGATTTCCAGTGTGACCCCGACCGATCTGGACTGGAGGGATTGGCCGTTACGGAGGATGAGGGTGCCGAGAAACGTCGACGAGATGGCGAGGCTGCCAAGGAGCCGAGTCTTACGTTCAAGAGCTTCGGACCCAATGACGATAACACCTATATCTTGAAATTGAATTGGCGGACGAGATATGCGTGTGATAATTATGAGGGTGGAAACTCGGGTTCCGGGGATGGTTCGAAGCACTGGGGTTTCTTTACTTGGTTCATCATCATGTGAGTTTTTCTTCGTCCCTTCTTCGGATTCTGCTCGCTCGCGCAAGATCCAGCTAACAATTTATCTTCCAGCGTCTTCCTCTCCGTTGCTGCCTACCTCATCTTTGGCTCATGGCTCAACTACAACCGTTACGGTGCCCGTGGCTGGGACCTCCTACCTCACGGTGACAACCTCCGTGATATCCCATACATCTTCCAAGACTGGTTCCGCCGCGTGGTGAACACACTACAAGGGAGCGGATCGAGGGGCGGATACAGCGCAGTGTAAGTGCTCTCCTGCACGCCTGATTATGTATTTTGGGAGAATTACCTGTGATTTGCTTTTGATGCGTCTCTTCCATTTGGCCTTGTAGCCGGGACTTTTTGTAGCTTATTTATGGAGCAAGTGTTGGCGCTAGATGTGAGCTCGGATGAATTATAGGATTGGTTTCTACCTCTCCACGTGGTACATGATGGACTTGATCCATAGTTTGAATGAAATGATTTGTATTCTCTTGGGATATGTACGAATTTAAAGTAGGTAGAGATCACCGCTAAGGCCAAAGTCACATGCATCGGGGCCTGTGAGGAATGGCAGGGTAAAAGCTGGAAATTGACAAATCTGATTGTTAGTACGGACAATGATTCCCATTGGCCTTCCATGGTTGCGATGTTCCCCGCAAGCTGGAAAAGTGTTAGTGTCCTCAGTGGCCATGTTATAATCCGGGGATAGCCTCACGGAGAACCCCTGGATAATTACCCCAGACAACAGGTACGAAATAACAATTACTTACCGTTTATGTCGTCCTTCGTTTGCTTAACTTACCCGTAGGTCTATAGTCCATATATCTTACGCCAGGACAATCCCAAGCCAGAAATCAATATTCAATCTCCCTACACACAAAGAACAGAACACGCAAGCCATAAGACCGAGCGCAAAACACTGCAAATACAAAGTCGGTGTAGGACAAAGCATAAATGAAACACAAGCATGCAAGATCATCGCGGCGTCCACCAATCCCAGCACCGTCTCCATAACCGAAGACGGGTGGAGATGGCGTGATTGGAACTAAATCGTTCTCATTATAAGAGTAACAGTAACAGGTGATAAAGCAAGGTTGCTGGGGTTCGTCAATGCGGTTTAAAACATGGGGCCGCCCTGTCTTTCCTCCGTAATTCCCTTTTTTTGGTCTTTTTTTCTTTTTCTTCCTTGCTGTTCCATCGTTCATACTTATATCAATGCCCACTCTTCATACCCATACGGGCGGGTTCAGATGTGAGACCCGTGGACATGAGCACCTGCTCTTCCACTGTCTGTCATTTGTATTTAGACCTTCATGGCGAACTGCTTCAGATACAGGTAGTCGTCGATAGTCTGGTCGACGGTCGTGCGGATAAGAGCAGCGCCTTCTGGACCATACTTCTCCAGCCACTCGGCATCCCACTGCTCCTCAGTCTTAGGAGCACGTTTCTGAGCACACATGTTAGCCCATATCCTCATCGCTAACCACCTCTTTTAGGAAGAACTTACATGAGCTCTAGCAGTCAACCCCTTCGACTCTATAGCATCATTGTGGAATCCACGCCATTTCTCAAAAGCCTCACATGCAAACGCATAGTCTTCCTCCGTCTCCCACGCCAGCATGGAAGGCGAATAAGGAATACCGGTACTACGACAAAAGGCCTCGATAGTCGGCGCTGGGTTATCAAGCATACCATCCGCATCAACAACACAAATCTCATGGACAGTCTCCTTATCCGCCTCGGAGCCAGGCTCGGGCGAGAGATCAGGTCGCATAGCAACACGAGGACCGACAAGACCCTCACGACGCAGATACTCGAAATGACGGCGCAACTCGTTGTACCCCGCTTCCTTGGGGTCGAAGTTGTAGAAGCCAGTCACTGTGTCCAGGGGTGGGATCGTGCACCGGTAGTACGATGGAATACTGTGGTGCGGGTCTCGGATCAGGAATGCCCAGTGGAAACGTTCTTGAATCTCACGCGGCATCACCGTGGGATTACCCGGTTCCTTGGGTGTGTCATATGGGTACGGGCTGTGCTTGCCCGCACCGTCACCATTCACAGCGCCGTTAGTCTCGCTGTGACCGTTGACGTGACCGTTGACACCGTTGGTCACGCCGTTCGCCGTGCCGTTCGAGGTACCATTTGTACCATCGACGGAGGCGTGGCCATTGGTGTGGGTTACACCGTTGGCCTGGTGGGAGTCGTCGTTGGTGCCCACACCGCGCTTGATGCGTCGCAGTGAGGGGGCGATACTCGCAGGCTTGCCACCAGGCGGCAAAAGGTAGGCATCGATATCCTTGATAAAGACTCTCTTTCCCTGTAAGAAGGTAAGTTTCCCATCGAAATCAAGGTGTCACGAGGTGGAGACCGATTTCTCGGTCCTGGTCTTCGGCTCGTCCGTAGAATGCAGGTGCCCTCCATGTCAACCCGTGCATAAGGAGACATGTGTACGTTACAAATTCACAGGGGTAGAAAAAGAAAAAGGAAAAGAAAAAAGGGTTCAGGGTAGGGGAAAGGGTCGGACCTCTGAGCCTTCACGTTCCAGTCTATCCATCACAGTGCGATATGTTGAGTCGCTGAATCCGCTGTCCCGACGACCCTGTTCGTCATCTTCAAAGCGGTCGGCCAGACGCTCTGGACCGTAGTACCAGGCGTCGCCGAACGGCTCATGGACGCACTGAATGGTGGCGCGCTGAGTCATGAAGACCTGTAGACCTAGATTAGCTCTTACTTCATAGTAGAGTGAATATATGACTTTCACATACCCGCTCAAAAGCAGTAGAGCATGCGCGCGGATGCGCAGCCACATAGATAGGTTTGTTCGACATGATAACGAGTTGCTAGTTGCTCGCGTGTGAGGTTTCAGGAAAAGATCAACATATGTTTATTCCTTGAAGTTGATACGATTCTCAGACACAAAGGCTATCGGGAATAGACTCGTGACAGCCCGATAAGCCCCCGATGAGGAACTAATGAGGCACAAATGCAAACACGCTCTGTTTGGATAGAACGCGAAACAGAGTTTAAACTGCCCTAAGCAAAAGGGAGTAGACCCGGGGGCCTTGAGCAAATGCGAGTGCTTGCAGATGAGTTGACACAAGGGTGCGATGGCGCAAGAAAGTAAAGTTGGCAGGTACGCAGCCTTTTTATAAGGCAGCCTTGATTTCTGGGATCCAGTTTTAACCCGAAATGGGAATGTAGTTGGAGAAAAATAAAAAAAAGAATAAACGAGAACTTTGGGAGGGGCAAAATGTCAAAAAAAACCAAGGATTTATGGGTTGAGGGGGGCGATGAGCTATGGATCAGCCTGGAGACTATGGATCTGGACTGAGCTCTCCTGCACGAGTACAACGTATCATGCTTTATACCATTCAGAGCTTCTCCAGGGCTCCTGACAGTATGAGATCTACATCGATGTTGTGCATAGACATCATCTAGACTACACCACGAGAGCTGTACTCTATTCTAAAATTTTAATGCCTCAGTACTTGGAGCGGTTTCAGACGTGGAGTTCAAAGACAGTTAAACTGGGTCCTGAACAAACTACTGTCTCAGTTCGCAAATCAAAGCTGCAACAATGTCCATTCCTCCCTACCCCTCCACAATTGCCCCGCTGCAGGGCAAGCACTTACCTATCCGCTTCTATTATTATTTTTTGCGTATCCGCCATGAGCGATGAGAGCAACGGAGAGGAAAACTCTACTGACCACTTTTCGAACCAATGGGGAGCTTGGTTGTGGGCAGTAGGAGGGATGGATCTCCGTGTCTGGACGCGTCGACTCGGAACCAAGTGTCCACCGCGCGATAAGTTCACGATGTCGGGCTCGATCTAGTTGGCCCGGTGAAAAGGTCCTGGATCTGTTTCCCCTCCCTTTAAAGGCCAATGTCCGAAGAACGGAACAAACAAGTCAATCACCTCACGATTTCCTTTTCTTTTTCTTTGCCTCGGTCACGCTCGGCCGATAAATGGGCCACGAAAACCCTTAGTCGAGGTCTGATCCCGGGTCGTTGAAAGTCAGTCTTAGCCGTTTTGCGGCATGCCCGGCCACCATTGACGTCATGACCCGGGTGATTCTGGGTCGGCTACTAAATGGATCGCGATGGGGCGGTTGGTGAGGAGGGGGACTGGATACCAAAGTAAGTCAGAAAAAACCAGGAGTTTTTCATGTGGGTGGGGTGTGCCCTGAATCTCTTTTCCGTAAACCGGTATTGCGCATCATTGGGATGCGGAGTGTCAGATCAGATCCAATTCTGGACCTTGCACCGTGGTAACCTTATGGAGGACTGTGGACCGGGGGCTTCAGGTGGGCTAGTCCCGCATTTCTATGGCTACAAGAACACGCGCAGCTGAATCCGCCAATTGCGGGTGGCGCAGACTCACTTGTTCAACGTGGGGGGAAGTCTTTGCGTTCTGGCTTGATGACACGGCTGATGACTCAGCTGCTGACTTGGCTTTACACCTGAGGCAATCAAATGGTACCATCGCAACATGCACTACGGCAGTCGATAATGCAGCTCGGGAGGTAACGGTTGCAACTGCAGTCAGCTGTCGCGCATAAAAAGTGGACTGTCGAGGATGAATGCCCATTGTTGGGGTTGTATCCACAAGCCGTTCCCTGAGAGGACTATGATTGCAATCAGATGCAGCCATTCTGAAACATCTTCTATCTAGTGCCTATCATGTAAGGTAGCTTCCTGCTCTCTTTTACCATTCCTCTCTTTCTCCAGCTTCATGTCAGTGCGTCCACGCACTTAGACCAGTTTCCTTTATCGCCTTAATTACGTCGTGCATGTCATTATTCTATCTTGACGATGATTTATATATCAACATGTAGCCTAAAAGTGCGTGGTAGGACCGCCAGGAGCACGAAAATCGAGAGATAACATATTATATGATGCTTAATGGCGATATGTAATTGAGATCTCAAACACCAAATGGCGTGTCATACCATAGCAGCCTCTCGGCCTCTAGCTCCTCCTCATATCTATCTTCTGCGAACGCTTCACGCATGACGTGTTGAATTCCCTGGAATCGTTCTGCGCCATACATAAGCTTCGTATACTCCCAGTACTCAGGATAAAAGCCAGCGCATTCCCAGTCCACATTTCCAGACAGGCGTCCGCGATCAATAAGATTATTGCTAGGATGCAGGTCTGCATGCGTGAAAAAAGATTGGTATGGACGGGTATGGACGGCTGAAGTCTTGTCCTTGGTCTCATTGCGCACGTAGGAGTGAACGAGGAAGGCATTGAAATCGGAAATCAGGTGGAACGGACCACATGTGCCGGAGGGAAATCGATGATTAGTGGGCCGCCATGACTATTGCCGAAGACATACGGGGTTCGGTTTGGAATGCACCGCAGCTGCGACAAAACACCCTTCAAATCTTTCGACAGCTCCTCGCGCTCCGAGTATGAGAGTCGGTGAAAGACCGCCTCCGGCGTTTGTCCGGGCACGGCCGTCATAATGAGAACGGGGTGCGTTTCCTGGTAATCATCCACCCAGAGAGGTGCGGGGATTGATGTTATTTGTTCTACTAGCCGCAAGGTCTCAGCTTCGTTACGACGAGAGCATATGCATTCTTTCCCATACAGTCCGAACGGCAGCTGGTGCACGAGCCCGGTGAAGTACCGCGGGTATAAGTGACTGCCTAATTTCAGGAGCACACTGTAGCATTGGACACGTATTAAATTGGGTGCAAAATGCCAAAGAGAGCGTAATGCTTTTTCTGTCCTTGCACGCAAGTGGACTATTTAAAGTGACCAGATCAGCCTCAAAGTCTCATACGAAGGGGATCAGTGTGACATACATAGAGGGGGCGAGGGCCAGCCCTCAAGCACTTGTTCTTCAACATGAAATAGATGCAGGGAGGCTGCAAGGCGGCAGTGTGTTCGGAATAAGAACGGATCTGGAAGAGGTAGCCGTCTTGGGTCTCCATGATGAACATCTGCGTTGTCTGGTCCCATGGGCTGCCATCGCTGAGGAAAAGCGATCCACAAGGTTCGGGCTCGCGTCTGGAGACGAAATAATAGTGCCAAGTCAGTCAGGAGCACTTATAGCGTAAGCCAAGAAATCCAGAGGTACAGACATAAACCTTTCTCGCCGTTTTGATTTTGGTCTCGGTGTTATCATTCCACTGATCGCCAGTATATGTAGGGGGGAAGACTTCGATGTGCCCATTTCGAAAAGCTGCATGAATGCTAGGAGAGAGTAAGAATAAATTTCTCGGTAGAGATCCCAACCTATCAGTTTGTAGAATGGTCTGAAGCTCGAATGTTTTGGCAGGGGTTAAGAAGGCTTGCAGAAGGGCATAAAGAGGGCCCTAGTAGTAGAATAAACGTAATATGGGTTAGATTTCAATTCTTATTCAACATAGAGATGCATAATGAAAATCCACCTGCGGGTCCATGTCACTGTCATCGAAAAGGCTCGGTGGGACCACCCAGGCATGATCGAAACGAATGGATATGCTGGGATCCAATGTCTTCTGATCCAGCATAAAGCAGTGTGAACTGTCCCGAGCTTCGACCAGATCTCGTGCTTTGGACGGGACTCGGTCTCGCTTGGCCACTGATTTTGTGGTTAGCGGAGCACACTCCGTTTCGACTGACACTTAGTGACAACTCGCTTCCAGTCGAGTTTTAAATCTTGCAAGGCTCGCTCCGGAGGACGGCCGGAACGGTCGTGGGCCTTTTCCCAGACGTACTGAGCAGCAAATTCTGGATTGACAGCCCAATCTAGAAAGGCTCTCCACATCGAGTGCTCCACTGGTGTGAGCCGAGTGGATTCAATTCACTGGATAGTCGCGTCATACCTTCTAACTGGTGGCTTCATTCATAGTGATGAGCGAAGAGTGTGCCGAGACCATAATGTCTAATATCTTCCTGTCTGCCTTGTCCTTTCATTGCCTCTGGACGTATCAACAACAGGGATGGGGTTTAACGAGCAAATGGGTCTGGGAAATCGTCACGTGCAATACCACACCTAATCAGATTCGCTGGCAGAATCTCTTGGGCAAGCTTGCTTCCTCGGCAAAACCTTGATGACTAGCGTCTTTTTTTCTTGAAGATTAGATTGGAAATGATAGATGAATGCTGTCACTCCAGCTGCCGTGTCGCTGCCGTTGTATGACAACAGCCACCTTCGGAAGCGGTAGCGAATAAGCTAATAGCTCCCCGGAACTCGGTTGGCTCTGGGCGGCCCGTTCCCGTCGGTAAGTAGCTGGCGGCTCGTAACACACTATTCTTGAACAAAACATTTCAGGGTGACAATTAGGTCAATGGCCAATCGTCACAACTTATGAAGGCGCAATACTCTTTCTGGCTGATCTAGAACCTCCTGGAACCGCCTTTTCCAATAAGGAACGCCGAAGATCAGATTAGACCCGGGCAATGGTTTATTCAGCTGGCGCTATATGTTCAAGGAAGCGTCATGAACATTGATAGTCAGGCGGCTGAGCCAGACATGCATATATATATAACGGGTCGCATTGTACTTGCGCTCAATCTCTCTATCGTTACATTTTTACCATGGATGTCCTTCGAATAGGTAATATACTACCTAAGTTGATTGATCTTCTTAAGAAACTACTCACCCAGCCAACTTACCATCCATTAGATACGGAGTGGTAGAGGCGAAATATACCTGTCGTCATAATCTCGTAGTACTGTAGCCACCTTAAAGGTAGGCCGCTACATAGCCCGTCATCTCACTTCGTTAGATGACGGACTATGCCTTGTTGTAGGCCTGGTATGCCCCCTCAGGACTTTCCAAAGATGGGCAAGATTGCGGGCACGCCATAATTGATGAGTCTGGTAATCATTGCTGGAGCATAGCTCGATGATTGTCGGGCCTGTTGCAATTTGGAGTGAATCACGCATTCCGCGGATGACCGCTCTACGATGCCAAAAGGAGCTTGAATCGGACGGGACCTTCCCCCTTTCTTGCCGCGATGCATCGGTCGGGGATGTATCCAGGGCCCAGATTGCGACTTAACAGAAAGAAAGCATCTATCTATTGACTCCATGTGCTTAATGTATGAAGAGGCAGTATATGATGTGACGCCAACGGATCTGTTGGCATCTTTCTGCCAAGACGGAGTAATCTCCACAGACTGTTGGAGCCGACATGGGCTGGAATCCCATACTGCTAGTTCTTACCTACGAAATATATTTGCGGACAATGATTTGGCCATCCATCAGGCTTTTTAGCCCCAGTCCACGAGAGTCTCACCTTCGCCTTCTAATGTGCCGACCTGCGTTCGCTAGTTTTATTTTTCTCATTCCCGCTTTGTCTTCCATTTCTCTGAATATCGATAATTATCTATTGCTTATTGTTACTCACATCATTGTGTTTTGTGCTAAACTATGCCGATAGAAATGTCTTCATCACGGGCCTGCTTCCTCGGTGTTTTTTTGACATGTTTGGTCAGCTGCCATGCTACCACTCATTCTCTTGGCTCAAATTATCGAATTGATGTTCACTCCCATGCAATCCCAAACATTTGGACGCAAGCGATGATTTCAGAAGGGTTCCCTGTTAAGAACGGCACTCTATATAATGATGGCGCCCCAGTCCCTGAATGGTCTTTAGAGTCGCACATTAGCGCCATGGATAGTCTTGGTGTTAATTATTCAACAATTAGCATCACTGCCCCCGGCGTATCATTCATCAAAGAGGCCGAGAAGGCCAAGTTCTTAGCACGGCGAATCAACCTCCTGCTTCATGAATACACTCAAAATTACCCGGCTCGCCTCGGAGCACTCTGTCTTCTACCTCTTCCTTTTGTCAACGAAGCAGTAGAGGAGCTAAATGTGAGTTATACTATGCAAAACACCTCAATCAGACCTAAGGAATTATTAGTTCTGCCTAGAGACTCTCAAATTCGTTGGTGTAGGCCTATACACCAATGCTCATGGCATATACCTGGGTGACTCGGCTCTTGAACCCGTTTTCGCAGCTTTGAATGCAAGAAATGCCAGCGTCTTTGTCCATCCAGCTTCTCCAACCTGCGCTTCCGTCGCTCTGGGCCATCCTATTCCGATGACCGAATATCCCTTTGACACTGTGCGCGCAATGGAGAATTTACTGCTAACAGGCCAGCGTGCCCGTTATCCGGATCTGAAGATTATCTTCTCTCACGGTGGGGGCGCAATACCCTATCTAGCCAGCCGTATTGCAGGCGTCGCATCCCTCTCTTACGCGGGTGGAGTAGCGTTTACTGAAACCATGGCACAGCTTGCTGGGTACTATTTTGATCTCGCTAGCGCGACATCTGTTATCCAGCTAACGGCGCTCAAAAGTTTTGTTGGCGCTGAGCATCTTGTGACTGGAATTGATTGTAGGTGCCTAATGCGAATACCTAATTTTGTTATGCATACTTACGCGGACAGATCCATATGTTCCCCTCGCGCAGGCAGAGCCGGGATTAGTCGGAATTCAGGGGAATGGAAATTTTACCAACGAAGAAATGGGCCTCATCAAATACCAAAACGCTTTGGCGATATTTCCACGGATTTCGGATGCCTTGAAAGTTTAAAAGGGGTGATTTTAGTCTTGTCATATTTTCCCTATCCACATGTGGAAAGACGTGCATGTTGCCAATCTGTTTGAAAAACATATAGGCATCGGTGAGCTCGGCCGCGAAGACGAATGGTATGCATCTTCGTGGACATCATGGCGTCGCTGGTTTAATCCAGTGATATATTCTCAAAAGACGGCTGTTGTATATCCTCCTTTTCGAAATTCGTCAAGCATTTCTCGAACACACCGCGTCATCTCATCTCGATAGACTTGTTCTCGAATAATCAATGGATTTCCCGCATCCTTCGACCTCTCCATATAAGCGCTATCATCTAGTACCGGGCGCCCATGCCGCAAGAAGTGCATACCCAGATAGTACAATGAGAGACTGTTTGTGATAATGGGACCTCCTGTTGTCGGTTCATAATGACGCTGGGAATGCTCTCTGAGCTCCTCCCACGACGCGTACCACGTGTGCAATGCTTTCTCAAGGACGGAAATATCCACAGGCAGTATTGATGTTTGAGCTTCTAACAATAGTGAATGCACTGCCATGATCAACAGATTCATGCCGAACTCGGTTATATTTGACTGCGAGGGAGCCTGTCCAGCCATCAAGCCCTTTACGGAGGACAAAAAACAGCTGGTCGGATCTTGTGCAGGAAGTGCGGCCCATAACGAGGCAGAACATGCGTTCCAGCTGGAGTCATCACAAGGAAAAGAGGCTCGCGTGTCTGTAGGCAAGAGCAGTGGCTTACTGCCGCATAAGATAGATTGATAGCAGTCCACTGAGAAGACACCCCAAAGAACTCTCTTCCGCGACTCATTGTGGATCCATGATTCCCATGCATGTGCATTTCGTGTAGCCTTGGTGCATTCCCCGTGAACCTTTAGAAATCCTGCCTGTCGTATTGTTGCGACAAGCAGTGGGTGAAGCAGTCGCGATGCAGCACGTTCAGCACTTCCCTCGTTAACCATACTCGCAAATTGGAATAGGACTAGCGCTTGAAGCTCTTCAAGTTTTGGTGGTATTCTATCGCTATGAAGGCAGCACTTGGCCAACATGGAAGGGAGAGATGAGTAAAAAGCCTTGGCATCTGATTTTGATGTTGGGTCGCTGTCAAGCCCAGCACCGATGATAAGGATTGATCGAATGAGCGTCGAAGTGGATGATGCCAGACAAAAGGTGGGGATATGCAGTATAGGGAAGAAAGAATGGAAATGGTCAAAAAAGAGCCTTGCATATTTCTCAAGTCGATACACTGGGATACCTTTCGAGTTTCCTAGTTCCAACGTAAAGTCGGCAGGAAGTCGAAAGTTGTCTGGACACAGGAATCCTGCACGCATTGCTGTGTCTGGGGTGACCACTCCATACGTTGGCGTGCCGATGTCGTTCTGAGAAACCGTAGGGTTCCCCATGATCGACGGGAAGTCGTGTGGATTCCAGGTAAATGAGCTCAGGTAAACCGAGTTTTCAAGCTCAGCCAATTGGGCTAGAAAATCATCGTCATCGGGTGAGGATCCCTCAAATAATGACAGGTCGATGGGTGATTCATTAAAGCTAGCCAGGTCCGCAACCTGATAAGGCCCATCTTCACTCCCGGTTTGTGGCGATGGAATGGAACTGATGCCCCTGGACCTTCGCGCGCGTTTCTTGCGCTCAGCGCGTACACAGGACAAACCCTTTTGCCGACATCGTGTACAAGTTTGATCGGCAATTTTGAGATCGCATCGGAGTTTGGAATCGGCGCAGGCAGTGCAACATTTGTTCATTTTCCCGATTTTCCGAGTACGGGATTTTCAGGAGATAGCGAGGTGGGTTTCGCTGCTGGTGAAGAGGGGAATTAATACGAGATTCTTTCTAGCTTTCCGCCCCAATACCTTGCAGTCATCACAGCCAACCGCTTTGTCATCTCCCTATCAGCAAAAAGGAGGTTTGATGAAGGCTTGCGGGGTTTTGTGATATTCCCGAAGTCCCGAACCACGAAATATCGAAATTCCGAAGTCCCGATCATCGAGAGTCGGAGCATCTCCACGATTATATATTGAATCAGAATGCCTCACCAACTCTGCTTTCTATCACTCCAGAACAGCTCAGACGTGGCCACAGGTTTCAAAAGCATTGTTTAAATAATTATCAATCGAAATCACCATGTCTGAAGTCAAGCCCACCGAGTCGACGTCTACTTCGACAACTCAAACATGGTTCGATCGCTTATGTTTTTTTCAGAGACGTGAAGACCCAAAATCTCACACTTCATGGCAAAAATATAGCATCGTTGCAATCATAACCTTATCAGCCTTCACCGCGCCTTTTGCGTCCTGCATTCTCTTCCCATCATTTACCACTCTCGTCGTGGACTTTGACACCACCGAGACCAAAGTCGCCCTGACAACTACCGTTTTCCTGCTAGGCTTGGCAGTTGCACCTTTGTGGTGGAGTACATTGAGTCAGGAATATGGTCGCCGACCGGTGCTGGTTTTCAGCTTCCTCATATCTACCGTTGCCGTGATCGTCTGCGCGGTAGCTAATTCACTGCCCTTAATCATAGTGTTCCGTATGATTGAAGCAGTTGGCTGTTCATCGGCACAGAGTGTTGGAGCAGGCGTTATCAGCGACATATTCGTTCCAACTGAGCGTGGCTCAGCTCTGGGGTGGTTTTATCTTGGAACACTCATTGGTCCGTTGGTTGCCCCCATTATTGGAGGTGCAATTCAAATATGGCTTGGTTGGCGAGCCAACCTCTACTTCATGGCAATTTTTACATTCAGTGCCTCGATGCTTACCATGATGTGCCTCCCGGAGACATCGGTGAAGTCCGCTGAGAGCCAAGAAAAGATCCGATGGTACCAGACAATCCAGCGTGATGCTCTGGCTCCTCTGCCCAAGCTGAATTTCCTATTGGTGCCTTCGATTGCTTTGACAATTGCCTACGTCAGCATTTGCTTCGCCAGCCTGTACTGCTTCAACACGACACTACCCTATGCATACTCGGCGCCCCCTTATAATTTCTCTGCGATCGAAGTCGGTCTCTGTTATCTCAGCAATTGCCTCGGATATGCCATCGGCAGCATTTTCGGAGGCAAGCTGAGTGATGCTAAGCTGCGCCAGTACCAGCTCACACATGATGGAGTGATCCATCCGGCCGAAAGAATTAAGACCGTATGGTACGGTGTTGGATTTGTTCCGGCGGGTCTAGTCATCTACGGCTGGTTGGTTGAGAAACAAGTGTTCTGGCTCGCCCCTCTCGTTGGCGCGTTCTTGTTTGGACTAGGGCTCATGCTTGTTACCTCGACAGTCATGCCTTTTCTTGTGGATATCAGACCAGGAGTGGGCGCTTCGGTGGTGGCTGATCTGAATCTAGTCCGCAATATACTCGCGGCCATTGGCACCGTTCTATCTCCAATTGCAGCAGACAGTATCGGATTCGGGTGGTGGATGACAATTTTGGCAATCATCTGCTCATTGTCGGTTGGTTTAATAGTAGTCGTTACGTGGAGAGAAGTTGCTGAGAGGAAGGTGCCAGCTTCGGAAAATGTGGTTTGAATCTTTCAAGGTACTAGTGCATAATCCTTCTACGACTTAGATGTGTGTTTGTCTCCTGTATAGTGTATAGGGCCTGCATAATAATGAGATATTTTATTTCTGCATGATGCATTTCTCAAGGTTTGACGTGTGCTTTACCTAAAATGGCGTATTGAATCGGTACCATCTAGAACGAGCTTTTACATGAAGGCAAACTTAAGAATAAGAACCTGATCACGGAGATCACACTATGCCAAAGCAAAGAGCCTAGGAGTGCTGGCTACTAATGATCACCCTAAGTTGGGCAGAATTATTAGGCAGCGGGAAGTATAAAGTGCATACTAGGAATAGAGATGATTAGAATGTTTCTTAGTCTCTTATCCTTGATATAGATCCTAAATATAGCTCGACAAGGTGCTACTAACTAGTACTACCCAATCAGTGTTAAGAAAGAGGGTATGGACTAGGTGAGGTCAAAGGCAGCACATGTTTGAACGTAGAATAGATGAAGTATAAAGCGTAGTACTTTCATTATTATGGTCTAGTAGCGTGATTTATAATATATATGTAGATAATTCATAGAGCTAACTTTTATAGCGACTTTCCTATACTCTCATCTTCCTCTCTGATCTCTTATGTGAATTATACTTTATCTATTAAGATATGATGGTTATTTAGGTAAGATCAAAGATTTTATATACAATTTAAATATAGATTTAAAAGAGAGTAACCCTTAAGGAATTAAAAACTCTTTGGATAAGGCTTCGTCTTGACACACAAGGTTACAAACGTGCGACAAATGCAGCGTTCAATCCCTTGAGAACCTCCGCGGCAGCTCTCTCACCACTTCTAATAGCGCCCTCCATATAACCTTTCCATTCTCCAGCAGTCTCAGTGCCAGCGAAATGCACGTTGCGCCAGCTCTCGCGAAGCGCATCAGGACCTAATGTATCGAGAACACCAGGGGCGAGTGCAGTTGAAGGACAACCCCAGCCTGCCCACTCATCCTGTACCCACTCGTACGATACCAACTGGACGAAGCTTGCTTCAAGATCATTCACTCCAAACAATTGCTCGAGCTGTTTCAGCAGGGCCTGTTCACGATCCCTGGTCGGTAGCTTCGACCAGGCAAGGCCATGGTCACTAGCCATAAAGCACGTCAACACATGCTTATTGTCTGCGGGGCTAGATGTGTCTCGAACGACACTAGCAGGGCCGACAAAGGACTGAGCAAGACCACAGAAGCCACTCTTTACCCAGAAAGGGTTGTCGAATACCACCATGGCCTTTGTGTAGTATCCATAGCTGGTTGAATCTAGCCATGCCTCTTTGACTGGTGGTAGCTTGGGATAGAATGAGATGTTCTTTAAGGCCGGAGTGGGCACCGTGGTAATCAGTTTACTAGCAGAATACACAGTTCCTTTTGTTGAGACCTTAACAGACGGCCCCTCTTGAACCACTGAGTCAACAGGTGACAACAGTTGAACGGTACCAGGTGGTAATGTGTCGTTAAGATGTACTGCAAATACTTGAGTACCCTTGCGAATTCTTAGATGCTGGCCACCACCTTTGCGATCAGATCGCATCTGTAGAAGACCACCCCCAGATTTGCAGTAGTTCAAGAAGTAGAGAGCAGAGATATCGCGAGGCTCCTGACCAAGCATCGCCCGTGTCCATACAGTGGCCGTAGCAAGTGCAACTTCACTGGCATCGCGGGAACGCAGGTACGCTTCAAAGGTAAGGGAGTCAAGGCTAGGACCAACCGGTCGCCATGCGTCGAGAGCTTGACAGTCTGCCTCGCACATGTCACGAATACTGGCTAGGTGAGTCCGGGTCTTTTCATCGAACTGGCCATTTATATATCAGTTTATAGCCCGACGGATTGAAATAGCGAGATAACTTACGGGAGGTAGATCACCATATGCGAACGGTGAGCATTTACCATCAAAGTCTTGAAGGACGGCATTTCCATCGGTATTTTGTTCGATAAGCTCCACTCCAAAACGCTTAACCAGCTTAGTGATGTGACTCTGGTTGGTATCATTAATCCAGGCAGCACCGAGATCAACAGTTCCCTTGTCATCAAGTGGGGTACTCCAGGTCTTGCCTCCAACACGATCGCGAGCTTCCAGAACAATGCATGAAACTCCAACTCGAATCAGTTCATGTGCTGCAGTAAGACCAGCCAGTCCAGCACCAATGATAACGACATCAACAGACTGAGATGCTTGCGGAAGAGAAGGAGGAAGAGCCGGTTCTGGGACGGCAACAACGGCATCGATCTCAACAAGCCATGATGCAATAGCAAGTTGTTGGACCGGTATCAAAGTAATTGCAGGGCGATGGCCACCAAGGAACTTCTGGACATGACGTGTATGCCTGCGGTTGGCAGCGTCATAGTTGACAATCAAAATAGTCAACTTGACAATATCCTTGATCGAAGCACCTGCTGCGATAATAACCTTTCGAAGGTTCAGAAGTGTGAGATGAAGTTGGGATTCGTAGTCAGGTGGTGCTACACCATCCTTCGTGGTTCCAACCTGACCCGAGATATGAAGCAAATTGCTGCTCTTGCTAACAGCCCCAGGGGCGTGGTATGCACTGACTGTGTTGGAGAGATCCACGGTCTTCACATTAGGTGCCATGTTGAAGGAGTGTCTTGTATCGAAAGCTCAGACAAGATCCTGAAGAAAAAACCAAAGAACCGGGGGCGGGGTATTTAATAGTAGCTTTCTGAATATTTTATCCTACTTTCGGCATTCAAAATGTCGGCTTCTAAGGTGCGAGAAATTGAGAGGCTAGAGTAAGCCCCGTGGCGCGATAAGATAACCTTTGAAGCTCCATAGGAGTGACATTACTAGCCCTTTCTTGCGGTATGTAGCTGCATGTTCTTTCGCAATAACTTTCCATCAGACATCAATCGTTCCGTAGGTCTAAAACGTATCCCTGCAAATGCACATGTGGGGGTCCCGCATCTGTAGATACGGGTGAGGCCGCGCCGTGATAGGATTCGGGAACAATTATAACGGCAAGTCACTGCGGTAGTGGATACCATCGCTTGGTCTTGCCTAGGGGCCCGCTTGCCGCCACTTCAAAACATTTGAACGCGATCGTCATAATCGTTTCCTTGGGTGCGAAACCCTGTTCAAATGTGATCATTGATTGAGAATCAGAAAATGACTGAGCATTTGAAGGGATCCAACGTCGTCGTTCCAGATGTCTCCACTTGACGCTGATAAATATCAAGGTCTGTCCATTCCGGATTCGAATGTACGAGGAAGATACCTAGAAATTACGATTCTTCCACCTCAGTAGTATCATTCATCACAATGGCAGTCCAACGCTCCTTGAAGAACCCAAACCTTTGGATTCACAAAAATTTGATCAATGGAAACTGGGTGGACGCTGAATCAAAGAAATCATTCCCAGTTCAAGGTATATAATTTTTTTTCCAAAGTTCTGAAAGAAATCCTTCGACTAACTCAAGTGCTTCCTGGCACTGACAGACCCAGCGACGGATGAGCTACTGGGCCATGTCCCGGAATCTAGTACTGAAGATGTCAACAAAGCCATCGCAGCAGCAGTGGGGGCGATGCCTCAATGGCGGAATCTCACAGGACGTGAGCGATCACAGGTCCTGCGACGCTGGTATGAATTGGTCAAGGAGAATGCCGATGACTTAGCAAAGTTGATCAGCTGGGAAAACGGGAAAGCCCAGTCGGACGCTGCGGGTGAAGTTATCTTTGCAGCAAGCTTTCTGGAATGGTTCTCCGAGGAAGCAGCGAGAGTTTACGGCGACGTGATCCCCCATAGTGCACGCAATTTCCGTGTGACTGTTGTGAAAGAGCCCGTTGGTGTTTGTGGACTGATTACCCCGTATGTCTGCCATATACAAGCATCCAACACACGTACCAGAACCTAACTTATGACTCATGAATAGGTGGAACTTTCCTGGTGCTATGATCGCCCGAAAGCTGGGACCAGCCCTAGCTGCCGGTTGCTCGGCGGTGATCAAACCCGCAGGAGAAACTCCATTTACTGCGAATGCTCTAGCCTGGCTGGCGGAGAAGGCAGGCGTGCCTAAAGGTGTAATAAATATCGTGCATGCAGTAGAGAACACACCTCTGATCGGCCAGATAATGTGCTCATCTACCGCGATTCGAAAAATTTCGTTCACTGGGTCTACGAGAGTCGGTCGCATCCTGATGAAACAGTCAAGCGACACCATCAAGAAGCTCAGTCTGGAGCTAGGAGGCAACGCTCCCGTTATCGTGTTCGATGATGCCGATCTCAATATCGCCGTTCAAGGGGTCATTGCTTCTAAGTTCAAGGTCACTGGCCAGACTTGTGTATGTGCGAACAGGATTTTCGTGCACGAATCTGTATACGATGAGTTTATCCGTCGTCTCAGTGTTGCTGTTCGTGCATTCAAAGTAGGAAATGCTACAAACTCCGACGTTACACATGGTCCTTTGATCAACGCAACAGCTGCATCTCGAGTCGCAGACATTGTTGAAGATGCAGTGAATCGGGGAGCAAAGGTCATCGTCGGGGGTAAAAAGATTCCTTCTCTCGGTATCTATTCCTCAAACCTTGACTTTTCCCAAATTCTAATGTGAATGATCTAGGATCTGCCTTCTATGAGCCAACCATATTGACTAATATCTCCAATGACATGCGAATCGTCAAAGAAGAGATCTTTGGACCAGTGGCAGCCCTCCAATGTTTCACTTCGGAAGAGGAAGTTATAGAACTTGCGAATGACTGCGAGGTTGGTCTCGCTTCATATGTGTTTACCGAAAACCTGAACCGGGTCGCTCGTGTATCCGAGACTTTGCACTCCGGAATGGTTGCTGTGAACACAGGTGTTATTTCTGTTGCATCCGCACCGTATGTTATTATTCTTAGAGGAATCTCAAACCACTTTCTGGTGCTAACACTTTTTAGGTTCGGTGGCGTGAAACAGTCTGGAATTGGTCGTGAGGGTAGCAAATATGGTATGGAAGATTATCTGGTGACGAAGACGGTTGTGACAGGAAATATTAACGTAACCCATCGGGCGTCTATTTGAAAGTGAGGATGATTTGTCGCATCAAGCGTCACTGTTAATGTCCATGATGTCTATAGCTGGTCGAATATCTCGTTTGATAGAAAGGAATTCATTATGTTGTGAATATTACTCTGTCCAAATTCATTGAAAGGCAAGCGATGCAATCCATAGACCGTAGGGAGGGTCTTGTAATTCTTTAGGGTAGGGGGCAGTCATCCACTTGTCCTGCACAACGTTAAGTTATAGTCATATCATCGTCGAGTTGGAATCTAATATTTTGAGTCTGATCTTCGATAAAACTTCAGTCTGAATATTATTTTAGGCATGTTTCAGGTCACTACACCTGGCAATCCACTTCCCTTAGCCGTAACTTTGAACACGATGGAATTTAATATCAATTAAGTCTACCTATACTACTCGATTGGCGAAACGGCAGGTAGTTGGGAACAGAATTATTTGCCACCTCAGAACCACTTATCACCTTGGGGTTTTATCCCGAGGCTACCGAGTCTCAACTATCATCGGCCCATGTCTTGCAAGAGACATGGGAGAAGGAAGATCGGAGATCCCACCAAGCCAGGTCAAAGCGATCTCGGAACTGTCTCCACATATTCCATTTATTGATGTATGCAAATCCTTTAAATCAATGCCAAGACCTTCCATTCATAACCCGTCCCTTGTCTCATATGGGTGGTGACTACGGCAGTTCACGGCGACGCTTGTTACTGTGGGTCTAATCTACTACAAACGCCTTCGAAATGTCTATCGCTTCTGATCTGAGCTTAGCTCAGGACCTCGACTTTATATCTCTGCCATGATCTATATTTGCGTTCAATTCAAGTCATTTTACGCACAGAGGTCTGGGTATCGCTATCCTAGTTGACCTGGTAAAATGGGAATCTCTGACAATGCGCACCCTTCTGGGAGCCACGAGGCCAATGACCCCATCACCTTGCAAGAGATGCAGGTAATCGCTCGAGACAAACTTCCGAAGCATATATATGATTTTTTTGCATCGGGCTCTGACAATGAAAGAGCCCTTTTGCGAAATGAACAAGCTTTTGACAGGTACGAAATCAATACCCACCGTTACGCTGAGCAGGGATCTAATAGTTAATAGACTGTATATTAGACCTCGAGTCATGGTAGATGTATCCGACATTGATACCTCTACCAAGATTCTGGGGCACCGTACATCTCTGCCGATCGGGATTGCGCCGAGTGCCATGCAAAGACTTGCTGGTGGCGATGGTGAACTCGATGTCGCGAAGGCTGCAGTCAAGATGGGATTGAATCTCACTTTATCATCGCAGTCCACTACGTCACTGGAAGATGTGGCACAGACTCGACAAGTCGAAGGCATTGATGAGTCTGCTTTACCTCCTTTTTGGATGCAGCTTTATCTGCCTGAGGATCCCGAGAGAAGCATAGATCTGATTCGTCGAGCGGAAGGTAAAATTATCATGATTCTTGTTTGAAATGCCTGATTGCTAATCTTAGACTGGAGTAGCTGCCAGATATCAAGCTTTGGTACTTACTGTGGATACCCCAGTTTTGGGAAATCGCCTAAATGAACGCAAAACGGCCGTGGTGTTACCAAAAGGCATGGGACTACCTAATATACGAAAAGGACCGCCAAATGAAGAGGGGCAAGCTAGTATTAATCGGCGACTGATGGATTCAAGGTCTGCGGCAGAAGCAAGGAATTTACGAAGAATAGCAGGCACAACAATGCACAGTTCTGGCTTGACTTGGGAGAAGACTATCAAGTTTCTTCGCTCGGTCACGAAAATGAAAATTATCCTGAAAGGGATTATGACAGCCGAGGATGCTTCACTAGCGGTCAAGTATGGGGTTGATGGGATTATTGTCTCAAATCATGGTGGTCGTCAATTGAATTCTGCCAGTTCAACCATTGAGGCTTTACCGGAAATTGCTGCTGCTGTGAAAAACTCAATTCCTATCATTCTTGATGGAGGAGTTCGAACTGGTGAATCTGTCTTCAAGGCACTTGCTCTTGGAGCGGACTTGATTTTGGTTGGTCGACCAGCACTCTGGGCGTTGGCGTACAAAGGTCAGGAAGGGGTGGAGGACATGATGAATATTTTGGAACGAGAGCTGAATCGCACGATGGCTCTAGCTGGAGTGACAAAGATTTCGGAAATAACAAGGGACAGGTTGACAGTTGTATCCACGGATGGGTTCGGGCTTTCTAAACTTTAAGACTGGATCGGAGAATGATCAGAGTTGAGACCTTCAGACAAATGTATTATCATATAGGTTGAATAGATCCCTTTGAAGTCTGTATATAGTGCAAAGTTTAATTCATAAAACCACAATTGTATTACCCGAGTATTCTTGCAAAAAAGACTTCTTAGCTTGACGCTTTTCACACTAAAAAGCACGTACTAGATGGAGTAGTCACTTTGACGCTAATACGCTCTTTTTGTGGATACTTCGGACAGGTTTGTCATCAGGTAAACGACCTTGAACAGATTAAAAAGTGAAAATTGGATAAACCCTGAAACCTTACATCATTGTCCCGTTGCTGAGCGACCGGGTGGGATCCAAGCAATAGGTGGCAAGAAGTAACTGGGAGGATCCACCGATACACCGTCGCTTTCGCTTACCAACGGTAACCGTTGGCGATAGCGGCCTCCATATCTCTCTCTTTCTCAACCCTTTTATCTCACCAAGGCCCCTCAATGGCTCCCTTTGTATCAGGCTACGTTTAAGTACTTGGCTACCTTTGAGTTTCGACAAACATGAAGATTCGAATTTTAAAAAGCTACATACCTTTAGTGTCAGATAAGATATATATCAGATGAATGATGTCTCCATCAACACGTATACACTGTACAGCACTAAATATAAGAATGAATTCTATGGGACACATCGTATTTTGCCGAGACTTTTGGTCCTAGTATGGCGAGTATGGAAGGATTGAAGTTTGAAAAACAAGATCTGTCTCCTGTATTACATATTTCTTTACTTCAAACTGTTCAAATAGATGCAACAAGCTCAATTTCCACCTCAGCATTCAGAGGCAGCGCGGCGACGGCAACACACGTGCGACACTGGCATAGTAGGTACGTTAGTAGGAAATATTTTCCGGGTGGGATTTGAATGGGGATCACTTACCGGCATTGTACCTTGCGAGAAAACTCGGCCATACCCTTCATTGACCTTTGCGTAATGATCCATACTGGATAGGAAGACCGTGACCTTGACAACCTTGCTCAGATCGCTACCACCGGATTTTAGGATATTTTCAAGGTTCCGCAGTGCTTGTACCTTATCACAACTTCAGTTTAGACTCCAATGCAAGGAAGATACTGGCCAACAGATACAAGGCTTACCGTTCTATCAGAAACATCCCCATCAACGAACTTCCCAGTTTTGGGATTTAGTCCCAGGCTACCGGAGCAATATATCATCCCGTTGCATACAATGCCCTGTGACATGAGTGGACTTGGGGCAGGAGCATTCTGGCTCAAAATTGGGGTTTTCGTAGAAGTCATTTTTGACTGGTTCTGATTTTTAACGTTCTAAAGTTGGCTTCACAATCGTCGTGGTCAATCTGAAGTTTTAAACTGGCTTTAAGGAGGCATTAATTTCTATCATGCTTGGCATTTATATGGGATATGATATGCATTAGGAGCTAATCTGTGGATTCCTTTCACAATTGGTTCCTCCTTTATACATAATGAAGAATAGTAGATATTGAGAGCGAAGGGCAATAATTGGCGAAGCATAATCTAAGCTCTGGATATGATTGTATCATAAAATCTGGGGTGGCAAATGATTGATTCGCTTGCAACTTCCTGTCGCTCAGCCCTGCCAGATTTCCGAAAATTCGAGTATGTAAATTTGAAAAGCTAGCCATTTCTCCACCTTAGCCCTAAAAGAGGCAAGGTCTCATATCAGGAAGTCTGAATGTCAATCAGCCTTAGACCTACCCCCAGATTTCCCCGCGTTTACATGTGAAATAGCATTTTCGCCAATTGTGGGTATTCAGAACAAAAAAGTACTCATGGCAGATATTTCATCTCCATGGATTTAAAACATTGCAGCTGTTGAGTATAAATGAAGCAAGAAAAAGATCTCGGTTTCGCATTGCATACAAGTAGCCACCTGTCTTGGATGCCAGTGGGTATTGCGCTAGAGATAGCCCTATCTACGGAATTTATATAAAACCCAGAAGATAAGAGCTTCGGAAAGGGTTCGAGACAAGATAAGATCATGAACTCACTTCATTGGATGAATGGTTGTCATGGTATGGCTCTGACACCGATGACGACCAAACCCGTATAATGCTAACTTACATAGCCCCGCCTGCTAACAGCTTAGCCATAAAAGGGGCTTCCGCAGCCCCCTTCCTATTCCCTGTATCTACGGCTTTCTATTTTGCCTATTGAATATCTTTATTTAAATCAAATCGGAAATGTTGAAAGAAAAGGCCGAACTTGATCTTGAGGCGATACCACCTTCGGAATCGGCCCATGAACAAGTGATAGCTGAAAAGCCCATTGAACACGACGCTGTCTTTGGTACGATCACGGAAGATGGACCCAACTATAGAAATGTGCATATTTCCTATCCTCTCTGAATGAGCCTGGTTGACGTGGTTGATTTAGGTCGGTTGGAAAGGCACTACAGCCCTCCTGTTGAAGACCCAGATAGGTCTAGGTGTCCTTTCAATGCCCGATATCTTTAGTTCACTGGGTCTTATTCCAGGCCTTGTTCTGATCCTGGTGATTGCCGGTATAACGACATGGGCTGACTGGATGGTAGGCGTCTTCAAACGACGCCACCCTCATATCTACGGTGTCGATGACGTTGGCCGAATGCTTTTTGGCAGAATTGGCTTTGAAGTCTTTGGTGCATGTTTCTGTATTTGTTGGTGTCCCTTTACAAAGAACATGCTTTGGTCGCCGCTAATCCATACTAGTTTGTATTTTTGTAGGTGGCTCTGCTATTCTGAGCATCTCGATTGCACTCAACGCTCTTTCATCCCACGCGATTTGTACCGCCATCTTTGTCGCCGTCGCAGCAATTGTCGCCTCCATTTTTGCCAGTATTCAGACACTCGGACGTATTAGCTGGCTGGCTTGGGTTGGAACGAGCTGCATAGTTGTATCTGGTACGATAAATACATCTAGTCACAGTCCCCTCGACCTTCTCTAACGATGAACAGTTTTTGTGTTGACGATTGGGGTGGGAGTCCAGGGTCACCCGCCTGTTACTGCGGCCACTGGAGGAATGGTCGTTAAATCAGATTGGAAATTTTTCGGAAACCCGAGCTTTGCAAATGCCATTTCAGCCGTCTCGACATTGATTTTTGCTTATGCAGGTACACCAGCGTTTTTCAACGTTGCTGCAGAGATGCGGGATCCCCGGGATTTCACCAAATCCGTCCTTGTGTGCCAGGCCTCCATCACTGTTATCTACATCGTTATAGGTACGGTGGTTTATTATTACTGCGGATCATATGTTGCCTCTCCTGCCCTTGGGTCAGCCGGCGAGGTCATCAAGAAGATATCATATGGTATCGCATTTCCGGGGCTGGTTGTTTCTGCAGTCTTGTATCTTCATGTAAGTCAAAGGCTTCCACGTGGATGTTACAAATACTGAACCTTCACAGCTGCCCGCAAAACACATATTTGTCCGTCTACTGCGTGACTCCAGGCACCTAGCCTCGAACACAATCATTCACTGGGTTACATGGCTGGGCTCTACTATCACGGTAACAGTGGTTGCGTACGTGATTGCCAGTGCAATCCCTGTTTTCGGTAGTCTTGTTTCTCTGATTGGTGCTCTATTGGGAACATTTCTCACTTTCCAAGTAATGGGATGCACGTGGCTATATGTCAATTGGCAGGCCAGTCCAGAGGAGCGTACTTTCAAATGGAAAGCTGGAGTTGCATGGAGCGGTTTTGTCATCGTTGGGGGATGCTTCTTAATGATAGCTGGTACATACGGTTCAGTGGTGGACATCATCGACTCTTATAAGGAGTCTGGGGGGTCAGCAGCCTGGTCGTGCGCGGACAACTCTACGTAACAGCCATGGCGTCCCTGAATTTAGCTGGAGGCGTAACTTCAATAGCAAGACAATTGAATTTTGTATACGAACAAGTTTACCCTGAATCTTCCATCACTGCCGCTACTCTTACATAGCTTTTGTTGTGAGATATCTACAAGCCACACGTTTCTTCTGTCGGCGAACAGCAGATAGATCAAATAGTGTGCACCAATTCATAATATTTACTACGTCTAGACTTGCCAAGTGACGCCGATAGTTCACCATGACTGAAATTTTGAAGCCTTCGACTCGGACTTTTGTGCCTCCATGACTATATTGGAGCATGATGTGAGATTGCTGATAGCCAATATAGGACCACATACATCTCGCTCATGAAAAGCATATTTTGTTCCCATCCATGAATAGTCATAGTGAGACTATGATCGGTGCGTTTTCAAGATTAAATACCTTGGAATTATCCACCTACGTGCACTGGCATCGCCCATAGAGAATGTCTGGAATTGATTTGTGTATTGCTGCAATCTATGTACTTTGCGTGGTTTTGCAGCTCATTTCGGTACGAATCTTTGCAGTAATTCTTGTGATATATTAATCCCTGTGTTCAATAGAAATCGGCTTGTGAACGTTTCAAAATAGTTGACTATTGACTAGGAAAATATGGCTCATTTAGACACCCGTCTTTAATTGGCCGTTCGACATTTCAATCTCGTACTCAAAATCCGCTTGGAATTCGTAATAGAGGGTTTCCTTTTCGTATTCCAAGTAAGGATCTTAGCTTCACTTGAATAGCATATTGAGGACTTACTGGGTCTGCGTTTACTTTCGCAGTATATTCGGCTTCCTTGTCGCCAATAAACTTCTTGGGCAGTCCAGCTGCCTCCACCAGCAATTGTACCTCGCAGGTCCTCTCCAAAGAGGTAAATAGGTAGGCTGCCTCGTCTACAGTACCACCTGCAGTAAGAAGGCCGTGGTTTTGTAAAATGGCGACGCGACCATCATCACCCAACGTCTCCGCGAGCCGCTCTCCCTCTTCGGCCTCAAGGACAACCCCACCGAAAGACTTGTACACCCTTTGAATATTGACGAAGGTGCAGCTATCTTGATTGATAATATCCACGGGCTTTCCGAAAGTGGACCATGCCTTTCCACTCACGGAATGGGCATGGCATGCTGCATTGATGTCAGGACGTGATTTATGGATGGCACTGTGGATCATAAAGCCAGCAGCGTTGACCGCGACTTTATTGCCACCAATAACCTGGCCTTTTTCATTGACATGCACCATGTCACTGGCCTTGAGCAAGCCGAAATGCTTTCCAAGGCTGAGTTCAGTCAATAATCGAATCTGGTAAGATGAAGTGCAGTGCTATCAAGATGGGAAGCGGAAGGAACGGACTTACGGATTAATCCAGAACGTGGAAGGATCCACCGGGTCACGAACACTGATATGACCGGCTGTACCTTCAGTAAAGCCTTTGCGTGAGAAGACCCTGAACGCGCCAGCCATATGCTCTAGCTGCCATTGTCGCTTTTTGTAGGGATCATCGAATTTGGGGATGCCGGGGACTTCGTAACCTCCAGTACCACATGCACTGAGGCCACTTGGTGAGTCGCTTGCTTCATGATGAGTACTCGCAATGCAGACTGTTTCGGTGGTGGTCGTTGCAGTGGCACTCATTTTGCAATCTATTTCGAGGGAAATGTTTGGGTGAAACTATGTTCTTTTGTCAACTCTAATCTTTTAGACGAAATTCCTCATTCCAATGCGGGGTTTATATGGCTGTCAGGCTACGTTGACCATGAAATGGGTTCAATTTCAAGTTTCTCCGAATATCAACCAGTCGAATCAATGTGGTGTGATAACTTCCATCATTGAATTTGTAAAATATGCGAACCCCACGTTCGCAGAGTGGATCTGGCAATAGGGAGCGCTGTTCTAGCGTCCAATCGCTGTCAGTTGACGTCGCCACCTGGCCCGTCCGCCACAACCTTCCATGCTCCCACATATCGCAGAGAATTGCGCTGATTAACGAAATGAGTACCCTTCTCGTATTCAGAGATCTTCCGGTTCCTATTCACGCTTGCATCGCGGGGTGGGATGCACAGTGATCCACACAGCGAGCCACACAGCAACCTGACCTTGTTTTGAAACGGGCCGACAAGTCCCAATAAACATTGTGTAATGGGATTCCCAAGCAGTTGCTCTCAAACTTGGCCAAGCACTTATGCTCTTCGGTTGTATGTTGGCAAGCCTGAGACAGCGATTCATTGGTTTTCGAGTCTATTATAAGTTCAAAAATTTGAGAATCACCGGTAAACGCTAAATCAAGAGGTAATTTGGGGGAAATGTTACGAAACGAACTTGTATTATGAGTGTTTATCACAAAATTCCTCTTGATAAACTCCTGGCAGTCCCGGATAAATGGTTTCTCCAACCTATGTCGGTTCGGGATCACGCCGAACATCGCTCATGACTTCCCTCATAAAAGTGGACCCAGGATCAAATAATGAGATAAGGCTATTCCGTAACAGCGACCGCATTATAACGCAGTAGATCCCACGGGGACTTTAAATGCTGCAAGGAATACCCTGATATCTTCAAAAAGGGAGTATTTGTACAAGGATTCCAATAATCCAATTCCTATCTCCCCGCAAATCATCGGACAGTCAAAATTAAAGATGTCGAATCGTGGGAAAGGCCTGGACCCAGAGGTCTTTTGCATAGCAGACCTGGAGGAAAAAGGGTCTGCAAATTTGCCCAAGGCGTATAGAGATTATTACAACGATGGCGCCATGGATATGTTAACGTACAGTCTTCCTTGCATATGCTCACTTGAATCGGATTGAGAAAACTTGAATACTGACTGCTAGTAGTCTTCGGGACAACCAAAATGCCTTCGATAGATATAAAATTCGCCCAAGAGTGTTACGCAACGTCTCTAAGGTTGATCCATCGACTACCATTTGTGACACCAAGGTGTCTTTTCCATTCGGTTTCTCTCCCGCAGCGATGCATAAAATCGCGCATCCAGACGGCGAGGTAGGAACCTCGAGAGCTGCAGCCGCAATCGGGGTTCCTATGGGCCTGTCAGCCTATGCTACCGATCCCTTAGAAGCTGTGATAGAAGCGGGACGAGGGAACCCGTATTTTATGCAGGTCAACTTTTTGATGGACAAAAGTATCATGATTGATATTTTGACCCGGGCAGAAAGTAAAATTCCTCATAGTCCCACCTGGAAGTACGTGAACTAATGATATATATGTGACAGGATCCGGATACAAGGCCATTCTGCTCACGGTCGATGCCCCCATCTACGGGATTCGCCACAATGAAGGTCGAAATAACTTTTGCCCACCTGAAGGAATCCAATATCCGAATATGGCACCCGGGAAAGAGTTGAGGTTTGATGTGGAAGAGGAATACTCTCTTGATTACGGTAATTTACAACGAGCTGAATAATTAAAGCTTGACTAATGATAATTCGCAGATCCGAGCTTGACCTGGAAAGAGGCCGTTGACTTCCTGCGAAAACACACGAAATTGGATATCTGGATTAAAGGAGGTATGGATCTCACGGGTCTGTGAAATTATCCCTTCAACTACTAAGATTTTCCCCAATAGTTTACACCCCGGAGGACGTCTCGTTGGCAATTTCTCACGGACTAGAGGGAGTGGTGATATCTAATCACGGCGGTCGCCAATTAGACAGTGTACCTGCTACGCTAGACGCATTGAGAGAATGCGCCCCGGTAGCGAAGGGTAAGATTGCAATTGCAATTGACGGGGGTATTCGACGGGGGAGCGACATTTTCAAGGCAATCGCACTTGGAGCGGATTTCTGCTTTGCTGGACGAATTCCTATCTGGGGCCTTGCGGTAAGTGTCATATCCATCGCTTCAAGCTATGTTCTTTAGGACTGATTCAATCCGTTCATCCAGTACAACGGTACAGCCGGGGTAGAGCTCTCACTCAAGATTTTATACAAGGAATTCAAGCAAGTCATGGGGCTCGCAGGGTGTGTATCTCTTTTCCCTGAAGTCGGGCAGCTCAATACTGATATAAAGAGCAGGTGCACAAATGTTGGTGAGATCAATCGCAGCCACTTATCCGTGCTTGACTGCAAAGGAAGATTGTCCAAGATATGAGGAGAGGAGCACTAGTGAAATGCATTTCCAGTTCCATCCGTCATATCTCATCGATCCATAGTTATACTCGAGTAACGATGCCCTTCGCGCCCTTTCATTTAGGTATGCTGGTAGTTATATCCCTTTTACAGATGGACAAAGCCTGTTGAGACGAAACGATTATCAACATCCTATGACCCTCACTACATGTTCAAGTCAACCAGATAGCATAATGATGGTAAGTTTCTGCCACTGAGAAAGGTTGCTATATTTTTAACACCTGCTACTGAACCTGAGGGTGATCATGCTGTGTTTATCTAAGGCATGTGTGTTCGCCGGACATCATGATATGAGGAAGCATGAACTCACATGAAATAATTTTGTGTTGAGTGAATACCTAACTCAGCATTAATATGGACTTATTCCGTTCAACCTCCATCCGCCATTGGCTTGTTAATTTACATCCCATCTCAGGGCCATTCTTCCAAACTTGCGTCAAGATACTGATTCCAGTCCTCACGGCCGCTATTCCATAATGCTCTACCTGTTCATACCACACCCTGAAGCGAGATTGGAAGCGATCTTCAAATGCTTCGCTTGCTGCTATAAAGGCAGGCCAGTAAAGAGGGCCTGCGAAACAATCCGACTCTAACTTTATGGTTTCGATAACCTCTATGCAGTCGAGTACACATTCGATATGTGTCTTCAAATAGCGATAACTGACAAGGCGAATGTGTTGGGCAAAGTAGATAATCAACGCATTATGGAAGGCACGGGCAGTGTGGCGGATTATCATTGAACTAGGACTTGTATCGTCGAGGAGATGTCTGTCCAATTCCATGTCCAATGGCCATTCAATGATCTCACTTTCGAGTCTATCGCATTCAGCAACGAGATCAACTGGGATCATTGTCGATCTGTGATTTTCTCGAGCCTCTGTGAGTGTTAAGATCAAATTGGTCGTTTTCTCAAGCAGAACGAGCAAATGATGTGGGACACCATAGATACACTCATAACTCAGCCGAATACAAGATTCTGGAGACTGAAATGGTGGTTTATGGGAGCCCGGACTGACTTGATCAGTTGGGACCGTTTCAGAAAATTCGGGAATCATCAAGCTTGTAGGAGAGGGCGGAGATGGTGAGTCTTTGCCCCTCCTTGTGACGGTACTCTCGTAGATGGTCCGTAGGTAGAAATATATCCGATGAAGTGACCTAGCCTTGGAGGAGTAATTTACTTTCCAATTCCTTGCACATTTCATAAAATGGAAGGCACCGTCCAAATGAACACCGCAAGTACTTGTATCACCCGACATCACCTTGAGGCCAATTAGTCACTTTTAACCATAAGGGGTTGCGGTGGGAAGAACGACTTACATTGATGGAGATCATGGACAACATTGTGGCCAAGTAATCCTTATACTTTGGCGAGGACTCGGACTGAAAGCCACGTTCAACGGAGTCTTTGAGAAGCTTGAAGGTCTTACCACGGAAAATCATCGCCTCATTGGCCCATCTGTTCGCTTCATCATGATTGCCACGCGATGTGCTGTCATTCGATAAAGTAAAGGCACTAATACTAAGGAGCGCATTTCGCAGCGCATGTTGTATATGTGACGTTGAACCTTCAATATTCATTTCACCCGTACTCTGCAGGGTCCGTGTTAAGTGAATTCTTTGCCAGGGACTTTTCATGTTGTCAATAATGCAGAATAGACGCACGACGCGACGCATATAATGATGGAGCAAGAATTGTTCTAGTGGCGGAAGGTAGGTTGGGGAGGGGTTCGACATAATAGTGCCGTTAGGCTCTCGCCAGCGAAAATATCGGGAGTCAACATGCAAGAAACCCCTTTGGCTAGAGATATCTTCATCAATGTCACAGGATGTTTGAGAGACTTTCGGCTTATTCGGAGTCAGTTCTTGTATCGCAGGTGAAATGAGACTATTGTCCTGAAAAGCTACCTCCTCGTCACTTGGATACCAAAGTGGAACGAGATGATCCGATGAAAGATCTGAAACAAAGGTAAAAGAAGTCTCGGGCGGACTTGGATCAACTGGCAATCCAAGTGGCTCGCTGGGAGGGGATGCAATCTCAGGGAAGCCAGTATGATGAAAGAGCTCTTGGTCTGTAGTAAGTCCATCATTTTTGAGCGAATGAAGAGTAGAAAGGCAGGCATCAAAGACGCCAAAGTTATGAATGAGTGTTTCTTGGCGTTCGGGAGTGTTTGCATCAATGGTCGGATCAATTTCGTCAATAGAGGCCAATATGTGATCTATCTGATTATCGTTCAGCGCGCGACGGCGTAGTTCTAGGATGATCAGCATACAATACTGCTTAACGCTCCAGAGAATTATGCATCAATTTACATATTAGGGCGAATGGACTCACCAAAGGGAATTCGGCTTCTTTGTGATCGGACGGAAGGCGGGTCTCGGGTATCTTGATGCGATGTGGCACTTCCTTGCTCCGGGGGTAGCCAATGGAGTCGGAGGCCATAGCCCCCGCATTCAAGTTTTTTTGAGAGGCATTGCATACAGACCGGACGCCCTTCATCACATTTGACCTTTCTAGCACGACATGTCCAGCATCCTGTGAAGGTTTTGCTATGCTTGCGGGGCTTGGAGCCGCCCGACGTTGGGATCATCACCGTATCCCAGCAGAAGGAGGCAGATCCCTTCGACTGATTTTTCGAACTCAGCTACGGCTTTGAGCAACCAAGAAGGTGAAAAAACTGCAAATATGACCAACTCAAAAATAGCTAAGAATAACTGAAGAGGACCATTGAGGATGTGGCAACATGAGTGGATTATCACGTGGATCCAACGATTAGCGCGACCCAACAGTCAACCCTCTCAGGCTGAACCCGGGGTAACTTGAACGATATACAGTATATAGTTGAATAACCATTGGCCAGCAGTGGAGTGGGTTATGGGGTCTATTATGGAGTCATCTGACTACCCCGCGTGTAGAAGGTTGCCGACTAGAATATGTATACCAGCACTACCAGTTAACAATTGACGATATTCAGAAACCCAGAACTTCTCGCAAACAATTGCAGACATGGGTGGGTTTACAGCTGGGCTGATATTGGTCAATATCATACGCCAGTTGAATTTATTGATTCAACTGTTCATTAATAAAACAATATCGAAATTTAGGTAAGAAGTTAAGGCAGGGAGATAAGGGAGATACGATTTTGCCCGCATACTGTAGGAATTGAGCAGCGTTGTCAATCCGATGTGTATGACCACGCTTATCTCAATTCATTGGATCAATCACTATTCATATGTGTACTTGAGACAAAGCGAGGTCGAGCGAATTGAATTTCTTCTTATCCGCGGGGTACTCTCTATGATTACCCGAGCCTGCGGATTTGGTCGCTTACTCCTGCCGTTCCGCCTTAGCTCCACAGTAGTGAGTTTCTGCTCACTCATACCTACTCTCCACTTGGGCAATGCTCGCCGTCAGTTTCCGATAAAACATCCAACATGACGCAAGTCGAGTGATCACAAGGGGTTCAACAGCATCGATCTTTGCATTCCAATCTCCCGTTAGAGGCATATGCAATACGTTGTACATGCCCTGGGTGTTAATCAGCGAGAATGAGACTATTCAAGTGGGGCCCACTGGCCAATCAAACGCACAGAGTGAAGTGACCCGGCCCAGTGGTCCCAAGATATCTACTAACTACCGTCTCTGAAGACTCCACCAACCTCGAATTAATGTTATAAAAGAGGCCTGGATCTCCGTCTAGTCTGGTGGATGTCAAAACCCTTGCACATATTCTCTCTAGTTGTTTTCAATTCGGCGATCCATAACCCATTCAAGATGGCCAAAACCAGGATTCTAGTCGTTGGCACTGGCGGAATCGGCACAATGGCCGCATATGCTTTGGAGCAAGGTGGCTTGGCTGAAGTCACTGCAGTTATGCGTTCAAATCACGACGCTGCCGTGGCAAATGGAATCGACATTGACTCTGTTCAATGGGGCCAAATCAAGGCATGGAAACCATCATTTAGTATGTGGAGAAAAAGATGAACGTATCTTATTTATCACGATGCTGATTCTTTTGAATAGTTACTCGAACGGTTCCGGATGTTTCTAAAGGCGAAGCTGAGCCCTTCGACTATATTCTTGTAACGACCAAAAATATTCCAGATGTGCCTCCCACTGTGGCAGATATCATCTCCCCAGCTGTGACACCAGGGCAAACAGCTATTGTCCTGTCGCAAAATGGCATCAATATCGAGAAACCTCTTATGGCCCGTTTCCCGAAAAATCCACTTATTAGCAGTGTTGCTTATACGGGCGCAACGGAGACTGCCCTTGCTAAAATCTACAACGACGATCCTGATTGTCAGAAGATTGGTGCCTTTGTGAACCCAGAGGTTCCAATCGAGGTAGCTGAAGAGGCAGCTAAGTTTTATGTTGACATCTACAACCCGCATGGCAAACTTGATGTTATCTATGAGCCTGACGTCCCAAAGGTCCGATGGCGTAAGATTGCATACAATGGCTCAATGAACCCCATTGCCTCTATTCTCCAGATGGACACGCCGCGGATGCGAATGAGCCAGCACATCATTGACGACTTAATCTTACCTATGATGATGGAAATTCAGGCCATTGCTGCGGCTGATGGGGTGATTCTTCAGTCTGATCTCGTCGATGCAGTTATGCACCAAGATCCGAATGACACAGCGTTTAAGCCAAGTATGTGCCAGGACTATGAGAAAGGGAACTTGATGGAGATTGAAAATCTTGTTGGGGAGCCGCTGCGCGAAGCAGAGAGACTTAATGTCCCGGCGCCTACATTGAAGATCATATATGGTATCATGAAAGGATTGCAACTAAAGACCAAAGAGGCAAAGGGCCTTTGGGAGCCAAAGTTCCATCCTAGAAACCCATATACTTAAACCTACACTGCTGGCTATCTGTTTGAAAAGATGATGATTCAAAAATTCAAGTTGATCCATACATATCTCCGTCTTTCCGCTGAAGCTCATTTGCCCCTCCTTCTTGTCCACGGGTGTTCACATTTTTTAAATTTTCAGCTTTGATAATGATTGGACAGTTCACTTTGTAAGAAAGCGATCTGCAGTCCAATCTTTTTTGTAACAATCTCTCCTCCTTTATGTCACATAGTACATAAGGAAAGACTTTCGGAAGCTCAAGGCCCAGTTCCAGTGGCATGAAGCATCTTCCACATTGAATACGATTTCTATATCTATCTCAGAAGATGTTCAAATTAATTGTTGTCATGCTGTCTCTATTAAGAGATGTGTGGACTAACACAGACTCCCGATAAGGCAATGATATCAAGATGGAGATGTCTGCATATTTAGCATAGAGTATCGAATTTCGCGGTACAAAATAGTGTATTATTATTTCTTATGTTGGTGCCCAAGATAATTAAGATCAACCCATCTTGGAGCCTTTTATACCAACAGATAGAATTGGACTATTAGTACACGGGGCCCGTACTGGAGCTCAAATGCGAATTTTCTCTAGCAGCTGGCGCTGCTGGGAACGTTCTTGCACTTGCTGCTAGTCTTACCGCCCGAGACACTGACACCGCTCCAAGTCCAGTCGGAGCAGGCACCGGAAGCGCACAGAACGTAGATATCGGTAGCGCTGCTGTCAACGGTTCCCTTGACGTTGGTCAGGGTGAGACCAGTGATGGGAACACCGCTGGTGGGAGTACCGGTGGGGCTGCCGTTCTTGTAGTCCTGCTCAACGACAATACCGTAGTCAGAGATGCCAGAAAGAGTGATGTCCTTGTAGGTGATGTCCTTAACGGAGCCAGTGGCACCATAGACGGTCTTGACACGAACGCCTTTGACAAGAACACATTAGCTAGGCCCAAAAGGTTCTGGTGGTTTTGTTTGCACATACCGTTCGCGGAGTCCTTGATGCTACAGTTCTCGATGGTGACGTTCTCAACAACGTTGTCAGAACGTCCACCGACAGAGCCGATGGAGATTCCGTGTCCACCGGTGCAAGAAGCGCCAGTGAAGGAGATGTCCTGGATTTTATAGTATTAGTAAGAGGCAAATTTCTCAAAGGTTCATAAAAGTGCTTACCGAGCCAGAGTTGATAGCCAAGCAGTCATCCTGGTTGTGGACAATGGGGTTGGTGATATAGACGCCGGTACTGTCGCCAATGTCGAAGGCATCAGTGTTGTGGCCACCGTTGTCATCGCCATCAGAGTTGTTCACAGTGATGCCACTCATAGTGAGCTCACTAGCACCGTTGATGCTGAAGACCTGGACGGGGGAGTTCTTGATGTAGATGTCCTCAATCTTGGAGTTGATCATCTTGTGGGCGTAGAAAAACTTGGGCTTGGTCTTGCCGCCGTTAGTTCCCTTTCCATCCCACCAGCGGGAACCATCGCCGTTGAGGATAGCACCAGAGGATCCCTTGACAGTGATGTCAGTTCCGGAAACTGAGACCAGAGGACCAGACCACTCCTTGTAACCGAATGTGGTCTCGCCTTCAAAGATAACCTGTATGATTGATTAGTGGTGATTCGAATGTTGGCCCCGGTCGGGTCGGGCTTCTTACAGTAGTTCCCTTGTTCAAACCAGTGAGATCAAGGGTAGTTCCGGCAGGAACAGCCACGGAGGAAAGAACAATGGTCGAGCAAGAAGTCTTAGACTTGATGGCGGAGGCAGCACCTTTGGAGCCAGAGAAAGTACAAGTGGAAGAGCGCTGCTCAATTTCAGATGCACGAGTAGGAGCCGGAGCGGCGTTGACGGCAGCAGCGCCGAGCAGGCCGACCAGGCCGAGCTTAAGACCGAGAATCATGTTGTAAAGAATGAATGGTAAATATTACAAAAACGAAAGTAAACGAAAGTGAAAGAACGTGGTTGATGATCCTTCAAACAGACAAAACCGCGGTCCTTTTATACCCACAGGTGTCGTTACGCAGTTCTCAACGACCTAGTTCAAGGAGCAATTAATCTGCACGAGGACCCTAGCGGATGCAGGCAACAGCTATTCTGTCCAATGATATATTCGGCTTCGTGAGCAATATCGGCATTTATGGACTCCATTCCACTTGTGGAGCATAGGAAGCTCATAGTAACCTTAAACTGGCCCCTGCAGAGAGGTAATGGCATCATGCAGCACCGTCATTGGTGGGAAAAAATCCATTCAGGCGGTGTAAATTTTCTAGAACACACATTGATTTACAAGACTAGCCCTGCTTCTAGTTTAAATAGATGGCGGTTTCGAACAAAGACATCTAGGGTCCTAAGTGGGTACTTAATAAGGAAGTGCGGGCCACCTGCTCATTGCTCATGAACACGTTATTCAAAGGTCCAGGTTTTGAGCGAGCACTACAGCTTTTGGATTCTCGGGGAAAAAACAATGAAGAGCTCCGTATCCCCCGGGCTTCATAGGCCTAGCAATCATATCCATTGACAGACGAGCTTCGTGTGAGCCTGGAGTTGGACGGCAATCTGGATGAACTTGGTCCGGCACCTGGGAACACTGGGAACACCCGCGCTGCCGGAGGCTAACCCTAGATAGGAAAACTCCGAAACCTGGCTGGTCAATAGATTAAGGAACCAGTTCAAATGCCGGATAAACATCGGAAAATCTCTTTCCACTACCTAGCTCGGTACTGGAGGTTAATATATGTTATTTTCTTGGCAATTTTGCTCATTGTGATGTGAGACAAAGTCTGACAGACTGTGGCTCTCCTTATGCCCCCGTACTAGGCAAGCAAAAAGGTCAATTTGTTTATAAGCTAAATCTGAAGATGGAGAATATTCAGGTAGATGAATATGTTCCCCGATCTCCTGGAAGGGGGTCATTATGGACCATGGTAGCAAGCGGCGGTAGCCCGACTAGAGACGGGGCCTATCGAATACAACTTATCAACCATTTCAGACTATTCACGTGCTCAGCCTGTGAGGACTATTTGTGAAGGCCCAATAGTGAAAGTAAAAGTGTCCTTGGAATCAGTGTCAAACGCCACCTCATCCCTGATAGTCACCAACGCGATGTCAAAATCGTACGCTATCCGAGAAATCACGCCTGGAAGTTGCCTGAGTGTAAGCTGCTTTCCGACATATTCATATCGACCTGAAGTCCCGTTTAACATATCAATGTGTGTCTAGGTGATGAATGAGATATATTTACCTAATTGGGAAGAAAGTTTCCTCGTGCTTGATCAAGCTACTTTTCTCGTCGAGCCACCACTCAGGAATGAACTCCGAGCTGAAGAGGGAATAGCGCATGTCGCGCTGGAGGACGCACTGCGGTAGTACGACTATTGTTTCACCTGGGATCCAGACCTTATCAACCTGCAATCTGTCGGGTGGAGTTACCCTTGGATGGCCACTAGGGACGGAGGGCTTGAGGCGAAGGGTCTCGTTGATGACAGCTTCTAGGTAGGGGAGACTCGAAGCTTCTCATTAGTGAATTGGGGGAACCAGGGGCTGCTTTCGAAGAGTCCATCAAGTTCCTTTTGCAGACTTCTGTATACATAGACTTTTTTTGGTGAGGTAGTACAGCGCGTGGGCCATGTTTATACCCGTGGTGTCACTGAAGTAATGTTAGGTCTCTTGTGCGTAGAGCTGCGAGGGAAAATGGCGGCAGACCTTCCGTCGATAATCATAAGACGGCCGTCTTTGTTGAGCGCTTGATTGTCTGGTGGAGCACTTGGATCCTTCTCCTCGGTGGCTTTCAGTAGTCAAGAGATAACGTCCTTCGGACTCCGGCCGTGAGCTTGGCCGATTTCGAGGGCCCATTTCTGTGATCGCACGTTAGCACGTCACACGTACCCAGAAAGCCATCTCAGCAATGAATAGGTCTTGCTCAAGAAATACCCGAACAGCTGGTCCAATGCCCCAATTCATTGACATTCAATATGACTCTTCTTCGCTAAGAGCAGCTTCTGTTCGCAGACGATATTTCGTCTAATTGGATGCAATTCGCCGTCAAGACGGAATCTGCTCTTCTACCTCCGACTCACAAATCAGACAATCTTCATCTATGGTGTCTATGCGACAATTGTGCTCAATGTTCTCATCTCAATCTCCCTGTTGCTGCTTTAATGTCTCCAATGCAAGCTCTTGGCAGCCTTCTGGAGCAGTGCGGCAAACTCAGACGCCAAATACCTATCAACATCAGTGACCTACTACGTTCCCATCACACTAGTGAGTTCCTGATATAGAGCAAAAAGAAGAAATTAGCAAATGAGGATGCAGCTAACGTGTGCAATGCTAGTCTATCTTAGTTGAATTTGCCATCCTCATTTTCCCCATCCGCCGCCCCCTTTGGAAAATTCAAGCAAGCGTTACCCGCCGACTAGGCATCATCGCCACCATCACCGTCGGCGGCATCGCGGTCATAACCTTCTACCTACGCACTATCATCCTTCACGAGTTCACAGCGAACCTGGAATTCACTTGATGTTCGGCAGAATGGTCATTATCTCCGCCTTCGAACTGAACATCGTCGTCATGACCGCAAGCGTGCCATCTATCAATGCCATCTGGCCCAAGCACGTCAGCGGATTGCTGACGGAGCAAACAGCCTTCGCTCACCTTTCCTCACTCGGGAAGACAGGCCACATCGGCGATCGCACGAAGCCGTTGATCATCTATCAGGGGAGCGAGCCGGAGTTGGATCAGATGGGTATTATGGATTCCTCGTCGTCGAATAATTCAATTGCGAGAACGGAAAGGGGTTGTTGCGATGAGTATCCAGGCAGATGGCTAAATCCCGCTCAAATTGTGAGCCCTTCTGAATTTTGTCCTAAGCAATGACCGTCAACCTTGCCATAAACATCGCCATTTTTGTATTATCTCAGGATTTTGGATTCTATTTGCTCATGAAATGTGAACAAGAAGATCTGTCCCGAGGAGCGGGCAGATCGTGGACAGGATCGCACACCATCGCATGCATCTTCGGCTTACTTTATTGGTGCATTTACGGCATCCGAAGCTAGCTTGTCTTCGTTAGGCTTCCTACGAGCGCGATCTAACACAATAATGATGTGCTTGGTCGTAATTATGCAAGTACTATACGCAAGCTATCAGCCGCTAAGCTATTAACCGGTGGCAGCTCGGTGTCAGATACTCATCGATACTGTCGTCATCTGCAGGGTCGATTGGCAATCATGCCAGTATTCCATACATACCCACCTGCTTTTCGATCAACATAAATTATGATGGAAACTTGTGGATGGACAAATTATGGCGTCTTTTGAGAAATATTGAATATATACATTGAATCGATTTTATAGAGCCTATTGTAGTTAGAACTAATGACCCCAATAAAATATATAAAGAAGTAGCAGAGAACGAGGAGCAGCTGAATTCTGACTACTGATTTCAAGTATCAAAATGAAGTTCACCAGCTTCATCCTGCTACCACTTTTGTCATCTATCACCCTCGGCCAACTTATTGGTCCCGTTGGTCCCACAACTGATCTCCAAGACAAGACTATTGAATGCAACATTCTTGATTATGGTGCAGTGGCTGATAACAAGACTGACATATCTACTGCGCTGGAGACTGTCTTCTCTGATTGTGTCCGCAAAAATCCGGGTAGTCGATTGATTGTGCCTGAAGGAGAGTACTTGATTGAGCGCGGTGTGACCCTTAGCAATGGCACAAATTGGGCATTCCAGTTGGATGGGCTGATCACAGCTGCATATGATGGCAACTGGACCATTTCGCGTGAGTTGATTCTCGAAGGCTTTGCAGGCAGAGAGATCATCAATGCAACTATCAACGGAGAGGGCGATTCTGAATTCTTATTAGATGTGCTTGTCATTGTCAATGGTGAGTTGACACATAAACTATGTTTGTATATTTTCATTTGACGTGTCTAATACTGGCAGAATAGCGGTGGATTTCGAATTCTATTCTTCTAATGGCAAGGGCGCTTTCCAAGGCCAGGGCTACATCTATCGAGATCTCGATAAGTTAGTTATTCCTTTCAATGATGGAAATTGTGACGCTGATACAGAAATCAACTTCCAGCACCGACCGTCCACGCTTGGTGCGTTTGATCTCTCCGACCAACGCCTCAGTCCACGACTTGATACTTGTTGACAGTCCCAAGTTTCACATCGTCCTTGACTTTGCAGTCAATGTTGAAGCCTACCATTTAACTATCCGCGGAGCGAACTTGGGTAGTTATGATGGCATTGATGCTATTGGAACAAACTATTGGATTCACGACAGTGAGGTAAAATCTTTAAGCCCGAGCCTAGAAACTCACATGATGACCCCGACTAACTGTCAGAGTAGGTAACAAATCGCGATGAGTGTGTCTCAGTGAAGAGTCCATCTCATCACGCTTTAGTCGAAAACCTGGTGTGCAACCAAGCTGGCTCAGGCATCTCTATTGGAAGTCTGAATGTGTCCGCTGAAATATCAAACATAGTAAGTTCCAACCACTGCGGATGATTCTCAATGCTCACATGGAAATAGGAAGCACGCAATATCAGCATCATCCAAGGCAACAACATTGCTTTTATCAAAACTTATCCTGGTGGATCAGGCTACGTTACCAACGTTACTTTCTCGAACTTCCGGTCATTGGCAAGCCTCTATGGCCTGGACATCAATCAATACTGGCAAAATACCTATGAGCCTGACACTGGCGCTGTTGCATTGAGTAACCTAGTTTTCCGGAATTTCACAGGCTCTGTTGCCGACGGCGCCACACGCCCTCCGCTTTACCTGTTCGCAAATGACCTGACATTCGCCACTAATGTCACTGTCGAGGATTTCACAGTGTGGACAGAATCCGGCAGCTCGGTTGTTAACAAGATCAGTAACATCTTTGGTAGCGGGGATGACAGCTACGGGTCAAGCGATGGTATTAGCTCTCTCAGTCAAGGAGAATCGCCATCATCTTATACCAGCACCTACACCATCACAGCATCTCCAACCAACTGGCAGGCTCCCACCACCCCCACCTGGGCTCTGCCTAGTACAGGATATGGAAGTATGTTCTCCCCCCGCTATTATACATCTTCTCTGTTGTGACAGATAATTGACTTGGGATTTTGTAGCTGCTTCTCCCATCCCAGTTTACAGCCCAGCTCCTCTGTGGCGCCCAGGTGGTGTGGATTATGATTTGCATTACTGGGGAAGCTTCTAAGTGACAGTTCGTGTTAGAGATTGGATTGGCTCTGGTAGGGGGAGCTTTTTCAGAGTAGGTACAGCCTACAGGCTAGGGACAAGGCGATCTAGGTTCTGAAAAGAGACAAGAGAATTTCCTAGGCACGAGCTGTCCTGCACGATCCCTCATTTGCTGTTTACAGTCGCGAAGTTGATACACCCAGCCAGCGTTTCGCCGCTACTTTTCTCAACTCATGCCAGGACCTCCTAAATGATTGAACACGCGATTAATCTTGCTGATGCTTATTCCTCTCACGCGAGTCTATACCACGATGTTCGACAATCCTGAATAGATCTAACTGTATTGAGAATGGCAGCCCGTAACCGGCGTTTTGGCTCACGTAGCGCAAATGGTTTTTTTTTGGTTTTTTTCCCCCATTTATGTCGCATACATTTAGCCAACTTCGGTGCATGAAGGGCGCGATACTTAAGCAATTCAGTCCAATTTCACGGTGTGAAAATGACGCAGGAAATTGGTGGCCAGAAACGGCTGCCTTTCTAACCCATAATTTGGGACGCCGAGCTGCCGCTTGACCGCCCTGTAGGCTGCAGCACATCTATTCTGTACCCCCTTTTGGCTCAAGCCCCCCCCGAGTCTCTTTTCCTACGGTCAGAGCTCATGTGACTACTCTCTAGATAGATCAGAGTTCCTCCCTCGTTCTGCTTCTTCTTCTCTCCAACATCTCACAATACAGCATCTTGTTCTGTTTGTTCGTACACTCTTTTTTCCCTTCTCCGCCTATCCTCCAGCGATACGCTGTTTACATCTACAGTTCCCGGATTGACGGCATTTTGTCTGGTGTGTCGAATCTCAACTCGGATCCATGTTGCTTCGTTATTCTGTCTTCAGTCATATCTGCCAGGTCTTACACAAGCGTTGTCTACCATGGAGCTCTTCAACCACCGTCCGTAGGATCACTAGCAAGGCACAAGACCAGCAGATGCGCAGTATGCTTGACGATTACAAAGGCATCGATGCTTCCCTCTCCAATAATCTTTTGAAAAAGCATGGTTTACCCTGGGGGTTCTCTATTTATCGCTGTTCTTATAAGGATGAGAGCGCGTGGAATCGCCTACTTCAACACCTAAGAGAGAATATCGAGAACGACCTTGAATGCAACCAGAGAATGGATCTTCTGTCGCATCATCAGCTGCTTATCTATGATGATATCACGAAATTCAATGAAGCTACATCCCACGATATTCGTGACCACTTCAACGTATGGGTTACATGCCAACTACCTCAGATCGTCGCCAGCCCTGAAGTCCTATCTAATGACAATCATGGGCTGGGCTCACAGTACTTTCTCGGCCCACGATATAACTTTTGCCTCTTTGTAGACGATTTCTGTCTAGAGTCGCTTGAGCTTTTCGAGAGTTCCTCTTCCGGTCCTGTTGTCAAGATTTTGTCCAAGCCGTGGGGTAATTTGACCCCGCAGGAAAGGAAATACAAGATACATCCGGAGTGGCACGATGGTGAGACAGACGACGAATTTGAGATGGTTGGGTGGATGTATACTCCCATACACTCTTACGTGGGGTGGTTTGATACTCTGGAAGTACCCTCGAATTGGGAGGCGTTCTACGTACGGCCACCTATGATGATTGACGAGGGTAGCATAGTGAACATTGAAGAAGAACTACGCCTCGCTTCATTGCGCCGAAAGTCTTAAAAGTATATCATTGCTGTCTGATACCGTCTTCCTTGTTGTAAATGCTCCATTTAATAATTAAAGGTATTTTGCCCTGCTGGATGTTGTAGTAACAATCAGCTTGGAATGTGTTGAGATCACAGATCAGGTGCCTCAATTTGACAGGAATATTTAGACCCTGTCGAGACTGTCTGTCTTCCTTCCTTTCCAACTATTAATGAGCCAATACAGATTTTCTGTCTGCATCTCTTTTCCTGGCATTCCATCAGGTTATGATACCTTCTTTTTATCTCTAGGCACTTATATACTGTACCTTCGACTCTATTTTCAGGGCGGCAGGCCCCCACAAATTCAGGCTCCCAACCGCACGATGAGACTAGAAGCTGCACGCCTCGTAATGATTTTCAAGATGTACAATGACAACACGGGTGGCAAGCAGAGGTTCGAATTTGTTAGAGCCTCCGATTGGCCTGGTTCCTCGAGTATCTACGGCTAGGGCTCGGTATCCAAATTTTATTGGAAAGGGGTACATATTGGGAGTAGTGTAATTCATTGGGTATTATTTGCGCTTATTTGGAGTGGAAAGCTATGCCAATCATGCACCCATCGTTTGCTCTTCTTTGGCCACAACTCACGGAAGACGGGCTCAAACTCTTCCAGTATATCTTCCTCTTCCATTTGCATTTCTTCTGACCATTCATCATTATCATTCCTGGTTTCTTCCCCAAGCTTCCGAACAACGACCCTGTCTCCATTGGCTCTGACGCATTTCCACTTGTCATCCATGAACGCTGTGATCTCCCATAGCGTGCCGGGACAACGTAGTACCTTGATGTTCAGTTCAAGACGCTGCAAAGAGGAGTTTCTTCCGATGGTCAAGAAAATCTCTCGAGCAAGGGTAGCGTCTAATGCAAAATTGGCGAGTAATTCTCGCGCTTTCTTACCGTCTGAGACCAGATAGCTTGACGATGATAATCCTCTATCGTCTTCTTGTGAGTATCCTTCACAAATAAGTTGTAGGCTCAAGTCAGTCAGTCGAGGCATCTCTCCGAGTGTTCGGTAGATGGCAATTTCCTGATCGTTGCCTCTTGTACGTGTTATAGGGAGCCGGAGGTTGCAGAGGTTCGGGCAGCTATCTCGAATTTGAGTGATCCACTCCGCTGGGATAGCGTGTCCCTTTTCGTAGTCATTAAATTCAGGTTGAAAGGATATCTTTTTTAGAGATTTTCCATGGTGGTCCAGGACAGCTTTCAATGTTCTGTCTCTTTGGTTACCTGTCAAAAGGATACTTTCCAATGGAGGAAGAGACGAGACAAAGGCACTCGCCGCTGTATCGATAGGGTGGGGATCAGCGGAGGTTATATCAAGGACCAGTGTTTTCAGACAGGGAAATTGACATTGAATTGCCTTAAGCAAGGTTTCCAGCGTGGCCTCCCACAGTCGCAAAACTTTAAGGTTGGGAAAGATGCCGTGTGCTTCCCAAGCCTCGAAATGAACGAGGCTAGCCGGGCTCAGGCTGAGCTCCCGTAATTGGCCTTGAGTTGGATTGGTAATGACTTTCTTGGGGTTGGATGTAAAAAAGCCTGCCCATGGGGGTCTTTCTCGCCGCAGCTGGTCATAAGAGCCTGGAGTGGCTTCAGGGGTTCCGGCTGCGATGTAGACAGATTTTAGATTGGGTGCCAGGCCAGTCGCGAGTTGAATTACTGCTTCTTCATGGTACTCCACCATGCCGTATTCGTTATAGCCGAGTTTGTCATTATCTTCGTCATACTCGTAAGCAGGAAAAACAACGCTAGATAGAGAAGGCGACGTGGCAAGCGAATACTCATATTCGTCGATATCTTGAGGTTCGTGTGTTCTGTGACACAGACTGGGCAGTTTGAATGCCCAATTATGCAGTTTGCATCGTGGTAGAGAGTGGTGGAGAATTTCCAACAGACACGGTGGAAATAGAGTCCCACAGCCCCAAATGAGGTCACGGAGACCATGAAATTGTTTCACAAGGGTGGGTAAAGAGCCCCAATCATCACGCTGTGAAACAGAAGCGGACCGATAGAGTTCTAAAGCTTGGAAGCCATAAGAGTATTCGAGGCGGCTTAACTCGTCATTAGAGTCCATTCGACAGTGAGGGCTGAAATATTTGGGATCTGGTTCCAGACTATCGTCATCCTCTTCACTGGGAGGTAATTTTCCTCGGACCATTAATAATCGCACGACGGTGAATGAGGAATTTTTTTGCAAAATTTCGTTCCATTTCTGGACATCTCTGTTGAGCTTTTTGCGGCTGACAATGGTCAGGTTGATGCATTGGAAACGATACTTGTTAGTGGCGACCGAGCAGGACTTGCAGGTCAAAGCTAGGTCAAGAAGACTTGCGAAGTCATCAGATGCCACAGAGCCGCAAATTTGTTCCAATACCTCTCGAGGAAGCGAGACAAGGGTAGGCATTCTGGGCAGGAAGTGAGGAGAAAAGGACCCGCACTTGGCCGAAACATCCCATATCTTGTGAGGATCTTGGCAACTCCCGCATTGCACTGGGACATTCAAAGTTAGAATCAATATTCGGGAAACGAACAAGAAACTTGAAAATTACCTCTAGGTATTTGGTGTCTTCGCTAGAGTTTAGGTAGATTGAGAGTCTGGAATGTTACATTGACGATCAGTACAGGCGTGGTGCTGAAATGGATGACAAGCACAAGGTTTGTGGATTAAAATTAATCCGATCCGATCCGATACATCTATATCGTACCAGTTGTGATGGAAATGTTAAAAACACCTACTTACCGAATTTCCCTACCGAATTTCCTTTGGCGATTCCTGGCTTCCGTCTCCATATTATTGCTCGCCTGCTCGCTGCTTTTACTCATTGAGCAGATCTGAAATCAGTGAGTCTTATATAAGCTTTGGTCATGCTCAGTATTGTGATTCGCTCACTGAGCGCACTCCGCAGCAGGCCAATTACATGCTTTTACTTTCTAAGAACGTATACACTCCTCGAAATGGGGATCTTAAACCCCGAACAATCTTTCTTCCAATGTTTCCACCAGAGCTTTTGCGGGCGCTGGATTTGAGCATGACCGCTTCGGCTGATTGACATTCATCAATATGACACAACATAATGGCATCACGGAACTTTAGATAGTCTTACAATCAGTCTCACATTTACATTGTAAGATCTGCCGTCTGCTGCTATCAGATCGGTTGACACTGGAATGATCAATTGAGCGACCGAGATGGGACATGCGAATTTGATATGGGTCATGTTGGTCATTGTAAATATGTTTCAAAATCAACTTTTACCACGGCCCCCGACATGTCTCGTTTGAGCCAGGCTTGATTCCCGGGTTCTAATCTTACTGTGGCTCATGGTTCCCAGGGCCCTTGAGCCCGACTTCCGGTCAGAAGGCAGGGTTTTTCGTCTCCCTGAACGAGAATCACGTCTTCATGTCTCACTCCAAATTTATCTACCAGATAGATCCCAGGCTCCGATGTAAAGGTCATGCCAGTCTTTAACAAACTTTCTTCGTTTCCTTTGTTCAGATACGGACTTTCGTGGGCTATTTTGAGTAGTTAGCTCAGTAACCCAGAATAAAAAGGGTGCATAAACCGACCTTTGATTCCGATACCATGGCCAACGCGATGCGTAAAGGCCTCACCATAACCGGCCCTGCTGATGACGTCGCGAGCGGCAATGTCCACACTAGCGGCGGTGACGTTCTCACGCATTTGATCAATTGAGCGGGTCTGCGCCTCGAATACTATGTCCCAGACCTTTAATTGAAGTCAGTTCATCTGCATAAGAAGAGGAGGCGAATCACTTGCCTTTAGCTTCTCACTCATGCGCGGGGACAGCACATCGTCCTTGGCAGGTTTGGGCAAGAATGGGGGGAAGAAGGTGCGACAAATATCCGATGAGTAGCCATAAAGGTGTGCTCTAAATTGGGGTCAGATTCGTCAGATTCGGTTTTCAAAGAAGTTGGTGAGACACGAACCCGACGTCGATCAACACAAAAGTCTCGGGTTCCAAAACTTTGGAACCATTGGTTCCACCGTGCGGGTTCGACGCATTCTCGTCGAACAGCACGATGTCAAAGAAAGGATCCAACCCGGCTGCTCGGAGAGCATTATCGAGGACAGAAGCTATTTCATTCTCTGTCAAACCTGGATATAGGCATTTTCTCATCTGTCGAACTGCTTCTACAGTTCCCGTATTGACAGCACGCAGAATGTCAACTTCCCTGGCAGTTTTGATCTGTCGGACTTCTTCCACTTTGCCCTGTAAGCCAACAATCTCAAAACCTGCGGATCCAAGTCCGCGTTGAATGAAATCTCGCATTTCTTCGTCCACCATCAAGCGTGCCGGTCGACTGAGGCCTAAGAACACTTCTGATTGTTTGAGAGTTGTATACGGATTCCAATGTTCTTCCCATGAGACAATTTGAATAGAATCAGTGAAGGGCATTCCCAATAGGCGGGCACGCTCAGCCTCAAAAGACGGGCAGAGAAAGGTGGTGTTGGCCTTGACATTGCCAGTAGCCTGATCGTGGAACGGGCGTACAACCATCAAGAACGGACGCTCTTCCGGCTAAGTTGGTCAGTTGAGTGGCTCCTAAATTTGAAGATGAATTCTTACCTCCCACACTTCCCACTCGGGCTGGCTTACGTTGCCATAATACTTGAAAGTATACCCCGGTTCCACCACGAAGGCATCCACCCCTTCAGTGACCAGTGCTTGTGCCAACCGATCTCGTCGTTCTTCAAAATCCGACACTGCAATGGGCTCCACATTCATAAATGGAAGACCTGTCTCAAGAAGATTATTTACTGCGCAACTTTGGAAATCTCTCAGGCGGTCGGGGTTGCCCGCATCATTCCACGCGCCTTCACAGCCAGGTATGTAAGGACTATGGATCCAAAGCGATCGAAAATGAGAGAACTTGTAACCCGTTGCTAAAAGGCCAGCACTTACTACAACCCATGCCAGGTTGCGAGCTGAGAAGCGACTGGGTTTGGCCTCCCCGGTGCGGAAGGGCAATTGTTTCGACATGATCCGAGAGGTTGATCAAGGAGGGGAAGTAAGTTCCTAGCTTGGACAGTCTCCCCTCAGTGTACGTACTAGGGCGGCCTCTTATCTCGTTTTGACCTTCCCACATTCGCCTCTGCTTTCCCGCCTCCCGTTAGCGTCGAAGCCAAAGCACCGTAGCGTAAACTTCCCGTGCATTTCAACCCCCTCACTGCACTTGATTGGCCGTCGTCGGCTGCGACAATCCGCAACAATATCGGAGAAATCAGACATATCTTTTCGCGGATCTGGCCGATACCGTGGGGTAATTATAAATTGCGAGTCGTGGCCATATCTGCAGCAATATGCAGAGGCACATTTTCTCCCATAATGAACGAGCCCGCTGTAGTCGAAACGCGTGAAACGTGTGAAGAGAGCCAAGTATCTGAGAAATGCCCCCAAACTTCTACATCCGCTGCAACTTCTCCAGATGCAACTTCCCCACATGCGATCTCCGATGCTCAAAAAGGGACAGATGATCTTGACAATGGTCGAGGCTACTCCCGCCTCTCTATGGTCACGATGGTAGTTTTCAGTGGCCTCGCAATTGGCTCAGACGGTTTCAATTCCTCCATCATTGGAAACCTTGAATTGATCATGGCAGTAATCTATCCAAAATCGCTGACTACTGCCGTAGCCTCTCGGCTATCCAACGCATTTATGGTCGGCATGATTATTGGCATGCTTTCGTTTGGTTACATCTCCGACAAACTGGGCCGCAAGACTGGTGCAGCTCTGACAACCACGATATTGGTTCTTGGAATTGCACTGAGTGCCGGTGCTAGCGGGCTGAACGAGAGTGGCATGTTTTGGATGCTAATCATTGCTCGAGGTATTGCTGGAGTTGGAGCAGGCGGGTGAGTGCTCACTCCTGTCTCTTTTATTGGCTATCAGGGCCACTAATAGTTATAAATCAGAGAGTACCCTGTTGCAGGAGCAGGTGCTGCTGAGGCTACAGATGAAGCCCCGGGCATTCGCAAACGAAGAGGCTTCATTTTTGCCATGATCGGTGACCTGTCGGCCTCTCTTGGCTTTGCTTTCGGTGCTTTGGTGCCCCTCATTCTGCTCTTGTGTTTCCATCAAGAAGTGCGGCATTACGAGGCTGTATGGCGTGTCTCTTTAGCCATGGGGGCCATTGCTCCTCTGTCGATCTTCTGGTTTCGCTATCGCATGGTTGTTAGCTCTGCGTATCGCAAGAGCTCTATGAAAAAACAAAGAATACCCTACTGGCTTGCGATCAAAAAATATTGGCGCCCGCTGGTAGGTGTCTGCGGTTCATGGTTCATGTAAGCACCTTAATCCGTGGATCAGGGGCATATCGTTGTGGCTAATTATAGCGACCATATCAAGCTACAACTACATCTCCTACCCTTTCGGCCTTTTTGCTTCAACCATCGTCGATAGGGTCAATCCGTCCTCGTCTCTGGCTCTCACAATGGCATGGGGTACTTTGATCAATTGTTTCTATATTCCAGGTGCATTCATTGGTGGTTTCCTCTCAGATCGTATTGGCCGCCGACGTACCATGGCCCTAGGGTTCGCTCTCCAGGCCATCCTTGGTTTCATCCTCGGAGGAGCGCTGGGTCCAATTGAGACCAAGTTGCCGCTTTTCATCGTGCTCTATGGCGTATTCCTCACCCTGGGAGAAGTGGGTCCTGGGTCTACAATTGTTCTCACTGCAAGTGAATGTTTCCCCACAGCAGTTCGCGGCCACGCAGTCGGACTAGCAGCTGCCTGGAGTAAGGCAGGGGCGGCAATCGGGACACAAGTATTCAAGCCCATTATGGCTAGTTGGGGAGATGACGAGCTTCGTGGTACTCAGGCCGTCTTTCTCATCGGGTCCGGGTTCGCCGTTTTGGGTGCTCTTCTGGCCTGGTTTGTGCTTCAGGACAGCAACAAAATCTTAGATCATGGCGACCAGGAGTGGAAGGATTACCTAGCCGCTCATGGCTATACATATATCGAATGGGGGACTGAAGAACAACATGTCGTATCAGACGAAAAACAGATTGAACAAGGGCCCCAGTAGAAGCAAGGATTGAAAGACGATCGATAAGACCTTGAAAAGGCAAGGGGGTAGGAGCATCTACCCGACTACACTGCTTACATTTATTTTCAGGGTTCATCTGAATGTTCGGGCCCAATCATATACGAGTTGCTCTCATACTATCATGATCCCATGATATTTGAATTTGTATGTTGATTTGTTTACAATTTTATCTTCAAATACTACGAGCGAGTATAATTTTATTCAAGAGGAGGCGGAAGGATGCGTAGTATCTGAATAGTTGTCGTATATGTTAACCTGTTAAAGACGCTTCCACTCATAAACACCTGCGTGTAGAACGTGGGGAGGCTTTAGAGAGTTGCCTTGCCATCACGATCTCTGACCGAGTTCGCAGATAGGGAAGCGGATTTGATGGACCGGAGCAGGCACAGTGTGACCCTCTGATCCTATGGCCATCTGAGCAACTCAGCTTCATCCACTAGTCCACGGGTATGGATATCCACGGTCTCGCTTCATCACTACCGGTCTATGAAGGGGTAGATGAACGCTTTCTGTCTTTCGATACAGTTCGGTCTCTGAAACAAGACTAGGTGATACATTTGCAAATGCATTGAATTCCGACAGGAATATATCTCATGTCTCATTGTTGAATCTTTCAAGATCCATGCGTATATACAGTCACCATTGTCGCTCAATGTATGGTGGGTGGGTCTATCTAAATACATAACAGTCATGCAATCGTGTACAGTAATTCCCACGAATGGGCATTTTGAAACTTGGAAGCAAAGGGTATTCAACTCTCCAACGCCAAGTGATGCTAGATCAAGGCTCAAACGAAGGTCTGCTGACTCGTCGGCCACCATTTTCCTTTCGATCGGCAGCAAGAGACTTGGCAAATTTACTCCTTTCTCGAATTTGCGGACCCTTCCAGTAGAATAGATAGATAGGGGCCACAACGAGACAAGATAGACAGCCTAAGATCGTACTGGCATATTGAACATGCCATTTGCTGCCAATATTGTTGTACATCGGCGTGGCGTACATTGCCGAGATACCGGCCAGCAGGTCACGAGCGAAGGCATTACCACCGCAAGCGGAAGCTGAGTATACACCATATGATGCGATCATGTAGTCCACAGACGAGAGATAGATAGCATAGTTTGCGATTCCGACCATGGTGGAGAAGATCATTGATGCAATCCATGGAATACCGCGCGCTTGGCCGAAAGATGTCCAGGCAAAACCGAATAGTCCGATCGGCTCGAAGGGTGCCAGCCAGAGGAGCCACTTGAGACGACGCTCGGGTGGGATTGCCTCGTCGCCGTGCTTCTTTCGGAGGTGTTCGTCTCTCGCGAACCAAGGGAAGTAGGAGATGTAGGTCAGAAGGTAAGCGAGGTTGATTGGGATAACGGCCCAAGCACAAGCCAAGACCCCGAAGCCCCATCCTTGCTCGTAGACTATACTGAAGCTCTCCAGGAAGGTGAATATGAGCGCATCGGAGAACCCAGAGAGAAGAGACAGGCACAACACGATGGGCTCGCGCAAAAGCATATGAAAGGGTCGAATCCAAATCTTGCCGGCTTCCTTGAGGGAGACGCGAGGCTTTTTGAGTTCGTTGGGTCCGTACACGTTCGGGTCTTCTCCGGTCTTGCGGCGACGCTTTGCTTCTCTGTCGATAAGGATTGTCGAACGACTTTCGGGCATGAAGAAGATGATCGCTTGAGTGACGGCTCCGAAGATGAGCTGGATCCAGAAGAACCACTGCCAATCGAGGACTATTTAAAATCTTTATTAGTACGGATATCACTACATAGCAAATTTGTAAACTCACAGCGTTCGATCGGACCACCAATAACACCACCAATACTTGTTCCGATACAAGAGGAGAAGACAATAAATGCCAGCGGGAATTGCTGCTCATCGGGCTCGTAAAGGTCGGCAATCAAACCCAAAGTGACACTACCACCGGCAGTGGAGATTCCACCCAGGGCACGTGCAACAACGATGGAGCCCCAATTAGGAGCCAATGCAGCAGGGAGTTGCCAGATGTTAATCAGGAACATTGAGAGCTGGAGGATGGGCCAGCGACCAAACTCCTCACTCCACGGAGCCCAAAGCTCACACCCAATAGAGTAAGTAACAAGGTAGGCCATTTGTCCAGTTCGGGCTTCCTGTTGACTAATATTCCAGGCCTTTGAGAGAGGTATTACCGCATTGGGAAAGACGGATGTGTTGAAGTTCATGGATACCTGGACGAAGGCAATTGCCACGAGGTACGTCCATTTCTTCCATCGAGGCCACGAGTAAGCTAGTGCATCATAGCACTCTGTTTCCTTTAGCTCGCGAGGACTATCTGGGGCGATGCCGCCATTTTCGGTCTTCTCGGTTTGGGGCACCAGGTCATCGTCAGAAGGATCGCTGGAACTTGAAGGATCGCTGGAACTTGAAGGATCGTCGGAGTGTTGAGCCTCAGGGCTGTCCAGTGGGGGCTTAGGCTCTGACATTATCATATATAAACAGTCGGCTGAGAAACAGGGAAGGCAACTTCTGGCAAATGCTTTCATTTAACTATCTGGCAAAACATGTGCGTCAGGGCCGATGCGACTCTGTCGAATATCGTCATAGTTCGAAACCGGTTTATACTTCATAGTACCAGAGTTGATCTGTGGAGACGATGTGGATCACCCGCTTATACTTCAATAGGCTCGTGCATAAAGAAGTATACATATTGGGGCAGCCTTTTCTTGATCCAATCGACAACACCGTTTGCATGAGAAAACAGAGCTCATCAACTAGCCCTGGGATGGTATGATGATAGCAAGCCAACTATCACAATCCCACAAATGTGGAAAGCAAGGGCTGAGACATCAAAAATGGGATGAAAAATGTGCACACATTTGGATTTGATAGCGCGATGGATGTGCCCCACTAGACCAAAAGCCACAGACAACGGACCAATCGATGATTATGGAACTAATGATTGTAATAGGTTCTGTAAAAATCTGGAGTTTTCATTTACTCCACAGTCATGGCGTGGTCAACTCCGGACTTCCGACTCGGTACATCGGCCATGACATGGGGATTGTACGGGGAAAATGATGGTCAAGATCCAATGGTAGAACAGTTGAATCATCCACCGTTGCGCATGCGCGCGTACCGTTTTCGGAGGGTTCTACGTCACACGCAGATTCTTAACATGTGCCTGTCCGGTTTGAACCGAAAAGGGTTCCTTCGGTTCCACCTTTGACTCCACAAAAATGGGTCTTGCATGGTTGACGTCATGAACCAGCCCTCGGTCGCGATGAATGAAGAAGGTGATGCGGATATTCTTCGGCATCCAGCCGTCTTAGTAATTCGATGGCTTCAGTATATCTGAGATGTAAATGGTAGTTAGTTCAGGAACCGTTGGTCCCTGATCAATGCAGATCGCCACATATAATCAAGTTGAATTCTGTGGTCCAACCAATCAATCCGTCGGGATTGACGGGTTAAGTGGAGATGAAAATCCAAAGTCAAAAGACCCTGATCGTTGTGAAAAGCAGAAAGTCAGCCGAGAGGTTAACTCAAGGGTGGCTTTTAATTGAAAACCACAAATAATTAAAACACCTCACTACAGTAACTGCGTTTACCGTAGTGTGGTAAATGTGATTTAGATAGAATGGCATCTCCATTGTCAAAGAACATATCACCTCGCTTGATTCAGATCAGCATGCACCTAGGCAAGATCACGCTATCAGTACACTAACGTTCCGATCCTGGGTAATGGAGGTGTCAGCAGAGTATCGCTCCATAATTACCTTCGCGTTCCAGATTAATTTACGGAGTATTCTGATTGAGTGGGTGGCTGATTATGTACTCACTAATACTACACTCGGAATTTTCAATAGTGCACCTTGCCTAACACCATCAGTGTGGTGTTCGATTAATTCGGTAGTCAAAGTCAACTGGTCAGAAGTTAAAAATTGGAGGTCATGTGACTGCGCGTCGTGAGTCGCGTGTTTGGCGATCCGCGTTGATCGATTTGATATCTGCACCACTCGTCATGGTGTTCAAGCCCTTTAAACCTCCTTTGATTAGGAAGCCTGAGACAACACAGCCGGCACAAGAACAGGAAACATCCTCTAAGGCACCTGTGCACCAGGAAGATGCAGCACCTGGGCCCGAGACGCGGCCAACACCATCCGGAGTCCGAAAGCCTCTCCATCAAGTCAGAAATGTGGGGAAGGAATCTGGGGAGAAGGTGACGCCTGCACCCGAAGCCATCAAACTGGTAGGCGATGAGAAGTTTTTCAACGCCCTTTGGTACGTCGCGTTGTACCGCCTTGGTCATTTATTTTCACCCGTAGACCCAACTAACGTTATTTCTTCACATTAGGAGAAAACCAAGCGCCAAGAAGAACAAGACATGGGATGGCGACGGTATCCTCACGGCTCGCGCCGGCTATGTCACCTTGCGAGATGTGGGAGGCAAAGATATGGGACGTGCAATGTTTGAGGCAGAGCTGGAGCCTGGCAAGATGCTCTACGTGGGTGGGAAAGAAGTCGAGGTTGACTCTGAAATACCTCGCAGAGAATATCTGGCCGGAAAGAACATCGTGCAAGCCACAACATCGACACCGCAAACACTGAAAAAATCCAGAAAGACTCCTGTGTCCGCCCTGAAGAGCAGCGGTGACCAAATCTCAAAGACCCTAGGCCGGACCGGATCTTTGAAACGAGATGCATCGGCATTGGATGGGGATGGAAAGGGCCACTCGGGCTTCAGTGCCTATAAGAAGCCATATCTCGACGATTCAATCCTGCCAACCCATCCTGTCAAAGTGGTTCCTCGCCATGATCCGACCGCGCCGGGAGCTTTGGTTATGCCACGACCCACCTCTGTTCCTGATGGGAAGCAGATTGTAGATGTGGTTGTTGATCCACTATTGACAAAGAGTTTGCGGCAGCATCAGCGAGAAGGTGTTCAGTTCTTGTACGAATGTGTCATGGGGATGCGATCTTTCAATGGCGAGGGGGCAATTCTAGCAGACGACATGGGCATGGGAAAAACATTGCAGACCATTGCTTTGCTGTGGACCCTCCTGAAACAGAACCCGATATATGGCGCTCCTCCAGTAATCAAGAAAGCTTTGATTGTCTGCCCTGTGACTCTTATCAATAATTGGCGAAAGGAGTTCCGCAAGTGGCTCGGTAACGAACGCATTGGAGTCTTTGTCTTTGATGACAAGCGGAAACGTCTGACCGACTTCACCAAGGGAAAATCTTACAGCATTATGATTGTGGGCTATGAGAAGTTGAGGACGGCTCAAGAGGGTCTGGCCAAGGGCGCTGGTGTCGACATCATCATTGCAGACGAAGGTCATCGACTCAAAACCCTTTCCAACAAGAGTGGCCAGGCCATTCAATCTTTAAATGCAGCAAAGCGAGTCATTCTTTCTGGTACCCCGATCCAGAATGATTTGAGCGAATTCTTTGCTGCAGTCGATCTTGTGAACCCCGGTATTCTAGGCACATTCAAAGCCTTTATTCGAGAATTCGAAACTCCAATTGTCCGCAGTAGGCAGCCCGAGGCTACCAAGAAAGAAATCGAAAAGGGTGAATCCCGAAGCGAAGAGCTTCGAGAACTTACATCCAAGTTTATCCTTCGCAGAACAGCAGACATATTGGCCAAATACCTGCCTCCCAAGACAGAATACGTACTTTTCTGCAACCCAACTCGCTCACAGGCCACTATCTATCAAGCCGTTCTTGCATCTCCTCTCTTTCAGTCTGCCATGGGCAATTCCGAAAGTGCTCTCCAGCTGATCACTATCTTGAAGAAACTTTGCAACAGCCCGTCGCTACTTACAGCCAAGAACAACACTTCCCCAAGTGAAACTATTACCTCCCTTCTCGCCTCTCTACCACAAAACCTCATGCGCCACTTCTCTCCCTCAGCAAGCGCCAAAGTTCGAGTCCTCGATCAAATGCTGGATAGCATGCGATCAAACACATCCGAAAAGATTGTCCTCGTCTCGAACTACACCTCAACCCTCAACCTCCTCGCTAACCTTCTAACCTCCCTCGGCCTCCCCTTCCTCCGTCTAGACGGAAGCACTCCCGCCCAAAAACGCCAGCCCCTAGTCGACGACTTCAACCGCCTCCCTGCCGACAAATGCTTTGCGTTCCTGCTGTCCGCCAAAGCTGGCGGCATGGGCCTCAACCTCATAGGCGCCAGCCGTCTCGTCCTTTTCGACGTCGACTGGAACCCCGCAACAGATATTCAAGCCATGGCTCGCATCCACCGCGACGGACAAAAGCACCACTGTCGGATCTATCGCGTCATTTTGAAGGGTAGTCTCGAGGAGAAGATCTGGCAGCGACAGGTCACCAAACTTGGTCTTGCGGACAGTGTCATGGAGCATAAAAACAGCGTCGCACAATTCTCTACTGCTGAGCTGCGTGACTTGTTCCGTCTGGACGAAGAAAGTCGCTGCCAGACTCATGATTTACTCGGCTGTGACTGCGGTGGCAAGGGTATTGTTGCATCGTCATCTTATGAGGTTACCACGCCTAATCTGAAGACCGATGAGGACGGAGTTAGTGACTCTGAGCTCACGGAGCTAAGTGATGAAGAGCCTGAATTCCCGAAATTGGTCAAAGCATCTGAGGTCGATATGGAGGAACAGGAACGCTCAATCCGTGATTCGTCGCGAAGAGGCAGGAAGCAGAAGGATTCTATGCATCAGTCGCTGGCGCAGTACGCACATATTGACCCTTCACTTCTTGCTAGTGCCGAGGGTGAAGAGGATGTGGCTGCTATTATTGACGATGATGTCCTTCATTCTTTGTTGAAGGATGAGTGTAATCGCATTGGTTATATCTTCAAGAAGGTAAATGTTGCTGAGGTGGAGAGCCAAGACACTGTGGCTGCAGATGGGGATGGGGATATTGTTGTTGATAATGAGTGATGAATAACAAACATTCTAGATAAATGAATAGAATTAGATCTCAATGATCCAGGTTCAAGGAAGATGACTTTTCCACGGAGTACCTAGAATGGATATCATAGCTAGATCGGCTTAAGTAAAATATGCATATTGTCAAATCATTATTATTGAACATCGAGACTATTCATACTAACCATAGTATATGAAAGATCAAGGAACATGGATAACCTAGAATCAACTGAAGGGAAAAAAGGGAACCTTGGTTTAAAAGACATGATCAACAGCCAGGATCAAATATGCCAAAAATCTAAATATACAAAGGAAAATGTCGGGCTCGAACAACAGACAAGATCTAGAGCGATCATAGGCTAAAAGTGAAAAGAAAATAAATAAATAAAATGAAAGGAAACAGATGTCGAGGCCAGAGGGAGGGAAGTAATCAACCTCCGATCCCATCCCATCCAACATGCACCGGACCCAACCATGATTGCGGTACTAATACCGCAGCTTACCCACAAGACCAAATGTATAAGCAGCTTCAGCTTCACTCTTCATTTGAATCATGAAGATCTTCTGAGAGCTCGTGTTCACACCACCCTGCTTTGAGATGACCCCGTCGTTGGTCTCTTCATACACGGAGACAGCGATTCCGGTCCGTGCGATTCGCTCAAAGGAGCTCTCAGGAAGACAAACGTCCAGCAAGATCTCACCACGCGTCTTACCGCGGACGACGATGCGCTTCATCGACTCAGCATCAGCGCGCGGGGTTGCCGCTCCCGAACTAGGCGGGGAACTTCCATCGCCGTGCGAGCCACTATTGTCGCTGCGGCCGCTGCCGCTCACAGCTGTTCCAGGGCGGGATGGGTTCTTTGGTGGAGCAGGCATGATGGTTAGACGGGCAGCGCCCATATCGCGCCATTTAGATGCTGATTCACGTAGGTAAATACGGATCTTGGCATTTGAAAGACCGATTCCATCGGCGCCCTTAATTGCAGCTGCTATGCGGCCAATGCCGGACGATGGAGAGGGGGCATCGCCTGAGTCGCCGTCGCCGGAGTATAGACTCCCTTCGCGACCGGTGCGGGAGCTGACTGTTGAGCGGGCGATGTTGAACATCTTGCTTCCGCCGCCGAAGCGTTTCAGGGCCGAGAATGCGCTGCTCATTGTTCCAACACTGCTCTCGGAGTTTTCGGCGAGAGAGCGGGGGGAGCTGCTTGACGCTCTGTAGCTTCTTCTCCGACGGGGGAATCCGAACCAGCTTCCACCGGATTTGGTGGCCGGCTCAAAAGCTGGCAGGTTGTCGTTCATGGGCCCGCGGGCGTTTTGAAGAGCAATATAGGTTGGGTTGTTGATGCGAGCGTGGTTGATTAGAGCATAGAGAGCGTCGCAGTCATCTGGGTTTCGTGACCGGAACATTATGTTATTGCTGGAGGTTATCTTGGAACGTTCAGTCGGGGGCGAGCGAATGCTAATGTCGATGGCTGTACCCCGGCGAATGGGGACAAGGGGGGTCAGCTCCATAGAGATCAGCGGTTTTGATCGAGAATCGGCATTCATCTTGAATGCCTCAATAAGGCCAGGGCTGACGGTAATGCTGCAGTCATCAGGAAGCAGAGTCTCCCAACTTCCCTTGTCAGACCATGCAAAAATTGATGCGATGGCCTTCGAAGACTTGGTGGGCTGCAATGGTACAGTTCGGTACCCGCTCTGTGATGCAGAATTGGAAGGAGATAGGGAGCTTGCTTCGGAAATACCCGACTCGAGGCGCCTGGGCTTGGGGAGCTCACTGAGTTCGCTCTCCTCGTAATCTGAGTCCGAAGCCGAGGAATAGGAGTCTTCCGAGTCGGATCGAGAGTATTCCGACGAGGAGTAACTATAATGTCGCACTGTTGAGGCATCCGAGTCCGACTCCGTGTAAGAATCTGAAGCTGTGGAAGGTTCGTACTCATGCTTCAGAGGCGAAGAGCCCCTACGCTTTAGTCGAGCACTTGTTGGACTGAGAACGGGGCTGTTTGAAAGCTTGCCAGTGGAAGAGCTCGGCGATCTATGGGGTGGCGGGGGTGGAGGTGCGTCGTCGTGCGTTGACCTGCGGCGAGACTTTCTTCTCCTAGATTTTGTGGGAGTCTCTGGGATTTCTTGAGTGGGCAGCGACTCCAGAGGAGGATAGTCCTCTTCCTCGTCGTGGTCAACGCTACTCGGTGTAGACATATGAGTTTGGCTGCTGGTGCTCCGAAGCTTAGGAATCTGGGGGAGGCGCGCCGACGGAACTGACGACACACGAGGAGATTCAGGCTCTGGCGACTCCTGCTTCCGTGGAGTCTTAGGCTGGGGAATCTTTGAAGCAGGCTTTGGCTTCGGTTTGGGAGAAGTTGTGCCTTGGCTTACCTCGCTACCCTCTCCATAGTATCGGATTTTACTTGGCGAAGACTCTGACGCCGCCGCGGCCGATGCTGTGGGCTCCTCAACAATCGTCTGGGGAGAAGGCACCTCTGAAGCCGGGCTGTCTCCATAGCGGGACTGCCTCTTTGCCTTCGATCTTTTCAGCCCATTGGGGGACTTGTCAGCATTGCTCTGAGAAGGCAGAGACTGTAATCCAGAGCGGTGTTGTTTTGCGGAGACCTCAGACCCTCCCGTGGTGTAATCCGTATCGCGAGTTACCGAAGAGTACAGAGAACTCCTTGCATCGGTTGTAGAAGAGCTGACAGTGCTCGGCTCGGAATAATGCTCTTTGGGAGTGAAAGATCGACGTCTCTCGCCAATTGGGATATCGACATCACTGGGGTTTGCTCTAGGTGGAGAGTCGCTAATAGAAGACTTGCGCGCCTTGTGTTGCTTTGCTCGACTGATGAAGCTCTGGCTGCGGCAAATCGATGGAGGAATAGGATCGGAGCCCAGCAGCGAAACCCACTCCATACCGATCTCATAGTCATCAATACGAAGAGAAATCAGCTCTTGCCAATACTTCTCATCCCCGGACGCACTACGAAGCATGATCACGATCTCGCCAGTTTCACCGTTCCGGGCCGAAACACATCGAAGGTCCACGGGCGGGAAAAGCAGCCAGCGGTCTGAATGATCAATCTCACAGATCATCAAGTCGCCTCCAGTTCCATGCCCGGAGACATTGTCTCGATAAAGCAACTCGGCACGACAGTCTACTAATTGGCCACTCGAATGGTAGAGCGATAGATTGAAGAAATCGCGAGCACGAACTCGACGAGTCTGGTCAACCACAACATTTCGGGCGACTGCCAGAGTCATGGGGTCTCTAGCGCGACTTGCGTCAATAGTAGCAGCAGACTCATCCTCCAGTCTCGCTCTCTCATCACGAGCGCGTTTTCGAGCATCAAGTACGAGACCCTGGTAGGCAGTGGCGATCCCTTCGGCTTTTGGTGATGGGTGCAAGGTGTTGATCCCCTTGAAACTCTTAGCAAGGTACTTCAGTCGCACCAATGGCCGCTTCAATAAATAGGCAACATCAACCTTGTCGCCTTCAGAATCGACAATATCGCCATTCTCATCCCGCTCCATGCCTTCATCCAAACTCTTTGTCTCCGCATTATCATTTTCTTCCCCTTCTTCCAAGGGAGCAAGGTTCACAATGACATCTTTGAACCCAAGCCTCCAGGCTTTGAGGTATTCCTTATAGACTCTCTGTGCACCCTGTGCCCAGTTGAGGAGGGCATCTGTGTCGTTCTGGGGGATGCGCTTATGCAATGTCTTTAAGCGTTCTATAGCGACCCCCATATTGACGATGGGCTTGGAGAAATTCAAGTCATCCTTCGGATCTAGCGAGGGACGGAACAAGCCAGCGGCGATGGCTGAATCGGATCGTGAAAGAACACATGTCAGCAGCACGGGGATGACACCACCAACAAGGGTCTTGAGCTCTCGCATATATTTCGCTTCATCGGCGGATAGCTCAGCCAGGAGGTCTGGGATAGTCGCACTGGCCAATCGACTCTTGTTGGTCCGGATACTTCGAGCGGAGCGGATACTTCTGCTTCTGGAGGCAGGAACCGAAAGGACAGACATGAGATCATTGTGGTTTGTGAGTCGACGCTTCAGCTGTGATGAAAAGACAGGGAGGGAATCAGGGTCAAAATGGTCCTGCTCTTCTGCAGCTTCTTCTGCTTCTTGTGCGGGCTTGGACTCATTCTGTCGAGCGGCGCTGGCCGTAGCCCTCTCCGGGGCCGCCGGAGCGGACAAGGATGATCCTTCTGGGAGGGTGCTCAAAGTCTCACTTGAAGCAATAGTGGATAGTTGGTGGATTCCAGTGCTCGGGAATGGCTTGCTACGGCCCAGCGGTACAGGTGCATTGTTTCCTGAGACCTCGGATATCTCCGAATCTGGTTGAAATTCAGACTCGGATGTTGCAAGGCTGTCCTCGTATAGCAACTCTCGTAAATTTTTCTCAACCTTGACTTTTGGCGATTTGCGGGTCTTGTCGGCGCTTGCTCGCCTGGGCGCTGACACAATCTCAATGTCATGAGATTTGCGTAGCCTATCGCTTGACGGGGGGCGATCTTTGTCTCTGGCATGTCGGCCATGAGAGCTTTTAGGGCGAGACTCGCTTTCTGCTAGCGTATCAGATGTCAAGCTGCTCGCGGTGTCCGTATTAGCCACTCTCTTGGATCGTCTCTCTCGTGCCGATTTGATGTCCAGTGGGTTAGGCATGTCCGGTTTGTCCTCCTCGTCTAAGAAAGGATCCGGTTGGTCGGATAACCAAGCCTCAATCTTCGCACCCCGGTTTGCTGTTGGTGGAGGAGGCCTTGGAGGCTCCGCTTTGGGTATAGTGAACATCTTCCTGGACTCGTCCAGCATCTGTGCAAAGATGCCTCCTTTGGGAACTTGCGGGTGTCCGCGAGCGCGCCTCCTCGATAATTCTGAGAAGTCAGCCTCGCTTCGTGCCCATTCTACCGTATCATCAGGCGGTGGCGATTGTCGCTTATGTTTCCCTGACACTTCTGACCGGATGGCAGACTTGGGCCGATCCGTCTCCGTCTCCCAGTCGCTTTCCACCACGGACTCGGGCCGTTTGCGAGGGGTCGACTTCCATTCTTTGACGGGCGTTTTCGCTCCAGATCGCGGAGTATCTTTGCTTTTATCTGACAGATCTTTGAGATTATCTTTCGTCGCCCGTGGAGATCCCAGTTCCGCCCCTTCGTTTGTGGTGTATTCACTGATGCGCTTGGGAGGCGGCAGGTTGCGAGTGGGCGTTTGTCCTACCGAAGTATTCGACCGATTCCTTCTCCAGTGTTCATCGCTAATGACTCGTTTGCGCGGGGTACTGTGACTTCTTTTCCTCGTCTGCCACACGGCGCCTTTGGTGGGTTTCGCCTTCGCGGGCTTCTCCTTCCCTGCTTCTGACTTTGGTTTGATAGGGTCGGGCGCAGGTTTATTCTTGGTCTCATTATCATCTTCGTCATTGTACAGTCCATCGTCGATCGTGATCACGCCACCTCCTTGTTGTTGCCAGTTCCGCACTCTTGCGCGCACTGTGTTTGTATCGTGGATCCCGAGCGGTAGGCCGATGTCTACTGCCTTCGGAGTGGGTTTCGCACTCCCTCCAGCCTTGGAGGGACGCTGCGGGGTCGCAGGGGACGGCATCGATGTCTATTACGAAACCAAAGAATGCGTTAATCTCCGAGGTTGAGGGGGAAGTGTAAAGCTGATTGTTGACCGCGTTCACGGATTCATTGTTTTGTTGACATTTCGTCATCGGTCGGGAAAATCTTTCTGGGCTGTTAACTCACCAGACACAATGGCCTATGATCACAGAACAGAGAACAGCATTTGCTTTTTCTCTTCAAGTTCTCTTGTCAAACACGTTCGAGGGGAATGTAAACAAGGGCGATTAGACGCTGATCGACGATAAGCCTGAACTGCCACACTAGTTCTGCTGCCGGGGAAACCACGCGCCGATCAGATCGGGCCTGTGACTGGCTAGCTCTGCAAGGAGATCTTCTGATCACAGTTGATCCGGTCAACTGATTTTAATTCTTTCACTTTTTTGAACTGGGATGCCGAGCTGATGAGGGCCTCGATGGGCTTGGCATCGCCAGTTTTTACCCTCACGTCAGTGTAAGAATGTGGGGGGCTTAACCTAGAAGAATGATGGGGGGGGGGGGGAATAGATGAGAAAGATGATCTACAAGTCGATTCGGAGATTTCAGGGAATATTTCATTACCGGTTGCGCGTACCTTTTGCATTGGGCGTCATAGCAGTCTGATTATGGAGTTGGACAAAGTTGGACTTGGACGCATAATTAAAACCCCCCTTCCATTAGTATGTCAAATATCATGCATATTCACTATTTATCGTCCTAGTGATTTCTCTAATTGTTTTCATTGTTTTTTTGTTTTTTCTTTTGTTTTGCTTTGAATCCCATAAATGTTCCTAAAGAATCCAAAAGATGTGAAATCCTATCGATCTCAATTCCAACCAAGACATGATTAATCCCCACCTACTCTAGGCTACTCACATGCGGCTATGACGGAAGAGGTGCTACTGGGCTTTCTTCCACTCTGCTGACCCTTGTCTCTTCATGACGGTTGAGAGGGTCCGCATGCTGCTACAAAGATAATCTATTTCAGTCAGCCACCTGTCCCGCTTCGTTTTTGTGGAGCCTTGGAGACTTACAAAACGGGACCACAATCCAGATGAAATTCATCAAAAAGTAATAGACCCAGAAATAATATCCCTCTGGTCGACTATAAGGTCGGTCATGGACATAGTGGTCGAACAAACTAGTAGCGTAGTATAGCGTATCGCCGTAAAGATGGCTCATACACACAACGATTTGCATCGGGTGGCGCAATGAGTGCCGCGTTGCGGTCAAATATGCAACAACGAAGCAGAGGGGCCCCCACAAGAGCTGGTTGGGCACTGTTAGTGGATAAAGCTCGGGAAGCCCGGTCTGGTCTTGGTCGTGGGTACACTCACCACGGTTATGGTCTCCATGCATAGCACCAGTGTGTCTGATGTCATGTATCGGGAATCGGAAAGTGCGTACTCTTTCCATAGCTGCCCGAATAGATCCTGCGCTGAGGCCATATGAGCATGATGCAGCATGAAATAGCCCTCAAAGAAACAGTGTAGAGTTCCAGCTAATTGGTTTGGTCAGTCTCGTTTCCTTTTTTCAAAATTTGCTCGGACATCGATGGGGTCATACAGAGCACAAACCACAAGATGGCGATCCGATCCGCGATGTTAAGAGTTGGTCGCACATAACTGGCCACTGCAAAGGTCAGTCCGAGAAGGACTGCACATCCTCCACTAGCTTTGACCAGTAGCTCCAAGACAGGGGTCTGGTTGGGCGAATAGCCGACAATGTCGGCGCCGAGGGGGTAGTAGGGGTGAGAGGAGCCACTCGGCATTATCGCTGAGTGTCAAAAAAAAGCTTGTTTTTTCGGCTTTGCTGATCCTCTGCTCTGGCTTTAAGCTGCAAAACTTTGACTGGATTCAATTGTCCGGTATTTTGGAATTGCAGAGCCAAATTGTGGTCTGCTTGATAGCTGTGGGATGTTTTGTTTTTCTTGGGTCTATCGTTGTGACCACTCTACGGAGCATTATCGCATGGTGGATCTGCAGGGTTGGGCCAATTGGAAGACAAATTCACCGAACCCGGCACTATTCAACCATGAGATAGTGATGATGTTGGTAGAATCAGTAATTTCAAAGAAGCATTCAAGATGTCAAGCATTGACTGTGATTTATTCTATTTGTTCTATGAAAGGGGTCACGTGCAAAGTCACTATTAGCTGCGAATTGCTTGGCTCCAAGTTCCTCGATTCCCCAGCTTCGTACCGTGATTCCCCGACTGCTTGTATGGCGACCCGCCTTTTACATCCTCCCCCATGCCATCCGATGCGACTAGGAAGCCCCTGAATATCGACCTTTCGCGTTCCTCAATGGAATCGCCCCCAGGAATTGCTGCCTTGTTCGTCATCTCCTTCGACATTCGCACCGGGTAAGTGATACTCCCCTTGAAGCTCCGAGCAAGGAGGGGCATGTCGCTGATACATCCTCGAACATTGCAGATATGTGGTGTCGTGGAAACGAACCGCCCCGGGAGGTAAGCAGATCCCATACATTGTTCCATTTTACCCCTCCTGTGACGTGGAACTAACACGGGTCCAATAGTCGAGGTCGAAGGGGTGGTGGAATACAAGTCACTCCCTTCAGGACTGCACAACGTCACAGAGGACCTAGTGTAAGTATATTATGTCGATGAAACTCTTTCTCCAGTCGCGCTAAATATCCTTCTACAGATACTTCGTTCACGACCAGTATGCCGGTATCAGCGCGTTTCTCAACCGTCCCGCCGCCGAGGCAGAGCGCAATGCTAGGATGTTTGCCATTGGAGTTCTGGTCCCCCTCAGTTCTGGGAGACTGGGCAAGAGTTGGAGACATGCTCCCAAGCTGAAAGAGTTGGCGTTGTATGTTTGAGAAGCTTCATCGCACAGCTATGCGCCCCGCTAATCGTCGCGTTCGATAGGAGATATGCAGCGGATATGGCCGACACGCAACCATTATCAGACTACTGGGACACCTTCCAGCTGAAAGACACACAGGCTGCGCCCGTGGATTCCCCGATTGAGTCACCATTAAGCCTTCGATTTCGACCGGAAGATAGACAAGATAGACCAGATAATCGCAATCGCGCATTTAGTGATGCGATGGTGTTGGAGACGTTCAGGCCGGCCTTGACGCCTTTTCACCCTGCTTCCTCGCTTCCGGATTTCCTTGATTGCTTTGGACCCTTGATCTTCCCATTGTACAGGGCGGCACTCTTGCGAAAGCGCATTCTCTTCATGAATGAGGCGCCAGTCCATACACCCTGCAATTATGGTAATTGTCCTGTCCTTGAACCAATGCTTGAATCCCTACTCACCCGACTGCAGTGTATGATCTATCGCTGCTAGCATCTCTCCCGAACTCTCTTCTCCAAACACTTCCGACTGACCGCACCCCACCGTTGCGACCCCGCCCCCTGTTCAACGTTGGCATTCATGATATCCCCTTCCTCTCTTCCTTTGATCCCTCTCGGGCAACTATGGATCCTGAAACAGACCCAAGCTGGATTGCTTGCTCGACTGATAGTGTCCTGACCATGAAACCCGAGCTCTACGACGCGCTCGTTACCCTCCCTCCACAACACTCTCAGCAAGCCGCAGAGCGAGCTTTTCCTACAATCAGCTTGATGGACCCTTCCAGCACCAAGCACAATTCGAACCAGAAGTTTCAACTAAAAGCAACTCAACGCGATGCTCGCCGATATGCTATGCTGCGCAGAGGCCTACGCCAGTTCTCCCAGGACCAATCCTCAGATGACAGCTCCGATGCTGAGTCGACCTACTCTTCAAGTCATATCGTGGAACCTTTGTCCTGGACCCGACTCGCATACACCTCTTTCATCTGGTGGGCATCTGCCGGCGAGAACCGCGACGGTCTATCTGAAGAAGAGGAGGAACAACAGATCGAACAAGACGCCCGACTTCTGGCAAGCGTGGAGAGTCTTGCATACCCCGGCCCGGGCAGAGGTCGTCGCCGCTCTGTCCATCTTGAAGACCCCGGCCAGGAGCCTGCGGAAGTCGCGCTGGTAGCTTATTTCCGTCGTCTCACGACCCAGATCTTCTACACACTTTCCGGCGCCATTGCTCGTCATGATAACGACGGCGAAACCGATGCCTATGCCGATACGCCTTACCTTGATGACCCTGCTGAAGATGAGACAGACATGCCTCTCTCCAACTCCCGACAGTCTTTCCACAGCGATGGTGGTGAAACGCCCCTCCTGCGTCAGAGATCACGTGTGAATTCTTCTGGTCGTCATGAGTCCGCCTCGATACACAGTACACAAGATACGGAAGACCCGATTGCCATTACTGTTGCTGATATGGCGGAGATGGGCCTCGACGTGTGGAGCGCCACTGATCGCATCTTCGTCGAGGAACTTGTTTCACTTTGGTGGGGACGTTCGGCCTATGTTGATAGCGCTCGGATCAGGTGCTGTGGTATCTCCATATTGTAGACAGTTGGCTTCGATATTTTTGTCACATATACCTTGATCTTTTCTTTTCCTATCTCAAGACTTGATTTCGCTGTATCTGTGAATGCCTCCTGTATCCAGCTTTTTGTGCAGAGGTGTATTACATTTAAGCTGGGAAGTCTAGTTTCCTCTTTTTCCTGCTTGGGTGATGGGGTGCCGATGTACATATCCGGGGATTTGCCGAATTAGAAACCCCCATCCTGCCGCAGACGTGCACTTCAAACCCATAATGTAATTCCAACACCGGTGTTAAGGGTGTCAGAATAAAAGGGTAATGGGTATCGGCCCACTCGCAGTTCGCTGTCGGATCGCTCAGGTAAGTCAAGAGAGGTGTTTTTCCTCAAACTGGGATTAGCCACCTGAGCGCTCATGCAAGCTTACGGTGGGAAACAACGCATATAGCCAATTATCCATGGCTGATTTGGCGCGAGCTCGGGTAGGAACACATACATATGCAGGTTGTTATGCACAAATAAACAACGTGCATATGACTTGGTTTGGACCAACAGGAAATCGAGGCCTAATAAGGCTGAATGAGGCTGAATTGTGTTCAGCTTCGCCCCAAGACATACCACTCCCATTTGCCTTGCCAGGCTGAATCGTCTCTTTATGTGCTTTTTCCTTCTTTTCAAACTTTTCTTTCCAATAAATAAGCCCTCCTCTCCTCATTCCCTATTGTTTCTCATCCAATATATTGTTTCTGTCACAATAACTCACTATATCAATACATTGTCTTTTTTTGACATTTCGCTATGGCTATCTACATCCCTCTTCCCTCGGATGAGGTGATTCATGACTTTGAATATTTTTTCCTCGAGCAGTCTTATCGATTTCTCCTGAACGGATGCTGATTCGTGAGGGTCTTCAATGCCCTTATCCATTCAATCCTGCGGGCAATGCTATACTCACCTTGGCTGGGGACGCGATTCTCCGCCAGATTCTTGTCGATCAGGGTCGAGCCAGAGGAAGATCTCCGAGTAGGAATTTCTCTTATCAATGACTAACTGGAAGTATACTAACTATTATCTCCAACAACAGAAGAGATCCAGAATGTCATCGAAAAGGTGGCTCCCAATGTCAACCTGTATGAGAAGGGTCTTGCCCTAGGTCTTGACCCTTACATCGTCAAAAATCCGAGCCAGCGGAACGAAGTCGCTGGGAAGATTGTCATGGCTACTACCATGGAAGCCATCCTTGGTGCAGTCTACTATGACTCCAACAAGAACCTCGGTGCTTGCGAGCGGGTCATGTCTGTCCTTGGCCTCTCCTGGCCCGAGTGATCCACCGCGATCCCTTCAATGGTAATTCCTTGCCATAGAGGCATAGAGAAGCTTCGATGAGGGGATATGGGCAATCTGTTACAGGGCTGCATCTTTTTTATTTAGCAGTGATATGGGGTGTGAAGTGCCTTGCATGTCATGGCGCTATTAAATGAGCCTTATCCACTTTGCAACGGATCGCCTCTATCCCCACATGGCGGCGTCCTTACGCCTCTATGGTTGGGAATTATTTCATGAAGAACATTTTCTGGGCATGATGAATCGCAGCGGAGGATTTGAATTGAGATTTCTTGAGATAATCACTTATCAAAAATGAAATCATATTAAAGCTGTGGCGCTAGAGGTCGCGCTCCCAGCTCTCTTGAGTGTGGTTTATTGCGTAGAATGCTCGTACATGGGCAACAGGGAACAGCTTTCAAAATCACTACTAGATTTCTCACAGCCAATCTGTAATCACGGCAATTTGTTAACATCTTAACTGAAGTGCTTTCAAAAGAACTTCCGTCTGGTCAATCCATCTCTCTTCCACGACATCAGAGGCATGATAATTCATATATGAACACTGACACAACCAACCCTTACCCATATAAATCATACTGACACCCCTCAAATCAATATCGACACTGCATTACCATCAGGATTTAGAACCTCGTACTTGATATCCTTATAATCATCTGTCGCCCGCGCATAACCAACGAATTCCTCCTCACTATCAGCAAGTGCCGTATAAAACTTCCCGATGGCCTCCGTAATTTTCTTATCCACATCCGATGTCTTAGTCCGATAAACAAGCCACTGCGAATGGGCGCACGCAATCAGCGTTTCTTTATCCTGATCCGGCTTGAAGTTGAGTAGGTATGGAACATGGGAAGAGAGAAGCCATTCCCGCGGATGATTCATAGGAAGCGCTTTGACAAGGTCGTCTTCGGTGTAGTTGAGCAGACTCTGTAAGGAAGTGGGAGGCGGGGTGAAAAACGAGGGGGGCTTGTTGATCACGAATGCTTGGTAGTAGTCTTGTAGGTAGTTGACAGCTGTGTGTTGTGGTGATGCGATGTGGATACACATCGTCACGCAATCAACTAATTCGGCGAATGTGCTGATGGTTGGGAAAAGGGGTAAATCAGCGCCGTTGGGACTTCGCATTTCGGCTGACCAGTCCTGAATCTCTTTATCGTCTCGGATATTCTGGTCTGCGTTGAGCTCAGGGTAGGCTAGGGAAAGCATAGTTTCCACGTAAGCCCTGATCTTGTTCCACATGCTGTTGATACATCTGGCGTAGGCGTAGTTGTGGAACTTTGGGCTGTTGAGTTGTTCTGGAGGGAAGCCTCGTTCCTTGAGATCTGTGGGTATGTAGCTTTTCTTGAAGTCAAAGGTCTTGTATTCACTCCGTATGAATTGGAGTGCTTGCTTCGAATCAAACCCGATGATGTCGAGGATTATATGGGGAACCAGAGTGCTTCGAGCTGCTGCATTCAATGCTAGGGTTTTCTGCCAGTGCGGGCGAAGGATACGGAACACAGGGTGGTGGGGATCTAATTTTCGGTTACAGGCGACTATGACGGCTTCTTCGATCAAATGGGTACGTGTAAGGTGAGCGGTGACTTCGTGTCGAAGCCAGTCGCTACATTGCACACAGCTTTTGGCTGTTTGAGATAGAAGTTAGCGCACATAGTAGAGACACAGTTTACTGGGGAAATTTACCATATCGCCAAGCCCAGTCAACAGCCTCATCCATTATCTTCACCTTTCGGTCATGCTTTTTGTTTCCAGTCCGAATGTCCGTCCGCTTGGTCAATTCTCGGTTGTAGACTGTCACCGAACTCTCAATGCTGCCTCGCCAATCGATGACAATAGCTAGCGGGTAAAGCTGGCCTTTATCATTGAGATAGAAGAGACACACTGACGCGCATCCATACCGATAACTCTTCTCGCCATTTTGCGCTTTGGGGTCGTAATATTCACATTTGATGTCGTCAGCCGGGGCAAGACCAGCAGCTTCACGGAAGTAGCTGTAATCCTGCATATATAGTGACCCTCGTGAGCTGATGCTTAGGTCTGTGATAATATTCTTCACTGCTTCATCATCTGCACTTGCAGCTTTGATGAAGTGGTGTATCCACATATCTGAAGCCCGTTCAATGGTTGTAGGATTTGTCCCTGTAAAGTGTTGCTGGGCAAACCGAGCATCGGTGTACCAATCTTTCAAGTCGCCCACATTAGGACGATCGAATATATCATTGCGAGACCCCCGCGCGCGTTGTGTCCTGTTATAATCTTCCACGTTTGCAATCTTGGTTCCTGCATCGGGTGTGCCCATTGTCCCATACCGGGCGTGACCGATTAACCCTGCTGCTCCTTCGACAACTTCTTCAAGAAACCCCTCGGCGCGTTTGGGAATTGATTCGAATCCATGAAATTCTTGTGGGACAACCAGAGGTAAGATCGAGGTCAATTGGACCAGGCGCATGGCATTGAAAATTTTGAATTGCGAGAGTGTTGACTTTTGGTTCTCATCCTTCTCACGCGCTGCTGCTTCCTTATTACCAGCAAGATTAAGATGGGGTGGGAAACCATCTTCTTCGCTCTTTGTGAAGGCAAAGTCGTTGCATTTCTGTTCCTTGGTCTGAGCCGGAGGGACCAGAGGCTCGAAATTGGCTACATCCATGAAGGATATATAACTGTCGAATATATCAGCCATCCGTCAAAATGATCAAAAAGCTCAGGGTTTGATGCAAGTACCGTTGTTCTATAAGGTCGTATGCCTTACTCATGGCAAGCTGAGTCCCCCGGTATGTTCCTTTCTGAATCCCTTCAGGCCGCTGATCTCTTTGCTTTCTCCAGCTTATATTTTCGGGATTATGGTCGAAGGCCCGTTTCTCGTCTTCATTCAAATCGATCTCCCATGGTAAAAACTTAAGGTGTGACAGCTCATTGATGAATACACCGGTGTCCAGGCCATTGGCAACAACGTTTTTAGGGTCCTTGGGCCATTTCCTATGGGCGTCGGTATCACTAGGCCCGACGCCAGGAATCAGGGACCCGACGCGAACCATGATTGCTTGCAGCGAATTGTAACTCAATAGTCGGTATGTTCGAATTGAGTTCCGATACCTAGTCGCTAGTCCCTTAGGTGGCGACCTTGAAATTAAATAGTGCAATCAGTAATTGATAGAATATAATCAGTCACCGGAGCTACGTTTGGTTTTATAAATCACTGCCTCGTGATGTCATGACTGGTCAGTAATCGAAAACATCAATCTTCATAACATGCTACGTTCCAAGGTTGTCCTCGTATCCCGCACTGTCTCATATCCAAGTGCAGTCAACCTTTCTCCTACGATGAGAATGTCCATGCTGATTCTCGGAATTCTGGCATCATTGCGGGGCTGAAGTACGCACTGGGTTGAGTCTGTCCGGAATCCAGAACAGCCATAAACGGATACCCCGGATTGGTTACTGAGGACGAGGTTCCGCAACTTAACTATTTAGGCTTTACTAAGCCAATAGAACGTTGATTGGGTCGATGGAGAATTTAACGCAAGTCGGACACATAAAGTTGTCAGTGGATGACCCGTCCTATTGCCTACACGGGCAACCCAAACGCTGCAAGCGGATATCCTGGGCTGTGGGTAGCTTTGTTTGGATCCCCCGGATTTTGAAGGCATCGAGACGGGCCGAGAGGCCTGGCCCACTGCACAGAGGGTCATCGACAAGGCTCTGCAGTCTCAAGCTCAGGTATCTACTGGCCACAACCCTTGGTCCTAAGGTTCTGCCAGTATAGGTGACCGTAAGAAGACGTTCGCCTTCAGCTCAGTCACACAGCGAAGAAAGAATTATGCAAGAGTCTGGATGGTGAGGGATATGTGCCGGTAAAGAGCTATTTGGGATTCTATTTAGTGGGGAAGCACCTTTGACAGACCTGGAGCCTCTTACGAGATAGCACACAAAGTCCATGATACATTCTGGACCCAGCCACTTTCTAGGCATGCACACTGGAATGCTGCAGGTACTCTAGACCCACCAATCCCGAAACGTCACTCGGGACGTACCGAACCCAAAGCTGGGTTATAGAACAGAAATTTGCCAAATAATCGGTGTCGGTTGTGCTATCCATCTTGAGCATATACGCCATCTAGAATGATTATAGTTGACTGTTGGTTATACGAAGAAAATCCATTATTAAACGGGTTAATATCAAGAATAACTCCATGCAGACATAGGAAATGGTTAAGGAGTGTTCGGGTGAAGATGCATAAAAACCGGGGAGTGAGTGCAAGCAGTTAGATGCATAGTGAACTCTCTAAAAGAGTAATAACAAGAGTATGATACTGCAGCGCCATGCAATAATAACCAAACCATAACCAGTAACCAAAAAGGCGAAAACATTAGATGCACCTGCGCCGGGGTATTTCGCAGTGTAAAGACAAAGACCGGCTGACCAAAATAACAGAGAACAAAAGACATCAGATAGACATGACGATTCATAGGCGTAAGAGACAACCGAGGTAGCCACCATTAACGACGGAACATACGGACTGGAGCACTCAGATCCCGACGTTCAACCACGTCATTCTCGCTTCTTGAAGATTGCGTTTGGAGGTTGGGGATGCGTCGGGGACCCCGTCCGGGAGTGGCGGCGGTGCTTCCAGTAGAGCCTGCGGACCGGCCAGCCTCGTTGGCGCTCACTGAGCGCACATTGCTGCGTGCCCGACCACGTCTCGCCCTGATCTGTGCAAGAGCTTCTTCGCGGTCGATTGGCTGGTTTGGGAAGAAAGACGAGCTCTGCGGAGCGTTTGGCTCACGAAGAGGAACTCGCTTGGTTGTTGAGTGAGAGTGGTAATCTTCTCGCTCCCGGGTCCTTGTAGGCCTGGCTTCGATGGATGCAGAGACTTGAATCCCCTCATTCATAGCCGGCTCTGATGGAGCATGATTGGCCATTCTAGATGTCCTGGGCTCTTCCGAGGGAGTGTAAGACCGCACATGTCCACTTGAGGAGGCTGATTCCCTCCATTCAGGGCGAGGTCGTACTGGGGGGTATGGAATGGGAGCGTCGAAATCCTCAGTCCGTCGAGGTGGAGGTCTGGGTATGTCGCGAATGGGTGATGGGAATGTTTTGAAAGTGCCCGTCTCTGGCGAGAAAGTTACCAGGGGCTCCTCGGGTAGGGGCATCTTCTCGGGAGGCTCCGTTGGCTCGCGCTTCACTTTTACTTCTGTTTCCACGCCATGTCGGTGCGGGGGAGGGGCAGGAGGCTCCACAGACGGCGTGTGGCTGGAATGGGGAGCATGGTAAGAGATCTGGGCTCGCCGAGCTGCCTCTTCTTGGGCTGCCGCCTCTGCTTGGGCCGCTGCCTCTGCTGCTTCCTTTTCCTGTGCTAGCTTCGCTTCGGCCGCCGCCTCTGCTTGTGCCTTTGCTTGTGCTGCCGCCTCGGCCTCTGCCTGGGCCTTTGCTCGTGCCGCTGCCTCTGCTTGTGCCTTTGCTTGTGCTGCCGCCTCGGCCTCTGCCTGGGCCTTTGCTCGTGCCGCTGTCTCTGCTTGTGCCTTTGCCTTCGCCGCCGCCGCCGCCTCCTCTGCTGCTGCTTTGGCTTCCGCTTCCAATTGTGGTTTTTGGAACTTTTCGTAGTATTCGTTATCGTAAATGAATCTTTGGCCTTCCTTTTCAGCGATTCGGCATGAGCACCGCTCAAACTGGCATTCGATATTCAGGAAATGGACCATCTCTTCCGCTGCAATTCTTTGACGACGCTCGATGTAAAGCTCATCTTTAAGGTCCTCTATCATTTCACAGTCAAGATCTGACGGAGCGGCGAGAGGCTCCTTAACAACAGATGTAACCTCTGATAGTCGCTGTCGTTTCGGGGGAGTGGCCTCGGCAACGTTTTCGGGCTCTCGTTCTTGAGCAGGGGACCTTATAGAGTCTGCTGCAGCTCTTTTCGGTCGTCGTGGTGTTGTCAAAAATGCGAGATCGCCCTCAGCCAGGGACATCCGACCAAAGTCTTCCTTGCGAATCTCATGGGCTCGAACTTCCAATTGATTTGAGTGGTCGGCTGCCTCCATAGATCGGAGTTTGCCCTTAAGTACTTCAAGTTCTTCCGTAAGACCAGCTAGAGCGTATGCGCGTTCAAATGCCTCCTGCTTCGCGTGGTCCTTAGCCTCCCGCTCTGCGGCGACTTCATCTTTCAAGGCCTTTGATTCCGATTTGGCGTGTTTCAGCTCTTCCTGAAGCTTGACCAAAGTCGAGCCGGCACGGAAGGCTTCTTTACGGGCCTTTCGGATTTCTTTCTCGAAAATGGATCGTTCGTGGGCTTGGCGTTCTTTCGTGCCGTGGAGTTCTTCTAATAATGATTCAAGTCGCTCGCTAATCCGGCGTTCTCGTGATTGCGCCTCGGAGAGATCTTCTTGTGCCGATGCGAGAGCTGATTCGGCCTCCTCGCGACCGAGGATTGCCCTCTGTAGCGCGGCATTGTTTGTTGCTGTTTGTGCTTGGGCACTCGGGCTGCCCCCTCGAGCGAGACTATTTAAGAATGCCACTTTTGCTTGGACCTCTGATACCCCTTTGATATTTTTGTGGTGTAGTGATAGCAGCTCGGAGGGAAGGGAGGGAGAGGCGGGGATGGTTTGTTGATTCATGCGTTCCGGTGATACCGGGTTGAGCGCTTTGGTAGGACTGAGGACTGGACGCGTTGGAGACTCCATCGCGGGTAGGGTCGAGAATATAGGTGACCGGAACAAGTGTCAAGCGGTCATGGGTGCAATTTGGGAGGAGAGGTGTCCACGGGAGAAAATCACCGCTGAAGTTTGGGGAGTGACGCACCCACACGATCCATGTTTATTGCCCTTTTCGTGTGAGACACGTGACCGTTGCCGTGGACACCAGGAAACCCAACCTATTCGGGTTAGTCACGCTTCTCTATCACGGGGCAAACCATCACGTGTGGAGGCACTCGAATCGGGATTAGCGCGGGGAGAATCACTAATCTGTGCGGCATCATATGCCACGCTCATGCGAGTAGCCGGGATCTGAGAATTTACGAAGCTTTTGTCAGCGGCATCTGATTCAGATGCATGAGGTCGTCACCTTACAGCTAGGCCAGCGTGCCAACTATCTGTCAACACATTTCTGGAATCTTCAGGTACTGTGAAAATGGTTACTATTATCTAACTTGTCTTTTCAGCTCTGATCTATGAATAGGAATCATATTTCACATACAATGAGAGCGAAGAAACTCCCATTGACCATGATGTTCATTTCCGACCTGGTGTGGGAGCTGATGGCTCAGAAACCTACACTCCTCGAACTGTCATCTATGATCTAAAAGGCGGGTTTGGCACTCTCCGGCAATACAATGCGCTTTATGAAATGTCCGAGAACGCCGTGAGCGGACAGGGCCTTTGGTAACTCCTCAAGTGTTCGTTCCTTAATCGCATGCTTGAAGCTGACTATAATAAGGGATGGACTAGAAGTTGTGCAAAGGCAAACTCCTATTCAACCGAGTGAATATCAAAAAAGTTTAGATTTGGGCACTCCTACACCCCGACTAACATCTGACACCGTGCGCTACTGGTCTGACTACAACAGAGTCTTTTACCATCCGCGATCCATTGTGCAGCTGAATGAGTACGAGCTCAATTCCCAGATCATGCCTTTTGAGGACTGGAATGCCGGCGAAGAACTCTTTAATGATCTTGATAAGGAACACGATCTCCTTGACCGAGACGTCAGACCGTTTGCAGAAGAGTGTGATCAAATGCGAGCAATCCAGATATTCTCTGGGGCCGATGATGCTTGGGGTGGCTTTGCAGCACGGTATATCGACCGCTTGCGGGATGAGTATGGAAAGAAGAGCGTATGGGTGTGGGCCATCGAGGATGGCACCCGAGTTCAACGGGTTTGTTTACCCAAATGTCTTCCAACGCAAAGGTGACATACTGACATATTTGCATTAGCATCAACAAATGAAAAAGGATGTGAACAAGGCCAAATCGCTGTACTCGATCTCGCCACAGGCCAGTCTTTATGTACCGATCGTTGATATTCCATCGAGACTTCCAAGCTACATCAATGTAGACCGACACTCCCAGTGGCAGACCACCGCCCTAATTAGCGCAGCTCTTGAGACTATCACCCTGCCGTCCCGTCTACGGCCATACCATGACTTTGAAGCCTCCCTAGCTGGCGATGACGGAAGACACACAATTTATGAGCTGCAGTGTTCCATAAACCCACAGGATCGAGATGACAAATCACCAACAGAGGAAGAGGGAAGACCCAAGGCCCAATCTGAGTTCGACATTGACTTCAGCTACGGAGACGGTGATGACAAAAATGCGCATATTTTCAACCAGGTCCAGGTGACTCGCGGACACGAGCGTGGAAATTCTACAGAACCAAAACAAGAGGAGCTTGGTCACATTCGTAAACTTCGATTGTACAATTCCGAAGCTATGCTTCAAAGGTATGCTGTATGCCTGTGTCCTTGTCTCACTTCTTCACTAACCGAGCAAATTATCTAGCTATCATACTCCGCTTCGCATGCCCATGCTTGATAGTTTCCCGCACGATCTCTACCCAACATTCAAGTCCAACGAAGGTCTCAGCGTCTTTGCCGCATTGACCTCTTCAACCCGGACAGCACAAAGAATTAAGTCTATCGAGGCCACCACTGCCCGTATGCTATCCGTCGACGAGCGGGAGAATATGATGAATGGATTGGGCGAGATCAGGGAAGTCTATGAGACTGGTTGGGATAGTGGATCCGATGATGATTCTGATTAGGTAGAGCTGCCAAAAACAAACAAGAAATACTACATTGCAATATGACGCTTCACTTCGGATAGATCGGCTTCTGACCCGAATATTAAACTCTCACGAGGCCATTTTGCGTTAGGGTACGGCGACATATTCCGCCGCCGTACGACCCCTAAATTAGTATTTGGTGCAGACTTTCTGGAAATCTCTTGAGTCATGTGAATAGTAGTTTGAATATTACGAGCTTTATATAGAGCTCTCGCCCAGAAAACGGCGGCGTCGCTTGTTTGACCAGCACACGTGGCGTGTGGCTTTGAGACAGTTGAAGACAATAGAACAAAATAACGTACTAGTCGAATGACTGAGACAGAGTAGGTCCCTAGGTGACGGGCCCTTCCCATGAACCTGGCTCAAAGCCACTCCTCGAACACCCTGCTTTGACCTTGGGTGCTATTGAAGTCTCCGCATCAAGCGTGGTAGGATTCGGCAGTTCGAAGTACAATTATTCAGAATGACCTGATTCTCCCGTCACTATTTCTCTGATAGCTTTGACAGTTTCCGGGTGTCGCCGGTTGTAATTTCAATTATCAGGAGAATGAATGCGTCTCTCGCACCTTTGACCAACCGGAATGATTACACAGGAGAGTAACCATGGAACTCGCATACCTTCCGAAACATGACAAGTAGCGAGCCATTGTTCATGGTAACTAATATAGAACAAAAGCAGGGGACCAACATCGCAACTGGGGAATTGACCTCGTGACATCATGCCTACTGATTGACCCCGCGCGAAACTTCACAGTGTCTGAGCGCACTTTCACCAATTTTCCTGCTTCACGGAAATCTCCACTTTCGAGCGCCGGCTGAGTTTTCTCTCTGAGGTCTCCGTTGTTTTTGTTTTGTCATACTCAGGACCAAGGTAGCTGTCATGTAACGTTACTTGCAGGAAGCGCTTCAAGGCACTGGATCATCCCGCCCAATTGACTCCCGGATAGGATGCATGAGCTACGGATCCACCTTGTCAAAGCCTAAACACTATCTGAGTGGAGAGACGCTGCAGGGACTGGTAGCATGCATCATTGTGGCCCGCTTTCTCGACCCTGAACCTGACAGATTCTCGGATCCTAGGTCAATGCGCGTATGTCTTAATTCCCGGACTCTTTTGGCAAATGTCTCGCCCAGGGCAATCGTCCTCGCTAACCTTAAAGGCTCAGGGCTAAAGCCGGTATGAACTTAAGTGCCGGAACAAGACTGCCGTGACGTTTTTCATTCGCGAGGTTTCCCCACAAAATACTAACCACTCAACGACTGATGAAACCTAGCTTATCTCTGTCGAGCTCCAACTGGCATATTTGATCTGGTGACGAGAAACTGCTAGTAAGACCCAGAAACGTGATTCCAACCCGCCTTTCAGTTTTATGATGACGGCAAAGGCCAGTAGTGTAAACCAAAACCGACCTGTCGGTATGAATACGATACGCTTCTTTCAGCCACAACATGCCTTCCCCGAAGAATTCTCTATACTCCAGTCTGCTTCCACTACAAATGCCAAAACCACTGCTTCATAACCGGGTCACCTCTAGTCCCGTTCCGAATGTCGGTCTCTGGATGTATTTGGCTTGGCAACACGTATCCAGGTGCTTCTGTTGAGCGAACCAAGTTTTACTCTTGAGACATGAAGGCATCCATTGGCCAGCCTCCTTGATCTATCGCCGAGCTAGCCGGGGTTGTGCGCTAGTATTAGCTTTCATTTTGCTTTGACACCGAGTTTCCAGAGCTGCACAGCTCCGTGCCTTTGGATATGTGGAAGGTTCGCTGGTTTCTGTTACTTCGCTAGGCCCAGTCAGCCTTTCAAGCTGTGTCCCACTTAGGGAAACGGTATCGTATGAGTACCAAAGTCGTACGAATATAGTCACGCATCATCCAGATCGAGCCGATTTCATCCACCAATCTAGGAAACATAACATCTAGCCTAGGAAAAGGTTTCCGAGAGCCAATATATAACCCACACATATTATCCTCGCCTCTTTGCAGTAGTTCCTGAACCGTTGAATTATCTGTTCTAGGAACTCTTTCGCTACGGTTCCGAGGTCTGGTTCTTTGTTCAAGAAACAAATATAAAGTTCATTTGACGCTTGATTCTAGCAATCCACTGCCGTTTCGATTCTCAGTATGCGCAGCGCTTTGATCTTTCTACTCTATGTCGCCAGCCTGGTCTCAGGCAATGTTCTGCCGAGGCAAGCTGCCGGCGACATTCGGGTTGGCATTCGTCAGCTTCAGAGCAATACACAAGCCAATACTACATCCACCCTGCTTCCTACGTCCACAACTTCTGTGACTCTTGCCTCCACTCCAACTGGGACGCGGACGGGGTCAGATCCAGGAACTGGAACTGGAACAGCGACAGTATCGGGTCCAGGCACGACTGGAAATGAAACGACGACGGCAACTTCGTCTCTCTCATCAACATCTACTAACCCAAGTAGAACGAGTACGCCTCGCGGTCCTCCCCCAACTTCCACTCCATGCGAGAAATGCTCTGAGAGCAGCTCTGCTACCTCAACCTCAGTCTCAACTCCATGCGAGAGATGCTCTGAGAGCAATTCTGCAACCTCCACCCCATGCGAAACTAAAACCACTCTGACGACTACTCCATGCGAAACTGAAACCACTCCGACGACTACTCCATGCGAGACTGAAACCATTCCGACGACCACTCCATGCGAGACTGAAACCATTCCGACGACCACTCCATGCGAGACTGAAACCATTCCGACGACTACTCCAAGTGAGACTGAAACCATCCCGTCGACTACTCCATGCGAGACTGAAACCATTCCGACGACCACTCCAAGTGAGACTGAAACCATTCTGACGACTACTCCATGCGAGACTGGAACCATTCCGACGACTACTCCATGCGAAACTGAATCGTCAACCCCCCTTCCGACTACTATGACTACTACGTTCACGACAACTACCTGTCCGAGTATGTCAATTCCCGGTTGTTATCCAAATGATCGCCATGAACATTGCTAATTTTTTAAAGTCTCGTGGACTTCTGTCACAAGTGGATCGGCTGTCATCAGTCAGCCGGTGACTCTGACTAGCACTCTCACCCTGACCTCTGTTGTCACCTGCAACGAGGGATGCCGTGAGACAACTACCCCAACTGAGACCGGTGGTTTGATTCCGTCCGCTACTTCGGCTCCCGAATCTTCCTCTCTTGCGTCTGTAAGCTCTCTTGCGTTTGAGAGCTCGCCTGCGGCCCAAAGTACTGCTGCGTCCCAAAGTTCTCCTGCAACCCAAAGCTCTCCAGCTGCGAGTGAGAGCTCCTCTAGTTCTGGAAGCACTGTAGCCTCCGGTTTCCCTACGGTGCCTGTTGCTTCTGCTAGTAGTAGCCCTGTCTTCAATGCCGCCTCGTCTCAATTCCAAAATTCTCTGACTGGCTTCTTCCCCGGTCTTGTCATTGCCTTGGTACTGATATGATCAGCCCAGATTTGAGGACCATGGAAGTTGTCAGGAGAAAGGACTATTCACGATGGGGTCATGCTGAAGAAGATTTTTGGACATTTTAGGCGGTACAGACTGGGAAACGTACGCGAAGACCTGACCTAGACGGAAGAAAATGGAAGGGGCAGACAAGTATGTTCAGTTTTGTGGATCTGGGATTTGAGTGGGTAGTGGGTTATCTTGCTACCCACTCTCATGCCCCTAGTTTTGATTCTTCTTTGCCTCGGCAGGAGAGCAAAGTTTCTTTGCGATGTGACGTTTTGGTGGTATGACTGACGTTCCTTACAATGACATGCAGGGATAGTTCTGCATAAATTAGTCTTTAATTGATTCAATTGTGACAGTATTATTGAAAATTTGCAGATTATGTCTTTTACTGCGAATAGTAAAGTCTTGTACGTCGGAATAACTATAACATTATGACAACCCTACTCATCACTCTGACTTGAACATTTGTATACTGCCTGTTGGCCTTAACTAGGGCTCAATGTATTACATAATATGGTGGGGCCAAACAATGCAAACACCCTTACATCGAGGTGCTGTCGGACCCGTGGCCTCAGATGCGGCTCGTTGTGTTTCTGTTGCCAGGTGGCCACTCTATCCCCTCGCACCTAGATGAATTAATCGACGTGGTGTTCTACCCTTATATCACCCAATCTCCCTCCCGACTCTGATATACACCCCCAATCCCCCCACCGCTCGATTCTAGAGCTACATTCATTCGGCGCAAGACTAGCGTTCCACCGACACACCTCTTGGCGATCTGGTGGAGCGGCTTTCAGTACTCACTACACTTCTGTACTAATAAGCTGCCTTCATGTGCGTCATCTCCGAATAGCTTGTCTACAGCTTACATGATGAACTGACAGTCTCAGTGTGCAGCAAAAACATAGATCATGGCTCTCCCAGGCCGCCAAAGGCTTCATACTTCGCCATTCCTCTCCTTCGCAATCCTCCCAATTCTCGTCTTTCTCCTCAGCTTTGCAGGATCAGCTTCCGCAGCTGGATCCGCCGTTCTCGGTGTCGATGTTGGCACAGAATACTTTAAAGCAACACTAGTTAAACCTGGTATTCCTCTCGAAATCGTCCTCAGCAAAGACTCGAAGCGCAAGGAAGCCGCTGCTATCGCATTCAAGCCTACACGAGACTCATCCGCGGCTTTCCCTGAACGGTTCTACGGCGGTAATGCGCTGGCCCTGGCGGCTCGCTACCCGGACGACGTCTACATCAACCTGAAGACACTTCTGGGCGTGCCTTTTAATGATGGAAATAATGATGTGATTAAGAATTACTGGAGCCGGTTTCCAGCACTGAATCTCGAGAGTGCCCCCGATGGCCGTGGCTCTGCTGCTCTCCGCAGCAATCGACTCGGCGAAGCGGAGAAGAAGGATGCGTTTTTGGTCGAGGAGATTTTGGCCATGCAGTTGAAGCAGGTTAAGGAGAACGCCGATGCCTTGGCTGGAAAGGGCTCCGATGTCCGCGACGTCGTTATTACTTATCCCGCTTTCTACACCGCGGAGGAGAAGCGGAGTCTTGTGTTGGCGGCGGAGCTGGCAGGTTTGAAGATCGAGGCACTTGTCAGTGATGGTTTGGCTGTTGGTTTGAACTACGCCACTTCCCGACGATTCCCTAGTGTTACAGATGGCGAGAAGCCGGAATATCACGTCGTCTTCGATATGGGAGCTGGCTCAACCACTGTCAGTGTTTTGCGCTTCCAGAGCCGTCAGGTCAAGGACGTTGGCCGTTTCAACAAAACCGTCCAGGAAGTTCACGTTCTTGGAGCTGGTTGGGATAAGACCCTTGGAGGCGACTCGCTCAATGATCTCATTGTTGACGATATGGTTGCCAAGTTGGTTGAGGACAAGAAGCTTAAGGACAAGGTCACTCCGGCACAGGTCAAGGCGCACGGAAAGACAATGGCGCGTCTGTGGAAGGATGCGGAGAAGATCCGACAGGTTCTGAGTGCCAACACCGAAACATCTGCCAGCTTTGAGGGGCTTTACGACGACGATTTGAACTTTAAGTACAAGATCACCCGCGCCGCTTTCGAGAAGATGGCTGCTGAACATGTGGCTCGCGTCGGTTTTCCTTTAGAGCAAGCTCTAGAGGCCGCCAAATTGAAGCTTGACGATATTGACTCCGTTGTCCTGCACGGTGGAGCTATCCGAACTCCTTTTGTTCAGAAGCAATTAGAGAAGGTTGTTGGCTCGGCTAAGAAGCTTCGGACCAACGTCAACGCCGATGAGGCTGCTGTCTTTGGTGCTGCCTTCAAGGGCGCCGCTCTCAGCCCCAGTTTCCGCGTCAAGGATATTCGTGCCCATGATGCGGCTACCTACCCTGTTGTTCTAAAGTGGAACACTGATAGCAAGGAGCGGACCCAGAAGCTCTTCACCTCTACTTCCCAGGTTGGCCCGGAGAAGCAGGTGACTGTCAAGAACCTTGAAGACTTTGAGCTCAGCTTCCACCAGCTGGTTGATGAGAATGAGCTGCCCGTTTTGAGCGTGCAAACCCAGAATTTGACCGCGTCAGTGGCCAAGCTTAAGGACACCTTCGGCTGCTCGGCTGCGAACATTACGACCAAGTTTGCAATCCGTCTCAGCCCTGTTGACGGCCTTCCCGAAGTGACTGGTGGCAATGTGAGCTGTGAGGTGGAAGCCGAAAAGAAAGGAATAGTGGAAGACGTCAAGGGCTTTTTTGGTCTTGGCTCCAAGAAAGATGAGCAACAGATCCTCGGTGAGGATGGCGAACCCGCTGAATCCATTACCCTTGAGGCTGAGGCTGAGGCTTCCACAACCTCGTCCGCCAGCGCCTCTACCGCCACCGCTGCCAAGGAGAGCACCAAGGGTACCAAGGTTGAGATCATTCCGATCGCTTTGAAGTCCACACCACTTGGAACCAAGGCCCCCTCGGCCTCCGAGCTAGCTCGCATTCGTGCTCGCCTGGCTGCCTTCGACGCATCTGATCGCGAACGTATTCTGCGTGAGGAGGCTCTGAACGAGCTTGAGTCTTTCATCTACCGCAGCCGTGACCTTATTGAGGGCGAAGATTTCGTGAATGCTGTCAAGGCCGACCAGTTGACCACTCTCCAGGAGAAGATCTCCCAGGCCAGCGATTGGTTGTACGAAGACAGTGACAATGCACACACCGCAGACTTCAAGGCGAAGCTCAAGGATCTGAAGTCCATTGTTGACCCTGCTCTGAAGCGCATCCAGGAGGCTTCCTCCCGCCCAGCTCGTGTGGAACTTCTCCAGGAGATGTTGAAGAATGCCGAGTCCATGAAGTCGCTGATCGAGAGCCAGATCGCTATTGACGACGCGGCCTATTCATCCTCTCTCTCGGCTTCTAGCACCGCAACCGTCGAAGACGAGACCAACTCCGCTAGCACCCCTACTGCTGCCCCCACCGATGATTTGGATGACCTCGACGACGACGCGTACTCCACTTCTACCAAGAAGACCTCTACCAAGTCTTCCGCCGCCGCAAAGCCAACTGGTCCCAAGTATACGCTCTTCACCCCGTCGGACCTCACCACCCTGACCCAGGCTTACGACACCACTAAGCCCTGGCTTGAGGCTCAACTCGAGCTGCAAGAGAAGCTCACCGAGTCAGATGACCCGGCCTTGACTGTTGTGGAAATCGACTCTCGTCTTCGCGAGTTCGAGCGTATCCTCAACCGCATGTACGAGCGTATGACAGCGGCCGCTGGAAAGGGTCAAAAGGCCGGTGGTGATAAGGCGAAGAAGGAGAAGTCCGAGAAAAAGACTAAGAACAAGGCCGGCAAGGGCAATGAGAAGGAGACGGAGAAGGCAAAAGAAGACGATCGGAAGGATGAGCTCTGATCTGTCTCATTTTGTCACTATATCGCATTTTGGTCCTTTTCCGATTTTTTTATTCAAGTACAGCGCATGATAAAACTTTCATATCCTCATGTACCATGCATTCATGTCATGTTTCTAAGTAATAGAGAAAAGAGATACAATGGAGTTTTTTGTCTACAACGCATGGGAGTGGGTTTGATCCAGCTTTACCGATAAGCAAGTACCTTTAGAACTTTGTGACATGATTCATTTCAATATATGTTTCAACAGAGGAAAACAGAAGATGGCCGCTCCAGCATTGTCAAACGCGTTAAAAAGAAAAAGAAGGGTGAAGTTGGGGATTATGAGCGAAGCTCGTGTGCCTCCCATGACGGACGCCACCATTTCGTCACGAATTTGAGAACGAACACGATGACCTGAAGCGTGACGGTCATTGCTCGGAGTATGAGGTATCCCCTCCAGGAATCAAATTGAATCTTTCGTTGCAGGAAATGCATTATGCTGTGCAAGAGTCTATGTCGAATCAATATTCAGTTTCAATCTTGGTCGTTGTCGCTGCGATATTGATGGCTGGGACTCACCAAAGAGAATGAAATCCATCTACCTACCTGAGCAAGGACCACAAAGTGGAAATCAATGTAGTAATTATCAGGGAGAGTCAATGGCCCGCATTATAGCCTCATCTGCGTTCTGTGAGATTCATCGCCGTATAGTCGAGTTAAGAGCCGACATACTACATCTGTGTTATGGTGCAAAGGTGCGTACATGCGCGTCCGTAGATTAAAAGCCATCTCAGGGGCTTGAAGTGAGTTATAGACAAAAAAAGGGGAGTCGCACGAAAGAAGCAAAAATCTCGAATCTGCCTTCATCCCTTATCCTACATAGATCTATTGAGTATTGCTTTTTGTGGCGAACTACGTGGCTTTCTACACAGCATGAATGGCTGATTTAGCTGATGAGAGGGTTACACGGTCTTATCTGATTATATGATCAATCTACAGGTAGCTAAGTATTGGCATGACTGATCCTTGGGTCTTTCATCGGACCTTTCCTTTCTATCGCGGGCTAGTCCACATCGGAGACGGGATAATGCTCGGAGGTATGATACCCGAATCAGCACGATCTTCCCTTGAGACCCTCAGTCCCACATTTTCAGGAACTTGGGGGTTTCGACTTCTGCTGTTTCGCTGGATTTACCTGATTAGGCTAATTTCCGTCAAGATCTGCGCTGCTGGGGAAAAATATGGGGACAGAAGCATCTTGAACTCGCTTTGATTATGAGGGTATCAGATTCCCCGGCATGACCCTTTTTGATCATCTACATACCGTCCACTACACACTTGACAGAGACTTTCTGGAGTCATTATGCTGTATAATTGCGGGGTACATTTGACAAGATGTAACCTTTGAAAAGAAGCTCCGGCGGGGCGTTGATCTCCACCAGTCAAACATGTGGTATCTGTCTTTCTGCAGGTTTTCAGGATATTATATCCCCTTAGTCCCTGCATTGTGGGGGTCGCAGCATTGTTTCAACAGACATCATACGCTGGTTCGTCTTAAGGTATCGTTGTTTTGCAGGCACTAAAAGTTCGGTTAATTGCCTTTACGCTATTTTTTGCATACTTGAAGATGAACAAAGCATTGCCTCCGTCGCAGATCTTTCTGTGTAGAGACTTGTTCTGCATTAGCACAGGGAATTGGAGGCTATAAAATCAGCAAGATGCCATTCTCCCATACTTCTCAAAACTAAAACAAATCTTATCTCCCAAAAAAAAGGAATATGAAAAGTGACACGACCACTATGTATTCTTCATCTATCTTCCTCGCCCTCCTCCCACATCTAGCACTCGCCCTGCCAGGAATAACCATCAACAAACGCTCAAGCATCCTCATCCCCACCACCTGCTTCGACTCCAACACAACCCTGAATGAGTACTTCAACTACAACTACCCGTGGGGCGACACCCACAATGGCGCCGCCATAATGAGTAGCGCGAACGCCGTAATCTCCACCCCCGGCACTCTAACTCTAAACGCAACCTACACCGGCGGCTCGGACTACGCCTACGACTCCGGCACCGTCTGGGCCAAACAAGCATTCACCGTGGAGGAATCAGGTGGCCTGGATTTCTCTGCCGATTTCCTCGCTCCCGTGGCCACGGGAACTTGGCCTGCGTTCTGGCTCGATGGTGTGAACTCTTGGCCTCCGGAGGTCGATATTGCCGAGTGGAAGGGTACAGGCGATATCAGCTTTAACACGTTTAATACTTCCAGTGTGGTCACGGCTGATGATGTGGAGTATCCTGATCCGACGGAGTTCCATACTGTTAAGGCTGAGTTTAGGGATGAGAATGGGAGTGATGTTAGTATCAAGTTCTATCTTGATGGGACCCTGATCACGGAGCAGTATGCTAGTGGGCTTACGGGGCAGCCGTTGTATTTGATCATTGATCTGCAGATGGAGGGGAGTAGTGGGAGTCCTGGACCTACTGGAAGTAAGTTTATTTGAATCTTACTTGCAGGTCCGAAGCTAATCTTGATAGCGACGCTTTACGAGATTAAGAATTTGGAGGTGGTTAGTCAGAATTCTTGATTGGGGGAAGTCATCGGGATCTGTAACTTAGTGTACTTAACTTTGGATAACCGGGGCTCGACGTCATTTCTTTCGATGAAGGGCAACATCCTCCAGATGGTGCTATGAATAAGCTACCTCGGTCATGATCCGTCCGAAAACCCCCGTTGCCCCGATAGGGGCTCACATAGTGGGCCGGTGGAGTTTATAAGCCAGCGTACCTGATTTGACCCGACCGTTTTCCATCTGGGGAAATTTGACTCCAGACAAATTGAATTACTTGAGAACCTTATTTGCCTGCCATTATCCACGCGAAAGATGGAGATAGGAGAAATCACGGCGAATCTTTTACCTTTTAAGGTTTTACACACCCGGTGGGTGCTTATCAGCCAGCCAAGACAAGCCAAGGGATTGTCTTATCTTGCGGGGTTCGACCGCTATCTCCGTACTATGTACTACGGCAATGTAGATGATAAGCTATTTACTTCTAGTATAATTAAGATGATATTCCCACCTTCAATCCTGTACTAAGGGCTTAATCAATCATCGCAGTCATGTCTGTGTCTGAGGTCTCACCCAAACCCAAACACGATGAACATACAACTATCGCAAGTGTCGATATCGACTCCAAGGCCGAAAAGGCCTTGGTCTGGAAGTTCGATCTCCACTTGCTCCCCGTCTTGGCTATGATGTACCTTTTCAACAGTCTGGATAAGTCGAATTTGGGTAATGCAAAGACCGCCGGGCTTACAGAGACCTTGCACCTTGTCGACAACCAGTACAGCACTATTCTCAGTATATTCTATGTTCCATATGTTCTCACAGCCCCATTTCTTGGTTTGCTTGGCAAGAAATTCGGTCCCAATGTCGTGTTGCCTTGCATGATGTTAGGCTTTGGCCTATGCACTGTTCTCATGGTCGCCGTTAAGAACTTCAGTGGTCTACTTGCTATTCGCTGGTTCCTGGGTATGGCCGAGAGTGCCTTCTTTCCATTGGTCATCTACTACCAAACAACGTACGTTGGCTCACTGCTCATGATCAACTTACAATCTAACAATAAACTCAGTTTCTATCGTCGTGGTGAATTAGCCCGTCGTCTCGCTATTTTCTACGCTGCCCAGAATATCGGCTCCGCCTTTTCTGGCTTACTTGCTTTCGGCGTCTTCCAGATTCAGTCAGGACCCCTCGCATCATGGCGATACCTCTTCTTGATCGAAGGCGGCGCAACCCTAATTTGCGCCGTGTTCGCACTATGGTATCTTCCCCGCTCGGCATCTGAGGCAAGCTTCCTCACGCCCGAAGAGAAAGAACTCGCCTACCTCCGATTGCAAATTGACAGTTCGGCCGTCGTTAACGAAAAGCTGAATATTCGCGACTCATTCCGCATTTTTAAACACTGGACTAGCTGGGCTATTCTCGCTATTGAGATGTGTCTTGGTGTCCCCCTCCAGGGCGTCTCGCTCTTCTTACCTGTTATTATCGAGCGTCTGCAATACAGTACTGTCAAGACGAACTTGTATACAGTTGCGCCTAACGTTTCCGGAGCAGCTGTGCTGCTCATTCTAGCCTTCTGCAGTGATTGGACGAGATGGCGATTCCCATTCATCGCGCTTGGGTTTTTGTTCACTTTTACCGGAATGGTGATTTATGCCGCCATTGATGTTGAGAATAATATTAATGTGGCTTATTTTGCTTCCTTCCTCATGTGTTGGGGTACATCTGCGCCCTCTGTGCTGCTTGATGTCTGGTATAACAACAACATTGCCAATGAGGGACAGCGTGTCGTTTTGACTAGTATTGCCGTTCCTGTGGCTAATATGATGGGTGTTGTTGCTTCGAACATCTTTCGCAGTCAGGATGCGCCAAAGTACATCCCGGCTTTGGTCACTACCGCTGCCTTTGGTGGTGTTGGTATCGTCTTGACGATTTCTCTGGGACTTTGGATGATGTGGGATAATAAGCGGAGAGATCTAGCTCAGGGTGTGCATGTGCAGGCTAAAGATATCCCGACGGAGAATCTTCGGGACGGTCCGGCTGGGGAATGTTTCCGGTGGTTTTATTAAAAGACTATATCTCATGTATAATGACACTTTATGATAGATCTGAAATTAAGCATTCGCTATGCGATTTAAACATTTATCCTGTTTGGGTTCACTCTAACGGCAATTTCTAATTGTCGAATCATAAGACTTATCGATCCGTGTTTGAGCATCTAAGAAGCAAAAAGCTGCCTTTTGAGAAGGAATTGCTGTTATTCTAATTGTTCTAGGCAGATGTAATACGTAGTGGGTTTGGTCGAGCAATGTAGTTCAGAGGTAACAATATGCAATCCGACTGCGCGCTGCGTGGTAGATTTCAGATAAAATACAGATGATGATACAAATTATGGTACAGACAGGGTATAGATACAAAACAAAAGACTCCGACAACCAGGAACAGCAGAGAAACACCATCCAGTGGCCCTTAAAAGAAAATTTAAACCATGAATAATGAGCAGGGCGATCAAGCACAGTCCATCTGGCAGTCAGCATCAACCTCCTCTCGTCGACGAAGGAAGGTAGCCTCTTCAAAGTCATCCAAGTCCATGCCCGGGGTTTCATTCAGTTGAGCTTTGCGTTGAATCGCAAGGATACGGCGTCGCTGCTGTCCCAAGCTTGGAGACAGGATAGTTCTTCCAAGTGGAGCATCCTGCCATGGCTGGTTATCTTCCAGATCGGAGTCATCATCCGCAAATATATCGCTTCTCCCATCCAGGCGTCTCTTCTGGCCATTCAGCATGATTGGGACAGAGTCAGACGATGCGATCGATTCCTGACTGCTAGGTGGGAGGGAGAAGTCATCGCCGTCATCGGTGACGACGGATCGGCCCATTCCAGAAAATGGGGTCAGCTCGGAGTAACCGTTGGTGGTGTATGTATGAGCGACCGGTGCGTTCATCGCTGGCACACCTTTCTCCTTCTCCAGCGAGATCTGGGTCTTGTATCCATCGGCCACGGACTTGCGGACCCGCATACCGACGGAAAGAAGGGACGATTGAACTTTGGCTGGCACCACTGGAGTGGCTGAGAAGGTGGCGGTCGAGTAGTGATTGTGCGATACAGTAGCGTTGGGGGCGGTTGACCCGGCGGAGAAGTATGAGGTGATTGAGGGCTGGAAGCGCCGACGCTTGGACAGAGTACTGTTTGAGGGTTGCATCGTGAAATGTGATAGATAGAAGGAGTGGAGAGGTGGGGGTATCGAACGATTTCAAGGTGAGGGGCAGGGGGAGATTGAAGAGGGGAGAGGAAGATAAGAAATGCAGAATGACAAAATGATGCGGCTGGTAGTCTGGGAAACGCGACGCGGGTCCGTGACACGCGCTTGACACGTCTTTCAACACGCTTTTCAATTATGCCAGTTTGGGATGACACTAGGGTTTAGGGCTGTTCACGAGTCACGTGTATATCAGACTTCTAAAGTCTACAAGCACTACGGTATCCAAGCAAGAAACTGTCGTTCTTAAATGAGAATAACTCAATGATTGGTTACATTCTTGTTATTCATGAATTCAATTGTAGGACTTGACTTTCCTGATTAGCGCTGTAAATAATTCATCTGGTCATTGATCCTTCTAATGTATGTACGGAGTTATATATCCAGGTAAGGTGGGAAGGATATACTGTACATCTACCGCGCCCTCAAGTTCAATCTTTATTTTCAAGTCCTTCAAAATTTGAAGCAGTATAGATGTACCTATCAATTTCACACCATGGCTTTTTAACAAGATACCTAAATCTCAGAGTACTTACACCTGCTTATAATATTCATCCCGCAATAAAAGACGTTTGATTACAGATAGCACTGGGTTCAAATTCAACATGATCAATTGATGCTATACTACCTAGTGGTATTGACGCGCATATCAAGCTTTTGTCCCAAAACAACCTTGGAAAACAGGAAATAATTTAACGCCGCGTCCCATCGATGATAAACATTCAAAGTCTAGCAAGACATATATACCAAGAATAGACCGTCTAATTACCAATATTTCCTCTCTTTCCACCACGCTTCTTGCGGTCATGGTGAGCCTTCAACACAGCCCGAGTCTCAACCAAACTGCGCTTGTTCTTGCTTCTCGCCTTTCCGAGCGTCATAAGGAAGTTCTTCTTGCGAGCCTTCTCCTTGTTGGTGGTACTCTTTCCTAGGTCCTCCTTGCGTTCTCTCCGTTTGGCTTCCTTGCTCTTATGGTCAGCCCGATCGGTCTTACCCTCCTTGGCATGAGCAATCTTCTCCTCGCGAGTGAGCTTGGCAGCGGACAAAGCCGCGAGACCTTCGATCTCCTCGGCGGTCAGAGGATCATCGGTGTGGCGGGATTGAGGAAGTTGTCCGGGTCGACGCTTGTTGCCGGAAACAGCGGACTCCAAAGACGCCTGAGCGCGAAGCTCGGCAAGCTTGGCCAGATCGGCCGGGGTGAGAATGCGTGTGGTTGCAAGTTTGGAGAAGGCAGACTGGCGAGGAGCATCCTCCTCCTTCTTCTCTTCGACCTTCTCCTCGGCCTTCTCAGCATCCTGCTTGGCCTTCTTGGAGGGCCGATCCTTGCCCTCGTCTTCCGAGTCACTGATATCGATTTCACCGTCACTCTCGACGTTGATCCACTCACCATCAACACTGCTGTCGTCGTCATCCTCGACATTCCAGGCATCCCAGTTATCTTCTTCATCTTCTTCATCATCATCTTCAGCATCGGATGCAAGACCCTTCTCAAGTCGCTTCTTGCGGCGTTCCTCCTCCTTCCATTTCTCAAGAAGCTCCAGACCCTCGATTTCTCCGGCCTCTTCTTGACCGAAGCGTCTCTGTTCTCTGTCACCAGAACGAAGACCCATGGCGGCCTCCTTACCACGGTCACGCTTCTTGAGCATCGACGCGCCAACATCACGGTAGAGACTCAACAGACCCTTCGAGGCCATCATCACACCCTTATCCTTACTCTTCTTGTACATGACAAGATCCTGAAGCAAGGTCTCGTTCATCGCCAGAGGCTGTCGGACACAAATCTCGCGAATGGCGTTGAGACCAGCCGTAGCAACCTCTCCAGCAGAAGCCTCAGAAACGAACTCGTTGGCAATTTTCTGAATAAGAGGCTCAAGAACATCCGGAGGCACGAGATCGTGAGATGCCTGGGCCAACGATGCCAGGAACGAAGTGACTGAGGGCTGACGGGGGGTAAGGAACTTCTGGAAGTAGGAGTAGAGCGACATGATATGCAACTTGTGCAGACCGACCAGTCGAGATACTAACTGCAGAACACAGAGCTTTTGCTCCAGCTTGAGCTTAGACCGAGTGTTTTGTAGATGCTTGGCGAACAAGTTCTCAGCAAAGCCCTGGGGATCATGCAATAAGTGAAGGGCCGAAAAGTTGAGTGCGTGGGGCTGGTTCTTCTTCTTCTCCTTCTTCCTGTGAGCTTGCATCGCTTTCTGGGCAACACGGGCCTTCTTCTTGGTCTTCTTGTTGATGCCAAGCCGATGCTTGATGCCAGCAACATCAACTTCCTCGTCACTGCTTTCATCCTCCATCTCCTCACGTTCCTTGTCTCCACCGAGGAAGAAGCGCACACCACCAATGATGACCTTCTCGTTCTCTGACAAACTAGCTTCCTTCATAATTTCGACAGTCTTGGAGTCAGTCCAGATTTGGCGCTTCCATAACTCTCGGGTCAGTTTGATTGCCCAAAGAGCCTTGGAGGACGTGCGGTCTGATGTGACCAAGTTGAAAAGAACAGTCTGCATGGTACGGTTCAACTTGTGGTTGGTAGTCTTTGAGTTGGAGGTGCGCAGCTCAGACAGGATCTTCTGGAACAACAGGGCGCGCAGAGTCTTGCTAGGCGTAGAAATGAGAATCGGGAACAAGGTGTGGAGCAGACTGTAATAGAAATCATTAGTTTCCAGAACCATAGCATTCAACGGGGATTCTTTAGATTCACATACGTTGGCGAGTCCAAACAATCCTTCTTTCGCAGAAGAACAATACTTCCGACCAACTTTTCTCTCAGCTCGGGTTCCAGCACCAAGTGATGCTGCATGAGCATATCAATCAATTGTTGAGGAAAGTCCTTAAGGATCTCAGGATAACAATCGGCGACATGGGTAATAAAGTCGATCAGGTCTCGCAGTGAGATGATACCGGTATCAGTGGCCGACGTGGGCGCGGACATGAAAATTTCACGATGCGACTCATATTGGTAGTGCTGGGCACGGAAATCCTCAATGTAGGACCTGAGCGATTGCAAATGTTGTCAGTCTTTCTAATTTTCCAAGGAGAACGTATGCAGAGAGCCATGGGGCAACTTACTTGGGATCCCGGCGAATCTTGTGCTGTAGATTGGGCCTGGCAGTTATGTCAATATACCAACTCCGACGACTGGTTTAACCTAGTCCTCGGGCGCATTGCCCGATTATATGGGGAAGTGGACATACAAGTCAGCCTCAACCTTTTCCAAGGCTCCCAACTTTCTTTTCACCATCTTGTTGGTTGTCTGTAGAGACAGAGTAAGTGCTGGTGGGCGAGGTTGGGGTGTTGCAGGTCCACCGCTTTGAAACTTTTTTTTTTCTTCTGCCGTATCGATAAGCGCCCCGGGACCACTTCTCCCTTGGAATCCAGCCAACGTGGATTATCCACCTTACAATTTGATAATTGCTATTAGATTACATTTCAATTTTCCTTTTTACTCCAATCTACTTTAGAAGACAGCTTGGAAAGGCCTAGAATGGAAATAAACATTTTTGTCGTATTGAAAAGTGGCCATTATACGACCCGAGGTCTTCATCATCGTATCCCAACTACGTTGGAAAAAAGCCATCCCATTGCGATCCTTATTTTTTTTGGACTCTGCTTTCTTCTGACTGTCTCAATCTAATGTACAGCCGCGCAGATGCATGCAAAACGACTGAATCCCGCTGAAAACCCCCCGTCCACTCCAGATTCCTTAACACAGAACCAAACGGAGAACAACATCCAGAAAACCCTTTACCGGTTGGACTTGGCAACACGCTCGAGCTCGTCCTTCTTCTTAATGGCGTAAGAGTTGGAGGAACCCTTGGCGGCGTTGATCAGCTCCTCAGCGAGGCACTCGGAGATGGACTTGATGTTACTATAAGGGTTGTTAGTTTTATGCCCCAAAATTATTTGGGATGGATGTTCAATATTCCAAATCATCCAAATCGATTGATTGTAACGCACCGGAAAGAAGCCTCACGAGCACCAATGGTGAGCAGGGCAACGGCCTGGTTGACACGGCGCAGGGGAGAAACATCGACAGCCTGGCGACGGACGGTACCCTGGGAACCGATACGGGTGGAGTCCTCACGGGCACCGCTGTTGACAACGGCGTCGCACAGAACCTGGAGGGGGTTCTGGTCGGTCATGACAGCAACCTGGGAAAAACCATGTTAGAGGCTAGAAATAGGGTTGTGTGATGACTTTGGATAAGACGTACGATCTCGAAGGCGTGGGCGACAATGCGGACAGCCATAACCTTCTTACCGCTGTTACGGCCGTTCATCATGAGGGAGTTGGTGAGACGCTCAACGATGGGGCACTGAGCCTTGCGGAAACGCTTGGCGGCATAGCGACCGGCAGTGTGGGAGGTGTAGACCGGGGCGCGGATCTGGATGTAGTCGCTGTAGATGGGCAAACGAGTCAGTTTCTGTTTTTTGATATCCTTCGATGTGTTGTGCTGAATGTTGTGTATGCTGGACAGTCGTAAAATTTCGGTGTTCGATTTGTTGGCGCAAAAAAACCACGTCCCACAACCCAATTCTCCTTATTCGCGTTCGATTGAAATGATGGATTGAACCGATATAGGGTGCACTCACGTCAGAGAGATATCACGGACCTCAACACTGCATTGGATGTTAGCGATATTCAATATTGAATTCTGGTCACGGGTTTGACGCACTCGTAGCTCCATTTTCCGAAGAGCTTGATCTCGCCCTCAAGGGCAGCGATCTCCTTGGGCAGGGAGGGGTAGGCAGCGACCTCAACTTCCCCGTTGTCGGACATTTTGGCAGGGTTTCGTGGGAGGTTGTCGTTGGGTGGATGAATCGTCAAGTCGAGGCGTCTGTGACCAAGGGAAATTGGGTGCGCTCGCTTAGCCCTGTTGTGGGGGTCACATGAGATTAGGGCAGAATGCGACCGCCAATCATACCACAATAGTCATGTGACCTAAATAATCGGTTCTCAGGCAGCGGTCTAAAATCAGGCAGGAACATTGATTTGTATACAACGGGTTCTGATTACAGTTATTTGTGGTTCAATTATTGAGTCCAAGCTTTCCACCCTCGCTTATTGTATAATGAGTCAATAAATAACATTTTGAATCTTCAATTGTTTTGTCCAGGCTATACTGAAGCATATAACGCCCATTGACTCTCCTTGACTAAAACCTTTTTTTATCTACTACATAGACACTTGATGTAATGGGAAAGGTCATCCCAGGTGAACCCCGAAGCCATCCCAATTGATAGAAGTTTCGAAACCAGAGAACATCAATGTTACTAATCATTCTTCAGTCGGGAAAATGTCATAAAAATAACTTCAGGTTTGACCAGAGACAGGTCTCAGCTTGAATGTACACGCTCGGTTCGCCTGACCGCCTTGGCGTGGGTGACGTTGGTGACGCGGAAGTCCCGACACTTTCAAGGGACAATTCGAGGAAAGCGTTCGTCAAACAACCCCGATTAATTCGACGAGCAACAGGGGTTTCGGTGGATTGCTCCTCTTCTGGTTTTCTCTCATTGTGCGAAAGCCGTTCATCTGCGATGAGGCGTTCCTGAGATAGGTGCTCCTGTCATCCCTCCCCCGCGCTTTTGATCCACACTTCTTCAATTTGAGGCCTTCCCCGTGTTCACAATGGCGGAAGAGAACCCGGACTTCCAGTTCGCTTTGCGGAACTTGGACAAGGAATACGAGGTAGGTACTTCCCCATCAAGGCATGGCCCTGATCCTTGCGCTTACACAAGACGTGTGATTTAACAGGAAGGCGATATCACCGAGAAAGGGTAAGCCGTGTTCCTTGACTACGATTATCGACCAATTAGTCCCACGAGAACGGGGAGAAGAGCGAGGAAGAAGATGCTCGTCGCTGAATGGGGGTCAAATGATACACAAGAAATGTACGAGCTAATCGTGAATAAAGGTACCAAAAACGTCGCACCATCCTTCTCTCGCAGTTCCTCGGACCAAACAAACCACTTGAAATCAGCGCCCACAGCGGCCATGAGGATGCGTCGGATGGAGGCCATATGGGTCCTCCAGCTATTCTGAGTGTTCGACCACCAACAGCCGAATCTTCACAACGCGGCCTTTCGTCTCCAACCTATGCCGGTGGGTACGAGGGGACGCAAGGCGGATCATTCGGGTACAACCATGGTGTCAGTATGGATATGCAGACTCCGTCACCGGCGACATCTGGACATTATGATAGGGACAGCTTGGGGATTTCACAGACACACGATCGGATGCCTTCTGCTTCGTCGCATGATTCACTGTTTCTCCCCAAGCCCATGCCCTCGGCCCAACAGGGCCCTGATGGCTCGAGAACGGCGACTTTGATGAGCCAGAGCTATGCCTTTAATCCTGACGCTCAACATGAGTATGTTGACGAGGGTATGGACATGTATGGCCCGGGCTCTGGTGGTGTCACGCGACAGTCAACGATGCTTGACTCCCAGCAGGGATTCTTCTCTGATTTCGCTGGTCAACAACATGATGACTACCGCGAGAGCTATGGAGGGGGATTTCATCGTTACTCACAATCAGGAGAAGCTTTCTCACCCACAGCAAACATGCCACCACCGTTTATTCCACCTTCGGAACTGGCCCATGGACCAGCCATTGAACATCTCATGCCCCTTGAACCTCGAGATATCCCATTTGCGGTGCACGACCCGCATGACAAAAACATACCTATGTCAACCTTCGAAAACCTTCCTGCCGTCCTCCGCCACCGGGCTCGAGCACACCCCAAGCAGCCAGCTTATTGGGTATTGGACTTGAAGGGAAAGGAAATCGCGTCTATAACCTACGACAAATTGGCTAGCCGAGCCGAGAAAGTCGCTCAGGTGATCCGTGACAAAAGTAACCTATATCGCGGGGACCGCGTCGCCTTGATTTATCGCGAAGCCGAAATTATAGAGTTTGCTGTCGCTCTCATGGGTTGTTTCATTGCTGGAGTAGTTGCGGTCCCCATCAACAGTCTTGATGACTATCAGTCCCTAAACTTGGTACTCACATCGACTCAAGCCCATCTGGCATTGACTACCGAGAATAACCTGAAAGGCTTCCAGCGTGATATCACCGCGCAGAAGCTGAACTGGCCACGTGGAGTGGAGTGGTGGAAGACGAATGAATTTGGAAGCTTTCACCCTAAGAAGAAGGACGACACACCTGCTCTTGTTGTCCCCGACTTGGCATACATCGAGTTTGCTCGGGCGCCTACCGGTGATATGCGTGGTGTCGTGATGAGCCACAGAACCATCATGCACCAGATGGCTTGCCTCAGTGCCATCGTCTCCACAGTACCCACTGATGCCAGCGCCAGACAGTTCGCTACTAAAGGAGAGACTATTACCAGCTACCTTGACCCGAGACAGGGCATCGGAATGATTCTGGGGGTTCTCTTGACTGTGTATGGTGGCCATACAACTGTATGGCACGAAGACCGGGCTGTCGAGACACCTGGTTTATATGCCCACATAATCACCAAATACCGATCGACAGTAATGGCCGCTGACTACTCTGGCTTGAAGATCGCCGCCTACAACTACCAACAGGATCCCATGTCAACCAGACATTACAAAAAGAACTCTGAACCTAATTTCAGCAGCGTAAAAATTTGTTTGATCGATACTTTGACTCTTGACCCTGAGTTCCACGAGATCTTGGCCGATCGATGGCTGCGACCGATGAGAAATCCACGGGCGAGAGAAATAGTTGCTCCCATGCTCTGTCTACCGGAGCATGGTGGTATGGTAATTAGTATGCGCGACTGGGTTGGGGGTGAAGAACGAATGGGATGCTCCTTAACTCACGAAATGGACCCCGCACAACGTGTTGGTTCCAAGGATGACGACGAGAAAGCTGAGAGGTCTGAAGCCAACACTGGCTTTGGTAGCAGTCTTCTTGGTGGTGGCTCTCGCGTATCTGCACCAAAACAGACCACAAAGAACGAATTGAGCGAGGTTCTACTTGACAAGGAAGCCTTGAAGAGCAATGAAGTTGTTGTACTCGCCATGGGCGAAGATGCTCGGAAATTTGCCAGGAGTATGCCCCACGCTGTTCGTGTCGGTGCCTTTGGTTTCCCACTTCCCGATGCGACTTTATGTGTTGTCGATCCCGAGACCAACCTCTTGTGCGTCCCGAACGTTATTGGAGAAATCTGGGTTGACTCGCCATCTCTTTCTGGAGGCTTCTGGGCATTACCGAAGCATACGGAGGCTATTTTTCATGCTAGACCATACAAGTTTGAAGACGCGAACCCCACTCCCATACTCGTTGAGCCTGAGTTCCTGCGCACCGGCTTGCTGGGCTGTGTCATTGAAGGCAGGATATTTGTGCTGGGCCTATATGAGGATCGACTTCGCCAGAAGGTAGAATGGGTTGAGCATGGCCAAGAGGTTGTCGAACATCGATACTTTTTTGTCCAGCACCTGGTCGTCAGCCTTCTGAAGAAAGTGCCAAAGATTCACGATTGCACCGCATTTGATGTGTTTGTCAATGATGAGCATCTACCAGTAATTGTCCTTGAATCCTACGCTGCCTCAACGGCGCCTACGACATCTGGTGGCCCTCCACGACAATTGGACTCCGTACTTCTCGATTCCCTGGCCGAGAGATGCATGGAGGTTCTTTATCATGAACATCATCTTCGTGTGTACTGTGTCCTGCTTACCGCTCCAAACAGCCTTCCTCGCGTGACTAAAAGCGGCCGAAAAGAAATAGGCAACATGCTCTGCCGGAAAGAGTTTGAAGCCGGTATGTTACAAGCCGTACACGTCAAATTCGGCGTTGAACGATCAGTGATGAATTTGCCTGTTGGCGTTGATCCTGAAGGCGGTATCTGGTCACCGCTTGCGCTTACCTCGAGACAAGATGTTCTTGCCTACCAAGAGAAGCAGTACTCAGGTGTAGACTATCGGGACGTTGTCATGGATGACCGAACTTCCACGCCTCTCAACAACTTTAAGACAATTGTTGATCTGCTCCAATGGCGTGTCTCACGTCAGGCCGAGGAGCTGGCTTACTGCTCGATTGACGGTCGCGGCAAGGAGGGCAAGGGCATCACTTGGAAGAAATTTGACCTGAAAGTGTCAGCTGTGGCCACTTACCTGAAGAACAAGGTCAAAGTGCGACCAGGTGATCATCTGGTGCTAATGTACACTCATTCTGAAGAGTATATTTATGCCGTCCATGCTTGTTTCTGTTTGGGCGTTGTGGTCATTCCATTGGCTCCAATTGACCAGAATCGCCTTTCAGAAGACGCTCCAGCATTCCTACATGTCATCAATGACTTCAATGTCAAGGCTATCATCGTAAACACTGAGGTCGACCATGTGATGAGGCAGAAGCTTGTTTCACAGCATATCAAGCAGTCTGCTCAAGTTCTTCGAATTGGTGTTCCCGCGATCTACAATACGACGAAACCTTCAAAGCAATCGCACAGTTGCCGCGAGCTCGGATATACCGTTAAGGATGCATGGCTCCAAAGTAAACAGCCTGCTTTGGTTTGGACCTACTGGACCCCAGACCAACGGCGAGTCTCTGTTCAGATTGGTCATGATACGATCATGGGAATGTGTAAAGTGCAGAAGGAAACCTGTCAAATGACGAGTTCCAGGCCTGTGCTTGGAAGTGTGCGCAGCACATTAGGTCTTGGATTCCTCCACACTTGCTTGTTAGGTATCTACGTTGGTATGTTTGAATCTGTACAACGCGAGTTGAGAGATGTTTAATCTAACCATGCATTCAATAGGCGCCCCCACCTATCTCGTTTCGCCTGTCGACTTTGCCCAAAACCCCATGACTCTCTTCGTGACGCTTTCGCGCTACAAGATCAAAGATACCTATGCAACTGCCCAGATGCTGGACTATGCTACTAGTGCTATGCCAGCCAAGGGATTTCAGCTGCAAGAACTGAAGAATCTGATGATCTCAGCAGAAGGTCGGCCCCGAGCCGATATCTGTATGTTCAACCCGCTATAACACTTCTTTGTATTCTGACTAATTTTTCAATGCAGACCAAAAGACGCGTTTACACTTCGCTACTGCCAGTCTAGACCGCACATCAATCAACGTCAGTTATTCGCATGTGCTCAATCCTATGATTGTCACTCGGTCTTACATGTGCATTGAACCAATTGAGCTGTGGCTAGACATTCGAAGCCTTCGCCGCGGTCTGGTTTATCCAGTTGATCCTGATGCTGACCCTACCGCCCTTCTGGTCCAAGATTCTGGAATGGTGCCTGTTAACACACAGATCGCAATTGTGAACCCTGAGACATGCACCCTTTCCCACGTTGGCGAGTATGGTGAGATCTGGGTCCAGTCCGATGCTTGCGCCACTGGATTCTACAGATCGAAGAATGAATTCGATGCTGAGAGGCTGAACGGCCGCGTCGCTGATGGAGACCCTGGCGTACCTTATGTCCGTACTGGTGACCTTGGTTTCCTTCACACTGTTACCCGGCCCATCGGGCCTGGAGGCCAGGACGTCGAGATGCAAGTTCTCTTCGTCCTGGGAAGCATTGGCGAGACATTTGAGGTTAACGGCCTGAATCACTTCCCGATGGACATCGAGAACTCTGTGGAGGCATGTCACCGCAATATCGTGAATGGAGGATCTGCCATCTTCCAGGCGGGTGGTTTGATTGTGGTCGTGGTTGAAGTCACCCGAAAGGCTTTCTTGGCGTCACTTGTGCCTGTCATTGTCGATGTGATTCTGAATGAGCACCAAGTAGTGGCGGACATTGTTGCCTTCGTCTCTCACGGTGATTTCCCCCGTTCTAGACTCGGTGAGAAGCAACGCGGAAAGGTCTTAGCCTCGTGGGTGACCCGCAAGCTGCGCACAATCGCCCAGTTCAGCATCCGCGATTTGGACGAAAATATTTTCGCAGAGTTGCCACAACACCGCGCTAGTCGAAGCTCCAAACCCGGAAGTACGATGGGCACAAGTACTCGTCGGGGATCGACCATGAACCACGAGACTGATTTCTCTGCTGTCCCACGATCTCCTGCGGGGGTCGTTCTCGAGGAGACAATCGCTCCTCAGGCGTCATATCATGAGGGGAATCCCCAGCACATGCTCCCTGAGCTCGACACCCGCACCGATCGCACAGTTTCTGCTACTCCTGTTCCTGAACCGACCTCCGCTGTGCCCCATATCAAAGAACCACAATCCGCTACGATCATGTCTGCTGACGATGACCATCATTTCAATGCCCTGGAACACGATCCAAACGCCGAGGCCCAAGGGGAGTCCCGCGATTTCCGGTTCAGCTTCGACATGGTCAGCACGCCACTGGAACATCCGGGAGGCGAGCGGCCCTCCACAGGGCGTGACTCTCTACCTAGCCAGCAGCCTGATTTGTACAATGGCGGCGGCAACGTTGCTGGGCCTATGCATGACATGTATCGACCAAGTACGCAGGAGAGTGGCATCGTCGATGATTGGCCTCAAGAAGCTCTGATGTACCAGAACTCTGTAGGTGGAGACGAGGAGCACGACTTTGTGCGTCGGCCAAGTGCTCAAAGTGCTGCGGTCAGACACCGCTACGATGGCACGGGCTACGAGTAGTGCAGGTCTTGACCGACCCAGGACTGAAATTACTCTGTATATGACATTAACATACTTTTTCACATACTTTTCCAAGAGAACACTTAGAGTGTACATTCTCCCTAACTGGCATGCAAATTTGTCCGTTTTGACCGAGAATTTGGTTGAGTCTTTGTTTCCGTCCGTTATTTTGAAGCTCTAAGCGTCTATCATCTGTTTTGGCATATTGTTGTTTTCCTTTACCCCATGAATACCTCTCTGTCTGTGATTTCTTTTTGCAATCTATATTAGCTAGCTCAAACCCCCATTTTATACCTCTAATCATACCACAGAGGAATATTGTCGAGTGCATACCCATGTACCTTCTCGGTCTCATTATTCCGTAGACTACCCTGGATTGTGAAGGTGATTAAGGAGCGATATCCACTGGGATGCTTTTCTTTTACCCAAGATTGAATAGTCAGTGTCTATGTGGCTCCAGTGAGGTAATGTGTATGTTCTTCCAATCCCGAGGGGTATTTGTCTGAGTCAAATCAGCTCCGAGCTATGAGTGGTAGCGTGGCGTGTAATTCCCAACAACATGATTGAAGCTAGTGATTCTTGTCTACATCAATCCTCGCAACGCTGATCCCCGAATGTGTATCAAGTTTTCCCCACCAAAGACGTGATGTCGACCCACTCTTATACCATCACTCGCTTCTGGCATCATTGATGTGCGAAGCTCGCAATCCTCTCTTTCTTGGCGGTTTTCTTCTGCCTTCCGCGAAAGAGAGTACGAGGACCCTTGTGTGCCCTGCATAAATTCCCATGATCGTCCCCAGACCCTCTCTTGTCCTCGTGCTTTCTCCGCCGACGATAGCGATCAGCGGGAGCTATCCCCATCGCACTATGCTCTGTCAAGCAAAATTTACTGTATGATCGCTGTTGATTCGCGGTGGTGCAAATTCTGGAGAGGAATGAGGCAAGCGCTATGTGTTTTTGACGTTTTTCAATGACGAGGGGTCAAGAGGAGTTTTAGTTGGAGACAGATGGCTAGGGAGCTGCCTATATAACCGGGCTTTTTCACTAAGAGAATTGAATGTTGCAAGCTCTCTATCCAGCAGTCTCTACGACATGAATCTTTTCCAAACATTACTGTTAGCTGGCCTAGCCGTAGCCAAGCAGCCCAACATCCTCTTCATCTTGACTGATGATCAGGGCAAGCATGTAGGAGGATTAGACCACATGCCCAAACTTCAGGTGAACAATACGACCAAAAACATAAAGTGTGTAACTGCTCACTAACATTAGCCAAGGAACACCTCGTCGAAAAAGGAGTATCTTACCCCAAGCACTACTGCTCCATTGCACTCTGCTGTCCTTCCCGCGCCAACCTGTGGACTGGTCGCATGCCCCACAACACAAACGTTACAGACGTCGGCCTTCCCTATGGTGGATACCCAAAGGTAGTCGAAGCAGGCTGGAACGACAACTACCTTCCACTCTGGATGCAAGATGCTGGCTACAATACATACTACGTCGGCAAACTATGGAACGCCCACACAGAAGAAAACTACAACAAACCCTACGCCCGCGGGTTCAACGGCTCAGACTTCCTCCTAGATCCCTGGACCTATCGCTACTATTATGCACGAATGACCCGCAACGGAAACCCACCTGTCCACTACAACGGCAACTACTCGACCGACGTCATTGCCGAGAAAGCTTCTGGTTTCTTGGAGGAAGCGATCGCACAGGATAGACCGTGGATGTTGACTGTTGCGCCGAATGCACCGCATGCCAATGGCTCGACGGAGAACGGAGCAACCTGGTTTGGGGAACCGGAGTATGCGCCCCGTCATGCAGATCTTTTTAAAGATGCCAAGGCACCAAGAGATTCGAGCTTCAATAAGTTGATTCAGGGTGCTGTTAGTTGGACGGAGAATGTGCCTGAGCTGAATCAGACTGAGATTGATTATATTGATGTTTTTCAACGGTGTCGGTTGCGTGCGCTGCAGGCTGTTGATGATATGGTTGGGGACTTGATTGAGCAGTTGGATAAGGCTGGTGAGCTGGATAATACCTATATCTTCTATTCAACGGACAATGGGTATCATCTTGGTCAACATCGGTTGCAGCCGGGCAAGAACTGTGGTTATGGTGAGTTTTTCTTGCCCAATTCTGTTTTGAATGGCAGTCCACTAACTGGTACCAAGAAACCGATATCAACGTCCCTCTTATTGTTCGAGGCCCTGGAATCCCCCAGAACCAGACTTTGAATGCTGTCACTAGCCACACGGATCTTGCTCCGACTTTCTTGTCCATTGCCAACTCTACTAGAGAAGGTTTGGATGGGAAGGCGATCCCGACCACCGTTGCTGCCAGCAATGCAGATAACAAGACCGAGCACGTTGCCATTGAGTACTGGGGCTTGGTAAGATCTTTTTTCACACATTTTCCAAGATAGCCAGACTGACATTGGAGGAATGCAGGCTGTTCCTGAGGGAATTTACGGCTACGCCAGCAATAAGCTCAACGAAGTTGGCAATAGCTACAAAAACAACACATACAAGGGAATCCGCCTTGTGTCTGACAACTACAGTCTCTACTATGCAGTCTGGTGCACAAACGAGAAAGAACTCTACAATCTCAAAGTAGGTCACCTGCTCAAATCCACTCTATAAACTAAAAACTAAGCTGAATTATCACAGGATGATCCCGACCAAACCATAAACCTGGCAGCGAACCCCTCCCAACACGAAAATTTCAGAATTGCCAACCGCGATCTCACGCAGATCATGAGCCGTCTCGATGCTTTGATGGTGGTACTAAAGTCTTGCCAAGGAGATGAATGTCGATACCCATGGCGCCAGCTCCATCCGAAAGGTCAGGTTGGTAGTCTGGCCGAAGCACTGGTATCTGGTTTCGATACCTTTTATGAGAATCAGCCTAAGGTTACGTTCTCGGCTTGTGAGCTTGGATATATTGTTGCGTCAGAGGGTGCGCAGAAGTTTGATGTTTATGGTGGTGGAGTGAGGGAGAAGAGATGGGATGATTTGCTGGATTATTTCAAGTGGTAATTTGGACTGTAGATGGTTTACATGCTTATTATTATACAAAGCGGATAATTACATATTGGAATACCTATCGTGCATGACAAAGACTTGCTCATCCTTTACCACTTTTAGTAGGATGAGTGCCACAAAATACTGCTCGAGGGTGAAGGGAAATGAGATGTACGTGATAGATAATTCGTTGTACAAATTCATTGACATGCATTATGTGCTAATTGCTCCTCGATAAATAATTTCAAATCACTTTTAAAGCCATTTAGGCATCCGCTTGCTTTGTGAGCTGCTCAATGTTAACCTTGGGGGCCAGACCACCGTTGGCAGTGGCCGCCTCGGGAATGTCTGTCAGCTGCTGAAGAGCCTCGATATCCTCATTGGTGAGGGTGTTAGAGCGAATAGGACGGAAAGGAGCCGGAGAGCCAGCGTTGTTTGTGAGGAACTAAGAAAATGCATGTTAGAGACTGTAGACGTAACTGAAGACTTGATATAAAAGCTTACCGAGCTGGCAGCGCTCAGCATCGCAATAAGCGATGCTTGCACCACATCGGAGTGAATACCAACACCCCACACCTTCTCCTTGCTACCTGCAGCGGTACAGTTGATGTATGTGGCAGCCTTGGTTTCACGACCGGTACCAATGGAGTGCTCCTTGTAATCAACGACATCGAGATCAATACCGAGAGACGCGAGAGCTGCAGCAAGAGACGAAAGAGCTCCGGAACCGACACCGGTAATGGCGTGCTGGACATTGTCGATTTCGATAACACCGGTGAAGCGACGCTTGTGGTTCTTAGTGTTGAGAGCCTTGCCGGGCTCAGGCGGGGCAGGGGATTGCGAGCGGTCGGTGGTGATGTTGTAGTCGATAAGGTTGAAGCGGGGGTTTGACTTCAGGTGATAAGACTCCTCGAACAAGTGGACGACCTCGGCAGGGCGCAGCTCGCGGTTGGCATCCTCGGTGGCTTGTTGGACAAGCTTGCTGAACTCGATCTGCAGAGCACGGGGGAGATCCAGCTCCAGGCTGCGCAGAATGACCCAAGCGGCACCACCCTTGCCGGACTGCGAGTTGACACGAATGACGGCCTCGTAGGTACGTCCAATGTCCTGGGGATCGAGAGGGAGGTAAGGCATTCTCCACTCGTCGTCGTCGGTTGCCTTGGCCGCCTCGCGCAGCTTGAAACCCTTGAGAACTGCATCTTGATGACTGGAGAAAGTGTCAGTATATAGACTATTTTGTGCATTAGATAAGATAGTGAGACATACCTTCCAGAGAAAGCTGAAGTAACGAGCAATCTGGTGAGGGGTTAGCATCAGTTTCAATGAATGAGAGATATGAGAGACATACCCTCCATATGGCCAGCGCTCGTTGACAGGAATCTTATTACTCTCTTCAACAACCTTAATGACGGAGCAGATATCTGAGAAGTCGACATTCGGCGAAACACCTTGTGTGTAAAGGTTCAAAGCAAGGGTGACCAGATCGACGTTGCCAGTACGCTCGCCGTTACCGAAGAGGGTACCCTCAACACGCTGGGCACCGGCCATCTGCGCCAACTCAGCAGCAGCAATAGCACAGCCTCGGTCGTTGTGGGGGTGGAGAGAGACAACGAATTTCTCGCGCTCGGTCATGTTGTTGCAGAAATACTCAATCTGGTCAGCGTAGACATTGGGTGTGGACATCTCTACTGTGGCGGGCAGGTTGAAGATAATAGGGTTCTCAACAGTAGGCTCCCAAGCAGCCTTAACAGCCTCGCAAACCTCAATGGCGAAGTCGGGCTCGGTATCGGAGAAGGTCTCTGGCGAAAACTCGAACTGCCATTCTGTGCCGGCCTGGGCGGGGTCGTCCTTGGTGATTGAGCGGGCGTACTTGGCACACTGAACGGCCTTTTCTAAACTTTGCTTCTTGTCCATGTTGAACACGATCTGGCGGAAACAGGGGCTGGTAGCAAGGTAGATGTGCAGAATGGCCTTCTTGGCGCCAGTGAGGGAGTCGACAGTGCGGCGGATCAGATCCTCGCGGCAAGGAGCGAGGACTTGGAGCCAGACATCATCGGGGGTAAGGCCGGGCTCCTCAACAAGTCGGCGGGTGAAGTCGAAATCGATTTGGGAAGCGGCGGGGAACGAGACTTCGATTTCCTTGTAACCAATTTCCACCAGCATCTTGAAGAACTTGAGCTTTTGCTCGCCATCCTGTATTGCAATACCATTAGTCGACTACTTTCTGGCAAGCGGGAGGTGATTTCAGTTGTTTACCATTGGATCAGGGAGACTCTGGTTGCCATCCCGCAGGTCGGTTGCCAACCACCGGGGAGCCCGGTCAATGGTCTTGTTGGGCCATGTCCGGTTAGGCAGGTTCACGGGCTTGAACGGCTTGTACTTTTTAGACGGATCCTTGAGCCTTGGAGAAAATCAATATCAAACTCTATATTGGGGTGGTGGTTATCCAATGGACAGTATCAACATACATCGGCATGACGGGCGATGGCGGGGTATCGCGGGGAGAGAGATATATTGATAAGAGACGATAGCAGAGGTATTGCTGAGTATACTCAACCGGATATCTGCTAGGGAGAGGAGGTATAAGGCTTCCAAACGGAAATCAATGTCCCTTTTAAAATGCAAAAAGAAAGAAGCCAATGAAGCGAAGGGAATTTGTGACTCAAAAAACGTTCGATCGTCGATGACGCCGAGTTTTCGGCGCCGACAGCGGAGTCACGTGGAGCGCCCGGCGTCACCGTTAATTTCTTCGGAACTAGACTGGTTACTCTAGGTGCAGATCGGCCTATGATTGGATCAATTGACTTTCTTGTCCTACCTTACTCCTGTCCCTGGACTATTTTGAAACATCTTGTACAATAATGGATGGGTGGTGACATATGGCGGTGCTGTCAATCAACAGTGGCAATTCTGTATAGATCGGGCCCCGAGTTCGGAGCAGTGTTTTGTCTGCCCACAGTTCCACCCCCGAGTCTAACCGCCTCATCTCGCATAGCTCGGTCCTCCACGGTGCTGATTCTATGGACATTAATTCTGCAGCTTAATCCATGCAAGGGAATATCTCCATCATTTCGGATATCGTCGCTATGGCTACAAGGGCGTCAAAATGGTTCTCCACTCTATGGTTCCCGCCCTTCTGATTTAGTGCTTACTTCTTACCGAGTCATTCCAGGTGCTGGACATGAACTATGTAATCTAAACGACTCTGGAAGGCGTACTCGGCACTATGCAGTAATTTAGACCTCCCCGCGACCTTGAAAGCCATGGAAGGTTCTTAGCTGTACAGTCAGAAGTCATGTCCCGTCTTTCAGGCTTGGAAATTACTGTACCTTCTCTAGGGCTCGAAGTCTGCAGTACCGGAATATATATATGCATACTCGACATACCTACACAACACCGAAAATGTGGAATCTTGAGATTAAACATTTGCAATCAAACATACAATATTGAGTATGTTAATTTTAAATAGTACACTAAGCTCATGCGTAAGATCCAAATGCCTTGGATTACCAATATGGTCTATCGTACAAGTTCGCTCAAAAGTAATATACAGCTCCTAGGGTTGACGTCTCACAGGAAGTTCTTCTCGAATTGAACCAGTAAAGGATGCACCTCATCCAACTTGAGCTTCACAGCCCTAGGGTTCTGCAGAGCACCTTCACCAAGCTGGGACTGGATTAGAGATTGGAACTTCTGCCCGTCTGCATCAGTCTTGCTCTTCATCTGCCCGGTAATGTCGACCGTGATACCACCATCAGCCAGATCGCGCGAACCCAGAATAAAGATAAGGTTATACTTCATTTGCTTGGCGCGCTGGATCTTCTTGCCCAGTGTCTGAGCGCTAGTATCAACATCCATTAGGAAAGTGGAATCAAGTGATGATAACGGACGTGGCGGCTCAGAGCTATCATTCTCGAGGACTTGGAAACCAGAGGATTTGGCTGCCGCTTTTTGTGCTTGTTTCACCACGGCGTCATCCTGATTGACTGTCAGGATAATTCCCTGGCGCGGAGATAGCCAGAATGGCCAATGACCACCGTGTTCCTCCATTAACAACGCCAGGAATCGCTCGAGGGAGCCGAAAATAGCCCGGTGCACCAAGACAGGGGTTGCAACTCCTGGCGTGGCCGGGTTATAGTCCTCCTCGCCCTCAGCAACCTGGTATTCCAGACCAAATCGCTGAGGCAAATTCATATCCAGCTGGATAGTCGACAGTTGGTGGAACTTGCCCGCCTGGTCTTGAAGCTGGATATCAATCTTGGGACCATAGAAAGCACCGTCGCCTTCATTCAACGCCCATTCGCGCCCGGTGCTGTCCAAGGCCTGGCGCAATTGATTCTCCGCGTTATCCCACATCTCCAACGTTCCGATATAATCCGTTTCAGGACGGGTCGAAAGTACCAATCTGTACGGACCCAATCCAAAGGTGTTCATGGCCATCTCGACAAATCCCAATGCTGACGCGATTTCCGACTTGATCTGCTGCGGTCGGCAGAAGATGTGGCCATCATCCTGGTGGAACCGACGCACACGAGTTAGACCAGTCAAGGAGCCCGAGACTTCATTTCGGTGGAGCGGGCTGAAATCCGCGTAGCGCACGGGCAATTCGCGGTAAGAATGGTTCTGTGACTTGAAGAGCAGACAGTGGCCAGGGCAGTTCATTGGTTTGAGACCGTAAGACTCATCTTCTCCCAGCTCACCGTCTGTCTCACCCCTCGCGCCGCGACCTGTCACCTCATACATATCATCTTTGTAATTTTGCCAGTGGCCCGACACTTCCCATAGTGATCGTTTGTAGATGGATGGAGTTAGCACCTCGCGGAAGCCGTACTGTAGGTATTGGGTTCGGAGAAAGGTGATAAGCTTGTTGATGACGTGTGTGCCGTTGGGGAGGAACAGGGGAGAGCCAGGACTGTAGACGGAGGAGGTGAAGAGCTCTTGAGTGGTTCCTAGAGCTCGGTGATCGTTAGGAGGTATGGATTCGACCTTGTTGGCGGCGTCACCGCATGAACAGCGGCGAATTGCTGATGTGGATAGCCATTGCGGTCTTGTAGTCTGTAATTGCAAAGCTCTAGTAAGCACAGGCCTCGCGAAGAGGGATGGCCGAAGTCGAGTGAGTGGGCGCATGGTTGTATTGCACTGAAAAGCCGTTGGCGTTTTCCTGCCGATCGCGACTCTTCCTCTTTCCCCACCGCTTTGCACCAAGGGTGGAACCAGCGCGCTTCGATTACAGCCATTCTACGGCCGATTACAGATTTATTGAGCTTGAGTCCAGGCGACCTGAAAAGCTCTGCTTTACCACCTTTGCGCTCACCATTCGCGACTTTTTATTGACATTTGGTTTGATCGTTACCCCGCTGAGCGGATATGTTTACAGCGCCATGTCGGAACAACCTCGCATTCCCGACGGCTCAGTGCTGGGCGAGTCCTGGGTGATGGCGTCTACAGCCTCGGTTCAAGATAAAGATCTGAACAAACCTACCTCGTTCCCAAAAAATGACCTGAGTGATCTCCAGGAGCCAACGAGTCCGAGTCCCAAGCCGAGATCTAGACCGGCGCGTAACAAGGACAAAGATAACATAGCAGAGTCAACATCGTCGCTGACATCCTCATCATGGACCGTAGCAGGCCCCGAGCTCATTATGCCTTCCATCTACGAGGTCCCCATTTCCGAGGCATCATGGGTTGCGCCTGGTATTCGCCCCAAAGACCAAGCCTCCGTGAGGAAGAGAGGCAAACCATCAGCTCGTGATAAACAGCCCAATACTGCGCCTGAGGTCCAAGACGCTGGCTCGTCTGTCCCAACACCGGCACAACCACGAAGCTTGATCACCAAGCTCAAAGCATTCTGTGGAGGTCAAACTACCCTCCGTACAGCACTCAACGGCCTTCTCATCGCCTGCATCTGTCATTTATTAGTCCTACCCGAGATCATCTATCAGTTTCAAGATCTCTGCCATTTCCCCACTGTCAAAGGCACATATCCAGATAGCTGCGTCCAACTCAAACCACGAAGCCACCCCTTCTACCCATCAGCCAACCCAATCACATCTCCCGAGGAAACCATCACAGCATCCCAACAAGACCTCGAATCTATCTTCGATACGGTCCTCCAAACACTCTCCCCTCTCACAAACACTCTCAAAGAAAGCGAGTCCATGCTCCACGACTTGCAAGAGAAACTCGAATCCACCTTCCCAGACGTGCGCAACGCCCTCGACCTAGAGTTCCAAGGAAGCGACCAGGCCATCCGCGCCGCAGCCTGGGAGTTCGACTCATTGCGCGCTGACCTCCGCTCCGCCGTTGATAGCCTCCTCTCGTCCCCGCCAACCCAGGAGCCGACCGGCTCTGTCTCAATTGCACGCGACACGCGCCTTGCAGCCCAGATCCGCCGACGCGCAGAGTACCTCGACCGACTACGCGCTCAGATCCGTACAAAAGCCGACTCACTTGGCACGCGGTTTAGCACATTGGATGACCACCTCGAGGCCGTGGATGGAATTGTCACACGGGAAGAACGCAAGGGCTCCCTGCTGGCCGCCGCGTCTGGTGGAGCAACAGCAGGAGCCGGAGGGGAGGACGGGACGGGCTTGTACGCACTTCTGAACTCGTTATCAGGCTATGCCTCTTTCGGATCGCGAGTTTGGTCGCGATCGACAGGTGACTCGTCAGCTCCTGGCCCGGACTCTGATGGTCACGGGGAGAGAAAGCCTAATCCGCAACCTGTCACGACCCTTGCGTCGCTCAGACTTGCGGCGACACACCATCGACCCGTAGCTGATTCGGTGGCAGGCCTGTCACGACAATTGCGGGATGTTCAGCGTGCTCGGTCGGGCCCCACTTGGTAACTGGTCCACTTGGTGGGTATTAAATACCAAGTGGAGTGAGTCCCTGAGGGGTCTGAACTAAATTGAATTAAGGGGTGAAGGCGAATCCTGTTGTCATTGATAAGCGTTTTTTTTGTTGTTTTCAATTTGCATTGGACGAGTCATAGCGAGAGGGAATTTGATTTTGAATACATATGGAGTCCCTGAGTCCCTGCATTTACAGGCATTTACAATACTTGATCCTTGACCAAGTCTCTTGGCTCTTGGCTCTCGTTATCAAGTAGAACGACTCGATTGATGGTTGCCTAGCACTTTCAAGGTTGCTCTACACAGGGTTTTCAAGCTTGCCATTTAGAGATCAATCTCAGGTCATTCCACATCAACATGTCAGGCCTCAAAGTGCTGAGCACAATCTCTACAGTGATTGAGTACCTAGATGAGTCTATCACGATTTATGACACAAATATTCATATTGCTCCTAAGCTACCTCCAGCATTCAGCCTGACACGCAACCACCTCCCCATTTTCCGCCATATCTTATTTCTATACAAAGCCGACCTAGTAACAAGCAACATAAAATCCAAACCATCAGATTTCTGCGAGCATCTACGCACTCCCCTGGAAGGTTGCGAAATCAAAGCCTGGAAAATAAAACATAATCTCGAACGGGTCTTGTCTGCTGATGATCTTACGTGGGAAGAATGTTATACCAAATGCATCGGAATCTTAGGTGGGGCGGGGAATACTATTGTCGAGCTAATGCTTTCGTTGACTGAACTTGTTCAAAATGTTGTTTGTAATTATGCTGTGGTACCTATGAGGTCGGAGCTGATAGTCGAGCTGGAGGGCATTCGAGTGAAGATGGAGTCTGTTTGAGACTTATACTATATGTTTTTGGCTTTGATACAGAGTCATTTATAGAGAGAAGTACCCACAGGCGCTTGGACTATCGGCGTTTGATAGGCATGAATACTTTGTAGTACATACGTGGATAGATACGTAAAAGGTCTGTATAGTGTATACTTGACGCATGACCTGATGAGCTCCATATCCTAGTCCCAAGGCTGAACACTCCACCAAACCGTCAGATTCAACAGGCTGCTTTTAGGGCTCCACATGCTAGACCGCAGATACAGAAGAAAACAAGACCCATACTAAAACGTCAAGTAATAAAATCCACCCATTAGATAACTCATGACTACTCACTTCTAAGGGATTCCATAAATAAAGAAAATATAACAAGGAACGAATGGAATCTATGGGCAGCAGCTCTGCTTCCACGGCTCGGCACAAGTTGAACCATGGAACAGCCCCAAACCCCATCAACTTTCTTATCATGAACCAATAGCACTACAATCCAAACTCCAGTCGGCCGATGGACCCTGAATGGACAAATCTTTGTAAGAAAACCTGCTCAACCATTCGTTCCATGGTAGAACTGTTCTATTTCTGTTAGAACATTGAATTCAAGGCAAATGCAACCGAGGCATCCATTACATTCTATCACGAACCATGAATGAAATTTACTTCTGTTAAGGGCTAGATCTCCAACTGATTTAATCCATGGTTCGATCTGAAAGGAACACAGGATCTCTGGAACTCCACTAGTTTCTACATTAGTCTCTACAATAGAGCTCAGAACAAGGAATTGCCGGGTTGAAAGGGGCTTTGGTTACACCATTACACAGATTTAGTTACACAATGCACAGGGCTGCAGCTACGTACTGTACTGCAGATTCAGGATGCGGGTTGAAAATCGTCCAAAATAAACAACAGCCTGCAGGACAAGTTTCTGGGCACGCGCGTCCTTGCATGACCGGTCAAGATCCAGCTTAATGTTTATTTACTTATCTAAGATCAAGATAGAGAAGAAAGATGATGGAAAGGGAATAAATTTATTAGTCGTTAGATCTATTCAAGATCTAGATATATAGAGATAGATACAGCATGAGACTCATAAGGCGGGGGTATGAACACCAAATGAACCAAAGAAAAAAGATACAAAAACCAATTCACCGAGTATATCCAACCCCCTCCTCATTTCATTTCCAAAACATCCGGTTCCAGCCCAGTGCGGTTGGTTTGTTCATCAATGAGGCGTGATTAGGAGCATGGTCATGATTGTTTTACAGCTGGAGGAAAGCAGTGATCAAAGCCAGAATAGAAAGAGGTCCAAGGTAGTTGGAGGCAACGTTCACAGCGGCGTTGTAAGAGGCAGTGGCGCTAGCGGCAGTGCTGGCACCGGAGGCGGAGCCAGATCCAACGCTGGAGCTGGAGCCGGTGGTGCTGGTGCCGGAGCTGGAACCAGCGGCCGAGCCAGAGCCAGCGGCCGAACCGGAGGCAGAGGCGGAACCGGAACCAGCGGCACTGGAGGAGCCCTTGGAGCTGCTGCCAGAGGTGGAGGTGGAGGTGGTGGTGGAGCCGGCACCAGTGGTGGAAGCAGTTGAGGAGTGGGTGGTGGTAGCGAGGGTAGTAGCACCAGTGGTAGTCTCGGAAGACTTGGAGCTGGAAGAGGAGGTGGTTGAGGTAGTGCTATCAGTCTCGCTAAGGGCAGCGGCACCGCTCAACTTGATGCTGTCGTAGGAACCGGTCTTGTCGGAGTAGGTGTACGACGCGGCGGGGTTGGCGTTCTTGATAGTAACGGCCTTGACGTACATGTTGAAGGGAGCATCGCTGTAGTCGGTCTCACCGCCAGCCCACTCGATGGTGCCCTCGCCGTTGGTGGGGTCACCGCCGGCCCAGATACCAATGCGCACGCGCATGGGGGTCTGGGGGTAGCGAGTACCGCTCTGAGCATCATTGTAGTTCAGGGTGCGGACAACGGCACCGTCAATGGACCAGGTGGTGGCATCTTTCTGCCAGTTCACCGTGTAGGTGTGCCAGGTGTTCTGGGGGTCAGAGACCGCGGGCCAGGTGTCACGGTCGTAGGTGGAGGTGTCACCCTTGCCGAAGTAGTTGGTCTCAATGGTGGTGGAATCACCGCCAAGAGCCTCCCAATCAATCTCATCGAGATCATCAGACTCGAAGACGATACTGCTGACAACGCCGGTACCGGGAGCGGCCTTCATGGTGACGGAGACCTCACCGAAGAAGATGTAGAAATCAGTCTCAATGGTAGGAGCGTCACCCTGCTTGGCGAGAGTGAACTGGGCACCAGAGGAGCCGGTGTTGACAGTTCCGGCAGTGGTAGTCCATCCGTCCAAGCTCTGGGTGAAGTCGAAGGTCTGGCTGGCCTCGGTAGTACCCTTGTCAGCAGGGCAAGACTTGTCGAGGGGGTTGCAGGTGGTGTAGGTCTGAGCCGAAGCCTGAGCCACGGCGAGGGCCGCGGCAGCGAACTTGATCAAAGAAGGCATGATTATATAGAAACGATGCGCAACCGGAACAAGCGAGTGTAGAGTATAAAAAACAAGGGAAGAGTAATTAAAAGAATTTAGGGAGGGGGAACGATCGGATTATAAACAAGTTCAGAAAACGAGTGGATCGAACTAGTAGGTCCCCGGGTTGAAGCACAGGCAATATGGCTCCATGGTTGCGGTGGGTGATGGGTCTTTTGTATCCACGGACTTTACACTTTCCACACTTTACAATACATTGAAAAGGATAAAAAGCAGGAGGCTGAGATTGGTTCAGGGATGGTCTCCCCTGGGGCTAATTGCGGGTTCCAGCAAGCGATAGGCACTTCTGATTGGCGCTCGGCGTGGCAATGCCGCTACAGGGATCGGGGTGGACCCACCGCATGAGCTGCTGGGGGAGAGCCTGAGTGGAGGAGAGTCTTACAGGTGAGACATTACAACCACGTTAAGAGCTAATTGTACAGATGTATTTTTACTCTAGGGTCACTGGACTCATCTCAGCCCCTCTACTCCGTATAGTTCGAAGGTTCTCTATAGAGTTCCCTTATTCCCCCTTCTTATTCGAAACCCCCTATGTCTCGTTACTCAAGGAATCCCATGCGTATGTACGGGTTAGAACAGTACTCCGTACAGTAAGCCCTGAAGGAGAATGACGATCGACTGATCAACCCGGACGATCATGTTACAGGACTCCCAGCCTCTTACCCAGAGGCATCGCCTTCTCCGTGCACGGCGGAGTCCGTTCGTAAGCGAGAGGGTCTGCCGAGGACCCTCATTGGCCCCACCAGCAGAATTACCCGATCCAAGACACCGTAGTGAAACAACCAAGAGACCCTATGCGCACTGCCCCAACCCTGCAGATGATGGCTCATTTCTTTGACCCTTGTGATATTTCCATGAAGCAATAAGTCATCTCGGTTTGACTTGCCGAGTAAAATACGAGTTATCGCTTACGCGCCCGTGCCCCAATGCGACCGTCCACTGCACCCTAACGGAGTAGTCCGCCCACTAGTTAACTTTAGGCAGCTTTGCGGGCCTAACTCCCAAGTCATTCGTTTAACGCAAATTTTCTTATAGCGGATATTAATAGTCGCGCTTGGGAGGGACCCAATCATTTGACTTTGGTCCTTTGGCAATGTTTGGGTTGATGCAGGAACAATTGCTTGGCCTTTGGGCCCCGTGGGAGTCAAAGAGCCATCCGATTTTTGCCTGATTTATCCCTCATAGTTGGTTAGCCTTGCCAATGCGACTCATTAAAAAGATTAGGTAAATCGCAATTTCCATGTTCTTGCTTTTCAGTGCTTCCAAATATGCGAACGCATAATGCAACCAATGATATCATATGCGTAAGCACATTATTGCCTGACTGTATTCTCGGAGTACTCCGTAAGAGGCTCTAAAAATCTGTCCTGGCGTTGAGTTCCCCAGAGTAGGGCATAATCATTAGAGCCAGTGGCTGAATGGCCCGTGCGTCTAAATATGCATAAGCCTCCTAATCATTAAGGAGCTCCTTCACCGACTTTACTCGGTAATTCGTAGAAAGCCGTTGCTTGGTACAGGACAAAAAGATTAAGCAGGCTCGATGTGAATCCGTGCTAGGCCACAACAAAGCCTGCATCCTGCAGCCAATGCACCTATTACTGGCCCACTCGACCTGCAGCGTCAATATAGTTCATGCTTGGCTTAAGTAGACGTGTATGACAGCCACAAGTCCCCCTTGATTTCCACATGACCAGACCGTTCATGGCTTGCATACCCCAGACCCTGATCGACCCTGATCGGGAATTGATCTCTCAGGTGAATGCAGATACATGGCTCAGGGGACCTTCCATAGCATAAAAGATTCATGTGACACCTCTACCTGATACGATCAAGACGATAATTACAATTATACCGTCACCACCGCACCTACCCCCAATCCCCCAAGCGTCTAATTACCGGCAGATGACCCGAAATTCAAATTAGCATATGATGTCGGGGATTGCTCTGCAGTCTGGTTTATAGCAACAAAGCATTCTGCAAGATCAAATTAAGCGTGAATGGTATCACAGCTGAAGCTACAATTTAAGACTTTGTCCACAGACAAAAGCCTGGAATGTTATTTTTGTGAATGTCCCAGAGACCGGTGATAGCGGTACCATCGATTGGGAATCCACGGGCTTTTCTCCTTGAGAAGGGATTCGGACGAAGCTTCGAATGCGTAGTGGGATAAATTGCCCTTTTTTTTTTTTTTTTAAAAAAAAAAAAAAAAAAAAAAACCACTCGAGAAAGGGTCTGGTTTAGCAGTTTCTTGGCCTATATGGAGACGAAGAGTATGCGTCCGAGTTTCAGGCGTGGTAGTTTTAGGTCGGGTTTGGCTTGGTCCAATCAATGCTCTTCCTTACATCAGTACCTAAGTTGATGCCTCACACGCGTGTTTGCCAACGTCTTGACCTGCGTAGGCATTTGATATGACACGAAAATGTCGACAACAGCATGTGAGTTGCAAGGGGATGTTCATATGCACCTTTGTTGATCTTTGACAAGACAAACTACGTTATTAAGTAACTGACTAGTAAGGACACAGAAGTACGGGAGACAACCCCGTCATCATAGGGGCCCTGAACTAGACAAGTGCAGTAAAAGAAGAGAAGGATAAGATTGAAAAGAAATAATCAAAAAGAACGACCGACGGAAGGACTTGAATCCCCAACTTCAAATTTCCTTAACCGCAGACGAAGTTACTTATTTGGAAGGACCGACCTTCCGACCTATTGTGGTAAGAATAAGGTGGTGCTACATGAGTTTGAAACCCCCTTCACTCCTTACATAATATTCTGCCATGTTTTCTGCCAGGCAAAACCTGACATTTGTAGTTTAATAAGCTCAACATGTAGAACTTGCAAACTGAACATTACTGAGACCATTCCTAACAACGTACCACATATGTATGATTCATGTACAAGAATCGTGTGTTGACTGGTGTTCTAGTTTTGGTAAGCGCACTGCGTATTAACAAGTAGATGGTAAGCTATGCATAGTAGGCGGTCTAAGGCCTGGTTTCAAACTCATGCAACACCACTGTACGGAAGCAATGGTATTCAATGGGCTTTTTTTGCTCCAGGGCTCAACCTCAGCTCGGGTGACTTCGAGTTGACCACGTTACCATTACATCACGTCGGTGGTTGTTGTTAAATGACTTAATTATCACGAATCCAAATGATATCACGCTAGTCCACATTCTGTAATGCTAATGTCGCCTTGTAACACCAGGCCCACCAAATCCCTCCACCCCTTCTTCTCATAAATACTCTGCACCCACCTCACTGGCCAAAGTCACAGATATGCTTTTGATAGAGATGCTTAGTGAAAACAACAATTAGGAATGAACTGTGGTCGAATTATGATTCATAGTGTAAACAGCCCCCACATTATCCCAATGCAGCGCAAGCCGAAACAGAAAACGAACCAAGAAAAGAGACTGACCTAAGAAATGCAAAAAACCAATTACGATGAATCAAGCAATGATATCGATGACCGTCGGACCAGTCAACTGAATGTGGACAGCCTTAGTCAATGCCTGTCGACTAGAATCAAACGAGACATCCTCAAATGCCTCAGATTCCTCGTTCCGGCGAACATGGTTATGTCCCTGACCAAGCACGGTCACAGACTCCACAATGACATTCTCATGATACCCAAAGTACCCACGAATATGCAACTGGCCGTTGTCATACTCGAAGTCTACCATGGAGGTAGCATCGGGGGAGAGTGACTCGCCATCATCAAGGTACAGCTGGCCTTTAGCAGTACCCGCATCATTCGGTGCAACGACAATCTCAAAGCCACGACGACGAAGCTCAGTTGTCGTCATCGCGCTTGTCGAGCGCAGAGGAATGATAAAGCCACCGCGGATGTGAATCGGGATCTCAGTGATACCGATATCCGACAAAGTAATTGTTGCGCCAGAGCCGGTAATTTTCTCACCAGTGTGCCAGTCGTAGAATAGGTCATTGGGGAAGTAGGCGTCAACAGATGTTTGGCCTTGGTCTTGGACAGGTGAGATGAGGATTGCATCACCGTAGAAGAATTGAAGCTGGTTGTTGAAGACGTTCGGGTCGGCGGGGTACACGTAGAACAGTGGCTGGAGGAATGGCTCGCCTGTCTCTGTTTGGCGATGGAATGACGTGTAAAGGTAGTCCAGGAGTCGGTAGCGGATGTCGATGATCTCGCGGGCAGCATCGGCTACAGAGGACCAGCGGTAGAACTCCTGGTCAACGCTGCCTAGTTCGTTGTGATTACGATAGAAGGGGTAGAATGCACCGAGGGTGGCCCAGCGTGCGCATAGTTCTTCGGTTGTGTCACCGCCGAAGCCGCAGACGTCCGAGCCGACCATGGGGATTTGGAAGATTGAGGCGAATTCTAGCATCTGGGCGATGGAGACGCGGTACTTATCCCATTGGCTGAGGTTGTCACCAAGCCTGTAATAGATTAGTAAAAGGATGACGTTTGCAGATTGGTTTATGATGCTTACCAGTGGCCGACGTGGGCACCAGCACCGGCGAATGTGCTTCGTGTAATCACTAACGGCCGAGCCTGGGGACGGCGTTGAAGCATGGCGTTGCGAGACGCAGAGCTCATCACTATACAAATTAGAGATAAGATCGTGGCTGCGTGTGACGAATGCAAGAGACTCACTGGTGCCATAGAGATTGTGCGTATCATACTCGGCATATCCCTTTCCAGCATGCATAAGATCGGTGTCGATAGTCTTGTTGCTAAGGGACCCAGCAGCATTGGCGATCTGATATAGAGGAGCAATTAGATCGCGACCAGGCAACCCAGCCTTTTGACCATTAGTGTCTCGGGATTCCAAATTAAGGGAACGTTTGGATGCAACGGAACCACCAGTGGTCGGTTGAAAGTCCTTGGGGAAACCAGGCAAAGGGCGAGGCGGAGAACGGGTCGCAGGCGCATCCGGAGGAAGATCATTGTGCTGTGCGTAGCTTTCCGGGTCCTTGCAGGGCCAGGGACAGAAATTGGAGGCTTCGTTCATGTCGATCCACAGACCGTCAATGTTAACTCCGCTCTTCTCATCAAAGAACCGCTGGAATTCGCCGTTCCAATAAGCTTGGGTATCGGGATTGAACCAATCTGGGTACACGGTTACGCCGGGCCAGACGGCACCTATAGCGGTCAGAATCGGTAATTGAAAGTCCTGTGGAAGAGAAGTACCTTTGTAGAGAGTGTCTTGATCACGGTAGAGGAAGACACTGCGTTCCTTGCCTCGGTTGAAGGCACCATTATCTGCCAAACGAGTTAGAGAATCATTCATGGGGTTATCGAAGCGTACGCACCACTATCACTGATAGCTGGATCAACCATCACAATGTAATGCTGATTGTGTTTGTGCAGGTAGGTTACCAACTCGGTCATCTTTTTCAGCGGGAATCGCAAGGGATCCAGGGTGAAGACCCGGCGGGCATCCATGTAATCAATGTCTGTCCACATAGTCTCCAGGGGAATGTGTGCACGACTGTAGTTGTAGACAACTTCAGCTACCTCATACACGTCCTGGTATCCATATCGGCATTGATGGAACTAGAGCACGTTAGCTTGGATGTCCCGCAATGCCATCAGATTCACTTACACCAAAAGACCAGTAGCTTTGCATGGCAGGAAGGCCGACGACCTCCGAGTACTGCATGCTGACATCCTTGGGGGTCGGGCCAGCTAAGAAGTAGAAGTCCAAGACGCCACCGAGTGTATTGTATTCCAAGAACTGTCTACCATCGTAGGACTTGTCGACCTTGACGTCCATACCGTTGGAATTCAGAAAGAATACGCCGTGAGTGCCTTGGTCCCCGCGGTGATCCACGTAGACGGGGTGGTTGCCATACAGGTTACTGTTGGCAGGAATACCATACGCATCACGACTCCATAGTGTACGAGTGTAGTTTGTGGTTGGCATGCGCAAGGAATCAGAATGTTCACCCAGACCATAGAGATTGGGGTCATTCGGAAGCCAGGTGCGAAGGTTCAGATACTGCGTCTCAAAGACAATGTTGGTATCAGTTGTGTCAAACAGGATTTCTTCACCTCGCAGGATTCTGAAACTAAATGGCTCAGGCTGGTAATCAAAACGGAGGACAGAAGCATCACGATGAGTGCTTGTAGAAGCGGGCCGAGGCACCACAGACTCGGGAACCTGGTAGACGTCCTCATCGGCATCTTGAATGATTATATGAAGGCGGTTGTCTAATATCTCATTTATCAGTGCCATTTCTATTGAAATGATGAAACAGGTGAAACTCACTTGTCTGATACTCCACCAGCAGGGTGAGGTTTACCAGATCAGAGCCGTACAAGTTGCAGGCATCACCAGCCAGAACCAAATCTGCCATAAGGGAATTATCACGTTCTTTGATATTGATGGCCTTGTAACCAGGGCACTGATCAGGCCCATCAGTACGGGGTCCAATGACCGCAGCGCCCACGAGGGACACGTAGAACAGGAATAGTCCCCGCATGTTGAAATTCAACTGAGTAACCGTTGAATTCGCAGCAGGGGGGAAAGAACGTTAAGAGTTGGAGAAATCAAAATTCCTAAGTAGAACTCGAAGGGGAAAGAGAACGAGTAAGAAAAGGATGAGGGGAGGTAAGGAGGTCAGGAGGTTCGAGTGGCAAGGTAATATTGATATTTATATTCGATGGAAGTACTGAGGGATACCTATATCAAGTGGCTGGCCTAAATTTCCAATGCCCAGGTGGTTCTACATTGTTTGCATGATCCCATCAGACACCTCATCTGCTGCGGAGACGCGGGCAATTACCGGCCTGCTGGTCTTGGCTGATCGGCAGTTCCATGGCAGATGCAACCCTGCATCGTATTGATTTCCCTTTTCGGTTTCATGATGGAATTAACACCGAAGTAGATGTGGGGTTTATGCGGGGATTTGGTATAAGAGCTACAGTGTTGTTGCATGAGTTTGAAACCAGGCCTTAGTCCACCTACTATGTATAGCTTGCCAGAACTAGAACACCGGTCAGCACACGATTCTTGTACATGAATCATATGTGGTACATTGTTGGGAATGTTCTCAGTAATGTTCACTTTGCATGTTCAACATACGTGTTGAGCTTATTCAACTAAGAATGTCAGGTTTTGGCTGGCAGAAAACATGGCAGAATATTATGTAAGGAGTGAAGGGGGTTTCAAACTCATGCAACACCACTATATACAGATCGAAAGGTGCAAGATCTCAAATTAGGGTTGACACACGGGCCACCATTCGCAATACTCAATATCTCTAGATATCCTAGGAGACGTATATAGAAAATCCTGGATAATTTAATGTAAGCACCATCCTTATACGAATCCATCAAGAATCTAAATTAGGCATCTTCAATTTTACATGGCGCTAGTCTTCTTCCATGCACGAAGGCACATTTATCCATTGTATAGTTGTTGGCTTAACAAGCATATTCTCTCCGAACCCCTCGTGATACTAGAATCATGAGACCACTTGTGTGTAACCAGGTTTAATCAGTGATGAGATCACAACAAGGGTTTCATCCCCCGCAGAAAAGGACTATGTACATCCAACAACATCAGTGCTTACGCTCCATTTGTGCAAGAACTTTCGGTCGTTTGACATCCCACTCTTCCCACACAATCGAAAATGAAGCAGTATGCCGCCCCGGCAATTCCTGTTGAGTTCCGTTTCTCTTTCCAAGAGCCTCTGCCGAGCTACCGATCGCAAATGTGCGGTGCCACCGTGCGATACCTTCAAACTCGAATCCCATGCGCAACGCAACTCTCCGTGATGCTGCATTATCAGCATGACACTTCCACTGTACACGTCGCAGGCCCAAGCCGCCAGCTGACGGTGGGTCCAGGGTATATTGGAGGAGCAGACCAATCGCGTTCGTTGTCACATGGGTACGTTGAAATGCCGAGAAGATCATGACGCCTATCTCTGTAGTTGCGTGAACAGAGTCTGTAGAAGCCAGCGCGATTGTTCCGGCATATTCACCAACAACTGGTGATTTATCGATAATAGCATATAGGCATTCCGATGTTGACGCGCGTATCCCATCATAGACTGCTTTGAAATCGTCCTCATTTTTTATCTCTGGGAAACTGACATACTTGAGAAGCTCTGGTCTGTTTCTCATTTCCTCAACGAATCTTGTTACATGGACATCTGGCTATGCAGTCAAGAGTCAGCTTCGTCGTGCGGGGAAACAACAAGCACCTGATACATGCATCAAAGGGTTCCAGAGAGACAAGGTCGTTCTCTAAGCGTTTTTGCTCATATGGAAAAACAAATTCAGACATGACGGACTATTCAGATGGTTGTTATCTGGTGTATGGTCAACAGATCAGGATGCCCTGAAAGGAATATCCAGATTGGATTGTTCACCCCCTTTTGCCGCACTTACCCAGCTTACGCCAGATTGCAGATGACTAACCGGACTGTCCTGGTCTTATCTCGGATTTCGGATTGAGGAATATAAGCTAAAGCCGTGATCAACCTTGACCAAACTCCATACTTCTGATTGGACCGACTGTTCTGGGATAAAGATATCTCCGCCAAGGCTATTGTGAGAAACGAATGCACTTTTCAGGTCACAAAGTGTTTGAGTGGCTTTTGAGTGCATTTAAGGTAGCATTGGAGCCTTTGAAAAGGCGATGTAATCTGCCATGTGATGGTTATCGAAATCCTCTAAATATTGTAATGTCCCCTGCTTGCTCGGCACGCTAGTGCCGACGCAGGAACAATATGAGGAGTATGAGACAGCATCCAATTCAATTCCACCAGCGTAGAAAATACTCAGTTATTGTGCTCTTCGGAATATGCAGCAGGTAATACAGATATAATTTGATAATTGCAGGAATTATTGACATTGTTGAGACTAGTAGTCTGTTCGGTTTTGTTTACAAGTTCACATCAGGCGAGGGGCACGTGACCACGTTCCCTGAAGTTCCCGAGCCGCGAATCCGCAGATTCTGGTCTCTGTCGTTGCGCCAGACTAAACCGCCATTGGACCCCCTTGTCCTCATACCAGTGACTGCCTTGGGTGACCCGTGCTTGGATTATAATTTTCGCTCCTTCTCCTCCCCACAGTCTCACCAAAATGCCCGCTGCCACCCGTGCCGTTCTGCGGCAATCGCAGTTCCTGACCCGGAGAACCGCCGTCAGACATGCCTCATCCTCCTCGGAGAAGGCCTCCCAGGCTGCCTCCAAGGCTCAGGAGGGTCTTTCCAAGGCCACTGCTGCCGCTGGCCCGGCTCTCTCCAATGCCGCCACTGCCCTCCGCAAGGTCGGCGGCCCCGTCGGCAAGGTCGTGTCGTTCGTCGACTGTAAGAGACACCCTTCCCAGCTTATCGGAGTCCTGCATTGGATGCGGACTGGAACATACTGCATATAATTTGATGGAGAACGACTGGAATCATTATTGCTACGATGAACTTCGTGACAAGACGGATGCCGGATCTCCTCGGTTACCTTAACAGGGCCCGATGCAATTTTCCCTGAATGCATGGCTAACATTCAATTTCCTTCTAGCTATGATCCCCCCGACCGTCTACTACTCCAAGGTCGGCATTGAGCTCGGTCGCCTGGTTTTCCGTGGCCAGAACATGGCTCCTCCGTATGTCTGCCCCGGAATCTTCAATTCACAGATTATCCCTCGTTGCTCTCCGCCCGACACCATACTAATCCTTTCTTCAGCAACATGGCCACTTTCCAGTCCTACTTCCAGCCTATGATCAACGTCGTTCGCAACCCCGCCTCCTTCAAGACCCTCAGCTTCCCCTCTCCCCAGAACTTCCTGGCCCGTGTCCGTAACGCCAGCCCCAAGGAGCTTGCCCTTGCCGGTGTCACCGCTGCTGAGGTCATTGGTTTCTTCACCGTTGGTGAGATGATCGGTCGCTGGAACTTGATCGGCTACCGCGGCGAGGCTGCTTCCCACCACTAGATCTTGAAAACTATTTCGTCCTTTTCCTTTTCTTTTGTTCGCCTTACCTCTGCGTGTTGAGCTCTGTATGATAGACGATGGAATATAAACTGTTGTCTGAGATAGAATCATTTTTACAATCTATTTGTCTAGTCCAGGCATTCGTGATACGGAATATCCATAGTGTGAAAACTGTAGCTGTGTAGATATGTTTGTAGGATCTCCATTGCCTTCTCTTTCAGCTTCTCCCTCTCTTACTGTACACCACCATGCCTGAAAACTTTGAGGTCATCATTCTGCTGCTTTTTCTCTGCTTTTATCATTTCTGGACTTTCGATTCTATCACCTGCGCCTCCTTCATGTTCTATGTGGTGCTCTATCGTGTCTATAATCCGCGGTGATCAGCGATATCCAAGCTCAATTCTCATTGGCCCGGAAAGTCTTTTAGTGGGTCAACTTTTTTCTCTTCCGCCAAAATATCAAAGTCCGCAGTTGCAATCTCAAGAAAAGTATCCACGACTTTCAGTATGGATGCATTCAAATTATTGACGCGGTCGACAAAATTCAAGTCGACTGCGCCTGCCGCAAAGCCAGCTGCCCGACTCCCTTCATTTGGAAAAGCAGCGAACCCGCAACTCTTCAGGACTGCTGAGGGTGAAAAGCTTGAATCCGAACAGGGAAAAAAGAGAAAGCGCGCAAATGCTGCAGCCGATGAGGAGCACGAAGAAGACACTGCTGATTTGGATTTCTTCCATTCTAACAAGCGCTCTGCCGCGCCTTCATCTGGGGCTTCGGCTTCGGCTCCGGCCAAGGGCGAGGATCTACCATCTGATCAAGATGAATCGGATGATGACGATACTATGGATGAAGTGCAACGTCGCACTATTCTAAACTCGCACAAAATCAAAATTACGGATCTTCGCGATCTGGATGAGATTCAAGTCCAGGCGCCGGTCAAGGAATCTAAGAAAGAATCTAAGAAGAAAAAGAAGTCCAAGAAGGAAGAGCCGGCTGCTCCTCTCAGCAAAAAGGAGATGAAGCGTGCTAGACGTATGTACCCGCAGCCTTTGGTATCCTTCAAGGAGCTGCGCTCTAGATACAAGATCTCGAGCCGGCTGGCGGAGAATGTCGCCGGGCAGGGATTTACTGTGCCTACGGAGGTGCAGTTGGGCAGTTTGCCTCTTATGCTTGGCGATCCCTCGGTCTCTACTGCCGAAACCTCGGAGCCCGATCTACTGGTTGTGGCGCCTACCGGTAGTGGTAAGTCCTTGTCATTCTTGATTCCTGTGATCAACAAGATAGTTCGACACCACCACTCGCAATCAGAGGAGCACGGAATCTTGTCCGTGATTGTAGCCCCTACCAAAGAGCTTGCTAGTCAGATTGTCAACGAGGGACGCAAGCTCGTGGCTGGTACTGGTGTGAAGATCACTTTGATGAGAAAGGGTATGCGAGTTGTTGAACGAAGCGACGATGAAGAGACCAACGTCCTTGAAGAGGAGGCTGAGGAATCTGCTGGATCAGAGGATGAAGATGAAGAAGACGACAAACCAAAGAAAGCTCAAAATAATGCACCCGTTACTAAGAGCGATATCCTGGTTACTACGCCCTTAATGTTGGTGAACTCTTTGTCCGCAAACCAAACAAAACCCCTGGCACATTTGCCCTTGGTTCGAAGCTTGGTGCTGGATGAAGCAGATGTGCTGTTGGACCCTTTGTTCCGAGAGCAGACACTTGACATCTGGCGCTCGTGCGTGAACCCAGACTTGCGCGTGAGCTTGTGGTCCGCCACCATGGGCTCCAACGTCGAAGACCTCACTCGGTCGACAATCAAAGAACGCCTGGAAAACATTGAACAGAAGTCAGCCACACCTCACCCTCTTGTGCGCCTTGTCGTTGGATTGAAAGACTCTGCAATCCCAAACATCGACCACCGACTCATCTACGCAGCCACAGAGCAAGGTAAACTCCTTGGACTTCGACAACTTCTCCGCCCAGCCGCAGCCTCACCCGGCGATGTCCGTCTTCGACCCCCATTCCTCATCTTCACCCAAACCATCCCTCGAGCAATTGCTCTGCACTCCGAATTGAGATATGATATCCCAGCCGAAGCCGGTGGCTCATCGCGTATCGCTGTGTTGCACTCCGATCTTGCCGATAACCAACGATCCGAGATCATGCGCGACTTCCGCAAGGGCGAGATTTGGATCCTCGTTACGACTGATCTGCTCGCGCGTGGTGTCGACTTCCGTGGCATCAACGGTGTCGTCAACTACGATATCCCCAACTCCGCTGCTGTCTACGTTCACCGTGTTGGACGGACTGGTCGCGCTGGTCGCGAGGGTGGTATCGCCGTGACTTATTACACGAAGGAGGACATTCCCTATGTCAAGAACATCGCCAATGTTATCGACGTGAGTGAGAAGCTCCGCGGTGAAGGAGGCGGAAAGTCAATCCAAAAATGGCTCTTGGATTCTTTGCCGGACCTCAGCAAGAAGGATAAGCAGGAGCTCAAGAAGCATGGTGTTAAGGCGCGCCAGATCTCCAAGCACATTGGTGGCAAGGACAAGGGTGATGACAAGGATAGCAAGGCTGCGCGCGCTTCCAGAATCAGTACTAAGAGCGGCTTTGAGCGACGTATGGAGAACCGCAAGAAGGGTGCTATTGCTGCCAGTCGGAACAGAAAGGCTGCAGCCCCGCAAGATGGTAATATGAGCGATGGAAGCTGGAATGGTCTGGAGGGTTAAGTATCTCATTCTTCTCGTCATATGTATATCAAAGGCCTAAAATAATCATCAAGCTTTCATTCATGACTATCATCCATCATGTAGCATTGGAATTTATTCCTTCTGCTCCCCATTCCCAGAGCCCTGCCCCTGCCCCTGTTGCTGCTGTTGTTGTTGTTGTTGCTGCTGTTGTTGTTGTTGTTGCTGCTGCTGTTGTTGCTGCTGCTGTTGTTGTTGCTGCTGTTGTTGCTGCTGTTGTTGCTGCTGTTGTTGCTTTTGTGGTTGTGGCTGTGGCTGTGGTGGAGCAGGGGGATCCTCCGCAGGTCGTCTGACAAGGTTGACAGGCACAAAAGCACAGTCCAACATCCCCTGCTCCTCCAAAACAGATGCCAACTCATCCTCATCTCGGTCAAAGTAAAGCGCCCATATCCCCTCCTCTTCTTCAACCGCTACAAACGCAGCATTATTCTCCAGTATAATTGTCGTCTCGTCCTCGGTCCAATTCCATGGCCCGACAACATGCTCCACGCTCTGTGACCGGTTCCCATACTTCAACTCGTGTGTGTCGACGTCCGCGTATATCCAGTTGAGAAGTGGTGGGTCCGCCGATACGTAGGTCGGTAACCCGAGTCCCCGATCTAGATGTTTGGTCTCTTCTAACTCGGGGTATTCGATGTAGAATGCTAGGGAGGTGAATGCGGGGATGGCGCGGTTGCGGGGGTTGGGATCATCAAGGTAAACCTGTATCTATTTAGTGACTGTACTGACTGGGGACATTATGATGTCTAGACGAACCTTGTCATTCCGAACAACTAGCCTCCGCCCATTTACATCCCGATCATCGTCTGTATCGCCATAACAGACGGCGTCGATGTTAAACTTGCACATTCTCCGCGCATCTTCTCTGCGCTGGTTCGCCTTGCGCTGCTCGCTGACTCCGAATGCCACGCCCGTCACCGTCGGGATGGATGTCAGGGCTAGTAACCCGATCATGTTGTATCTGGCTGACTGTCTCTGACACCTTTTATAGGGTTATTAAGCCTGGTTTTGGTTTCGTGATGTGGGGAGTCGCCGGTGGTATCTTCGATGTTGGTGGCTTTATGGCGCTTTGTTATTCATTTGCCTTGGTGGACTATGCATCTCACCCGGCTGAAATGATGGAAGTTTGAGTAAATACGTGAGTTTCACACATGGGGGAAATGCTTTTTCTGGATAAATCTAGAACCAGGAAACGTCAACGGTGTTGAGTTATTCTAGATTCGTTGCGACACCGACGTCATCGGATCCACGTGATAGTCTAATATGTGTGCCTGGTTATACTGGCAGAACACCTGACCAGTACAGGTGGGAATATGCAGTTGTCTTGCGTTCTGATGTTTGAAAGCTTTGAATTCTTGAAATGTGAACCAAATGCTGAACTGTAGGGTAATTTGCCTTCAAGAAGCTTGGAGTCATTCCCAATAGGTCAGGATAAACATTCCACGTGTGCTAGGGTGGCTCAAGGCCAACTAAGCAATAATGCAACATATGTTCCCCAAAACATATCAAAGTGGTATCGTATCTATCGTCAGTCGTATAATCATCTCAACCATAACGCCTTGTTTGATGCTTTAATTCAATGTCGCCTTGAAGCCCTGATACGCCTGTTCAATATCGAAGGCTAGCTCCCGTGCCTGGTCCTCACTTAATTCCTCCGTCGCCCGCATCTGATTCAGGGCAATCAACCACTGGATGATCTTGCCCCGATTCTCAAATTCTCCATCTGCCACCTTGTTTACCGATTGAATGACTTCTGAGAGCAGCGGGTGTAGCGCATCCTTCGAGACCATGTTCAACTTCAATGCATCGAGGAATGTGATGAAGTTTTCCGTCGCAGTCAGGATCAGACTACCCGATGCGCCGCCACCTGATCCTCCTTGTGCCCCACTGCCGGAGTTGGGTGCATTGTGTGAAGCTTGTTCGACAGTCGCGGGGAGGCCGATTCGTAGTCGTTCGGTAGCTCGGGGGCATTCCAGCTGTTGATCCAGTTAGGGAAACCGAAAGTACAAATTCGCTGGAAAACGTCCTTACACCCCAGGTTCGCTTAAACGATTCCAAATCAACGAATTCTCGAGCAACGGTCTCATCGCCTAGGCTGGACTTGTATTGTTTCAAGAGTCGGGTGCAAGTCTCGGTGTACTCTGCCTCGGTGACTACATCTTTGATGTACGCTTTTTCGAGACCGTCAAGGGTAACGATAATACTGTAGATCTCAGCGAGAGATTCGTAGAGGTCACGCTCTCCTGAACTAGAAACCAATTTCACCTCCTTGAGAATGATTAGTTCGAGTGCACCCCGCGTTTGGTGGAGTGGGCCATACCTCATCGAGATTGATTGAGGCCGACCGGGCGGGATCTGGTGTATAACTGTAGGGCGTTGGCGCATAGGATAAAGGACGCTGGGAATACATTTTCAAAATCCCAGAAGAAAATGAGAAAGAAATAGACAATTGTCGATGTCCGTCCAGGTCTAGACGATAGCTTGCTTATCGGCAGCTGCCAAAGGCGGTCGCGAAGGCGGAACCGCTGATTTTCCCCGAGCCAAATTTTTTTTTCTCTCAGCGCTGGATCTACCTGCTCTACAAGCTATAAACCGCAGAACAAATCGCCCACCATGGCTGTCGGCGGAAAGAAATCGACGAAAAAGTTCAACACGAAACATCTCAAGGAGACTCTTGAACGCCGAAAGGAATTTGCCAAGATCAAGCAACGCCATGTCCTGAAAGACAAGCGCAAGGAAAAGAGCGCCAGCCGCCGCGAAGCCGAAGAAGAAGCCAACGTTCCGGACCCCGAGCAGGTGAAGAAGCAAGATGCCTTCGCTGAGATGAATGTGGATGACTTCTTTGCGGGTGGATTCGATATTGCCGACCCCAAGACCGACAAGAAGAAGTCCAAGAAGGACGTTACCCCCAAAATTGGCAAGCGCAAGCGCTCAACAGACAAGGCGCAGGATGAGGGGGCCTCCGGTTCCGAGGCTGGCTCTGCGGCCAGTGATGACGAAGATGCCGATGGGTTTGACGAGCACATGGATCAGCTTGAGTCATTAAAGGAGAAGGACCCCGAGTTTTACAAGTACTTGAAGGAGAACGATGCAGAGCTACTTGATTTTGGTAACCAAGGGGATATGGACGAGATCGACGAACTGAGCGAGAGCGAGGCCGCCGAGGAGGAGGGTCCAGCGAAGAAGAAGAAGAAGTCTAAGAAGCAAGATGATGCCGAGCAGGAAGAGAAGACCGTTGACAACACCTTGACCATTCCTATGGTGAAGAAGTGGCAGAAATTAATGGAGGAGCAAAACTCGGTCCGCGCCATGCGCCAGACCGTTCTAGCATTCCGCGCCGCAGCGACTGTCAACGATCCCGAGGCTGGCGAGCAGAGATACACCATCTCCGACCCCAATGTCTACCACCAGGTGCTTGTGACGGCACTGAATGTCGTTCCTAAGACCCTTGCCCACCATCTCCCCGTCAAGGAGACCGCTGGTGGCAAGGTCAGGGTTTCCCTCGATTCGAAGAAGTTCAAGACCCTTACGCCTCTGATCAAATCCTACACTTCCTCCGTTCACCAGCTTCTGATGAATCTGACAGATGCTCAAACTCTTAAGATGACCATCTCTTCCATGGAGCCCATGCTCCCCTACCTTCTCCAGTTCCGTAAGGTCCTGAAGACTCTTATCAAGACTATCGTCGGTATTTGGGCCGATGTTTCTACTGCCGATGCTACCCGTATCACTGCATTCCTCTTGCTGCGCCGTCTTATGGTTATGGGTGACGCCGGTATCAAGGAGACCGTGCTCAAGACCACCTACGAGGGTGTGGTCAAGGGAAGCCGCAACACCACTGTTCACACTCTTGCTGGCGTGAACCTGATGAAGAACTCGGCCGCCGAGATCTGGGGTATTGACCAGAACATTTCATACACCACTGGTTTCACCTTCATTCGTCAATTGGCCATGCACCTTCGCAACAGCACCCGTCACACCTCCAAGGAGTCTTACAAAACCATTTACAACTGGCAATATGTGCACTCACTCGACTTCTGGTCCCGTGTGCTCTCACAACACTGCGATGGGCTCGTCGAGGCCCAGGCTGGCAAGCCGTCGGCTCTGCGGCCGCTTATTTACCCCGTTGTTCAGATCACCTTGGGTGCTATGCGCCTGATCCCGACTGCGCAGTACTTCCCCCTCCGCTTCCAGATGGCCCGCGCGCTGCTCCGTATTTCCCGCGCCACAGGAACTTACATCCCGCTCGCCTCTGCCCTGCTCGAGGTGCTTACCTCAGCCGAGATGCGCAAGTCCCCAAGATCCAGCACTCTTAAGCCTCTCGACTTCAACACTGCCATCCGTGCTCCCAAATCCTACCTTCGATCCCGTATCTACCAGGATGGTGTCGGTGAGCAGGTTGCTGAGCTCCTGTCCGAGTTCTTCGTTCTCTGGTCCAAGCACATTGCCTTCCCCGAACTTTCCGTCCCGGTCGTTGTCTCCCTTAAGCGCTGGCTGAAGCAGGTCTCTGCCCGCAATGGCGGCAACAAGAACGCCAAGGTCAACCAGATGATTCTTCTGCTCGTCCAGAAGGTCGAGGCTAATGCCCGCTGGATCGAAGACCGTCGCTTGAACGTCTCTTTCACCCCTCGCAACCGCACTGAGGTCGAGAACTTCCTCAAGGATGTTGACTGGGAGACCACACCCCTGGGTGCTTTCGTGAAGACCCAGCGCAAGCTGAGAGAAGAGCGTGCCGCTATTCTCGAGGAGGGTCGTATCGAAGAGGAGAAGCGTCGCGCCGAAGCTAAGAATTCAGGCGACGGTGATGACTTCATGGGTGATGCTGGCAGTGATGAGGGCAGTGAAGACGAGGATGAGGAGGAGATGGAGAGTGAGGACGAGATTGAAGAGGAGGAAGAGGATGAAGATGAAGACGAAATTGAGCTTGAGGAGGAGTAGATATCCTATTATTTCCATACTGTATATCTTTCATGTTGATCTACTATTACCGGGATATTCCGCATCAAAAGAATCTGGCGTTTTATGTTTTCACGAATACTTACAATCCAAGCTACTTTAAGTCCATGTTGTTTTCTTTGCTGCATGATTCAAGCGAGCAGTCCTATAAAAAGACCAGATAGTATCAATAACACCAAAAAATACCCCAGAGCCTGCGTTTGGCATCCATGGGCTTATTATTCGTGTCTTATCTGTGATGCCAACCAGGGTCTCGTGGTTGATAAGAAGTGTGCTTGGAAAATTTAGTAAAGATGGACAAAAGGCTAATGTTGTGACAAGCGTCTAGGGTGATATCACAAAGGATTGGTAAGAAGCAGAACCTATTTATTGACAGTTTTGAGCTCTGCGTCTGATTACCAATCAAATAAGCTGTCTGATTAGGGCTGTCAATTTCCCTCTAGCTCTTTGCGTAATATCTTCATTGATTGATGGCTTTGGTGATGGTAGCCATGATGATAGGTCCACGGGCACCGGAGTGAGTTTGGGATGAAGATCTGAAGTCGTATATGCTCACGAATTTTCAAATATGAGGAGAGAGAGCAAGTGAGCAAGTGAGCAAGTGAGCAAGTGAGCAAGTGAGCAAGTGAGTGAGTGAGTGAGTGAGTGAAGGATTTGTAAGTGAGAGAAAGCTTGCTATATTATAGTTGTCGTGCGTCCTATATCTAGATGTATCTTATATCAGGAACTTCGAAGGATGGCGTCGACGCATGTCAGTATGATCATAGGCAGACGCACTCTCAAGGACTATAATATAATTTAAGGCTGAGGTCAATCAAAGGGAAGGATACCGAAAGCTTGAGGTTCAAACATGTTGAGCATATTTCTATAAATGTTTTAGATTCTACCCTATCACCATGCCCTTACTCTCTCCCTCCGCAGAGCAGCATCTTCTTCCTCGGCCCAAGCTAATGACTCACTAGGCAACATGATCGCCTTGTCAATAGCAACCGGGAGTCCTCGATGTCTCCCTCTCAACGCAACGGCAGCAAGAATCATCTTACTAACAGGATGCCACGCCCCGCAGAACGAGTAATTTTTGCCCGGGTAGCCAACACTGACACCGACACAGCCGTAGGCGGATACGACCTCAAAGATGACATTAAAGGTCGCAAAAGCGATAGGCTGTGCAGTGAAGTGGTCTGCCTCTGCGATTGCGATGAAAAGGACGGCTAGCGCGATCCACCATAGGTCGTGACTAAGTTGGGATCGGAGTTGTTGATGGACGAAATAGCCGCGGGATGTCTCTGAGGCACCAGGGCGACCAAGGTGGTGTCGGATTAAGTCAACGAGCACATTGCTACGGCTAGTGTTTGCGGGGGACTCGGATTCGTCGTTGGCGTAGATGCCGAGGGAGCGTTCCTCGTAGACGTTCGTGTTGCTAGTTTGAGAGTTAGGTACGTTCCCATAAGGTAGGCGTAAGGGTTTAGACATACCGCATTGTGACCAGCACTGGAAATGCGGAGACGTACTGTTATCTGTTAACTCTGGAATCCTTGGACATCGTTGGTATGACGGAGTCATAGAACTTACCATCATCAGAACTAGATTAAGATAACTTAGCAATCCGAATGATCTGAAGCATCGAGCGACTTACCGTAAAGAACAAGCAGACCCTGGTGCAAATCGGATATCGTCACAACATAGAATCCTCCGGAACGAACGGCTATGGACTATCAGCTTCGTTTTATAATATTCATGAGTGGATATACAGACCAACAGCCTGAAAAAGCCCATCCAGCACCCGATATTCAGATGGTAGAGCCTGTATCTCCTTATTTCCGATGGATAGTATTTCGAAGCCTGCCCAGTCGATCGCATTGAGAACAATAATTGTCCCAAGCAGATACCAGGTATGTCGAGCTGGGAAAAGGTTTGTATACACCCTCCGCGGATGATCCAAAATAAAAGTTAAAGTCATTCGCCATGATCTCCATTTCGGTTGATCTGGTACTAGGGCCCTCATGGTCCAAATAATGAACCGCAAAAAACAGGGAAAGAGGGTGTTCCCAGCAAGAACAAGCAGGGCCATAGTGAGTAGCGGATAGGCACTGAAAGGTGTTAGCAAAGCCAAGTTCTGTAGGCGTATTTCGGACGACATATACATACTTTAATTGCAAAGCGGTCATGTTCTTGTCTAAAAGAGCCATGCCGCTATTCACAAATGCCGAAACGGCAAAGAAGGCGCCTGTCCAGAATGGAGAGAGTCCATTATCGCCAGCAATTTCTGGATGATTCACCTGTAGCCAGGTGCCCATGCCGACTATCCCAAGACCAAGGAATACAATTAGGTACAGTGAGACGATGACTGATAGAAAGTGAACGGCTTTGTACTCGACTCCGCCTAGCTTTTCGCGTTCGGCTGATGTCAGGCCGTGGAATTGAGAGTTGCGGGATACTGGTGCTTTGGACCAGAAGTACTTCTGTGCGTCTCGAATCGCATTCTCAAATTTTGATTTTGGTGGCTCGACGGTGAAGACAGGTAGAGGTACGGCGTCACGAGGGTGGTTTTGCAGATCCGGTCTGGCGCCAACGCCGACCATGGGGAAGACCCGATGGTGGTGGTGATGATGATGATGGGTGTCCGCGACTGTGATTTGATCATCATCACACCAGGGAATCTGATCGTCATTGGAGCTCATTCCATGAGACTTGTGAACGGTGACAGTGTGTGACCGGGGCTTGCACTGAGCCTCAAGCTCATGACCCGATGAGTCGGCGCAAGCTGTAGTATTCCGTAATTCAAATATAGAAGCCTGTCTTGACGCTTCACGCTCGTCTGAGACGACTTGCAGTTTTGCCTCGAATGCTCGTTTGCGCACCACCAATACGGGAATGGAGATGAAAATCACTGAGCCCATAATGAGCAATATGAACAGAATCACTTGCTGGAAAGTATTTAGAGTCGATAGGTCAACCTGGAAAATTTGATCAGAGAGTTTGCAACATCGTTTGTTATTTTGGAGATGGACAATACCGTGTTCAATCCAGCACCAGTCATCGCACTGACACACAAAAAGATCGCATCGACATAAGAGACGCTTTTCCATGGTGTCGCGGCCAAACAAAATACGACACTGCTGATTAGACATGTCACAATAAAATAGACATAATGAAGTGTTAAAAAGTTAGCTGGTGGTAGAATCGCGGTCATAGCTCGGCCTAAGGGTCGTAGCCACAGCGCTGCGGATATAAGTTAGCTAGGAAAGTTAGATAGCAACAGAAAAACATACGGCTCAATCTGGACCAGATTCTCATCTCAGCTGCACGATAAGAATTAAATATGCAAGATAGTAAGACCAATTGCAAGAGCAAATCTGGCCTCGTGGAGGCAATTGCAATTGTCGGTGTGCGTCTGGTTTGCGATGATATTGAACCAGCGCTCAACCACTACGGGTTCTTTGGAGTAGAGTCATTAGGCGTGCAAGACACGTTCATTAATTTGTGTACGTGAGATCCGACAACCTTGGAAGTAAACGGTTTAGTGTGTATATTGTGGGCTTCATGGGGTATACGAGTTTTTTTTTTTTACCCTGGATGAATGGCGCCCCACTCTTTGCCCCGTTGTCCCGTTTCGCGAGGGACCCCTTTGATGTGAATATGGGAGATAATGATATACTTAGAGCTAACAGAATGAATGTCAATTGAAAGATATCACTAAATATTGGCACATGCATAAAAGGGATAAAACACAGCGTATAATATCCGGTGAAGCTGGAATTATTGCTGCAGGTCGCGATGATCCTCGCGTCGCGTGGCGTAGGGCTGGCCCATTAACACATCAGCCACTATCTATGGAGCTAAACAACTATTGGCCATTAATTATCCCTATGGCTTAAGTTGCGAGCATTTTTTGCACTCGCTTGACCAGACTCCGCTCGAATTGTTCCACTCCGCTTGTTTGCTCGTTCAACTTGCCTGTCTTAACCACATACACGGACCGGCGTCTAGTGGTGTTATCTTCGGTTTCTTCCTCTTCTAACCCCTCAAATTCATCAGCTAGTTTATGATCAGTATCCCTCTTTCCTTCAATGACAGATCTAATCAAAAACCGGTCGTGGGATACGAGAAGGATGGCTCCATTAAAGGATGAGAGAGCCGTGGCGAGTGCTGTGACGGTATGGAAATCTAGATGAGTGGTAATCTCATCGAGAATGAGAAGCTGAGGTGCGCTCCATATAATCCGAGCTAGAGCAAGACGAACCTATGCATGAATTAGTATGTTCCTGTAGATGTCGAAGCAGGAAATGAGTAGACTTACTAGCTGTCCACCGGACAATTTGGCCACAGGTACATCGGACGCAGTGCGACCCTGCAGACCCATTGACGAGAGGAGCCCTCTTACGGCTCCCTCATTCAGCGCGTCACCAATTTCCGCCATCAATAATCCAAGTGCAGTGAGACTGGGCTGGCTCCGACCACGTTCCTGAAGTTCCTCCACAGAGTGCTGGCCGTAATAACCTACTTTCAGACGGGAATGGGTCGTCACTTTGCCTTTGGATGGAGCAAGTTGCCCAGTCAACACACGAATCAGCGTGGTCTTACCCGATCCATTCAGACCCATTATTCCAACACGATCACCAATATGAACAACCAAATTAATATCGTCAAGAATGACGCGGTCACTCTTGTATCTGAATGTAATCCCCTCCAAAGAGACCAGTGGCCCAGGGAACCGCAACTCAGTCGCATCAGGCAGACTCATAGTCGCGCCTCGCTCATCCGTCGGTACTTCAATCTCTGCCCTGTTATGTTCATGCCACCCAACAAGGTCCCGGTTCAATTTAAATCGACCTCCTCTAGCACTAACCTGAAGGCCCATTCGATCATCAACTTTCTTCTGTCGCGACTTGGCTTGTCGGAGTTTGTTCTCGTCATTGGTCTTCTTGCCTATCTTCATATTTTCGCGGATACTGGCTTCCATGTGAGCTTTCTGTCGTTCTTGTGCCTCCTTCATGCGTCCCAGGTATAGTTTCTGTGCCTCAAAGTCTTCTTCATAAGCGGCGAGGTTCCCGCGGAAATAGTTCAATTTTTGATCTCGTAGGATCACGATCTCTTCACAGACGGCGTTGATGAAGTCTCGGTCGTGGGAGACGAGGAGGATCGTCGTTTGCGAGTTTTCGCTTAGACGTTGAAGGTAGTTCTCGAGCCAGACTACTCCGAGGAGGTCAAGGAAGTTGGTCGGTTCATCAAGGATCATGATGTCAGGTTTTTGAATCAGGACGGAGGCAAGCATGCAACGCATTCGCCATCCTCCTGATAAGGTGGAAACCTTCTTTCCCAGTGTTTCTTCTTTGAATCCCAGTCCTAGAAGGATTCGGCGTGCTTCCTTCTCCATGTCGGCCAGTTTCATCTGATTGATATTAGTTCACATCGAACAGATCAAGTTGGTTTGCAGTACTCGCCTCTTCAAGTTGTGATTGCAAAGTTTGGAGCATTTCAACGGCTGCCTGTGTATCTACTGTGACTGTCTCGGCATCGATAGCATCGAGTTCCTGGGCAAGTCTGCGAGAATAAGACGGGTGTAATATGATAGATGACCCATACGATTTACTTACAACTCTTGTGCGGAATCAAGTTTTGATTCGGCGGCCTTTAGGTCTTTCCTCGCCTGTAGACCCCTTGCACCACTCTTCAAGTGAGCATTTTTATGAGCAAGAAAAAGTTTCTGCTCTGCCTGTTCATGTCGGATCTTGCGAATGGCCTGTACCGGCTTCAATGGGTCTTCGGTCTCGAAGCTCTTAGAAAGGACTATTACAAAATCAATAGCTGCCATCAAACCCATTCCGAGAGGACGCTTACAGTCTGCCAACCGAGCGGCCTCATTTCTGGCTTCATCACTTCCGAGTACAGACTCCAAAACCGACTTCTCTAGTTTCAGTCCGTATGTGCTGCCTGACTCGTCTTGGTCGTCCGTCTGCTGCAAGATTGCAATGCGAGTCGCGTGGGGAATCCCGGGAATGAGCTTTTCAGCCATTGCTCTCAACAGTGCTAAAGCAAATGTCAACTAAGAATCCGTTATATCTTTGGCATTAACCTAGATAAGCAGCTGTGCCTTACTTGATTTTCCGGTTCCATTCCGTCCAAGTAGTCCATAATGAACACCTCCCTTGAGCCGGAGATGGCCATCGGAAATAAGCTCTTGGCCAGCTGCCTTAGCCTTGGATTTCCCTTTGATCTTTGGCTTGGAGGGGTCTTCTGTTGCGGGTGTGGATGAAGTGACCACAATCCCGAGTCCCTCCACGTCTATCTTTTTTGGTGTAAGTCACGATCTCTAAGCCGAGCTTGATGGGTTTACCTCGGACGAGGGGTTATCATCTAGCAGATGGAACCGAGTTTGCTTGCATGTTGCAAGGATTGTTGGTGCAGATGTCATGGTGAATCTGGTCAAGATGGGCTATTGTTCACAGATCGAGTTCCTGTGGATGTATTGAAAGTGCTGCGGCTGATGCGTGTTCATGCGAACTTAATATCACGCCAAAGTGGAAAGCCTTGGTTATAAAAGATTTCAATCTCTCTGTAACCCTCTTGCCACTTGTGAGTTCTCTCATGCTAAAAGTCATTGCCAAGCTCCAATCCACGACTCTTCGTGTCTTGCGTGAAACCCTGTGGTCGGGCTCCCGAAGCGGTTAGCCGCTACCAAAGACCTTGCGTGGTATGTGGCGGGCAGTGCCGACACACTCTCTGTTGGGTAATCAGTCATTACTCATTGGAATGCGATGACTCTGATGAGTCACGACGATCTACGATATCAAGTAAGACTGTTTTAAAGTCTAAGATTGTGAGGCCTACTGATGTGGCCCGACACCTGAGAAAGGTGGCGGGTACTGAAAATTGGGGGAAATGACAGAATAGAAGTGAAATTAAGGTAAGTATAACGCCAATGATTCGATGTAGGTCCCTTACTTCCCAATGACCCCCAATTAGACCCTAGGAACTCAAGACATCTTCTCCAGAACAGGCGTTTAGGATCATGTCCCGACGACATGTACCCGTAATCCATTCATACGAACAAGCAATGGCCCGTTGCATGCCCCCTCCGCTGCGCAAAGAAGAAGCACAGTCGGTGGCCGTACTGCCTCGAACAAAGTGACTGTCATAGGGTTGGTATCCACCAGCGTGACTACTCTTAACTCGCCAGAGTTCTTGTTTTTCTCGGCTCGTTCTATTTTCTCCCGAATTACTGGGTCTTGTTTCGGGTTCATCCCTCTTCACCAGGCCCATCTGGATCGTGACGAGACGGAGAAGAGCCATATGGGCTCCAGCGCAAGCAATTTAGTCGTGCGCCAAAGATTTGAGACTCAATGGTTTTGATGTCTGCGTAGCCTTCAATCCCAAAGAGCCAAGCTTGGGAGCCCCCTGGTTGAACATCGGTTAGTTTAGAGTGGAACAAGATGGATATTGACTGAAGTAGACTTACAGAACTTCCCACGATATAAGAGACGAGTGAGATATGGTGAGGACACAAAGACTGCCACCGCGGTGAACAAGAGCGGGATGCTAAATGCCCCGAAGAAGTATGTCCCGCACAATACTGAAAGCATCAAGATGCTGAGCAATAAGGTTTAGAACCTCGTTGGGAAGATCGAGGATGGTGAGAGGTAGCGACATTATGGATAAACTCCTCGTATGGGGGTAGGTTCCGTTGGGAAGTCGAGAGAGGTAAAGACGAAATACTTAGGTGCTTGTGTAGGATAAAGCAAGCATTCACGAGGCATAAACCCAGAGTAATTATTATGATAGGTTACGGTAATGATATTGAAACAGGTATGTTGATATTCCGAGCGTATCACGATGTAGAAGCCCCTTGGAGGTCTAGATAGCCAAAAGCGGTTAGTGGTGAGTTGTTTTAACATTCTGCTAAGAGTTGATTGACGATGGTATTTTAGTATGTCAGTTGCGGGACTTGCCGTAACCTCATTATTCAATAGTAATCTGGTTAGTTATAGCACAAAGACAATTAATAACATCTTTTGTGCATTTGTCATCTCCAAATGACATAGCTTAGTAAACCCGGCTGAAGTTTCGGACGAACCTTGTCAGCCAGGTAAGAATTAATAGTCAAGTTCAAGGGTATAAATTCAATGGGAGAGCCACCGAGAGGTTCACATAACCATATGTGTACCCATCACTTTCCTGAGTTGTGAAATCTTTGGCAATTCTCGAGACCCACAACCATGGCCACTGTTAGCAAACTCGCAAACAAAAACATACTGTTGATCGGGGGAACCTCAGGCATTGGCTTCGCCGTTGCCAAACAGGCACTGGCAGATGGTGCAAACCTAACCATCAGCTCTTCTTCTGAAGAGAAAGTGTCCAGGGCCGTCGACCGCCTGCGAGCTAGCAAACCAGAAAACGCATCAGCGATCCGCAGCCAAGTTGCAGACCTCTCCATCAGAATGAATCTCGAGACAATCGTTGAGCGCCTCCTAAAATTTAGCGCTGAATCTGCACCGATTGATCACGTTGTCTTCACAGCCGGAAATGTGCCCCCACTCGTGCCCTTAGCTGAAGCATCATTCGATGACGTCGAGGCGTTCCTGACAGTTCGCTTCTTCGGTGCTATGGCAGTGGCCAAGTATGCCCCTAAATACATGAACATCAGCAAGACTTCTTCAATTACCTTGACCTCCGGGACGCAGAGCAAGAAGCCAACCTTTTGGCTACCGCCTGTTGTTGCTGGTGCGGTCGAGGGTCTGATGAAAGGTCTAGCCGTGACGCTGTCACCTGTGCGAGTCAATGCTGTTTCTCCGGGGTTTGTCTTGACGGAGTTGATGGATCGTTTGCCGGAGGTGATGCGAGAGGGTGCCATAGAGAAGTCTACGAAGCTATCGCTGACGAAGGATATCGGGCACCCGGAGGATACGGCTGAGGCATATCTGTATCTTATGAAGGATTATTTTGTGACTGGTTCTGTTGTTGCTAGTAATGGAGGAGCTTTTTTGGTGTGAAAGGGAGACGTCAGGATGCACAATACCGTGGGTTGTTGTGGTTCCTGCTAGTTTTAGTAATGATCCGCGTCGAGTCGCGACCCCCGCACCACATTGTTCACGACTTGACAGTTGGTGAGAGACTTTATCCTGGATTTTCCAGGCTGGAGCTGATTTCAACTGGACAAATTTGAGAGTAGCTTGTTTTCATACTGATGAAATGCGAAGTATATTTCGGATCTTAGTGGGCTTTGTAGATGACCTCAGAACCAACTGGATATATATTGCTGCACAACCTTCACGAACTAACTCTCCAGAACAATGCCCAGGTGTTACTTACGATGAACCTAGATACCTGACCCCCTGACCAGCCTTTCTGCATCTCGATGTCTCGCCACAGCTTTCCTCTTTCGTATCGTAGACATTTTTCAGGCTCAGGTGTTTCTTAGCCCATGGGTACTTCGGTTGTGGCTACCAAACACAGATGATCGTCAGTCCCCAACCCCAATATTGCTCGCATTTAATGCGGAACTCGCCGATACCCAGGCAAAAGGATTCCGTGAGGAAAATCTACGATATAAAACAGGCGAATTCCCAGAGCTAGACTTGGATACAGCTTCCAGACAAGGTTGTGGTAAATCACGTCCAGTGAATATTATAACATCAACCAGTTGGCTGATATGAAACTCCTTTGCTTGCTGGCGACGTTTCTTTTGACAAGCTACACGGGCGCAAATCTGGCTTACAAGTCTAGGCCTGACCTTGCAGTCCCAGTCTTGAACATCACGATCCCTGCGACAAATGATACTGCCGAGGGCCTGATCTTCTATACGCCGGAAAGCACCTACGCCGATGATACTGGCCATGGGCCCGCTCAAAGCGGTCCCTATATATTCACTGAAAAAGGTGCATTAGTGTGGTCAGGCTTTGGTTACGTTGGCCCACGAAGCGAGAACTTCCAAGTTCATACATACCGAGGCCAACAGGTGTTGGGCATCTTCGAAGGCTCGCACAACTCACCCATGGGACACGGACACGGCCACACGTCAATCTTTGATAATAGGTACCGCCTGCTGAAGGAGATCAAGGGCGGAGGACATTCTCTTGCAGATCAGCATGAGTTTCTCTTTTTCGATAATCATTCAGCCGTCTTTACGGTTTTTGATCCTGAGATCCGTGACTTGACTCCTTATGGTGCAACGTCGGAAACCCAGTCATGGATCCTTGATAATAAGATCCAAAAGGTTGATACAAATTCAAATCGAGTGCTCTGGGAGTGGAGCTCGCTTGATCATGTTGATCCTGCTGGGACTAATTTGACGCTGGAAAGTGGGAATGCTGGACTCGGCGTGAACTCGAGTCAAGCCTGGCATTACTTTTATATGAATGCGTTTGATGTGGACCCGAAGACGAACACGTACTTGCTTTCTGCGCGGAGTATGTGTACTATCTTCAAAATAGACGGTGATACTGGGAATATTATCTGGCAGCTAGGTGGGAAGAATTCTGATTTCTCTCTTGAGGAAGGAGTGGACTTCTGCTGGCAACACGACACCCGAATGCATCATAGATATCTGCATTACGAGACAAAGGGATCCAAGGAGATTGTTTCTTTTTTTGATAACTCGGCACATGAAAATCTTATGGGCGGCCCTGATCTCAAGACTCGTGATTATAGTGCAGGGAAGATCGTTGAGCTAGATAAGAAGAGGCGCACTGCGAGGCTGATCGCCAGCTTCCGGGCCCCTGGTGATCTCTCTGTTCGATCACAAGGTAATCTACAACTGTTGCCTAACGGCAATGCATTTATCAACTGGGGATACGAGGGGGCAATGTCTGAGCATAAGCCGGACGGAACCACGATCTTCTTTTCCAAGCTGGACTCGGGGAGACTCGGACCTGGTTCTGAAAATTATCGTGCCTTCAAGTTTGATTGGCATGCTCTTCCCGATGAGGAGCCTGCTCTCGTCGCCTTTGAGGAATCGAACGGGACGTCTCTACATGTGAGTTGGAACGGGGACACAGAGACAAAAATCTGGATGTTCTATGAGGAACAAAACAATGGTGAGAGGAATTTGCTGGGCCGGGCTCTCAAAGATGGATTCGAGACTCGTTTTCGAACAAAGAAAAAACCTGCTCGGGTATTGGCCGAGGCATATAGTGCTCAAGATCATCGACTGGTGTCTTCATCCGTCATTAAGACCCGAAAATACCAGGCACGCCTCTACTATGCATAGTTATATCCACTAGTGTGACAATCATAAATCCGCCATCTATTATTGATCCCCATACCCACCAGCCAACTTATTGACAGAAAGCAGTAGCTCAATAGAACATGGACGTGCATTGAAGGATCGTCTCATGACCATATGGCCGTAGCTTCAAAATTCTTCTCTTCGCGCTGTAGGCTTTACGCGACCCACGTGGATGATCTGTTCGCGTGTTTTCAGTTTGTGGGTCCGGCAGTTGAGAATGGAATCTGTGAGTGAAAATCCCTAGTCTGAAAGTCCTTGCTAGTCGGTCGAGACTAGTGAGTCCAGAAAGTCTATTATCCACACGGGACAACCAAGATTTTTCTTCTCACAAGGCTGGGTGATCTATTTCATAGACGGCAGATAGATCTAGAAGTCGGAAAGTCGATCAATATGCGGAACGCAATCAAACAGTTCCTGAGCTTTCACCAGGCCCTCCGATCTAGACTGAAGTAATTCAAAGTTTTCGTCAGAGAACCAAACATCCAGCGCATCGAGGCCATCTTCGATCTCAAAGTGGACTCGCTCAAGGGTCTATGGGGACGTCTGGAAAAGCCGGCTGATCAGGGCCAGCGGGGCGTGCAGAGTCGTCGTCAGACAACCAAGATCAAGCACAGGGTCAATGGGCCTCTGGGCATTCCAGAGCTGGGCCATTGCCGGGCGCCGTGCGGGTTTCGAATTTGGCCAGATTTGTAGGGGGTCATGTGCAGCCATGGAATGAACATGGTTTGAAAAAACCTAGACCACGGAGAGCATCCGGTCTAGTTAGTGATCTCGGGTGGGGGTGCATAATGAACACTAAAGGTGTACCGTTGCAACGTGTGCTAACGGCATGGTATCCCGAGAGCAAAATGTGCTACCAAGAGAGGCAAAAGCCCTACCGTGCCACATATCGGGGCCAAGCTATCGCCAAGACCATCTACCGACGTTCGGCAGTGGCTCAGGGGAAGTCGCCCTCTGAACCATTCTTTAGATCTTCGGGCTAGACAAGGGAAAGGAAGGCCCCCCCTCAAAAGTCAAACAAAGTATTTAGAGTAATCAATGATCGTCTGAATTATTGACGCCTTACCGCGCCACGGGGAATGTTATTGTAACCAGCAGACCAGTTTTATTTTTGGTGCACATATACGTAGCACGGGTCGGGTCGAGTCCGTGAGGCGCAGACTTTCGTCAGGCTCAGCCTCCAGTTCACACGTTCTCGGTTTCGTACGTTAACGGGAACCTCAGCCCTAGGTGATCTTTCCTCGAAAAGGGGCTGATGCCGGCCGACTGCAGAGAACAAAGTTTCTCGGTCCGTGATCCACTGAAGGCCGCGCGGCTATGATTTCATCCGTGCCAGACTGTGATACCGCAACCCACATATTTGAATCTGAACCAGAAATGACAGTTGAGTTTTGTGAGACCTATTTGGCGGACTCGGACGGAGTAAAATAAGGAGGTACTTAGGGTGATCGCTCAAAAAGAGGAAATCTCGGAGATCGAGAGTTAATGTTAATGTGCTCACATTGAGCTCGGCCGAGCTATCCGCTTGGGGTATTCATCTCCATAATCGCGAACCCACGGAAGTCCTCCGGCCCAATCATGGTCGCCAATTTTGGTCCGATCACCAGTTTTCCACTGTAACCCGTTGTCTCCGCTCTCGCTTCTAGAAGAAGAAAAAAACCTTATTGCTGGTTCTTTTTCGAGACAACGGCAACCGGGATCTTGTCTTCCGAAGACTGTATAGTTCTGGCCACTCGACTGCGCATTAGTTCGATGTACAATGTGAAACATATTCGGGCCATGGGGCACAGAGTGTCTGGATGAAAAACGAAAAAGCTTGGAAAGTGTATTAGATGCCCATATAGTAGAAACGCAATGGTATCGAGTATACCCTATGAGAAACTAGGTTGTAAAAGGGGTCTCTAGGAGGCGCTATTCGTCACGCTATCTTAATTATGCTTCATGGTCCATCGTAGGAAAATAAAAAGTGGAATCAAGCCTCCGGATGCCCATCAGCAGCCCACTAAACTATTCCGAGCCCCGTTGGCTGTTTTGTTACTAGACCGGGCTTGTCTAGACCATTTCAGGACGGGTAGCCTTGCTCCCGGCGATCTTTTTATTTTAATCTATTTATTATCGATTTCTTGTTTTATGTACGTGGCGCTTTTAGATCTGATTCATTTCGAGTTTTTTTCTTCTTCTCTTAATTCTTACAATATTGTGTATGACCGCCTATGTGTCAACAACGCGAAGAATGCCAGGTCGATTGCGGCGAGGATAGGGCAATAAACATTGGGAGCACAGCCACCGGCGTCATGAGATTTGACTGGCATTTTCCAAGTATCCAACGACTCATGTTAATCGAGGGCCATGCCTTGGTACCGACCCAAAAATAATTTATTTTTTTATGAAGGGCCAATCATAGGTGCTTGAGTAGTAGGTTTCCCCCCCCCCCCCCCCCACTCGCTACAGTCGGCAGGGGATTCGGGGCTGATTACCTAGGGCGGGTCGGGGGCTCATGGACTCATAGTACCACCAGTGAACGAAATAGAGGCAACAAGATGGCAAATCATGGGCTAGAATAGTGAATAGAGTTGGACCAAGAACAAAAGAAAAAAGAAAAATATCAAGATTAATTCAAAAAAGAATATTGCCATGAACCATGGCTTGGATACCGCAGCGGAGTAAACAACAACCGTTTCAGCGCTAGGCTATATCTGACCAATCATAAGCCTCAAATCCAAGGCCCCGCTGAGTCAGCCATAAGGACGCGCAAGCCTTTGCCTGCTATTCCGGATCGCTCCCTTTTCCCCTGTTCATTGATCCAATCCCCCCTTCTCCATCGACCCAAACACCTTTTATCTTTTATGATCGAACCCCCCTTCTAGACTTTCACTCGTTTTCTTTCGTTAAATCCATTTAAATACTCCGCTTTACTTCCCCATCCTACGCAATCTATTCCCATTTCTACGATCTTAGCCGAAGGGGAAAAAAGAATAAGACTAGGGCCACAACATATACCACCATGGCGACCCTCGCTGAGCACCCGATACACTCCACCGCTTCTCCCATGCCGACCATGCCCACTAGCTACGACCAAGAACTCGACTCCTTTATCAACTTCGACCAGCTCGCCTACTCCTCCGCCGACGCTGCCCGGCCTAAGGTCGCCTTGGCCAGCCAACCCTCGGTCGCAAGCACAGATTTCACCGCCAGCGATGCCCGCAGCGCCAGCTTCGCTTCCAGTGGACAATCACCAATCGCATTCCAAGCCCCGAGCCATCACTACGAAGAACACCGCCAGCAGACTGGTCTGCCCCCCGGTGCCTTGTCGATGACCTACAACCAACAAATCGCACACCCAATGAGCTACAACGGAACCCCAGGCTTCCAGGTGAGCGGAGAAATGTACACTCAGATGAAGCGGGAGGAGGCTCCCTTCGACTTCAACGCTGCCCCGACCCGAAACCCATCTGAGATGGACATCGAGTCCGATGGCATCAACTCCGCTCCTTACTATTTCTCGACGAATCCTGGCAACAAGAGCCAATATGTCGACCCCAATGCTCTCGGAGGCCATGAGCTGGCTCAGGCTGGTCCGTCTACGCAGGTGGGTCGTATGTACCCTGGTATGCATCAGCAGCAGGCTGCGATGGCCAAGGCAGCCCAGCAACAGAAACACAATGAGATGGTTCGTCACCAGATGCAGCAGCGCCGCGTCGAGGAGGCCCCTACTCCCTTGCCCAGCCGCGTTGCCCGCAACCCTGACCCCGTTGTCGAGGAGCGCATTTCTCGTCTCCTGCAGCAGATGCGCGCAAATGCCGTCGCTGCTGGTGAGGTCTCTCCCTCCCCCTCGTCTGGTCTTCCCCAGATGGCCAAGGCCCGCAAGGATGAGGCCGACATGGATGAGGATGAGCGCCTTCTGGCTAGCGAAGAGGGCAAGAAGCTGAGCAGCAAGGAGCGCCGTCAGTTGCGCAACAAGGTCTCCGCTCGCGCTTTCCGCTCCCGTCGCAAGGGTATGTATACAAAGAATGCCCATCCTCATAGAATATTTTAGCTAACCTTCTTGCAGAGTACATTGGTCAGCTTGAGAGTGAAGTCGCCGCTCGCACCAATGAGGCCCACGAAGCTCGCCTCCAAAACCGTGCTCTTTACGAGGAGAACGCCCGCTTGAACGACCTGGCTCGCATGCTTTTGGGATCGCCTCACTTCGCCAACTTCCTGAACGAGATGCCCGACACTGTTCCTCCTCAGGTTCAGGCCCACCAGCAACCCCAGCAGCCTCAACAGCAGCCCCAGCAAGCGCCCATCCCCAAGGAGGCCGCTGCTGCCCGCCCCCAGGAGTTCCAGATGCAGCAACACCCCCAGCCCAACATGGTTATGGTCCCCAACCAGGGCATGGATGCCTCTATGCTTAACAGTGGCTGGAATTCAGGAATTGACATGAACTACGGAAACACTCCCGTTTTTGCTGTTCTTGAGGTTCCAGAGGGCCCTGCTTTCGATGCTGAAGTCCTTTCCGGCAAGTCCTCGTCCCTGGGTTCATCCGAGTCTGCCAAGGATGAAGCTCCCGTCTTCGACCGCCCCGAGGGTGATGCCGTGACCCAGAAGTCTGACATCGGTGTCGCCAACCCTGATGTCGAGATTGACGAATCTGACCCTGCCTTCGCTCTCTTTGTTGACTCCCCCGTGTCCTCTGCTCCTTCTGATGATCTTGTTTTCGAGGGTGTGCAGTCTGAGAAGTCGGTTCACCACTACGAGCTTGTTGTGGATGCCGCCCAGGCTTCCGCCGTCGCTCATGCCCGCTTCAACTCTCTCTGCTCCAGCATCGAGGCCGCCTTTGACCGGGTGTCTCTTGTCACGTCCCACCTCCAGTGATTCCCCCATTAGCGTCCATCTTTTTACCCCCACCTTTTCTATGTATATGTGTTTTTTTTGCCGGCAATTTTCGTTTTTTACTCATCATGGCGTGACACCCACGCGCATTACAATTTCTAGCCTTCTCCTATTAGTGATCTGGTCAGTCCCTCGGGAGTTTTTACGGCGCCTATATCTTGTCATCATATTGTGTATCTCCCGGGTTGGGCTTTCTGGGTGGAAATTTGGTAGCGGTTTACTTGGCGTATGTGAAGGATCAGCGATATAAGCTCAAAATCGATTCAATTTACAACTAGTATCATTGTTCCATATCGTATTTATACCCTGGTCACAAATTAGGCACCAGTGCACATTGGGACCAGAGCCTACCTGCAACGGAGTTATGGTAGTCGTCGAAGGCCGTGGGGGCCCTAGTACTCGAGGTCACGTCATTCATTACTGGCGTCAAATTGGAATCAAAATGCATATTATATCTCCTCACTTGGGTTCGCCGAAACTGACCTGGTAAGGTTAGTCCAGGCCCACCAGTCATTGTAAGCTTGAATCTTCCTACCCGCCCACCCCGCTGATCACCTACATGGAACTTGACAAATGCCTCGTATCCCGACTTGCTAGTGGCTGCACAGTGCCTGTTTCAACATTGATGCCGGGCGCTTATATCTTTTACTCAACGAGTTAGACCCACGATCCCTTGTGCACATCATTACCCCGCATGATCAACAATCATGGTCGGCGTTCCAGGTAGATCAAAAGCATGCAATACATGCCTTCAAAGAAAAATAAAGGTGTGTTGAGTTGCATCTCCACACTACCACGCAATTCTCAGCGCTAATGCGAATATCCTAGTGCGACCAAGGCCCCGTGCCGTGTAAGCAATGCCGCTCTTCCAACCGCCTATGTACAGGCTATCAACGAAGACGAGGCTATGTGTTCTCGGACAATGTTGTTCTGCCTATTACAACAGCCCTCGAAGAATCTTCTGTCACACATCAAGGGAGGTGGCGTAGGGTCGAGCCCCGGCAGACTGGGAAGGCTGCCCCAGTGACTTGGGTTGTCAGCCTACCGCAGCACATTCCATCTCCTAGTCTGAGCTGCATGCAAGTCCCTACCCACGTGGTGTTGCGAGAGCAGTTTCACTATATCTTCTTGAACAGACACATGCCTGCAGAACTATGGGATTCGCGTCCCCAATACTCGGTGAGCAATTGGCTACTCCTGCTTCAGGGAAGAACAATTCAGTCACCGGCTCTAGAAAAGTCTGCCACGGCGTTCTTCGCTGCTAGAGTGGGTCATATGCATGGTGATCGGGAATTGGTTCAAAGGAGCCGCTCTATATACATTGATGGCCTTGCTCAGCTCCAGCAGGCATTGAGAAATCCCTTGAGCCGGTTATCTGATGAGACGTTGGCGGCTTGTATGGCCTTATCGTTTTATGAGATTAGTGAGGGGCCTCCGGGATCGGGGAATGCTTTTGGGACCCATTACAAGGGTGCTGTGAATCTTCTTAAAATGCGAGGCCCCAAGGCGTGTGGTAAGTCGCCGCTGGGGCATGCGTTATTCTTGGCTTTGCGCATACAGACGGTGGGCTTTATCCATCTTGATAGTTGGTTGGATGAATTGCTGATTGGGAGTTTTAGATTCTCCGAAGCTTGGATCATCGTCGTCCTTCATTCGTTTCAGAGCCTGAGTGGATGGATAAACCCTGGAGCACAACACCCAAGTCTCACGTCGATCAACTGTGGGATCTTCTTACTGACATAGTGAGTGTGAATGTTAAATTCGACGAGGCACTCCAAGATTCCCACCAGAACAGCACTATTCTTCAAGCGGGTCTTGAAGCAGTTCATCTTGAATGCCTCAAGATTCATGCGGATCTACAAGCTCTGTATGAGGGATTTGAACAAACCATTTCCGGTCCCCTATACTGGCCCGAACTCTCCGCACTGGAGTCCAATGATACTCCTAACAATTATGAACAACCGATATTATTCCCCGTCTCATTCCACTTCTCCGGGCTTCTCGTCGCTCAATTCTTAGTGACTTACTGGTCAGGCATGATGCTGTTGCACCGCCAACTTGCAGCAACATACAGCCAAATGGCCGCATTCGACGCGTTTATCTTTTTACCCCGGTCGCAAGAAGCTGCAAGTACAATATACACTATGGTAACGAACACATGTCAGTCTGTCGAATACCTCAGTCAGCCTCAAATGGGCGGCGCAGGTCTATTGGCTATAATAGCGCCATTATACGGGTGTAAGCCTGCACTGAAAAATGTGGCTGTGTTACGGAACGAGAACTTTAGTCGGGAAATTACTTGGGTCAGCGAGTCCATCGCACGGACGCAGCGGAGGTTCAAATTCGATATTACTTTGAGTATGAATTTTAGTACATAAAGGTGTTTCTATGCCTTTCTTGGGCTTCGACATATTGCTGCCTACTGGTACCACAGTTTACAGGCTGCAAATAACCCTAGAATTACTAGTAAGCTTCAAGGATACGACAAATTGGAACCTTATGATCATTGCTACCCAGGATAGTAAGCTGTGCGAGAATGCTGAAGGCTTAGCGCTCTCAACGCTAAACTAAATTGGGTCAGATTTCGCGACGGCCGAACTCCACTCTTTGACACTAGACTCCACTATACACCAATGGGGCAGCGCTTTCGTGACCCTGAAGTCTGGTACGGGACGTTTTAATGGACATATAAGAATGTGCTGGCTCGCAAATCTGCATGGCTCATCATTCAAATCGGTCTTTGGAAATCTGCTCTTTTCAGCGCAATCATGTACTTGATCTATAAGAAAATCAAGAAACGCAATGCGAGGAAGAAATTGGAGGAACAGCTCCAACAGACAACTGGGCACAGTGAAACCCCTGTTGGTGTTAACGAGATTGTCTTGAAGACAGAGCCAAAGATAGCACCCAAGTTGAGCGAGACAGTACCCGAGAAAGGAGAATCTTCACCAGAAGAAAAAGCTGCAACGAAGAAAAGACGTGTCTACCGCTGGAAATTGATCCTCGGTCTCTTCGGTCCTTTCTGTCTTCAGTCGCTAGATACGACCATCGTTGCGTCTGCACTACCCTATATTGCGGAAGATTTCCGTAAGTTCCTTACAAGCAATCAGGGGTGGAATGAGACTAACAAAGCACCAAATATAGACCAAGTCAGTCAATTGAATTGGATCATCTCAGCATTCAATTTGACCTCCGCCGCATCCCTCTTTTTCTGGGCCCAACTTTCAGACCTCTTCGGCAGACATAATACTCTCCAAGCAGCCATCTTCACTATGGTCGTTGGCTCAGCTATCTGCACCGGCTCTCCAACCTCTACATTCGGTGTCCTTCTCTTCGGTCGTGCGTTACAGGGTGTCGGTGCAGCAGGAGTTAGTATCTCTGTCCGCACCATTCTTGCAGATGGTGTCTCGCTCTCGGAGTACGCTGTTAATTGGACTATCTTTGCCCTGGTGTCAGGCATCGGGTTCAGTATAGGCCCTGTGATCGGTGGATACTTGACCACTGCGTCGTGGCGGTGGTGCTTTGCCATTAACCTACCTATCGGCATTGCAGCTATGATCCTGGTTGTGTTTATTCTTCGCAAAGATCTTCAAGGTCCACAGGCTCTTCCGCAGCTGGAAGGGAGGGATCTCTCTACCGTTGCTCGACGCTTCATGGCCCGGATTGCGACGATTGATATTGGTGGTCAGCTGCTTTTCCTTTGGGGATTTGGACTCCTTATCTTGGCGTTGACATGGGCCGGTGGTAATTACTCTTGGAGCTCTGCAGCAGTCTTGGCTCCTATTGTCATTGGTGCTATTCTGTCTGTCGCCTGGGTTGTTTATGAGCGATTTATGGTTCCGGGTGCTTTTATGGCGCGTGTCTTACCCCGCCAGAAGGCCATGATGCCATGGGAGCTGATTTCACAACGTGACATTGGTTTACTGTTTCTTATCAACTTCTCGATGGGAGTTTCTATGTTCGCTGTCATGTACTTTATGGACCTTTACTTCGCTCTCGTTGAAGGGAACAGCTCAAGTAAAGCTGGAACATCCCTGCTATACTTCTTACCGGGCTTAGGTGGTAGGTCAAACCCCGGCGCTTTTCTGTCTATGACCCAAAACTAATATTCTTTCACAGTTGGTGGCTACCTGGCTATGTTTGCATCAAACATCTGGCCTCGCCAAACCCTCCCTACTCTGATGCTCGGTAGCCTCACTTCGGCTGTCGGAATCACAGTCCTAGCTTGGGCTGTCAAAAAAGCTCAAACAGACGTCATCTACGGTATGATGGCCCTTGTGGGCTTCGGTGTCGGTAGCCGCATGAATCCAGCCTCATTGCACGGTCTAGCCTATTTCCCAGCTATGACGGCCCAGATCTCATGCGTGGTCTCCTTTGCTCTTCCATTTGGTGGTCTTGTTGGATTGACGATCATGTCAACGGTTTTCACTAATAAAAGTGGAACTGACGAGTCAAATCCGAAGCGAGGAATCATGTGGGCATTTATTGCTATGATACCGTTTATGTGGATATCTGTCATCTTGACTACTTTCCTTGGAAATGTTTGGATCAAGAAAGATGGTGGGCATGAGGTTGTAAATGGGGCTTATCTGTGGAGTCTTATTACTCGGAAGAAACTTGATCGGGAGAGACGGGATCGAGGCGAGAATGTGCCGCAGGTCAGTGATGAGAAAGAAAGGGATGTTGAGATGACTCCCGCCCAACCTGTTTCGGGTCGGATTGAGGAAGACGAGATTACTCGGGCTTGATTTGCCAAAGCGCTGGGATTCCTACGAATCTATGACAAAGGCTAGATAACTTGCACTATACACTATGTTTTAATTCAGAATCCATTGACCCATTCATACCATGCGTCCGAAACTCTTTACAATTGTCCAGCAAGAAACATCAAATACTTGCCAGCTAAGAAAACAACGAAACATGCATAACCGCAGTATTTCACAAATGTTACCAATGTCAGCTTATAAGCTGAACCTCTGACGAGGACTCACAAGACCATTGAACTTTAATGGCTTGACACTGAAAGCCCCATTGGAAGTCAGTTGGTAACTCGAATCCTCGAATCCAAAGTCAACATCCTTGAGAATGCTAGCAAGAGTAAAAATGGACCAACGCCACGCCCACATCTTCCCGTAGCATTCACGTTTACCATTCCCAAAATTTCTCTTAGCTCCCTTAGGAAGGTTGTTCCATTTTTCGCCAAGGACCCGCTCTGGGCTGAATTTCTCTGGGTCTTCGAAGACCTCGGGATCTCGGTTCACGGTGTGCAAAATGGCGATCATGGCTTGGTTGTATGGAATTTGGTACTTGCCCCCAGCGAGCAGAATTGGACTTTTATCATCTGTGGCCCTGGGGATGGGTTCAATGTTGAAGCCCGGTGCTGTGGCAGAAAGACGAAGGGATTCTCTAATGATAGCCTCACAGTATTGTAGCTTTTTGAAATCTTCAAGCTGAATCTGCTCATCTGGACCGACAATTGAGTCAATCTCTGCTCTCGCCTTGGTGATCTTCTCGGGGTTCTTGATCAAATAGTATAAAGCGAAAGCGACAAGATTAGCCGAGGTGGCGGCACCGATGAACATGGTCACTACCTCATCGATGACTTGGGTATCAGTAAGCTTTTCACCGGTTTGCGGATCGGAATTATGAAGCAAGCCGTTCAGAAGGTCATCGCGAACCTGTGTGGGATTCTCCTTCCGGCTCTTGATGATCTCAGCTGCATAATCGCGCATGTACTTGATATTATCCTTAAAGCCTCGCTCATACAACAGCCAATTTACGATCATTGGTCGGGTAGGTCGCTTCATTGCTTCCCATGTGATAGACTCCCAGGCGTGGATGAGAGGATGCTCAGGTCCTTCGAGGATATCGATTCGCTGGTTGAAGAAGCATTGCATAACTGATGTCATCAACAAACGATCGAGATCACTGGTAAATAGTACCGTCTTGTGGGAACCCGAGGCCCATTTCTTGGTAAGGTCCGGAATCACGTTGGCCATGTCGCTGTAGCATCTGTCCGCTGCTGCTCCAGTAACGTAAGGAGCCATGATGCGGTGGCTCACGCCCCATATACTTTCGTTGTCGTAGGCAGTGAAAAGGCAGTTGTTGGCGAGCTGTCGCATCTCCACAACTGGGCCAGTAACGCATTTTCGGAATCGCTTCTCGTCGCATATCTCATCTAGTAGTGCAACATTGCTGATGAAGTAAAGTTGTTTACCCAGGACGGTTATCTTGAAGATTGGACCTGAGAGATTCATTATTTAGAGCATCTTCCAATGCATGGAGATTACATACCGTATTTCTCTGAGAGCTTGATCAGAGACCCCCAGGTTTCGTTGGGATTAACATCCAGGACGTTCCCTACTAAGGGAACACCAGGTGGTTGGGGAATTTTCGATGTCATTGCAAGCGATAGAGTAGTTCACAACAGACTGAATGTCAAACAGGGGATTCCAACAAAACGTGGGGAAGGTGGACTGGCTAAATGAGGCACCGCATCGCTTCGCTTCAGCTGTGGATTTGCGCACGATCAGTGCACGGGTTCGACTAATGATCTCAACAACTGCAAAGCTCCCCACCACTGGTTGGTAAGGCTTTCAGCTGGCCACGAGGATCTGCAACATTGGAAAGCCATGCTCTGGATTGGTCGAGGCTCTGGGGGAAATATAAGACGATAGGCTGATGTTTTACCTCATATGGGGAACCATGCAGCCTGATGCAGGCGCTTTCACAAAAGTACCCTTGTGCGACCCATGATACAGAGTAGATTGGCTAATCTGCATCATCCAGGGGTGGGAAGTTCCACAACTAGACACGTCAGAGAACTGACAGTTGAAATCACGTTACTTGGGCTGCAGAACCGAACCGGGTGAGGTATTGCTGTGGAGATGATCAATGCACGTGAGAGAGATGCGTTGTACAATGTTTGAGGATTGCAGATATTCGGTTTATTTCCTTCCATATCAAGGATTCTCTCCACACATTTTGGTAAGGAGCTTTCCAATTGAACACCACAAAATTAGTTGAGCACCCTCACAGACGGCATTCAAAGTAGTACAATGTTCAAAATTCAGAAAGTAATATTATTGAGTACATATCCAAGTACCTACTTATTCATGTTACTCTGTAGACTAGGCTGGAATGTGAAGGTGATTAAAGAGTTAGACTAATTAAGCTACCTTTTATTACTTATATTATGACTCTAATGAGGCGTCATGTCGTTTATTGACGTGAATTAAGCGAGGTGATGTAATGTACTTGAATACTTGAGATAGCGATTTTTCTGAATTACAATTACTGCACCATACCGGATATAGAAAGAGTGGTGTTCAACTGATTTTGTGGTGTTCAATTATCGCGCTCCTTTGGTAAGAAATATTCTTCTAGTTGTGGGTTGGAGATGTGTTGCACAGGTATACTCCTAGTCATGTACAACATGCCATGACTTTGATGATTGTCTTATCCCGTCAAAAATTGAAGAGGATAGAGCTCTGTTTACCAGCCCCACCCCGTGATGCAAGGGTGAATTTCTGTTACACCATCATGGAGGCGCGACGTGCTGCATAACAATGTACTGCGCCGATTATGTATAGCATCCTGCTGTAGATCGGGCCATGTAAAATACCAGCGCACAGCAGTCTAGAAAGGAGCATTCCGAAGACACTATGATACCGCAATGCTATAAAGTAGTTCTGGAATCCGGGCATTGGGGGTCTCATATTCAGCATTACTTTACTGTAGCAGACCACATTCCATGAGACTATTAGGTATTACCAGCAAAGAATCTTACTTGCTGGGGGTAGATCCGCAAAGTGTTAACCTTATCAGAGGACATGCGTTGAGAATGCACCTTAGAATGTAAACTAAGGATTACGGCTCTACTCTATTTAAATACTGTCAACTGTATATACTATAGCGACAAAGTGCGCAATTTCACTGGCATCCAGCCTCACAACCATGCCGGCATTGTCCCTTTTCCTTGGACTTGCACTTGCCATATCTGCGGTGTCTGCCTGTTCCTCTTGCGATGGAGAAGAAGAGCCAGCAGCTTATCCTCGATTTACGCGTCGCATGCAGCCTGGAGCTGTCAACGCGACAACAGAGCCAAGAGGACCTCTCAATTGAGGGCAAATCAATTTTATCCACACTAGCGACTCCCATGGATGGCTGGAAGGACATATCAAGGAGGGAAACTACGGTGCAGACTGGGGTGACTTTGTGTCCTTTGTAAAGCACATGCGAGACAAAGCGACAGACGACAAGCTTGATCTTCTGCTAATTGATACTGGTGCGTCAACTCCTAGTCATACAAGTGCCTCTGACTGTTACTAACATCGACTGTGTGCAGGGGATTTGCATGATGGGAATGGCCTCAGCGATGCAACCGATCCCAACGGCAAAGTTACGAATCCCATCTTTGAAAATATTGACTACGACCTTCTTACCCCGGGAAATCACGAGCTGGGCGTCGCCGAAGTGGCGTACGAGACATTCAACAATTTCACCAAGGTTTATGGTGACAAGTACCTTGCAAGTAATGTTGACATTTGTACCAATTGCCAGCAAGGCACTCCGAGCACAAAGGAATGGGCGCCAATGGCCAACAGATTCCGATATTTCAAGACGACACATGGTCTACGTATTATGGCATTTGGAGTGATCCTGGATTTGACAAACAACGACAAAGCCATGACCAGAATCCAGCCAGCGGCAAACATGATAGAGGAAGACTGGTTTAAGAATGCCATCAATCGAACGGATATAGATCTTTTCGTGCTCATTGGACACAATCCTGTGAAGCCTGGAATCCCCAAATCCGAAAGCTCATTCCCTCTTATCATGCAGACTCTCCGGTCACAGCGTCCTGAAATTCCTGTGCAGGGATTCGGAGGCCACACGCACCGCCGTGACTTTCACATTTACGACAATATGTCCTCGGCTATAGAATCGGGCAAATACTGCGATACTGTGGGCTGGGTCTCCTTGGATGGTATAGAATCGCATTCAGGCCAAAAAACGGCAGGCACTGAAGTTAAGGATGCTCTTGTCAACGAAGGTAGCATAATTCGAGCGGACAATACATCTTGCCCTCAAACTAAAGAATTCGATCTGAAATTAACCCGTCGGTGGTTGGATTGGAATCGACTCACTTTCGCCTATCACGCGGTTGGGTCCCAAAACAAGTTTAACACCGCGAAGGGGCTCCAAGTCACACAAGGGATCACAGATGACCGAAATAGCCTCAATTTGACATTTGTCTACGGTTGTGCGCCACGATCATATTGCATTTCGTGCAAACCCTATGGTGATGAGGGCAATATCTATACTTTGGTGCAAAAGGCCGCTGCGGCTACTGTGATTAATCCGGATCGTGAGAACAAGTCGAGAATGATCATTGTGAATCAAGGAGCCATTCGATACGACCTTGTCCAAGGTCCCTTCACCGTGGATGATTCCTACATTGTCTGCCCTTATACGTCTACCTTCAAATACATCCCCGACGTCCCCTATTCCCTTGCCTCTAAAGTCCTCGACGGCATAACTGAAGCAAAAGCAAAAGCAAACGCAAATTCCAAACGATCAATGTCCGTGGACATGATATCAAGTCAAATGCTCGGTTATGACGAGTGCGAAAACCCCTCATTCCATAGCCTGAACGGAACAACCGACCTTGTCAAACCGAAAACCCTATACCGTCGTGTACTTGACGAGACAGCGCTCACCCCTGGATACACCACCTGCGATGATCTTGGAGATGATGGGGATGATAGTCCACACTCTGAAATCCCTGCTTATGACCAGCCGTATTATATTCAAGCTACCGCTGCGTTCCCCAACAGCAGTGAACCAAATACCACGGACGTGATTTTCTCGGACTTTCTTGCTGGGCCTATCATTGCTGCGTTGAATGCTGCACACCCGACCACTAACTATACGACGAACGACACTCAAATCTACCTTCCGACGAGTTTTACGACGAATAGTTTCATTCCCAAGTATGCTACTATTGCATGGAAAAACGACACGAACTGCGCTGTTGGAGGATAATTGAATTCCTGCTGTAGATGAGATCGTAGCATTTTGGACCGAACCGGTTGACTGAACTCTGGATGTAACCTTATATTCTGTAATACTTATGCTTAATTGGTAATGAGTCAAGTGAATCTTGGTTCTGTTATCGGGGCGGCTCTGCGTTGATAGTGCTGATACGCTCCCGTGACGCAAAATCGATTAAAAAAAAAGTTCGGCTTTCATGATTCATTCTTCAACCTCACCACATTAATTTGTCGTGGACCTGTTCTCCTCTTCTCACATTCAACAGTCAAGTTGGCTTCCCTCTGCGCCCGCGGTCCTCGCTTTACCGCTTCTCCAGGCGCATTCGCCCGCGCATACCTGCGAACCGCAAGCTCTCCGTTCCTTGTTTTTGGTGCCACTCCCCGCGCCCAACATCGAATCCCCGGTTACCATCGTTCAACTTCCGGCTTAAGACGCTTAGCCAATGTTCGCTCTGTGAATAACGACGTACCCACTCCCAAAGTCTCCAGTACCCAAGCTCCCACAAGCACTCAGACTCCCACAAGTATCCAAGTCCGACCACGAAGGCCGAGGGCAACACTAGAAAAGTTCTCCCTTCTTCCCACGACCGACGCTAGTGGAGCTACAAAATACGTGCTGTGCAATCGAAAGTTCATAGACCCCACCTCAGAAACCCTCCCGCCTGATACGGTGCAATCCAAACCAATGAAGGTCTACTACGAAGTCATCACAACTCCGACCGCCGACACACCCGGCACGGCCCTCTCCCTGCATTATCCCGATAAGCGATACTTCTTTGGTCAATTGTCGGAGGGCACACAGCGCGCATGCACAGAACGTGGAGTCAAAATTGCCTCCTTGAGTGATGTTTTCATTACAGGAAGAACAGAGTGGGCCAACACCGGCGGCCTGATTGGTATCATTTTGACACTTGCAGATGCCATTGCGTCTGGAAATGCGGCTGCAGAGGAGGAAAACCGTAAGAAGGCCGCCCGGCGAGCGGCTAACCAGTCTCTTCCGAAACACAAGGACGGTGTCGTCTCGGGCCCTGTGGCGGAAGATCTGACCATACAGAAAAGTCATTTGACTCTCCATGGTACAACAAACTTAACGCACACTTTGGCCACTGCCCGACGATTTGTGTTCAGAAAAGGAACCCCTGTTTTTACGAAAGAATACGACACCGAATCCGTTGCAAAGCAGACCCGTAACGAAGCGGAGGATCCTTTTGAAAAGCCTACATGGTCTGACGCAAACATTAAGGTCTGGGCATTGCCAATCAGACCGAAGTCGCCCACTACTTTCGACATGCCCACTCAGACAAGGCCAAAGAGTCCGCGGAAGCGAAGCTTGGATGAATTCCAAGAATCTGCGGAACCTAAAACTGGGCTCGATCAGCGCGCTGCTGATACTATGGTGCGGCAGTCGGTTGTAACGGATATGTTCAACTCCACCTGGAAAATGGACGCATTGGTTGAAACCCCATTAGCCGAGGTCAAAATGCCTGCTGCGATGTTTGTGCGCAACCCGGTGACAAAGGACATGGAGCCCTACAATGGCCCGAAGCCAGGCGAGGAGTTGCCGTTGCCTGATATCAAAGTATTCGTCAGGCAACCCTGGCCAGGCGCGAAAGTGGAGAGCTTGCCGCCCACTTCCCCTTCAAGCGATGCACTCTGCTATATTGTTCGCAACCATGATATTCGTGGTAAATTCGAGCCAGCCAAGGCGATGGAATTGCGAGTGCCGAAAGGACCGGCTTTTGCTGCTCTGACAAAGGGAGAGAGCGTCCAGTCAGAAGACGGCAAGACAATCACACCAGATATGGTTTTGGGCCCGACCCGCCTGGGCAAGGGTCTTGCCATCATGGATGTGCCTTCCGTTGACTATGTGGAGTCCTTGGTGAATCGACCAGAATGGAAATCTCCCGCAGTTACTACCGAACTTACATCTTTTGTCTGGATATTGGGCCCAGGCGTTGGTGATCACCCTAAGATCCGAGAGTTTGTGGCGAGCATGCCTCACTGCGAGCACACTGTGTCCAGTACGGACTACTGCCCGAACTACTTGGCTCTTGCAAGCACCGGTGAAGCTGCTGTACGACTGGCCCGGCTGAAGGGCGACAGCTACTCCATTCCCGTCCACGACAACGTGACTCTTCCACAGAACAGAGCTTTGATTCCCAAACCGGCTACTAAGCCTGCTGCGCTCCAGGATTCTTCATTCAAGCGCCTTGATCCAGGCCTTATTATCGATATGGAGCCACAATTCAAACTGAACAAGGATGAGGTTATTCCTCATTTGAACACAGCCAAGACAATTTTCCAGATTCCCAAGGCCGTCGAGCAGCGGATGTCAGTTATTCGCAATCGTGTTGCGAAACCCAAATTTCAGCAACATCTAGAATCCATTCGAAAGGATCTCCCTGGTGGAGATGCTGAAATTACTGCCCTTGGCACGGGTTCATCTGCTCCTTCAAAGTATCGCAATGTCTCTGCAACCTTGGTGTATGCTCCCAGCTCTGGGTACTACCTCCTGGACTGCGGCGAGAACACTCTGGGTCAACTAGAACGAGTGTTCGAGCCCGAGAAGCTGCGAGAGATTTTCCAAAATCTTCGCATGATCTGGATCAGTCACTTGCATGCTGATCACCATTTGGGCACTGCCTCCGTCATCAAGGCATGGTACCATGTGAATTATGGGCCTGATGCTAAACCAGCAGCCTACCCTGAAACCGACCTTACAAAAATCCTGCAAGAAAAGCGCCTGTGCTTGGCTTCCGACGAAATGATGATTACCTGGCTGGAGGAGTATGCTTCAGTCGAGAATTTCGGCTTCGATAAAGTGCTTCCTCTCAGTGCGCACCCCGAAGCTTCCCAAAACTCCATTGCCACTAAGTTTACATACCGGCATACTCAGAACGGCGGGCCACCATTCGGTCGGGATGCGCCAGGCAAGACGATCCTCGATTTCAATGATGAATCGTCGCCTTTTACACCCCTTCTCAAGTCCTCCACCGGTCTTACTGACCTTCTAACTACTCACGTAAAGCATTGCCGTGGCGCCCTTGCCATGTCTCTTGTATTCCCCGACGGTTTCAAGGTCTCTTACTCTGGTGACTGCAGACCGTCAGACAAGTTTGCTTCTATTGGTCGTGATTCCACCGTTCTCATTCACGAGGCTACCTTCCAGGACGACATGGTGGGATCTGCTCTCGCGAAACGCCATTCCACTGCGGGCGAGGCAATTGAGGTTGGCCGCCGCATGGGAGCTCGTTCCATTCTCCTCACGCATTTCAGCCAACGGTACCAAAAGATTGCCCACGTGGACCAAAAGGCTGGCACTATGGCCCACGACGACATCTCGTCGACCAAGCAAGCTGCGGCCGCTGCGAAGAAGAAGTTAAATAGTAGTGCCGATATTCCATTCGATGATCCAGAAGATGAACCGGCTACTCACGAGTTTGGTGCCAGACTCCTTGATGACATCCGATTCCCTTCCAAATCACGGCCTCCTCTCCCTCGCAGCGAGACTCAAATTCCCCGTGAGAACACTCCTGTTGCTGCAGCTATGGACTATATGCGCATTAAGGTTCGGGATCTTGCTCTCGCGCAGGCCTATGCCCCAGCTCTGGAAAAACTCATCGAGGTTATGGAGCGTCACTCTGCTGAAAAGTCTGCTTTCTTGAAGCAAAAGGCGCAAGAGATGGAGGAGGCTCGCAAAGCTAAAAACAAGAAGAAGTTCGGCGGCAATAAGAAGGCTGCTGCTGGTGCTGCCGCTGTGGTCGCTGCTACTGCTGTTGTCGATGAGCCCGAAGAGCAGAAGAAGCCCGCACACTCCCTTTTCAGTGCTAGTGAAAGCGAAAGCGGGTGGGAGACCAGTGACTTTGAGGAATGAAGTCTTGCTAAAAAGCCTTGTACATACCCATTACCAGTTATAAGTGCATAAAGATTAACCAGTTGACCCACTCCACGGACCAAATTCATTACTATTGTAAGACAATACGTGATACCTAGTTATATATGTACTATAGAACGCATAGAAAGTTGCTGTTGTTTTGCTAGATATTCAACAGAGAGCTACGTGGCATAAATCACGCTGCCCAGGTTGGGGTGCCCGGATAGGGCCACTGCGGAGTATACGTACAATCGGCTAACCTCGGCATAACAATAACATGGCCCGACTTGTGTATTGAAGGCCAGGCTGCATAGAGACTACTGGAACCCAAATCTATTTACTCCTAGAGCATCTCATAATGCCGTAAGTTATATCGTGGATTGTCTGCCACTCATTCTTTATATAGATCCCCTCACCGGTGATTGGTATGACCCCCTCTCACCGCCCCACCGACAGATGTCATCTTGCACCCCAAGAGGTTCAACGTTTCGACTCACCCCCCGTCGCCAGCAATGACGACTCTCATCCCGCGTGAGCCGTACTCCCCGGAGGAGCTGGAACGGCTCTATCCGAAAGCATTGAAGCTACAACTGGTTCAGGTGGTAAGTCAGCGGATTTGCAATATTAGAATGCAGTAGCTAATCAGCTAATCTCCCCGGCAGTTCCTCCGTCATGGTAAGAGCTTATATACCTGCACCTGTCGGCGCGATTCTGAATTCCTCTAGGTGAACGTACGCCTGTTTCTTCGCGTTTCCAAAATGTAAGATCTCCCTGCCTAGCACTTTGAGCTCTTGATTGGTTGCTAATTTACTGTGAAGACAGGCTTGAGTCCATGTAGCTTATCCTTCTACCTCCTCGTCCCCAATTACCGATAGACTAACCCCGGCGATAGACTGGCCGTATTGCAATGTTGCGCGGAATATGGTTCAGATTGCGGCGAGCAAGAGTGACCTCTCCAGTTGGGACGGGTTCCAATGGCGCCGGAAGATTGAGACCTTTGGTGACAATGACGAGGCTAGGGTTGCGGCGGGTCCGGGCGGTAACCTTGAAACGATTTGGTTAGTTATCAATGTGCTGGTGTATGTCGGACGTGGCTAACACTTTCAAAGCCAGCACGGTGAACTTACAGACAAGGGCCGCGAGACGACCTATGCCCTCGGTCAGCGCTTGCGCCATCTATATGTTGACCAGCTTGGATTCATGCCTAAGATCAAGGAAGATACCGAGGATATGTACCTGCGGGCTACATCAATTCCCCGTGCTTTGGAATCTATGCAGCAAGCATTCTGGGGAATGTACCCTACCAGCGCCCGCACACAGAACTTCCCACCGCCGGTGATTGTCGCTCGTCCTGTGAACGAGGAGACTCTGTTCCCTAATGAGGGTAACTGCCGACGTTTCCGCCAGCTGGCTCGCCTCTTCGCTGACCGTGCGGCTGCCCGATGTAAGATATCAATTTCCGATTTTTTAGTTGTCACATCTAATTCATTATTACAGGGAACGACTCCGAGCAAATGGACTATCTAAACCGACTATGGTCCAAGTACATGCCCGAGTCCTCGCCAAAGGTCGCTGTTGATGCCCATCCCCGTCTGTCTGGTATTATGGACACAATTAATGCTAGTGATGCACATGGACCGGAAACCAGACTTCCCTCTGAGTTTTACGACAAGAAGGCACGTGCTGTCCTGGACCGCATTGCGGTAGAGGAGTGGTTTGCTGGCTACAACGAGAGCGTCGAGTACCGCAAGCTGGGCATTGGCGGTTTGATGGGTGACGTTGTTGATCGCATGGTCAGCACCGCTGTGGACGGCGGTTGGCACAGCAGCACTTCTGCTTCTGGGTCTGGTAATCCGGAGACTGGCAAGGCTATCAAGTTCGCGATGAGCGGATGCCACGACACCACGCTTGCAGCGATCCTGTCCAGTGTTGGAGGTTTCCAGGATGGTGCATGGCCGCCTTTCACCTCATCTATTGCTGTTGAGCTTTTCTCTCAAGCTCCCAGCAGTCGTGCTGATGCAGGCACTGTCCTTGAGGAATTTTCCAACCCGGCGATTGTCTCTAAGAAGGGTATCTTCTCATCGTTGTTCGGCCATGCTAAGTCCGTGGAAGAGAAGCTTGCGCCGTCCGCGACCGCGCGTGCACCCCTCGATTCTTTCCCAGATGAAGCCCGCGAGGCCTTTCGCAAGCACTACGTTCGTATCCGCTACAATGACCAGCCCGTGACCATCCCCGGTTGCGCAGCTAAGCCCGAGAATCACCTCCCCGGAGATGAAACTTTCTGCACCCTGGATGCCTTCAAGAACATTGTTGATAAGTTCACTCCCAAGAGCTGGACTGTCGAGTGCACGCAGAACCTGGGTGCAGGCCTGCACGGCGTCAATGACTCGGAGCGCAGCCCTGCCGGATATTAGATGACTTATTGTACAGCTTCTGATGCGTACTCGTTCCATTGTTTTTCATTGCAGATAAACTGGGTATTCCTGGGTTGTAATTATTATATCGAAGACCCTAGACTAGAACTACCAGCTATGTGTTCTTCACTTTTTTGCCCCCGTGCTCTAGCTTCTTCAGCGACTTGATCTTCATCGTCGTAATCTTCAAAATCATCGAACGTGGCAACAGCTCAACAGAGAGTCCCTGCACCCAATGCCAGAAATACGCCCATACAATCACCTGTCCACATCCAACGCGATTCAACGCTGCTGACGCCAGTATACGCCCATTTGGCACAAACAAACCTCTCGTAACCCCAAAATTGGCAGTACGCACCTGTCCCACACGCAAACCCATGATATTAACATTCCGACTCTCGGCATAAACCTCTGCCTCCAGCGCCCGCGTAAAACTATCCACGAACCCCTTCGATGCAGAATAAACACTAATATAAGGCATTCCAAACGCCGAAATCGACGAAACATTCAGCACAAGACCCTTCGTTCCCTCACAAAGTAATGGCAACAAAGCTCGCGTAATCTGTAACATGAATCCCGCATTCATATCGACGGTCATCGCCGCCTCCTCAAATGTATATCCATCCACAAGCGTATAGGGCTTTACCTCCCCACCCACATTATTAACCAAAACACTCAGATCACCTCCATGTTTTTCTGTGATCGCCCGTATTTGACTCGCAACAGAATCAATGCCAACGGATGTCACGCTCACAACGTCCAAAACTACAATCTCCGTCTTGCAGTTTGGAAATTCAGCCCCTAGCTCACGTGCGCGATTTTCAAGCTTTGAGGCGTTTCGGCCGTGTAAAATCACGTTGAATCCGCGGGCACACAATTCCTGACTAAAGCCAAAGCCGATTCCATCTGTGGCGCCTGTGACTAGGGCCCAGTTTTGGCCGGATGGGTTGTGGGTTTTCGATAGGGTCGAAGGGAGGAGGTAGACTGTTGCTTGGCGGGTGAATTTGTAGGTGGTGTAGGTTAGAGCTGCGAGGCCGATGTAGGCGAGGGGGTTGATCCAATCTGTTGACATTTTGGAGGATTGGCCCTTGGGACTCGAGATTGGTTATGTTTGGATTTCGGGAAAGTCAAGAAAGTTGGGGAATTGTATCCACTTTTTATGATATCACTATTGATCCGCGGTTGCACAGATTCAGTACCACGCAAGGGAGAGAATATTTATTTCAAGGTTGGTGATTGTAGGGGAATGCGTCTTTAATATAGTTCCTGGTTATAATTGCCTCTTCTATATCTATTTTGAGCTTATTGCTAGGGCTTACGGGCCGACATCAAATGTCGGTCCGGCGCGGATGCCGAGCGCCGATGTCCGGGAGTGGGGGCTGTATTAAGAAAAGCAATCCGATGTATCAAGAACAGTCTAGCTTGAATGAATCTGGAATGCTATCTAAATACTGGATGTTTACCATGGGTTTGGCGAGTAGACTTAATATAGGCCGTTCTAGATAGCTTTCTCCCAGAGAGTCGTTAAGTTATTTCAAAACACAACAAATTATGCTATTGAACGAGTATATGAGATATGACTAGTGTCAAAAGGGAAAAAGCTTCCGCAAGATGTCGCCAAGCCGAGAGCTAGAGCTCGGCCAAGAAGCTGCATGTTGATAACTTCCTTGATATTCATGCCCGGAGAGACTTCCTTTAGACTGGGCTAGCTCCGAATGCAATCTGATGGCCTGGATGGCCCATGCTGTTGTCAGACCCTGATGGTTACAGAGTTGTCCTGATTGCGGTGACTTGTATATAGCTCCAGCTGGCCAACTTCCATCATCATTCTGACACATGATGAGTGTTTTGATCCCAGCGTCATCTTGAATACCACATCGCGCAGCGGTGATCAAGCGTACAGCCAGCGACATTGAATCAGTGATTGCCGCCTTTCTCTCTAAAACACAGTCACGAAGCAGGAGTTGGAATCCTCGAGCAATCGAGACATGAAGAAAAGAATGAGATCGGGTGTGGTGTAGTAGTGAGAAGAATACTCATGCGCACGGGTTCTGAGGGTGTCAAAAACCCAATCCTCTGTGGCCTGAAGTTCTTCACCCCTTCCAAACTCGTTGAATAGTGACAAGGAATTAATGGCTACACCGATGTCCTGCCGGATCACCTCATCGGAGAAATAAACCTGCATAATTCCCTCTGAATCTCGTAAGGCTAACATCTGATCCATGATATCATTTCGCTGGTCCATGGTAACATGGCTGACAACGGATAGCCCCAGTGAATTGGTATCCACGCATGCTGGCTTCGAGTAAACTGGCTTGCGGCTAGTTTCATTATCAAAGAGCCAGTTGAACGGAGGTGAGCCTTGGGGTAGGTAAACAATGCTTTCGTCATTGAGTGCGTCGAGGATGAGAAATTGGCTGAAAATATCTTGCAATGTCTTGCCAGCACTTGTTTCGAGATTCAAGTTGCCAGCTTGACCCTTCAAGAAGCTCAGGCCTCTTTCTATAGGATTTGAGTAAAGCTTCCGAACACGAGACGCGTACTGAGCCTGGTCCGGGCATAACAAAACTTCAAGTCCAGCAGTTTGGGCTGCAGCCGCATGTTCCGGGATGTGAGTGACATAGAGCACCTGTGACGACTCTAGCTGACTCTCCTTGAGGAGTCTTTTGATGAACCCCGAATGCGGTAGGCGTTCACCTAGTTGGCAGGAAGCAAATATCCGAGTGTCAGGCCATTGGCCTCCATCCAGTTGACGTTGAAGGGGTGCCACCTGGTCTAAGGTTCCGTTCCCAACTGCGAGGAATTTGAGATCTGGAAAATCGGCCTTGAGGTCTCTCACACCCTCAGGGAGCGAGAATTGGGGAATTGCGCAGAGCCCAGAGGATATTTCCGACTCGGGGAGTTTTAATTGCTGTGACAGGATTTGGTGGCATTCCGCCCGCTCCATGGAACCCTTTTCATATCGGAACCAAGGGGAAGACGTTGTTATCTTATACAGCAGGGACTTCAAGGCGGCATCTTCACTGCCCCTTGCTTCTCGCCTCTTCCATTCCACATCAAGTGAGTAACTGGAATCGAATGCCAGAGACTTGAAAATCAAAGCCATCTTGAGTTCGACAGGCCGGTGTCCACCGCGAAACAAGTACAAAGGAAAATTAAAACCAGAACGGAGGTTAATCTTATTTCAGACTGAGATTGAAGGAGAGGAAAGTGTGACGAAAGTGGACTCCTTTTTTGTTAGGCCTCTTATGGCAAGGCACTCTCGAACCCTCTCAAGGAAACAAGGCATTCTCATTCAAGTCTTCCTCTGGCCACAATCTTGATAATGGCGGTATGATGAGACGGCCTAGGCCGAAAATGAACTCGGCAAGTCAGGCCCGATAACAGAGTGGGCTTCGGGATTTTGGAACATCGTGATACGAGACTTGATGCGGGCAATTGATTCTTGATTTTGACTTCTGCGGGTCACCCATATGCAGAAAGAAAAACCTTAACTAGTTCTTTACGAGCGCGAAGATGACCAAGATAACCAAGATGTGATGGATCATCACGAGAGGTGCAGAAGTCGCAAAATACGGACCGCTTCTTGTGGCCCGTTGGTGGATACTAGTTGTTTATTTAGGGAAATTCCCTGCATATCTCATACTCTTCGTACGTAATGACTTGCTCACTTCCAACTTTATCATACAAGCAAGAGAATATCGAAGAATCATCCAGAATTGAGGTGTCATCATTCTTTTGTATCAGTTGCCCCTCCGAATACCTCACTCTCTCATCTCGTTATAAGCATTCATATTCACTTCCTCGACACCTAAGAGACATGGCTCCATCAAGTCAATGACAAGCCAAAAAATACTCAGCCGTAGTCTGTGATATCGGCGATGTCCTCTTCACCTGGCACCCACCCAGAAACACTGCCATCTCACCGGCTATCTTAAAATCAATGATCTCCCACCAGATTTGGTATGATTTTGAATGCGGCAAAATGTCTCATTCTGATTGCTACAACCGCCTTGCTGAAGCATTTTCCATCGTACCAAAGGAGGATGTATCGAATCTATTCAAGGAGGCCAAAGCTACCCTGAAGGCAGACGCACACATAACGGACCTACTACGGGACATTAAACGTAGATCTCTCGAAGGCCCTAATGCGGACAAAGTGGAGGTCTACTTGATGTCAAATATGTCCAAGGAAGACATTGACTATCTTCAGGGACTCGATGGCCCGTGGAATATGCTCGATGGAACGTTCGCGTCTGGATATGCAGGAATGAGGAAACCGGACTCGAGATTTTTTGAATATGTCCTGAAGGAGATTCATATGGATCACAGACCGGAAGAAGTACTTTTCATTGATGATCAACTTCAGAACATAGAAGCAGCGGAGGAACTGGGCATACGTGGAGTGCAATGCAGATCGGGCTTTGAAACTGCAAAAGTGGTGAGGGAGCTTCTAGGCATGTGAGATGGAATCTTTTGACATTTGTTCTAAATCGGAGCCATGTGTGAACTACGGGGTATTTCTTTAGTCCATTAGACTAGTTCTGTCAACTACGGAGTCATACTCTCGGAGCTGTCTCGGAGCTGTAGCCCTCATAAGCGAGAACATATGACGATCTTTACTCCGCAGGGCTAGAATCAAATCAAGGCCGATGTACATCTTGGAAATAACATTGGATACAAAGTTTATCCTGGATCGACCAATGACCTTTCTTTATGTATCGCGCGATGCAACCCAGATACAGATTCGATCGATAGCCGAGTCGGCGAGAAGCAAGTAGCGGTGTGTTATCGTATGCGGGTCGTGGCGTTTGAGTTGGAGGATCGATTACAAAGTCATGCCAGTTGAACCCCACTAACAGCGTGCATGCCCACATCTTTGCGGTTAAATCCCAAGAGACGACTGAAGCTGAAGGTCCCTGACTTTTCTTGCAGCCTTAAGTTGCCTTGAATCCCTTCCCATAAGAAAGGTTAGCCTTTTAAATAGTTGTGTATTCAGACAGAGTGCCTATAATAATCACAATCAGTACTCTGCATAGTGTAGGGTAAACGTTGTTCCGGCGCGGACACCGAGCACCGGCCTTAATGCGAGACTGGACTCGACCTAGGAAGAGCAATTTGATGCACCATAATTTAATCAGAAGAATGTCATTTCAGTACCAAATAGTTACTATGGTTCAAGGCTGGCGAGGAGTAGACTTAATGTTGAGTAGCCAGTCTTGATAGCCTCCTTAGAGACGTTAGTAACGTTATCAGGCTCACACTTTGAGTTAAAAAGAACTCACTTAGGACCAATTTTGGCCTTGACTCTGCTCTCCACACTTCGGCCTTTCTCGTAAGTAAATACTACTAACCAGGGCTCAGAAGACGAGTCGTTTTCGCCAAACTCCCCACATCTGATGAGCTCCTCTGACAAGCTTTGCACAATTTTGCCATCCTTGGATCGCAGTTCCCAACTATATCCTGGATTGTCTTGGAGAATTAGACTTGGGGGTCGAAATCTTATGTCGTATGTTGTATCCCAAATCATGTGAGTTCCTACCGATTAGGTCGTTGGTGTGTTTGCCCGGCCCGTAGGATTGAGTAGAAGATAGAAAATTATTGAGCCTCGTATCTGAAGATCATTCAAACATGCCGCGACCATTCATTAAGATTTAATCATTCCTCTTTGAAAGTTTTCCTTTTTCCATTCAGACAATTTCTTTCATGTGGGTTTAGTCGGATATAGAGGCGTTGTCTCAACGGGCCAAGAACCCAGCACAAAGCCTCATTTGGACATTCCCTGCCCAGGTGCAGAGTTCCAAGGTTACAGCAGCAAATTTAGAAATAATCGAACAATGAAGTAGCTCTATTCACACTCTAAATCAAAACGGCTTCCAGCCTTACTGTCTTATCCGGCCGTTGACATACCACTATGGCATCCGCAGTCCTGGTTCCTGGCAGTTGTTTCCCACCTATGAAATGGGGCAAATTAGCAATAAAACCTACCGTACGACAACCATCCAGTAATATCTCTCTGAAAACTGTATTACCGACCCGATTTCCTCGATTGAGGACCGTGAAGGTCAGCGTTGTCTATTAAGTACCTTGGGGACCGGCCCAACTGACCAACTAAAATCTTCTAATTACCACCTTTATGGGGCAATCACCACTCCATTGGATGACCACCTGCTCCACCATGTTTCTATATACCTTGGTGTCTTGTATAGACATTCGTATGACCCAGAAGCAGCAACTATAATGCAGCGACGGTGAGGAACTTGGAGACGGTGCGTAGAGAGGTTAAAAGAGTTGCCCGCAAGGTGTTTGGAGGCGTATACTTGTCGATTTCATTCTTTTCTTTGATTCCTTTTGTATTTCACATTGTGATTATAGAAGAAAAGAAGACTTCATTATGGTTATTGATTCCGGGAAAGAGTCGCTTTCAGCCTATCATGTCCAGGCTCAGGAGATGGACAGTCCTAAATCACGGCAATTACCGGTGACTCTACTCTCTGGATTCTTGGTATGATTGATTTGCTACTTATCATTGGAAAGCCTGTGCTCATTCTGTTCTAGGGGAGTGGAAAGACAACTCTGTTACAACACATTCTCAAATCGCCGGATCATGGCATGCGAATCGCTGTCATTGTCAACGACATGAGCCAGTCAGTAACTAAACAAAGCATGAAGAAACTGCAATAAGCTGACCCACTCTTTACGTAGGCTTAACATCGATGCCGCCTTAATCAGAAACCACAATGTCTCTCAAACTCAGGAGAAACTCGTTCAGCTTCAAAACGGTTGCATCTGCTGCACTCTCCGTGGTGACCTGCTTTCTGAACTTGCCCGTCTTACAAAGCTGAATGAGATTCAATATGTCATCATCGAAAGTACAGGTATCAGCGAGCCTATGCAGGTTGCCGAGACCTTCACGGCGGAGTTTAGTAGCGCCATGCTGGAAGCTGAAGATCAGATCGGTGAGAATGATGAGGATACAAAGAAAATCATCAATGAGATGTAAGGATCCCCACATTACAATCTTTGATATTTCTCTAACAGCCTTAAGTGTTGAGATGGGTGGTTTACACACCATCGCTCGTCTGGACACCACAGTGACTGTCATCGACGCCTTCAACCTGCTCTCGAACTTCGATACCACTGAGTTCCTTTCAGACCGATACGGTCGTGACGAAATCGTCCCTGAGGATGAACGAACAATCTCCGACCTGATGGTTGATCAGATTGAGTTTGCGGATGTGCTCATTCTCAACAAGATTGAGACTATCGACGAAAAGACCCGGGACAAGATTATGCAATTGCTCAAGTTGCTTAACCCTGACGCCAAAGTCTTGACGTCTAGCTATTCACAGGTGGATGTGCGGGAGCTTATAGCAACGAATAGATTCGACTTTGTCCGCGCTGCCTCAGGTGCCGGATGGCTTCGCAGCTTGCATGAGATGACCATCCAAACTACCGGCAATGGAAACCGCATGGCGCCTAAGCCGGAGACGTTGGAGTACGGTATCAACAACTTTGTGTACACTGCTCGCCGACCTTTCCACCCTCGTCGTCTGTTCTCACTTCTCCATGATAAATTTATTATTCTTCAGAGCAATGAACTTGAGGAAGAAGAAGAGGATGAAGAGGATGAGGATGAGGAAGAAGAGGATACTGGTGATGAGATGGACACAGATGATGAGTCGCTTGAAGACTTTGATCAGCCTGATCCGAAAGACATATTGAGTAACAAGCGCAATCACCCTGCCTTTGGTCCGATTCTCCGTTCCAAAGGCTTCTTCTGGCTGCCGACCAGACCCTACCAATTTGGCGAATGGAGCCAAGCAGGTGGCATGTTGACGGTCGGCTGTGGAGGACCTTGGTTTGCTGAAGTTCCTGACGAGGCTTGGCCAGAGGATAAGGACGTCCGTGAATCGATTGAGAACGACTTCCAGGGTCAATGGGGCGATCGGAGACAAGAGATTGTCTTTATCGGTGAGGGTGTTGATGAGGCACAAATCTCATCTATTCTGGATGAGTGTCTGTTTGATGACAAGGACATGAAGCAATGGGAGAAGATCATGAAGAACAAGAAGCTCAGTCGGGAGGCGAAGTGTAAAAAAATCGCTAGCATTTGGGAGGACGGATGGGAGGAATGGCCTGCTTTTGAGATTGAGGATGAGGAAGAGCAGGTTGTCGGTAAGCATCGCATTAGCGAGCATCTTGGTAAAGAGCATAAAGGTCATAAGCATCGGTAGAGAATTATAGGTAAAAGTGAATTTTATGTTATGTTGTGATGTTAAGATGAGCAAGATTCGGGCCTTATCATACCTATATTGATGGTTAATGTTAATCTACATGTAATCAAATGTTCATCAATTTCAACCAAAGTTCGCACCTCTCAACCCTGAACATGCAGCTAATAATAGGGACCTATGCACTTGGCAACTTGACAGCGGAAATTAGAGCAACAGCGGTTACGGGGTTAACTACGATTGGTGCGTGAGGCTAAAGACCGGACTAATTATAGGCGAAAGCGGTCCGTGCTTTCAGCTCAGCGCTTAACTATACTGGAGAAAGTAGGGGATTCATGTCCCTTATTTTCTATTTCTTTCTGGATTCCGGTCAATCAAAAATTTCCTCATGAAGTTACCAATTTGTCTGTTCCAAGGGCTCAATCCCCGCTTGTCCTACAATGTCGACCTCATCCATCACGGCGTCACTGCCCTTGACGACCACTTTTACCCCACCAAGTGCCTGTCTTTCTGATTTATGGCTTGCTCAAAGCTCTAGTGGCAAATGGATGAACTTGGGCCCCGCCAATACCACTGAATGTTTGCCATCAGGATGGGCAGCATCAAGTACATTCTCTCCCGGGGTATGTCCAAGCGGCTGGATTATGGCCTCCAATTTTACAACTGAAGTTTCAAATACGCCCCAAACAGTGGGCACCTGCTGCCCACAATATTTGTGAGTAAATAGATCTCTCACGAACAAGTTAAATCTTCCCATGGCGGCTGATTCTTGCTCATATAGACCCAGTAGCTGGGTGTTCTCTACGCGGCCAGCTTCAACCTCAGAAGAGCCGTGGTATAGCACCGAGATCTGTCAATTTGCTCCGCAGACGACTATCTATTACGGATATACTTGGACCACCGAAGGCATTACCACGTCAACCCCGAGTGAGATGAAGCCAGGCGGCCTTATCAATGCATATGGCTTGGTCGTCGCTTGGCAGGAGACTGATAGTAATGATCCGGCCACTGCTACGGCCACTGCCAGCACAAGCAGGACTATACCAACTTCGAATTCAGATCGTGCCACTGCCACTGCCACCACAGATACGACTACACCGGCTTCGAATATAACATTCGATTCATCGGGCTTATCTACTGGTGCGAAGGCTGGGATTGGCGCAAGTATTGCCGTCGGGGTCATTATGCTCTTGGCCTTACTTGCTTTCTTTCTCCTACGTCGGCGAAAAAAGCAACAAAGGGCCTCAGTGGCCGTGTCACCACCCAGACGCCGAATACGTCATGCAAATCCTGTTGAAATCGATTCTGCTCAAAGTAGAGGCCCTGAACTAGGCTCAACCCCTCTTTATGAAGCTGATGGTCAGAAACAGAGTCCTTATCATCCCTGGGTCGTTGAGCTTGATGGGACCAATGATAAACACGACAGGCTTTGGAAAGAATAGATTGTATCACGAATTCACCTAAAGACCATTAATTTGTAGATTCATAATCCATTAGTATAGACCAAGCTTCCCAGATGATAATCTCTGGCAGTGGAATCAAAATCCACTCTAATTTTGTTCTTCCCCACTACCATCAAGAATATTGAACTTTATCGATAAGCTTATCGATAAGGATAACATCGATAAGCATGGTGACATCGATAACGATAACAGACGCGCTAAGCGGCCTCCGCCTTTTCCATCTTGAGTCTCCCAGTGTGACGCTCTCCTCGACATATCCCTGTCGTGTTCAACGTTTTCTTTTTCTTTTTGCCTGAGATAGTCCCGTCTGCCAACCATTGCGGATTGTCTCCCCCAACCCCGTACGATTGAGGGGGAGAATGCTGCAGTGACTGCCGCTGCCCGGTCTTCGTGCTACATTCATCCTGGCCTGGTCCAGGTATCGGATGTTTGCATGCAATTGATCTCAACCAAAATTCCCCTTTTCTGAACGGACTTATCCAGTGACATTGCTCACAATTGACTCCTGTATGTCGGGACCCAATCGTGAAGCCCCTGTACGCCATGCTGACTTGCCCCTCAGCAGTTCCCCGCTTATCTAGCTTCCCGCGAGCGGAGCTTCTGATTTGATGGAGGTAAGAAGTGTTTGCCCCGTGTTCCATGCTTTTATTCGAGCCTCTTGATCTCCTTTACGATGTGGCCGATCTCGGTGTACTGCACCAATGGTTAGACAGACGCTGGGTCCCGGACTTTCTGAAGTGCATCCGGCGGTACTAGAAGGCCTCTAGCTTCCTTGCGTGCAGCCTTAGGGCTTTCAAGAAGCTCCGGCTGGGCAAAATCCCATTTATCCGTGATGAAACTATGAACTTCCTTATTGCCCGGCTCCCTTCCTGGCTTTCCAGAAATGCCTTAAAAGCAAAGAGTCTCCTGTCACCTGCATGTGATGTGATCAATTGCCCCTTGGGGTATGCGCAAGCTTTTGTGCGGTTTTTGCCCCGAGCAGTGCCTATACCGATGCCACGCCATGCCCTTCTCTTGTGTCCGGAGATCGCGTTCCATGGACCCTGACTCTGAGCACTGCCTGTCAACTTCCTGTCTGCCATTTACCCCTGCCTACGAGACCAACGCCCGGCTAAGTCTTGAAATCATATTACAGGGAACCAACCATGTCAGTGGGTCGGTGCAGCCCAGATCAGCTTTGATCCCCAATACCCAAGCCCGCGATGCCAAGCCCCGACTCCTTCTCATGGGGCTTCGCCGGTATGTATTCTATCTCAAGCGCTTAGTCTGGAGAAAAATTGATGTGGTTTTAGGAGTGGAAAGTCCTCCATTGCCAGTGTGGTCTTCCACAAAATGCCTCCGAATGAAACCCTCTTCTTGGAATCCACCACTCGAATCCAAAAGGACTCAATCCAGTAAGTCCTCCAAGATACAGTGCCGCGCTTTTGCTAAGTCTCTCCCAGCTCCTTTATGGACTTTCAGGTCTGGGATTTCCCCGGTCAGCTAGAATATCTCGAGCCATCCTTTGACCTGGAGGACATCTTCGGAAGCCTCGGAGCCCTGGTGTGGGTTATCGATGCCCAGGATGACTATCTTGACTCCGTGGCGCGGTTGAACCGAACCATCTTGACAGTTCAGCAGTATTACCCAGGTATCAATATCGAGGTTTTCATCCACAAGGTCGATGGACTCTCGGATGAGTTCCGCACCGACATCTACCAGGATATCGTGCAGCGCATCTCAGACGAACTCAGTGATGCTGGGTACGAGAACGCACCCGTGCACTACTACCTCACCTCTATTTACGACTACTCCGTTTTCGAGGCCTTCAGCAAGGTCATCCAGAAATTGATCCCTAACCTGTCCACTCTTGAGAATTTGATCAACACGCTAGGTAACAACTGCGGCTTTGAAAAGACCTATCTCTTTGATGTGCTCAGCAAGATCTATATCGCCTCCGACACCCGTCCCGTCGATATGGCCTGCTATGAGATGTGCTCAGACTATATTGACGTGATTGTCGATGTCTCCGAGCTTTATTCGTGGGACCACCCTGAACGCCGGCCTAAAGGAGATCAGATCCAAGAAGCGGAAAGCCACGTTGTCCTGCACGATGATACAATGATTCACCTGATGGAAATGAACAAGTATGACCCCATTGCATTAGTTTGGGAACAACAGCTGACTGAACCCAGATATCTCTGTCTCGTTTCGGTCATCCGCAACCGTGAGTCGAAGGAGAAACGCGGCCTGATCGATTTGAATTGTCGCACCTTCCAGGACGGGTTGAACGAAGTTTTCTCGCGCCGCTGGGAACAGCTAGAGGAGTCTAATCACCTTGACCAACTTGACGGCGGTGCCTTAACTTGATCGCATGAGCCATCGTATTTCCGCCTGTACAAGACACCTGTACGAGGCTCTTAACGAACTTTGCCCGCTGTCGCGGTGGGATGAAAAGATGATTGTTAGTCTGTATCTTGACAGTTCCTGAACACTGTCCTGTTGCATGTTCACTAGTGTAGTCAAAATATGAAATACCAGCCCGGAGATCACCAGTGAAACAAACTCATTTCAAATCTCAGATATGCAGTAATCCATGGAATCATAAAACAAGCCTCAGCACTTCCAATATTTAAGCCCTCATGCTCGTGGGCCATAATTTCAGAAATTCAATTCCAACATGGGATCACCGTTGGGGGTCAGCGTTACCTGTTGTGGATGATATATATTGTGGATCATTTCCTAGCCCGACAAATCTTCCCCAGATTTCCGACCAACTTGACTGTTGTCACACACTCAACACCTCTCAATGGCCACCTAGCTTCCAACTTCAACATAACTATTCACAAGAACAGACAGTTCCTCCAAAATGTCAGAACTCCGCCAGCGACAGGCCGCCTCGGCCACCTCCAAGCGCAAGGAACGCTCGCCGCAGCGACCGCAACAGACCGAGGAAGATCACGGCATCAGCCTCTTGGACGTACTTCGTGTCCTCGCCACAATTGTCCTCGCGACCTTCGGTATCTCCTATTACATGACGAATGGCGAGTCGGTGCTCTTCAATTACCGGCCATGGTATACACGGTGGCCAGTTGTGAAGCAATGGATTGTAAGCAACTCCCCACATTCCCCTCTGCTACTCCAAATTCCCGACCGGAGAACTTCTTTACATTTCTTTACAGACAGAGGAAGGATGTATTAGAAGAGAACCACACTAACAGATTACTGCAGGCCGGTCCTGTCAGCCTTACCCCCGCACAACTCTCTCTCTACGATGGCAGCGACGAGTCCATTCCCATCTACCTAGCCGTTAACGGCTCTATCTTCGACGTCTCCGCGAACCCGGGCATGTACGGTCCTGGCGGCGGATACCATTTCTTTGCTGGACGGGATGCGACCCGCGCTTTTGTGACGGGGTGCTTCAGTGACGACCTGACCCCCGATCTGACCGGCGTTGAGGAGATGTTCATGCCTGTGGAAGATGTGGAAGAAACCTTGACATCGGCTGAGAAGAAGGTGCGACGGGAGCGGGAGATGAGACATGCGAAGGCGCAAATTGCGCAGACTGTTGCGCGATGGGAGAGGTTTTTTGGGAACTCTAAGAAGTACTTTCGGGCTGGGAAGGTTGTTGGGGTTGAGAAGGATGCGGAAGATGGTAAAAGGGTTCTTTGTGGTTCGGCGCAGAATCAGAGACCGAAGAGGAGTGAGATGAATGAGGTGGTTTAGTTGTGGACTACTTGTATAGAAGTTTTGATAGGTTCCAAGAATGAAACCACTACGCTTCTACCACACTGCGGGGTTTGGTCAATTCGGAAACAATATGGAAGTTTTGTAACTTTTTTATTTCATTCGTACTGCTAGACACTAGTCCATCAGGCCAAACTGTTCCACTTCCGAGTGTCTCGGGCGTCGGATCCATACACCACGCCCAGCCGAAGCTTCCCTTATGATATCATTCGTAGCAAAGGAAATAAAAGAACCGCGAGAAATGACGATAAACGAAACGTTTACTCGGCGGTGACGGCACGGGCTAGAAAATGTGTTAGTTTGACATGGTCGCAAGGGGTATATTTGATGAAACGCACTGTAGATGTTCAGGCTGTTGTGGCCGACAATCTTCTTGATCTGGCCGCGCTCCTCGAGGTCAGCGAGAGCCTGGCGGGCAAGGCTGCCGTTGATCTTGAGACGATCGACGAGGGTGGCGACGGTGATCAGGCGGTAGGTCTGGACATCCTTGTTGAGCTTCTCAGCAACAGCCTTGTCGAGGACAACGGCGTGCTGGGCCTTGTCCTTAACTATAGAGTGAAAAATGCCAAATTAGTCCAACGTTCTTGTGATATTCGATCGTAGCATTTCGCAGGTAGGGGAGTGATCGCTTCAACGATTCCGAGTCTCTCGCATTGTTTCGGGGAGTCCGACGAAAGTTCGAAGTCGTTTTCACGGTCGGGTGGCGGAGTTGGTGATGAATGATGGGAGATGGAGATAGCGTACCCTTGCCCTTGGACCACTTCTTCTTCTGCTTCTTGCCACCGGTAGCTGAGGGCGCCTGTATCACGAAACCATATTAGTTTCTGTTGAGTTGGAGTCGGGCGTGGGATGAGCGCTCACCATTTTGTCTGTAGTGGATGGATGGTTCAAAGGAAAGAGTAGCGCAGACCGGGTCTCAAGTGCGAAATGGGCCGTGGGGCCTGACTCAGCAAGGGAAGCCCTAAGCCCCAGGTCATGTGATGTTACTCGGTTAGTCAAAGTATTATCATTGGCCGACACTCAACAATGGGTGGAGCTTATGTAATAGTTGCGTTTCTCCATCAATGTAGTTTACTATGGAACTACTTCGAACTATACGATCAGTTTCGTGTCCCTTCTTTTGTGTCATTAAGTACTTCTATGCGCTGAGATATATGTACACAGTACTGTGGACCTTGAATGTTTACGTAGTATAACAATTAATTAAAAGATCAAAGTGAGCACTTCTGAATAGTTACATAGACTTAGTCAAATTGCCGTTGAGACGCACTGAACTACAGCAGCTACTTCGTACAAGATTTGATCAGAATATTGAAGAAATTCTAAATTTGTTCACACCGAGATTTAAAAATGACGTTATGCTAAAAGAAAGGCTATAGGCTAAATTTGTGAGAACCCACTTTCAATTTCCGACATAACATCATCGACCCATGCTACCCACTCGAGATGCACAACCTACAGTAGATATGAATAATGTGCCGATAACAGAATAGTCTCCATAAATGTTATAACTGGTCTCAATACCCTTCTGTGAGGACACCATAAGTTAGTATGTATAGTTGCAAACAAAGGCTGACAGTTGTTGCCCTTGTCAGTCTATGACTATAGGTACCACTTTTATAACAGGTTAAAGCATAATTCCGCCATACACTAATGAATCCATCTAGACTTAGATATTGCTCCACGCTCGATTCAGCTGAGAGACAGATTAGTAGGTAACTTTGGTTTCTTCCTTCTCACTTCATTGTTCCAACCTGAACCTCCAACGTTTGCTGACAGTGGCTTAAGCTTTATAGGTCTTGGAGCCTCTTCAGATATCGACCAATTTGTTTGAATACAGTATCCCTCTGAGCCAAAAAACCAAATCGAAAAGGAAAACACAAAACAAAACATCAAAATGTCAAATACCCAACATCAAGCGGTGTAGAGGAGCGAGCTACTGGGGTTATAATGACGGCATGTCGGTGAAGAAGCACCCACCCGAAGCATCTTGCCCAAACTAGTTTGCTATTTGCTAGTGGTTGGGAGTAGGTAGCAGCAGTGAAGAAGCACTGGCCCCAAGCAAATTTTCTCTACTGTTTAACTACTCTCTATTGCTGATACAACTGTCACTGAGCTCGTATGTTCCCTAATTGGAAAGCTTAAGTTATTCAAATCCCAAGACCAGATGCTCTCTGCTAGAAAAGTCGAGCACTTAAACATTTAGCAGAACAAACCTTATATACCTGGCCTCAATAAGCTGTGCTAGCAAATCGACATGCCTCTTCGCAGCTTTCTCGATCAAATCATACCCTGGACTAGGGAAATATCCCTGAATCTGCATCCAAAATCCACGGTCAACGCATGGTGATTGCTCGGGATTCTGGCATACATAGAACTGATGGTTGTCAAAGGCATGGATAAGACAACCTATAAACTCTTCTGATGTACGTGGTGCCAGATACAATAAATCCATATCCACACCTACCCATAATTCCTTTTCTTTGGCATCCGGGTATCTTTGCCAGAAGGTGCTCGATGGGATGTATTGTCGCTGGAGCAGATGGTGGATGTTCATTGGGAGTGTTGCGCAGTAGGAACTTGAGGTGCGTTTGATCCCATTCGCCTGCTCGAGAACAGGGATTTTGTAGGGTCTTTGGTCTTTTGATCTTCGGTCAATGAAGATCCTGTTGTAGGGTTCTGACATGTAGACTCTGGAGTTATTAGCATGGAATTCCTGTGGACTGGCCGTCATGATGTGGAATTGGAAAATTGGAATCAGATAAATGGACTGGGACAGCTTGATATTCTGGGAATGATTCAAGCTGACGAAAGGACCCAACAGTGGGCAGGTCCATGGATTTTATATTGGACAATGGGTGGTTTTCGTTGTTCCTCCACAATGAAGAAATACTTCTTTTGTGACAGAAAGCCTTTGTGGCGTGTAAGACATTGTATCAGCCATAAATAAACCATCTTTCACGGAAAAAAGGGGAAGGCAGCATTGTGCTTTACATTCATATTTGACATTGATTGGCTCGAAGCTCCATCATATAGCAGGACTACCGGCTGATACTCCCAGTAGGAGGTCCCCGATTGGCAAAGGAATTTAATACTTCAAACTGAACGGAGTTTTCATCGGCAGAAAGATACCCGACCACATATTCCTCCGATGACCCAAACCAAAATGCCGAATCATGCTCCTCTCCAACCAACCACTTCACTTCATATTTCCCACTATCGCATTTCTGGGTAGGAACTCGGGCAATCACAGGATGGCTTTGAGGCGACCACCACCGTACAACGGGTAGGTTATTGGTGATGGAATTAATGAGTAGTTGCGGTGTGGAAGGGTGCCAAAGGACCTGTCGCACAGCATGTTCATGAACCAGGACAGACGCTAGCCTGGGTGTGATGTCCAAAGCCCAGATCCAGACAACGTTTGATCGCATGGTATCCACAGTTGCGAGAAGAGTGCCGTCAGGACTGAAAGTCATGATGGCCACACCTCGAGGTGGGCCGGGGGATTCAGGGCTCATGTTGAATGCTGAAGAGCTTGTTGTTTCGGCGTATTCTGCGTCGCCCATGGCACTTGTGGATCGCTCACGCCAAATGGTTGGAGAGTTTTGGTCCATTGGGAAGACGTGGGAAAGTGTAGTTGATGATGAGAACTGTACTTGTTAGCTAGAAAGCATTGGTATTGTTTCATTGGAGTGCCTACCGTGCGAGTCCGTAATAGGTCAATATTGCCGTTAATCTTGCCCACAGCGAGAGTCTCCGAGACACCGCTAGGGCCAGCTGCGGCACTCCATTCGATTTGCTTCACGCCTAGATCAAATGCATCGTCCACCCCGGCTGGTCCATTGTATGTTCTGAACATCTGACCGTCGGCCGTCAATATCAGCACCTTGGTGCCAGAGCTGGGGGTGTCCCACACAGCAATCCATTTCCCATCGGGACTCCATTTCAAACCTTGGGCATCAATGGTTGGAAGAACCGTGCGATTCAACAGTTCGTAGGATGGGAGTTCGTGAATGGTAAGAGTGTCGGAAGCATCAGGCTTTAGGATAATGGCAAGATGCTTTCTGGTTATTGGGCGGTACCCGAACCCAAGTGGGTGTGGGAACTTGGGCGTTTTGACCACGGAGATTTGACCAGTTTCTATTGAGTGGATAGCCATTTTGTTATTCCATGCGTGAAAAACAAGAACTTCATTTTCGTCCCCGCCGAATTCAACGTTCAAGGTGCCAGGTTCGACATTTTCAATCTCGGCGACTAGCTGCAGGGGTTCCAGCTGCCAGACCGAGATGCGCGACTCGTTTGTGATAAGTAAATGGCGGTTGATATTGTTATGTGTAGCCTTTGAGGGACAGAACTTGAGAGACTTGACTGTGGTCTCCTTCATTCTTGCTGACTGCATATCTTTATGCTCCGCAGTGGGGTTTGAGTGGACGACCAGGTCTTTCCCACTCACGTGGGCAGCGAAAAGCCCATCATCAGAAACCACCAGCGACAAGGGAACTATTCGAAGTTTAGAGGCAATCGAAGCCAGGCGGATAGACGGAACATACCTCCTCCAGTCGAAGCGTCCATTGTTGACGTCAACAAGAAGTCGCGTCGGTAAATTATTAATTGGCGCTGCAGCAAGATAACAAAACTAGTCAAATGTTAACTCCACTGCATGCACCACTTCAATCCCGGTATTTTCAAGGCAATAGATACTCTCTGCTCGCTTCCAGTCTCGCGACTTTTCCCTCTATGCGCGTCCGATAGGGCCCGGAGAAATGTAGATCCGTCCCGAGATAAGGAGATAGACGCGACAAGGTCTACTTTAACTTTCGACTCCAATGTAAACACTCATTTCGCTTTCAACCAGTGCAGTGGACGAATAAATATTTTCATATCCGATGCTTGATCAATCCATTTCTTTAATTTAGCTGCGCATGCATATGCAACCATGTGGAACACAGCATTACCAAAACTTACACCCCGGGGCCCCTTACAGCTTTGCTGCGAGTGTTATAATCAATTCGTGCTTCTACCTGTCCAATACCTAATACGTGAAATGAACAGACTGATTACTGAGCCTAGCAAATGATGTGACTCTGCACCAAAAGAACGTTCTTTGTGTCACGCAACTTATTCATTATATTTCGATGATTCAAAGTTTTAATCTCAACTTTGTGGTGGTTGAGCGCCTCTGGAAAAGCAATGCAATAAACCCAACTTTGATTAGCGGGAAGGATGTAACCTAATTTAATCATATCATCTATTTTGGTTTTGAGATTCAAAAAACCCTTTATATGTATGCAGATTTGATAAGGAGGGAAGAGGCTTCTATTTAAGCGTCTGCCTCCGCCTTCATATCAGCCTCGGCAAAGCCCTTAACGATCTCCCTCACCTCCTGCCATGAGTTGCTCACATCAGTGACACGGGACTCCATGGTAGAAAGAGCTTTGAGCTCCTCGGGAAGCACCTGGGACTCGAAATCAAAGCTAGGGTCATCCTTCAGGGCCATGGTCACAACCTCCGAGAACTTGGCGGGGTGAGCGGTCGAGAGCGAGATGTGGGGTGCGCTAGACCGCGCAATGGATCTGTGTGAAACAGTAATACCGACGGCAGTGTGGGGATCGAGGATGTATTTTGTCTGCTGGTAGCAGCTCTTGATAGTCGCGGCTGTCTCCGAATTGCTCACACGGTCGCTCTCAAATGTTTGGCGGCCATTTGCCATGATATCCTCGGGAACGGGTCCGAAACCGCCGGTCGACTTGAGTGACTGGTACCATGCCAGAACATCTGCACCGGCCTGCTTGTTGCTGGCATCCTTGTCCTTGCCAGAGGCGAGCGCAGAGTCTAAATGTTGTTAGTACAGAGTATAGAACCGGGAAACGATCGACGTACCTCTTGCAAGGAACCACATCACTCTCTCGAAGTTACTAGAGACCAGGATGTCCATTGCGGGGCTGTAAGTCTCCTTGCAGGCATCAGCCTTATTAGCATCCTCGGCAGGGTGCTTCTCATAGCGACCGGTCTGCCAGAAGCGGTGCAGAATATCGTTCTCATTGGTAGCGACAACCAGCTTGTCGACCGGCAGGCCCATCTTAGTAGCGAAGTATCCCGCAAGAATGTTTCCGAAGTTTCCAGTAGGAGTGACAAATCGGACTTTGTCCCCAACCTTGAAGGCATCGGACTTTCTCGCAAGAGAGAAGTAAGAGTAGAAGTAGAAGACAATCTGGGCGAGAATTCTCGAGAAGTTAATCGAGTTGACAGCACCCAGCTTCAGGGTCTTGTTGGTATCCGCATCGCCGAACAGAGCCTTGACGATATCCTGGCAATCATCGAATGTGCCCTTAACGGCCAGGTTGTGTACGTTGCGGTCAATGCAAGTTGTCATCTGAGCCTCCTGGATAGGGCTAACACGGCCCTTGGGGTGCAAAATTGTGACAGAAACATCCTTCTTGCCTCGGAGACCGTAGATAGCAGCGGATCCAGTATCGCCACTTGTCGCGCCAACGACGGACAGGTGGTGACGGTCCTTGCCCACCTTTCCATGGTTCTTGCGCACGAGCAGGTATTCGAAAAGATTTCCAAGGAACTGAAGGGCGCAATCCTTAAAGGAGTAGCTGGGGCCGTGGAAAAGCTCCAGAACGTGAAGGTTATCTTGGAGCTTCACCAGAGGGACGACTTCTTCGGAGCGGAATGTCGAGTAGCTTCGGTTGATGATCGTTTTCAGGTCTTCGGAGGGAATTTCGGATTCCGAGATGTACAAGCGCATAATCTGGAAAGCAAGGTCGGGGTATGAGAGGTCTTTCCAGCTCTCCTAAAATTGATGTTAGCCCCGCATCCCTGGCATGCATTGTAGATCGAGATTCAGTATCAGGTATCCCATGAGCCATTGCCCGCGCATACGTACCCAATTTGTTGCCTGGGGCACTTCATGAGGCAAGAAGAGGCCACCATCGGCGGCAAGACCCTTCAGGACAACAGTCTCGAAGGAGAGCTTTCATATAATCAGCAAGTTGTCATCAAAACGAACGCATCTTGAAACTCACGCCATAGTCCCCACCACGGGTAGAAAGAAACTTCTGGGACTCAGTAGGAGCCGCACCTGCCATGTTGGAATTGATTGATTAACTGATTAAAGTGAATCTTTCGAGGCAAAAGTCGTCAATACAAGGAAAGGTTTTTCTGCCCCTCTCCCGACGTCGGAGGGGTGAGTCACTTTATCTAGGATTACGTGATCCTCATAAGGTTTGGCGGGGCTTGCCACTCTCTCCCCGAAGGCGGTGAAGGGATCAAGGATTGAAGGAACAGACCTGCAACATTGTTGGTCAATTCCAAATTTGTTATTATGTACAGATGTCTAATGTAAGTTAATCCCTTGATTTACAAACTGCCTCATCTCAAGTGCTGTCTCTGTTCTGACAAATAATGATCATTTGTAGTTGAGTATTGTTGGTGAACCGTCGAATGTCCACGGGTTGATAATCTGCGAACTGGTTGGTCACTAAATCTAGTATCCACAGATGATCCACTTGGCACTCAACAGCGGCTTGATCCCACAGAGATTAGGTCCATGAGCGTATCTTTTGTAAATAGTAATCTCGGGATACCCCGAATGTCCGATCACGTGCCGGAGTAGCACCGATTGGCTTAAGGCTGAGACAAGAATGAAATGAATGGACTGCTGGAGCGACTGGATGAGCCAAATAAGCAAAAATTAAAGTAAGTCATCAGCTGTTGGCCATTTGACTGATCTCTGCTACGAGACATGGTCAGAACCACAAGGAAGATGGAGATACTCAGAAATACTAGAAGAAAAGTAGGAAATAACGGGCCATGAAAAGGAAGATGAAGCTCTGACGAATCAGCTCATAATGATAATGAGTTTTGTGTCAGGTATCTGATCTTCAAACCATCTGAAGTGATTATTTTTTTTTTGAATTCATATGCGATCCAAGCGAGGACGAAAATTGAAGAAAGAAACACAAATGCAATTGCTAATATCTTTGCGATGACCAGGCATGGAAGATGAACCGTAAGAGGAGGCAAGTAATTGATTTCCTCAACCATGCACTCCATAAACCGTTAGATCCTTGCTCATCCAAGGCAGCGCATAAACAGCACTTTTCTTCCCCCACAAAACCTGTAACTCCTTTTCTCCTCGAAATTCGAGCCCGATCTTCTGCAACACTCTTGCGCTATGGGTGTTCTCCTTATCACAGAATCCGAGAACAGCATTCGCCCCGAGTTCTTTCTTTGCGTACTCCAGTAAAGCGACTGCCGCCTCAGTGGCATATCCATTGCCGTTCTCATTGGCCACAATCGTATACCCAATGCCCGGGGCCAGGTAGGCATTTGGTGGCTCGCCTTTCATCAGTGAAACGGTTCCGATGGGGATGCTTTCAGCGAGGGTTGCGTGATCGTCCGACTTCAATGAGACTAAGAACATGCTATAACCATTCCGGGCATAGTCGCTGTGGACGCGGGTCCGAAGGAAGTTGGAAGCCTTTTCGGCCGTATTGATGCCGGTCTCGCCGCATGCTTTGACAAACTCTTTGGAATTCCATAGGTTGACTAGGAATTGGGAGTGCAAGAGAGAGTCGTGCATGAAATAAGAGATGTGGAGGCGAGTAGTCTCGATTGACCAGGAGGGAGATGCTTTGAAGGTACCAGGCATCTTTGATTATTGTTTAGTGAAGGTGTAGGCTGTAAGTGAGCCCCGGGATTGGACGATAAGAGATTGGTTGATAACAGGGAAAGCCGCAAGATTTGCCAAACGAGCAGAAAGCAAGGGCAGCAGAGAAGCAAAAGTGGATCGAAGTAGTACTCAATGGTGTCTTGAAGAGCGACGAAGAAGGAACATGAACATCTACGTTAAGTGAAGCTGAAGTAGTCAGAGAAAGGTACTGGTCCTAATCTAGATAAGACAGCTGCAAAATCCGACAGACATGCCATTGATCGCGATAACAAGATATACGTTACTGAGAGTACAAGCAAAGAAATTGATTCTAATTTTAATCATGTTGAAGTATCCATCAGATCTTTCACTTAATTGAAATTGGGATTGTTGTTATCCGGGTCAACATCGCGAGCCCGAGTGAACATGGTAGATAGGCATTATGAGTGGCAATTCGCGTTACCATGGCCGACGGGCTTCCTGTCTAAATAAAGATTCACGACTTTAACAATCAAAGTTCTTGAGCTCCACCAAAAGGCTCTGACAGAAGATTTGAAGGAACAAAAGGCATTAAAGCGACAGAGACTCCATGAACCACCTCAAAAAGGGGTTCTTGAGACCGTATATGAGGAGACGATCCTCCTAGGAATCATCCGTGCTATCCCCAGTCATCTCAGAAAGTCAGTGAATCCGAATGAATTTGAGAAAATGGACACCGGTCATTGTAAATTCCTAGAAGGAGTGGACCAAGTCCGCATGCCACGTTGTCCCATTATCGTATACTTTATATCATCAACCTGCCTATTGGAAGTAGAGCCGAAGACTCTAGCCCAACAGGCTCTAGCACACGTTTCCGGCGGCGAACACAATATTCTTTCAGATCCTCAAAATAGCTAGAGTACGACGTTTGCTTGCTAAGCCATTAGGTAGCTAACCATACTTTCGTCCAGCGTTCTTCGTGAGAGGCACTAAGGAATATTTCATCAACCATGGGGTCATCGCAGTAGCCCCGATTCCTGGTGAAATGACATCCACACCCGCATAGAGATATGTGCCTGTCGACACGATCAAGCAGCTCTGTCTTGCTAAAAGGGGAGAATTTAGAGGCCTAATAGATTGAATTTTATCCCAGACAATGTTTCAATCAACAGACGATAGTGATGAGTTCCAAGTCAAATAGTAGTACGCAGTAGCCCCCGCCCGACCAGGGCAGAAGGCTACAAGAACGGGGCCCAAGCAACATGGGAATAAAATTAATAAGTAAACACAATTAAGATTAGATAGGCGAAAAGAAACTTGCTATAATCATATCGGTAGGGCTGTTCATGCACCGAGGTGCGGAGGCCGAGGCATCAAAAAAGACATGGGCGGACTTGACTTTACCACCTGCGAACGTACACGGTGTGCGTGCGATGAAAACCCACCAAGAAAACAGGCTTGATGAGCAGATCACATAGGGCTGAACTCTATTAGCCAATTATATCGTTTGCCCTGTGCATCAAGCTTTCGGGTGGGGCCGTCTCCTTCAGCTAATGCAATAAAATTAGTGATTGGAAGGTGGAAGTTGCCGTTACTCCGAGCCACCTTCCTAAGTAGGCTTGACCCACTTGATGATTTATAAAGACCCTCTCTTGATTGGCAATCTCATGGTTGCCTAGTCGCTTCCATCCGTTGTGGAGCTGGGGGAGATAGTGACTAGGCCAGGGTTTCTTCATTGACAATGCTCCCTTGCTGTCTCAAAATGCTGCTGCATAGCCATGTCTATCAATTATAGCACGTTTAAGACAAGAGATATATAATAAACTAATGTATGATTCAGTTCGAAAAGATGTGTCATCGCTCGAATTGCCACTGTGACTTCGTTTAGGAAAGGATGGTCGCAGCGATGGGGCTTTGGGATCAAGAAGACTTCAATTTGTGACTTAGGAGATCATCTCACTGGTTTCTTTCAAGTCCTTCTGCGAGGTTTCCGGTAGCAAAAACACTCCCCATATCAAACCCAGCAAAGCGACCACGAAAAAGAACCAAAAAGTGCCTTTAGGTTGCAGTGCATCCTCCAACATCATCGATGGAAGAGCCTGGAATGATCAGCAACAAATTCTATTTAGTAACTAAGCAGACCAAAGAGCAAAGTTAAAGCTGCTTACCTTGACAAGGGCGAATCTCATGGCACCGTGAATCAACATCAGGATGCTTGTACCGAGGGCGCGGATAGAAGTTGGAAGGATCTCAGTGTTGATCAAGTACTGGATAGAATTCCAACCAAAAGCATATCCCACTCCTGTCACATAGAGGGATGCAATAGCAGCTATATCCGCTCTGTGCATATTCGCTGAATGTATCTTTGTTCCTAAAGACGACGAAACTGTAAGGTAGATGGCAACGTAGAGAAGAGATAAAAGCTGCAGGGTAATTCCAGATACCAAGCAGCGTTTTCGCCCAAGGCGATCAATGAAAAGAATTGCACACAAAATGGCTGAAGCAAATTTCACAGCCCCGAAGATCGCTGTCTTCAGAAGCTTCTCTGATTGCCCAGTGACATCGAGCAACTCGAAGAATTTAGGGGCATAAGCTAGAGGACATCAGTCAGCTCTCTTCACACCGAATCGAGGAATTTGAGATTTTTTCTCACTTGTAATAGCATTTGTACCTGACCATTGACTGAGGATTTGGGCAGATATTAGAAAACCTAGTTTGGACAGATTGGCACGCTTCCCAAAGAGCAACTTCCATGGCTCTAGTGATATCCATTGTTTCTTGTTGTCAGTCTGCTTGGTAATCAATTCATCTTGAATCAAGTTCAATTCTTCTAAGATACTTGGACTGTCTTCTGGCAGTTGTCGTAACCGCTCCAGAACCTGGGCAGCCTGGGCTTGGCGATGTTTCTCGCACAAATACCGGGGACTTTCTAGGCAACCCAGAGAGAATAAGAGTAAGACAACAGCCATCATTATCTGGCTGGATTGAGGAAGAATCCATTGCTCACGGCTCGTGTTTGACAAATGAAGCGAGGCACCATAACCAGCAAAATACTAGACGATTGCAATCAAGCGATGTCAGCGACCGGGCACTCAATGTTGAGCGCAAAATTTAACTAACCCCAATCAAGATTCCAATGTACTCTGACGAAGCATATATACCGACCAATAGACCCCGATGGGACGTTGGTGCCACCTCGGCAAGATATATGGGACCGACAATGCCTGCCTGGCCAATTCCCATACCGGAGATGAAGCGACCGGCAATGAGCTGACCATATTCCCCGTCTGATGTAAGGACGATGACGACGCCAATTATCCAGAGGAAGCACATCTCTCTCATTGTCCAGAGCGGTCCAATCCAAGCACTGAAAAAATAAGCGAGGAGTGCTCCAGGTAAATTGCCCAGTTGAACCATGGAGGTGATGTTGGACAATCGATTTGCCTTTTCGGCCGCGCTCAGGTAGGATGCATCCAGCTTATACTCATGGATGAACGAGGGAAGGTCCACTGTATCAGCAATGAGACCTTCATCTAGACCTTTTGCAGAGCCGAGAAGCCCGAAGGCGATGGCGGCACATATGATATGGCCGGAGATGGCCTTCATTCTTTGAAATAATTCTTCCCCTTCTCACTCTGTTGCTACTCTTCAGTCTAAAGTAACAGAAATAATGAGAAGAATGTTTGAAAATTTTCTTGCCAAGAGCGATACTTATCAATGCTCGTGCCTGTGTGATAAAAGCTCGGGAGTCCGGCAGGCACCCAAGGTCCTCCTGTGCGGGTATTTTCGTCAAAGCTCAATCCACTTCATGCTCCACAGTGCCAGATTCTCCACGCATCGGCCTTGTAAGGCGGCCAGTCAGAGGTTGTGAAGCTTCTCCATTTGTGGAGCAATGGAAGGCGAGTACATTAAACCTGAACATATTTAGACGGCGGACTTTGAACGCAACTCAATGGACGGATGACATATTAATCCCGAAGAAAATAGTCACAGCACAAGGGTTTCCAATGTTCTTATATCTCCCATTTAACATGTACTCTGAACCTTGGAAACTACGCAGGAAAATACGATGGTCGTCATCCATGACATCGTAAATAGTTGTCATGTGAATAATCGGTGCATACCATTCCGTGTTGTCCAATGAGCAGCTTTGCTGATAGTCTTGCCTTCAATCTGATAGGATTCAGTCGAAACAAAGGATCGTAATGAGCTCGCATTTACTCCAACTTTCCATGCTGGAGCGATATTCTGATAAAGCCATGATATCTTTACTGATTTATGTATTAGTTGGCTTCGTTATTACTTCGAGCTTTGAACATAACGAGAAACAGCAGAAATGAAGATGATGTGGATGGCTTGACATCCCTCAAGACGAGAAGGAAGCCCATGATTGTAAAGCAGCTGGTGCATAACAAGAAAGTGCTAGTAAGCTTTGGGCATGTCAAGAAGGGACCCTCAGGCGCTTAGGACATCTGAAGCGTGTTGAGTGAACGCGTAAAGGGTCAAATATTTGTCAAAGCGAGCCTCGTATGAGCGTCGCGATAAGAAGGTGTACATGGGACCCAATCTTAGAGCATCGCTCTCTCTCCAATAGCATCACGCAGCAGGCCTGAAGTGTGTTCTAGTTGCCGCGTCGGCTTTGAAAAAAAAATGTCTTAAAATTATGAGATGTCTCATTCGTCGTGAATCGATCTTTCTATTGGTATAAATGTACAGTCCTTCGATATTGCTCATCCACAGCCACATACTCAATCATCTGTGGCTCACTTTCAGTCTTCTGATACAGCTTTCCTTCGCGAATTTTGATATGCTCTGGAACCATGATCGGCTGTTCAACATCACCCCAGGTGGCCTTGACAGGTTGTCCTCTGAAGATACGCTGCACGTTCAACATGGTGCTATATAGCATTCCCCAACTCGCAAAGCCAACAGTATCACCTGCTCCTTCTTGGTGAATATCCGAACCTTTCTCTGCCGCTCCAGCGGAGCGGAATATACCTGTGATAGCCGGATATGGTGCGAAGCACCGCAAGTATCCATGTCCGCACATGCGGCCTAGAGCGACGTCTATTTGCGCACCAATGTCAATCTCCTCGGCAAGGCCAGATGGGTTGACAGAGAGAGCGGCGAGCAGCTTTTGTGCGCCGTGATAGCTCACAGCGTAGAAGCTGGTACAGACAGCGTCTTGGACGGTGCAGACCATTCGGGAATGGTCAGATCGTTCAATTGCGGGCGGGTCCCGCCAGTATGGTAGGAAATGATGAGGCTCGAGGACGGTAAGGTCATCTTCGCTTTCGTAATAGGGGAGATTGGTCTTGCATTCCAAACCGCAGTGCCCTAACCAGAGAATGTCCCAGTCATCACCGTACGGTGATGATGTTTTGGTGTTTCTTGTGCCTTGGAGTCCCCGGACTGCGAGGGCTAAGCTTTGGAGTTGAGTTTTGATGTTCAAATCCCAATCCGCATCGTCTTCAACAATAACTCCGCTGCCTAGACCTTGTTCCACAATCCTGTGTGAAGATTAGTTTTAAGTAGCGGGCGCAGGAAATGCAATCTGATGTATACCGTCTCATTGCATCTAAATGGGCTCGACGAGCTGCATATTCGCTCGCGCTGTGGTCGGGGTTCCAGTTCTAGAAGGTATTCAACAATCGAGACACAACAGATAGGGGCTTTGAGGCATACGTATGGATATGCTTTCGGGGGAACGACGTCCGGCAATACACCATCAACAAATTCCACTTGGAAGTTGCAGACCGATGAGCCCAGGACAATATTGTCACGCTTGTCCGGTCGGTTGGGCAGATTGATGGCAAAAACCTTGCCAAACTATATTCGATCAGCTTGAGAATGCACTTGATTCTAGCAAGAGTAGGCACTCACACCCAGTGTCTGGTTTTCGATTGTGTGTATTTCGTCCCAGGTCCAGTCCTTCTGAGATTGTGTAACCGACTGATTACTAGGTGTGAGCGGCCAGAATTGCCAGAGGAGGACAAGTGCCCCAAGCGGAATGACCAGTATCCGTCCCCAGCGCAGCTGATTTGAGGATGTAAACATGCTCGATTGTCGTGCGTGGATAAGGCTAGCGAGGTTTGTGTATCATTTCGAGGGGTCTAGAAAACGCGTAGAGCTCCAAAATAGTGAAGTTAGCTGAGCTCTGTACAAGTTGCGGAGAAATCAGTCAAACATGACAATTTCCGCGTCGAGGTTGAACAGAGAACAGGTCTCTGGTCACGGAAGTTCTGATCGCATGTGGGAATCTCGGAGATCCATATCGGAAATGATTTGGAGGGCCTGCCGAACCCACACGGAGGCGGCTTAGGCTGGTTAGTACATTCACAGATTGCAGGAACGGGTCCTGGCATTAGGGGCTACCACACCAGGCTACGGTTGGTCTGTGGACATTTGAATCCCCACTAAAGGCGGGCGATGGATACAAGCTCCCGGGGTTAGGTTTGCCGGGAACGGTGCAGCGTACATGGGTGTATCCTTCAGCATTCCCCTGCATCGTTCCATTGGCAGGCTCAGCTCCACTACTGTCTGAGCTAAACCCTGAGATGCATGTGTATTCCCGAGCCACCGCCAATAAATTGCATGATATTGCCGCCTTCCTGCATCCTGAAACGCGATTTTATTGCGACCAGCCCCTTAATACTAGATGATATTATGAAATTTTTAGCCACATATCTCACGAAATACTTCGATTGGCTCATTGAATGTCTTTCATTGCCTGACCATACAACTTTTGGGGCAGATTTCAGAGCAAATTTTCAGAGTCATTTGCCCTCATCCGGGAATGTTTTCATCTCCCCAGCGGCTACTAATCAGATTCAATTCGCCGTGGAAGACAATCCATTGTATGCGGCTTCCTTTGTTGTGCTTGCAGGGCACTCTAAGAACATTGTTTCGAAATTTCCGCTTCTTCGCAGCTGAAAGCGAAATTTTGTGAAGTGGGGCCTAGCCACGCTAACCCACATCAGGTAGTCCGCCGTTGCATCTAGTCACGCACATCTCCCTTACTATGCTTAATGTAAAATCTTTTAAGCTGATGTTAGAGTCCAGTTCTCCATAGGAAATCCTCATAGTGCCTGGATTTAGGGAAGGATAAGACTAGTGGAGAAGTTAAGGCCCGAGGTCGTTCAAAGTACGGATGTCATGCATTCTTGGTAGGTAGATGATTCTAACTTCTTCATATACAACAACCTTAGAAGTACTTCTTGACTTAGTATCACTTTGAATTTTCCGTTTTACTCCTCAGAACTTCTCAGCAATTTTACTTGAAGTTGTGGTTGCTGATAAGTGCATATTCTTTGTCTACATAGATCAGGGGAGTGTTCGGCTTGGCTTTACCGGCCTCCTACTGTGTGCCCTTCTCTCTGGCCCCAAGCCTCACAATGGGCCGACAAGAATTCATCACATCCACTTCGTGCTTGACTACGGTTGATCTCTAGCCAGCCAATCTAATAGTTGATGTTGCCGTTTCTCAATTTATCAGAATTATTGTCAAATAATTTTCACAACAGAATTCAGCACGCCGGCTAGCTCTTAAGCTAGGGCCAATAGCTTTGTACACACTAAGAAATGTCTGAAAGAAATAAACATCCATGGCTATGCACTTTTTCCCCAAAGCCTGCTACTTCTCTCAGCAAAACTGAGCAGTATGTTTATTTGACAGAACCATTCCAAGGTTTTCTATCCAGATTATGCATATCCATCCGCAATTTGCTGACTTGTGAGCCAATCAGAAGCTGCGGAGACGGAGATACTTAGCACGTGACGGCTATCAAGCAACATTGGGAGAAACACGACAATAGGACATGCAGCTTGTACCGTTCAAATATACAAAATAAATATACTACCTCAATTCCTTTTCACGTCTTGAACCATTTGCCAAGGTATGACTATATTGAGATGAACCTTGCCCGATCGGGACCCCGTGTTGTGCTAGCGGCAAACTGACTCAGGGTTCCATGTTTGCCCCACTCATGCTCTTTCTCTTAAATATCTCGCTCACTTTCGTGTACTTTCCTTCATATTTCGATCAGATACATGTCCTTGATGACAACCCACATATCGAACATGGAGATCCGCGTGGATTTACAGCCCCAGAGATTACTGGTTCATCCGACTACTCTCGCCAAGCATTTGCAAGCCATCCTCAAGAGTGACACTTCGCAAGAAAATATCAACCGCATCAACACGCAAATTCTTCATCAGACCCAAAATGAGGCAGCTACATGCACTGTCTACCAAGTGTGGTTATTTCTCGCTTGGCGATATTCACCGCACCTTCTGCCGGCTGCTCTGCGTGACCAGACATCTGCCGGAGTCCGCAAAGCAGGTATCAAAATCTTACGGCACATATTTAGCAGACCCTCGCAGCAAGTGCGTGGCTGGAGTCTTCTTGGAGGTGTCCAGGGAATCAAGGCTATTCTTGATGGACTCCCACTTGCTGAAGTGCGTTTACTCATTCGGGCCATTTCCCAGCCTGGTCACGACTCAGACAGTGAATTGCTAGCGACATATTTCGATGAACTTGTGGCTCTGACCGACTCATCAGAGAATTGGACTACGAGATCAATTTCGCGATATGTGGCTCCGTTGTATGCACACTGCAGTGCACGGAAGGTCACGGAGGTCTTAAAATCTGGGATTCCCAGATCTGGGGCCTTCTGCCGCCATCTCGGTCGGACGCACCCTGATCTCTTGCGACAGATCGCGATTGGTGCAGTGGAGGTACCTCTCTCTGTGCGTCAGTATACCTTGGGGACGTATTCAGATATTTTATTGCGATCAAATGAACCGTATAGTCAGGTTCATGCCACCGTAATTTACTCTGGCAATCTTGTTGGCCTGACATTTGGTATGGACCTATTGTCGCAAATCAAATCCAATGATCCTGCCCTACGCACAAATGGGCCCTTCATTCGCAAATGGACTGGACTAATTCTAAATCTGGCGATTCGTCGAAAAGTGCCATTTGATGATATCATGCCTATTATCAACTTCAGCTTAGAAATGTGCCGAAGTGCAGATTCTTCCAATTGGTTATCTCAGAACCTTACCAAGGAGGTCATTCGGTGCTGGTCGGTAGCACGTTTCGGCGGTTTTGGAGTTGAACACCCATTCGATAAGGTCATGAAACAAGTCGGACCTTCATCTCCTTCCCGGCCTGGGGCTACTAACCAAGCTGCACTACGGCAGTGTCTAATAGAGCAGGTGTTGTCAACCAGAGACGAACGGTTTTCCGTGCAGGTGAGATTTGCAGAGCTCAGCCACCAATTAAGTCTACTGCTCTCATATGTCCACATTGACGGAAGACTCGAATTTCTTCAGCTACTCTGCAAGCATTCACCCACTTTAAACTTTGATCTCACAGTGTGGCCCCCTTCGGCAGAAGAACGGAAGCTCTTCCCGGTCTGGTCGTACCATGTTTTGTGCAGATTGCCCAATTCTCATTCGAAGTCGCTCTTCGAACGGTCACTACATAATCAAAATTGCGACACGTTTATACCGGACGACCTAGTGGAGCGGAATTCTTGGGCGTTGGATTGGGCATCGCAATGCTCTCTGTGGGCAGGTTGGGAGTGCTCAACTGCCACAAGAAGTGATGGCTTCCCAGTAACCCACAAAGGTATTGGAATGTTTAAGTGATATCTCAAAGCGAACAAATTGACTGACAGCATATAGCTCTCGCTGACATGAAGCAACGAGCAGCACGTGGCCGAGAATCAGACGAGCGATTACTTTGGGCAAATGCGGCAATACATCTTGCCTCGGAGACAAAGTGTGTGGACATTTTCTGCGACTTGGTGGATTGGAGTAAACGATTTTTACGAGACCAAGTGAGTATCATTGTCACTCTAGCGATTCATGTTATTGACTGTGTATATACAGAAAGTCTTCCCTCGTATCTTGACCGCGGTCTATTCGAAGGCCGGAAAGATTCTCTCCTGTGGAGTCTATACGCTACCTACAAAGCCTGCATCAGAATCCAACCTTCAAGTTGAGGTTCACAGGGCAAATCTGACTTTGAAGGACCTACTTGAAAGCATACTACTTTTGCTTCGTGAACCTTGGGCTTCAAATATGAGATCTATGACATCCGGGGTGGATTCCATGTTCTCCGATATCCTCCGTCGGAGGATAGACGCGGTTCAATCCTATACGGCTGACTGTGTAGCGACTGAGTCGAAGCTGGTTGAGATACTTCTCTACTCTTTGCTACCCATTATCATTGAATACGAATCTCGAGCAAATCCGGAAGAACAGACGGCCTTTTCCTGGAGCGGTCCATCAGGGTTAATCCGGAATTTCAGATGCCCCGATCGCCCGAACAGGGTCGAGCTTGCCTTTATTGACCGACTTGGAAGGGAACGTGATTGCCTTTGGGCAGATATACGGGCTTGCAGGAACCCCGATGTCTTGGTTTTAGATCCTGGTTGGCCTCGCGGGCTTCCACTCCAATACTTGGCGCCAGATAAAGCATGGTTGTACCATGCCTTGAAGAATTCTGAAGAAGCACCATTCCTGTCTTCGAGGTCTCATGAACTTCTGTTTAGCCCACGAGACACTATCGTCGCCTCGTTACCTCAAGACATAGAGGCCGTCGGTAGCTTTGTGGATGATTTGGGCTTTGCAGTTCATGCTACGATTTCTCGTGGGGAACAACCAGACAAAGAGAATTGGGTGAGACGAATCTGGGAGCATTATTCGTCAGCTTTGCTGAAACATCCACTGCAGCTTGAGCTTTTTCAAGAATGGCTAGTCAGGATCCTTCAAAGCTTTGAATATAATCACGCGGAGGAGACATTTGATACAGCCGAGGCCATCAAAATTATACAGCCTCCTATCGCAGCCCCTGTCCCACTAATATCGAATGTTCCAGTTGGATCGGATATGACAGAATGGGATCCACAAGAAGATTTTGAGCATGTGATGGAATCCTGCAAGCCTTTAATTGACGCCAAAAGACCGAAATTAATACCATGCATCGTTCTCAATTCTCTAATTCGAACCAGCAGACGAGTTGCAGATGGGGTTGTACGCACCACGAAAATCAAGGGCAGACCAGGACCCAATCCCTTAGCACTTTGGTTGACAGATTCTTCATCCGCTGCCACAGGAAAAACCCGCACTCTTGACAATCAGGAAGCAGTGATTTTGTCAGCTCTACTTTTTCTGGATACCTCCACCCCAGATTCACGACTCCTGCGGTCGAGGTTCCCTGACAGCGAACATCCTCGTTACGGACCGACATATTTGGCCGACGAGTTCATCACCCGAGTGACCAAAGCAGAGTCTCAAGATCCGATGATTGAAGCAGTCGATGCCTTGAAGAAGAACAAAAAGCACGTCCCTGCTCAGATTTTGCGAGACCTTATCTGTTCTTTACTAGATACACTGAAGGCATCGCCGAGTTCTTCAAAGTATCCAATGCTCCTGCATTGCACGTTAGGATTGATTGAGATACTATTGAATGGCAGTCAACCCCAACTTGTGCTCGAAGTGGCATTGAGATTATGGAAGGATTTCCCCAATGATTCCTCCAGCCATCGAAAGGTGAGCCTCGTGAAGATTGGAAGGTGCCTCACGCCAGATCAAGCCAGCGGCATAGTTCAAAGCCTCGTCGCCTATGCATGTGATACAGTGCAAAACACACAAGCTACGGGCGATAGCTCCGAAACCCCGGTAATGAAAGTCACTACCGTCAAAATGCTCGCGCAGAATCTTTCCAGTGCGGACTTCGTTCCGCTTGCTATTCGGGTGGACCTTCTCGAGAGGCTGTTCTACTCTAGAAAGCATCTTGACATTCGAGTGGAGATAGTCAAGTCTCTGCTCAAAATGGTCAGCCAAGATAACAAGGCTCGCGTATTCAAAATTTTATCTACGATTTCCTTGTCAGCTGCAGGACCTAGTGAAAGGGACTGGCTTACCGATATTGACTGGCGCGCAGCGGAAGCCGGCGGCCCCTTGCCTCCCATCCACTCTGAGCGCCCAATCCTCACCTTGCTTGTCGGAGCTGCGTACTGTGAATTCTCAAAAGAGCTATATTCGGATTATGTTCAAACAGTAGTGTTGCCTTTGTTGACAGAGTCTATCCGCCAACACACCAGATGGATGACCCTCTTACTCTCACGGCTCAACCTTTCTCTGTCAAATCTTGGTTTGACGGAGACAGACATTGGCCCTTTCCGTTTCGGTCTAATTGAATCAGTTTTCCGGGAGTGGACACGCTACATCCCGGCGACATACTTGCAGTATCGTCGCAGCTTCGATTTTGTTTATCTACATCGTGATTCTTTCAACCAAGTTGCTGAAGCACTTGACTTGTCCACGGACCCGATAGTAAAGAATGGCAACGTGCTGGGTCACTTGAACGCCCTGATCGAGAACCACCACTATCGACGTCCTTTGAGTTACGCCAGTCAATTCTTATCTGTCATAGGTCCAAAAGAACCAAAAGTCATCCCCGATGAGCTTTTCCTTGAGGACTACATGTCCCGAATCGAAGTGTTCAGCAGATCGCCATTCGTGTACAATTCTTCCTTAAAGAGGTACAACATTCACCCAAGCTATACGTTGGAGGCTTTAAAGGGGTTGAGGAAGGCTGCTCGGTCCCTCAGCGACAGTACATTTGTCAGGAAGCTTATGGTTGGTATCGTCGATGCTGCTGAACGACAACGGAAAGGAGGCTGGTCACCTGGTTTGACGGCTCATCCTGTGACTGTCCCATCTGCATTTGAGTATGGGGTTCAACTACTTCCGTGGGGATCTCGCAACCCAGAATCATCCATTTTGGACCTGCAAGGATTCGCTTCGGGGATTCTGGAGATGATCTCCAAGTATGCTGCAGACCCAGTATTGCTCATCAAGATCGATGTTTTTGCGCCGATCCTGGAAGAAGTTAGGAAAGATGATAAGGTACCATGTGCTCTGTTGCTTGGAGAGGACCTCGGCGATCGAAATGATCAACACTGGCTCGTCAAGGAATGGGCGAAGGTTACATTGTCAATGATGGTTTTGAAGGCCGCGAAGAAGGTAAATGCGCCACTAGACGGGAGTGTAATGGGTATGGTGGAGAGATGGAAGGGTAGTGATATCGAGATGATCCGGCAGATTGCATGGGAGTTTGATTGGGGAATCTGAGCTTTGTTACAGAAAGGATACAGTAGGACTGATGATCAGATGATGATCTGAAGCCTGCATGTTGGCTTTTGTGAATTGAGAATTCCAGCGAGACACTGATTCATGATTGCGCTCTTTTACTACTTGAGCTATTTATATGATTCGTGTTCTGTTCATGGATAGTCACACACTCTCCTCTTTCTCTCGCTGTTCTCAGCCTTGGTCTTTACAACCCTAACAATTGTCACATGGTTGCTGAATCACCTTGGTAGACCTGGTGGTGAGTTCAAAGAGAGATGATGAGAAAAAGTGCGTCGTAGTATTATTGACCGTCCAGGTGGCTTTGGTGTTCAGGGTTCTTCCCAGAGAGGTGAAGTGGTGCTTGTATTGGCGACGTAACTGGTATAAATGTGGATGCTAGACTTGATCTATCAGTGGAGACTTTGACCTAGACAGGCTTAGTATATGGGTGCGGTGGGGCACTGGGAAAGAAACGAGTCCCTACGGTGATTTGTTTGATCTCTAGAACATTGATCTTGCAGGTGTCTACTCTGTCAACCGCTCACCACAACACACGATTTTTTCGAAAACGTCCTAGCTCGTGTCTGATTGCTCTGTAAATAACCCCTGCTTGTATCATATGGGATTCTATCGTTCAATGAGTCATTGTAAAATACGCTAAATCCGGTTTGATCCACAGCCGAGGTTAATTATCATAGAACTCTTCTCAGCCAACACACCGAGTGCTTACAAAGCTACCATGCTCTTTATTAACGACTCTTTACTCCACCACAGCCTTGCCGATACTCGATAGCTTCGAACAGGATAATGTGTAGCGACAAATCTACACCTTATATACCTCTAGCCGGCGTCTCGGATGACGGTTGGTCTAAGGGGCACCAAGCGACAGCTACATGCTACTGCGGCGCAGTTCAAATTGCCTTCGTGGGTATAACGCATACTTGAATACCGAGAATTGCACACCACTAATATCAACCACAAAATACAGCCAACCCAAGGCCCTGGCCTAGTCGACACATTTCTCTGCCACTGCCCAGACTGCCGCAAAATCACCGCCTCGATGTTCGCCTCCAATTTTATAATTGCAGACTCCCATGTCAGACACCTGCGCGGACGCGAGAATCTAAAAACCTACAGCCAGTCTCGAACAATCGCTTCTGGCAAAAAGATGACCAACTTCTTTTGTTCAACGTGTGGTTCGCTTATGTATCGCGTTGGTGAAGCATATCCGGGACACAGTATTCTTCGTGTTGGAGCAGTGGATGATTTTAATTTACATGAGACTAAGTTAAGACCGAGGATTGAGCAGTATGCGAAGGATCGGGTTGGGTGGCTACATGGTGTGGAGGGCGTTGGGCAGGTTATGGGGTCGGCTTACACTCCGAGACGAGAAGCTAAGAGTTCGCTTTGAATTGGGTGACTGATATACCTATCATGATAATATGGATCTGATGAAATGAACCATCACCTGCATGGGAAAAAGGCAAAAGGACATCACATTAGAGTAGTAACCGAGATATCGGTGATTATGATGATCTGTGTGAAGCTGTAAAAGAGGCGCAGAAGTACTCGACACCACAAATCAATACTCATAGGATACTGGACCGCTACATCATACATCTTAAAGGGGACATTACGTGCAGGGGAGATCGGCCATTGGATGGCTTACAGGTGATTATATGGCTTACTTTCTACATGACAAACCTCCAGGTCTAAAAGCTGAAAATGAAATCAAGTTAAGCGAATTAAAGCAAGGAAAAGACATGGGTGAGGCTTGGTGACGATTGATTGTCATTGAAAACTCGCTCACTGACTGCATCTCGCCGTTGTCTCGACCAGTGCATCGGAGACCACTCTGAAGCCATTTTCGAGTGAGCGATCATGTGATCTTTCATCTTTCAACGTAATCTGGGGCCTGTGAATAGTAATGTTCAGACCAATTTGACTTATTCACCGGCCAAGTACCGGGACTCAGAAGCCACTTTGTTGATGATATTCGTGGCATGTAGGATCACATTTAGTTGAACAACACGTACAGACGATCGATGCATGGATCCGGTCCGACTATTTCTAGGGATTCGGACACTTCCAGATTGTTGTCGAGTGTTACGGCTGCGGCGAAGGGGAATAGTGGGCTTCAACTCGTGTCACAGAGGAAGCATCCGCTCAAAAAGAGACAATCTCCGAGGCTTCAAGAATTGAACGAATCCCGAAGGCAATTGCTCAAGCCAGTTGTTGTTATCAACATGAAAATCATATTCACCATATAACTTTTGATTTGCTAGTTTGTATATGTACTCATCACCTATCGACGTGATGAGAAGCCATAGACTAGATAAGGGCAGCTACAATGGAGACAAAGATAGAAGAAAGAATAGAGCAATGTGAGCCATAAGTGTTGTTGGTGACAGAAAAACCAGCAATGGTGGTGGGCAGATATTAATGACTCGTATAATAACCAGCATCCCTACTAGATCCCTTAGTAGTCGTACTGGACTCCCAATCGGCCGTTGCTGTCGATCATTCGCTCAGCCAGGTTGACATTCGTGCCGTACGGTCGCCCTCTGTTTCCGGGGTTTACCAGATCAGCAGCGAAGTAAGGCAGGCCACTATGAGTGAAGTATCTGGAATTTTCGGCTGATTTGAAGACCTCCTTGCCGCCAATTTGAAGTACCCTGAAAAGAAGGAAAAAGACCCATTAGCTGATATTGTCTTAGGATTGGCAGAAGTTTAGAGTGCCACTTACCCTCCTCATTCTCCAGGTGCTCGTCCAGGTCGAGAGTAGATGATCGCTTGTTACCTTCATGATCCTTGAGTAAGGCACGGAAAATGGTCTTGACTTTGAGGCTTATCTCGACGGCATCAGTATTGAAGGGCAATTCAGCTAGAACCGACTGATCGTCGAATCCACCACCATCGTGATTGTAATTCGCTCAGCTATGAAAGGATCTGAGACTTTCTCAACCACTCATGCGCCTCCTCAAAAATCCTCTGCGAAACCTGTTCCCTCTTTCTCCTACTATTTCCCCCCTTCTTGCGTCCGGGCGACTCGTGGGTAAATCCATGCGGACAACCCTTTGCCAAGGTCCACTTATACCTGCCCACCTCGAAGTCCTCCTCCTGTTCCACTCCAACTCTATCCTCTAGCCCGGCTAACCCATGAATCATCTGCTGTGTCTCCAAACGGAGCATATCCCACTGCGCCCCAATCATATAAATCCACGGCGGTAGCTCATCCTTCCTCGCATACAACGGACTGAGCAGTGGATCCCTCCGGTTTTGCCCTACTCTCACATATCCCCAGTCTATCCACCAGGAGGTATTTTGCAGGCTCTCCCTCGGACCATCTTTGTATGGCCTTGAATTTAGCTTTTCATTAGGTGGGTGACCAAAATCCACGATCGGGTAATATATCACCGCTGCTTTGATCAGGCCTCTCAAACCGGGAAATTGTGAGGCAGACAGCGCGAGGTTGCCGCCTGCGCTGAAGCCGCCGATAGCGATGCGCGTGTGGTCAATTGGGAGGGAGTTATCTGTTAACACACATTTGGCTAACTCGGCGACATCAAAGCTGGCTGTTGGGAATGGGTGGTGCGGCGCCTTGCGGTAGTCGAGACTGACGACTAGCATTCCAGTGCGGTTGGCCCAAGCGCTACAGAAGGGGTCGTCGACGGTGGCGTCACAGAGTACAAAGCCCCCGCCGTGAATGTTGAGGTAAAGTGGGAGGAGTTTGCGCTGGGCGGGGCTGTATGAGCGAGGGTAGAAGATGCGGGTTTCCAGGGTTGGGCGGCAGGCATATCGCTTGGTGAGGGTTGGCTGGGTACCCGGCTTTGGGGGGTGGAATAGGCGTAGGTAAAGGAAGTAGAGGCTGGCAAGAGACTTGAGCAGCCAGAGCTGTAGGAAACAGCTAACACGGTGGGGGAGGGACAGTCGCTCTTTTGGCAGAGGAAGAATCGGCTTCCCCATCCTTATTGCGCTCTTATCTGAATTTTGGATCATTGTGCTACGCAGTGGAGGAACATTTTCGAGTAAGAAAAGGTGGTAGTAGACGAAAGTTCAAGTGTTGATGAAGCAGGGTCAGCCGGGCGAGGGCTGTCATGGAAGGATGGATCTGTTGGGATGCACTAATCGCTTCGTTGAGCTCGTCTAGGTTTTTGTTTTGTGAGCACTAGGCCACCCGCACCAAGCGATTGTCCCACCGGTCTCGATGCAGTCTCTCGAAAATGAACAGCGATAAGATGATCAAATCTTCCTCCTCCCCATCACATATTTACCTACCGATCAGTCTAATCGCGGAAACTAATGCGCTGAGAGATGATTGGTCACACAATTGATGTCCCAGGAAATGCAAAGCTCGGGCCACCAGATCCACCCTCGCCGAGAGCCCCGAGCCGTTCGGCCCGAAGTGAACCAGCCACGCTCGGGTAGAAACCCAAGTCCCTAGCTTTACAGCATGCAGCATATACCACCCCTTCAGCGATAACGCGCCTAAGGTTCAGCCCAGACCAGCGCTTTTGCATACACCAACGCCAGCCTCAATCTATCTGGTGAGAAATATGAACTCTTCACACCAGTGGGCATTCACAGCTTCTATTTTGGCGCTGCACGCCCCTCCACAGTCCGCATCCAGACCCTTGGCGCTGCAAGCGCCTATTTGAGACTTTCCCAAGACGTGACCGATGACCTCAGAATCGCCATCATGCCGCCCATACCGCGGGAGCTTGACGCGTGGTCAAGCGCATGCGCGACTGAAGACTATCCTCCCATCATTTGAGAAGGCATCGAGAGATGCGAATGTGCTTGCTGGGACAGAGAGAAACGTATCATGAGAGTGGGTAAAATGTTCGAACTGGTGGAGTATGCGTTGGGAGCAGGGCACGATGTAGCGAAGCTCGATTCATTGAATCTACCTACCACTGCTTTCGAGTTCAATAGCACACTTCTCTATGCTATTATCCAGAGTATATATGATATCACCACACACCTAATGATTAATGTTTCAAAATAACAGAATGCTTCATATTGGAATACATCAATGCAAAATATAGTGGGTGCTCCCACCATCTTTGGTGTCACCATCGGAGCCTTCTACATCCACGTGATAAGAGCGATCGACAGAAATACCTTTGATGCCAAAGAAAGGGTCTGTGCTCCCGCTCTGTACACTGTGAAGCTCATACAAGTGTTGGTTCTTGCTGTCTTTAGGCTGAAACCTACTACTGTCATTGTGGTATGCTTCCTTTCCAGTCTTGCGACTGCTCGATGGGAAGAACGATAGTTGTGGCAGGTATGTGGAGATAAGCTTCTTGAATCGCATGGCACAGGCACAAATAATACCAAGGTTGACTTCGACGATGGACCACACTCCTAGGATAGCTTCGGTGTATGTTGTGTCAGCGGTCTTGTCCAGCACAAGGACATACGGCAGGCGGGCGATCGAACAGATGACGACGCTGCGACACGAATTAGCGCGAAACAATGAAAAGGGAGAGATTCGCAAAAGGGCTGAATAGGAGAAAATTACCCGGATCCCAGAGTTAGGAGGCAGCTGACAGTTAATTTCTGTTTCATGGAGAAATGGAGATTATGAATCGTGGGAATGGGCAGAGCCACAACGGCGAAGTCAGAAGCGATATTGAGCACTGCTTGCGACAAAGCAACATTTTCCAGGCATTTTGTCGTTCCCGTTTTGAGAGGATTGCATGGTCCTCCAGTGATGATGCATAATGTCAAGGTGTAGGCGAAGATCAAAGTGGCAGTAGCCACGACAATATAGCGGTAGATAATCGAGGGATTGATGCGATACAAAACAGACAAGATTGCCATCTTGGTGACGCAGGGGCATATCAAATACGTCAGGGTATTGGGGAGCAGTTCCTAATTTGTGTAAGTGAGAAAGCGCTTAGATCTCGTTATCGTGTACACGCGAGTCTCACCTTATTAAACACGACGAGATCCGCCAAAGATACATCCCACAAGTGCTTTCCCCAACCATATTTCATTACTATCGTGAATTAGCTCGACGCTATACTTAGCCTCAGAATGTCTCACAACGCTCACGATTGACAATAGTCACGAAATAGTAACATGATGCCCCATAGGAGATCGTAATAGCGACTAAAAGCATAATGTCAGTTTCTGGACTGCGAGTTATGGCCATGGCGAGTTCGTTTAGAAGGCTCACCCAGATCCAAGTCAATCTTCTTGGTCAATTTAACTGCCTGAAAATAGCGGAGGCCAATGAAACAAGTCGCAAGAAAATACGTGATACCAAATGCGATGACCGTACCAATCTGTAGTGAGTTGTAGGGCGCGTTGAAGTCTGAAGTCTGGCCGTCCGGTGGCTGCATGCCCGGGGTTGTGGCTAACGTTTCTACCATTGTCCCCACCGGAGTAACTGCGGATGCAATTTAAAAAAGCAATAAGGGGCGCAAGGGTGTTCATGCTTTTAAAGCTTCTCATCCACCTATAAATTAGAGAAAAACGGAAATGGAAAAAAAGAAACGCTTTGTCCCCCAGTTCAGTCGGGGAAGTCTCGGAAATATCCGCCATGTGGGCTAATGGTCCATTACAAGTGCAATCCTGCGCCTAAAATGGTGATAGTGGGCCAATCGGATTGTGAAGCCCTTTGTAAACGAGCGGATAGTGGGGACACTACCAGCCGCTGTCAACCAAATCCTTACTGCTCTTGGTCTTAGTATAATTAGCCTTACTGCTTTGGGTCCTAGTATACTTCAGTGGCTCCAAAGCATGAAACACTACGTAAAGGGGAGCCCCTGGAAAAATGAATTGGCTTATTCCGGGAGATTTCTTAGTTGATCAAGTGCATAACTCCTGCATGGGCCCATTGTTCCTACAACCCAATCTCAATACTTTGTTGTACGATCAAAATTTGACATGAATATGATTTTTGGGCAGAAGGCAATGGAGCCCGTTCCGGGTGATCAGGTTCTACCCCTCCATTTCTTTGAAAATAACCAGCTTGTCCAGGGTAACAACATGGCCGTGTCTCTGGTGTTTGACGAAGTGCTCGACCCGGAAATTTTGCGAGAATCCCTGGAGGGCCTTGTTAAGCGGGATGGATGGCAAAGGCTGGGAGGTCGGTTGAGAAAAAATGTAAGTTTCACTCTTGGTGATACTGTATGCATACCAATGCCTTTTCGCTCCTCCCTAGACATCGGGCAGTATTGAATGGCATATACCAGAAACTTTCAGTGCCGAAAGACCGGCGATCTCTTTTGTTCACGTTGATCACGGTATGCCCACTGCTTCACACCCAGCAGCATCTCAGATTCCGGAACCAAAAGCGCAGCCTGCTATTGTGAGCGACCCAGACCAATTACAAGACCTTGCGTGGGAGCCCGGATACAAGCCAGGCGGTATCCACGACTACCTGACCTCGGATAAGCCGGTGCTTGGACTGCGGGTCAACTCATTCACAGACAAGACCGTCGCAGTTTTGCAATGGCAGCATGTTGCGTTCGATGCGCTTGGCCTTCAGTATGTCGTTGAAGGCTGGAATGCCATGCTCTGGGGCAAGACAGACGAAATTCCAACCCCAGTCCCGTACGACACGGATCCATTTGACTTGTTTGCAACGGGCTCGCGTCTTACGAAAGAGGAACATGTTCTGACCGATAAGAGGGTGGGTCTGGGAGGTATACTTAAGTGGGGATTGGGGTATGGCTTCGATATGTTGGTCCGAGCGAAGGAGAATCGCATGGTCTGTGTGCCCAAGTCATACTGGCAGCCTCAGCTTGAGAAGGCCTTGAGTGAGCTTCGCGCCGAGGCCATTGCCAATGGAGAAGATGAATCAAAGGTCTTTCTGACCGAGAATGATATTATAACGGCGTGGGTTTTGCGTTGTGTGGTTGGTGAGATGGGAATGGATCCCAGGAGAACGGTATCTTTCAGCTACAGTCCCGCCCGAGCTTACGCTTTACTGACTTCATTTAGGTTGCCGCATCCATCGCTATGTCCCTCCGCAAGGCCTTTGAGGGTGATCTTATCCCTACATCCTCTGAGCACCCCTATGTTGGTAACGCCTTTGGCTGGGCTAACGTACTCACAACCGCGGACGACGTCATATCGAAACCGCTCAGCTGGCTCGCACGGCAGATACGACGCGCCATCAATATACAGGGCACGCCTTCTCAGCATGAGGCATACTATGCCGCAGTGCGAACAGGTGGGTACGGCCTGCCCGTCGCTATATTTGGTGACGGTGGCATGGCCCAGGTTGGCTTCTCCAACTGGTCCAAGGCTGGGCTATTTGACCTAGACTTCTCCCCAGCGATTCAAGACCCAAAGGGTGACAATGTGCCGTGCAGGCCTTCTTACGTGCAAGAGAATCACGGTCCTGTCAAGCCAGGTGATGGCTTTTTCGTCTTCGGAAAGGACCAGAAGGGAAATTATTGGGCCTCTGCATATAAATTGAAGGGTCAGTGGGCGAAGTTCGAGGAGCAGATGAAGAAAGACTTTGAGGCGAAGTCATGAATCAATGGTAGATATAATTGCCTAGATTGCGACTAGTTCTCATCCCTTTAGCCAGCATATATCTGAGGCGAACGGTGTTGTCTGCATACGTAATCAGGGCGGTGGATCAGTGACCAATGGGTGTACGTTCGAGTATATGTACCTGTCTGTCCATTCTTTTATCTCTGCGCACTCGCTTTTATATGTGTGCTTATGAAGATCATGTGATCTAGCTAGCTTATATAATCTACTATACTGCTGTGTATCATCACATGACCAGCCACAAGTGTTACCAAACACAGTGTAACAGGCTCGTGTATTTTGGAAAGTTATCGTCTGCCGCTCCCATTTGTCCCATCTTACCCTCACGCTTGATATTCTATCACTTCATTGAAGGTTTATCAAGAGGTGTAGATGTTAGTATTTCATTACTATCTCAAAGCGATTAGATAGCTGTCCATATCCGGTACAGTACAATGCCACAGTACTACGTCACATTACCAGACCAAAAGACCGGGGAAATCTAAGTCCGGCTCCGTCACGTAAGAAGTAGTAGGTAAGGAGACGTTTGCGGAGTATGCATCTGCACCTATCATTGGCGTCTTCGCATGGTTCTGTGGGGCCGCCCGTCGCTCCATTCCTAGTCTTACCCGAAAGCGTACTCTTCTTTTGGCTTAAATCAAGTAGAAGGAACAGTTATATTTTCCCCCTTGCTCTCGCAAGACCTACTAGCCCCAATAACTTATCAGTCATGAATTTCAAACAACACAGAGCCTTTCAGGTTGTTGTTTCAGCTTTCTTTACTGGATTTTTGTTATTTGTCTTTTCTAGAAATTCCGAACAAACAAGTTGGCCTCATGGCTTCTCACATCTTTCTCGGAATACCGTGGATGACTCGGTTCTCGCTCACATCCAGAACCAAACCCTTGGAGTTCGTCTCGACAGGCTTCGCTGTTTTATAACCGTTTCTGACTGATCTTCTGCAGTTTGAGCATGTATATGCTATAGGATTCAAAGAGCGGACCGACAAACGTGACTTTCTTACATTGGCAGCCTCGGTAACCGGGTTCAAAGTGGAATGGCAGGAGGGGGTAAGGCCAGATGAACTGCTACAGAAGGCCATGCCAAATGTGTGTCTCCCTAGTGACTCAAGGGACTTTGGTATTGATACATGTCAACACAGGGAGCGAACCTTAACGACACAGAGCCTAGCATTATTGCAGCCTGGCGCGCCCACATGAACACATTAATCAGGTACAGGTTTGAGAGATATCCGCCAAATACCTAGCGCTAATATTCAGATCGCTAGTGTTATTGAAAATGGCTATTCCACAGCCCTGATTTTCGAAGATGACGCGGATTGGGATGTGAACATCAAGTCCCAGCTACGCGAGTTTGCCCGCGGGTTGCACGCCCTACAGGAGAAGGAAAAAGTGTCCAAGGAAGCACCGTACGGAACCGACTGGGATGTTCTTTGGATTGGAGGATGTGGCACCGGCCCGGACAAAAACCAAACCAGGTTCTATGCCATTCCTGATGACCCAACAAACCCACCTGCCCGGGCACAATCCACTCTTGGTGGGCCTCTCAAATCATGGACTGAGCAATTCTCGCAAGACTCCACGCGGTTCATCTTCAAGGCTGAATCCGGTATCTGTACAATTGGCTATGCGATCACGCGCAGAGGAGCGCAGAAGATCCTCGCGGCTCTTGCTATTGATCATCTTGGGCAGCCGTTCGATAATGCTTTAAGTACATTATGTGGCGGGGTGGGTGATCGCCGACGGATCGAATGCTATGCGCCATTCCCTCAGCTGGTTAATACTCACCGTCGAGCCGGTTCTTCGTCCCGAGACTCGCAAATCGTCGCGAATGGTGATGATACATGGCACGACGAGGAGTCATTCGCTATTGTATATAGCGCCAAGCGCAATATACACCGGTTGGTTGCTGGTGAGGAGACTGTTTACTCGCAGTATGGCGAAATGTCCTGGTCTCAAGAAGAGCTGTCCATGAAGCAATTCGCGTATCCTGAAGGGCATCTGGTTACTTAATCTATTATTTTTATAGTTTCTTAGCGCTGAATACTCCAGTCTTTATAATAATTTGCCAAGCGTCTTCCTTCTAAACAGTCTGCCAATCTTAATTCATAGTTTATTAAGACAGCCTCGGCGTCTAAAGAGTCAGTTACTAGCCTTATCTAATATGGATGAGTCGTTTATACCATAGTCAGCCGTAGCCGTACGAATTGCCCTATCTGATAGAGGTAGGTGTTATGTCTTGTAGAAAAATCTTGTAGTACGACTGCGGAATAGTAGTCAAAAGCTCATAGAATATTCAGCACGGCAGCATAACCGCTAACTTCTGATAATTCTGATTTGGCAAAGATTGTTGCGGATTTTTATTTTTGAGCGCCCAGTACATTGAGCTTCTTGATCTAGAAGAAGTGTTGTACCGTGTACGGTATTTTATGATTCAAGTAGAATAGCGGCAGCATCCTGACGGATCGGATTCATCACAGCTGGCCGACCGGTCGTAAACTCTCTTGCCCATCACTGCGAAGGCTTTGGGGGCGTCGTTCCCCAACCAACCTTCCAATTTTGGCCTCGGATAGGAGCGAAGAGCTCCTCCAAGGCGGGTTTACTGCTTATCATTGCCTGGTCGTATAGAGCATCAACAAGAGTCTCGAGCGTTTTGAGGTTCGGCTCGACACCGTAAACCCAGGCATCTCCTCCAAAGATCTGGTCAATTTCGTCGATCTCGGCAGCCAGCCACGGCAGCATATATCTTAGAGCGTCCAAAAAGCGCATACGGACCCTCGCAACCTCCTTTGCATCATTGAAAGCGTTGAAGAGACTTGACGGCAGCCAAGGATACTTGTCGACGAGCTCCCGCTTCACGACCACCGTATGCATAATTGGAAAGACACCTTTGTCCTTAAAGTATGTTTTCTCCACGTCCTTGAAATTGGGGAATAACCTTTTAACATGCTCCGCGGTACGAAAACACGGCGGAAGGTCCGCCCCGATCGTTGCAGCGATATCGCCGTCCTCCAACATCTGGCTCAGCGACTTGCCGCTATTATTCTGTGTAATGTTCACAGACTCTACCAGGGGCATCGCTGTCGGTTTACCATACCCTTCGGCGCTCACAAAGGAGCCCTGGACCCAATGAATGCTGTCAAGATCGACGCCATGTTGCTTGAGCACTGAGCGAATCCAGACTGCGGCCGTCATGGTGTAAAGCGGCACCCCAATCTTTTTGCCATTCAAATCCTTCGGTTCTTTGACAATAGTACTATTCACGGCAATGTATCCATGCCGAAATGCTCTGGAAGGAAACACTGGTATCGCAACAAAGTCGCGGAGACCCATCGCGTATCGGCAAATATATTCGCTGAGACTGAGTTCCGATGCATCAAATTCTTTGCCCCCGGCCATCCGATCAAAGATATCTCGTGGATGATGGAGAGCCAGGAAATTAAGGTCGATGCCCTCTGGCACCACCTCACCTGACTGCAGCGGCTGGAAACGGTCGTACAGCAGACCTGCAAAGGTGATGGGAACTTTGTGGGATCCCATGGCGGAAGGCGAACTCACAAGCGACACACTCGGACTGTTGGAGGTCATAAACTAGCCTGCTCAATTTATTATATCAGCTATTTCACGCCATTTATCGCGTGGGCCTCAAACCCCGTTCCCAATGCGGGGCAAGCCCGGAAACTCGGCATTTCCATTATCGGTGTGGGGCTCCAACCCCACTTCTCCTGAACCTTAATCCCCGCAAAACAGAAAGTTAAGCTTTGTCGTTATCCCCCGCGGAGCTCCTACAGGTGGCCCGTACTCCGGGATTTGTTGAATACCCCCAGGTGTTCCTCTTAGCGTCAACTCGAGGAAAGGGCTCGGTCTTCGGTCGAGGATGATGTTACCATACAGCATGCTAGCCACCACAATACACATTTTAGTTACTTCGTATTAGTCATGCGCACCCCTCCATTGCATCGTAAGCACTAGACAGCACTCTCAGCTAGATCTTGACTAGACAGATAATCTGACTTAGAAAATCTGACTGGTCTTCCTACCTTTTTCCTCTTACACAATCGTCGTATAGTCTCGAATTAACTACCCTTTCGCAAAAGACAGCTTTCGTGAGATCATCATGGCCGAGGAAGTCGAGAAGGTTCAGCACCCTCATGGCGAATTCGCCGACCAAGACATTGTCACGGGCAGGACGTCCAAGTACGGTATCATCTTACGCCCTCAGCCGACGAATGACCCAAATGAGCCATTGGTAATATCATAGCTGCAAAGAAGCGACCTGATTGTGCTAACAGACATAGAATTGGCCGCAATGGGAGAAGTATGCGACATATCTCGTCCTCTGCTGGTTCACCTTTCTGGCGTTCATGAATTCTTCTGCGTTCACAGTTGCCGTTAAGTCAATCGTGGAAGAATTTGGCAAGACGCCGACAGAAGCAAGCTACTTGAGTAAGAATTCTACAGTTCCAACCATTTCCCACGATTTCTGTTTTTTCATTGCCGCTAACATGCTAGTAGCATCGCTACAGGTACTTGCGATGGGCTTTGGTGCTGTGTTTTGGGTGAGTGCCTCTCGGCATCTACACATTCACCGCCTGCGTTAACATTCTCGCTGTAGATGCCAATGTCCAGAAATATTGGCAAACGTCCCGTGTACCTTCTTTCAATTCTCTTCCTGTGCGTCACCAACATCTGGAGCTACTTTTCCAAGTCATACGGTAATCTCCTGGCATCGCGACTAGTCGGGGGTTTCTTGACCGCGGCTTCAGACGCCCCTGTGTCCAGCGTAGCGGCGGACCTTTTTTATTTTCACGAACGGGGCCGTACTTTGATGATTTTTAATATAGCTATATCGTCAGGCGCCTTTCTCGGGCCCTTCATTAATGCCTACATCACCCAGTACTTGGGCTGGCCCTGGATGTGCGGTGTGATGGCCATCGTTTCGGGTGCGACATTCATTCTCGCCTTTCTACTTGTCAAAGAGACGGCTTATATTGTTTCCAATGGTGTACGAGATCTCGATCGGTCCGCTCAGACGTATGCGCCAAAGAGAAGCTGGGCTGCTTCACTGTCCCTAACTGCCGGCATCGACCAAGACGCATCCTTCTTCAAATGGGTGTTTGAGACCGTACAGCTCATAGCGTATCTTCCTATCTGGTTCAGCGGACTGACCGTGGGACTGTTTATCGGGTGGTGAGTCTTGATATTAACAACAAGAGATGAAATACACGCTATTGCTGACTATGTATGCAAGCAACATTGCGATCCAGCTCACAGCTTCTCAAACATTTACGGCTCCACCCTACTCCTGGTCACTGCATAGCGTTGGACTACTGTCCCTGTCGGGCTTCACGGGCTCTCTGCTCAGCTTCTTCTTTGGTGGTTGGCTCATTGACTGGATCGCCACTCGCGCTACCAAGCGCCATGGCGAGCATGTAGAACCGGAGTATAGACTTCCGGCAATGATGATACCGGCTGTAATCGGACCCATGGGTTTGTTAACCTTCGGACTAGTGATTGCGACAGGGAAATCTTGGGCCGGTGCCGCCATCGGATATGGCATGCAAGGATTTGGTGCGACGGCTGCTGCGAATATCGCCGTCACCTACGTGGTAGATGCATATCGCCCAGTGAGTGGTATCTTCCTTGTGGTACCATCAAGTAATGGCATGGCTGATATAGTAATGATTCAAAACAGGTCGCTGGGGAAACTATCGTGATCGTATTCGTTCTTCGAAACGTGATCGTCTGCCTCATCTCCACTTACATTTCCAAGTGGTTCGAAAGCCAAGGGTTGAAGAACGCCTTCGGAGAGCTAGTTGGCGTGGCTTACATTATCTTGTCGTTCACTTTGCTCATGTATTTTGTCGGCCACCATCTTCGGCAATTTACTATGACGTATGGCCTGATGACCAAGTATACAGAGCGCTAAGGGTAAAAGGTTCTTTTTTAGCGTTATCAATGCCTCTTGTTGGTACAGTCTTCGAGGGCTTAATTCATATCATAGAGACCGATTATGCCTTATTCAGCCTATAGGCTAAGACGCACTCATCCGTCCAAGTTTTGACCTTGAATGGCAAAACTCGGCAGGATGATATTCGAGCGAGGACAATTTGCTAATCGTCTCCCTGTCTAAAGAACCGAAGCAGGGTGATACCGCCTTAATGACAAGCTGCTTATTTACTTGGTGTAATTAAAAAAACCATATCGATTGAGCTTTACCCGTAAGTAGACCTATGACTCGAGACATATGAAGAAACGCGTAAGACTAGGCTCACACGGTAAAAGTATCAAAAAGTAGAAATTATGTTGGCGAGTGCTCAGCTTGCTATCCGGCCTTCGTATTCCTGGGAACTTTATCCTTGAGGCTGAGTAGAAACTACTTCATGCACGTCAGCAGTAGTGCTGATTACTCTCGTAAAGATTCCGAGAACCAGCTCATTTAGGTTTTGTTACTTAGTGATCAGCAAGCGAACCTCATATTTTCATTTAACCGTACCTTCTCCCCGTCGTCACGATTACCTGTCTTATGTCAAATAATACCACACCCCGCAGTTTGACCCGCTTATCGCCGTCCGAAGATGCAATCCTCACTATCACTGACCGAGCTTGCTAAGAGCATTTTGGAAGATGCTCAAACGTTAGACAGTTTCTTATCTTCACATAATCTTCCCCAGCCTTCCTTTGCCGCTGACGGCGTCAAAGACTTTCCTGTGAGCACCGAGCATGCCGATATCCATGCCATCCGACACCGGCTTATTGATGCGACAAAAGAACTGCGGGACCTTGTCGTCGGGCCTAAAGATACCATTAAATGGATGATCATGAACGTCAGTAACCTAAACTCAAGAAAATCACGTTGTTCAAAGGGAAATGTTTCATTCTGCCCTGTCCTTTCTCTCGTAGAATTATCCTTCCTCTCGTGGAATGATCGAAGCAAACTCTCATGTTTTATTCTCTATTAACGCTCCATGTGTCTCAGGATCATACTCTGGCAGCCAGCCTACATGCTATTTCTCACTTCAAGGTCGCCCAGGTTGTTCCGAAGGAGGGATCAATCTCTTTCGCCGAGCTTGCCCGAGCCACCGGTCTTACCGAACTTGACGTTGCTCGCTTCGTCCGCCGCACAGCCATCAACCACATCTTTGTTGAGCCTACCCCCGGCCACGTCGCGCACACAGCCACTTCAGCCCTTCTATCTGCGGATCCACAGATGCAGGCACTAGTTGCTCATATGTCCGAAGAGGCCTTTCCTGCATCAGCTAGGATAGTTGACGCGCTAGAGATGTCTAATGGTAGCGGAGAGCCACGCAACAGCCCCTTCGCCTTGGCCTTCGGGACAAGTTTTTTTGAACGAAAAGTGGAGCAGCCGGAAACAATGCATCGATTCGGGCTTGCGATGAGCAGCTGGAGTGAAGGCGATGGGATCCGGCAGATGCGCGATTGCTACGACTGGGCCACTCTGCCTGCGGGGGCAAAGGTCGTGGATCTCGGCGGCGCGTTGGGCCACATATCTCTCGGCATCGCAGAAAGGTTTGAAGACTTAGAGTTCGTTGTTGAAGACCAAGGCCCCCTAATGGAGCAGGCGTGTCGTTTAATATCCTCGTATCCAGAGAGAATCGCAAAGAGGGTGAAATTTTTGCCTCACGACTTTTTCCAGCCTCAACCGGCAGAGGCCCGGGCGGCAGATGCTTACATTATGAGGTATATCCTACACGACTGGTCCGATACTTCTGCGAAGAAAATTCTCAAGAATATCTTCAAGGTGATGAGGGAGGATAGCAGACTAATCATCGCCGATGCGGTGATGCCACCGGCGGGAGTGCTGCCGAAATGTCAGGAGGAAGTGCTTCGGAGCTTTGACGTGGTGAGTAACTATGAATCTGAATCAAAGATTGGACGTGGATGAGTTAGTGGCTGATTACTGTCTCAGAGTATGCTTGCGCAACTGAACTCCCAGGAACGGACACTGGAGATGTGGAAAGGGTTGATTGAGGAATCCGGTGGCGGGCGATGGAAGATCACTGGTATTGTTAGCCCGCCGAAGGGTGAATCTATTACGATTCTTGAGGTCAAGTCCTCCTAAAGGCTTCAGCCAGCCCTGCGATCGTACCTCAGCCTCGTCGATTTATGGGTGCATTCCGGTCCACCAGCATTTTCAGGACCGGCATGCCCTTGGGTCTCAGGCTGTTGGCCTGCTCGGCTGACCGAACGCCCGCGCGCTCTTTCTGCACTATCTCACCACTTTGTGTTATCCGGCTGTATATCTTTTTGTCTTCCAGATAGCTTCCGTTTCTTTAGTTCAATCAGCCATCAGGTTATTCTGTTTTTTTCTTTGCTGTTGTTTCCTTTCGCGTAGGTCTGACGCCCAGGTCGCTCTCGCTCCCTTGTCCGCTCCCGCCGGCTCATCAAATCTGTTACATGATGAAATAGACCCAGTCCAAGCTTACCTACTCTTTATTTATGTGATTGTGAACTCATCCATCGTAAATTATAAGGATAATCGCTCCCAGTGGCGTCAAAATATGGCCACAGGCCTCCGCAGGTGTGTAGACTTGCCAAAGATTCGGCTAGGCCTCATTTGACTAGGTGAGACCGAAGAGCTTGAAATTTGAAACCAACAAGTAAAAGTGGTCAAAAGAATGACCCTTCCCCAATGGATGTCATTCAGTCTACAGATGAATCGATTGACAACAACATCAACGTCAATCAACATTGTACGACCGTCAACGTAGCAACCATCAACACCTACAATTCCCAAAGGTGTTGGGTCCTGGCGGGTCAGATAACATTCGGATTTGTAATCCACCACCTCATCGACGGCGGAGTCGAAAACGTATATTTTGTCCACTTCATTGAATATTTATGTATGAAGAAGCTATTGACGCTGAATAATACGCGCGCACAATTTTAAAGAAAACAACACCCGTCACACTCCGAGTACCGCGTCGCATCAATGGCTGGACACAATAAACTCAATTCAGGTACGTCGAAGCCTCATCGCGCTGAGACTCCTTGTCTTGATATTAATGTTCCTTTTCCAGATGGCCAATTATATTTCATTCCTAGCCAAAATTCAGATGACCGTACGACGAGACGTTTGGCCAGATCACATGCTGTAGCGCGGGGCATTCAGAACAAACGAAAGCTTGAGCAAAATTCGGGTTTGAATTTCCATGCAGTATCTCTAGAACATATCGGCCGACCCTCGAGCAAAAGGAGGCAAGGCCAAGCTCTTATCATGTCACCAAACTTCCTATCCGCAGGCCCGTCCGATCCGTTCCAAATGCTTGCTGCAGAATCGCCCAGACTGCAGGCATTGTTTGATCAGCGTGAGATCCTCGCAAATCTCAAAAGTATATAAGGGAAACTAACAATGAATCATCCAGACAAGGCCCAGTATGCCACGAAGCCAATCTTTAGTGTTTCAGACGAGCTTGTGCTTCAAAATTTTCGCTCGGTTCTTCGGGAAGGGCTAGATGACCACGCCCTTCTGAGTGCCATTATGCTCACATATGTATATGCGACCACTGCTGGAAGCATCGACAGAGAAGTTCTCCGGTACCAGGTGGAGGCTTTGAGCTCCATTCGTCAAAGCATGAGTTCTCCGAATAAGGTTACAAAAGTATCGACACTAGGGGCCATTCTGCTACTCGCCGGCATAGAGGTCCGTATAGATCTCTCTTGACTATTGAGATATATGTCAGAACTGCGGCCAGAAAAGCTGACAATTGAATGATACAGGCTCGGCTTGGATTGCCGCGCCAAGTCCAACTTCACATGGGGGCAATAAGACAGCTTCTTGACGTATGTCGAAGAACGGGTGTGTACTTGAGTGACGGTATCAAACGTGCAATCTTCTGGTGAGTGGCTATGCAAAACTCATGGCAGCTTGTTCTTATGATACTCAATTCTTACGATACTTGACAGGTCCGATTTGAATGCCTCGGTCATGACAGGGTCGAGCCGAGTTGTTGATCACACAACCTTTTCCGAGCTTCAGTGGAGAAGAGATCCCTTCTCCCCGAGTTACTTTATCCTGCCACCTGGATTCCAATCCCAGTCCTATTTACTGGACCGAGATTTTGTTGAGGTGCTCAAAGATGTCTCTGCATTGCAATGCATCCGAGACTCCGCCTTATTTTCTAGAGAAGATGTAATATCGATGGCACATATTGATAATCACCAAGCATCTATTCAGTCAAGGCTGATGAGCTTACCAACTTGCTCGCTTGTGGCGGAGTGTTGCCATCTAGCGGCATATCTATGCTCAACTATGCTGCGCTGCAAAATTTGGCGTGCTTCGACTATACCTGTAAGTCCACACACGGATTCTTTTCTCTGTCACAACTTAGCCCCGTAGTAATTTTCGCTGACTTTTATGCCATAGTCCCACCTTTCATTACAGCTACTATGTAAGCTTCAACAAGCAAACGACGATAGCATATGGGACGGTCGACCTGGCTTGCTAGCTTGGCTCCTACACATTGGCGGGGCTTTTGCGCCCATGGGAACTATACGGTCGGAATACGCGGCACTGTTGCAAATGAACCGCAGAACCAGGCTCAGAGGGCTGTATACGTCATGGCCAGAAGTACTTGAGATCCTAAAGCAGTTTATTTGGTCAGACAAGGCATTCATGTCACAAGTCAAAGCATTCTGGGAAGAAATTGTGGTTTAGACTATTTCAATACAGATTTGGTCCGATGGCTATGTTTGATTTCACTTGTCATGTGAGAATATCTTCCGCCTTGTAAGCAACACAATCGACAGCTTTTCTTGCTAGCTATGGGAAGTTCTTAGCATGGAATTAATACGCTTCGTTGTATGTTCTTTGTATGAACTTCATGAGAAAACTCTCGGGCTCGTAGATTTAGTCATTCCCGAGGTCAAAAGTATGATCTGACCAACCAGGGTGTTAAGCTTTTCATGACGCCGGCTATCAACAATTATTTGAACGCGGAGGCTGTGAAAATCCACCACCCTATTTGTAATCAGCCGCTGACTGCCACGATGACACGAGTCTTGGCTCAGTACCAGACCTTTACCCCGCTAGCCTCATCTGGAGGAGAGATGATTGGCCGAATACGCAGAGCCATACCCAGACATAGAGCGTTTATTGGCTTTTCCCTAATTGGAAGCATCTCTTTTCCCTTTTGGGAAGTATCTACTTTCCCTTTGCAAAGGATGATTCTATCACATTCATCCGACGACTACGGTAGGCTCTCCACCGAACGATGGGTACAAATACTTGGATATCCGCGATGTCAAGGTATCGAAATATTCATCGTTCTACCATAATCGAGAGCCAGCATTCAAAAATTCGTGACCATGTCTCAATCGCGTCTTTTCAAGCCCCTTATGATAGGCGATATGGAAGTAAAGCACCGCATCGGGATGGCTCCACTGACTCGTCTCCGAGCGACTGGCGACCGAGTACCTACATCCTTGATGAAGGAATACTATAGCCAAAGGGCCGCCGTACCTGGCACCTTGATCATCACTGAGGGAACCTTTATATCGGCAACCTGTGGTGGCTTCCCCAACGGACCAGGATTATGGCGCGATGACCAAATCGCTGCTTGGAAAACCATCACCAACGAAGTCCATAGCAAAGGATGCTACATATTTTGTCAGCTCTTCGCGATGGGTCGTGCTGCGGATGTCGACTTGGCCAAAAAGGAGGGGTTCGACATCGTAGCACCTAGTGCCATTCCGATAGAAGAAAGCGCTGCGGTTCCCCGAGCTATGGTCATCAAGGAAATCGAGCAGATAGTTCAGGACTTTGTGGACGCTTCCAGGAACGCCGTCGCAGCCGGGTTCGACGGAGTCGAAATTCACGGTGCTAATGGCTACCTCCTCGACCAATTTATTCAAGATGTCAGCAATGTACGCTACGATGAGTACGGCGGCAATGTGGAGGACAGATCACGCCTTATTGACAACGTGATCAGGTCTGTTGCCAACGCCATCGGTGCTCAACGTGTCGGACTCCGTCTCAGCCCCTGGAGTAGGTTCCAGGGCATGAGAATGAAGGATCCAATTCCACAGTTTACGGATGTCATCAAAAAGGCCAGGCAGGCGGATATCGCATATCTTCACCTCGTGGAGTCACGGATCTCCGGTGCCATGGACTACGATGGCCACGACAGACTGGATTTTGCGTTCGCTCTGTGGAATGGACCTCTACTTGTTGCAGGTGGATATACGCCACAGGAGGCCCAAATTCTTGTGAATGAAAAGTATCCGGACAATGACATCATGGTCATATTTGGCCGATATTTTATATCCAATCCGGACCTGGTATACAGAATGCAGGAGGGTCTGGAGCTCAATGCATACAACAGGGAAACGTTTTATGTCTCCGAGTCGGTGGCAGGCTATTCGGATTACCCGTTCAGCAAGGAATATCTGACAGGAAGGCAAGAAATGTCTTGTTGACTTGGTTATGAAGATACATAGACTAGACACAGCTTAGTCGTAGAATTTCAAACCAAAAAAGCGAGATATTCAGACACGTGGTTGGCTTGAAATCAACAAACTCTTTCCTTCATTCCATGGGTCCTACTTCTTCCAGAAGCTCATCGAATCTCTCCAGTAGGGGTCTGCCGCCGACTATGGGATTACCAGTCATGGTATATTTCCCACAGTGCCCATGCTCGGCCGCTTCTGCATTTCGGTAAAAATTTGGCCACAGCATCAATTGAGCTTCTTGGCCGTACACGAATTCTATGTGGTGTGGTTGGCCCACATCTTTGTAAAGAAATGAAGTTGACGTCTCTCATTGCACAAAGTCCTGACAATTAATCCCTCAGACCGGTTCACGAATGCCCAGGTGCCTTTCAGCTTCGAAATTTGAGCCTTATAGGCTTCGGTCGCAAGTGCCGGAAAGTGAATCCAGAAAACATGAACGTAATATTTGAGAAAGATCTCGATGTGGACGATCCTGCGATATGTCTCATGAGAGGACGCGTGTATTATTTTTCTACTCTGGAGATTCTCCCGATAGAGTTGGGCCGAAGGCGAGGCTGTGAACTCTCTCTAGTCCAAAGTTATCTTCCATCCTTTATAACAGGCATTAGCCGAGTCTTGCCCGTTTGATACGCGACTCACCTGTTACCAGAAGAATCATGTTAGGGCGCTGTAGTCTTGCCCACCCAGATCCCTGATGTCCAGGGGCCCGAATCAGTGGCTGTACTATTCCAGCCCATTCGGTATCCAGCTCCACATCTTAAAAACTTGCAGGTTGCTCCAGATAAGAGTTTTTTGATTAAGGTTCGGTGATCTATCTGCAGTAGGATTCGCCATGAGTGAAGATTTGAGAATGCTGCATAGTAACCTAGAGCATTATTTGTATCTTTCTCTCTCTTTATTATACCTCTGACACAATGTTATAACAATGTGTTCATAATGTTCATAATACTGGCATGCAGAGGTCTGGAGTTTCTAGGACTGGTTCTAGAAGTCTAATAAATTGGAGGCAAATAAGCCAAGAGTTCATGATGCGACCCAGAGAGACATCGCTAACTAATTTCAACACTAGCATGCCCTCCAGTGGCAGTCGATGCTGATTCAGCTGAATAGTTTCAATCTCAAGCCAAATTTCCTTCTCCATCTCAAACACTTGAGTTCCCGAGAACAATCCTCTTTGAGATATTGTACTTGTTATCCTCGCATATGTTAACTCCGTTGATCAGTTATAAACTGGTTAGGCCGGACTTGTTGATCATATATCGACTCAAATCAACGCAACCTAATCAAGTAATGCTAATTATGCTAATTAAAGAAAATGCTTTAATTCAATTTCGGGACCTTGGGGTTAGGAAACTTTTAGAACCCGAAAATTAGAACGAGATCTAGTTACTAAAACATCATTAGACGAAAATTAGCTACCCGGGCTATGTAGCATCGTTTAAACTAGCTATATTGTATTAAGTATCTCTAACCTACCTATATGTATAATTCACACGAATTTTTCTTTTCCACTGGTCATGGCAGCGTGTCGTCTTGTAAAAAATGTAATCAATCGTTCTGAGAAAAACCCAGGTTAAGTTCATGAACGAATATATAGCTAATTAAAGTATAGCCAGGAAGATTAGACAAACGAAAGACAGTCAATATGTTCATTCAAGAAGAAGAAAAAGTAGTGCCTTTCGCTTAAAGAAGAAGGTGCCACGCAGTCAAAAGACCGAAGATGGATACGAGCGATTCGGAAAGCAAAGCAAATTGAGAGGACGAGACGCCTGTGTAGACTGGCTGGCTTGCACTTGTTGTGAATGAAGCACCAGCGTGAGAAGATGACATCAAGGTGCTACTTCCAGGCGCAGAACCGGTGCCAAATTTGGGGCCGGAGCTAGGAACAGGGCTGGAGCTGGATCCACTAGAAGGTATAGAGCCAGCAGCATGAATCGCAGTTCCAGTAACAATGGCCTTAGAAAACGATTCGGAGCCAGTAGAGCCGGAGCCAGTAGAGCCGGAGCCAGTAGAGCCGGAGCCAGTAGAGCCGGAGCCAGTAGAGCCGGAGCCAGTAGAGCCGGAGCCAGTAGAGTCGGAGCCAGTAGAGCCGGAGCCAGTAGAGCCGGAGCCAGTAGAGCCAGAGCCAGTAGAGCCAGTGCCAGTAGAGCCAGTGCCAGTAGAGCCGGAGCCAGTGATGGAACCAGAACCAGAGCTGAAGTCACTTGTAGGAGCAGAGCTAGCAGGATAAACTGTAGTTCCAACGGCAGTGGTCTCAGTAACCGCATGAGCAGTTCTCAAAGCATAGGGGCAGTTGGTAACAGTCGGTGCGCACTCGTAGATTGTGAAGACCCGGGTAGAGTAAATAGTCTCAGTGATTGGGTTCCCTCCAAAACCAGAACCAGAACCAGAACCAGAGCCAGAGCCAGAGCCACGGGTAGTTGCAGAAGAAGAAGTAGCAGTAGCAGTCGCAGGGCAGACTGTCGTCGATACAACAATGACCTCAGTGGTAGTATACGTAGTCTTATCGCTTGCTGGGCAATCGGTGACTGTTGATGGGCAAGTGGTGATAGTAGCGGTGCGGGTTGAGAGAACGGTCGAAGTGGTAGATCCGGCGCCACCAGATTCACCTTGGGGTGTGTTAGAGCCAGATCCTCCACCAGGAGCAGTGGTCGTGCTGGATCCGGAGCCTGAGCTGTTTCCACCACCGGGAGCGGAGGTCATGCTGGAAGAAACGCCAGAAGATGAGCTATTTCCACTGTCAGTGTTGCTAGAAGTAGTAGATGCTGTGGTGTAAGAGGCAGCAGAAGTAGCAGCCACCGACGAGGATACAGCTCTAGTTGAAGATGGTCTAACTCCGACCGAGGATGGCGTAGTTCCGGAGGATGACTTGACAGCGCTAGATGAAGATTTCCTGGTTCTAGTTTTGCATCCCTTAGACGAGGGCCGAGCTCTAGTTGAAGATGGTTTCACTCTGGCCGAGGATTTGACAGTGCTGGACGATGGGTTGACTCTACTTGAAGACGGCCCAACTCTGGATGGGGACGACGCGAGTGTGGCTGAGGATGCAATGACTCTGGATGAAGACGATCCAACCAAGGGTGTAGTGGATGCAACTCTGGATGAGATGACTGAGCTGGGGGTTGGCGTAGGTGTCGAAGATGAAATAGTCGAGTAGGAAGTAGTGCACACCTGGGTTTCTCCTTCGATCTGGAAGTTATCCCATCCCATATACCATGGGGAATTGCGACCGGAACCACAATCTGGAGCGAAGACCAGGGTATGACTGGTCGCTGTGGCTGCAAAGGTCAAGGTATGTGCTGTCCATGTAGTGGATGCGTCGTAGGTAATATAGGCGATTTTGTTGGCGGTGGTATCCAAGTAAACAGAATCCCAGCAACCAGCTATAGCACCTAGGTTCTGAGGTAGGTGGTTCCAATACGTGATCGTATATGTAGAGCCAACTACAAGATTGGAAACCGTTTGAGAAAGGTGAAACTCGTGATTGTAGCCGTACGTTTGGAAGTAATAGGACCCATCTTCGGCTGAGCCTTGGGCGTCTGATGTGCCAACCTGTACGACGCTGTAAGACTCCGCGTAGGAATTGCTGACGGTCCAGTCATCAAGTGATCCGGACTCAAAGTTGGGATTCTGGAAAATTTGGACGTCCGTGCTGGTAGAGCACGAGACAATAGGAACGCTGTTGGCGAATCCGGGGGCGACTTGGCTCAAGAGAGCGAAGAGAGGGAGAATAACTCCGGATGAAGCCAGCATCTTAAGCGTATTAATATCGTCCAAGGCGAACAAGATAATACACAGACTTCGGGAACTCCCAATGAAGGGGAGGAAAGCAAACAAACAAACAAAAAAGAAAGAAAGAATGTACGGCCTCACGAAGATAGAACGAGGGACTAGGAGAGGTTAAGTAGTATGCCATCAAGGGACTTTGGGGGAGGCTCCTGAGATAGTACATAGTGATATGGCGGCGATCCCGAGAACTAAAGGAATGAATAAGCGAGGAATTTCCCACGCAGCTGGGCCAGCCCCACCTGCCACATGGCGCAAATTCGGTTGACCAAGTGAGCCATTGAGCGAGAGGCTATGGTGGTGGACTGGCTTTCCTACTCTGAGGATGGACATTATTGCCGGTGGCGGAGATTTAACAAGTCGAAAGACCCTAAAGACCCTAAAGATCCCTTGAGGCTATGGTATCCTATTGTGGGGGCCGTATGTTGCTATGTGGAGCCGGAACTACTTGAATCACGCATGGATCCATTTCCAAGGTTCTAAATGAGCTTATCCGACCCGTGGAGGCCGGAGCTGCCGCCACACAATCGATCCTGGGAATTATAGCCGAGCACGAATCTCAAAAATCAGCTGCGAAGCACTCAAGCTGTAATAGGAACCGAAATGATAAAGCCGCCTCATATCATTCTCCAAGGATCCGTTTTAAATGAGAGTATTGGGGGAAAGGCGCAAGGATTTGACTGGAAGAAACAGCATTCAAGGCTCGTCCTCAATCTGGCCTAGTGTTCGCCGGTGGCGCCGGTCCCAACAGGAAAAGGGAAAGCGCAAGCCCTATGGCGACACTATTGGTGACTAAGTGCTGCAATCGGCTAATATCACTGTGGTTCAGGCTCAGCAACCTGGAAGTGGGGGAGTTCATGCCTGCCAGTGATCATTATTGTTGCCGAAAAAATCTGATTTTTATTCAGGCGCCGGTCTTTTGTCTTCATAAAAAAGGGGCTCTTAGAGCCAAAATGAGAACGCCACCGAAAATAACTTGTACATAGGTGAGCAATTTAAAGCGACAGAGGACCTTATATGAATGGGCGTTGCATCCAGAGGAAGTTGTTCGTGTGTGAATCTATACAGTCGTCCAACTTTAGTCACTCGTTATTTTCTTTGCTGTTGAGAATTGAAATGCATTTGTCACTTCTGTTGGGGCTTGGGGGAGCTTTGCTCGCATCGGCTCGACCACTTGGAAGCGGTTCTATCGTCAAGCGATCTCTTCCTCAGGTAGGTGACAGAGTACTTGCGTTCGGTAATCGATTCCGTGTCTGACTGACCGACCAGTGTGCGAATGATGCAGTCTGGCTTCAGCTCCAGGAATCCTCGTTGCAAGCACAGGCGAGTGCGTTCTGCAGCGCGTATATCGAACACACTGCGACTCAAATTGTTACTGTATACCCGACAACAACCGCAGAGACCGCCACAATCACTGACACAATAACCGTCGATACCACTGTTACCGACACTTCAAACATCATAGACACGGTCACCTCCTGGTATTCCAGCACGGACATTATCCAAGTCACTATTACGAGCGTGATTGAGGATGTTGTCCAAACTACTGATTTCATCACAACAACTGATGCCACAGCAATTAGTACTGCCATTGATGTGGTGACAACCACTGTGACCGATACTACGCTAACCAGCACTGTGGTAAACACCGATGAGATCACTACAACAGACACCACAGTCTATGCAACGCAAACCGCGACATTGAGTATGACTATTACGGATGCTACCGTGATCAAGACGGTAACCAGTGTTCAAACTGCCACGGTCACTCTTGCCCAAAGAACAGTCGATGTCGAGACGGAGAATGATCATGAAGAAGAAGAAGAAGAAGAAGAAGGAGAAGAAGAAGAAGAAGAAGAAGAAGAAGAAGAAGAAGAAGAAGAGTTCGATAGCTGTGGAGCACCAGAGCCGGAATGCACCTCCTCCGAGTGTCTATTTAGCAGCTGGCTGTCCGAAGTTAGCACAATCGCAACTAGCGGCCTTAGCAGTGCTTGCTCTTGTCTGGTTGTACCTGCTACCACCACGACCACCATAGTAACGACTGCTTCTCAAAGCACACCGGTATGCTTTTATTTGCCACCCTTTCCCCTCCCATCTTCCAGTACGAGCAGATCAACTGATCATTACAAGCAGCCTTCCATATTTGTAACTGCCACAAGTCGCGTCACAGCCTATCAGACCCAAGCCAGCAGCAGTCGCGTTGTTGTGTCTGCATCCACAATCATTGATGAGACTTCATCCATCCCCCTTTTTGTCACCCGGACTCGTACATCGCCAACCACTAAATACGTTTATGCCACTGCCTCCTCATCTGCAAGGGTAACTCGTGTTGCCACCAGCGATCAAACAGCCAGCACCACAGTAACGTCCGTCGAAACTGTGACTATTGACGAGACTGCCTCTGCGACAACTACCATAACTGCCACTGCTACCATCCTCGAAACAGCTTCCAGCACTGTTTCAATAACAGAGACCGCCACGGCAACCATTACTCCTACGGCTTGTGCCCAACTGTCAAGTCCTTACGATGATTCTGTTAATGGGGTGACATTTGATCTTGACTGCAACTATGAGTATTCTTATAGTACTAGCAAGATTGTGGGTTTGGACATGGGTTATACCTTTAAAGAGTGTATGGACGCATGTGCAGCACTGTCTACATGCAATTATTTGCAATATGACAGGTCTTCATCCGAATGTTTCCTGCTTAGTGGAATTCTCAGTGGCCAAGCCGAAAGTGGTGTAGACGTGGCATTCGCGAGCAGATGATTCATGGCCTATTCTTCTTCTATCGCCTCTTATAATGCATCTACAATCTACATTTCTTAGTATGAAACGGTGTGAGTATGTATATAATATTTTGCGGCCAGAATTGTTATACCTAGCAGATTGCATATGAAGAATCTGTGAAGCGTAAGACGGAACCTTATCCGCGAAAGTATGGTGTTTACCCGTTTGTCTCGAATACGTACCACATTCTGTATGCATTTTATGAAATGTCAGCTTCTAGCTACTATTGCAATACACACTTCTACACATCTCTAAAAGCACCCCTACGGGTCAACCCGGAAGGTCTTTCTCGTGGTTAGCGGAGAAAGATTAGTTGTTGGTGTTGGTTGTTCGACCTTCCGTCTACGAGCGTACTGCCGAGAGCGTTCCCCTCTTCAATGGCTATAGAAGGCAAGCGGGAATAGGTACAAGTGATGTCTTTCTTGGGGTTACCCATCCGTTCACAACATACATTAATACAAGATATGCGGAATAGAGCCTTGTCTTCCACTCCAGCCGAGGCTGCCAACATTACGCTACCAAATAATATGAAAGACGGATTGCAGCCGATAATTGAGACTCTTCCACAGCTTCATTTACGCGGCGAGAATGAGAATGATCAAATCAATAAAGAGATTAATGATGCTATCAAAATCCGTGACGATGAGCTCTCAAAGAAGCTAAAGCTTGAACTGAAAACGCAAACATTGCTTTAAAGAGAGCTTCTATGAATGCAGCATCGTATAGATGGAGGTTATACCTAGACTTTCGTAAAGCCCAACTTAACCCGGGCCCACCCAGACTGGGTTGGGTTTTAGGCCCCGGTAGGACTCTAATCCAGTGCTGGGCTCTGGGCCGAGAGCTCCAACTCAGCCTGGGTCCGGGCCTCCAATTTGGCCCATAAACATGACAGACATGCCAAGACCCGTGACTTTTTTTTGAATACATAAATTGTGTGGTTTTTGCCTAAGTATTAGGTATTTCCCTTATCTAAACTATAATATCGCCCGTCTATAGGTAAGTTTTAACCTAGCCTTTTATTTCCTTGCACATTTAGACACCTCTTCATATTCTGTAATTTATAGACACGCTTCGCGTGGGAGTCTGTCCAAAGGTGCATTAAAGACGTGATAGGTAGTCACGTGAAACTTAAGATTCGGGGCCCAACGTCGGAATTTCAGAGAAAACAGCTGATCAGGTACAAGATAAGCCCAAGAAAGCAGGAGGGGCGAAAGAAAGCTGCGAAGAGGTGATGACGAGTCACACAGGGCACAAGGGTGGCGGATCTTAGGAGCTCGGTGCTCCAGATCAATAGCAAAAATCCCTCATATAGAGGAGAAAGAGAAGCCAGAAAGAAACGAGACATATTGGGCGGGGGGGGACAGGAATCTATATACCACCACGCACGGAGAGGCGTAAGGACACTTAACGCTAAACCAAAAGGGATCATATTAGACCTGACAGAGTAGTTCGCTGTCCCCTTCCGATATGGGTAATACAGGGGGACAGCGGAGACACCATGGTTATGCGTGGTGTTGTGAAGGGACAATCGTGGTCTTTCCGTCTAGTTCTGTCAGGGGAGCGATTGCACTTTGTGCATCCTCAAATTGCTTCTGCGGAGTGATTGGTCGATACACTGCTTATACGCACTGGATAGGACCATGACTTGCGATTGCACCTTCGAGTCTCTCAATAATTGTAACACCCGAAGTGAGAATAAATGATACTGTATTGAGTTTAGTTGTGGTTTTGTTGTTTCAGCGCTCAACTTCATGGATCCACAGAATCTATCACTCTGTAGCCACCTTTGACCCACCCAGAATGATTGCAGGTAACGAAACATTGTATATTCTCGTTTGCAATGGAAATGGCTTGTGTAGAGTAATGACTTTCAATAATTTGTTGATCGCCAGGTTTATCGATACACGCAAGTGGATCTCTTACCCCAACCAAGGCATTTTGAGCTTTGGGGAATTCCGGTTTGTCCCTACATTATATGGTTGCACAGCTTGTACAGATAGGCACACCAGTGGCGATCGACTGCTCCGCCACACACTATGCAGGACTCTGTCAAACTTGCCCCTGAACTTAGCAACCCCTTGCTTCACATCATAATATATATAGGTAGCCCTTTTCACCCCTGCGTATCCTAGAGACATCTCTCTCAATTCTACACCAAAATCAACCATGCGGTTCACACTTCTTCTGATTACCCTCCAAGCTGGCCTTTCAATGGCCCAGTATTCTAAATACGGTTGTGAGGGAGGCTGTCCTAAACTATACGAGTGCCTTCCGAGCACTCTTTGCAATGATCCCTACGGCTGCACTGCGGGTCAAGGAGAAACGGTCTACTCCTGTGTCAAGACGTCGATACTCTGTGAGGATCCTTATGGCTGCAGCTGAAAATAAGCCAGTCGAGAATTCCACCTCGTTGAATCCACAATCTGTGAGATATGACCTTCTCTAATATAGCCTTTTCAAGCGCGTGTACTAATGACAACCAGGTGTTTCTAAATAAGTTCAAAGACGAGTGGGGATCCAATCAACAAGGAACGGAGTTCATTAGGCCTTCAAGTCTAGCTATGTCTGTCTAGTATACTACACTCAAGTTTACCTAGATCGACTCAATTTGCGTGGGCTTTGACTTCTATAATTAGCTCGATGTTATTCTCATCTCCACGTTACATTTAGGGCCAATGCACGCGAGACGCGTCTTCTAGTTATAAAGTACTAAGGCCCTAAGCTAAAATAATCAAAATGACTTAACGCACGGAAATCCCGCCTCCTAATATAGTGTAGAGCCAGTCAGACCTTGGCAAAAAAAGAAATCTATTGAACTTGTTCAGAATTATCAAGAATTACCCCTAAGCCCTGGTCAAGTAGCATATTCTATTTTATCACTATGAGCTTGTGAGGAAAGGAAAGGAGAATTCGCTATCCCCATCCGATATGGTGTAGTGGCTAACATCGTCGTCTCTCACACGACAGCCGGGGGTTCGATTCCCCCTATCGGAGATAGTTTTTGTGTTTTTTCTCGTTCCTAATTGATCGGTTATTCTGGGAAATTCTGGGAAATTATGGATATTCCTGTTTCTCGAAAAACGTGTCATGGTGACTCATACCATCAACTTACTCCGCCTTGACTCATCGAGCAAGGCTGTAACCGAATAAGTGACAATTACTTGGCTTGGCACGCAAGGCTTGTCCCCAAGAAGCCCGGACTGGGAGTCATTTGGATTACATTCGTCATGTAGAATACGAGACGAGACTCCTTCGAGATTCATCTGCAATGTAGAATAGGAGAGTATGCTGGTTGTTATAACTCTCGCTTCCTCGTCGTCATGGCATCCAACAATACAACGTTATTTGACTCCTGTGCAAAAGCAACTCGAAATGTCGTTCGCAAGCCCTCTAGGTGAACCGATTTTTGTTGATGTGCACGAGACAAAGCAGGAACCTCCTAGATCTCGGTCGATTAGCCCATCAACCCAACCGAGCGACTCCACAGTCATACAAGTCAATTGTTCTCGATCAGAGGCAAGAGCGGGAGAGAACAAGCTGCGGCCCGCTGGAGGTAAGACGTCCTTTCTCTCTGGTACTAGATGGCATAGTAACAGTCGAGGCAGACATAATCAATCGCATCATCTGGGACTCGACCTTGAGTCCCGACAACTATGTCATTGTTTTCTTGGATCGGTTCCAGGGAGAACTGGAAGTGGGCTTTGGTAGCTGGAAGAAGGAATCGACCGACGAGGAGTTCATTCCCCAACATCGTGTCTTGTATATTAGGGATGTTGATGGTGAAATTGTCTGGGATCGACGCAGGCGGATCGATAAAATCTTCAACAGTGGAAACTCGGCATTTAGCGAACTTGCCTTTCTTGCTTGATCAAGAAAAACATTTACAGTCAATGCAAGTGAATCATTGGAACTCGTATCAAAGCACATAGTTGAATATGATCAATGGTTCCCAAGGTGACCAAGAAAGGCATCCACTATCGAGAGTCACACCTTCCAACTCAACCGTGACAACCTCTGCTGTGTTCAAGTCTAATCTTGACAACTTCCTGTTTCCTTCATGCCCTTTCAATCGATCGCATCAAGCACTTTTTCAATGGATCTCTCAAACCAGAAAAAGCCGTCCCTTCCTCGCTTGTCCACCAATATTCCATTGGAATCACAGTCAACTCCTTTGCTACCACTGCTGCCGAAGCTCCAGGACACCAACGTACGACCCAAGCGTGAGCGACCGGTGACTCTGCCCTCTCCATCCCCAGGACGAGAAGAAAATATCTCTCCCACTGTTCGTGATGTCTCCGAGCCCAAACCTATCTGTTCGACCAAAGGCCCCGAAGATGCACCGGTGAAAAAGAGATCACACTATGATGAGGGCGCTTTTGCGACCCGTGGTCCCCATCACTCTCCCCAGGACCAGATTCCCCAGGACTCTGTGGTCGTCGCAGAGCTTAAGACAAACTGCAGGGTTTGTTAGCTGTCATTTTTCTTCTGTGGCTCTCCTACTAATCCTGCGTGCTAGGTACAAGATGAACAACAAATGCTCGTTGCCGATCTGATCTTTCGCCTGGCGCAAATCTACCAGCGTCCAGAAACATGTATCATGCTCACCATTCAGCAAGATACCGGTGTGTTCTTTGGCAGTACGACGGAGCTCTCTTACCTGCTGAAAATATACGCCCTCCCATCGTTCATCGCGCCCTTCACCAACCTCCGCAACACCAATCTGATCCAGGCTGTCATGCTCGACTTATTACACATCCCCATAGATCAAGGCGTGATAATATTCCTACCCGTCTCGGAGGACAACCTTGCCACTAACGGATTGACTGCTCGAGGCGAGATCGCCCGCTTGGAACGCAATGACCAGGACGGAAGCCTGAACCTCTTCAAAACAATTTCGCGATCGATGTCTCGCCGTCTCAAAACCAGCAGTGGGCAGAGTGTGCCTATCTCATTGCCGTCGACTGTTGGAACCTCCACTGCTTCCCCATCGATGCAGACTGAGATTCGTCATTCGCCGATCGCTGTGGACGATACAGTGGTGTCTCCTGAGGAAAGAGGGAGAGGAACTAACCTTCGCAAGCGCATCTCACTGCGAGGTCTTGTTCGCCGAAGGCTCATGGATATTACCTCTGCCTTGGACAAGGAAGAAAAAGGCAAGGCGAAAGGCGTGACCAAAGAGGGCGACTCGAAGGAAGATCAGTCCAATGAGAAGGCTAAGAACCAAATCCTTGAGGACAGGGAAGAGCAGTAGGTCATATTGATGGACCATAGGAGTGTATATTTTATCCCGCGCAGCTCTGTTCCACATTGTATGTTTTATGCCAATGCCGCTTATCTATTAATGAAGACTTTCAAACAAATTCAGAAGAAAAATGATATACATGGATGATATCCTTACTTAGATAACTACGCTAGGTACCCATCTAGGCACCAGTATCCATTCGTCATACTACATGCATTTCTCCACTGTGACTCGTACATGTCTTCCCCAGAGCCTGTATCTTTGTCTCCAAAATCATTTTTTCTTCTCTTCCTCCCTCTCAGCCCTTTCACCCCGTTTTGCTTCCACTATTTTCTTGCCCAAGACGATGGCATATCACGACATCAGCCCCGGGAATATCAACTCAGTCACCGAGAAGCCTGGCGATCTTTTTGACGCCCCGCCACGGTCAGCCTTGATTCGTTCGTGATGAGCCTCCTCAAATCGTGAAATTATACTCATAGATTTCTAGATGCATGCAATGCTAGGGGATCATGGGGAGCAGGAATCGCACGCGATTTTGCCCGAAATGTAAGAGCTTGTGGTCTTTCATTTATTTGAAATCTGCTAAGGAGTACCTACAAAGTATCCCTGGGCCTACGCGAAATATCGAGAGTACTGCTTGAAGTGGAAGGGCGAGAACAAATTTCACGACATCCTCAATCTGCACGCTACTGGAGACCAAGCGAAGACCATCTCGGTCCGGTTTCCTGTTGGTACAGCGCTCATCATTTATCCTGAAACATGGTTTTCGGAGCCTGGGGTGAGGCCCTGGGTCATCTGTTTATTCACGTCTGCTGATTATGGTAATCGGGTAGATTCGCCTGAAATGATTCTCAATAACACCAATGCCGCCCTTCATGACCTGCGGCAAAGGCTTGATTTAGGGAGAAAGCAGCAGTCTGAGTCTGCTCATATTGATCAGCTTTACGCATGTCGTTTCAATTCGGGACTGTTTGGTATTCCATGGGCGAAAACAAAGGAGCTGGTCGATAGAGTGTCCTTGGGCTTGCCCCTAACTATTGTTTACCCACCAGAGGAAGCCGCGAGGAGACCAGAGCTGTGAAGACGCGCATTACACTTTTCGAGGAAGCGAATTAATGAATGCGAAGACATCTAAATTGAACGGAAGGGCCATTATCTCACGTCAACATAAGCATGATGCTCCTAAACGATTTGAAAAGCTTCTTCAATTTCAAAGGTGATCTATGCCTGGTGGTTTCTGAAGCGCAATGAAACCATAATAAAATATAGCCAATCAAAGTTAGAAATCGCAGACGTCCTCCAAGTTTTTCTTCATGTAAAATGCCCTATTTAACTGGAGAGCAGATATATCACCTGACACCGCGTCTCCGGGTCGCGACCCGCGTCAACGACTCCGCTTCCTTATCTACCAGTACATCTATAACCTCGCCGTACACATACATCATGGCTGGTGAACCCCAGCAAAAGCGGCGCAGGCTCCCTTTCAAGCCTCCAAGCCGCACCTCAAGCGCTGGACCATCGGCGATGCCATCAGCCGCCAAAGAGAAGGGCAAAGCCAAGGAAAGCACCAAACCCACATCTAAAGCTACATCAACATCAACATCCAAAATCCAGCCCACAAGCTCCTCTTCCAAGGCCACATCCAGCAAACGACCCCATGATGATACACTGAGCGCATTACCCGCAACCCCATCCGACTTTGCGTCCGATTCCGAGTCCGAAACACCAGTCGGCGAACGCGAGCGGCCCCTCTCCGAAGAACCGGATTACATGCTCGCAGAAATCACACACCGAACACCACAAGAGAACATTGCGATCGGAACCCCACAAATTCATTCCAAGCTGTTGACGGCCCTATTCCATCATTTCTTCAAAAATGAAAAGACTCGCATTTCGAAGGACGCCGATGCTCTGATGGCGAAGTATATGGATCTATTTGTGAGAGAAGCCATTGCGCGTGGAAAGTTGGAGAGGGATCTGGTTAATGAGAGCAAGGGGACAACGGGCCCTGCGGATAACTTTATTGAGGTACTGTTTCTTCCTTCCATTTCTAATGACATATTGTCTTGTCCTGGGGTACCAATTACTAAATCGTATTTTAATTCTAGGTCGAGGACCTGGAGACTTTAGCACCGTGGCTTGTCATGGATTTCTAGAAACGACACAGGATTTGAATATGGAAGTACCCTCGGAATGGCATGGCGTTGGGGGTTTTGTTCTCTGTTATGATGTTTTGAGATACCAAACTACCGTCTCCTCGGATACAGCAAAGCACAGCACATCATAAAGTGTTTAGATATACGTGACTCGTAACATAGTGATATCCCGTGGTCTTTGATATGATGGTGGCTTTCCCGACGAATGATCCTCCACATAAGGCGGGACTGCATCGAACCCATTGGCATTATGGAGCATGGCGACATCATGGTTGACTCGTTGCGATACCCATGAATTTGCTGTATAGGCCGTCCTCTTTTTGCTGAAATGAGCCACAACCACTGGGAGCTGGTTGTGTTCGGGAAGATGGCCGAGTTTCACATTGTAATCTGTATGTGCGATGTCAAAGACTATGAAGACACGGGTGCGCCATTGCTGAACAGCGATGAGCCGAGTCTCAGCGGGCATTGCGGGATCTCTTGACAATCCATTCTTCTTCAAAACATGCTTTGCTAGTGGGAGGAGATCTTGAGGGGACTCGCGGGCTTTTGTGATCTGGGAACTTCGTTGCGAGACAATCACCAGTACTCGGAGTGGGCCTGGCTGTGCCATGATCATCTATTATCACTGCTCCAGAACTTAGTGAACATTTTGAGAGTGGTATCAATTGGTACTCACACCTGCGCAGTCAAAAAGGGCGTTGCAAATTATGCTGGGTTCCAGGCCGGTTTCGATATATATATGGAAGGCAGCGATGGACATTGCCAAACCACCAGCCAGCTATTGCACAACCTTTGGAACACACGGACCTGCAGACTTCGAGAATCGCCGTCTGAACTGAGTGGCAACTTTGGAATTGGCTGCATGCTTCCACTGGATACTACAAATTCTATTCGACTACGATCAGGGCTGGGTTAGCATCGGACATACGATGCGGATGTCCTGGTTAAGCTGCAAATCCTGTACGATAGTAGGGCAATCATGGCCAATGGGAGAGAGAAGCAGAAGCCCAAGCGAAGGATTCAAATTTCAAATTAAACTAATTATATCCTGTCAAATGCAGTCTGTTTGGGGCCATGGTGCAGCTCCGATGGAATGTTGAAGTAAGGTCAGATTGCTTATGATAAGGCCCAAGGCGGTCTGTTGCCACCGCTCGCGTCTTTTCTCTCTCAACGCGTCTTTTCAGCACAAAGAACCCAATTCAACCATGAACGATGCGACCACTTCCCTGCTCACCGAGCATTTCAGTTATACTCCATTGGTAAGTTGTGTGGGCTGTGCATATCAATTCCCCTCCGCGGCGCGACCCCCTTGCGACCCCACTAACCCGACTTCCTAGTCGCTGATTGACGACATTATCAACTCGATCAACAACCTGATCTACCAGGCAATCTCCAGCTTGGAGTCTGGTCTGATTGCCACTCCGCCAGAGCGCCTGGGGTTTTCGCACGCCACCAATGGCCCCACCATCGCGGACACCGACGACGATGGCAACATTGTTTACCCGGAAGCAAAACTTGAGCTGGAGAATGGATTGTACCAGTTAGAGACGCTTCTTGAGACTAATGTTGATAAGGCATTCGACAAGTTTGAAATCTACGTCCTTAGAAATATCCTTACTGTACCGGCTGACTTGCTTCCCTATGTGCGACTGAAGCATTATGAGGTAGGAGTGGCCTGTGTCTGGCTTTGTACCTTGAGCTAACAAGACTTCGATGCAGGGTCTTTCTTTTAATCCTTCTCCTGATACACCCACGCCAGAGACGATCGCTGCCCAACGCAAGAAGTTGCTCGAGACAAGAAAGCTCAATCGATCTTTGAAAGAAGAATGCGCGCGCAATGCAGCTGTGATCGCGCAATTGAATGCCATTGTGTCGACAGTCAAAACCGCTAAGAATGGCGAGTCGACCGGAGAATCGAAAACACAACCCCCGCTGGATCTGTCTTTCTTAACGTCAAGCGGCGCTGCACAACATCTTCGTGTTGGGGTGGACACCGGCTCAAACACTCAGCACACGCCTCTGACAACACATACCACTTTCATTCTTTCGCAACTTCCAGCTCTGCAGGCAACGCTCGAGAACCTCCGACCAAGATTGGCCTCTTTACCTGCCTCAATGAAGGAGATTCAGACAAAGACCAAGCGCGACGAGCGGAAAGAATACATTGAAGGCCGAATTAGGCTACACTTAGAACGAGCTGGACAGCTTGCTATGGGCGATGATGGAAATCCAGTCGTTGCTGGCCGCCGGATTGATATATCCGAAGCTCATGCGCTGGAAAGTGTGGCCAACATGATTACGCAGAGCAAGTCTGCGTAGGATGATTCATTTTCAAGATGAGACTGGTTCTATGAAGTTGAATCTTTTTTAGTATTTTGTCTAATGGGTATTCTATGAAGACCAGGTAACGGTCCATGTGTCCTGAGTCTTGCGGAAGGGAACAACGTCGGTTGCATCCGACTGCAGAATGTCTACAATCTTCTCACCCTTCTTGTCGATGGTGATGAATTCCTTGGTCTCCTCGCCAATATCATAGAAGGCGCGACCAAATTTGCTCATGAAGCCTTCTACAATTTCCGGGGTGATATCATCTTCCTTGAGGATTCCCTTCTCACATGCCTGCTCGAAGGAATCGAGGACGACCTGGGTGGTGTACGGCTGGGTGAAGACACCAGCGGCAATCTTCTCACCGCCGCGCTTGGAGGCAGCGGGGTGTGGAGCGCTATCAGAGCCGAAGAAAAACTTGGGGTTACCTGATACAGCGGCACGGAGAAGGGCGTCACGATCGGCCGGGGTCTTGGCGACAGGCTTGCAGAAGCAGAATGGGTCACCGGCCCAGTGGTCAACGATGATAGACAGGTGGTGAGCGGTAATGGTACCGGCCACAGTGGGTCCGCACTTCTTGACGGCCTCAATGGCGGCGGCTGTTGTGCAGTGCTCCAGGATAATACGGAGCTTGGGGAACTTGGCGTGGAGCTCCAGCAGGGTAGGCAGGAAACGCTCCTCGGCGGACAGCACTGTCACATCGCCTGTGGAGGGGACCTCTCCGTGCAGGTTGAGAATCAGGTTCTGGCGCTCCATTTCGGCGAATACCGGGTAGAAGGCGGCATAGTCAACCACGCCGGAGCTCGAATTGGTGGTGACACCGGCGGGGTAGCTCTTGACACCAGTGATGCCACGCTTCTTGGCATCGATGATGGTAGCGGGGGTGATGGTCTCGTGCAGGTACAGCGACATGAGGTAGCTGACGTTGGGCTCAATGGCTTGCAATCGCTTCTTGTAGTCGAGAGCATGGTCGACGGTAGTAATCGGCGGTACCAGGTTCGGCTGTACGATATGTTAGATAGCTGGACATGTCGGATTTGATATGATTTTCCCCCTTACCATGACGAAAACAGTGTTCACACCACCCTTACGGATAGTAGGAGTCACCAGCTCCATCATGGGACCATCACGGAGGTGGACTACGATCGCGGTCAGCTTTCCGCTTGTTCCCTTCATGATTTCAAGCGGTACATACCGTGAAAGTCGGCCGAGGCGGGAAGCCTAATGCCGCGCAGTTTAGACAAAGTCATCATGAAATGAATATAAGCCTCAAGCTTCAATTAAAGATTGCACAAGATAGAATCGAAAGCCAAGTTTGCCCCGCCAAATTTTCTGGATTTCTGCCAGGCGGTGGATCTCCCCGCCGGATTTCCCCGCGGACCCAGACATCGCGATCTATACAATTGCTTCTTCACCTATTGCATCAGTCGCTCATGAAAACTTCATTTAGGAGCGGTCCTAGAAGGTAACAGAATACGAACCGGAGAGTGAGCACATACCATTACCCCTCATATGTTACAGCCCAACTCCTCTACTCGAGACACATGCAAGCCACAGCTTACCAGCGTTGGATCATGTACATTATCATCGATGACCGATTTGTCCAGACCGCATCTCTTGTGATGATAACCTTTCTCTAGTCCATGCAGGAACAAAGATAATCACTACTCTCCCTGCGTGGGTCAAAGACCCATGTAGCCGCCACGGTCCTCACCTTGCTATCCCGGGCGCTTCGCCGCAACCTATCAGAGGCCAGCTTTTGTTGCCACGACACAACGACCCGTGCCCAGGGGCACAAATGAAAGGTCATGGCTTGTAAGCCTCCGTGATCAGCTCTTAGTCGAAAAGCCTAAATATAACTTTGTGAAGCGCTTTGCCCATTTCTCTTACTGCCAAGTCTGCAGGCGCCCGCCCGTCTGCTAAGACCCCGCGAACTATAGTGCTCCAAAAGAGTAAAGTTCATGTTGTGGTACCTGAGTCCTCGACCCTGGAATTTAACTTCTATGGATGTACGAATCATTGCCGTCGAGTCTATAGTGATTACCCCCATCATGGCTGAACGCCCATGCTGAAGACCCCTATCGATCGCCTGGATACGCGCCCAGTCCCAAATTGGAATTTGTGATGGCAAATCGCTTGCCAGGTTTGGCTTGCAGGATAATATGAAGTTGCTCTGATTGTCCCCGATGGATCCTACATATTCAGCCTGGTTCTCCCTTTCTGCATGACTTCGGAGACTTGAGGTCCCTACCCTTCTCTTCTTGACTCTTGACGCCATTCTTTTCCAGGATCATCCCCGGTCTTTCATTCCCAACTGCCTCCGCGAGGTTCTTTCCTGTCCCCTCTTTTTGTTGCACTTTTGAAAAACACAAATCCTTGCCGGCAAGGTAGACCCCTCTAATCATTTTTCAACACAACCTTCATCCTCTACCTTTATTCATTAAACATGAGCTCCGGTTCCTCTACCACAGGCTCTAATGCCTTTTCTTCCGATACGGATGAATCAAAATTTTTGAAAAAGACTCGGGTCTTGCATCGGGCACGACTGGGTTTATCCCTCTTGATCTTCATCGCTGCTGTCGCTATCATCCCCTGCGAAGCAGTCCCGTTCCATCATTATAAGACCACGGCTAAATGGGCATCTTCTGGTCTGGCCCTCTGGCCTATGAACTTTGATATTCGACCGACAGTAGCTGCCCTTGCCTGTGGCTGTGTTATTGGAGTTTTGAACTTGGCATACGTTGTCGCGGCTCTTCTCCCATTGGTGAGTACACGGGCCTCCTGCTTGAACTGTATGAGATCCCCAACTTACTTGTATGCTTCTAGCCACAATCTCGCATTAAGCTCCTGAATTCCTATTCATCGGCCTCAGCAACTGCAGGTTTCATCACAGCTCTGGTCGGTCTTCTCTTCATCATCTACCTTCCGTCTTCATCCTACCCGACCGGCTTCAACGAGAATGAGACCTTGCACAGCTGGACTTGCAAATGGAAGTATAGCTCTAGTGATGATGTTACACCCATCCACTTTGCACGGGACTGTCACTCTACGAGTGCGGGCTTTGGGCTACTGTGTTTAACACTCGGATTGGAGATCTTCATGGGGATGGCTGCGGCCGCTGGAACCTGGTTCCAGAAGGATGTCGGTCGTCGGCGTGAAGAGCAGGTTCAGTTGGAGAAGTTGGAGATTGCCACCAAGCAGGCGTATAAGAATTGAGAACTGAATTCTTGATCTGGATGAGATATGTATGTGAATGCTTTGGGATTGAGGATTGAGATTTCACTGGATCTCTTGGATTTGGGTACTGCCTAGGCATATGATACTGTAGGACTTGCTGGTTTGCGAGGTATGATTATGATTATGCATGGGACTCGGAATGAAAGACCAAGGCTAGAGTTTGACACAAACCAACTTCTGGTATAAATTACGTAGTACGGAGACGCAATCAATTCAGTCTCCAATTAAATTTAAGTGGAATCGATGAAAATACCCAAGAATGGAGTATTTAATTTACGTTGAAAGTTGCTCGCGAAAGTAGATTGGGGCGTGATTGCGCTACTTTACATAATCCTTATCAGCACCGCCTTTCGGCAGTTCCAGATCGCGTTCAACTGCTTCTTACTCTCTCGCGAATTTCCATCCTGCGCCAGTCTCCAATATGTCGATCGATCCTACAGTTTCCGCCGCTGTCGACCTGGATGATGAGTCCTACAATTCCTCCGAGGATGAAGATTTCCAGCTCGAAGGCGCCCAGGACGATTCCGACCTATCCTCCGACGACGATGCGGCCGAGCCTGCGCAAAAAAAGCGAAAGACAGCTAAGAAATCCGAAGTCCCGGAGGATGAACTCGACTCGGGCGACGAAGTCACAATTCGAAAAGCTCGCGAAAAGCTCGACAAAAAGCGCAAGGGGAAGAAGTCCAAAGGCAAGAATGCAGCCGACGACCATATGGACTTGAATGATGATGAGGGGGGCACTGGAGGCTTTGTACGGACACGTGCTATGAAGCAGCAAATGTAAGCCTTCCTGATTGAATTATGCCTCTACCGGTCTTTTCTTCTGACCAGCATTTACCAGCCGAGAGGAAGAGGAGCGTAAACCGCTAGCCAAGATCGACGGTGCGACTATTGACGTGGACGCTCTGTGGGAACAGATGAACACGCCTGGGACCGAGCTGGGTCTGCGGCTGGATCACATGAAACACGATAGTGAGCCGACCCCAGAAACCGAGCACGCCAACGCGCACATGAAGGACTATACCCCCAAGGCAGAGAATGATTCGCAGCATACCCACGGCGAAGAGATGATCAAAATCAAACGCACCTACGAATTCGCCGGTGAGATGATCACCGAGGAGAAGACTGTGCCCAAAAATTCGGCGGAAGCCAAGGCGTTTTTGTCTAGTGGACAGACTGGCGAGAATGCAGATGTTGCTGCAGCACCGAATCATAACCTACGTCGTCCACTGCGCAAGATCTCCCGATTCGATCCCAATCCAACTGGAACAATCAAGAAGAGCTGGGAGAAGCAGGCCTTGGAGGCTGGCGATCAGAATGCGAGTGGACCGAAGATTAATACGGTGGAGAAGTCCCGGCTCGACTGGGCGCAATATGTGGATCAAGCTGGTATCAGCGACGAACTGCGTGTCCACAGCAAAGCCAAGGAGGGCTATATGGGCCGTATGGATTTCCTTGGTCGCACGGAAGCCAGAAGGGACGAAGAGGCTCGACAGGCCCGTCTGAAGGGCATATGAAGTCTTATCTTTTACTGTGCCGTCTTCTATCTGCGACTCGACAAGGATTACGATCATTACTTGTTCCGGTTTATCAGCAGAGACCATCCCGCTTCATTGCCCCAGAGACATGCATTCCAGGGTCGTATCGTGGAAGCCTCGTTCCCGAGTCGCCTTTGATTCTCCGCCTGCAAGATTGGCCTCGAGTGGATATGCGCTGTTTCGAGCAAGCAGCCAGTCGATCTCGATCCTACCATGGAACTCTCGAGTGCGCATCACCATGTCTCAATCAGTGAAATCAACTTTCAACGGAGTACAGATTACTCTAATTAGTTAGAAAGGTTGATCTTGTTGATTAAACGACAAAAATCCCAGAGGTCAACATTACTAAAATGGCCCAAGGCTCAAAGTTCGTCCACCGCACTGGATTTTGCAAGCTGCAGCCTTGCCTGAACCCTTTACAGGGCACGACCGTTTTGTTTCGAGCGTCAACTCATTAGATTTGGCGGGTGTCATTCCCAGTCATGTACTCTAATTTTCCAGTCCTACCAAATCTGATACCTAATTTCTTCAATACAGAATCAATCTCTATATACACCCTTCCCTCCAAGTACATCATTACATTTGCAACCAATGATGTTCATGCAGCATTTATTCCGCACAACCTATAGAAGCTCAGTTGCTCTTGGGCAAGTACTTGACGCCGCTGCTGGGGCAGTTGGATGACTCAACTAAAGAGGGTCAGTTCCGAAGGCAACAAGATGAGGACGGGTATCACTTACGAGGAGCAGTAGGCTGGTACTGGCCGTCAATTGCATTGCCAGCCACATTGAAGAAGTAGTACATCTGGCTCAGCGCACCATCCTCGCAACCAACATACGGTTCCGAACCGCCATGCAATTTGGACAGTGCGGCTTGGATATCACTAAGCTCATATGTCTTCGAGTCATCGGGAGTGATACCAGCTGCGGACAAGGCCTGCTATCGTCATTACCATTGAATTACTACGTTAAATAGGTAATGATCAAGCTTACCTTGTATGTATCAAGACCCTTGAACAAATCTACCACCTTCTGGAAGAAGTCCCCAACCTCCTCTTGGGGAGAGTAGTTGGTGTAGCAGCTCGGCTTGATGGTGTTGATACAGGTACCGTGCTTGCTCCACTCATGCTCCCAGAACTCCTCGTTACTGCCGTCGTCATTGACCCAGTACGTCTGCATATACGAGAGCAAATCAGTACGATCCTGCGCGGTCAGGATGTCGGAGATGTTGGTGTATGCGCGCGAGGAGTCGCAGCTTGATTGGTAGGTACCGTCGCAGTTGTCGGGCCTAGTAAATTTAGTCAAAATAGCTATTCTTGCCATCATCGATGGTCTATGCTTACCACAGGCCGTGGATGGTCCATGAATCACTTGGGCCGGTCGTGGGGTCAGTATCCCAGAACTGGGTCTGCAGGAGAGCTCCGCCCGGATAATTGTAACAGCAGGTTGGAGCTTTGGACGAGCTGTGGCAGCTCAGAGTGCCATTGTTCGAGCAGGATTTCAGCTGGGCCAGGGCACCGGTGGTAATAGTAGCCAGAGCGAGGATTCGTGAGAAAGACATTGCGTATCTTGTGAGATCAATTGAGTAAATTGGAAATTAAAACTAGAGACGAAGAAATAGCCCGACATTATGTAGAGTCGCGCGGACATTGCCAGGGACACATATTGTCGATCAATGCGGCAGTCGCACATGCACTGATAAGAGCATCCTGATTCGCGATGATCATCGGATATCGCCGTGAACGCTAAGTTCAGAAGATCCTGGAAGTGGGGAGATCTGTTACCCAATTATTTCACTCCTTCCAATGCAGGGTCTCGTCTTTTTCAAGCTACCGTCGGACCTCCTCTTCTCATTCTAGATTTGAGGTTGCATTCGCTGAAACTCCTGCGGATCTCCGGTGCTGATTGATTCCCCAGGAGATGAGTCCCCGCTTTAGTCGGTCGCGCTGTGGCGAACCAAATGCGAGGGATGAGTGTGCCCTGAAGATCGACGGCCCCAATCCTTCACGATGAGCCTGATAGGGTAAGAGGCTGGACCCTAGTCCCTGGGGTCGTCTTCTCCCCTCTTACAATGCTTTACGTGTAAAGAGTTTACACTCGGAAAACAAGTCCAGCGCTGATAGTTTCAGCCACTAATTGACATGAATAGGAAGGCCAAAGGTCTTAAGCAACTCTATGGAATCAATGGTTCTTGCTCCCCATACTCGTCATTCTGCACTGATCGACCAATTTGGATACGCCAAATGGCTGCTGTGGCAAACGTAAAACACACAGCGGCCTGCAGGAATGGAAGACCCATCCAGCTATTGCCGAGATGCATACCAAATCGGAAGAGGTAGGCAAACAACGGGCCCGCAATAAACATTCCGATTGATTGGGAGATCGCTAGTGCTGAGTACAAAGTGCCAACGTGGTCGGGCCGGACTAATGACGTTGCAAGACTGCGTGTGGCGACACTGAAACCTCCGCTGAATGAAACAATCACTAATGCGGTGATCAAGATGCCTGGGCTGGGCGCCAGCCCTAGTAGGGCGAAGCCGATGATTCCCAGAATACCTGTTCCCTGGCTTACCAAGTAATCTCGGAATGTACCATGAAGGTTGAGGAACCGGGCGGCCAAGAAGTTGAGGGCGGGCATGAATACTAAGAAGCTGACAATGCCGAAGATCCCGCGGATAGAAATCAGAAGACTCGCCTGTTTACTGTTAGTCTGGTTCTGATCAATCAATGGGCTGCTTACTTGGGCAATGCTCCATCCAAACTTCTTGGAAGCGTACTGCAAGAGGATGGCAGTGCTTTGACGGCTGAACACGGAGACAAAGACCACGAGAACTATCCATATGACATTGCTGTCTGCCCACATGAATTGAATAGATTCCGTAAAATCGCGCAATTGGTGACGGAGAACCTGAAGGGTAGATTGTTTGCCCAGTCGGGTCGTAGTCTCGGTCGAATTGTCGCCTCTTTCCCGGTTGAGTCTTTTTGCTTTGGCATATTCAAGTGTCTCCGGAAGAAAGAAAACGGAAATGTACCCAACGAGAATAACAACATAACCTAGGATGTAAGGAATCCACGGATTTATTGTCATCAGGTATGCACTGACTGGAGTAGCCAAGACCTCCGCGACAAGTACACAGGACATGAGGCGAAAGAGGGCGGTTGATCTAGCCAGTTAGCCCCAATTGGTATGCTTTAGATAATCAACATACCTCTCCTCTTCCGAGAAAACATCCGCGACTATATTTAACAGGACGGAAGACATGGTTTGATCTCCACCGCCAATGATTCGCCATACTGATGACACCCAGATCAAGCGGAGGGGCAGAACATTTGACCAAGCGCCTGGTACAATCAGTGATAGTTCAGCCAAGTCGGAAAATGGATGTCCAAACGTACAGACTAGTCGAACCCAGAGCTCGCCTAGAAGACTGCCCACGATGGCAAGGTACACCACGGGTTTCCGTCCCCAATGGTCGGAAAGAACTCCATACGCCAGGGAAAGAAGAATTGCTAATCAACAAATGAGCGTCCAAAAGCGAAAGTGGCACTTTATGAATCAATACTTGGAAGTACATCAAATCCATCCTTGTAGCCAAGAATCAAGGCCAACTCCCCTGCGCAGATAGTCAATAACAGATTGGCTCATGTTCCGGTTGTGACTTACCTTGAACAGCTTCTGATTTGCACGGGTCTTCATCATAGGTCGCATTTCCCGAATTCCGGAACTCCTGATGATTTCTGCAGATAATTTGTTCGAAAATCGCAGTTTGAGGGGCCACCGAGAGGAAGCTTCCGAAATCCACGGAAAGAATAGAGACGGCACATACAGTAAGAACCAGTAGCTTCTTGGCGGCTGTTATGGTCGGCACATCAATGGGACTTTCAGACAATAAGGGGGTCGTTTCGGGGTCATCCGTCCGGTCGCTAGTACTGACAGCCATAGTGATTGTTGAAAGAAATAAATTGATGGGTCGCGCGTCATAATAAGTTACTTTCTCGCGTGGAATGCTGGCGCCTTGAACAAAGGTGTCTATCTTAGTCTTACCCCGGTCGAATGCTTATCATCAACGGCGAGAAATGGTATAGAAAGAGTCCAATTGGTCCCTTTTCCTTCCCGATAGACCAAGTGTCCCCGCTAGGCTGAAACGGGATTGGGGTTTCTTTGTCTAGACTCTCAGCATCATGATTGATTCGTGGGTACAGATAATCCTGACAGAAAACTGGTTTAGTCTGGAAACACGTGAGATGTGAGATGTCAGGTCGTAATGTTTATCGCTCGTTCAATGTGATGACTCCGAACTCCGAACACCGACCCCGAGCTCCGAACCCCGTTCAACTCGTCTTAGTTGGGCATTACACCACCGTGAAAGGCTACCTATCTTTGTAGTAGAGAAGTGCGAGTCTTACGGGCACAATTGTCAAATATTCGAGACCTCAAGCTTCAACATGAACCAAGTCTATCTTCAGAACTACTGTGCCTTTATCCTCAAGTTACCCTCAGTTTTAATTCATTAGAGAGCTAGGTAGGGATCACATTGGGAAATCTACCCGCCCAGTGCCGATGTAGAATTAAGAAACCCAAACCGTTGACCCGGATATGTCGTGCTACCTACTTCTGTAGTTAAAAGTGTCTCCAGTCCATGGGTACGTATATTCCCCACTGCGGATCCCAAAGTCCACGGGTCGCGAGTTAAGGTTGAACGCCTCGCGAATTTCAAGTGTGCAAGGGACAAATTACTGCTCTCCAAGATATATCCTCTAGTCAACAAATGTACAAGTATCACGTTTGAGGTGCAAGTGCAGTGGCCTAGAGCATCATTCTGGTTTCTAGACACCCCCTTATTTTGTCTCTGCTGAACTAATGAAGAGAATATTGAGGGAAAGCAAAACAACGTGAGATTTAAATGTAACGGACTGGGTAGGTGAGTCAATTGTGCATTTTGTGTCCAGAAGCTGTATACCTGAACATCCAGTCGCCTACCCGAGGCCATCACCTGAGGCCACGTACCCCAGCCTTAAATATTTACTCCTCCATGGAACTCCTATTGCCGAATCTGAAGGGTTCGAGTACCGGGTCTGATTCACTAGAAGCGGATGCGACCTCTTACCAGTTCAACTTGTACGCAGGTTGGTCATCTTTCAACATAAAATGTATGCATCGTGTGTTGCTTTCAACTTATGCCTGGCATGTTAGCATTAAGAGGCATAAAGTTCAAGTACACATTTTGGTTCAGGGTAGGCACTGAGTCAATGCCCCACTACTCCCTGTCTTGGTAGCTTGTGGTTGGTCACCAAGCATCAAATGTGGAGCACTGAATCATCTCTTCCGCTCTGATGTTTGCAAAGTACGGCTCGCGGTTGGTTATGCGCATTGAAATGATCAAGATCTGTTTTGAGCATGTAATAATTTTAGCGTGATTAAATCTTGCACCCCGTACATAAAGTTGTCTCTAGCCTAATCCCAAGTACTTTTCTTCAACTTTTCTTGCTCTTCTGTGCCCTTGAATATATCCCAAACCGCCCTGGCAATCGCGTCTCCACTGAAGAGTTCCTCCGCCCCCGAGGCTACCTCTATACAGCCATTATAAATAATTTGTTTTTCTTTACTTTCACCAAAATGTCCGCCTCGAGTCAGAGATCAGGCTCGAGCCACACAACTCTCGGCCAGGAGAGGGCACAGGAGCCAGATCTTGAGAAACAGCCCACGGACATTGCCGCTGAGGCGCCGGCGCCAACAGTACAATACCCAGTATCGGACTTGAGTCAGGGTATCGTTGGATGGGAGAGCCAAGATGACCCCGAGAACCCCCAAAATTTTGCGAGCAGCAAGAAGTGGTCTCTTCTCGCACTTATTAGTGCATTCACATTGGTCTCCCCGCTTGCATCGAGTATGTTCTCGCCAGCTGTCGTCTATATGGGCGAGCAATTTGGCGAGACCAATGAGACGGTTCTTGCCTTGACAGTTAGTATCTATTTGATTGGATACACGGTAAGCTTCCCCGTAATCACGGTGCGAGAGATCATGCATTCTAATGATCCTTGGATTTCTAGTGCGGTCCCCTGTTCCTCGCCCCTCTCAGTGAAATTTATGGACGCCGCATCGTTTTATCCTCCGCCAATTGGTTCTTCGTCGTTTGGCAAATTGGTTGCGCCCTTTCCAAGAACATCCAGACCTTGATTGTTTGTCGTTTATTAGCCGGTATCGGGGGAAGTGCATGCATCACCCTTGGAGCTGGTGTGGTTGCAGATATGTTCCCAAGAGAACAGCGTGGTATGGCAACTTCTATCTGGAGCATGGGCCCTCTTATCGGACCTGTAGTGGGCCCAATTGCCGGTGGCTTCCTTGGAGAGCAGGTTAGCTGGCAATGGATCTTCTGGCTTCTGTTGATTGTTGGCGGTGCCATGCAATTTGGTATTGAGATCCTTAACAAGGAAACCTTTGCTCCGGTTCTGATTAAATGGAAGACCGCCAAGCTGGCAAAGGAGCTTGATCGCACCGACTTGATTAGTGCTTATGAGGTGGGCAAAGAAAAGCTCACACCTGGCCAAACTCTAAAGCGCAGCCTCATTCGGCCGGCTTTGTTGTTGACGAGGTCGCCCATCGTGGCGCTTCTTTCACTTTACATGGTAAGACTTCGAGCCCGGTCGTTCATGTCCAATTGAACCTCAACTAATATTGAATCCAGTCTCTGGTCTATGGCCTGCTCTATCTTTTCTTCACAACCATCTCGGATGTCTTCACAAGCACCTACGGCTTCTCGGTCGGCCTATCAGGCCTTGCATACCTGGGCATCGGCATTGGCTTCATTGTCGGTCTTGCTATCATGGGTGTGACAAATGACAAAATTATGCTCAAGCTTAGAACCAAAAACGGTGGACAATTTGAGCCGGAGATGAGACTGCCGACTATGATCATATTTGCTTGTATCCTGCCAATCAGTTTCTTCTGGTACGGGTGGACTGCCGATAAGCATGTTTTCTGGATTGTGCCTATTATTGGCATGTTCCCCTTCGGTGTGGGTATGATGGGTGTCTTTATGCCTATTCAGACCTATATCATCGATTGCTACCCAGCCTATGCCGCCTCAGCAAACGCAACCCTGACAGCGACTCGGTCGCTTGTTGGTGCTCTCCTCCCACTTGCCGGTACGCCCATGTTCGACTCCTTAGGACTCGGCTGGGGAAACTCGCTGCTCGGGTTTCTTGCTCTTGCCTTTGTTCCCATTCCCATCATCTTCACCAAGTACGGCAAGACAATCCGTGAGCGATGGCCTATCAACCTTGAAAATTAGATGGCCTCTGGGATTTAGTAAGGTGCCGCTCGCCTATGAAAGACACCTTTTTTGTTAAAACTTAAACATGCTCAGCACATACGGCGGAAAATTGTATATGAGGGACATGATCGCATAATAGACTTTAGATTTTACATTAATAGAAATTATGTCACAAGTACTTCTAATATACGTTGTGTAGTAGGGATTCAAGCCATGGTAAAAACAAGCGAGTTAAGGTCTACGCCATCCGTCAGACTCGGATACTTGCTCAGAAATTCCGGCGTAATACCCCAACCCTCCTCCTTCATGAATATCTCATAAAAAGCAGGCTTGATACAAAGCTCATCATTTTCATCGCGCTCGAGAACCTTCACGCCCCATGGCCACCGGATCTTAATACAGCATGCAAGCATGCCAAATAATCCCTCGCGATCATTATCATAAAGCAGCCATTGTCGAATCATGTTGGATCTGACTTTCGGCCAGGGAATACAGCTTAGCGCGAGAGGATGCTTAATCTGCAATTGTTCTTCAACGGGCTGCAGGCCGAAAGGAAGGGCTGCAAAGGTCTTTGGACTGGGTGCGACGATCCATCTTGAGAAATGGTACGCTATCCAGCCCATGGCTAACCTCTCTGGCTCACGAATTGGTCGTCTTTCTAGTGCCCTGTGGATCATGTCTGCCAATGGGTTTGTCTTGCTGCCGTAAAGAATTTCCAACGGTGAGGCAGGCGTATCTGGACAGTCCATGATTTGTTCTATGTGAAAGAACCATGGGCAGGAGACGGTCTTGAGATTGGAAAAGTCGTCAGCATAGAGCGGGAGTTGGTTCCATTGTGGACGAGTAGACGATGACGGCAACGGTGAGCTTATTGGTATTGATGGTGTGTTCACATCAGATGAGTGCACTTCCACACTCTGAGGCGTGGAGCCAGACATGTTGGATTGTGTGGGAGCGAGATTTGGCTCGAAGGCTTTACCGTTCACGCCTTGAGTCATCCAAACATTACAAGCTCCTGTATCTTCGATCCTGTCATCCCATGAGATGATCATCGACTTCAACGCCTTTTGGCGCGCCACAAGGATCTCATTTTGATTGCGGAGGCTTTTGACAATTCCAAGAAGCTGTTGGACGCCTTGATCGGTGTGATGTTGTTCGCAGTGGGCTACTTTCGCCTCCAGCTGAGCTGTATAGTTCTCCTTCTTTGCGCGGAGAGTCTTTTGGGCGCGTCTATCACGTATGCGCTTGCGCTCTGCTGAAGATAAATCTGTCATGTTGACTACCTTTCAGACTAAGTTTATTTGAGGCTGACGTAGTGTGGTCGGGTGAACTATATTACGGCGGTACGCGCCAAGGCCTCAGGCACCAACATTTTCAAGGTTTCTACTGCAAATGTTGAATCGAGATGGACGACGATTTGCTAATTCGAAGGGCTCTTGGAAGGATTACAAATACGTTTAACTTTTAGCTTGAGTGCACGTTATCATCACTACTTTCAACAAGGTCCGGGACACGTCGCCTTGAAGTAGCTGCAAGAATCCGCGTTGGAAGCGGTCTTCCAGCATCTTTTGGAATCGGCCTAGGCAGGCGATTTAGAAATCGCCTGGTTTCCCTTTGAACGCCGGTTTTACCGATATCTCGGAGGATATTCATTACAATCCTGTCACTTTCTTGTCATTGCTTTGATCACATGGCAAACCAGTCGGGGAGTGTCCACGCCTTACCGGTATGGCGCAGTCGGCATTGAAATCGGGATTCTTCGACATAATGTGGCCCGGCTACGGCTGACTCGCAGTGTCGTCAACAAATCTACACTGAGCTTTCACAAAGTTTGTATTACGCCTTCTCCGTTAAGCTTCATAAAATCTACATATTAGGCCCATTGAAGCACACCTGAGCATGGATTGGAAAGTGCCTAGAATCAGATCATACATCCGAGCTTGGGTGGCTGAAAACCGGCATTTGCAATCATCTCATGAACTGGCTCGCGCGTTCTGGATTAGGGGCTTATCTTTCCTGGTCTGACTCGCATGGTAGAATGTGATTTAATCTCCGCTCTGTTCGGGGCTAAACATTCGATTCTTTGATCAATGTTTGCTGCTTTCGGGCGGCAATTGTTCCGATGTCCATACTTAAAACAATGAGAATACTGTCGAATACTATGGCTATATTGAGGAACTTGAAAATACAATTATAAACTACAGCTTAAGAAAAATATCCACGATATACTCAGGCCCAGGTGTATGCTTGTTCAAAATTTGTGACTTTACTATAAGTCGTCCTCACCGCGGCATCGACCGTGACAAGGCTCCAACTCTGCCCACGGCCCATCAACCCTCTATTCCGAACATATATCGTTATTCACCGTAGCATTATCCATAAGAGACGAATCTAAATATTTCAATACACCTTGATTCATGATCCTACCAGGCAGTCCACGGATGTGTGCTACCTTAGACTCCCGAAGTCTTTATTGGTGAAGCTCCCGAGGTCAGCGATCGTTATATATATTCACCCAACTTGAACCAAGAACAACCACCTGTAAGTCTCAATGACCCTAGAAATACATGGATAGCAAGAAGATACATGCTATATATACAGCTAACCATCTACCAAAATCCACACATGAAGTCTTTCGAGATATTCAAGGAACGATTTAAAATCAAATTATGTCCAATCTTGGTTGCACCCTCACCTGGGCATCAATATTGCTCTGAAGAGTCCAGTATCTAAAGGCTAGCTCCGGACTGAGGTAGGGATACCGGCCCCGATTCTATGGGCTCTGCTTGGAACAGGTTTGACGGATTACTTCATCATAATTGCTAGACACCTGATACTGAGCAAGAACAGCAAATCTCCAAAGCACCTCCCGAGCTCCCCCGCGTACCAAGAGAGCATGATACTCTGATGTTACAATTGGTTGCTATCAGTACAGTACAGAGATGACCTCGACCACCACCGTAGCAGAGACGCCCGGGCAACATAATCCCTCATCAAGGGACCAGGCACCATCATTTAGTAGGTTCAGGCACCCGAGGAAAGTCACCAATTAACACGACACCCGAGATGAATAATCCGAGGTCAAACATACATGATGCGAATGCAATCACTATTGCGTCCAAGGGCAAAAGCCCGCGAGCAAAAATGCCTCCCTCAAATTCATCTCCACACCATTGGGTTCAATCTATTGAACACACCCCAGGCGAAAATATTACTTTCTAACATGAAACCATTCCAAGTAGCGTTATGCTGGTGGACAAAAGAGGCACGAAGCTCTGCCTTGGAGTAAGGGCCCAATAGTATGATGTCACCTAGATTCCCCTGAGAGGGACCAAGTCCAGCCTATGCACCGTGAAAGATACCTTGGTGCGTGCTTTGCATGAAAATTTCCCCTACAGAGTATAGGTGCTAAATCAAGCCCCAGATCTGCTGCTACTGAGAATGTCTAACATATTGTGATGCACGGTTGATCAGGGCGATCAGACTCTTCGATCAATGTCCGAGCTTTTCAGTTTAATTTTCCTTTGGTTCTATTGAGGTATCCGCATAGCTAGACATCAATGCGCTAGTGGGTTGTCTGGTATGCGCATTAGGGTCAACGCTTTGACACCGATTGCGTAAGAAGTGCTCAGATACCACACGGCTTAGAATAGAACTTGATGATCTTCAGGGTCTAAAGGGTAGTTTTTCCAGGGTTTAATCAGGGTCCAGATAATTAGAGCTGCCCTTCATCACGACCCTATAATAGGGTCATACACGAGGGCTATCAAATCATGACTCCTTGAGCGTCGATGAAACTGTAAACAAGGTGACCCCGCAAACATTCGGATGAAGGAGGTAGATAGTATGGCTTTGCAAAACATAAACTTTCGCCACCAGAGGCTGCTATCCAGGAAACCGGGATTTGCAACGCAAGGCGATGCACTGCAATGCGAGTCAGTAAATGATTGCGCAAAGGCACACCATGAACGAATTAAGAATAGTCCCAAAAGCAAATTATAATTCCATTGTTTTTCCAAATGTTTTAGCGTTGAGGTTCAATGTTTTGGCCGTTGACAAAAGAAAAGAGGTATGCAAGGGGGTGGAACTTGGAAGGGGGCGGAAAGCCCTATCCCTCATCCACGGGTACCTTTGCACCGCCCACATTACTATTGATATTACAGTGCGCTGATTCTGAGCTCTGATTTTTCCTATAGGTTGGGTTGCGATACCGTGATTGCAAACCATCTGAAGTGGCATGGTACGACAAATCGAGTTCCTGCAGTGCTTGATTCTTCATCTTTCCCCTGGACAGTTTGACCGAGCAGGCGACGTTGACAGATTTCCGCAAAAGCAAATGGGCTGTCATACATCGTAGATCAGGTATCAAGTGATCGTCTTGGGAGACTGCGTAGACTGAAGAGGTCAAGCCTCTCATGTCTCGATCTCCGATCTCCAACACGAACCTTATCACGAGCATGTATCTTATCAGTATAGACTCCAAGACCTAATACATACTATCGATAGTAGGCCCTGGACAATGGCATTCAACGACGTCACTTTCATAGCGACCGGGCCAACGCACGTACAGCAAAAGCCATCAATTGACCTCTTGCATCCGGACCTGCATGTTGACACCCGGAGAATGTGAAGCGGCTAGATGCAATAGTAGCGCACGGTATGCTCAGCTCAACTCAGCTCTATTGGTCGGCTGCATGGGACCAGCCATTCTGGGCCTTCCCCGCAAAGTGATCGACGAGCAGGGCTTCCGGATGGTAAGCCATGGCGTTGGAAAGGCTTGCATTGCAGGTAGATCAATGTGCAGAATCTTGTTTTTGGTATTGAATATGGGATGGAACTCTTCGGTTTTGGGATCGGACATGGATTAGAGAAGCCCTAAGATCGATAGTGTGCTTCCAGACTTGGTCTTGAATTCTTGAATTAAAACCGTGCTAATGCACGTATGATTCGATTAGGTTTACAGGGGTGCAAAGATTATAAAAAAGGGGGAAAACCAGATGTCTGTGCCATAATTCTGGCGGTCGGGATTTGCTGGTTCCAATGTTGGGATTATGATGGTCGAATCGGCGATGGTTCGTACCTGAGCGTTGGATATGAGATCGAATCGGTTGAATTTTGACAGGAGAGGACACTTGTCAGAGTGTTGAACTAGCTTTATTTGGAATTTTATCTACGTTTAACCAAACGACTTCTGAAGATTCATATAGATACATGGACTTTTGTTCAGTCCCAGCACGAACAATGAGATTCGTGTAGAGAAGCAGGCTAGATCGTGGTGGCGAGACCGGGAATAGTTCCCGGATATGTTCAGACAGCCACGGTATGTGAGTGATAAGTACATACTGTAGAATCACTACAGAACTGTGTCTTGTAATCAGCCACAGTGGATCGCCGTCGGTGCTCGGGGGCAAATCTTCAAGTTCGGGTTAGCCGACAAGGCTACTGATGGCATGACCCACTGCAACAATGGAGCTCAGATTTGAAAGCCACTATTCAAACTTACGCATCGAGCCCATTGCCAAATCCTGATCTGTGCATGTGAGTACTCCATCTAGACTAAGTCACTGTGCCCATGGTGGACCGTGTTTTGGATGACAGTTCGGTCTTGGCATGGAGATCGAAGCAAGTCATCCCTTGAGATGCAGGGGTATCTTGAATATTCTGGGGGGGAAAAGAGCTTTGAGGCCCTTGCGGCGGATCAGGTCTGTGCTGGGTCTTAGATAAGATGTTCAATTGACCAAGTAGCGTGGACAGTCTAGTAATCTGGCACTGGTTGACATTGACAAGCAAAATGTGAATCAGAATGTCGAGCTAAAAGGTCGTCCCAAGTGGCGAGGAAACAATGTTGATCATTGAGGCAACAGAAACAACGGGTAGGATGCTGATTGGTTCTTGGCAAAATCATCTGGACCAGCTCGGGGAGAACAATAGTACGATTGTTCACGAGCAATGCCAGCACCAGACTATTGCCTATTATTCACATTCAGAGCACGAGAAACCGGTTTCTGAAGAAGCATGCATGAAACATGAGGATATTGTGGGCCTCTTGTTCCAGATCAATGATGGAAACCAGGAAGAGAGGAAAAGGTATGGGGATTTGACAAAGGTGATCGACGAGGAAAGTCATGGATCGACAGACGCCAGTTCCCGACTAGGAACGCTAGATACCCGCGGCCCCAGTATTAGTTTATGGATGATATTCGATCAAGTAATCTTGAATATTGACCATAGACTCGGGCCCGATCTCTGGAAACGCTAAGGTTTTATTGCATGGGTTCGTCGCTATTTCGGGATCGAATAGAGTTTGGCCCAGGGACCCGGTTCTGCAAATCAGAAGCTCAGGTGGAGCTAGTGAGAGCTGTCAGAAGTTGTCGGCACCCCATAGATTTGGTTCAAGCGCTCGGCTATTGGATCTAGTGGGTACAGTATGGGCTCGGGATTCTAGGTTTACTGTTTCAGTGACTAGGTGCAAGGTGAACTGGTAACATGATACGCAATCGCACAAAGGCCGGAGAGAGAGGCGGATTTTGAGGAATGGAATCCACGGGCTATCATCCACGGGGAGTTCGGAATGGATGCCACATTGCGAAGATCAGGAGCTAGTTGCCACTGACTCGGTGGCTTGCTGCCAGTCTCGAGGTTGAAGAATGCACGACAGGAGATGTGGTCGGGTTCACGATGAGCCACGCAGTAGACCAGCGGACTGGGAACTGAGGTAGCTGGACTGGTCTTTTGCACGCCCATGGGTTCCTTGGGTTTGGGTCCGGACTGACGCGTGATGGATCAGAAAAGCCCCCCCCCTGAGATTAGACGCAGGTCCAGCTAGCGTTTGTTTTACCATATTGGCCGTTGAGACGTCCCATTCCTGAAAAATAATGGAGCCGTTTCTCCCCGGTGGACAGTGTTGTCTTTCCCACATTCCAATCATGTCTGATGACGAAAGTGGGTAATTTGTCACGGACTTAAGGTATCGGGTCGTTAGCCCTAGCAGAAAAGTAAAATGGGGAAAAAAGAAAATTCAAAAAGAAAAGAAATCGGAGAAAAGCGAGAATGAGCAATTGGAATTTCTGATGTTACCTATACGTTGAAGATCCGCACGGACTCGTAACGTTGGACCTGTCGCATCATCGATCGATCCAGCCCACTCTCAGCCACAGCCCAGGTTTTTCTTTTTTTCTTTTTCTTTTTTTTAATTTTTTTCTTCTTCTCCTATCTAATTCCTTTCTGATTTGTGTGAGACTATTCATTTGTTCATCTTCATTTTAGATGTCTTAGTCGGATGGCAAATCTAGTTCAAATGAAACCATAGGGATGTGTGGGGCGATCAGGGACGATCCGGTGTAGGTTCCGCGAGAATAATCAAAAAATGACCCAAAAGTATAGTGTGTGTAGCATAAGTCAAAAATAAAATAAAAATAATAAAAAATAATGAAATAGATCAAGATCGACAAGGAAAGTCTGGGGGACGATCATCCAGAATCCAGTTTAGGCCAAGTGGCCCTGCAAGTCAACGAACACTTTTAGACTCTACTCACATTGCGCGGAACGCATCAGGTACAGCCGAACATTCTTGGATATTCGAGATCCAATTCGATCATGCAGGTTCAAATCATCCCCAAATCAGAAACAATAAAAAAGAAATTTCCCCAAAAAAAAGAAAGTTAGGGATAAGGGTAATCAGCTTGACGATCTACTCGATGGGATAAGCTTCCACACCACCGACTATAACGCCAAATCAGAGACAAACTGATATAAACTCCCCTTACTGGTCTTTCCCTTCTTATATCCCTCCCCTGCCCTCCCTTTCTCTCTCCCCCCCCAACCACCAAAAAACGCCCCTTCGGTCTTACAATCTGAGACCCAACCCCTCCTCCCCGAATACCTAGGTCACAATCTCAAGGTATACACGCCAAGTCAAGGAAACTCCAGTGCATCTGCCCCTCCAACACGGTCCTGTGTCTCCCAGCCACGGTCCTATTGTCCCCCCCCCAATTACGGGATCCCGATACACTTCGCGAGCGACAGGTCCCCGCCAACCCCAGAGAGCCGATCTCCGCCCTAATCTGGCCGTGAGCGCATCCTCTGCCACGGTAACTGATTCTATAGCATTCCTGGCCTTGCTTAGGGTCCAGACACGCGACGCGCTTTCTTGGATCTGATCCGAATCATGGCGTATAGCTGTAAGTCCGATTCCCCACCCGAGATTCTATGCTCGACCGATTTTGTTTATTTCTGCTCGTTTGTCCCCTTCCTCGTTTCCTTTTCTCTCCCTATCCCACAACATTCTTTCTCTCTTTGGGGGCATCTGGAGACTCGTTCGTTCCCTTCTCTTGCTCTGGTTGCATCGTGCTTTGTTTTCTTATATTGCTTTTTTTCTTGTGTCCCTCTTTGGTCATTCGTCCTTCCTTCCACTCGCTGCCTACCATATCCAGGACTCTGGACTAAACAATCCTTCCCCTTGTAGGTGACAGTATTCTCGACCCTGTCGCTCCTCGCAACCTGAAGACCGAAGATCTCGAAGACATGAGACCACAGGGCCAACACATCTCCGATCGTTTGACTGTGGAAGTCGATTGCCATTCTATGGGCCCCAGTGACTGCCCCTCGATGACCTCGAGCTTCTCTCCTTTGGAATCTCCCACACCGACTCCGACCAGTCTTTACAGCCATCAATCTATGGCCTCTCCTACTAGTTGGCACGAGGCTGCCCACTATAACAGCCTGCCTATGGAACGCCGGACATCGGCGACTCCTCTGCGTAGCGCCTTTCGAATGGCCGACCTGACCTCCGGCGAGATGGGCATGGCCTGCGGGCCAATGGAGCGTCCCGACCAATTACCCATTGCCGACTACTTTCCTGGCTATGATGAGAACGTGGAACAGTTTCTTCTGCCGGAAAACATGCCCAAGACTTTTGAACAACCCACCTTCCCTTACCATGCACCAATGCCTCAGTATAACACCATGGGCCGCAATTACCATTACCGCCCGCAGCAGAGCAGTTTCCTGCCCGAGTCTGCATCCAATCCCTGCTTGTCCCGCCCCATCTTTAACCAGCCCGAGCGGGTCCCAAACTCCGTCTCCATGTCCAACATGCTCCACTGGATGCCTTCCAATGAATCTCTCACCGGGCCAACAATCGCCCCGCACCAGGCTTTCCCTCCCCAGCCCCAAGGCCCCGTGACGCCGCCTTCATCTTCTTACTCTGACTTTCCTACCAACCTACACAATTTCAAGCCCAACACTCCTTCCACTCCTGTCCGATCTTACTCTGGAACTCCGGGATCGGACACGCCCATGAGCCGTCTCTCGGGCCACAATGATTACCAGGATGACTTCCCTGTGTCTCCTGGCTACCGGGATGGTCTTATGCGCAGCCACACCCATCGCCAGCCTTCCCGCAAATCCTCCAAGAAGCAACTGACCCGCTCCAATCTGAGCTTGGAAAACTTGCCTCCCATTATCAAGCAAGTTCAATTCAAGTGCAAGGAGCCTGGTTGCAAGGGCCGCTTTAAGCGCCAAGAGCACCTGAAGCGTCACATGAAAAGCCACTCTAAGGAAAAGCCTCATGTGTGCTGGGTTCCAGGTTGTCACCGTGCCTTTTCCCGCAGTGATAATCTCAATGCCCACTATACGAAGACTCACAGCAAGCGCGGTGGACGAAACCGCTACGTCGCCACTCTTGATGATACCAGCGCAGACTTCAACCCTGAATTCCGTGGTCAACTCACACCTGATGGCCGACCTATCTACGGATCCAAATTGGAGGATCCGATCATGGATTGTGGTGATATCAGCGTGGACGGTTGGGACGACTAAGCGGCCCACTCTGATTTACCTCGAAATTCTTATAATACAAAAAAAACGAAACCAAAAACCCCTCCACAAAGATACAGGCTCGCAGCGAAGCCAAGTACCCAGGCCCGAATATTGATACCCTTTGAATCGGCATGGACTGGCATAGACATATACCGGCCAGCCTGGCCGCGGCGTTGTACACGTCTCTCGGGCACGACTCGGAGACTGTTTTGTGATTATTTTCTTCCTTTTGCATAATTTGTCCGGTGTGGGCTTGGAGTGGATCTTTAGGCGTTTGCATATTACTCTGTTTGGGTCGCCGGTGCGCGCTAATTATGGGAGGACTTCGCGATCCTGTACAATGTGTTTTTCTTTTTCTTTCCCTTTGTTCTACGTGTATCACCAACAAAAACAATACTTACCTGGTATAATACAAAACACCAAACTTGAGATGTCATTATTGTTTAACTCCACTTCCCGCTCTTAGTTCGTCCCCACATCATAGAGACTCCACCATCCGAGCACTCCATTTCTCTTTCTCTTAAGGGAACCCTTGACTCACATCGCATTCGTGTTCCAGACGTGGGTTGAGCCAAACAAGTTATCAACCATCTTGGCACTTTCACATCGAACCACCATTGAATCTTGTTCAGCCCTGTTCCACGGTTCCTGAATCCTCGAAAGCCTTGAATGTTACACATCACAATGGTCCCACCTAACCCAATATGTTGAGAATCCTTAGTGCCTGGATCTCTCCAACCGATCTATCGGTTTCCCACTGTGGAGTCAGTGATTAGACCGCTCGCACAATGTGAGATTCGAGTCCATGACCGCCCATTCCCACTACGTACCTCTTTTCCCTCCACATTCCAGTCCAACGGGCTGGCTTCCTATTCGTGAACCCCCCGTTGCAGCCCCGCTCGTGCCATCATCAATATCATCGAAAGGGTGTTTCTTGACCTCGTTGCTCGCTTGTCGTGCCTGAACACGTACACACACTGTGAATGATACCCCCAATGGAGCTGTGGACCTAAACCCCCATATCCAAGCACCAAGTGGAGAATGGAACCAAATCAAACCAAACCAGACCCAAAACCGGGTACATGTATGTTGAATGATCATCTTTGTGGCTAAACATGTGGAGCCACATAACCCGCGAAACCAACATCGTCCCCCTCCAAATGAGGAACCATGCATCCGCCAAGAATTCGGGAACGCCGCTCGGACGACACTTTCCAAGAGCCGCGCATGTTAGCCCGCAGGCTGTGGTTGTCTCCATATCGGGCGAGTTGCGTTCATTCCCAGGCTCTCGGGCGCGAGGCTTGGACCCTAGGAAAACAATTCTTTGCCCCTAATGATCTGGGACAGCGGTCGCGACTTGACTGTTTTTTGACTTTACAGGGAAAATCCCTCCTCCCCGGTTGGTTTCGAATCGATGTTTAGCTTTTTATTTTTATTTTTTCTATTTTCTATTTTTTTCATGGCTTCTATGGTTCTCTATGCATGTGAGCCGCTGTGACTTGAAACCCTGGATTTAGAAATTTGTCTCCATTTCTGGCCACGCCACGCCATACCGTGAGTAGGTGTGGTTCGTTGTAGTCAAAGGTTCATTGGTTAAGTTCACTGTCTAGGCTCCAACGCTAGACTCCAGGCTTCTGGTCTCCTATTCCAAATCAAAGATCTACATTCGAACGTCGACTTGAAACAACGTTGATCTACGGGATTTTCATCCTACGTTACACCGCACCAAGCATCTTTGTACTTCTCAACTTATACTTCCGATCCGAGTATGGTACTTTTTTCCGGATGAACCATTAACTTTCCTTCTCAGATTTCCTCTCGGAACATTGACCCGGCGGCACTATTGATGTTTTCTTTTTTTCTTGCTGGCGCCGGTCCTGACCCCATTTGTCATTAACCGCTACGGATCGCGTACATCAGGTTCCCCGTAAAGGAAATTATCATGTAATGAGATGATTTGCTAAGTATATCATTCCTGCAAAGGTACCATCTCCTATGCTATGCAATACTTCCCCAAGTCTAGGCTCGACGCAGATGGGATGCACATCGTCCCGAGTAGCTCGTCTCAACATTCTTGAAAAAAGACCCGGGTTTACTGCCGCGTGCTGCTGCGTTGGAATGTCTGTGCGCTTACAGAGGCTTGCCAACGTGTCATTGTCGGTCTGTATACTTCTGCTCCCAGGATCTGTTTGGCAAATCAATTTATTTCACTATCTATTTCTGGAATTCGGCATATTATCCGATCTGGAAATTCGGCTTCGTCTCGCTTGCAAAAATTGAATGACGAATTCTCTCGCATTTGCTCCATCTGTACGTTGGACGACATGCATTGGAATGTGATATTCAAGTTTTCAGCCTAAATGACTATTTTCTATTCCCAGTTTATGGTTCATGGGATATGTACTCTGCAAAGGACTATTTAGGGAAACGCCATGGGGGTTGCTTACGATAATCATTTTAAATCACTTAGATGCGTTTTTCGAATATTCGGGCTATTTGCTATTATCCCTCGCTTGAGGTATGGGCTTTGCACTGGAGCATAGTAGCATCTGTCTGCAGAACCCCATAGTCCTTGAACAACCTGAGAACGAGGAAGCTTTTGGAATCTTTGGGCTGTGGGACTCGATTCGTATGTTTAGTCGGTGAGTCCCGATTCCGCTTCAGCGGTGAAAAGGCGTGGTCACTCCACATGTGGCAAAGCATTAAACATGCAAGTGTCCCCTTTGATCCTTTTGCATATTTATACCAAGTCTTGAAAAACTTGTGTTTACCTTTATACTGTGATGTCTGAACCAACTTCATTATTCATGAACTTGGTAATAGGGAATACAAGGTACAATGCTAGGTTGTTATAGGCAAACGTAGATTTGGTTCCATTTCACACAACCGCTTCCTAATTCCGCTGTTCCGGTCAACTCTGAAGTGCTCGTCATGGATAATTCAACCTTGTTCTCAATTTCATCGGAATCAGTGATCTAATGAGTCCATTAGATTCATACCACCTCTCCCTCGTCCCTAGCACTTTGAGAACCCCGATATTCTTGCTGAAATCCCCCTTGAGCTATTGCTCAAGATTGCCGAGTACCTTTCTCGGGACGACGTGACTTGTATCTCACTATGCAATCATCGAATCTTTGCCATGTTTCTATATCGAAATGATGCCGTGTTCACATCAGGAGGTAAAGACAAACTCGAGCACAAACTCGCCGTTATCAACCGCCTGCAACGAGATCTACCTCATTACTTCCTGTGCTCTATTTGCAAACATCTTCATAAGCATGACGGCTCCGAGAATCTCGGTCTCAGAGTATCTAGCGCGCCGTTCAAGCCAGAATGTTCTCTTGAATGCGCCTGGCGATGGAAGAAATACTTTCCATTGACGTCGGAAATTCAGACTGCATCTCCAGACTTCAAAATTTTGTATAACGTTTTACTTTCACCTTCAACTTGCTTTGAGGAGACACCACTATGGCCCGGAATTTGGCATTAGTACGGAAGTCATATCCTTCACGCAAGTCCAATCTCATCCTACACGAAAAACTGGCACGCTTTTTTCAATTGACGCGCAGATCTGTAGCGAGCCGGCGAGTCTTTGCCTTCGGATACAGCATATAATGTATATTAAGGGTCATCAGCCAGCTGTAGTCTCTTCTTTAGCAAGTAGCAGACTTCCAACAAGAATATGGTTTTGTGAGCATGCTTCAAGCTATAAGTTTAACTGCATATGTAGCGAACTTCTGGTGGCTTCTAGTGAAGGGAAGAGAGATCCCTCTTCCGATCATACATGTCGCCATTGCAGAACAGAATTCCCCATTGGAACTTACAAATACAAAGGCCATCTGGCCCTGGTGATTACAAAGTGTATTAACCTAGGGGCTGGTTAAACCCCAGACGATCCCCATTGAAGGATCCATAGCTCAGCGCCATTGGAGGCCGACAGCAAGGTGGAAGGCAATGCTCGAGTCTTTTTGGAACATGCATCGCCCCTATCCTTGGAAAGCCTCGCGATCTCGCAATCTGTCGTACCTAAAGAAAGAGCGATACGAAAAGGTGATGCGCCAAAGTTTCCGACCTAAGAATATCTGGTTTATTCCAAGTAACATCCCGGTCCCCTCAGAAAGCCACCGATTGACCTTGTGAAGGACATGGCGTCGAAGCTTTTACTTCCGACTCGGGGGATTCCCGGTGCGAGGTTAAGCGTCTGAGATATACGGTAATACCTATTGCTCAAACCTGGACTCTTACTATGATAATTTGAAGTGATAGCGTGCATTTTGATCAAATCCCACTATTTCCAGTCCCACCCAGAACCCTGCCCCGTTGAAATAAACTCCTATACAAAATGGTATCAAATCTGAATCTGAATCTGAATCGTTCGCTCCGGCCGAAATAAAACCCGTATCCATAGTACACTGGCAAGGCAGAATATGAAAAAAATGAAATAGAACTAGAAGAAATCGTCAACGACGGAAAAATGGGGGAGAAAACCATGGCAGAAATATTGAAACGCCGACCTCTTGATATCCGCGGTGCCTGGATCCTGTACATTCTCCTGAAAAGGGAAGCAAACCATAGAGAAAAAATAAAAAGGAAAAAGGAAAAAAAGCAATGGAAACTGAACGTAACGCAAAATTTGGGGGCATCAAAATTAATGCGTGGGTAGTTTTGTGGGGCCTAGCCGTAAATTTCATAGACATTTCAACTCGATCAGGAGAGAACTAGATATCTGCCCCTATCGCAGATTTGGTCGTTGCACTGGGATCAATTGCCCATTCCATTGTGCATCATGTTTTGCTGTTGCATTTGTTGAGCTTGCATGGCCGCAGCTTGCTGTGTGGCTCGTTGCTGCTGAGCAGCTTCACGCTCACGCCGCATGAGGTCCTGCACCCATGCCTTGGCATTCTTCTCCAACCCAGCACCATATTGCTGCGCGATTTGAGGTGGATACTGCGTCGGGGGGCCGTATTGTTGCATGTATCGCTGGGACATCTCATTGCGCAATTGAAAAAGCCGCTGCTGACAGAGACGACTGTAACGTGCCGCCATATTGCTCTGGATATTTGGCATCTGGCCACCATTGGCTTGAGCGGCAGCCAACATCAACTGTTGTTGTTGTTGCTGCTGCTGCTGCTGCTGCTGAGGTGTCATGCCCTGTGCCATTCCTTGTTGGGGACTGCCATGACCCTGTTGGCCTTGGGGCATTCCGCCCTGCTGTTTGACCATTTGCATCTGCTGGAATTGAGCCCGCATGAGCTGTGCTTGGTAAGCAGCTTGGTGACCCTGCTGAGGAATGTTCTGCATGTTCGGATGATTTTGCTGCTGCTGCTGCTGCTGCTGTTGTTGTTGTTGTTGCTGCTGCTGCTGTTGCTGCTGCTGCTGTTGCTTTTGGGCTTGCAATATTTGCTGCTGCTGGTGCGACTGGATGTTCTGCTGTGCATGGACGCTGGCCTGCATTTGAGCAATCTGCTGCGGTGTGAATTGATTTGATCCCATGTGTCCCTGGGCCTGTTGCTGAGCGAGAAGCTGCTGCTGTCGTTGCTGTATCATCATTTGTTGTTGTGGAGTAAGTCCTTGGGGATTGAGACCCATTCCATTCATTTGTGGAGTGCCGGACATGGTCTGGCCCATCATCGGTGTCTGTGCTATTGTTGAGTGGTTTGGACTGCCATGACCCATTCGCTGAGTTGGAGTAACGTTGCGCATGATCGGGGTGGCTTGTGACATCGCTGGCGTTCCTTGTGTGATCTGGGGAGTCCCGTGTCGACTTGGGCCTTGCTGACTTCTGGTTGGTGCCATTGCGTGGCTCATCATGTTCGAGTGCGTATGCTGCATAGAAGACGGGGGTCGCGGTGGACTTCCTGACTGCTGAGATGCACTGATGCTCATCGGAACGGCCTGTGTTGTCATAATGTTACCAACTAATGGTGATGAGGTGCTGTGTGGAGTTTGATTGCGTACGACGGGAGAGGACTGCTGCCCTTGACTGACACCATTGGCCTGCATAACATGTCGGTTCTGTTGGGCGGCAATCTGTGCTTGTGCCTGCTGTGCTGCAATTTGCTGCCGGCGTGCTTCGTCTTTCGCGTGCTCCTCAGCTTGTCGCTGCTCAATTGCTCGGCGTCGTTCCCTCTCCTGCTCTTGCTGTTGTCTCTTGGCTAGTTCCGACTTCATCTTCACCTCGTGTTCATGCTTAGCCTTCTCCTCAAGTTGCATCCGTATGGTCTCCAGGGTCTTGAAGCGAGAGAAGCGGGGTTCAAATGCTAAAACGCCAACTGTGTCGTCAGCCGCCGCGGCCTTTGCGCCACCTGCAGCACCGGATGCCGTGGGCTCGAGACGCTCGTCCATGATGAGCATGAATCTCTCTTCTTCCGCCGCGAGAGCCTCATCTGCGGCAAGTTCGGCAATAGTCCTCTTGCGTCGCTTGGGTGATGGTGGTGGATCGCTGTGAAGCGGGCTTTCCATGAACTTCAGCAATTGCTGCGCAGCATCAAAATTCTTGACTGGTTCTAGATAGAGAGGAGGTGCCAATGCCTTCACAATAAGTGCTTCGCATTCAGGGAGATCTTGCGGCTCAACGAGGGTCTTTTGTCTCTTTGCTGGCTGACCACGATCAGCCTGGGGGCCTGCAGTTGCTGGTGACTGAGGTACTACTGATGAAGACTGGGTACGAGACAATTGGCCAGCATTGGATGCTTTTAAAGCTTTGGGATCCGGTGTTGTAACGAGCAGAGTCAATTCCGCCTGCAATGCACGAGCAGTAGGGTGAAGAACGGTAGTGAATACTCGGGGTTTGGAAGGGGCAGTCTTGTTGTCAGAGTCGTTTCCCTGTCCCTGGGCGTTGGCAATCTCGCCATTAAGCTCTTTGTCTGGCTGGTTTTGGTCAGCAATGGGCGTTTCGGTCGCTTTTGAGCTTTGCACATCGGTGAGCTGGTTCAGTTTCGGATACGGAACATAAGCCGATGGTGTTATATGCTCGTTGTAGTTGTGCAAGGAGAATGGGGTGTTGTTCTCGGTGGGTGCGGTCGTAGAGGTCTTTCTGGTTTGCGCCGACACGAATTTGTGGTCGACCACTCGAACAATGAGACAACCTAAAGAACATAATCAGAACGGGCTCTCTAAGTCACCAAACAGCCGAGACTTACCTTCGTAGAATCGCACATTTGCACGGAGAAGCTCTTCAATCAAATCATGGGGAATGGTCCCGGCGCGAATGTGCTCAATAATGATCTTCATCTCTGAATTGTAGGGAAAACTTCCATCTTGCTGTTCGAATCGGAAGTGTGTAGGGTGGAGATGCACGATAAGAGATGGAGGACATTTGCGGTATTTCTTGAGAATGTACGGCGTTGTTTTGACTAAAGGGCAACCGAAGTCAGGGTCAGTAATCATACATCCTGTGCAGCCATTGGATGATGAAATCCAAGCCGGGGCTTACCATATGGCTCGGGACACCTTTTGGAAACCCGATTTTCATTCCCGCCTGCAGCTGTCCTTGTCACCGGTCGACCCATGCGCGACTGCTCCCCAGGTTTTTGCGACGGGAGGGCTCGTGCCCGGTTCAGGGGGCCTTTTGAGGGATTCGCCATGTTGACTGCTCTGTTCGCGAGATTGGGACTTGAGCCAGTAGATGTGTTACCAGGAAGACGTTTGTTGGTGGTGGGTGGAGAAGATGAAGGTGGTTGAGGCTTGACCCCATTAACCCCAGGTTGAGAGAAAGGCGGGGGCGGTCGCTTCATTTTCGGGGTATGGGAGGTTGGTTTGGATATGGCAGTGGCCATGTTGGTGGTGCTCTTGGGCGCGACCACAATAAATGAAGCTAAAAATGTGACTTATCGGGAAACCGAATCGACGTTGGGGTATGAAAGCCGGTGACCGAGAAAGAATGGGATGACCGATGCGCGCGAGACATGTGGGGATCGGTCGGTCGGCCCTGGTCACCAACACGGCGAATTTGAATTAACGATAATTCCGGCAGTCCGTGAGGGCTAGGCGTAGAGAGTGGAGGCGGCCATCGAACGATGTCGCTGCGAGGGGGAAGGGTCCGAGGAGGCTCTGAGGGCGGAAGTCGTGCAGAGGAGGTGATGATGCCAAGCCGCGGGCGAGACGTGACGATGTCATGTGATGTGCGCTTTAGGACTAGTGCGATCTTTGTTCTCTCAGTAGCACAGAGCTGATGACCTCAGGCATAAATGTTTAGTTGCTTGAATAGGGATCTATAAGGTTATTTACTAGTGAGAGCAAAGCCAATTATGATAGTGATCAAGGTAATGTATTGGTACCGTCCCAGCCGTCCTGGATAGAGCAGATCGAAGTTTCTGCCGGCATGAATTATAACAAAGCTCGCAAGCAAGTAAGAAATAGACAAGGGGAATCGAAAGCACAATCATCAGGGGGTAGTGAATCAAAGCAAATATGGACATGGTAAAAAATATCAACATCAACATCATTGGACGGCGGCAGGGTATTGGGCCTCGCTTAGTCCAGACCACGCACTCGGCGTCGCCAGTCATCTCCAACACGAAGGACATCGACCACGTCAATTCGCTTGCCAATGCCGGTGGTGCCTTCTTTTTGCCACCACTTCTCTCCCTTATCAGCAAGAGCAGACTCGTCATCGCTATCGATTAAGCCACCACGGCCGCCCTCGTCGCCAACCACGATAATGACTTGCCGGACCCAACCAGAGATGTGCTGCACCGCGTCGCCCTCTTCTCCAGTTAATGATTCCTGTGCATAAACAAGATCCGGAGATAAATGGCGGACAAGATGAACGTAGCCAGTGGATGTACTAAATGGCATGATCATGCTTTCCTTCTCGACGAGTGCCTGGGCCTGAGTGTACAGGGTTCGGAAGAAGGGTGTCTGGCCTTCGAGATCATCCTCCTGGTGGGGATCTACACGGGTCAAGTCACCGCCGACCAGTTCACCAGAAGATGCAGCTTCTTCAGTGGCAATGTTTGAGTAGGATGAGGCAATTGACTGTGTTGCGCGCGATGAGTTGCCCTGACCAATGGCATGCTTCAAGCTCGGGGCATATATCAGGACAAAGATTCGACATGTGTCAAGGTCTACGTGTTCAGGGAGATGAGAAAGAATTGACTACATGCGCATGGGTTAGTGAATCAAGCGTTCTAGTAGGTCGAGGGCGGGTCTCTTACGGCATGCTCCGAGGCAAAGTCATCGGTATCTGAGGGAGTAAGAGAGGATACAACGATCACAACCGTCTTCTTCTTCTTGTCGAGTGAACGTTGGCCGATACTGCGTCCTGGCAGCGCGCCACTCATTGAGGGCACCGAAGTGGTTTGTTCGCCTCTTTCCTTAGCTCGGGACTGGGCCTCTTCGGACCATCTCGTGTGGTCTTCGAAGTCACCCCGGTTTTCTTCACGAATAGATGTGAGGGCACCGCCCACAAATTGGCCTGCGGCAGTCACTCCCGCGACAACTTTGCGACTTGCGCCATCGAAGATCTGTTGGGGGCTGGGGGTTCGGCGCAACGCGCCCTGCATGCGAGCCATCAAGCTGGGGTCGTATTGAGCATCACCAGGCGCAGCATCTGTCCCGATATCTCTTGCATAGCTTCCTGCGCCGTATGCAGGCGGAGGAAAGTCACCGGCAACGGCACCAGGGGGTGGCGGGGGGTGGTGGCCTTCTGCGTCGTCAGGGAGATCATCGTCATCGTCGTGTCGTTCACTCCAGACCCAGGCAGCAATGCTCACGGCGGCAACTCCTACAGTCAGGGCCAATGGGATGTAGTACCCCAAAGCAGTTCGTCGGCCAGTTGAGCTGAAACCGGCGCCAGCTCCGCCGCGACGGCCTCGGCCATCCTGGGGGAAAGACATTGCGATCGCGGGGGTTGTTGTTCAGAGAAAGCGCATTTAGAGAAACAATCGGTGTCGCGAGGCCCACAATTCACATTTCACTCATGCAGGAGAGATGGGAAGGCTGGCGGAGAAGATAAGAGGAAGAGGAAGGGAGATGGGGGAGGGACCTCGACCCTCGGGGCACGGAAACATGTGGCTGGTGAATCTAGCAACCGCGGTGTTTATGCTCCGTTTGCACTGTTTGACCCGACTAAATCTGGAGGCGGGTCAGTGCTGACTCATCCATTGCTATCGGCACGTGATCCTGTTCGATTCGGAAAAAAGCAGTCAAAGCGGGCGAGTCATACAATCGCAACACGGCCCTATAGCTTTCGCAGCACGGTACAAAGGCGAGGTCAATTCTAGGAGTTCGGAGCCAACTCCATCGAGCCTATCAAAAGCTGATTCATGCTCCTTAAATAACTTTCCTCCCTCATCTGCTTAACAACCCCTCCGACTTCGTTTGTCTGCCCCGCGGGGGTTATATGGACTTAATTAAGATGCCACACCCTATCCCTGTACCCCCGAGTGGGTTCCAGGCTCTCATTTTGTGTGGCCCTGGTGCTTCGCTGAACACATTCACCACCAACCCTGAGGAGCATCCGAAATGCCTTATTCCTGTAGGGAACAGAGTTATGCTCTATTTCCCAATGACCTACGCGCTGCGGGCAGGAATCACAGGTATGTCGCCATAGTCGGATAATGTTTTTATGATATGTGAAAGATATGTTCTAACTGGATCTAGATATCACATTGATCACACCTCCCTCCTCTCTCGCTCCTATCCAAGCCGCTTTGCAACAAAATCCTCATCTCACAGCCCTTCCGTCCCCCCGCGTGATCGCGCCGAAGGGCCTCGATATGACAATGGGCACAGCTGAGCTTCTCCGTCTACCCGAAGTGCAGGCCTGTATCAAAACTGATTTTGTTCTTTTGCCCTGTGATCTGATTTGCGATATCCCTGGTGAATCGCTAATTGAGGCGTGGATGGTATCTCAAGGTGCTCTCGGTGGCAGCACATTGACAGAAGGTAAAAACGCCCACGGTCCAGTCTCATCGGGCCCGGGTGGAGAGAGGGGCGGTCGAAGAGGTGGTCTCAGTGTTTTCTATCAGACACAAGGCCGAGAGGAGAGTGTCAAGGGTGAATCCACAGATTTCGTAGCCGTGGCACCTCTGGATCAGGATAAAAATGAACGGCCGGCTGTATCGCACCTGGTTGATGGGCCGGAAGCTGTGCGGTCTAATTTGTCGAAATTGGTCCTCGCGATGCCGATGGACACCCTCAAGGAGAAGATGGAGCAGGACAAAGGCTTCCTCATTCGCCATTCTCTTGTTGAACAGCACCCGCAGGTGAAGATGCTCACTACCTACCGCGATGCCCATCTTTACATTTTCCCGTACTGGGTGAAGGATTTTGCTCGCCAAGAAAAGCTGGAATCCATTAGCGAGGACCTCCTGGGTTACTGGGCTAAGGCTGGATGGCAGAAAGGACTTGCCGATAAGCTTGGAATGAAGGAGATCTTCCAGCAAGAGAGCCATACAGAGGATGAGAGCGGAAGCCAAGACGGTGAATCCCTGGAGGACGAAATTGATCTTCAAAGCATGAGCACCACCAAGGTTGGCTCAAACTTCGATGATTCCCAATCCCCCATGTTTGCATCCCGTGTCAAGGCCTCTCCTGAACCGTCCAAGCCCACTGAAGCGCCGCCCATCCTTGCTTATGTGCAGCGAGGATCGGCACCCTTTGTCCGTCGGGTTGACAGCACCTCCATCCTCCTATCTACATCTCTCCGCCTAGCTAAGCTGGAATCCATCGAGGAGGCTGGTCGTCAGGCATCGCATTTTGCCCACAACCAGAAGATTGCGCACCCTGACGGTGTGGCTCAACGGTCTACTGTCACGAAGAGCGACTGTCTTCTCGCAGAAAACGTCACAGTGGAAGAAAAGTGTGTCATCAAGGAGTCAGTGATCGGAGCCAACTGTCACATTTCGACAGGCGCACGATTGACTCGCTGCCTTCTCATGGATGGCGCGGTGGTTGGCCCTCGTGCTGTTCTCACTGGCTGTGTAATTGGAAAGCGAGCGAAGATTGGCCGCGAGGCCCAGCTCAAGGATTGTGAAGTCCAGGATGGCAATGTCGTTGAGGACGAAGCCGACGCTAAGAATGAGAAGTTCATGGTTTTCGAAGGTATAGACGAGGATGGGGACATGGAGGACTTTGACGACGAAGATGAGTTCTGATATTCCGCATAATCGGACCAACGCCAATCTGTTCCTTATACCATTACGTCTTGACGAGATAGAAATGATGTCCCCAAAAGTACCCAATGACCAACCAAAAATATACGGCTCCCGTACTTAGCTACGTCAAGTTCGATCCCGGTGCCGCTCTGGAGGCAAGCACGAAGAAGCTGTTAATCCATCGGGCATCAACGATGACCTCAGCCCTGCAGCCTCATAGTCGCAATTTGAATTCCCTCTTAGACAGCCAGGATCTCGCCGATGAGCGCACAACCTATCCCCAGATCCTGCAGTCTACATAATTCCCAACGAGCCCAGGTTTAGTCCTCGCCGAACGTGCGCGTGTTGTACCTGTACTTCGAAGCGTCCCCAGTGTTACCTATCTGCAATGTAATCGAGTTGTTGTGAGACCTGACAATCGATGTACCATGTGATTCCCGGAATTTTGGGGAAGTACAGGTCTTCGTTGTTGAGGCACTGGATCTGTGATTAGCCTAGGTACATGCTGGTTTCCGGCAGTGTGGGCTCGCTTCTTATTCAATGAGGCTGAACAAAGGTGTCAGGGCTATCGTAGTACGCAGCTCTGCCTTGGTAGTTTTTGTGTGTTGGCTGATTTAGGTCAAGCTGGAGATATGGAAACTGGATTGTTGTTGTCAGCTGAGACTGCCAGACACGTCGAATTTTGACTGTAGTGCTTAGACTAGTCTAGTCGTGTCTGGTTCCTGTTGTGCCACTTTTGTGTTGGCAGCATCATACACTTCGGTTCCTTACAAAAATACAATTTCCCAAGTTACTGCCCAGGTGTGTCATGTATCCTTGTTTTGTATTCGCTGGACCTCAAAAGCATAGATAGTCAAGCTGCAGGACTTTCTGCTTGTTTGATAAGGTAGGACGGGTTGGAATAGGAATTTCGTCGGATCGACTCGAGACTAGTAGCTCCCCCTCTGCCTACACGCAGGACGCGGAAAGAACGACTTATTGATCATACTATGGGCCATCCTTAGTTCACGGAGGAATTGCTGCGTCTGTCCTGACGGCACGATGAAGGTGGAGTATATTGCATTTGAAGGCCCGTTAGGTGGGTCAAAGAGTATCGATCGTATGATATAAAACTTGGAACCGGCCGAATGAGCCTGAGATTAAATGAGCTGGTCATCGATATACGACAATACGATATGTTAAGAGAGCAAAACGGAGCCCGAGAAAGTCAATTGCTTGTTACTGATCTAGTTTCCCCTTTGTATGAGATCTATGCAATGAAACAGGCTGTAGATCAGGGGTATCAATTACAGGGGTATAATGTTTCTCGTGAAGGCTCCGATTGGACCAAGCGGAGATAAACAAGAAACCCGAACATCCTTCATAAAAGCTTCAAACCGTTCACGTGCCGGCATATCCACACTGCAAATTTGAGGATTCAGATCCAAGATGTTGCAAGGTCAGAAACAAATGGCTGTCGATCAAATCAGAGGGTTCGATGGAAATTAATTAGGGTGGAGTTGCGACACGGACAAAGTGCACGGTCCTGGGTCCGCGACCGGAGCTTGAGGCGCACAACGGCGCCATGATCATCCTTGACCTCCACATTTGTGCTTCCCCGGATGTAAGTCGACTAGGTTTTCTGTCAAGGAACTTGTACTTTTGTTTCCGTGTTCAGCTGGAACATGTGAGATCTTTTCAATGTCGTCGAGTCCCGAGGTCTGCGACGGGGGTCCAACATAGCGATCGCAAGAGCCAGCCTGGAGTCAATTGTTGCGAGCCATAAAAGGAAGAAATACCATGTGCTCCGTAGTTCGTTATGGCTGGCTGGACTATGCTAGGTAACTTCGGGAACGGAAAGCTGATCCAACCAAGCTGACCGGCTTAATCAATTAGGACGCCATCGCCTTCACTTACCTCATGGGAAGACCAATCATCGTCGAATTGACGTGCAAGACGGGGACCGCTAGCACTGCAAGACGTTAATTCTAGCGAAGGCGCCATTGCTTTCATGATTCACGCTGTAGGCGCCCCTCTTGAATTCTACCTGCAGAGAGATATGTAGGTCCCGGGCAGAGCGTAAAAGCGGTGCCAGACCGGATGGAGTAGGAGCTAATGCAGGTAAATTAGACCAGCAGAGGGGAAGATTTTTTAAAAACGAGCCAGTAAGAATGGAGGATCGATGGGCCCCGTGGGCCTGCATTCTCCTTGCGCGGCAGAGAAGCCGGATTTCTCATGGTGAGGCCGGTTCAGGGTTGGTGCATGGGCAATGTCGATCACGCGGGAAGAAAAGTGCATTGGAATGCGGATCAACGTGGTTTGTAGGTGGAGACGAAATTATAAAGAGGGGGAGATTGAGATAAGGATCAAAAGTTCCAAGGTTTTCGTATATGGGGATTGAGTGGTCCGTGTTCTCGCTTCGAAGCTTCTGGAGATAAGGGTTACATTGATTTTCTCCTGTATCGCATACTGTTTTCTTTTATGAGTCTTGCATGAGACCTGCATCCGCAGATAACGTCATGGTGCACTAGTTGGCTCCGTAGAAGCGTATAGATAGCGATTCGCTAGAAAACAAACACCCTCTAAACTTCCTACGAACCGCCACGTTCTGACCCCCTCGCACAGGCAAATGACTTCAGCCTCATCCGCAATGCAATGTCAGCAGATCGATGATTAGTCCTGATCGGAACTGCTGTTCTTCCCGTTTCCCTCAATTCCCATTCCCACACCGGGTGGGGGAAAAGTTGCAGGCTGTGACAACCCACCGGGAGGATCCATGGAACCAGCTCGCAGGAATCCCCGAATTTGCGGGTATCCGCTAAGCTGTCGAGGGGAACCATTACCATGGATGGGAGCAATGATGGAACTGTCCTAGTTTTTTTTTTGTTTCCCGTAAGATTCCTACGATAACGAGCTCTGATTCGGTAAAATCAGATTATATGAATTCTATCGCACGTGCGGTGGTACACGGAACGCAATGTCTCGCCGAGCGCGTGTGGATTCGCTGGGGAACCAGACCCCCGTTCGAGGGATAGCGTTGCACTTAGAGCACCCGTAGTGCACTGTTCAACACTTGGACCATTTTGGGGGGCGTTTGTCGGATTTTAGGGAATTTCTAAATAAACATGCCCATATAGGAAGGTATTGAACTACTCTAGGTACATTTCATAAAACCTCTATCAGGTACGCATTATCCAGTGGAACTTTTCTGACATGCAGAGCTAAAATGTTCTATGGAGTTAGGGGGCCAATGCTCAAGCCTATTGGTTCCGAATCACTGCCCCCCCCTTTAAAAAGGAGATAGAATCATCTTGACATTCGGTTGGAATTAATTATTCATAATTATGATCAGATTCTAATTCGTATTCTATTTTACTTTAGGTGATTCGTAAGAAAAAAAGAGAGAAAAAAAAAAAGGTAGATTGTTCCATAGTGAAAAAAAAGCCCCTCCTATTTTCCTTCTCCCTAATCTTTCTCCGCTTCCAACTCCCCCCTTCCCCTTCTTCTCTCCCCTTCAACCTTCTCATCCTTCATCCTCCAGGCGAACGGCACATTCTTTGTCCTCTTGACAAGGTGCCATTCTAGCAGGTCCTGGTGTTTCTTTTCTTTTTCTTTTGGGGTTCATTTCGTTTTTTTTCTCCGCCTTTCCCTTCTTGTACATGTCCTAGAATCCCCAACTCCGGGAACCTTCAGACCACCTTTCGTTTTCCTTAAAAAACTCGCCTGGTTTCGAGTTGCTGCATTCTGTTGGCATTCAGCGTCTTTCTTTTTGCTGCACTTCCCTCTCTTAATCGTTGTACCACTATAGTTTATGCCCACGTTACTTAGAACAGGTATGGTTCCCCCTGGCTGACGCGTTGCTCATCGATCCACCCCCAACACCCATTGAAAAAAAAAGCCTTCCAAAACAACGACTTTCCCTTCTATCCCCTTTTCTATTCTCATTGGTGTTTCCTTCAATACAATCGTGACGGAACCCTTGCTACGAGAACAGTGGGAAATTCTACCAAAAATACACAACATGCTCCTGAATGGGCCCGGACTAACATCTCCCGGGTAGCACTCCGTTTTGTTCATCATCTGTCTTGACACGAACGCCATCTCGCCTATTTCCCTTTGAGCGATCCGATACGTGAGTTGCCTTGTCGAGGTTCCGATCGACCCGGACACTCGTGTTTGCAACATTTCGACGCCCTGGCCGAGAGAAACAATATGGCTGCGTTGGTTCAAACCATCCCCCAACAGACTGGCACCGTTCCTGTGCTTCAGACGCGTCCTTCTTCCTCCTCGGGCACCTTTGCCTCGTCCTCCAACCAGCATCCTGCCAGGTTTCAGAACATGTCGTGGAGTGGGTTCAATGCCGGCAATTCGGGCAGCTATCGAGCAGGTCACCCGGTTGTGGCTCCTTACGCGTTTCCTCCAAACCCGACCCATGCCCCCAATGCTCAACAACATCGCCCGTCTTGGTCCCCCCATCTCCGTCCAGAGCACCGCACCTTCTCTGCCCCAACCATTCACGGCCCATCCCAAATGGCTCAGCCCGGGGCCACTTCCCGAGTCGCCAATCCTGCAGCTGGTTCTGTATCGACTTCTTCCAACTCTTCATTCAACTCTTATGTCTCCAAAGACGACAGTGCCATCCCCTCGCGCCAACCGAGACCGGATCAGCCTCTCCGTCCTTTGTCTACCGCCAACCTCCCTCCTCCCCCCGTTATGACCATCTCCTCTCCAAGTGGCTCCGTCAAGCCCTCCCCAAATCGGTACCGCCGTTCAAACCAACGCTCTCAATCTCCAGCGCCCGCACCGGCACCGGCACCGGCACCGGTATCCACATCAGCTTCAGCTTCAGCATCTGATGACCAAATAAACACAGCCTCCGTACCCCGACCGGTTCAACGATCCAACGGGCATAACCGCTATTCAAGTGTGGATGATTCGTCCCATGCGGAACGTCAACAGCTAGAACCTGCTAAGCGATACCGCCGGAGAAGCATGGGAACCATGGATCCAGGCTCATACCCAAACCTCCAACTGCAACTACCGATACCAACCTCCCCGCAGACTGGTCCTTATGACTTTATCGCCTTTGATACGAATCAACCACGACCGCAGTCGGCCCATTCACAGAAAGGCACTAGCTCGCACTCGGCACAGTCATCTGTTTCTTCTGTAGGTTCCTTGTCACGGCTTCTGAGATCAATTATAGCAATAACTAACGGGTTTGTTTAGACACGAGAAGGGGCTTCATCTGATTCCAACACCATTGCCAAGCCGGAAGAGAAGCGAGTGAGCAAGCCCTCCCCGCTTTCCCAACCAGCTTCGACATCAGCCAAATCTCCAGCGATCGAGTCCAGTTCCAAGGCTGCCCCTGCCGCTTCGTCTCCACCAACAGACTCCCCGGCGGCGAAGCGCCTCGCAGAGATCAAGAATGACCCCAAGCGTCCTGGAAAGTCTCGCCTGAGACGCGCTTTCTCTTTCGGTAGCGCATCCGAGCTTCTCAAGGCATCCTCTCAAACGAAGCGTGAAGCAATCGCTGCAGAAAAGGCGCGCCGAGAGGCCTTGCGAGAGGAGTTGGGTGATGAACAGGCCGCAATTGCCGAGCAGCAAGAAGCTATGGGACTAGGTGAGAGTATCTATACCCACCAGGGTGGTTTCTTTTCTGGGTCAACAGATGCGCTTTCAATTTCCTCGACTGCTTCATCAGCCTCCATGATGCTCCGCAAAATGGGCAAAGGTATGAAGAAGTCCACTCGGTCATTAGTGGGTCTATTCCGGCCCAAGTCCGTCGCGAGTATCAATTCGGTTGAAGGGGCTGCCGAGCCGATGTCCCTACCCCAGATCTCCGTCGTGAATGTGGAGGCGGAGCGTGAGATTGTGGTCAACCCCGACCCGATGGAAATGCCTAAGGGCGGCACCGTCTTTCCCAAGGTGGAGCCTGCTGGTTCTGACGTACGGCGGTCCACTTCTATTCGCGAACGGGAAAGAGTCGTCTCAGATTCTTCTCAGTCACGTAAGAGCATTGTTGGAGGCGACCGAGAACGGGCGGAGGTTTTGGCTGCCGTTCGAAAGGGTATCCTTAAGAAAACCCATTCCGACTATGGGGTATCTTCGCCCGCCAATGCACTGAACGGCAGTGACTCGCCGCATTCCAGTGCTCCGCCCACGCCGGACGAGTCATCTCGACCCAGCCCTCGCCCGACAGAGCAGGTCACCATTGCCGGCGAGGACTATTTTCTTTCTGGTGGGGGACGGTACACAAGTAGCGACGCGAAAAGCGCTCCTATGACTCCCCAGTCGGTCAGCGGCCGGAACATTGTATTCAGCCCTCGTATTCAGTTCCACGAGACCTGGCCTAGCGGCGAGTACGACCGTCGCGGAGAGATTGCGACCTGTAACCGCCTGACTCCCCTCCTGGCTCAGCAAATCCGAGAGGAGATCAATAACTTCAAAATGGTTCGTCAAATGTTCACTTCTACTACTTATCTACACATGCTAACGATCACACAGGAGATGGAGGTCCACGAAAACTCCAAGATCTACACACACTTCATTTGAAATTGGCCAGAAATTCATTTTGTGGCCTACCTCTTGGCTAGGCTTGCGTCCTTGTCCATAGATATGCATACACTTCGGCGACTGGGGGTTGTTTCTTTTCTTTCTCGTTTTAATTTCTTTCCGTGATACAGCGAAGCTCGACGGGCTCAAGACCTCCTGGTTTCTATAAACCTCGGGTCTTCGTCCCCTGCGATGCGGTCACTAATGCCGACTCTCGTCCCGGTCTCTTTTCCTCCTGCTGCCCTCGGTTTTGGAGGGCACATGTTTATCAAAACGGTGCGGCTCGTTTCAAATCTTGGTGATTCCCCTCGTGCCAACGCTTGGGCTGTTTTCCTGCGAATCCTGCCTGGGGCGTTGATCTAATGAATTTGCCCTTTGCCTGCATCGGGCGCGGCGGCCCCCGTTACTGGTCGATTTCTTTCTCATCTTCTGTCATTTCCGCATGCATTCGAATCATTGTCATTGAGTATTGGGAGCGTGGGCACTGGGCTGTTCTTTCATTCTGTTTTCTAGCACATCATTTTCCCATGGTCATCTCTGGACCGATATTTTTCATTATCATCCAGCTCGTCAAAATATCAATCGAGCTCCTGCATTTTTCGCCCATTTGGCATTTCAATTTGTCTCGGTTTTTTTGCGATTTGTTTGTCAGTAATGAGTGGGTGCTATGCATTCGCGCAGAATCTGTATTTATTATGAATGGACTTCTCCATGAAATGCTGGCTACCCCTGGAGGTACATACACGTAGATCTATGGTTATCTTGTCTGTGACACGGGTGTTCACCTACTCTTGGCTGAAAGACATTTGAGTTTATTAGCCAAATTGTACAGTATAAATTGGTAAGAGTCAACCGGTTACAAAGCTGTGACCTGCAGCTAGCACTTGCTCCCAATCAGCATAAGTGCTTGGCTGCATGGCCCAGTTGCCTTATCCACCTAATTTCGACCCTCAGTTTTCATCAAAAATATATTCGACTGCTTGATAATATTTGACAGTGCTAATTCCTGGTATGTACTTAGTGATCTAAGGTTTTGGTTCCAAGTTTCAACGATCCTGCACGTAAAGTATATCAAAATGCTCGATATGTTGTCTCTACCCTCACCAATACCAGTGGATCTACATCTAACCCCTCATCTGACCAACAATCGCTCCCTTCTCAAGCAGAATATCCATAATACTCCTGTACCCTTTCTCCGCAGCCCACGAAAAGGGTGTTCGTCCCTGACTATCGGCTAGATTGATATCCGCACCATTTTCAAGTAACAGATTGATGACCTTCCTATTGCCCTGAATCGCAGCCCAAGCAAGAGCCGTCTTTCCCGCAGCCCCTCGCAAATCAACCTGCACCCCCTTTTGCTTCAGCAGAATCTGCACGATAGTATCATTCCCATGTTGCGCAGCCCAAGACAACGCATGCCGGCTGCTCTTATCCGCATAGTTAGGATTTGCCCCATGCTCTAAAAGCAATACAACCACGAAAGTATGTCCCTCCATCGCCGCCCATGAGAGAGGTGTCTGACCCCGGAACCGATCCGCTACATCAACCGGCACGCCTCGTTCGAGAAACATTTTCACCACTTCTCCGTGTCCGTGCTCAGCAGCCCATGATAATGCAGTTCTTCCATCTTTCTCTGCAATCATAGGATCGGCACCTGCATCTAGCAGGATCCGACATACTTCCTTTCGTCCGCGCAGAGCTCCCCACATGAGTGGTGTCCGGCCTGTGTTTTCCTGACTTGGCTCTGTTCCTGCAACATCGAGGGAGTTGGGACTCGCGCCGTGCTGTAGAAGGATCTGGAGGACCTGGGGACGGCCGTATTCAGCTGCTTGGGATATGGGTGAGCGGCCCCACGAGTGGTCGCGGTAGTTTAGATCTGCGCCTTCACTGATTAGGCGGATTGCTTCTTCTTTGTTGCCGTCTCTGACGGCCGAGAGAAGAAGCGCACTTTGGCGAAGGCCGTTATAGTTGTAGGTGCTTGACTGAGGACTGTAGACAGGCTGTGGTGTATGCGGTGGCCGTGGAGGCCATCCTTGTGATTGGCCAGCTATGTAATGGGGGGCCGGCTGGGGCGAGTACTGTGGTTGAGGTGTGTATGGAGGGGCAGTTGAAGCTGGACCTGGAGGAGTGTAGGGTGGCTTGGTATTCGTGGGGATATGCATTATGTGGAGCTTTTCTTGGGTTTAGTTGATGTCTAATGTCTTGATGGGCGAGGCTGGGACTCTCGAAGATATTGGCCAAGGGGACAGCAAATATATAAGTATCAATTTCTGTCGATTGCTGAACAAGGCTGAGGGCAGTGCGATACACACCGCTGAATTGATTGGTGTATAAGGATCTCCACAGCGGGTGAATAGGAGGGGATTGGGGCCAAACCTTGGAAGGTGGAGGACATGGGGCGATGAGCCACGTCGAGAACAGAATAGAAATGCGTTCTATAAATAAACGGGCGGATACTTCATACTCAAGTTGGCAGTGATCTGGAATATATCAGCATTGAAGGTCTGGATGGATTTGCATTAGTCCCATGGATCCGGCACATACATCGAGCCCCACATGAAAAAAGAGCCGCAGCGGAAGCGGAGTATAAAGGTTAAACTACATCTACAAAGGGTCAAGTTCCAAGCGTTATCTTAATTAAGATGCTGAGCACACAACTTGATAGATATCAATCTTTTAAGGCGCTTCCAACGTTGGCATATTACGGGACTGACTTGTGAGCCCTAGTATCCGCATAAGGACAGCCTAATTCTGGTCTCTTGGAATTTTTGACGGTATGAGAAGTTCAAATACTTTTCACGTAAATTTAGTTTGGTATCATCGAAGCAAAGATCAAGAGGACCCAAGCCATTCAGCCTGTACAGCGCAAAGTGAGTTTTTAGTATGTTAATACTGTAGATGAAGAGTGAGCAAAGAACCAGGCTGGTTAGGATCATATGTATTAGTTGCGTAAGATTCATCATAGGCCACAACCCATGCTTATACCCCCAACGACCTCGCTACGCGCACTACGCCTGCGCAGTTGTCGACACCGAGTTGCTCCCCCAAGTCCGCCTTCGTGTATATGTTCAATTCTTTCAAAACTCCTTCATCCATGCCAATTGCGTAACACCGTAGACAAATGATATTGTTGAGGTGATCCGAGTAGGTGCCCTATGCAGTGACACCAGGGAAGCAGTCGGCCAAGCCCTTGCTGTGCTTGTTGGAGGCGTGCTCGAGGAGACTATCAAGATATTCGGATTAGTCACGGTCGGGCCCCAGCACGAAACAACAGGAGTGGAAATAACGCACGCAGGCGCCTTGGTGGTCTGAAGGAAAGTTTGCTTGCAGGTCTGGCATTGGATGCTCATGGCTTTCTCGTTCTGCAGTCATTCGAAGGTCAGCACGATGTACAACAAAGGGGGTAGAATGGTACTGTTTTCCAACATACAGTCTTCTTTTGAGACTTAGGATCAGCCTTTCCCGCTTTCGCGTTGCGCTCGCGCTTCATGTTGGCCTTGGCACCCTGGAAGTAGATCATCAGTATCCCGCTGACAGGTGAAGAGGGGGTTTGCGGTATCCGCTCAGGCGGGGTTGGGGGCTTTCTTACGTTACCCATGATGGATAGATGTGGAGATTAAAGAAGAAAGAGAGAAATGAAAGATCGTAAGGAACGTAAATTGACGAGGGGGAGAAAAGAGGGTCAACGGGAGAAAAGGCGAAGAAAAACGCTAGAAAAATATGTTATCGTGGCGGAACCGCTAAACCGACTTATCGAGCCTATTGACAGCTCCACCAATCACGGTCCCGTGGCTCGAATTTCCCCAAATCGGGAAGGCTCCACCTTTGGGCTTCTTTATTCCCCCCGATCGATCGTTCCAATTTTTGAATCTCTTTAAACCTGCGAGCTTTGCGTCTATACACGAATACCAGATGTTATTTACGGTTCTCACCCATTCGTGGGACTCAGGACTCTGCGAAAATGGCACATCCGAGATCTCGCGCACGTCAGCAACCAGGTAGCTATGGGACGTTCAGGGAACGGGAGTTTTTTAGGTAAATACATCACGACTTGATTATGTTCGTTGAAAGCTGACCGGATGATATATAGATACATTCCTCCGTACCATCTACAATCACACCCTCTACCTCATGTCGACCGAGACACCCAGTCCACCGTTGCCACTCGATCTTCTTGGGACCCCGCTCTGACCTCCTTCGCTCAGCTGGGAACGCTACGCCTGAATGCTAAGCGAACATTGATCTCACTATTCGGGCGAAACGAACAGGTCGTGCTCGCTGAGGCCACCCAAACCTTGAACATCCAGGATGATGGTAGCCATAACGCTCGTCAGGGATTGTGGATTGGATGCTGCACAATGTCCTACGAGCGTAGTCTCTGTAAATTCATGCTGAAACACTCGCAAGCCATCGAAAATCAACCTCAACTGCTCGTTGTACCCGACATGACCCAGCATGAAGAGTTCAAGGACCATCTAGATGTGACGAATGACCCCCATATACGGTTCATGGCATGTAGCCCGATCATTAGCCCCAAAGGAATCGTGATTGGCGCTTATACAGTTTTGGATGACAAACCACACGACCCATTGGATGCCAATGCTATGAAGTTCCTGGTCGATATTGCCCACACGGTCATGGATCACTTGGACGCAACTCGATCTCGACATGAACATCGCCGAGGCGAACGCATGATAGTTGGATTGGGAAGTTTCCTGGAGGGTAAAGGCTCTTTGCGCAACTCTTGGATCAATGCGAACGAGAGCATTTTGACTCCTTCTCCAGGCGAAGATGTTGATTTGGAGGGCCATGTCAATCAAGAGCAACAGCAGAAGCAGATTTCCGAGTATGCAACCCCGAGCACGAAGTATAATGACGGTGAAGGTTTTAGAGAATTCCGCCCACAGAATTTCAATACAAACCAGACCGGGAAACCCCCAGCGCAAACACACGAAGAGCGGACATTGGCTAGTCCGGATCCAGGCACAAGAGACTATTTCCACGCTCGGCCCCGGAATCGACGTGCCTCCCATAGGACCACGGCACCAAATCACAGAGATTCCCTCAAGAAACCCCCGAGGGACAGCTATTCTTCCAAAGTACAAGAAACATTTTCCCGTGCAGCCAACATTGTTCGCGAGAGTATTGAGGTCGAGGCTGTTGTGTTCTTCGACGCTCATTTTGGCTCTCGGGACGCTTTGGTGAATGCGTCCAATTTTGATTCCGAGAGTGGTGGAAGTTGTATGGAAAGTAATTCTTCAAGCGAGGAGGAAGCCAAACGCCGGGGATTTCCCACAGAGCGAGATATCTCTAGCGACCCGCAACCTGAGAATTGTGGAACGTCTACCGTGAATCCATGCAAGATGCTCGGATTCGCAACGTCGGATGTTTCTAGTGTGAGCAAGGAGTATATGTTGGATAAAAAAGTTGCCATATCTGAGAATTTCCTTGGGCAGCTTTCCCGTCGATACCCTCGAGGTAAAATCTTTAATTTCAGCGAAGATGGAACCCTCTCATCCGATGACACCAGTGACGGAGACTCTCCGTGCAGTAGTGGCAAAAAGTTCAAGAAAACCCGGAGAGCGTACCTACGTCAGGATGCTGTGACGCTTTTGCAGCTCGCTCCCCGTGCCCGAAGCATTGCTTTCTCGCCGCTGTGGGACTCACACAAAGGGAGGTGGTATTCAGGCTGTCTGACATGGACTAGAGCCCCTCATCGTGTTTTGACCTCCGAGGACGAGCTAGCCTTCTTGTTCGCGATTGGGCACAGTGTCATGGCCGAAGTCCACCGACTCGGTGCACTGTTGACAGAGCGGGCAAAGTCAGATTTGCTAGCCGGAATCAGCCATGAACTTCGGTCGCCTCTTCATGGTATCTTTGGCACAATCGACATCCTAAACGATACCGTCATCGATGTCTTACAGCGTGGATTGGTGCATACAATATCATCTTGCGCCTTCACTCTACTTGGGTCCATAGACCAACTTCTCGAGTATGCCAGCATTAACGACGTTCGTCCGAGGCCTGCCAAATTCGAATCCCAAGATGCATCCAATGTTGGTGCTCCGCAGACTTCACAGATCGGAAAGGTTGATAAGGATTCTGTCGTTCAGCTGGATGCTGCCGTGGAAGATGCAATTGAAACGGTCTTTGCGGGGCACTCATTTTTCAAGACTCCGACTACCCATCTCTGGACTACTGCCCACGCCTCTAACCCTTTCGACTCCAAGGGCGGAGTCAAGATCATCCTTGATATCGACTGTGCTCAAAACCTCAAATTTGCAACCCGCCCTGGAGCATGGCATGTGATTTTGACAAATTTCTTCGGTAATGCCTTGAAATTTACCGATGAGGGTTTTATTTATGTTTCTCTCAAGGCCACTCCAGTCAAGTTCAACTCGATAGGCCAAGCCACGCAGTCAAGGGTCACACTGTGTATCAAAGATACTGGATGCGGCATGGAAGAAGAGTTCCTCCGGAACGAATTGTTCACTGCCTTTTCCAAAGAAGACAAATTGTCGCCTGGCAATGGCCTAGGAATCAACATCGTGAATCGGATCGTATCATCGCTAGGCGGTGAAATTGAAATCAGCTCTCAAAAAGGCGTCGGTACAGAGGTTGTGACAACAGTCCTCCTTGACCATGTTCCAGAGCGGATTTTCCACGGGAGCCTACATGATGCCTCATTTCCTTGGTCCGTAAGAGGTCTTGTTAAGCAGAAAATCATGGGTATCCTGCTTCACACGTCTTCCGATGGGGATGCAGCCTTGTTATCATCCATACATAAGCTGTGCCAGCACTGGTTCCAAATGAAAGTTGATCTAATTGAGCCATCGAACATGCAGCTCAGCCATTGTGACTTTTACATCTCCCTCCATCAGTCTTCGGCCACGGGTAAAAATGAGATCATGTCCGTTCGCCCCCGTTCGAACAAGCGATTACCTCCGCCCGTCATCATCATATGCTTGTCTCCCAGGATTGCGCATACCTTGGCATCCCAGGATCAAAGGGAACCGGGGGGTTTTTGAGTATATTAGCCAGCCGTGTGGCCCATACAAATTAGCAAAAACATTGGAAAGCTGTCTTCAGCGCCAGCAGCTACGCCGTGACTCTTTCGTCGGGAAACGACGAGGGTCAACAGCTCAAGGGCCCGAGGAACATGAAAGCCAATTGAATGGGCGATCGAAGAGAGATTCTATTCCAATACTCAGTGCGGGCCCCGTTCGACCACCTGGGCCACTGCAAATGCCCACGGAATGCTCTGCTGAACCTATTGTGACGCCGGCTTTGTCCGTCCCCGCGGGTCTGGATGTGGATCTTCAAGCAGAGGATTATATGTCAGTCCACTCGCAAGTAGTTTCCCCCAGGACCATCCTTCTCGCGGATGATAACGAGATCAATCTAAAAATCCTGGTGGCATTCATGAAGAAGCTGGGTTACAAATATGCCATTGCACACAATGGACAAGAAGCCCTCGACATCTTCAGGCAAAATGCACACAACATCGAAATCATTCTCATGGGTGAGTTCAGCAAATTCGACTCCTTTTCTTGGCGATGTTCTAACTTGCTTGCAGATATTTCTATGCCCATCATGGATGGTATTGAATCGACCCGACGCATTCGCGAATTTGAAAAGACACTAGAGAACAAGAGACGCACCATGATCCTCGCGTTGACCGGTGTCGCGCAAGCTGAAACTGAACGAGATGCCATCGGGTCTGGTATGGATGCATTCTTGACCAAGCCCGCACGATTGAATGGGTTACGGCCAATCATAAAGGAGAGATTGCCTCAGACTTGATCTTTACAGCACACGAATTTTGAAGATTAGCGCTTGGATAGGAAGTAAATATTTGACGATTTCGATTTTGTATTTTGTCAGATCGCATGTGTTACTAATGTCAGAACCGAATGTTCCCGATTGAGTGATTTCTATGCACTAGGAATGAAAATGCTTGGGAACCGAACTTGACTTTGAAAAATCAGCTGAAGAAACAAATAATCACACAGTCTAGACTTTAATCCTGTTCTTATCCCTTCCAAACCGAATACCAACTTTGACAGCCTATTACCAAGTGTGGTAAGCGAGCGCTTGTTGTTCCCGAACAACAACTTTTTTTTTTTCCTTCTGCAAATCGAAAGAGCCTTCTACCAGTACAGGACAGGGTCCGGGGACTTTTTGGTAAGTGAATAACTAATCTATCCATCATTTGAATACAATAACCGTTACGGTTGCTCACAAACGCAATATCGGGAACTGATAACTTCGGGAAGAAATCCTGTTTTGCCAAGTCGCCAGACCAATATACAGAATGTTCATCTAGCCCCTAGCCGGGGCTACTATAAGTAATAACCTCAGGAATTCCAAACATTATAAACCACCTGGGCAGGACTCCCGCCATTTGATATTTGATTACCTCCAGTCCAAGCATTTGCAACGCAATCCAATCTATATCCGAAAGAGAACAAATAACACTGGCCTTCTCCTAGTACTCCTAGTATGAATGACAAATGGGAAACCAACTCTTCATTTTTTAGCATTTTCCGAAACAACGAGAGTATCTGCTCTGCTGATGATTGATCCTTCGTAGCTTGAATCATAGCATACTTGCTGTGCCCCGGCCTTCGAAAGTCGACGTGCACGATGCTTCCGGATTTGACGGTTCAAATACCTCCACGCATCTCCCATGAGTTGGATATCAGTGCGTGGGAGAGGCGCCGAGGGCGGTCGCTGGAGGGACATCAGGTTCGCCATTGTTTGATTGCTGGGTATGAATTGCGAGGGATTGTGATGGTGGGTTGTTTGAGGGTTTGACCTCAAGATGATCAAGTATGAAACGGCCTCTAGGGTACGGGGTAACCTTGACTCAAAGCACTTGAGTGAGGTAAGGCGGTGGGTATATAGTAGATCCAGAGGAGTGGTTAAGAGCTGGTCTGTTGCAGCGTCCCTGTCATTCAGCATTTCAGACAGTATATATATCTATAAAGGTAAGTATGAGTAATCGTGACATCCCGATGGAATGATAATTGAGACCCACACGACCCCGACCCCGACACCCATTAAGATTCCCTTTTGAGTTAGCCAGTGCGGCTGTAAGCCTTGCGATAACGCGAGGGAAAACAATGGCTGACGTGAGAGAGTAACTTTGCTGTTGGTGCTATCCCATCTATGTTGACCCCGACCCCGACCCCGACCCCGATGGAGTCTCCACTTTCACGACACCAACCTGCTCACAACTAACCCCTTTGACCAATCAAAACATCAGCAAAGTATCTGGGAGCTCGAATTGCCAATTATCGAGATGTGAGATATAATAATTATAGTCCAAGATATTGGCCATATCAGTGGAACTCGGAGAATGGGGATCCGGTACAATACTGTTCATGTTGAGAGGAGCCGATTGGGCAATTTCGGAGGACAAGATAAAGTCTAACACACGGCCAATTGTCTCTCGGGCCTGCTGACATATCCCGTAATTCCCTTCATGGGATTGAACGATCGTTCGGAGATAAGATGCGAATATGCTTAGGTCCTGTATAACTCGTGAACGGTAAAAATGTTGTGCCGAACTTGAAGGATCGGACGGGTCGATAGACTGTTGAGAAGCGCGGCGGACGAGTTCAATAGAAAGAACGCCGGCTGATGGAAGACCGAAGAAGGATATCTTGATTTTCAGATTAGAGAATCAGGAATCGAGCACGGGAATTGCATGAGAAGAGCTCACCACCCAAGACAATTCGGGAGTTAGTCTCATGGACCGCACCCGGCTTTCAATAAGCAATAGCACTTCGCTCAGGATCTCATGGGAAACCTTGACAAGATCTGGGGACCAGGTGTTTTGACGTTTGGAGAGGATTCGAAAAAGCAGAAATTGATCGTAGAGATAGTCCAGATGGAGCTGGAGATAGACACTCTGTTTGAAGTCTAGACCATATGTTGCATAATCCTGCGGTCGATGGAGGAATGGAGGGAGACCTAACCAGGCCTGATGAGACTGCTGTAAGAGCTCCCTATGGACTAAGATCAGCGGGTAATACATCACTTCACAGCAGGCAGCATTACTCAATTTTCGCCGGGAGATTTTCGCCTTGCTGCTTTAGCGATAATTCTAGAATGCTTTCTCGCACAGGGCCCATAATCAAATAAGCCCTCAGCCAGACTGCTTGTGTGTCGTTCTTCTCTGTATTCCAACCATCAGCATCGAGTTTGCTGATCGCCCTGTCCCGGACCTCTGGCTCTGCAATAATATCATCGAAACTGAGATCAAGGGGTAGCGTGATGTCACAGAAGCGCCAACTGATGCGTGGAGGCCTTCCTAGAAATGTAGCCATTTGCTTGTCCGAGCTAAAAGCACTGCCCATTACACGTTTTCGAGTTTCCACGAGCCAAAAAGGCGCATCCTCGTCGCAGGGAGGTTGGTTGAGGCCCAGGGTGAAAATGATTGTTGAAAGATCTCCTAATGCTCTCCATGCCCGGTAGTCTAAGGTAATTGGTGAATAAATATCAGGGTGATATGTACACACGCTACTTACCTCGATCGCCGTGGACCAGAGTGGCGAGGAAGAGTCGTTGGGAAATGAGCCAACTGACGGCATCATTCAACACGCCGGCTTCATTACAAAATGACAAGCATGTCTCTGTTGCTGACAATGCTAGTTCTCCTAAATCTTTCCTAGATCCGACGAGCTTGCCTTCGACTATTGAGTCCCAATCACCGGGCAGCGCGGTAGCTACTCCTAAGCAGGAGAAAGCCAAGCCGATGATCTCCCACCTGCATGACATGGATAACATGAAGTCGTTTATACTGACTGAGGAGTGAATTGGGATTGGGGATGAGAACAGGCCAAAAATCTCTCGTGAACGACTGAGCAACGCAGAGAAGTCAGTAGATGATTGTGATCCTGCGAATCTTTTCAGGGACTTGAAAGTGAGCTCAATGACAGGCTTGCTTAGAACACCGCTTTCTTGCGTCATTTTAATCGAAGCTTCTGTGATTCTCTGATAGATTGGGAGATTTGCTAGAAGTTGAAGAATATGTGCACCTCGGCGTACTGCATCGCTTTCGATGGGTATCGTGTTCGAGATCGGGTCCTGAATGTTGACGTTGGCTCTCTCCTCATGGGGAAGTGAAATCGCCAAGTTATCGGTACTTTCTTGGAAAAGAGTGAAATGACTTGTCATTCCGAGGTATTCGCACTGTGACAGCCGTCTCCTTTTGAGAGCCGACTGACTCTCGCGGATTGAAACTGAAGCTGCATCTTGGATTGGCTGGGGGGTTGACGTAGGCGTCAATGTCGCTGATTCGGAGTTGGCTGTTCTTGTCGGTGAACGGCGATAGATGCATTGGTCCGACTTGCTCGTTCGAGCGCATCTCGCACATGTTGGAAATTGATGGTCGCATCGGAGTTTAGACTTGCGACAGGGCTCACACGAGGATAGCAGACCGTTCTTTCGTAGAGAGGCCATGTTGATCTGCTTATCTGTAGACTGCAAATCGAGCGGAGTCAATCTAGTCCTGTGAACCAGGCACCATTGCTTACTAAGTGACAGCCGTTGCAATTTGACTCAGGTGATCATGCGTTGGATTGGTTTGTATAGTATGTTTCGTTTGTATCCTGACATGGCCTTCTCGAGTATAAAACGCCTTTTTCTTCGCCTTTCAACCTGCCTCTCCTCTTGATTCTTGGATCTTCCTGAACCTAGCCATCTAACGAGAATCAACATCGTTTCAATACATCGAGAAATATATTATGGTCATTGTCTTAGATCTTCAACCCTCATGACCTTAGAGATTGCCGGGAAATTTTGTATTGCTAATGAAGTAGTCCTGGATCCCAAGTTCGCTGCCTATACTGTTGGTCACAATTGTGCGGCTAGCTTGTTGCTACTAGGCATTGAACCGTCCAATGAGCAAAATTACGGAGTAGAAGAATTCGAAGAGCAAGCGATTTTTCCAGTAAGCCATCTCTTGTTCAATGCAGCATTGATGATGCCGAGACAAGTCGTTCTACCCCCCAAAATAGGAAAAGGTGATTAATGGACCACACACTATGGTAAGTAGCAGAATTTTAATTTTTGTACGGCTCAGAAACGTACGGAGAAGACTACCCCCTCAGGGAGCCGGTCCAGACAGGTAGAATACGATATTTGTGTCTGTGGGAATCAGTTAAAATCCCAACAGAATGGCGCTAGGCCAGGTCTCGAACACCTGGCTCGTCCTGCATCCAAGCGCGCGGCTGCTTTGGCAACGATCAACTGTATCAGCAATGCCAGTAGTAGCTATGACAGCTACACGTGCCCAAAAAGCGATACTTCAGGTTATGGTAACTTCATAATTGGGCTCGAAGGTCCAGTTTTGATGCTGATATCTACCCAGTTCTCCACATATCTGCCGCCTGTGGACTGCCATTATTGGACAGTTTTGCGGCGAGTATCTCTGCTTCGTTCTCATATATGCTGGAAGGAAAATCAATCGTTGCGCGCAAACTGAGCTCGCTGTACATGGCCAAACTGGAGTTCGTTGTTTTTTGTTACTTGTTCTGATCATATTGATTTCCGATGAAGATATCCGCCGGATATGGTTTGAACTTGGAAACTACTACAGGATGTTCGTGAATTGAAAACCCTGATATTCCACTTGGATATTCCTCTTGCATTTCGAAGGGCGTAGAAAGCCAAAATTTGCCCCTTTTGGCAGTCAAACTTGGAAATTAGATAGCCAAGTTTTATGGTACTGCTTTCGCTCAATGATTACGCGTACTTGAGCCTCTCCTTCGTCCAAGACGGCCGCAGGCTAGCGTCATTAATCTCACTCGCATCCAACGAGCTATCAGCCACATAATTGACCTTCCAATCCACAGAAATAGCAGCACCCTCTTCAGACTGTGCCCAAACAGCGACTGATATGGTATTCTCACCATTGTAATTCAAGACACCGAGTGGAACGGGGAATTCCACCTGGTTTCCAATATACGGATTGAATCGTCCGTATTGGTATCCGTTCACAAATAGCTGCGACCGGTAGGTAATCACCGAGCTAGTCGGAGTACCCAAGACGAACGAGATCGAGATATCATAATCGGATGGGAGATCCAACGAGACAACTGTGCGGAAGAATCGAACTGTGGCACCCTCGAGGCTCAGGCTTGAGCTGTCGCTAACGCTCTCCCAGGTCGAATCGTCGAATCCGGGGAGATGCCAGCCGACTCGCTCGGCGTAAAGTCCGTCTTCATTGTAGGCGCCGCGTACAGGGTCGAGATTGGACTCGCCGCCTGCTGTTCCGGCGATACGCCAGTGAGTGAAGCCTGAGGAGGAACCGAGGAGGTCGACGTCGAGGATTCCGCGCGGGTTCAGGGCTCCTGTTGTTTCGTCGTGACCTGTGTCATCGTGGACGACTAGCAGGACATTGGGTGTGCTGGTGCTGACCGTTGCGTTGGAAAACGAGAGTGTGAGGTTGGCTTGTTCGTCTGTTGCGTCGCCGAAGAACGATCCAATTAATTTGCCGTTCAACCAAGCTGACCAACCGCTAGATATAGTGTGAGCTTTTGCCTTTGGTGTGGAGAGTAAAAAGCTTACAAGGCTGTTCCTCCTTGGACGTTGAGGGTAACGCCGGTGGCACTGCCATTGAAATATCCGCGCCAGAGACGGATGCCGTTGTGGAAACCTGCAAGCTGTTAGATTGCATACCACCAAGTACTAAGGAGAAGTATATACCATATTCGTCTGCATATAGTACAGGGAGAGAAGTGGGTTCTCTAGGATTCAAAGTCGTCATGTGGTCAGCAGCTAGAGCATTGTCAGCTCTCATCGTAATTCAGTAGTTCAGCAGGAACTATACTTACCAACCCAAGCTGCACCAGTATCGTCGTAGGTAGTGAAGCGCTCCGGCAAGCTGTCCTTTGCCTTCCACGAAGTGAGTGCTGGCAATGTAACAGACTTCGGTGCAGAGATCGAGCCCTTCAAACTACCGTAAGCTGTTCGCTTCGTCTTGACGGCCTTTCCATTCCAGGTGATGGATTTCACGGCCTTCGGAGCAAAAACTTCAATTGTCGTAGCATTGACAATATCACCAGTGACTGCCAGTTTTGACTTCGAGATGTTGGCCCCTCGAACGAGATAGGGGCCTTGGACAAGAACTATTGATGGGTTAGTAAGTCATCAAGGAGGCAAGGATGAACAGTTCATACTACTTTCCGTGTCCGGAACACTCGGGTCAGTCGTGAGAGCAGGCACCCAGAACTTGTAAGCATAAGTGCGATCAAGCAAGATAACTCGGACACTGTCTATCTCCAAAACGCTCATGCCATACGACTGGGTGAAGGTAGCAGTCAATCCACCATGCTCCTTGATGAACTTGACTCCCGAACACCCTTCGCACGACTCGATCGATCCCTTCTTCGCTCCCTTGATATTGAATTCCCCGGATTCCCCAGCCGGAACCCAAAGAGTCAAGGTCGGCACACCGTCAAAGACAACATAGGTCAAGACTTCGGCAGTCGAGTAGAGCAGTGTCTTAGATCCGAAAGTGAAATCGGTAACAGCGATCTTAGACTGGTGCCCGTTTAGACGAATGACACCCCCATGTGCGGGGACAGTCAGTTTCCCAACAGAAGTTTCAACCTTGAGATGGAAGGCCTCGTTCGTAGAAGTCGAAGTGTTAGAATGGAAAGTGGCATAGAACCCGGCGTTCGTATCCGGGTTCCGCAGTTCATATGCGCGAACACCCGTGTTATCAGTATACTGTGTTCCATTGCCGATCAGGTCGGTCTTGGTCAGATCCTTCGCAGCACGAGTAAACAGAGCCAGCAGCTTTGTCTCGTAGTACTTTGCTCCAATAGAGCGGTCCTCTGAGATAGGCGATGAGTAGTCGTAACTGGATGCCGTCACGGGTGCAGCGATAGCACCCCAGTTTGTTCCACCGAAGATCATGTATAAACTCATTGCTGTGATGCGTTGGCCGATATTCCAGCGGTAAAACAGATTGGCGAAATCTTGGTTCAAATCCTCGGCGCATCCTCCTTCCGGTCCACCCCAGGGATTGTAGGAACCTCCTTGGAACTCTGGCATGAATGAGGGCAGTGTTGGCTGGTAATCTTGAAAGTAGTCGTAGTAGTCTACTACCTGGAACGCCACATAAGCTCCGTTGGTAGAGTCACATTGGCTGATGTCGCAGGTCCAGCACTATATCTGTATCAGATGATTATCCATACACAAATGTGAACCACACTTACAGATGGATACGAATCCACGCCGGCGATATCAACATTTCCTTCTCCGGTAATATAATCAGTGCCCCAAGAAAGCGAGTTCATGTTCGGGTCGTTGGCTGTCAATGGAATCGTAACGCCATTTTTGCGGGCATTAGCCTCGAGAAGCTCCATGTACGCAATAGCGGTGTTATTGGGTATCTTTTCGGAAGTTGAAATCCACTGGTCACCATACTCATTTTCAATTTGAAAGCCAATAGCCATCTCTCCATCAGTGACTTGGTAGCGACTGGTGATCTTAGCCATCTCCGTCATGTAGGGCGTCCAGGCCTTAGTGTAACGGGTGTCATTGTTACGGAGACTGCCATAATCGCCCGTCGTGAGCCACAGGGGGAATCCACCGGCCGTAGTCTCAGCATTGATGTACGGCCCTGGGCGCACAAGGACATACAATCCCAGTTCTTTGGCAAGCTCGAAGATCGGAGTGATGTCATGGGCGCCCGTGGAAAAATCCAGTGTCTGGTTGTTTGGGGCATGGTATGCCCAGTTGGAGTAGAAGGAGAAGGCCGTAAAGCCTGCAGCTTTGATCTTCTCTAGAATATCTCTCCACAGGCCAGGGACAGGGATACGCCAGTAGTGGAATTCACCTGAAAAGATGAAGATTCTTTGGCTGTCGACCTGGAAACTGTAATGATCCCATTCTACGGCTTCGTTGTATCCGTCATTGTGGAGCGGCCATTTGGTAGCTTCGGAGGATTTGGCAGTGGAAGGCAGACCGAGAAAGACGGTTGCAATCCATAGACTGTGGAGTACTTTCCCCAGACCAACCATCTTAGAACGACTGGATTAAAGTTAGCAAACCGCTCGACATTGGACATTGTCTCCTTTATACTCCGAAAACCAGGCACATTGCATCATTCTAGGTATAATTCCGGAGTGGTGGAGCTGCTCTAGTCGCATTGAGTTTAGTTAGAAGTCAGTGCAATTTGCAGCGGGGTTAAGCGACGCTCCGTACTCCATCTCCCCCGCATGGCGTGGTTTCCGCTCTGATATTTTTCCTCCATTCACATTGCTCACAGAAGGCCGGTGAGTGATGCTGGAATTGAAAATCTGGAGGTGTCGCATAGGCACAATTCCAATTGGGTCATTGCTGCGGACAAAACGGGCTCAATGTTTACATCCTTCCAGGGTTTGATTGCTTATAGATTGCTTATAGTCTAGCCTCGGTTTGGGATTTCCTGGTAATTGGGAAATTCTAATATCGGAGAGAAGAGACGTTGATTAATTATAAACTTACTAAATTACCTCACATCAAATAAGAGTTTGTAAAATTCCACATACGAGCTAAGCGACAAGCCCACTCATTCCTCCGCAGAAATGGCAAACTTACTCAATGCCCGAAGCCTCGAGCCGTAGAAGTAAAGTAGCCAGATACCAACAATGCCAATCACACTCAGTCCACCAAGAAGACTAGTACCCCTCGCAACCCCTAAATTGCCAAATAGCGGGTGGGCAAACATAACACTGCCACAGGCCAGTGCGCTCCGGAAAAAATCATTGGCTGCGAATAGACTGGCAGCGTACTTCGGGTAAGAGAGAGGAATATACACGAAAACACACTGCATGACAATGAACACGGTGGCACCGTAGATGGTGATACCGATCGTTGGTACGATCCAGTGAATGGAGGCTCGGGCCGTCCAGGCAAAGAGGAAGAGGCCGATTGTGGGACCGAAGGAAGCCGGAAGAGCGGGGAGCAAGCGGGCTTCTTGGACCGGCCACCCGAGACGTGCGATGCGGGGGTTCATCCAGAAATACAGGTATGAAAAATAGATGGCAACGGCCAAGATGCAAGATACCAAGATGCAAAGGAAGACTAGGCCGACTTGGCCGAGATTCATGTTGTAGTCGACGGGATAGACCAGGGGGAAGACTTCGAAGAATGAGTAGTAAATGCCGTAGATGATGGCAGTGTATATCTGGACGAAAAGAACGGCAGGATCTTTGATTGTAATCTCCATGGGCTTGATCAGAGCATCCACGGCGACATCCGAAACGCGCATGTTCTTCTGGTCGATCTCGGATTGAGACAGGAAGCGCTCATTGTTGTAGATTTTGCGAAGGCGCTGGGCACGTCGCAGCAGGATGGTCGGGGTGCTGGTCTCGGGAAGGAAAAGGAGCATTACAATGAAGACGGGGGCAGAGGCCCAGATAGACTCAAAGAGCGACCAACGCCAAGATTCAGCTGGAACAGCAAATCCACTGAGAAGAGGACCCAGGGCAGCTATGATAAGTCAGTATGAAAGTACACGAGAATGGGGAATTGTCACTTACGTCCACAGTATGCCGCAGCAACCCATGCCATCATAGCATATGGCAGAGCATTCAGACTGTACATGTCACCAATTGAGGCACCTCCTGATGCAAGACATGGAGAGCCGAAGAATCCTTGAAGAAAACGTAGAACAATCAAACCAGGGAAATTGCCAACAAAAGCCGTCGGAATGGAGATGATGACAAAGAGGAACATGGTTATAATGTACACGGGGTTTCGTCCAATAATAGGGATCTCACTTAAGGGGGAGAAGATCAAAGGCCCAGTACCGTATCCAAGAACGTATATCGAGAGACCTAGCGTGGCAACAATCTCGCTGACTCCAAACTCCTTCATGATACCCAGCTCCGACGCGGTGTAGATGGCCGATGTTGTATAAACGACAAATGTGTATAGACAAATGATCGTCGTAAGTAGTGCACGCTTTAAATTAGACCAATTATGAGGGTTCTCGTCGTCATCGGTGTAGTACCAATCCACCAAAATCGCCCCATCTTTTGTCTTCTTGGGGGTGATCGGAGTAGACTTGACTTTCTCAAGATCCTGTGCATTCATTTCAGAATCCTCATGTAGAGTCGAGGAATGGCTGATAGCATCGCTTTGGCCTGAGTTATGTCTTCCCTCTTGAGGCTCAGGATTCTCGGGCTTGCTCTTGGTAGCCTCGAGGCTCTGCATCATTTGAATCCATGGCTCGGGGAGTTCGAAGCCAGGCTTCTCTTCGGGATATTGAAGGTATTTATTTTTAGTCAGAAATCGGACCAACTGCCCCATTGGCGCTTCTCGAATAACAGCTTCCATTGCAATGATTCCTCGAAGATAAACTTTGATAGGTATAGTTGTAGGGTCGAAGCACGTAGCTATGATATCGTCGGATCTTGCTGCCGAACAGTGACTAGAAAGTGGCAGAGGCTATTCAACCACCAGAATAACTTTGGAGGTGTTTGCAGGTGTCGATGACCAGGAATGCCGTTCGAAGAAATTGAACATGGTTATATACCGTCACCGCAGCATCATCTGGGTCCTGCCTCATGAGAAATATTATACGGAATTAGGAAATAAGGCCAAAATAAACCAAATATGCTTCGAAAATCTTCCATTGCATCCAATTATGATTATCCATCACGTCCTTTGTTATAAATCAACTCGTCTCAACTCTTCTCCCGCGCCTTTCGAGCACGTCAGACCCACCAGGGAGATGAAATCCCCCGATCCCGAAAACGCATCGAGCCAATAAGGGACGAAGCTACAGCTCACCCATGGATGTACCCTGGATTGGAAATACGAATTATTACTCAGCTAGCTGACACGAATAGCCTCTTTCGTTATCAAACCCTGGCATATGGAGATGGCTTCCATGGCTATGATTCATCGGATTTCTTGGCATGATTTCTAACGTTATCTCCGGATCGGGAGTAAGATCTTAGCCCCGTGCTTGATAGTTATATGACGGAATTACCTTTTGTTTTACGAGATCGATGTCTGTGCGATTGGGTCTGTGCTTTATTCAAGCTCTGAAAGTTGACAAGTTGTGCTCTGCCGTGATGTTTGGAACGTTAAGTGATTAATAATCGAGGCCGCGGGGCTCGGGCTCTGCACGCACCGAGCAGAACATTATTCTTTCGACTGGAAAACGACAGTGATGCCATGATGGTCTTCAAAGGTTTGATGCTCTGGCTTAGGTTAAGGCACGCGATGCTACAAGGTTGTTGAAATTGATCGACCGAGGCTCTAAAGCACTAGTAGTACAATATACCTATCCCATTGATAGGTGAACTAGGTGGATCGTTGATAAAGTTACTATGCCCAGCGTAGGCATATATATGAACTCATTTAAACTTCAAGTATGATGTACAATCCAGTCATATTTCAACTGTCGTGCAAAAGCGGCTATGTCCATGCAAGCAAATCCAAACTGCAGATCGCAAATCGCAAACATTGTCCAATAATCCTTTAGCAACCCTTCCCAAATTCACCAATAAGCGAAGATCCTCAGCATTGAGAATGCTATGCCGTCGAGAAGACCTCAAGGTATCCGTTCTTCTGACGGCTGATGGGGAACTTTCCAGCATACTGGACATAAGTCTACAGTATCACCAATGAACGGTGGGAAAATGACAGTCGTGTGACTATGAGGGTCTTATCACCATTCCACTCGTGTCACAAGGACGAAGTTTTTTTTTCCCCTAACTCCAAGACTCCAAGATAATGCAGCAAAATCAAGGTCGAATTTCCATGATCATGCGTCATTGCCAAGGACCCCGAATGGGTTTTGGCCCTTAGTGTCGGAAACACTTGTGGGCGTATCTTGAGTTGCTTTTTGCTTCTTGGCGCCCTTCTTCGCGGGCACGGTAGAGAATCCGTCGTCGGATCCAGATTGACTGGTAGCCGCGGCCTTTCCCTTGTTGGCAGCCGATGCGCGAGTGCGGATGGGGGAATCAGGGGTGGACTTTTGCTCCACAATCTTCTGCACGTGCGCCTTGATAACTTCCTCGTCGGTGGCTTCGCTGTTCTCACCCTCAATGGCTGCTCTCTGGATTTCGCGGCTGAGGCCCTTGAGAGCGTCCATGCCGGCCTTCTCGGCAGCTTCCATATGGGTTGCCTGCTTGGTGCCAGGATCCTTACGCTTCAAGTACGAACGCACGAAGAAGCGGGCAAACAGGTAAGTCAGGGGGAGGAGGTATGACACATTGAGCCAGATCGCGAACGCCTGGCCTGTAGTGTCCATGCAGGTCACCATCTCCTGGGTGTATCCAGAGCTGGTGATGGGGGCAGCACCAGTGCTGCCAACGTTCTCGGCGATTCCCTCGGCACCAGCGGCGCGGAGGGCAAGCTTCTTCAGCCAAGGAACGACACCTTCTTCAGCGGTGGCAGCAACCACGGTGGGTGCAACCTTGGACAGGTGGCGCAAGGCGGTGCTACCGACGGGGTAGGGGACAGTGTACTCCACGAAGAGGTAGGCAGCAGCCATGTTAGTTCCCAAGACGAATTGGGTAATCTGCATGGTGGTCAAGCTGCGCTTAATCACACCCGGGACACGAATGCGCAAAGCTGTGAAAGTATAGTAGGTGTACTAGATATCCAATTAGTCACTGTGTTGTATACGGTTCTAAGCGAAGGCTTCACATACCATCAGTGCATGGATAGCAGAGTTGACGAGACAGAAGATCCAGATAGGAGCGGCCATGTAACGGATACCAGCCCACATGCACATCATGGCACCGGCGTGGTGGTAAGTCTGCAGGGTGGAGCTCTTCTTGCCCTTTGCCAGGATAATTGCGGTGTCCACGACCTCGTAGAACTTAGAGAGGTAGAAGAGCCAGCCGAAATAAGCGAGGCCCTGGTTCCAGAGACGGCCAACATCCGTCGAATCGGGGAGATCGTTGCTCAGCTTGTAGGCCGGGTTGGAAATTGACCATTCGTCGGTGATAGTGCTGTAAGTTGCGGCATTGCCGTAGCCGCGAGGGCCATTGATCTTGCACAGTGAATCCACGACACCAATCAACCCATTTCTATCGTTGCGATCCGGGAAGGAATTACCAAAGGCCTGGACCATACCCACAAACGTCCACGCAGAGTAGACAGCCAGGAAGACATTGTGCAGCACCACGAAGAGCTTGAACAAAGGCGAATGGCTGAATGCATATGGCTTGTAGCCACGACTCTTATTAATGCGACTGATTATGACGACAGTCAAGGCGTAGACGCTGGCAATAGTAATCGGAACGCGCACATCCAGCACCTGGTTGTAGAGGTCATTGGGGATGTTGAAGGGCTGCTTCCAAGAGAATTCCGACACGTGGGGCGCAGGAATGGTTACAGGAAGCTCAGCTGGAGGGAAGCTGAGAAGGGAAGAGCGAGGGAAGCCGATCCGGATGGTGGCCGGCCCAAATTGGGAAGGCACGTTGAGGTCATACATCGTTGCTCTCCCTATATTGACCAGGGGTTGCGAAGGATTCGAGCGATTGGCAAAAGCCCCAGGGGAAATTCAAGAACGAAGAGAGAGAGAAAAAAAGTAGACCCTCACCAAATCAGTGATAGCCTAAAGAGCGACTCCACTCGCGATAAAAGAAAAAAGACTTATCGCAGTGGAGCCTACGTTTGTTGGGAATTGGGGAACCGAGGTTGACATGTCATTGGGGGAAGGCGACGGGTTTTTGGGTTTGGACATTTTGGGTGAATTGAGCTGAATTGCGCATTTCTTTCTTTCTACATAGTGAAAGATGATGAATTCTAATCATGTATCTTCATTCTTAATTATTCAATACTCTAAGCATGCGACCTTGAGCACATAGGCATCAATACAGAGTAGACGCCTATACCGAATTCAACCGAACCCAACCCAACCCAAATCTCAGCTTTTAAGGCCAAATAAAGTATCGAATCATAATGTGGTCATCCACTCAAGGTCAATCTCCAGGTTTTTCCAGAATTTCATTCCATTGTTCTTGCGTCACACAATGTGGACCTGCTGACTCATCTCGGCTCTAAGTGGATATAACCAGTGGATATACAGTAGGTTCACCGCGGGGGGTTCACTCTGCACGATGATAACATGCACATGCCTGAATACTACTCCCGGGAAAGATCTGTTGTTGGGAAATGATAGTTCGAATATCAGGGGGGCGAATATGCATTGGCAGTTCCCAACATCTTCGGCGCAGTAAGATCGGCCGGATCTTCACATGCGGCCGAGGCCAGGGATGCCAATCATAAGGGAGAATCGGTAAGCTACGTTGTACAAAGTGTCGGAGTATCGGTTTATATTTTGGGGTGATAGTACAACATGAAAATGATAGAAACCCAGCTTCTATGCTATCCAAACACTCCATTGATTTGGCGCCAGGCCCGAGATAAGGTTGTACAAGTCGCATGTGCCCCGCTCAGCGGGGTTTGGTGTTATGAGGTACGGGCGGTGGCGCCGGGACTGATGACTCCTGAGGGAAAGCACCGGGCATCGTAGGCGCAGCGCGCATTTCTGCTCGCTTCGGAGGGGGTGGAGGTGGCTTTTTACGCGCTTGGGTCTCCAAAGTAGGAGAGTTCGGGCTCACCGGTGCTGCTGTCGGTGCTACTGCCGGCGCTACTGTCGGGGCTTTCACCGGTGAATTTGGCCCGGGCGGCCGAGGAATCCGTTTGTTCGCATTGGCCGAAAATTTGCGGTCTTCAACAAAAGTATTGAAGCGTGACGTCACTCCACCCCATTTCTTCTTCCCTATATCAATGGTGTCGGCATGGCGATCGCGAAATCCTGGAGCTGGAGGAAGGAAGTCCGCTGAATTGGCCGGGCGCGGGGCTGGAATCGGCGGAGACCCCTTGTTGGGGGATCCTGAATCGGTGCGCAACTGCGAGAAGCGCGACTGCAAATCCTGAACAGGTGCCTCGTTGGCCTTTGTGGTTTGGGAAGTGCCGGTCGTTCCTCCGATACCAAATTCGGGAACTGACACCCCAGCGTTGGCGAGGCGGGATGCTGCCTCCTGATTCACATATACCTGGGTGGGTGATGGCGACCCAGTAGCGTAGGGTGGTGGGGGAGACGGATTTTGAACAGGCGACTGTTTCCGTGGAGGGAGTCGGGGAGGGAGTTGAGGCTTCGGCTTCAAGACGGTCGGCTTTGCGCTTATGGAAGGAGCAGAAGTTGGTGAGTCGAGGCGTCGGACTGGAGGAGGAGGCAGGTTGATTGTAGACAACCCAGTTGTGTTCACGCGATACGGCACCGGAGGGGACTTTGGCTTTTGTGCTTCCTCTTCCTCCGCTTCAAACATTTGTCGCTGACGGGTATCCTGTTGCTCAATCTGCTCGTGGGCCAGGGGGGCCCCTAGACCTCGCCGGTCCGGGGTTGTCTCGTTCACCGCGGCCGCGCCATGGAAATTGATATGCTTCGGGGGTGGTCCAAACGATGATGGGTCCTTGAGAGATGACAGAGGTTGAGAGACATGTTCACTTTGCTCCGCGCTGGGGTCCCTGCCCTTGCCCATCCATCCCGCCTAAATGTCAGGTTAGTAACCGAGGCATTGGCCACGAACATGGTAACTGACCACTTGATTGATGCCCTTGAAGTCACCACGCCAACTTTCTTTGGCCCCTTCTTTTCCTTTGGGGTGCCAGCCCCCTTTGACAACATTGCTGAATCCACTCATGATAATAGGGTAGATGATCCTTCTAGAATCATTCGGCCACGGTCTTCAAACCCCGCTTACTCCACAGTCACGTGTTTCTTGGTAAGCTTCCCTCAAATAAGGTTGCAGCAGTGACTGTCAACATCCAATGTCGACAGTCTTTCCATACAAAGATCGGATTCGGGATAAGGATCGAAAACATATATATCTTTCAAAATTCACATACTAACTGTGGCTTTCTCACCTGACACCTCCTTGGTTTGCTTCAAATATCCTGACCTTCCGCGTCCTATCAATTTGGATACAAGGCAACAACAAAGTCCAAGAGCAAAGTTGCAAGGAAACACCAGCACAATTATGGGAGGGGCTTGATCAAATTTCTGACAGAGATGTAGAGAATACAAACCTATCCTTACGACATTGACTGCCAGCAGCTCTGCCAGATCAAAAGTCAAAAACTCCACACATGACAGGTTATGGATGTCACCATAATGTTCGATCCAACGTTGAAGAGTTCGAGACGGAAGAACAAACTGAATAGAGGTGGGCGCGCAAGGTTTGCTACTGATCCCTGGCTGCGGATGCTCGAGTGAAATGCACATACTCAGGAGACTACCGAAATACGAGGGATCAACAAGGAGTGGGTTTGATCTAATACGAGATGAGTGCCTCTGGACTGTAGTGTTTGATTATCCATTCCGGTTTTCTTCATGTCCATACGAATACGAAGTACATAAGAGGGGTCCCAGGATATCTATTGATTGATGTCAAGAAGCCGTTTAATGTTTTAGGAGTTTAAATTCTAATGCCAAAATACCGCAGACAATTGTGTACCACGGTGGATTATCAACACCAATCATAATCAGCAAGTCTGACATGGAGCCCCCGAGTGCTTCTGGCTAAACGCAAAACAGCTAGACTTGCCGCCGATCTTACGTGCCGCCCCCAAATGTGAGCCGCCCTCTTTAATTATAGATTTTGACAATGCGGGCGTTTAGTATTACGCGGTCAATGAATCTGATTCTGAAGGAGCCACCTGGACCAACACATCCGATTGAACGTAAGCGTATCTGTAATGAAAGGAGGACGTGTCGCACTGCAAAACCCCAGTGTCCACCTTCTCCACTCCATAATCCTTGGTGACATCCTTCGTACTTTTTATGTTCTTCTCATATCGTGATTATTTGCTGTGTTTGGTTCTCTCCCTTTACTCTGTCGTGAAGACATTCAGAAATTAATGAACTCGAGGCACACCGGTCTAAAACAGAAGTGCAATACGCCGAGCGTGTTAGCTTATGCCCTATTGAGTAGCATCTATTTTGGCCCCCGATCACCCATTGTGCCGCTTTAGTCCTTGCTCCCTTTGTTTGAATTCTATCTTGAAGATCTTTGGCGCTCAGCAAGTCTTTTTACCGATCTGCAACAATTATGGCGATACTAGAATTCTTGAGGAGGCAGACAGCGCCCCAGAATACTGGAGGGAGTCCTAGTGATAATAATGAGCATACTGCCACGACTCAGCATCCCACGGAAGTTGTTCAATCGGCTGCAACTATGACTACGACACAGAGTCAACTGGGGGCGACGCTCCTCAGTGGAGCCGCAACAACGGCGACAGCATCTACGGCGTTAATAACAAGTCCCACGGCTACCTCTACCTCGAGCTCTACCACTACCACTGCGGCAGCCAGTCACTCAGGCGGAGAGTCAATAACCACAAAGCTAGCTATCGCTCTTCCTATAGCCATCGTCGGCGCTTTGGCAATCACGGCTATAGTATTCTTCCTCATCCGTCGTCGTCGCCGCAAGCAACGTGGTGCAGTCCCCACATCACCAACCTACGACACAGACGAAAGAGAAATCATCTCAACTACACAGATACTGTCCGGCCCGCCCATGTCCCAGATCATGGATGTTCCAGCAATTCGAGATAGTGAGGTGTCGGCGGGACAGATGGCAGCGCATGAGTCTCATTCGGAGATGGGCTATGGGGTGACGGTTTCGAGGGATCAGAGGCCCAATGCGACGGAGCAGACTTCGCCAGCGAATGCGGTAGGATCGCAGATACGTTTGCCTTCTGAAAATCATGGGGCCGCTGATGATGATCTGGTTTCGGTTGTTTCTGATGAGCACCGTGCTCATGGGCATGATTATGATGATATGTCTTCGGTGTCGTCCTTTGATGGAAGTAGCCCTAGGCCGAACGACCATCAACATCCGTTCCGATGAAGGACGATTATAGGCTTTTATATTCTTGCAAGTGTATTTGAGCCATGGCGCTGAATTTTTGTTTTATATTGACACCCCATGCTGCATATCTCCAATGTCAAGGTTTCACCACTTTACTTAAGATTTCGGATGAGTAATCAGAGACATCGTGAAAGGTACTTTTAATTGGTAAGGTGCTCCTATGGCTGTTGGCCCATAAAATTCATATATAGAATATCTGCGGACGGCTAAAGCTTACCGACCTCCACCAAGGTCAGGCTTCCACTCTTGAACCAGACCCTTGGACAGTTCGCGGAGTGCCATGGTGGCATACTGACTCGATCCCAACTGAAATTTCAGCACGATAGCTAACTTGTCACCAGCGGGGGCATTGGATTCAGCAGCAGGAGCTTCTGGCTTCGATTCCAGGTTCTCCAAATCGGTCTTGACGAATTGCTGATCCTCCTTGGAATACAGCTTAATGTCGTAGGAATAGTCAGCGCCCATGCGGCTGAAAATCTTGCGGTAGCTGCCACTGAGACTGGCATCCTTCCACTTGCGTCGCATATTGAACGGATCCAGACCGCCGCCCCGCTCGCTGGCCATGAACTCGCGGTAGAAGTCGGTCATCTTATTGGGAGGGTAGATGACATCGAATCCAGGAAGGGGAAGAACAATGTCGAAGAGAGAGTACTTGCCGCTCGCAACCTCCTCCGCTGTCAGAGCGCGCGCCCGCGTGAACATGTCATCAGTGGAGTTGGCGCTATCTCCGCCTTGGGGCACCACAATGATCTCTCCATCCGCATCAATGGTATCGGAGTTCTCAGCTGCGCCCTTTTCCTTGTCTCGGTGCTCCTGCACAATAACAAGATCGCCCTCGACCACTTTGTCGCCGTAGAGACGCCAGCGTTCACTAGCAGCACAGTTCCATACGAGGGACTGGTACGCATGTACGTACATGAGTCGCAGGTTCCGAGGAATAGCCTGCAGAGCTCCGAGATAATCATTATTTCCGTAGCCCTGTTGACGAATGATACTGGCCTCTGCGGAGAACTTCCGCGGGAGCTCGTTCAGAGCATCGTTAATGTTGCCTGTGGTCTTGAAAATATGGATCGCCTTGGCGCGGGACTTGTCATCAGTGCTGATGAGAGCGGTTGAGGCTTCGCCTTCCTCTGCCGCGGCGAGAACATGAGGGGGGTAGTGCAGAATAGCATTGCAGGCACCCTCAAAATCATCCTGAAGAATCTTAACACCAACTGTGTCGGTGCGAGTCGAGAAAGTTCCAAATCGCTGCAGTCCATAATAGTTGAAGTAACCACGGTCGTGGAGGTTCTTCAACGAGGACCCAACGATCTCGGTGGCCTTCGCGACAGCAGCTTGGGGGTCTTGAAGGCTAACGCCGGGAACTTGGCAGTCGCGAAGTGTGATAACAAACTCATTCCCGTGAAGATCTCCAAGCTCCAGGCCGTGCTTGCGGTACTCGAAATCGCCCAAACGAGCATTACGAAGGGTAGCGTTCAGCTTGGCAAGCCGGTGGGCGTGAACGCGGACAACACAGGCGCGCTGTGCAGTGACGCCACGGCGATCCTTGGTACCAGCAAACTGGAACAACTTGGCGTTCATCTTCATCTGACGAGCCAAAAATGAGATTACCTCCATGGTGTCCTTGTTCTCTTTGTAGATTGTGAAATGAAGGTATTGACCACCCAACTCATCCCAGCTCACCCGGCCACTTCCGGAACGGCCACCGCCACGTCCACTCTGCTGCTGAGCGTTGCGCTTGAAGCGGTTGGCGGCCGGCATTATGGCAAGGTTGCCCTCGTTATCGGTAGTAGACTCCAGCTGTGACTTGAAGATACGACGAATCGCCATGTGAATCTTGGTACGTTGGTCCCGGTCGGTCACCTGAAGGGTGACCTTTCCAAATTCAGTCGGTCTGGCTTTGCGATCGGCCATGGCGCGCGCATGGATGTCAATGGTGTCTGTAGCATTTTGTTCACCGAGACATTCACAGAGCAAGGCCCTGTCTTCTTCCGATAATTTGAACTCGGCATCGGGGGCCTCTTCCTTCGCGGAAGGTGCAGGCTCTTGGGTTTCAGGCTGTTGTGTCTCGTTCTTCTTCTCGCTCAGAGCCTCGGGTACGGATGGGTTTCGGAGATGAAGGACTTGACCGGAGGGTGTGATCTCATTGACCAGGAAGTCAGTGTATCTGAATTAAGCGTGTTAGTAAGAGTGGTAATATCTCCCTGCTCAAGACTGCGCACCTCTTCTTCAAGGTACCGGAGAATCCATCGATGTTTCCGGTAACCAGCTCCCTGATGCCGACTTCTCGTTCCTTTGCAGCCTGCGCATCCTCTACAGCCTCAGTCTTGGGCAGCACATCAACAATGACGTCAGCTTCAGACACATCGGTCTTTTGCCGCTTCTGCGGCGGCTCGACAACTTCTGGGCGATCCATTGTAGCGTGATGAATCGAAGTCGTTGCGTCGTTGCAGAACTTTTGGTCACGTATCGGGAATAGCGCAGTAGGGCCAGCCCTAAGATCCGGATCGGGAAGTTTCATAACAGTCAGATGAGGCTCTTACTTTTCTCTGTAGGACGAATATAAGGATTAAAACGACACTCTTATTTTATGAATCGATCATGACAGGATGCTATTGAATAGCTGGCTCTTCCAGCTGTGTTTCCAGGGCTTCCAAGTGCCCCCAAATCGATGATTGACACAAGCATGGGGACTGTTCATCCCTTCCGCTTTACTATGCCTTTGTCCATTTGCCCAAGCATTAATGGGCAAAACACACAATCCCCCGAATTCTTTTCCCTCTTTGGCTTCAGATCCATTGACACATAATGTCTCTTGTAGACGATGAAAAGGGGCCCATGTCACACGCTGCGACGGGGCCTCTGAAACCCGGGGACCCAATTCCCCAAGGGCAGCATCGGCCTCAATTGATCTCGTAATCAGTGGATGTGAAGCAGGTAAACTATCTGTCAATACATCCAGTATGGCGTCGGTGAAAACCCCCGGACCAGTTATTTCAAGCGTCGTTAATTCGTTGTAACGCGGACCTATAAAGAAATTACTCTCGTCCAAGTGGCGCTTGGTGTGCGATATGACTCGAACAATCACTTCTCGCAACAACGGACTAAAACGTCGCGGTGCGTAGATTGTGTATTGGAGGAATCCGTAGGGACGCGCCCAGTGCCAGAAGTGCATTTCCTCAGAGGTGGCAAAGGGTTCGTCGATCTCGATCCCAAGGACGAGGGAAACATCAGCGCTCTCGTTGAATACCAAATCTTTTGTCGCCGGGCAGTCTTTGATCTTGCGGGCTGGAACCACATCCATGTCTGCATAGTAGCCACCAGAGTACCACAGCACAAGGTACCGTAGTAAATCACTCCGCTGGACGAAATGCGGATAGGAATGGTAAAGACTGGCAAGACCGGGCACGGAGGAAAAGGTAATTGTGACAAGCTCTTCAGCCAATTCGCCGGTGATGAGCTATAGTGCATGAAGAAATAAAGTATTTAGCCAAGGGAGCACGATACCAGCCAAGAGGCTTGGGTTTCACCTTGTATGACCATTCGGGATTCTTTTCCTCCATCTGCAGTGAATATGGACCGCGATTCTCAGGCGTCGGAGCATCTTGCAGAAGCATCTGCCATATCATATCCCACGATTCATCACCACCGTGTAGTGCCCGTTCGTGCTTCTCAATGTCTTGCAAGGCATCCGATATCCGTTGTTCATATTTGACATCAGGATTTGTGCGGAATCCGGAACGATGTAGATATCGGGGTTCTTTCTCGGTCTGCATGTCTGGGCGGAGGTTCAGAGCGCTCTCCAGTGACGCTAGAGCGTTTATAATAGTAAACATCACTAGACAAGCGATCCCCGAGGCAATGTTTAGTCGCCCTCGAGATCTAAAAATTCGCAATCGCGGAGGCATGGTTGACGATGCATGGCTGGAGTCGGGGGAGACGAACGCTATGAACAGAGCACATCGAGGCAGTGCACAGTTGTAAGGCTCGCAAATGACCTAGGGACTAAGGCTGAACAGTTCTCGAAACATTAGCAGACTTGGCGTCCATCTTCTGGTTGGGTGGGTATTGGTTGTAACTGCTGGACCCTTGGTATAGTCTGCGGGGCGGGCTTTAGTGCTTATTGCTGTGAGCCCCGTTCCCCACAAATCCCCAAAATAGATGCGACATGAAATTCTATCTTGTGCCTCCAAAGCTATTCAGTTTCCCTAGCCAAAAATAAGTACACATTTTATCAATCCTCACATTGATCTATAGCCAAGCTGTTCGAACCCCCCTCTTATTTATTTGTTTGCATCGCTTTACTTACAAGCAATGCCCCATTTGCCGGAATCGGAACATTTGAGACATGATTGGTACCAATCTTGGAAGCTATTAAGCAGTAATCCAGCCAAGGTCCATTAGGTACCTAAACAGGTTGTTAAATTCATGCCTGTCCGAAATCATATCATTCCATTCCGTCATCAGTCATTATTCGTACAGTACAGTTCCCGATGGTCCAACTGCAAACCCCTCCATGCAACCTGGATCCCATTTGTAGATCCTTTAGTACCATAGAAGCCTTAATCCAACACAACAACATTATCAATATCGTCATCAGACACAACAACACATGCATCGTCGTCATCATCAGACACAACAACACAAGCATCATCGTCATCAGTATGGGCCGGACGCAAAACCATCTCGATCTTCTTCGCTTCCTCGCTTCCTTCCCAAGCCTTCTTGATTGCTTTAACCTCAGGCCATACCCTCTCTCGCGCCTCGCATCGTTCCAATCCAGATGCAAGTAGCCTTTCATAAGGCGTGTGGTTATGCCGGATATGAGCTTCAACGGCGAGCGTAGCCTTACGTTTATCTGTCGTAGTCGAAGTACGTCCTACCCGCCCAGACCCCTTGAGGAATGCGTGGTTCAGGATTATTTCGAGCGTCTCATTGGGCATCAATGGAAACACATTGCGGAGCAATTTCCGGCCACGCGTGATGAAAGTTCCATCGCGGACTTTGACAGCGCTGGCACGTTTTTCTGCCGTTGAAGTTGCGAGCTTGGACACATTTGTATAGATTTCTTCTGGGACTCTGATGCCCAAGGTTCGCTTGGCAGCCTTGTCCTGTGGTTTTGTCAGTAGTGAGGTCTCGGTGCAATTGTGTTTGTTGTAGACTTGGAATGACTCACATAAACGAGGTAGACTAACCGATTGGACGTCTTGGTATTAGTTCGGCAGTGTCTGGTTATGTACACGTCGCCTTTGGGGACAAACACATAGCCTTCCGGCATGGCGGCACGCTCAAATATGTTCTGTGTAACGGTAAGTATTCGGACTGCCCGGCCAATTATCAAAGTATTGGATAGTGATATACTTCTTCTAACGGATCTTCTGAGTCAGGAAGGATGCCAGGTTTTGACGGAGCCTTGGATCTGGGGGGCTTAGATCTGGAGATCAGTGAAGAGTTGCGAGAGCCTGTGGCGTTTGGGGAGGAGGCGAGGTCTGAGGAGCGTTTATGGACTCTTCGATGGCGTCGACCAGTGAATCTCTTCCGGCGATGAATTTCTGGCTTTGTGCGTGGTATCATAATGGAATTGTGCAGTGAGGGTGGAACAAGGGTGGTAAGAGTTTGAGTCAACAATGCCCGGGGATGTTGCCTGTGGTTTTTGAGCCCTTTCGTGGTACGTGATCGACAAATACCCTTTGACTGATTCCCGTCTTTTCGTTCAAGGCTATCTAAGGCTTCGATGAGCAATCTCTTTGAACTCACTATTTGAGACACCCGTTGAATGCGGCGTTTGATCGAAGTGGCTGTGGGGTGACATGTGCCTGAGATATCAGGCTGCCAGGGGAAGACTTTCAGATCCATGGATGGAATATCTCTAGTCCCGAGGTCGTATACACAGGGCTAATTCGCAATAATATTGTATAATTATCTGAATGAAGGACAAGCCAGACAAGTAGCCCAGGAGACTAATAGTTCAAAATGACTATTGGTGGAAATTTCCAGTATTTATCTCAACAAATAGGGAGATATATATCTTGTCAAGTGTGGCGATATGCGTGCGTTCACCTGCCCAGGTCGGCATTGGGATTTAGTAGTAATTATATAATAGTCTTCCAAGGTTAGAATAAATGATAGAGACAAGAAAGAACATAATACATATATCTCTATCTTCGCGAATCCCACCAGGCGGCGAAATAATAGGTACGGGATTTATTATATCGGAAGGTACTCCGTACTTGGAGAAATATGAACCTCCGGGGCCGAAGTCTCTCAGTGTTTCAAAATGTGACTTGATATGTATTCAAGTTCAAACATTCAAAGGAAGCTTGATTCTTCGGCCCTGGAGAGGCCCACGCTGTCAGTACCTGCTCTGGAGGTCGGCAATGAGTGGCCTAAGCACCAATGAAAGGCACGATCCAATAATAGATCTGACAAAGATCATAAGCGGGGTACAATTTTACAGCTAGACGAGCTCTAGGGCTGCGTACTTTGTACTGCGTAATGTAGACCGGGGAAACAGCATGGGACTGGAGCCGTACGGGGCCATCGCAGCTTCAGTGGAGCCAGACCTTGATCAAGTGTTTTGCCGCAGGCATGGATTACAGGTTTAGGCACGTTGTTTGCTTCCGTACGTACAGTCAGGAAATCAAGATCCGGAACAGGATCCGCAGCGGATCCGTGCCCAACTGCACCTAATCCATGATTCGGCCCAGTCAGAAGCGCCACGGCGTGACCCATCTCCACCGGTCGCCAGGGGATCGGATGGAGGATGGAAAAATGCTTCCGAAACAGCGAAAGACTCTGGATGGAATTGTGATCAACGAGATCTGGAAAGAAACGGCATCGGATCCCGGTAGGCGGGGGAGCTCAAGGTGGGGATTCGAACAAACTGCGGGAGAAAGTCGGAATCCGAGACCCCATCGTTGGCTATCCGCATGCTCAGGTGGAAGTATTAAATCTGAGATGAGGGGGCAAAAGTACAGTGACAGGTAGACCACAATTAACGGACATGAGCCGCGAATCACGCAAGGGCGAACGAAGCGACGCTAGCGCAGGACCAAGATCCAGGTGCGCCAAGCTGGCTCGTATGCCAGGGGCCGCGAATTAGCTGTGGGCGATCCTCGAATGAGACTATGCAGGAACCAACGAGAAGGGAACCTTGGAACTCAATCATCCTGGTTGCAGAGGGGTCTTCTCCCCAGTGGTTATCGAGCCCCCTCTGGCCCCCGGGGAAGATGATGGGATTAGAATCATCTTTTCTCCATAGAAATCCAAACACATGGACTCTGGAGACTGGAGAGACTCGAACTCGATAGCAGATACTCTCTCCACTTTCAGGGGACATGTCGTCATCGGTCAGATTGGCCCGCTCTGGGGCTCACGGACAAAGCGTGAGATACAACTGGCTCGTTTCCTATGAAAGCTTGGAACCCCGAACAAGGCTCGATCTCGTCGGCCCAAATACGGTTCTAGATCGGCAGTCTTTTCCCCAAGGAGAGTGATTACTCCGGAGGTTCAATAGCATTTCAGCTGGGCGGTGCACATGTGAGCTGAGAGATTCCACGGAGTATGACTTTTCCTTATCGCGGGGGTTTTCTGCCCATGTATAACAAAATTGTACTCTGCTGCTATTATAGAGAGTAATTCCAAGTATAAAGCAAACATCGGAACCTTTATAGTGGAGATCGGTGGAGGCTCATCTCAAAGAGAGGAAAGGTCCCCACGCGTGAAGAAAAAAAAAAAAAAAAAAGTGACAAACAGAGAAAAAGGAAAACAGATTTTCTTTATCTCCAAATCCAATTTCCCCGTTCTCCTTACGAACGAACTCTATTTAGGATCATTGGACAAGGAACTTTAGGACCTTTGAACAAGATTGAAACTTTACCTTTGGTTTCGAATTGGCCCCCAATTAAAAACCTCCCCAATCTAGATCTAATGATCGTGACTCCTCTTCAACCTTAACCTTGCAGCATTCCTCTTCATTAAGGTTGCCTGGCAGATCAAACCTTCAATGGTTGCTGGGACTGAGTTGCTGACATGAGTTGGGATCACCCTGTCCACAGGTATGCTCCCCTTCCCCTTCCCTCCCTTTCCTCGTGCGGGGTGCCTTCTCCCTTTAGAATGAAGACTGGCTTGTTCATACTCTTTCATGCCCCATTCTTCGACTATGCTAACCCACCCGGCCATGTTCAGCTTCAGCTATCCGAACGGCGAACCTCAAACTCCCACGAGGACTCCTACTACGGCCGCTTTCGACTCCTTTACTACTCCGAAACTCGAGTCAAGTTTCTTTGACCCTCGGGTCACCTGGGATACTGCCGACCCTTATGCCTCCAGTCCCGAGTTCCTACGGTCCCCTCAGAAGTTCGCCCTCGGTAACCCCTCAAATCCGTTCAAGACAGAGTCCCTCGACCAATGCATAGGAGACTTCAAGGATGGAAGGATTCTGGAACAGACCGATACCGCTAGGCGCATTCGCCCCGTGAAGCCAATGCCGGATATACGTGAGGATGGCCCCCGGATAGGGGATTCCGCAAAGTCCGCAGCTTCAATGCAGACACCACCACCCACCAGTGCCTCCAGGCGGAAGATCCCCAACTTCGACCCGCTGGCCAGTGTCGGGAGAGGTACCACTCCTCGGACAGGAACCCATCTGGAGACCCCCAGCCGATTGCTGGGAGAATCTCCACGGATGTTTGGTAATCTGCAGTCATCGCCAGATTTCTTCCAGCTGGCCTCGTTGAATCCGACGGGGTCTCCCCTCTTTCCACAACAGCGACTGTTCTGGGACCAGGACCATGAACAACCTCCGCACGACATCCCTCTTCCAGGCACTCACAGAAATACTGACCACCCGCCAAAAACCACCCCGAACACCGCTATAAAGACAAACATTCCCCAATTGCCAACTATTGACGGCTCCATGGACTTGCCAGAATTCAGCGGGTTTGGATTCTCATGCCACCCTACTGATGCAGCCCTGTTCCCTGCCCCATTCTCTACCTCCCCTCGCCGGCCGGTGGCGAAGGCAGAGGACCCCGCCATGTTCTTGAGTTCGCCTGCTCGCCGGTTCGGTGGACCTCAGACGACACCGGAACGAAAATCCCTACGTGGAATGCGACAGCCCTATCACCACCAGATTGAGGAATCAAAACGGGAAGAGCTCCTGCGGTCCCACAGTCAAGACCGCCAGGGCGTTGGATCCTTCTCGAGTGTATCAGATGACGATGATTATACACCTAGGGTACGACCAGGGTTGACTAGGAGTGTAACGCACACTGCTATGACGAGTTCCTCCCATCGCCCGCTTAGCCAGGCAGAAAAACCCTCCAATAATGGGATTCGCAAAAGCCCTTCAAAAGGACGGCTATCTCCAGTTAAAGGGATGCGTCCTGCTTCCCTAGCACGATCGGCCTCGGCCGCTTCATTCACCACTCGCTCCCAGTCTGTCGTGCTTCGTATCGGAAGAGATGGTCGGGCGAAGGCTGAAATGGAACCTGTTGATGAGGGTCCCTCGGGTTTGACTGATCCTCTGACTGGGATGGATCTTGACGGTTCCGCCACCGAAAGTGAAGCCGACCCTGCCGAGTATTCAGAATATCCTGTCCTGCCTCGGTCCCAATCATCGTTTTCCTTGTTGGACAGCCATTGCCCTAACTTGGCCCGTAGTGATTCTGGGTCCCGACCCCCGTCCAAGGGCTCCTATGCCTCCATTGGCTCATCACACTCCGGGCGAATGTCTCCTTGGGCAGGATCATCTCGGAATGTCTCCGGTAGATCTACGTATCGTGGGTCGCCCGAGGCCATCAAGCGGACCCCGAAGCGGCATTCATCATTGCTCCACTCTGATGCGACATATACTCGGGGTAGCGTGGCTTCCCAGTTATTGCCTGGAGATGAGGATGACAGCGGTGATGCCCAGGCTGCCCTCCGACAAGTCCTCAAGGAGCGTGGCCGTCCCAGGCCTTCTACAGGTGGCTACGGGGCTCGCCTCGCACGATCATCACATTCATTTGCCCATCTGCGATCATCCCCCCCTCGTATGCACAGTGATTTTGATATCCAATCCCGACATTCCAATGCATCCCCGACCACGGTGACCGATCCCGACTTAGCCACTCCCCACACGGAGCGACACAGCAACCATAGCAATCCTAGTAATGCTACCCGCTGTATTTGTAACTCCATGGACAATGGTGGGCACCTCATGATTCAATGGTCAGTCGTTACTCCGACGATTTCTTTCGCTGATGTCCACACACTAACCTATTTCTAGTGAATCCTGTACCCACTGGCTCCACACCAAATGTGTCGGGCTCGAACGAGCCAATCTCCCCTCTTTCTACGTGTGTATGTTCTGTGACCAGACCCCGTCGCGGGGAAACCGTGTTCGATCGGGCTACGGACCCGGTGGCGGTCCCCCCTCACCTTTAGCGCATAAATCATTTCGGTTCCGGCAAAGCTCCCGTTGAACTGTTGATGTACTCTGACGACTCTTTTCCTTTGTTCCATCCTGCATCAGCCGCGCGGTCCCCGTCTTGTATTCCCTAATCTGTTTCCCTTTCTCGATGATACCTATGTACTTTTGTACTATTACCACATATCCCCTTCTGCTCATATGGTCCCTTTGGCAATCCGGGATCCAATAGAAATTCATTCGGATATTTATGTCCTACGCTGTTTACATATTGCATACGTATAAACAAAGAACCTCTAATACAACCGGACCGGGACATATAGATCACCGGACCGGGATCTGCGTTGATGAGGGTCACGTGCTAGATCGACCTTGTACCTTATCGGCAAGCGCTCCCGAGATTTGTTTATCTCGTGATTATCATTGGCTGAAAACCTTATCCACCTCACCGCCTTTTTATCGGTTCCTGAAGAAAGAATCGACTCCCCGCAAAATTGAAAACGGAGCCATTCCCTCTTTGCTCGTGTGCACTTCACTCGTTTCGTTTGCACCATGTCTGCCTCGATTCCTGGCTCCCGTGACCTCCCGGTCTCTCAGTATGATTTGACTACCTACTGGGGCCGTGTTCGCCATGCCGCAGACATTTCCGACCCGCGGTGAGTCAAGTGTTTTCGCCTCCCGTAAACACATTACTGATTTGTTAATTTAGCACACTGCTCACCGGACCTGCTGGCTTGGAGCAAGCCAAGGGTGTTATTGCCCAATATAAACAAAACAAGATTCCCTTCATGACACCGGATCTATGGAGCGCAAAGAAGATCGTCGACGCTACTTTGCATCCCGGTATGGGCTGAGCCAGTTGGGAAACCAAAGCAGATTGGTCGCTAATAAAAATCACTGCAGATACTGGCGAACCGGTCTTTTTGCCATTCCGCATGTCCTGCTATGTCATGTCCAACTTGATTGTGACGGCGGGTATGCTTACCCCGGGTCTCCAGGTGAGTCAACTGATCTACAACTCCACGCTACATGCAGACTAATGCGTCACCCCTATATAGACCACTGGAACTCTCCTATGGCAAATCGGTAACCAGTCGCTCAATGTTGCAATCAACAATGCCAATGCCAACAAGTCGACCCCCCTGTCGTACTCCCAGATCGCCAAGTCCTACTGCATGGCTGTTACCGCTTCCTGCTCCGTCGCCCTGGGTCTTAACGCATTGGTCCCTCGCCTGAAGAGCATCTCCCCCAACACCCGCCTTATCCTCTCCCGCCTTGTCCCCTTCGCTGCCGTCGCTAGTGCCAGTGCCTTAAACGTCTTCCTCATGCGTGGTGAGGAGATCCGCCAGGGTATCGATGTGTACCCTGTCCTATCCGATGAGGAGCGTGCCAAGCGCGAGGAGATGGAGGATGCTGAACCCCTGCAGAGTCTGGGCAAGAGCAAGAAGGCCGCTACCATCGCTGTCGGTGAGACAGCCATCAGCCGTGTCCTGAACGCCACTCCCATCATGGTGCTTCCCCCTCTGATTCTTGTCCGCCTGGAGAAGACCCAGTGGCTTCGGGCTCGTCCTCGCATGATCCTGCCCGTCAACCTGGGTCTTGTCTTGACCACCTCTCTCTTTGCCCTGCCTTTGGCCCTGGCTGCCTTCCCCCAGCGTCAGGCTATCAGTGCCAGCAGCCTTGAGGAGGAGTTCCACAGCCGTGGTGGTCGTGACGGCATGGTCGAGTTCAACCGTGGAATGTAAAATTTGCTTTTTCTTAGCACTGGCGTTGCAGCGTCTGCATTTGCATGCAGGTAGATACTTTTTTTTTTCCTTTTTGGGATGCACATGCCTTTTTGCATAGATTTGGATTTTCCTAGGTATATATGTGGTTTTCAAGCCTAGCATTGCAATTCTATCATCTATCCTGATTCATTCAACAGAGGCGGCTTCCTTGCCTGGAGGACCTGTTCTAACTGTGCTGCAATGTTTAACAACTCATCATCGTTTCCGTGTCGACCCATCAATTCTATTCCAATTGGAATACCCCGAGGGGCTGATGCAGTAGCAGGACTAAAGCCGGCTTTATATCAATTAGTCTCGAATGAGTTACAACCCTGACACGTCACAAACTTACCTGGAATGCAAATCGCAGGGTTCCCGGTCACAGCAGCTAACACCCCATTGCGATTCGGCTGTCTCATTTCCCCAGCATTGACAACTAGCTGTCGCTGATGCGGATATACCAGTACATCCAGTTCATACTTGTCAAAGCACCGCCGTACCGATTCCTTCAGAGCTGCTATAGTATCAAGACGAGATCGGTACTCCTTGCTCGTGCGTGAGTATACCGCAGGATCAAGAAGAGGAGCATAGAAGACTTCCGTGACAGCTTCTTTGTCATATTCTCCACTGTGCGATATAGCTTGAAGCGAGAGATATGGAGTTGATGATACGTGCTGAGACTGAAGAAAGGAATCGAGACAATCCTTAAATTCAAAAGGCTGGGTATCTGCATTGGCGAGGAGGTTCGCTAATGTCCAGTCTGGATCTGAGTCCACGGGAACCAAAATGATATCCAATTCGCCTTGAACAGTATTTAACGTATCGCGAACGACACGTTGAACTATGCTGTTCTCGGCAATGACCTGTTCAGAGCAAGCTATGGCATCATCGAGTTCAAAATACGCTTTCAAAAATCCAAATCGTGATGCGCGCTGCTGCTGCTCATGACAAAAAGAACCAGAATAGGAAGTACTCATTGATCCACTTAATGACCCCCTCATGACCTCATATATAATCCTAACATCACCCACTGTTCGTCCCATGGGACCAGCTATATCCTGTGTCTCAGAAACAGGGACAATCCCCACACAAGAGACACTCCCCATTGACGGTCGAAACCCCACAATCGAACATGCAGATGCCGGGGACCGCAAAGAATTCATTGTGTCAGTTCCACATCCCACTAGTCCCAGGTTCGCTGCTAAGGCTGCAGCTGTCCCACCGGATGAACCACCCGGAGTACGGGATAAGTCATATGGATTGAGCGTCTGTCCGCCCAGAGACGAAGTCGTTGTTCCATGTAGAGCGAATTCGTGAAGATTTGCTTTTGCCAGAATTAGAGCGCCGGCGTTGATCAGGTGCGTGACTACCTCGCTATCTTTGCTGTGGAGGGTTTGTAAGGCCTTGGTCCCTGCGCTTGTGGGGAGGTTTGAAGTTGTATAGTTGTCCTTGAGGATTATAGGGACTCCATGGAGGCGTTTTAGAGGAAGTCCGTTTTGAATATGATGTTTTATCTCTGTGTCTTTTTCGATCGCTGTGGTCAGGGCGTTGGGATTGATTGTTATGAGTGTTTTGAGTGTGGGGTCGTGCTGTTTGATTCGGGCGAGGTAGATGCGTATTACTTCGCCGCAGCTGGTTTTGCCTTGGTGGAGTAAGTGATGGTATGCTGGAATGGTGAGCTCCAGTATGTTGGGTTGCTGGTGTGTATTCATGTTGTGTTGACTATCTAGTAATTTGATTTGAGGGGTTGAGTGGGTTGGCGTTGGGATGCCGATCTGAGAGCGGTTTAGTGGTTGTATACCCCAAATTTATACTCCAACTTTGGGGAATTTAACACCTACACCCGCAAGTACTAAGCGTCCTTGGGCATGCGGCACTGTCGAACGAATGACTATGCCAGCAGAGCGATGTTTGCTACCCAGATCTTGCATTATAGGGGGAGATTCGCTAGCCCGTCCCTTTCTTCTCTCTTCTAGAGTCTACACTCGACATATTTTGGAATGCTGCACTCGCATGTTTTAATTCAAGCATGATGGTGACTCATGAAATCCAAGCGCCCTGGATTGATTATAAGCTACTGATACAAATGCATAAACCTTGGAATATTATAAGATTGCTGTACGGGACAATGAAGCAAATCCCAATTTCCGAGGATCAATGGAGTCGGGCTAGGGCCCGGCCAATGCCTATGTACACTCTCCACTCCGGTACATGACGCCAGAGAAACAAATTCAACATGGTATAAAAAAACGCAACGTAAGGATCTCCAAACCCCACATGGGTAGTCGAAAAAAAAAATAAGTCAAAAAAGTAACGATCAAACGGCAGAGGGGATGGCAAAATGATATAAGAAGTAAAATATCACGATGGGAATCATCATCGTGCGAAATGCTAGACCGGGGTCGGACAGGGGATCAAGGACAAGATAAGAAGAGAACCGTGCCCCGACTGCCCAGGTGGTACAGAGTTCAGGGACAAGCCAGGATTGTGCGTGTTCATCAAACCAGCCCTAAAAAGGCAGCCGCCGGAGACCAGGAGAGAGAGAGAGAGAGAAGAGGAGAAAAAGACAGCAGTAAAAGAAACACATCATGAGCATCATTTTCCTAATGTGAAAACACCATCCCATTTCCATCCGTAATAAGAATTACCCAGAACATATGAACCATCTATCCATAATGGACCCAAGAGACGCCGGTGGATCCCCTAAAGATACGTGTCGCGAAAGCCTGATGAGGCGCAAAAGATTCACAAGAAGATATAGGGCTAGCGAGCGCTGGGGCGATGCAGGCCCATGCCGATCCTATAGGCTTCTGTGCCATCATCGATGATGCTCTCTTTGAACCATGGGTGCTTCAATGCATCCTTGGCAGTGATGCGTTGCTTGGGGTCGTAGACAAATATTAGGCGTAACAGGTCTAGGAATTGTCGGTTGAAAGGGGTACTGGTAGGAATGAAATCCTGCGCATAAGTTAGTAAGAAGCCTCCCAGAGCGAGTGACAAAAAGAAAACATACAGTTAGTTCTTTCATTGCACGAACATACTTCCGGGATGCCCGGGTTGTTTCTGTATTCGGATAGTCCAATTTGTTGCGGACGAAATATCTAAGAGTTGGGTCAGTAAAAGATCATGCACGTAATCGGAGAGTGACCTACTTGGCGGCTGAGTTGTGGTTGCCCCCACGTCCGGCCATAACTTGCCGGATCAATCGCGGATCGATCTTGTGTCCGATGACTGCCTCCATCATGGCCAGGTGTTCAAGGTTGTCATGAGTCTGAAACAGGGCATCTCCGGTGAAAAACTCGACTAGGATGCATCCAATACTCCATATATCACAAGAGAAACTCCACCCTAGGTTTAGAATGATTTCAGGTGCCCTGTAGTGTCGTGTGGAAACAACCGAAGAATGGTATTCATCGTCGAAAGTGGCAGAGCCAAAATCGATTAGCCGGATCTCGCTGTCAAGAAGTACCCGCCGCTGGCGGGCATTTCGAGGGTTCGCGTGGGAGGATGAGGGGATGGAGCGGTTGTATGTAAAAGTTTGGTAGGCGTTGCTGACAAGGAGAATGTTTTCGGGTTTCAAATCGGTGTGAATGAGGTTGAGGTCGTGAAGGACTGCAATGAGATTAGTGGTCAGATTCTATTTTCGTCCTTTGGTGAGCAATCAGGACTTACAGGCCACGCTTGTAAATAACTGGCGCGCAAAGCTCTGAATCTGACTGCTGGGGAACGGAACGAAGCCGTTGCCTTTCAGAAAATCAAATACACTCTGGCCCAGCAAGTCGGTGACGATGCAGATATGGTTCCGGAAATCAAAGCAGTCTCGCAGGTGAATACATTTGTTGCGATTGCTTTTGTCGTTCGAGGCTAGAGTTGACAGCACTCGCAACTCGATACGGGAAGCGTCCCTGTACTTTTGGATGGAGCGGATGATCTTGATTGCACAGCGGGCCTTTCGCGTCTTGTCATAAGCCTCCACCACTTTTCCGAATGTGCCCTGGCCTAGAAGTTTGATAACGGAGTCTAGCACAGAGTTAGTCACATCGGTACCAGCCTTGGCAGCAAGCGTAGGTTGTGAACTTACATCGATCGGTCAACGGTGTATCGGGAGTCACAATGTAGTGACCATCGTCGTCGTCGAACTTTTCATGTCGTGCACTCGTGTACTAAATGAGAACTCGAATTAGTTCGATTACATACAGCAAAATGAGGGGGAGCCGGTCACGCACATCACGAATGACAGGCACAGGCACATCTTTGGCTTTGATGACCGGGTGCGGTGGTGGAACATATTCGAGAAACGCGTCGCCCACAGTCTCAAGTTCGCGTCGTTTTTGCTCGTCGCGGGTTGACTTCCGAGTGGTCCGCTTACGCTTTTGACCAGCTGAAGCATCTTCATAGTAGATACCGTTGCTGGCGCCTGTGCTGCCCTGAGAGCCCAGTGACGTCGGGGCTGTCGTGTGCAAAGAGGTAGTTCGGTCGGTTGAGAGCGAGTTCGACGAATCCTCCCCATACTGCTGTGGATTGATGGAAAATGAAGGTCGGTCATAGTAGCCCAAATCATAGGCAGTCTCGATTCCAGTGCGTCGCCGCTTGCCCGCAGGCTGGGGTACAGCTGGTTGGCCGGCCGACGCGCCGTGACCCGGAGCTGGCGCGGGTTTAGAGGGTTTGGAGGCCTCAGGGCCTGGACTGTCATCTATCACAATGACTTCTTTGGGGATACCATTCTTATAGAATTCGCCCCAATCAGGCTTCTTCTTCCGACCGCTTTGCGAAGGGGCCGCGCTGGAGCCACTTTGATGGGAAGCCATGCCCGACGGGGTCGTTGTCGCCGGCGCGACTCGAGTAGATGGGTTGTAGGGAAGGGTGGTAGTCGGAGCGGTGGTTGGCGAGGGGACGGAGTAGGTGTAGGGATTTGTCAAGCGAGCCCCTGCGGCGGTCGTCGGGGTTGGGTAAGAGGTCGTCGCCTGGTATGAAGAATGGGGGTATCCGTAGCGCTGATGAGAGGGATGGGTTGCAGTAGCTGTGGATGGTGTGGACATTGTGTACGGATCAGTCTCGTCCGTCACACGAACGGGGTCCCAGGACGCGGAGAAGAGGGCGTTCACGACCGATTGCCGGTGGTGACCGAGGAGAAAGTCTTCGCGGTAGGATAAATACACGGCCAGATATCCTGGCCTACTGGTATCGAGCCGGGTCGATCAGATGGTAGTAGGGAGAATCGGAAGGGATTGACTTGGGACGTGACAATGACGAGGCGGTCGGAAAATGGGATGAGATCAGATCCGATGCATCTCTAGTAAAATCGGTGGGTGAAATTTTTTCTTTTCTCCGCCTCGAGGGTTATATCCAGGATATCACAATGAAGCAAAGTAGAAAGGGCGACTCATTGAGAATGAGTGGAACGACATTTATAAAGAAATGAGGAGGAAGAGGGGGGGGGGAAGAAGGAGTGAAGTTGATGATGGCGGCGAGCCAGAGTTGGGGGACGTAACAACGTTGCCGATCATTCATTTCTCTTAATGACTCGACTTTTTAGTATAATTGGATCAAAACAACATTCCGCTTTGCTTTTCTACCTGATTTTCCGTTCTTTTAAGGACTAAGATCTTTATATACCTTTCTCCTGTTTTCCCTTTGGATCACTGATTTTTCTATGGAAGCCCTAGTCCCGAGTGAAGGCTCCAAGTCCTCGCGCCCTAGGACTTGTCCCGTGTTGATTAAGCCACCGGGGGCACATTAGGGCCCATGCGCGTGAAAAGAAGAACTTTGTAGCTCATATGGGAATGAAGGAAAATCGAATTACGCCCTCATTCCATTTCTATGGCCCACTCCACGCCACCTGGAGTAGCCCTGGCTTAGCCGATCCAGCCCACACGCCCCATCACAGGCCATAGCGATCTGGAAATCCTAGAAAAGATGGATCTCGCCCCATCACGGCCCTAGATCAAATCAAAATCAAAAATCTCCATGAAAATATCTCAAATTCTTGCGGACCTGCGCGGCCGATCACCTGACATGCGGATGAACAGTAGGACCGATTCATAACCGAGTGTTCACCTGTTCACCTGTTCGCCCGTTCATCAATTCCAATTCTATTCAATATTTGAAGCTCGATGGTATCCATAGTTCATGTCTCAGTTGGAAGCAGATTCCAAAAGCCCGTTTTTGTACAATATCAGATTCCAATAGGTAGGATCGGTTCCCCATTTCAGAATATACATTCGGCTGACTTTGCCTAAATTTCGCTCCCTCAGCAGACAACCCTCAGGTAGATCTGATCACAATTGTCAGTAGAGCCCTCGAAACAAATCAATCACCAGGCACTTTACTTTCATTTGACCTGAGCGTCCATGGGTGAGGTAGCCGACATCTGGGGTAGTCCCAAGGTCACATATCGTAGGTAGGTGGCTATTAACCCGCTCCTTCGAAACCCCCATCTGATCGTACACTCAATGAAATATGTAAATCTTTTGTTCTTGAAACTCAGTGTGTTCTCGCTGGTGCTTTGAAATTGAAGTGGTACATGTGACGTCTAGGGCCTTATTTGGCTTTTAGAACCGAGTCACAAAAGCCCCTGGATATAAAGTATCCCCGAGATCGACTGGGGGCCGAAACCCCCAAATGAGAGACACTTCCAGACACTTTAAGTGTTTCATACATCCAGATTTACGAAAGTAATCCCTCTTCCAAGCATGCTAGGTATGACCTGACGCTCAGATACCACATTCCATGACCCAAATCGCGTGATTCAATGACCATACGGCCTATAATTCCCTAGATCTCCGAATTCTGTAACAGCGCATATACTTGATCGCATTCGCGGCCTTAATAAGCCCACAGAACTGATTAACAAACCAAAAGCTGGATGATTATTTCATGCAAATCTAAATAGTGTGGTTCTTGGACCGTGGTGGAAAAAGGCGAAACGATTGATTGACAAGACCTATGAACAACCCTGGAGGACGTATCTTCTCTATTGCTTTAACATTGAATGAAGAGTAGTTATTTAGGCATCATGATAAACTCCATTGAGACCTAGACCTAGAAAGGCAAGCTTGCCAGTGAATAAACCATGGAAGAGAAGGATATGGCTCCGCCACCGAACTGCTCGCCCGATCGGGTAAAGGATGCGGAAACCCAATATGGCTATGAACCAATCACCTCGACTTCTTAGACCCACCACTGGTCAGGTCTACTTCACATCCATCTTTTGAGGAAGATTGCATAGCCACTCTTGATGGAAGTGGAAAAATTCCATATCCATCGGGCCTGCATATAAGGCATGCCGTGTCCCCCTAGTTTTACAAGACTCAAACTCAACGATTGACTCTCATCATTGCCACTTTCCTACTTTGATCATACGTCCGAATTCACTTCACTATTTTGCGTGATGACGAACGATAATCCCATTACTCGAAAAGCATTTCAAGGTATTGCAGCGGGTATTGGCCTCGTGTCGGAGAGCATATCGGCACACAAGGCAAAGAAGCAGAACCAGTCAGCCCAAGAGTCCCCAGAAAACATCACAGAGAGGGAGCCTAATTCAGAGGAAGAAGACATTTTCATCCATGAGCTTTCTACTGAACAAAATGGGAACTCTGAGCACCCAACCAGAATCCTCGAAGAGCAATGGGCTCTGGATGAAGCCCAAGAGGAGATTCGGCATGGCTCCGGAGAGCCTGCCAGCTCTCCTCCACAATATACGGAGATTGACGAGGCCAGCCTTGCACATCAGTTTGCATATGCCCACCCAGCTCCGCCGCCCTATGCCGTAAGCAAGGAAAAGCCACAGCCACGGCTATCAGCACCAGTTGTTCTGCCCCAGCGGAGGCCAAAGACTCGCGATCGCGGTTTCATTCGAGCGTATGCTCCTGCTCTGGCCGATTGTGAAATCGATCAGACCATGTTCATTGACTTCCTCAACACTGCCGAGAAGGCCTGCCAAGCGGCCCAATGGCTTCAAGCGATCAATTTAGCTTCCATTGGAACGATCTGGCTGCCCTCCGTGACTGGCATTGCTGTTTCGATTGCCATTCAGATTGCCACCGATATTGCGATTGCGGCAGATGGTCGTCGAAAGTAAGAACATGGATGTGCACCCATCATTCGATGCTACTTTATGCTGACAGCTGCGCGCCAGGACAAACTTGTTTTTCGACCAAGTCAATAAAGAGTTTTTTCAACCTCGTGGACTGTATTGTCTTGTTATGACATGGAATCCTGACCTAGCTGATGCGCCTTCGACGGCTGTCGATCTCAATTCATTGATCTCTCAGACTGCGGGCGGTGGTAGCCCCGGCACTCTGGGACGCGTTCGACACAAATTCAAATCCTCTGACGGCAAAGGTTACGGTAACATCTTCCCCGAGGTAGCGCCTCTTGTTTTCCCCGAGATCGATCAGTTGGCATCCGACCCAAATGCGGAGAAAAAACTGTCCAAGATAAAGAAGAAAGGCCAATTCGTGAGTAGTTATATGGACAAGAGAGCCCAGGCCAAATTTGTAGGTATCATTGCTCATTCATTCCATTTGTTGATCTAACAGACTGAGCCACTAGATTGCCAAGAACCCGGATAGTCACTTGATTCAGGGTCCCAAACCTACCTTCACCTCCCGATATGCCGACCCAAACCACCCCGCTAGCAGTGGTGACCCGATTGCTCTGATAACGGGCGGAAAGTATAGCATGGATCAATTACAGAGGTTAAAGGCTGAGCAATCCCGCGGTGGGCGTGGTTACCCAAATGAATACCAGAATGATGGGTCTATGCGGACACACTCCGCTTCTAATCCGGCACCATGTGCACCGTACGGTCGTCGTATTGGGCTGAGAGACGCCATTGCTCAAGCGAGGGACCTGAGGAGCTCACAGAGCTCTACACAGTCATGCTCAAGGGATGGCCACTATTCTGGAGGTCGGGACTTCCCTGCCAGAGGATATTCGGCGAGCCAAAGGGATAACCGTGGTCTTTTGACACCAATTGCAAAACTTATGAAGAAGGTACAGTTTCCAAACGTCTCGGGAGATAAAGAATATGTCCTGACACTAAATAGAAAGTGCTTTATCTGGCTATTGTCAATATGCCATCGGAGGATGAGATGAAAGGAGCTCACGAAGCCGTGCGACAGATGGTTTGATGACGAAATTGTCTAGCCCTAACTTGCGTCTATTCGAGTCTGCGCAGCTCTACTCAAGTGTTATTACATACACTATTATAGACTTTATCAACGTTGTATTTTTCCATTGTTGTACTTAGAATTCCCATGCATAGAAAGACCTGGTGGCCCAGTTGACAAGCAAGGATCAGACGAATCAAATGCGAAATTATCTCTATTCGCACGCATAGTCAACCATTATTTCGAAAAAGAATTCAATAAAAAAGGGATTCCGGCATCTCTGTGTGAAAAGAATAACAAAAAAGTGCCCGAACGCCACGAACCAGACTCACGCAGATGCAAGAACTCTTGGAGCGGGGATCAGTATTACCCGATTCCTCCCTGCAATTTGACCCCCAGAAACAAATTAGTCCGGAAAATAAAGAAAACATGAAAGTAAGATTACAATGGTCTGGTTCGGTCAAGTTGAGCGATCCTCCTTGGGATCCTTCGAGTAGCCTCGTTGCACGTGTTTGATTCCTCGTCCATCAGCCTCAAGCATGAACAAGAGATCCCGGACCTGAATACCAGACCCCTTCTCTTTATCCTCACGCCAGGTTCCAATCCGTCGCTTCGGCTGACCGGCTGGCGTTTCTCCAGAGCGACCGGGTTTGTCCGGCGTAGCAGTAGGAGTAGAAGGGGCGGCGCGTGATGGCGATGAGAATCCACTGGACGAGCCCCCAGGCTTCAACCACGAGTAAGACTTCTTAGTTCCAAACATACGGCCAGAAAGCATGCTATTGGTAGCTAAACGAGCCGTTTCAACGGACTGCTGGTGCTGCTGCGCCTCACTGGCCTTGGAGTCCATCATCTTCTTCGCTTCCTTCTTGGTCATGGACTTTTTATCGAAGCTGGGGGCTCGTTCGGCGATAGGTGTCGAGGGAGCGGATCCGGTGACATCAATAGAATCAGCCCGATTGCCGGTGAATTCATCAACAGTGGCATCTGCGTTACGCTTCGCGCGTTTCGCTTCTCGCTTGTTCTCCTGTGAAGACTCTTTATTCACAAGGGCGCGGTATTTCTCGGCGACTGGTCTTGAAAGAGATGTTTCGCTACCAGGACGAGGGCCTATTAAATGGTCAGTTTGTAGTGAATTTGATGTGCCTCACACAATACACATACGCTTGGAAGGAGTTGCCGTATTCCCAGTGACTGGATTCAGAGGCTGTGCGACATCCTGCCACTCATCCGGGACCACGCCATGTGAATGTGCCTGGCGGCTGCGAGATAGGGTTGAGGAATAGTCAATGATGCCCCGTAGTCGCTCTTCGCAAGAAAGCGACATCAGATTCAGAATGTCCACCAGGGGTGCCCCCTCCTGATTCAGAATAGTCTGACCGGTACGAATGACAGACGACCCATCGGGTCCAGTAACTTCAATAGGCTGCGGTCGACCGGGAACGGGATGAAAAAGACCCTCGGAGGGAATGCGAACACCAAGATCGAAGCCTCGTTTCTGGATCTTCTGCTCGAGCAATTTTGCTAACAAGAATGGCTCTTGTAAGTGATATTGTGCCCGCCTTGCGGCTTCCGTATCCTCACGAGTCGGCTCATTAGGGTCTTTGAACGGGACTGGGGTTTGCGAGGCTGGATCGGAGAACGACTGTTGCGGGATCGCCGGTTTCACGTGGGACATATCGCCAAAACTGCTAGATGCCGAAAGTGTTCCTGCTGAGGCTTGAGATGCAAACGAAGTGTTGATGGGCGGCGGATGATGGGGTGTTTGCCCTCGAGGAGCCGGCTGCGCCTGCGCATTAGGCCCCGAGAAGCTGCGCGTAAGAAAGGCCTCTTCCTCTCGCACGTCGATACCCGATGATGCCAGAACATCCGTCAATTCCGCCGCATCGGTAGTTTTATCCACAGGGCGCGAAGGTGGTCCCATAGTACCCGGGGGTGGTGGCATGTTGTTCGGAGCAGTGCCGTTCATAGGAGGTGGGTGTTGGGGTTGAAGTTGAGTTTGAGGGAGTTGCATTGCCCCAAAGCTTGGTGAAGCGTAAGGAGACTGCGACTGCGATGGTGGAAGCGGAGAAAGGCGAGGGCGTTTGGATGGAGGAGGAGCTGCGCCTCCATTTACGGGCGAGGAGGCGGAGTGAGGTGAGGGAGAGGAGACGGGAGGAGAGAAAGGTTGAGAAGTGAATTGAGGCGGCGGCTGTTGCTGCTGTTGGGGGTGCCGAGTTTGCGCCATGATGAATAATATCCCAGAGATGAGCGGCAAAAACTAATGAATTGGAATTCGACTACTGCGCGAGATGAAGAGACGTCCACGCGTGGTCGTTCAAGTGAGCGGCTTGCTCACACCACCAGATACCACCAGGTGGGACCATCTCAGAATACCCTTGAAACCATGAAGTTGACGCGTAGGAGGAATTTTAAATAATAAGTAGAGCGGACAAGCGGACGTGATAGGCTGTATGGACGCTGGCGATGCGGGACGAGGGGAACAGGGAGCTTTGCGTTTCTCTGAGGTTTTGCTCCGCGGATCGCGCTGGTCACGTGTCGCTTAGTTAACGGCTGGGGAACCACCTCGCCAAAGCGGTGAACGCGGTCGACTTGATTCGCGACTTAATTCTACATCTCATTATATTTGTCCGGCATTCATTCCGCGTCGCTTTTTATCGTCGTTTCGATTTTTCATTATCGCCTTGGCCATGGATATGACCTGTAACGGACACTGATTGCTCGGTTTCTAATCAGCCGCGAAGGAGTTCACGGTGCCCTTCACGGAGCCCTTCACTCGAACGATTCTGCCGGCAAGCAATTGCGACTACGACACACCTTATTTTTTGACCAGTTCAAGCTTTAGGATTCGGTAAAGATGGCGGCCAAGCGCAAAGCTTCAGCAATGGGTGCCGCCATGGATGATGAACCGGTCGATCCCTCGGATGAGCTGGCGTTCTATTGTCTCGGCGGAGGCAATGAAGTCGGACGATCATGTCATATCATCCAATACAAGGGCAAGACGGTCATGGTAAGCTTGGAAAATGGAGATTGAAAGTTTTTGATGGGCTAATCTTAGGACTCGATTCTTGACAGCTTGATGCGGGCATGCATCCGGCCAAAGAAGGCTTCTCAGCGCTTCCCTTCTTTGACGAGTTTGATTTAAGTACAGTTGATATCCTTCTTATCAGCCAGTAAGTTAATTTCTCTGCCTTCGAGCACCAGCACTGAGGACCTTGGTGACATGCGCTCCGGCACGGGTCACGGTGTTTTGTGCTCAATGCATCCTGGTTGTAGACAAGTATCCCATATACAATCTATGCCAGCATCGAAACTCGCCATCATCTCGTTGCCCCATCTTTCTTTGTTTTTCAGTCGCTAATGATTCATTTTTGGCTGTAGTTTTCACGTCGATCACTCTTCCGCACTCCCTTATGTCCTCAGCAAGACAAACTTCAAAGGTCGTGTTTTCATGACACACGCTACAAAAGCCATCTACAAATGGTTGATTCAGGATAATGTCCGAGTCAGCAACACATCCTCCTCCTCAGATCAGCGCACCACCCTGTATACCGAGCGCGATCACCTCTCAACCCTCCCTCTAATCGAGACTATCGACTTCAATACAACACACACCATCAACAGCATCCGTATCACGCCCTTCCCCGCCGGCCATGTTTTGGGCGCTGCTATGTTCTTGGTATCTATTGCTGGCCTGAATATCCTGTTCACGGGCGACTATTCGCGTGAAGAGGACCGCCATTTAATCCCGGCTACCGTTCCCAAGGGAATTAACATTGATGTTCTGATTACGGAATCAACATTTGGCATTTCATCCAATCCCCCAAGATTGGAACGAGAGGCTGCTCTGATGAAGTCAATTACTGGTGTCCTGAACCGCGGAGGTCGTGTGTTGATGCCAGTATTTGCTCTCGGCCGTGCACAGGAACTGCTTCTTATTCTTGAAGAATACTGGGAGCGGCATCCGGAATTGCAGAAAGTCCCCATCTATTACATCGGCAACATGGCCCGTCGTTGCATGGTTGTGTACCAGACATATATCGGTGCCATGAATGACAACATCAAACGACTTTTCCGGCAACGTATGGCTGAAGCCGAGGCAAGCGGAGATAAGAGTATCACGGCAGGACCATGGGATTTCCGCTTTGTTAGAAGTCTTCGGAGTCTGGAACGATTTGATGATGTCGGAGGTTGTGTGATGATTGCCTCTCCTGGTATGCTTCAAACCGGAACTAGCCGAGAATTGCTTGAGAGGTGGGCCCCAAGCGAGCGCAATGGTGTTGTCATGACTGGCTACAGTGTCGAAGGTACCATGGCCAAGCAACTGCTCAATGAGCCTGACCAAATTCCTGCCGTTATGTCTAAAGTTTCTGCCATCCAAGGTCGTGGCCGAGTTCCTGGAGGCAACGACGACGAACAGAAAGTGATGATTCCACGCCGTTGCACCGTTGATGAGATTAGTTTCGCAGCCCACGTTGATGGTGTGGAGAATCGCAACTTCATTGAGGAAGTTGCTGCCCCGGTGGTTGTAAGTAGATCAGGGTTACCTTGCGTCGTGCTAGCTACTGACATCTTAACAGATTTTGGTCCATGGTGAAAAGCACCAGATGATGAGACTCAAGTCCAAGCTGCTCAGTCTCAATGCTGACAAAACAGTCAAGGTCAAGGTTTATACACCGGCAAACTGTGATGAAGTGCGCATTCCCTTCAGGAAAGACAAAATAGCAAAGGTGGTTGGCAAACTGGCACAGATTGCTCCGCCTTCAGAGCAAGACGACAGCCAGCTCATGGCTGGAGTTTTGGTTCAAAATGGATTTGATCTGTCTTTAATGGCCCCGGAAGACCTCCGAGAGTACGCTGGCTTAACGACATCTATCATCACCTGCAAACAACACCTTACCCTTAGCTCCGCTAGTATGGAGCTAATAAAATGGGCTCTTGAGAGCACATTTGGCGCCATTGAGGAGATCGGTACAGACATCAAGGAAAAGATGGAGGCCAACGGTGACTCGAAAGCATATCTTCATGGGGAAGCTGCAGATGAGGAGATTCCCATGGACCGAACTCAAACTTTCCTAATAATGGGCTGTGTCATTTTGCGGTACCATCCACGAAGCCGTGAGGTCGAGCTCGAGTGGGAGGGCAATATGATGAATGACGGAGTTGCCGATGCCGTCATGGCCGTGCTTCTCACAGTCGAGAGCAGCCCAGCCTCCGTGAAACGTAAGAGAACATACAAACCCCTTTTATCGAAATGAGACTAATAGTTGTATTTCTAGAATCGGCCAAGCAAAATCATCACCATCATCACCACGACGATCATTTTGACGCGATCCCCAACCCCCATTCACATCTTGGAGCCGACGATCGACTTGATCGACTTCTTATGATGTTGGAGATGCAATTCGGCTCTGACATTGCCCCCATTGAACGCCCTCGTATACCGACTGACCTTGCAATCGACGTAAATGACGGTGACGAAGCCAATCTCAACGAACAGCGTGTTGCTGACATTGAGTCGGCTGAACTGGAGCGTCTCCATGCCCTGAGTATCCCAGTTCCTGGAATTGAAATCAAGGTGGACAAGCACGTTGCCCGTGTCTGGTTGGAGAACCTGGAAGTGGAATGTGCTAATGCAATTCTGCGTGACCGAGTCCGTATCGTCGTTGAGAGGGCCGTTGAAACTATTGCTGGTCTATGGGCAGCTAGCTCCATGCCCAAGGAGGCTGTAGTGCCCAATGGTCCCGTTAAGTCCCAGGCGGCACTTGAACTTACTGCTAGGACCAAGGCGGCTGCTATTGAGTCACAGGGTTGATTTTATGTACAATAATGGGAGTGTTTGGCTTAAACAGAGATGATTTCTCACTGATATATTCACACTCGATTCGCATTACTATTGTTTAGAACCCTACTTTATATACCGAAGAGGGAAAAAATGAAAGCCTCGACACATCACAGGCCCAGCTCATTGAGAACGTCCGCAAGCACGTTTGCAGCGCCATCAACAATGAGGTCGATTTCCTCTTTTGAAACAGTAAAGGGGGGTGACAACAGCACATGGTCACCCCGAACCCCATCCACCGTCCCGGAATTGCCATATAGTGAGAGAGAATACTCGGAGCATAAACCCCTTTCTTGTATTAGAAAAGATAATCGAGTCGCCGGATCAAACGGCTCTTTCGTAGTTTTGTCTTTGACAAATTCAATCTGCAAATAAGAGAATCAGTGATTCAAACCCGAGAAATTTCATGTTCTTTCTTCCTTACACCCCAGAATAGCCCTTTGCCTCGAATGTCTCCAACATACGGGTGGTCGCCAAGACGCTGGCGAAGCTGTTGTTCCAGGTATGCTCCCATGTTGCGCACATTTTCCAACAATTTCTGTTCTTGGATTGTCTTCTGCACCGCCAAGGCAGCAGCACAAGAGACTGGATGGCCCTGGTAGGTTTGTCCATGTCGGAACACACCCGTTCCCCTATCCAGCACCTGCACTATAGAGTCGTTGATCAAGATTCCGGAAACCGGAGCATAGCCTCCACCAAGGCCTTTACCTATGGTTTGGATATCCGGAATAACGTCTTCCTGTTCCCAGGCATGAAGAGTTCCGCATCGGCCCATGCCACTCATGATCTCATCCATGATTAATAGAGCACCGTATTTCTCACAAATGGCTTTCATGGCAGGGAAGTATCCCGGCACCGCTGGGACACATCCAAGGGCCTGATTTGCGGGTCGTCAGTTTATTCTTCCAAGTTAATGGGCGGATCCATTCTTACAGCTCCGACTACAGGCTCTGCGATGAATGCGCACACAGTCTCCGGGCCAACTCGCTGGAACTCTGCATCCAGCTCGGCTGCAAGGCGGGCCACATAGCTGGCGTCTGGCTCGCCAATATTTTTGCCGCGGTATGCATTGCACGGTGATACATGAGATGTGTTCTTCGCTAGCAAAGGCTCGAATGGTTCTCTTCGAAGGACGTGCCCTCCAACAGCCAAGGCCCCGAGGGTGGTTCCGTGGTAAGAGGGCAGGCGAGCGATGAAACGTTCGCGTTGGGGTTGGGGACTAGAGAGCTCGAGAAAGTATTGACGCGCCAGTTTCAAAGCAGCCTCAACCGCTTCGGAACCTAAATGAAATACTGAATAAGTGGCTTTGAATTTGATGAAGCTTCTAGAAAGATACTGACCAGAACTGACTACAAATAACTTGGACATTCTGCCCTCAGTTGAATCCACTAGAAGTCGAGCCAGCCCTTCGGCAACACCGGTTCCAAAGAATGCAGAGTGACAATAGGATATCTGATCCATTTGGTCTTTGATAGCCTGCTGAACGGTTTCATTACCGTGGCCGAGACATGAGACAGCTGCACCGCCAGTTGAGTCGAGGAATTTTGTACCATCTTCAAGAAAGATGTAACTTCCTTTACCACCCACAGCTTTTTTGGGAATAAATTGGCTATCCCGGTGCAGCACCGCACTGCGCGAACTATTTGAAGCTGTTTGAAGACGTCAGCACGATCACCGCACTTAGGTTGGAACACTCCATACCGGACTGCGCCATATCGGAAACGAATAAGTAAAAGCAAGGTATTTTGTATCAAAATGTTGTACGAAGAGAAGTTAGCTTATGAGAAAGTCGGAAATTAGCTTCTTCTTAAACTAAATTTCGACCCGAGGCAATTCAATTGCCTGCGGGGCGAAGTGGGTTCGGCATGCCGATCTGGAGAAGCCGCAAGGCCGATTGGCCCTTGTGTGGGCCAGCGCACGGCGATTGATGGGTCCTTGGCGGAGTTATGTCCATAGTGGAGAAAGTTCTCCAAGGGCATTCCTATCTTCCTTAGTGCGCTCAGATCGCATGCTACGAATGAGCCAGCGCAACACCAACCATGATTGTCAATTCTAGGCAAAGATCGCCGGTACCTGGCCAGACACTGTATGATGTAACATTTCCTTGGCCCCTCCTTTTCGATTTTAAGCTGCCTTCTGATCTCACAGCCCCATCTGACGAACATAACTCATAGGAGGGGGAAAAAAGAAGAAGATCTGCGATGCTCATTTGCTTGCTTCCAGTACATCTCAATCAGTCTGTTTTTTCCGATGGAATGCCTCCATTCCGATATTGCCAAAGCCGACTGTAGTCTTTGACGCGCAATACCGGGGAATGATTTTCTTGTTGGGGTTCCGTGGAGGAAATAGGGCGCAGGGTTTCCTCGCAATTCTCATGGGGTGTGCAATTGGATATTCTCTCAACTTCCATATCCATGAATGAGTTGTTTTCCAGCACTTTGTGGTCAAGTCCCAGGGTAAACATGGTATCCAAATAGTGTTGATCTAGGAGATGACCTGAGCCCGCACGGATGAACAGGCGGCCTATATATCGGTTGGGGATGGTGATAAAATGCAGAACACCGATCAGTGAGACCATATCAGCTGAGTTGGCATAGTGCTCTATGTGCCCCACAGAATAATCGAATCGCGAAGGAAAGGCGGTAAATTCGCTCCCATTCTGCTTGGCATGGAATATACGACGAGGATTGTTAAAGTGATTCGCCGCATTTGCGAAGGTGTAGACCTCTAGACATTCAAGTATGGGCTGGGGAAGTTCATCGAAAAGCCAATCAATCACCAAGCCACCCTCGATTCCTCCCTGGCTGTGAAGTATCAAGACCACTTTGTCGCAGTCGGGATCTAATAACGCCTTTTTGATGAGTGGATATGCGTCTCGTACATCCGCGGTGGCATAAGTAAAGCAGCGCTGAATCAAACATTCGATCAGATCAAAGATGATGCCGGATCTACAAGTGCGGATTAAGACCGATTGTTAAGGAATATTCAAGAGTCCTGGGGACATACGTGCGATTGTGAATTCCCGTAATTCTTCGACCAAAAGTATAGGAAAGTTGGTCTAAATTGTTTTGCATCCAGGAGTGGCTTTGTTGCATGAGTCGAAGGTGATCAATTGTGGTTCAGATCGTTGGAGCTTACCTGCCAGCTATGCCATTTATGAAGAACCAACGCTCGCGGGTATGGACAGGTTGCTCAGAAATCGGGACCTGTGACACAAAGACCCTGCGGAAACCATTCAACAAGATCATGCAGATGACATAGTTCGAGGTCAGTGTGACGGTGATGTATACGAGAATCCATAGAGCAGGCACCATGCATATCACGGTGAATGGAATGGAAAGGAGAAAGAACACCTGAAAGATAGTAAGAAACACCTGAGTTCCGACCGATATTGCGTTCCGAGGCGATGGATGCAGCTCATCCAATCGATCGGTTTTGCCCAATCGGAGGGGGAAGAGCAAAAGAGGCAGAGCCCAGGCATATCGCACGGCTAGGCGAAGGTCGTCCCATAGGAGCTTGAGTGGGGATGCAGTATATGGCAACGGTGTTGCATTTGGAGGCCGATGGGCCAAACGAACCTGGGGAGTCATTATGCCATCAGCTGGAGAGAATGGGTGGACCAAGTCAATTGTCACAAAAACGATGAAGCTTGAAACAGTGAAAACACGGGGCCCAACAGGTCAATCGTATCATCCGTCATGTGATTGCATTCTTGCCCATTGGGTTCAACATGCGGGGAGATCATGTGCTCGGACCGCACCTACGGGGCAACGTGGATATCTACTGACCAGCTGCAAGTGAGTTGTACATACCCTTATCTGCAAGGATTTGATAGCGTGTCGGAGATCGGCTTTCTCCGTCCAACGCGGCAGGGGTCTCATTCATACAAGACAGCCAGAATCTCTACGAGGGTACCCCGAGTTGAACTTGAATCCCGCCTACCATGAACGAGGCCTCGATTATCACCGATCTGGAACAACCATGGCAGCGGGACCGGTTACTTGAGGTGCGCACCGGCAAGGCCAAACCAGTTTTTGGCTTATCTGTTCAATCGGCCATTTTAAAATCGGTGCGGTACGGCCCAGTACCCGTGAGCAAGTTGGGGTGCCGTGGGGATGAGCATGCATATGAATTTCACGGAGGTCTTGACAAGGCACTACTCCAGTATTGTTCGCGACACTATGACACCTGGAGCCAAGAGTTACCCAGAAGCGCTCATTTGTTTCGATTGGGTGGGTTTGGTGAAAATATGGTGGCTCAGAAAGCAAACGAGCGCAATACGTGCATTGGGGACATTATACGCATTGGCCGTGATGTGATTGCTCAAGTTAGCTTGCCACGGCAGCCTTGCTACAAGCTCAATCACCGCTTCCAGGGAAAAAAATATGTCCCGGCTCAGTCAGGAGATGTGTAGGACTGGTTGGTACTATCGGATTATTCAGGAAGGATCTATTCGGGCTGGGGATGAGATCGTTTTAGTCGAACGCCCGCACCCGCTGTGGAACATCGCACGCGTGCAGCATTATCTCTACATTGAAAAGGAAAATATGGACATGATGAGGCAATTGGCCGACCTGGACTCTTTGGGAATGGAGATCCGAAACATTTTTGAGAATCGACTTAGAAAGAAATTTGAAAACCAGGAGCAACGCCTTTTAGGCGACAGTGTCATGACCCTTAACATGTGGACGGATTATCGACTTATTCAGAAGGAAAATGAGACCCCTACAGTGACGTCCTTTGTTTTTGAAGCATTGGACATGAGGGATTCTCCTCAAAAAGTCCAGCCCGGCACCCATGTACGCTTGAAATTGGGTGGCCGTCTCATTCGTGCGTATTCGGTGGTTGAGGGTAACCAAAATAGGTTTACCCTTGGAGTGGCTCTGAATCCACAAACATCCCGAGGAGGTTCTCTGTACCTCCATCGCGCCCTGAAGGAAGGAGATACGATTACAATAAGCGAATTCTCGGCGACCTTTCCATTGGCTACGGAGGCGGATCGTCATGTTTTGATTGCCGGTGGAATTGGAATTACTGGGTTGCTAGCATCTGCTCGAGAACTACAACAGGGATGCCAACGATATCACCTCCACTATATCATTCGGTCAGCCAAAGAAGTCGCCTTCAAGTCACTTCTCGATGAACTGAGCCCCAACGTGACGATCTATACCAAGGAAAAGGACAGGCTATTCGATGTGTCCAAAGTGCTGCAGAATACTGATAGAAGCGCCCATATCTACTGTTGTTCCGGAGAGCGCCTAATGAATGCAGTGCGCAACACCGCAAAGAATTTTGGGTTTTCTGAACGAAATGTACATTTTGAATCCTTCCAGGCCGGCTCAACGGGGGATCCCTTCACAGCCGAATTAGCCGAGTCCAAGAAGGGAGTGGAGGTGGTGGGTGGAGAGAGTCTGTTGAACGCTCTTCGATCTGCCGGATTTGATATTCCATCTACCTGCGAAGCCGGCAATTGTGGCACATGTCGGGTTGGTGTGCGTAAAGGGCGAATTGAACATCGTGGCACCGGGTTACTTGAGAATGAAAAAGACACTGCGATGCTAAGTTGTGTATCGCGGGGAATTGGACATATTGTCTTGGACCTATAGGATTTTGTCCAAAAGCAAAGCGAATGTTGCTCATATAAATGTGAAAGAATAAACATTATTGACAGTAAGTCACGGTAATTCGTGGAGAAAACCATGTACAAAGAATTGACTATGAGCATTCTCAAATTATTAATACAGTAGAGCCAGACCCTGAGCGGACCCACATCCGAAATACGTGAAGCAAGAAGAGAAAGGAAAGCAATGACCTCGTAGCCACAAGGAGATGACCAGCAACTCCAAGCCCCCCCGGGGGACTATGCATAAACAATTGACACATTCTTAGTTTCATCACGGAGCCTTAATTGTGTAGGACGCTGCTGGGAACACTGTGACTCGGCCCTTTTAGACTGTCCACTGTCTTCCGGCGCAGACGAGTCCGAGTGGCTGGGCCGTCAGATGAGACAACTGCCGCTTCGGGCTCGGTTTCCTCGGCCAACTCGGCAGCCTTGAGAGTGTCCAAATCCACCTGCTTCTGAGCAATCTCTCGGGCCCGCTCGTAGCGAGATGTGACATCGCCTGTCCATCGTGTGCCGAGTAGGCGGTCCCAGAAGATAAAGAATGGCTGCGAGAAGTTGGTCTTGATACCCCAACTCTGGTGGTGAATGTCATGGTAGGCAGCATTGTTCGAAGTGAAGTGCTGCAGAGGATCCCATGGGAATTCGTAGCCGCAATGGTCATCGACAGTCTTGATGGTCGACATGGTGAAGAACCACATTCCTTGTCGATTGTTCATCCCGGAGACTAGGAAGCCAATACCAGTGCCGAAAGTATCTAGCAGAAAGCCTTCCACGGGATGATTATACAGGGCTCCGAAAGCGTAAGGAACATAAAGTCGGTGGTGACGAGAGTGGAAAGTTACTGAGACATTAATTAGCTGGGGAGGCCTTTCAGTTTGAATGAACGAATCTCACCATAGAGCCATCGGTTGAGGTGCATCGCCCGATGCAAGAAATATTGCCAAGTATCGACGATAGAGACCGCGAGCATAAACTGAAGCGCCGGAACGAAATACCAGTAAATGAAGCTCGCCAAGGTCAACTCCCAACCGGTGAAGGCAGGCGCGGATACCTCGGCTCCAGTGTCGAGAATCAGCGACTGCATCAGATCCGGGTAAGAGCCTCCTGCCAGTGCGCCAGCTAGCAAGGTGTGTCCGTTTTGTGACATTGACTTGGCCAGACCCGCCGCGTCCACGCCGACCAGAGCCAGCATGGGGGGAATGGCTCGTTGGGCGAGTCTTAGTCGTTGCGCCCAGACGGCTACGTCGTAATCCTCACGGCCAACTGTCTCCACTGGATCGAAATAAGCCACGGACATGCCGGCGATTGTTTGTACGACCTGCTGCAGAATAACATCGCGCACGACTTCCCATCGGGTCACGCGGTTCCGCTTCAATACTTCGGCGGGGGTGTGTAGGCGGTATTGTTCAAAGTATCCGTAAACATCGATGAAGTGATAGACCATAGACAAACCCCAGTATGCAATGATGGGCAGCGCCAAGGCTAGGACATTGTCGGGGATGGGGGCGAGTACGGGTTGCCGCACGGAGAGGGTGTAACTCGGGAGGGGAGGAAGGTCCCAGGCGACTGACGCGTTGGCAGCCATAATGGCAAAAGTGGCGCTCAATGTCGGAAGGCAAAACTTGAGCGGTCGGATCGAGATTAGGAGAAGAGTTGGATGACAGACCAAAAAAAAGTTGGATGGAGATGTGAATGGGGGTCGCGCGATAAGCTTGGAAATCAGGAAATGAACTTTGACAGTAACGACCCGGGCAAGGGACTCGGGGAGAGCACAATGACAATCTGTGTAGAGCAAGTGCAATGCACGATCCTACACCGAGCCCCAGCAGAGAATCTGATAAGAATACAGGAAGAGGAATGAAAGATAAAAAAGGAAAGATGATCAGGAGGCGAAATGATGGGAAGAAAGAAGTAAAGAAGTGGCGCCAGTCGGATGCGGACACTACGGATGACGACGGATAGATGAATTTCCTGGCTCCGATTGGCTGAAAAATGCATGATACCGTATCAAGGCAGTATTGAATCTCCCGATGCGGCGAATTGTTTACTCCCAAGCTGGTTTGGGTGTATCCTGTGGATGATCTATACTGGATGAATTGGGGGATTGATCATATGGTGCGTTCAGCGGAATGAATGATTTCGTATTCTCCATTGCATCTGCTTCAAGGTTGGTGGCCTGACTGGGCATACGCGGGGATTATGCCTCACCACAAACAGCGTGGATACTGAAGTTTATACCATTCCTTATAAGTAGAAAGATATGCTTGAATAACTGAGTATGAGTATTGAAGCTATGCCTTGCTTTGGCCATAAAGCATAAATGATATAAAGATAGGCAATGGCAGTGGGGAATTATACCTGATCCAAAGTGTTGAACTATAGCGATGGCGAAAAGGCAGTAGTCTCCCCATAAACCACCATGAGTGATGGGTATCATCAATTATCATTAACTAGTTCCACTCAAGGTGAGTATATTGCTTTTTGTAATACTGCCAAGGTCAAGATCATCATATTCATATAATACTACCATGCTCCTATGCCTCGCTGTTCTGCTATACTACTGCTGTCTCGCCCCGTGATCGGGACAAACAGAGCAAACTCCCCCACCAACCACAGCCCGCCACTAAAAAAAAACTTCTTCCCCTCCTTTTTTTTGTTTTCCCTCTCTTCCCCTCCACTCCTTGTCAATTCTCCTTTGTGAAAACATTATACCCCTCCCACCATCATCATGATTATCTACACTGTATGTCACCCACATATAGTCCCTTAAACGTCTCGCTTGGGACCTCATTGAGTCGAACTCGAGTCTTCGACTTCATTATACCTGATCGGTAAACTGACGATCTTCAGGACATCATCTCCGGCGACGAGATTCTCTCGGACGCTTACGACATTAAAGAATCCAAGGACTGCCCCATCCTGTGGGAGACCGACTGCCGCAAGTACTCCAAGAAGGTCGGCGAGGACTTCGAGCTTGCTGGCGCCAACCCCTCCGCTGAGGATGCTGCCGACGATGACAACGGCGAGGCCGAGATGGTCATGGTCCACGACATTGAGGACCAGTTCCGTCTCCACTGGCTGAAGACCGAGGAGGGCATGAAGCCCTCCAAGGATGCCTTCAAGGGCCACCTGAAGTGTATGTGGCTTGATGGTTCACTCAATGTCTATACTCGTCCAACTAACCGATCCACTTTTCTAGCCTACATCAAGAAGGTCAACAAGGCCCTTGCCGAGAAGGGTGACGAGGAGGCCGTTAAGGAGTTCCAGAAGCACGCTGCTGCTGCCATGAAGAAGATTATTGCCGAATACGACGATTACGATGTCCTCATGGGCCAGAGCATGACCGGTGATGCTATGTACGTTGTCATTGATACCGCGCCACTCTTGCAATTGCGAATCTCCATTTACTGACTTATCTAGGCACGTCCTGATCAACTTCCGTGAGGATGGTGTCACCCCCTTCGCCATTGTCTGGAAGCACGGTTTGAACTCGATGAAGGTCTAAGCGCTTTTGATCTTTGCTGGCGATAATGCATTGCACTTGACCTGAAGAAATAAAAAAGTTACGAAACGCGAGCCCTCTGCATCCCTGTCTAGATCGGACGCGGAGATGGCTTTTATTCTCTCCCACCGGGCCGGATCTTTGGTCTGGTTTGGCTTTTACATGTCGCATCTTCGTATCATAATTGGTCGATCCTTCTGATCGTCAAGAGTAACGCCTCACGAATCAATAACCCGTTATGTCCCCCTTTCCTATTGGTTGCTTGTGGCAGCTCAGTCCACATAGTCGAAACGTAGAAGATTGCCGTAATTTTGAGAAGACCACTTTCTCTCTAGTATTATGCGTCTTTCCAAACGCCTGTATGTACAATCCAGCCCAATTTACCAATTATGTTACAGATTATGCACGTGTCATGCGGACCTTGCATGATTAACAATATCCCGTCCAGTCACTGGCGGAAACGCTATTCACGGAGGGATTGTCCGCCCAGGCTGCTGGAAAGTCTTCCGTAGACATCCCATTGACATCAACACCATCGTTGTCAGGAGGGACTCCAAAATTCGCAAATTCCAGTCCAGACACAGGATCCAGTTCCATAAGCTCATCTGCCACGGGCAAATGCTGTCCAAAGACTGCATCCCATTGGTCCCAATCGAAATTAAGGTTCGGGTCCACCATGGACGGCGGTGTGGGGACTCCCATTGCAGGTGGATTTGGTGACACGGGGTCCATAAAGGGCATGTTGGGAAGCGGTTGAAGAGACTGGGGTACTTGGATTTGAGAGGTGGTGGAAGAGTTGGCAGGTGAGGGTGTTCCTAGAGAGGATGCTGCACCGGGGGAGGATGATATAACAGGAGTTGTTGCCAAAGTGGCTGGAGAAGTCATCGTAACGGCGGCTGGATTGGAGTTGTATTGAGGTGTGGAGAGTGAACGAGACGGTTGTCTCGGAGGATGGGCGGAGTATCTCAGAGGACTAGGCCTGACTGTGCCCGAAGTAATGGCAGGGGTAGGAAGAATCTGAGATCGTGTCATGTTGTAAAACATTCGGTTAAATTCGTTGAGTTGACGACCCGATCCAGCAGGTTGACGTGTTGATGAGACTGCGGGAGACCCGGGTGCTGGTGAAGTCCCTGAATGGTATGAGCTACGCAGGCTGTTTGTCTCTCCTGCTGGTGAGGCGATTCCTGCTTGAATCTGGTCCTGTTCGGTCCAGAGCATCTTAGGGTTTAGACCGGCCTTTTGCCAGGCCTTTTGACGAAGACGACGGATCATGTCCCATGCTTCGCGGCCACCATCTTTAAGTGGCCGTTGCGTGGAGATGCCATCTTCACCGCCAACAACGCCTCCATCTGGTCCAGAAAGTGCCAAAATTCGGTCGATGAATGCGCGTGATTTCGAGGCCTCGGGGCTATATGGCCGTTCGTACAGATCGATGAGCATGATCCTGCAAATCGTTAATGTCACTGGTAAACCAATCAAAGATAGAGAGAACGTACATCGTTGCGTGCATAGGTTGGTGGTTACTTGAGATTCGTTAGCTTCTATGGAAATGGCTGGCAGTTGAACGGGTAGCTTACCCTGGCCAGCTCCAATGAAAAGGCTGAAAATCAGGATCTGTTGCCAATTGGATAAACTTCTCCATAAACCCATGGCAGTGACGAAGTGCACTATGGTTATCAGACATGTAAACTTGCTTTATGCATACTGGAATTCTCACCTCTGTCTGGCGGCTGGCCAAATTCGACTGCGAGCATTCTTCAAGAAAGGTTGATATGCAACACAGAACGCCTATTAATTGTTAGCCAAGATCATAGCCTGAGAATGAATATTCCTTACCTTGTCGATATATAAAGATAGAAGAATTCTGGCCCATTTATGGAAGGAAACCAAAACTGGGGAGTGATATTGCTCGGTACAACCATTAGGCCCTTCGCCCGGAAGCTCTGTTTCGGTCGACTGCACCTCTACGGGCGACTTAGACATGGACAGGGCTCGAGTCGTTGCGCCTGAGGTTTCTTCTGATTTGTTCTCGGGGATTCGGTTAACAATTGAGTTCAACTTCAATTGAAGATCGAGAAGAATCGCTCGCAGCTCTTCCATATCTCGTCGAGTAACTGGTTTGGTGCCCAACTGAATCCGCAATATTCGGCGGACAGCGCCTGGTACAAATGTCAGATTTCTTGCCTTCGCTTTCTTTGGTGATGGAAAACGTACGAGCCATTGTGTATTTGCCCCTAGCAGTTAGGTAGAACACGTTCACCATTGATGGGCCACCGCATACAGAAGGCTCGTCTGGGTTTTCACGAACCTGTTGGTTGGCTGCTACCATCTGCTCATATCTTTCGGCCGCCGGAGAGCCCAGCAACGTGTCTTTGACTTCGCTGGTTTCGCGTACATCCCAATAATTTTCGTCACTGACCAGAGGAGGAAGTCCGCTCGACATTGCCACCACGCCATCCATATGCATGATATGCCACCAAAGCCGGCGCCTATACTCTGCTTCACATGGTTCAATCCCAAATTTTGCTGGATCTCGATGGAGGCCCATAGTCTGTGCCACTCGCATTGCGAGACTGACGAACAGACTACTTGTGAGAGGCTCTTCCTCTTTGGACAGAATAGTCTGAACGATGAGATAGGCCGAGAGCCCTTGCAGAGAGGGACTTCGAGGAAAAGATATTTTTGCCAGCCAGTGAGTCACTTCTTCATTGTATATGGAGGACAGAGAGAAACGAGACGACGCATTGAACTCGGCTTTGATCGTTCGAATGGAAATAGTCACGGAACCGCCATACCAGATGGCATAGAGAAGCGGGATGAATGAAGGGCATGGGCAGGTTTCCCCGGAATAGCTACTGTAGTCATACCAATTCCAAAAGGCATTATAGAGCTTCAAGATAGTGGGAGGGTGAACGACTGGACTGATTGCATGAACGCCAGACATGAAACCCTTATAAAGTATTTGGCTTTGTCGTCTTGTTGGAACATGTTTGAGCATTTCCGGTTCCACAAGTCTCTCAGTTCCGGATGGAGATTCGCCAGAGGGAAATATGATGGATGGTTGAAAGGATTCTCGAGACCCAGGTGCAGTTGAAGGGCTGTCGACTAACCCTTTCCACGCTCGGCCATTGGCGATAAAATCAGGATCATCTTCGTTAGTGGTTTCTGGGGGCGATAAATCATGCGATCGATTCTGATCTCTTAGTAACTGATTAAGATCATTGATCTGGAAGAGGTTTAGCGTAGCTCTTACTCGGCATGGAAAGGCAAGAAAACAAGAGATACCTCATGAGAGATGTAAGCCCAGTATGTCGTCCCAACGTATCTGACCTTTATTAGCACTTCCGATGCCTCAACCTCGACGATTTTTCTTCACTCACCTCGACCTTCCGCCATCATCCAGGCTCAAGTGTCCTAAATTCAGACTTCCCACCGGATCAACCAGATCAGTGGCCTGGCCTGAAGGAATGGGAAATTCATCACCGCTTGACTCTGTAGCAGCGCGACGTGGACTCGAGGGCCGTGAAGATACCGCTCTTCCATTTCGAGCATGGGTCTGGCGCAATTCCTCCAGAAGAGCTGATTCCACCGCGGCGCTTGGGGCCGCGGCATTTTTTCCCGCCTCTTCAAGAGCTTGAGCGCTGCCGCCCAATCGGTCGATCATTGACATCAACTTGTCTAGTCGGTGCTCGATCGCGCGGGGGTTGGGTTTCTGACCGGCAGATGTCTCAGTCTGCCGCATTTGCCCATAAATGGTTTGTAGCTCATCCACATCTTCCTCCCAGGTGCGCGGTGTCTGCCTCCTTCGTTTTACTCCATGTCCGTCTTGCTGGGGCCCGTCGCGGCCCTGTTCGCGCTTTTGCGACGACGCATCGTAAAGGCATTCGGCTCCGGTCTTGGCACAGTTTCCGCAAATTGGGTGAACCTGAAGCGCTACATGCTTAGTTACAAAGTGTCATACGTGTATCGCTAGTGGGGATAATACCTTGTCGCATTTCACCTTTCGCCGGCGACAAGTGTGGCAGCTGTAGCTCGCCCGATTTCGGGTTATCTGCTTGCCCCCGGCCAACGGTCCCCGCGCGGATGATGAGCGGCGCTCGGAGTTGGGCACACCCGACAGCGGCTCGAAATTTCGTGGACTAGTGTCCATCTTTGTCCATCGTCGCTGTCGGAGGTGGGATGGGAATGCGTGGGACTCTGCGGATGGCGAATTGCGGGGGGATTCTTGAACACCCAATGGCCAATGACATATTGGTTTTCAAGCCCGATTTATCAGGCACCACAGGATAAGCGGGCGCGACCCGGCACCGGTTAAGCCATGGGGACTGATTGATTCAATTACTGGGCTACATTTCTGTCAGGATAAGATCCCAGGGTCTCTTAGAATCAGAGAGATGGGTGTAAATGTACGAGTTGACAAGGTATGTAATTTGATTGCTAGTGTGGGGTTCTGTATAGATCAAGAACCCTAGTCTGCGAACCATTCAAATTATTATGCCCGCAGGTGGCACATGTGGATTGCAATGAGTGATTGGACATTCTAGACGAATGTGGAAGCAATATAGATACCATTGGTTGATATAACCTTCCAAGGTTGTCAATTGAAATTTCGATCTCCATTGGCCCCTTAACGGCCATATTGCAGAGAGTGCTCGGTTGCAAGTCCGTAGCTTTCTCGGTCCTCGGTTCTCATCTTCCTAGGCCTTTCTTTTTCATTTGAGGGTTCGAGTGCTCTTGCCTTCACATTCGCATGAAAACCCGAAGTAATTGACGATACTGGCGTGAAGAATGCAGGTCAAGCCCCACTTCGGGGAACCGAACGAACCGAATGAAACGAACGATCTACATTAGTCTATATCGCACTTGGAGAATCCTCCTTGCCTTTCAACAGTCCAAAAACCCTTTGAACCATCGTTCGCCCCCTTAAGACAGAAATGCCTTGGTAATACGCGGCCTAGTGGGGCTGGCGCCATATATAGGCGCCCAGTGCTTCCGGTTCGCCCGCCAAGGACAGCCAAGACGAAGCTATTCACATCCAATCTCCCAGCACAGCCGCCAAAGTTGACTTTTTGCATTGATAGGAGAGCCTGCTCAGGCCTTGTGTCTCGGCACTGTGCTGCCAAGATCTGTTGCCCAGCACGCCGCTTGTTCGCGATGGCTTTCCTAGGACACGAAACTGCTGATCGGTAATGCAAAATCAATGGTTTCCTCGGCGCCAAGATGCATTATGCATTTCCAAGAGAGATTTTCTCGTCTTTCGCGTCTTTGGCACCATCCAAGTTCTATTATTGTTACACTTTACCTTGGCTCTGCCCACTTCGTTGGCATTACTGATTCGTTCCTCATGAATAAATCTATTATGGTTTCCACCTGCAATTCTTTTTTCTTTTTTTTTTTTTTTTTCTTTTTTACAAAGGTCGAGGCATCTCATCGAAGTTCAGCAGCTATTAGAATCAATTCTAGAGAGAATTCATAGCGCACATGGTTTTAAGGCCTTTCTCAACAGTATGGCCCCTGCCATTGATAGCGCTATCATGTTTGAATCCTTTGGTCGCCGGCGCAGGGGTAGCCCTTGATATCGATAGTGACGGTGAGTGATAAAGCTGCATGAATCGTCTCATTCGGAGCCCTGAAATTGACCGACGCAGACTCAATTAGATCGGCTGCCAGCACTGTCGCTTATGACCTTGTTACCTTTTACACGGGCAACAATACTGGCGATGTGCCTGGAAATCTTCCAGACCCGTATTATTGGTGGGAAGCGGGGGCCTTTTTCGGGGCTCTGGTCAATTACTGGGCATTTACTGGGGATTCGACTTATAACAATATCACCATTCAAGCAATGGAGCACCAGGCCGGTGATAAGGGTGATTTCATGCCAAACAATCAGACATACACCGAGGGTAACGATGACCAATGCTTCTGGGCCCTCAGTGCAATGATGGCTGCCGAGCGAAACTTTACAAACCCGAGTTCCTCATACCCTGGTTGGCTGTCGATGGTTCAGGCTGTGTTCAATGAGCAAGCTAACCGCTGGGATACAGCGAGCTGTAATGGAGGTCTGCGTTGGCAAATTTACACTTGGAATGCCGGATACAATTACAAGAACACAATCGCAAATGGCTGTTTCTTTGACATCGCCGCCCGCTTGGCTCGATATACTGGCAATGAGACCTACGCTGAATGGGCCACTAAATCTTGGAATTGGGCCAAGGCCGTCGGATTGATCACCTCGGACTACCAAGTATACGACGGAACGACGGATGTCAGCAATTGCACTTCCTATGATAGAACTCGTTGGTCATATACTGCAGGAATTTATCTTCATGGCGCCTCCGTGATGTACAACTATGTGAGCTTTTTCTCTTGGTGGTTCTGTTGTGACGAACTAATCGACCTAATCTACAGACTTCGTCACTTTCAACCAACGCAACCTCGACAAATTCTTCATCAGCCTCCACATGGAAAACTCGACTGGATGCACTTCTCTCAAAAACGAGTTTTCTTTTTTCGACAAATGAATCCAGTCGTCATGTCATGTACGAGCCCCCTGTGAGCTCACAAGTAGCTGTAACACGGATCAGTTATCTTTCAAGGCATACCTATCCCGATGGATGGCCGATGTCACACAACTTGCGCCATACACATACGACACTATCATGATAAAATTGCGAGCTACAGCGCAGGCTGCTGTAGCCCAGTGCCAAGGCGGAACTACTGGCACCTTCTGTGGCTTTCGCTGGTCGAGTGGCAGTTACGATGGGACGACTGGCGTTGGTCAGCAAATGGGGGTTCTCGAGGTTCTTCAGGGACTCCTTTCTGCTAATGTCAGTGCGCCTGTCACGGCCACTACAGGTGGAACGAGTGAAGGCAATAGTGCCGCTGGAACCGAGTCAGATACAACTACCGAAGTCCAATACTCTGCTCTTACTACGGCTGATAGGGCTGGGGCATCAATAATGACTGCCATAGTGATTGGTCTGATATTCTCTGCTGTCTATATGATGATCACTTAACAGTCTGTTGATTATACCATAATCATTCGTTCACGATACCCAAAATTGTACACCATTCTTAACTTCAAATGATTAGGTTATCGATGTGGACTGCCTTAGTGATATCTCATGCGTGAACATACATCTCTTGAAGAAATTGAAGAAAGAAACCCTGCATTACGATTCGAACCGTTGGGAACAGTGAGTATTGACCGACCAATATTCGAACCAATCCAATATTCATTTCCACACCTGCGATCACGCAGCAGGTATTTGCTGCTCATCCAGTGGCCACTTGGAAATGGTCGTCTCATCTCCCGTCAAAGTAAAGGACAAGACTACTGAGCGCTCATTGTTCAACGCCAGTTCATATTTTCCGGGGTAGACAATGCGGTTTCCAAGAGAGTCAGTGCGGGCCACATTATCAAGTGAGACAGGAATGACCATTGACTGAGAAGTTTGCGGCTCAAGCGATCCCAGACGGTCATAACCAATCAGCCACTTGTTGGGATAAGGCGCCGGTCCTGCAGTCGTATTGACAAAGGCCATCGCCGTGTAATCAGAGACCAGACTGCCAGTATTGGTGACACTAGTGGTGAAGTTGAGGAAGGGAAGCTGCTCCACCGTGTTGTAGCCAGCATGCGATCGAGATAAGAGATCAACAATGTCAAAAGTAGCCTCCTTGGTAGCTGTCTTAGAATGCGCAAGGGATGTCTTGAAGGTCGTATAGAACATTCCATGTCCGAACTCATATACAGGTTTGCCTGTGTACCACATGTATGTCTGGCCAGGGTTGTCTCCGCTAGGGCGCAAGCTCATGTCGATCGCCGAGAACTGTAAAGCATACTCGGCGGGGTATTGGGTTGTTGTCAGTCGACCAGCGGGTGCACGCTTGCCGGTGATGATGTCTAAGAGAGCCTGGCCACCAGACTGACCTGGGTAACCTCCCCAAATAAGCGAATTGACGTCCTTGTTCGTCTTCAAGGAGGAGCTGTCGACCTGACCTCCGCCCATCTGTAAGACTACCAATGGCTTGCCAACAGTGCTTAACTGCTTGATTAACTCCAGTTGGTTGCCTGGCCAAGTAATATTCTCTCGGTCCATACCCTCCGCTTCAACTGTGTTGTCAATGCCACCGGCAAAGATGATGGCATCAGACTTCTTGGCCACCGCAATTGCAGCGTCGAAATCTATAGTCGACTGCGAAGAAATGTTTGTGCCCAAAGCATAGTGGACGGTCAAATCAGAGGCTTCGAGAGCGGCGAGAGGACTGATCAGATAAGGAGCATTTCCGTAGTAATTGCCTTGCATCTGGGTGGTAGCATTGCCCCACGGACCAATAAGGGCAATGCTTTTGACCTTTTTGGATAACGGTAGAGTTCCATCATTCTTTAGGAGAACGATTCCCTCAACAGCTGCCTCATAGGAGATGTTCCATGCATTAGTGGTAGACACATCGGACCAGTCAAGGTTGCGATAAATACTGCTGTTGCCATCAAAGTATCCCAAGCGGGCAAGGTTTGAGTAAAGTCTGATGACACCACGCTCAATCTCACTTCGGGAAATTTCACCTTGGAAGAATGATTCGTTTAGGTGGTACTGGTATGAGGTTCCACAATCAATATCAGTACCAGCTCTCATAGAATCCGCCGAAGCACCCGTAATGTTGTGTGCATACTCATGGGGGTTCCAAACATTGTAGACGGCATCGCAGTCCGACGAGACGTATCCGTCATCCACAAAGCCCCAACTATCGCGGAGAATAGTCTGAAGGAAAAACGAGTTGGCAGAGCTGGGTACACCGTTCACAGAGTTGTACGAGGACATCACACTGTGGACTCTGGCATCTCGAACAGCAGTCAGGAACTGCGGCATGAAATATTCTGCCAAATCTTGCTGAGTGATATTCAAATCGTTACCCAGGCGAGAATGGTTGTGCCAGTTCTCAATGTCATACCCGGCAAAATGCTTTGCGGTGGCTACCAGCTTCAGATGCTCTGGATCCACACCTCCTTGCATTCCGGTAATGTATTCATATGCGTACGTCCCACATAAACAGTAAGCATCCTCGCCCGGTGTCTCTTGTCCACGGCCCCAGACCGGGTGCCGGAAGGCATTGATGTTGGGCGCATAAACATCGAGACCATAGCGACCGACATTATTGAACGCGCGACCTTGAGTTGAAATAATGTCTCCAATTTGGTTGATCAGGGTGCGGTTCAGCGCGGCCATCGAAAGAATGGGCGACGGGAAGGAGGTTGCCCAATTGTAGTCACCGGCGTCGGTAAAATTAGCACGATCCAATCCATGTAGAGCTTCACTCCAGACCTGGTATGGAGGAAGTCCGAGGCGAGGAATGGCGGGAATATTATTTCCGGTGCTATTGACCAGCTCTTCAAACGTAAACAGAGAAACCAAAGCCGCGGCGCGGTCATGGGGAGTTGCCGATGAGTCGCACACCAGGGTGTGGCTAAGTGGCCCGTTTGCACAGTCAGGAAACCCAAGATCAATTGTCGCGAGGGTCCAGGTATCGAGGTTGGGTTGAGGTTCCGTTGAATAGTCAACATAGCTTGTGTTGGCTTGCGCGAAAGTGAACGGCACCAAAGCCGCCAACACGGCTAAAGATGCAGCCGGCATTGTAGAGATTTGACTTGCTGAATGTGCTGAGCATATGTGCTTGATTCTCGCCGACTATTTGTACCCCCAGGGCCGGCTGCAGTTCGGCTATATCCCACGGGGTATACACAACGTCTCCACACTTTTGCCCAAGACGGCAACTCCCGCAGTCGATCGATACGCGGGGAATCCCAACCTTGCAGGATGATTACGAGACCCGTGCTATTTAGCCTGAAGGTTGCAGTGACGATCGGCTAGATCTTTCCGTGACAAATTTCAAGTTGGCATGGAATGATGCAGTACCCCTCATCTTTGTCAGGAGTCCTGGATGCAGGTACGGAGTAGCTAGTCCCGGATTTAGCATGTCGACAGGCATGCGCGGCAATAGAAGTCGAAGTTTCCGATTTAGCATGGTCAATGAGATTCCAAATGCTCTTGCAAGGTTCGGCTTTCCACGGGCAAGACCTCAGTACTCAGCATCCCAATTCTGGCTTGCTAAGTGAAGAGATTGGCATGAAGCATGGGATACTGAACTGATGGTGTCCAACATCCCATATTTGGTTCTTGGATTTAACTCTGGATAAAATGTGAAGATGAACAACTTTGTTAGTTTTATTCGCATTAATCTTCATTCAAAGTAATTCACAATGAGAACTCGTAGAGCATGTTCATCAAAGCTTCTGGCTAATGAAAATTACCATCGTGCATGTAGGAATGCATCCAGCCAGAATACCCCATTTTAGGCTGAATTTAAGATTTATGCATATGATGGTGGATATTGTTTGACTCAGCAGAATCGGTCTCCAAATGCCTGAAATCAGACCGTTTATCCACTGCTCTGAACCTCGATGGATGCTCGTCATCTGATGGACAGTGCTAAGATCCACGGTCTCCATGTTGACACGTCAGGAAAACGACGGAGCCATTTGGACAGTCTAGTTCAATCTCTCTATACCTCGAAGTCATTGCATTAAGTAAGATCTACTCATCTCCTTGATTTATGCATTTCTGCTCTATGTACCTGGATCGATTGACGAAACATCAAAATCCTTCTATGGGATAGGTACTGATTGACACCGCTCGGGGTCCAATCGCACACAAGTAGGTACTTTGCTTGGATCATTTTCACCGCTGGACCGATATATTCCTCAAACTTCTAGTAAGAGATCTTAAAAACCCAAGCATATTGATCGGCTGCTGCGACTTCTTTGCTCACCGAAAGAACAACAGAGCCATTGCGGGACTTATGACTTGGGAGAACTGCACCATGCATCTTGCCCCCAACCACTGTAACTTGATCCCCCTCCACCCACGGGATTGGACTGGATAGGGCGAGGGTGCTGTTCGGCTTTGTAATCGTATGGATATAAAACGCATCTTGCGAAACAGTGAATCGCACGTCTCCTTCTTCGGGTGTAATGAACCAATAGGTAGTATTGAAAATTGCCTCTGCATGGGTCTTGATCCATTTCCCAGCTTGTCGAAGGTGCTGCTGCTCAATGTCGATAATGGTTCCGTTGGCTGTTGGCCCCACATCGAGCAGGAAATTGCCGTTCTTGCTAACAATGTCAACAAGACTAGTAACAATGGTGCTCGCATTCATGTAGCTTGCCAATGGGGTGGCGCGATTGTATCCGTAGCTGTATGGATCCATTCCAAGGTTACTCTCCCATTTACGTCTTTGCACGGCGGAGTATGTGGCGTATTCTGGCGTATCAAAGTCCCCTGGGAGGCCACATCGGGCGTTCATGACAACTTGTCGGTTTTCTTCTGCGGCCTGGTTGAACCATTCTGAGGCCCACTCGGCGGTTCGATTCGGTCCTGTTCAATTAACATTAGGCAATTTTCTACTGATCACTAGAAAGGTAGATCCTTACCCCCGATGTCACACCACATTATTTCGGTTCCCATCTTCGCCAAAGTCTTCATCTCGGGCAGAATCTTATCGATAATGTAATCGTTCACAGGAACCCAGCCGGTATATGGTAGGGTATGATTAGTAAATGGATTGGTAGCATTGCCTGGTGAGCCCTTTCATCAGTCGATACTCAAAGAAATTGAGACCCAAGCCTTAATACCTACCTCCAGGCCAATCACCAAAGCCGTACTTCTTGTAGTCGGGATTGAACCACTCGGGAAGACTATAGTATCTAAAAGGATGCTCAGTATAATACTAACAATGACCAGACGTTGAAGTGCAACTACTTACGTTGCTCGATGTAGTTGCGGTTGGTACTTTTTGGCTGCGTCAAACAACTCCTGCTTCATGGTCAGGTCTCATGAGCAAGATAAATCATTCACTTTTTAGTACCTGTAGCAAATTGCGATAGGGAGTCATCGTAACCGACGTCCTTTTCGTCACATTTTCCGGAAGGTCGAACAGAGCATACCCCTCATGGTGCTTGCTGACTTGAACGAAGTAGTTGGCCCCGGCATCAGCAAATAGGTCCACCCACTCCTTAGGGTTCCATTCGCTGACGGTGAAATTCTGGATAAAGTCGTCGTACACAACATGTGGACCGTATTTCTTTAGATGATAGTCATATACACCGACTGATCCGCTCGGACCTTCATTAAGCCACCACCAGTACCTGGATTTCCACGTCAGCAACCTTGGTATGTGGCTCGATATTGGTTCTTTAGTTTTAGTCATACCATTCGGCGTAGTCTTCTTTGGATCCCGAGTTGGCCCAGCCAGGGACCGAGTAGATTCCCCAATGAATGAAAATCCCATACTTGGCATTGTTGTACCAGTTTGGGGATTCGTGACTGTACACGGACTCATAGGTAGCCTCGTAAAGGCCAATTCCGTATGTTGCCTCAAAGGTATACTTAGTAGACATGACATTGTGACCCTCAATGACAATTGTTGCAGGGCCTGAACCCCCGATTGCCACTCCCTTTCGGTTCCGAACACCGACTTCCACCGTGGCTTGATCCCCAGGACCCAGACGCTTGATGAACCCTGGCGTTACGGTCTCTAAGCCCGATGACTCGACGCTTACACGAACATCGTTGTTTCGCAAAGCAATGGAGGACCCGACATTGTTGATGAGAACCTCCACGATCTGAACTTTATCAGTGTTTTCTATCCATTTCTTGGTTGATCGAGCATATTGAGTTTCCAATTGAATAGATTCAATATTTCCTCTGGATACTGGCAGCATTGATAAGGCAAAAATATGAAGCTTGGTGCTGATGGTCGCTCCTCCAGGACTCGTGGATGACCCAATGGAGCTATTGGGAAAGGTTAATGAGACGAGTTCTTTGGATGAGTCCAACCAAGTGGTAGTTTGAAATATATTGGAGCGATTCCAGTTGGTGTCATTTTCGGTCAAGTAACAAGTGAATATCAGGTCTCCACCTTCGGGGTACGGCCAGGTCCACCAAGCTGGGACTAGCAGCGAGCCACTGGTCGTGCTGCCATCCGCATACTTGGCTAGCACTGAGCCTGAGGCCATACCAGATTCCGATGCGGCGAGCATCTGGTAGCTGAAATATTTAGACCGTGGGACCGCAATTTCCTGTCCTGAGGTGAGAACGTTGTCATAGCCTGCAGTGGCATTGTACTTGGCGAAGCGATAGTTGAATCCTCCGTATGAGAAACTTTCCGGCGGCATCTGTGCTGCCGGATATGAATCTAGGTCTCGTTAATCGACATGTCCTCGGCCTTTTTTTTTTCTTTTTTCTTTTGGTGCGGGATGGTTGAGATCTTGACTCACTCGAATCACCATCGAAATTCGCATCGCTTGGGGTTAGGCCAAATGCCCGGTTATTGAATGGTAAATCGATGGGAAAGGAGACATTAAGACCAGAAATTCCTTGGAAGTCATTCTGAGGCTTGAACAGCACTGATTGGCAGAGATTCGCACAAGCAAGAAAGGTGCAGAGCCCGTTGACTTTCACCATGGTAGCGAGAGGCTTGTTATGGCCCAAACATCGTGTGGCCTAGACCGTCTATATAACAGCATTGAACATGTTCATCGGTCATGACCAGGTAGTAGTACCCAGGTAACGGTGCCATTTCCCCGCAGATACCAATGTATAGCGTGAAATCTTTTGTAACCTTGGCTATCTAATCGGATAAAAGTGATCGTCGTGCGGAGATGTCGGCCATTTCGCCGAAGCTATTCCGATTTTGTTACTGTCGCTGCGAACCATGGAAAAACAGGACATATTAGGGTGCTCTGTCTTCTATTCCGTTTGGTAAACGACCATTATTGTCTTGAGTACATGCCGACTTGAACCTCATTCTACTTGCTCAAATGAATCTTTTTCCTACTTCACCTAGGATGCCTCCTTGCTCGGTCATTTTCTGGTTAAAGTGCCTTTCTGGTCTCCACGCCAAGCAGCTGTCACCAGAGAAAAAAATATCTAGCTGCTTGAGACGGCGAATGGCGGTTTCTGAGTGGGGTCAGAAACCGTGCTAGTGGATGGTTTGTCTTCTGCCTGTTTGATATAGAGCCTTGGTATGATGACAGGTACTATACCATAACAAATTACATGTGGATCTCCGCCTCGCGCGGACACTAAACCCTTTAAGACTAGACATTCCGCTCAATCTTGTAGACTTTAATGTAGTTATGTACATAGTTTGTATTAAGGCAATTTATTTTACTTCATAGGCATTATCACTTGGAGGTTGAAAGCTAAGCCTGAAGCGCCGCTCTCTCTCTGCCCTACCTTGATTGATAATAAGAATATATTATTAAATAGTCAAAGCTGGACGTCGAATGCGTGAGCCATTTCACAAAACGCGTTATAAATTGATTTGTATAGTTTCTGAGTTCCAAGGTTATCGTTTGGTGAAATTGACTCATTGTCTGGGCGTCCCAGAACAGCGGCAGCACCTAAAATAGAAAAGCCGTGGGAAAGGAGTGCCATTCACTACGCATAGCGACTCATACTGCACGAGTTTTATTAACCTGCTCAGACCATTGTATTTTACATTAAGATACAGACGCTATGCATACAGATGGAAATCATGTAAGAAGATTCATGATAGATAGACCTAAGCCTTGGTTGCTGGTCGCAACTTGGGCGCCTTGCTCACCTTGACCTCCTTCTCCAGTGCATCCAATGCTGCTGCATATTTGGACTGGAGTGACTTCAGCGTATCCAGTTTGACCTGAACCCGGTCAATTGCAGCCTTACGCGTGATGCGGCCGTCAATGCTGTTAGAGATTTCGTTGGCAAACCATCGTCCCTCGCGGTGAGCGACCAGGGTCCACGCAGAACCATCTCGGCCAGCGCGAGCAGTTCGTCCCACACGATGCACATAGGTGGTAACACTACTAGGAATATCGTAATTCACAACATGTGTCAAGGAGGGCAGGTCCAGTCCACGTGAGGCTCGATCTGTGGCCACAATGATGGAAATACGACCTTGTCGGAAAGCCGTCAAGGTCTTGCGGGACGCCGCAGAGTTGCTCGACTTGATGATTGTTCCCATGCGGCTGGCGAGCGAGGGGTGGAAGAGGGAGATGAGTCGAGAAAGTCGCGATGCAGACTCGGAAGACTTGGTGAAGATTAAAACAGTAGTGGGCGAAGATTTACCTTCGGGCACGAGATCGACGGAATTAGAAACCGAATCACCGGAGTCGCTTGATGAATCAGAGCTTGAATCGGAATCAGTATCGGAATCGGAATCCGAGTCTGAGTCCGAGTCCGAACTAGAAGATGAGGTATCGTCATCGGAAGACTCATCGGAGCTCGTTTCATCGGAGCTTGTATCATCTGAGCTAGAGCTGTCCTCGGCGATATGGAATACAGACTCCTCTACACCAATTTTGATATGCGAAAGGAGCAGTCGTAGAAGATATAACGGCTTCTGGGATTCGTCGCCAACAGCAACCATGCGCTCGTGCAGTGTCGGGGGCAAAGTGAAATGAGCATCGGCAATCGCGGCAGATGAATCATCGAGGTCAAAGGCTTTCTCAGCGCCAATGATCACCATTTTCGGGTTAGCCAAACGCAAAGAGTTGAGCTTCGAGATATCGCGGGTCATGGTAGCACTCAACACAACCTTTCTAGGGGGCTTGGTTTCAATTGGGAGGCCAAGATCAGACAAAAGCTTACCACCAGGCCCAAAAGTTTCGGGAACCTGGCGTGCATCCAGCGACCCCATAACCACATCCACCCATTCCTGGAAGCTCTCGTTCAGCAATCGATCAGCCTCGTCAATCACCAACCACTCTAGATGCTTGAGGGTAAAGCCTTTCGTGTAGCGAATATGATCCACCAAGCGACCAGGAGTACAGATAAGGATATCGACGTTGGCCTCTGGCCGCTGGATATAGCCTGGAAGAAATCCGGTGGTATCAACTGCCTCGGTCACACAGTCCTCGAGGTTGAAGTCCATCCAGTCATTTCCTTGCAGGCCGATTTTTTGACGCTGCGCAACAGTTGCGGGATTGTGCACCTGATCTACTCTCATGAGAAGTTTTTGTTCCTCTTTGATGGCCACGTTTCCAACTGCGCTCCCAATGTGAAGGCGCGATCCTGAGGCGCAAAGCTCGCAGGCCTCGCGAGCTTGTTTCACTAGTTCTCTGGTAGGAACCACAATGAGTCCTCTGAGTCTTGATGCGGACCTAGGTGTCAAAGAGGTGACAAGGGGAAGTACGTAAGACAGTGTTTTTCCAGATCCAGTGGCCGCCGAAATGCACAGGTCACCGGGATGGTTTTTGCTTCCATCGAGGAGAAGAGGAATCACTGTAGACTGAACAGCGAATGCCTCCTCGTAACCGTGCTGGTCAAGAATGCGTAACAAATCAGGCTTGATACCAAGTTCAGCAAATTTGGATCGCTCTTTTGCAGATGTTCGTACGGGTTCCGCTAGCCAAGCGGGCAGAGAAGAGTAGGTCGGGGTTATTTCCAGCTCGGGCGGATTTTCGGGCTGTGGCAATGGTTCCAGACCTTGTGCAATGACTGGCTCGATGGTTTCCTCAGTCACTTCAACCTCATCGACTTTTGGTTTCTTCGTCAATTTGCTGGAGACTGCTTTTGTCCGTTCAAACTTTGAATAAATTCCTGCGTGCTTGGCTTTCGAAGCTTTTGCCTCGTCCTCATCGGAGGAGGAACCTGAAAACTTTTCTTTCACAACCGTAGTCTCATCAGGTGTTGTGTCGCGCTTCTTAAGGTTCTTTCGCTTGCCATCCTTTGACTTCTTTCCTTCTTTAGTGCTGAGGTGGTTCGGGTCTGTAATAATCTTTTCGCTGCTGTCTGGCGAGACAACACTTTCTTTCGGGGTCGATTTCGCAGTATCTTCGCTTTGAAGCGCATCTTTGACTCGCTTGCGTTTCTTGTTGCTGTTGCCATCGTCTGGAGCGGAAGGACTGTCACGCTTCTTGTGCTTTTTGGTTGGAGTTGGGGTTTGGGTCCGTGCTGAATCCAAGTCGCGCTTCCGTTTGGAAGGCTTAATCGAGCTGGGAGTGGTGGTCATCTTGGTGGATGACTCGGGCGCTTTGAATCCGGTCATTCTTTTCGAGCGCTTGCATTCCTCGAGAGCTTTAGGGCGGAGCAAATTCCAATTTCGTTGATGTTTTTTTGGGCCGGCAGAACGCTAATCGCAATCGCCGCCTTTACTTCACCGCCGGCTTTGATGTGGAGCGCGCGCGAGGCTTCTACTGTTGAATACAAAAGCATGAGTGTTGGAGAATGAACCGAATTGGTTTTCTGGACAGTGGGATGAGTTTTTCGCCATGGATAGGCAATTAACCACATTTTCCTCACTCTCTTGGAACTCTTTGCCCGAGGATCACCGCCATAATGCCATATAATATTGCGTGAGTCCCTAAATCGGCCTCTCTCTCTCTATGAATAGAGGACTATAGCAGAGCTAATAGGGCGGTTTGCATGATAGTATGGTCAGTGACTTCTTCTTCCCCCAGTCAGGTATGTCCGAAAGAAGATATTCTGGTCGGTTGTTCTCCTTGCTAACCAGGTCCAGGGGGAATTGAGAGTCACATATATCAGCTGTCTTCTGTAAGCAATGCAGGGCAACAGCTGCTTTGTCTGGTCATATTCTGACATTACCTAGAAATTGATCGATCGCGGACATAAAGTCATTATTATCACTCATGCATACAAAGGCCGAACGGGAGTCCGATACCTCACCAACGGACTCAAGATCTATCACGTTCCTTTCTTCGTTATCTACCGCGAAACTACCTTCCCTACCGTCTTCTCCTTTTTTCCCATATTCCGCAACATTGTCATTCGGGAGCAAATCGAGATTGTCCATGGCCATGCGAGTCTCAGTAGCTTCTGTGGCGAAGCCATCCTTCACGCCCGCACAATGGGTCTGCGAACCGTCTTCACCGATCACTCCCTTTTTGGATTCGCTGACGCTGCCTCCATTCTCACCAACAAACTTCTCAAATTCACATTAAGTGATGTCGATCATGCGATCTGCGTCAGTCATACTTGGTGAGTTGTGAGTGGACGCGTTCCGGTGGACGAGAGCTGACTTGTTTCAGCAAGGAGAATACCGTCCTCCGAGCCTCATTAGATCCGTTAATGGTGTCAGTCATCCCCAATGCCGTTGTCGCGGAGAATTTCTGTCCGCTTTCATCAACCCCGCAAGGGCCGGACCAAATGCCATTGTCACCGGCTGATCCACGGCCAGCACCAACGCCGATTGGGCCAGACGACACCATCACAATAGTCGTCATCTCTCGTCTTTTCTATAACAAGGGCACAGATCTTTTGATCGCCGCGATTCCGCGAATTTTGGCCCTCAACCCCAATACTCGTTTCATCATTGCCGGTTCAGGGCCTAAGGCTATCGACCTTGAACAAATGCTGGAGCGAAATGTCCTACAGGATAAGGTTGAAATGCTCGGGTCCGTGCGACATGAGGAGGTGCGGGATGTCATGGTTCGAGGACACATTTACCTCCACCCCAGCTTGACGGAGGCATTCGGAACAGTCATCGTTGAAGCCGCCAGCTGTGGATTGTATGTGGTTTGTACCCGAGTAGGAGGTATTCCTGAGGTTCTTCCGCAGCATATGACCACATTTGCCAAACCCGAGGAGGACGATCTCGTCGTCGCAACCAGCAAGGCGATTACAGCGCTACGTTCAAATAAAGTACGGACGGACCGATTCCACGACCAAGTGAAGATGATGTATTCATGGCGGGATGTCGCTGAACGTACCGAGCGGGTTTATGAAGGCATCACGGGTGATATCAGCCCAGAGGAATTTTATGGCTACTATCCTGGCCAAGGCTGGGAAGCTAGCGGAGATCGAGTGCGCAGCTTTGCCCTTATTGATCGACTCAAACGATATTACGGCTGCGGTGTCTGGGCCGGAAAGCTGTTCTGTCTCTGCGTCGTGATTGATTTCCTGATCTATGTATTCCTGGAGATGTGGTTCCCTCGGGCCAATATCGATATTGCTAGAAGCTGGCCTAGGAAGCAACCTGAGGGTAAATCCCGACCATCTGCCATGGTTCGAAGACATGGATGAGCATTTGAAATCTTGTTTGGAACCCTTCAATCCGTTTTCTACTGACACGTGAGATGAACTGTACATACCTACCTCCAGGATGCCAATACTTGCATTATTAAATAATGGTAATTAAACCCCATTTCTTGCGAAGTGAAATATGTAATATTTAATTGTTTCTGTATACACTGTATAATTTTGGATTTTCCATTTTTCCAATCAATGCTGATACACCTCATATACAGAAACGTTCATGACTTCATAAATGAGATGACCGGATCCCACACGACCTCGTCAGGGCGTATTTTATTTATTGCGCTTGGTGGAAGGCTCATACTTCCACTCCGCATCAAGAGTTTCAGCACCCTCGGGGAGCATATCTTCCGCGGCACGATCGCCCTTATTGCCACGAGTACCATTCTGAGCGTCTTCTTTTTCAATGCCGCGCTGGTTGGGGAATTGACGCTCGATACCACGATTTTGAGTGGTGGCACCGACACCCTCTAAGCCGGCAGACTGCTTCTTGCGACCATGCTCGCCATCGTGGGCCAGCTCAACACCAGTCTGACCCTGTAAAGGCTTGCCAAGGCCTGTGTGCACGTCTTGCGAGGTTGCGCCCATCAAGGTGTCGGCAGCGGAGGTGCGCTGGTTGGAGGGCATGTTGGGGTTGTTCGTCTGGCTGCCAACGTCGTTGACATTAGAGGTGTAAGAGTTGCTAGCGGGAGCTGTACCGGGGGGAAGGTTTGAAGGTGATGTTCAGGACGGTGGTCAGCCTCGTTGACCTTGACACCGGGCTTATGCTGTAGGTGAGGTTAGCTGAATGTCAAAAATCAGTGGTAGAAACTCATGACGTACACCCTTGTCAGTCAAAGGGCCATCGGGGGCGATGGAGGGCTTAAAGCTGCCCTGCTTCTCGTTCGCGACGGAGGCAACGTTGTTAAGAGTACTCATGATGGAAAGTTTCTATAATTGTGGGTGTTGCGAAAATCAATATAAAGTTGGCGTAGTCCTATACTGAAAGAGTCAAGGCTTCGTAGATGTTGATGATATGTGACACTGTTGATGATATTACCACCACGTCCTTATATATCTATTGCTTTCATACAACAGATGAGACATGACGTCAAGCTTATTAAGGTTGACTTCATTGATGCAGAAGTATTGGGCGGCAAATGTCATTGACTGTATTCTGTGAGCTCAACAGTGGATCCCGAAGACGGGTATTTTGCTAGATGCATCAAGTTGTAAAGGTTGGTCATGGTCATCGAACGAAGAGTGACATCAAATAAGTGGCGAAATAGATCATGGAAAGGTTGATAACAGTTTGAACTTTCTTGATTTCACGAACTCGGTAATGATTCAAGGTGGATGAGCTCTGACCTAACGGATCCATGCATTTAAACTTGCCATGACTGTGATTGGTGGATAACCAACCGGGCATATCGTCACTTCATGCCTGAGGTATGACATCTAGTTATCTAGATCATGTACATAGTTGGCTCATGGATCAAGCAGCATTTGTCTTGCGTTCTTCAGGAGGATCAACCTATCACAGCGCTTGGTCTAGCGCGAATTTCGATATGATCTCTATATACATCACGGCTATACAAATAGAGTATAGCCCAATCCTTATACTGAGCTTAGGTATTATCAATTGCAAAAACGCCATGCAAATCAAAGTATGTTCGGCTCCTGTCCAGTCCGCAATCAGCGCATCACTGGTGGCCGGCCTTCCTTATTCCACTTGACACGGCTTTGTACCCACTCCACGGCCGCTTGCACCCCAGACCCTAATAGCGCGCTGACCGGCAGCACGCGGCTGTCTCGAACCCCTGTGCCTGTGTCGCCTTCAAAGACCTTGCGCACAAAGCCTTCCTTGATGCGGACCACCTCGACACAATCCTCACGATCCTGTTTATTGGCCAACACCAAAATCGGAACCCCCGCCACATCGGCACTCTGCAGGACGGACTCGAGCACCTCGCGACACTCATCCAAACGTCCGAATTCACTTCCTCCAGCATTGGTGCCCACATTCTGCTCGGAAAACGGCTCGCTGTTGCTTGTACTGCCGCGGGTCGGGCCTGATACGGAGCTGGGGCGTCGTCCGGGCGCGGAGGGGAGCCGCGTGATATCGGAGTCTTGGCCCACGTCGGCGCTGTCGACCACAAAGATGATCGCGTGGCAGCTGGTGTAATAGCTTTGCCAGAGACCACGCATGGATATCTGACCTCCAACATCCCAGATCTTGAGGTTCATATCCGGTAACGAGATGGTGGTGACATTCTGGCCGACGGTAGGGACGGTTTTGCCGGGGTTGGGCGCGGGCGCGCCATCCGCTCGTGGTTGATAGAGGGCTTTAATTTGTGTCAAGAGGGTTGTTTTTCCGGCATTGTCCAAGCCAAGTAGTAGGACGGAATACTCTGTAACAGATTTTAGGGCTGTGTGAGCGACAAGCTATTGCGGCGTCCAGTAGGAGACCCGGGGAAGTTGCGGAAGCTGCTTACCTTCTTTGCTAGTCGCGTACAGATACACCGACTTAGCCAGGTGATACATGATCGCGGAGCTTTCTCAAGCTAGCGCGATCAAGTTGGATGAATCCGCAAAGAGCAATTAAGCATATCATGAAGTGATGACGAGGCTCTCTGATCTCTTGCTTGCGCTCATCCCGCCTCCCCCATCCGGATGCGGTAGGTAGGGTTTAGGGTTGTAGCAGATGAAGTGAACTTATCGAGTGCTCTGAGTTCAGAAAGATAGGAAATACAGTTCTTCTGTAGGTGCATTGCTTCCTGCAGCATATGTTCGTCTCGACGTGATCATTTTCCTTTGCTCGGAAAACACTTCCTGTCATCTTCATGGATTCCACTCTTTTGCCTTTTTCCCCACTTCGCTTTTGTCAGCTTGATTACATATAATTGATCTCAAATCCGTGGAAGCGTTCAGAGACAAAAAAAATACTTGGAAATTTAACCTTTTCTTTCTCCGCATTATGCACATTCTCATATCTCTGGTTCGTTCGATAAGACCTCATGCCCGCATCAGATGAGGATTCGGCATTCTCTCCCCAGAATGCCCCGCGTGGGCTTGATCTCTCTACAATGGAAACTGATACGGTCATCGTCGGTATGGCTTCTCCTTAATTCCCCTGGCCAAGGCTAAGACTTTATCTCCACTAGGCAATGGGCCGTCGGCCATGATTCTCTCATATATACTGCACGGTTATATCCCATTCTACTCGTCCGACCCCCCACATCCAGACCCATTACTGGACGCCAAGTTGAAAAATGCGCCCAATCTCTTGAATATCAACGTAGACGTGCTGACCGCACATTTCGCCGCCTCGCGCCTGTCATATTCCACCCAGGCTTTGCCCGTGAATGTGCTGCTGGATACCCTGGTACGACCCAGCCTCGATATTGAAGAGTCAGGCAACACTTCCAATGTCGAGTGGCGATATATGCCTGAAAAGGCTGTCTCACATCTGATTTTTGGCAAGTCGACCGACCCTGGAGGCCAATGGACCGAACATCCCCACGGGGCAAGCTGGGATATTCGGACCCTGAGCTATGCTGCCATGTTGTCGCTCCCCGGTTACTCCTTCGCGGACCATCATAAACGACATACGGGCCAGGACCTGGCACCTTTCACACGACCTACGAGACGCGAAATAGCAGAATATTTCCGCCTCTACCCAGCGGCAGTCAATATCGGCGAAGTTTTCCGGTGCGGAGAGGAGCTGAGTGACATTTCCCGCACTGCGAATGGTTTCTACATCAAATCACATAATCTTCACTGCAAGCGATTGGTACTTGCAAGTGGTATCTTCACCGAGATTCTTCCGCCAGTCCCGATCCTTCAGCCTCTCCTCCAAACTCAATCAAATCCTTCAGTGCCGCTGCTTGTCATTGGCTCAGGCTTCTCCGCTGCCGACGCGATCATCTCCGCCGCGCCGAACCAAAAAATCATCCATGTCTTCAAGTGGGCCCCCGAGGATCGGCCATCACCTCTGCGGGGCTGTCACCAACACGCCTACCCAGAATATGCCGGTGTTTACCGACTAATGAAGAAGGCCGCTCTGGCTGGGGCCACAAATCAACGACCGAAATACCGTCGCGGCAGCTCGACCCCCTTCTTAGAAAGTCGCGATTGGGCTGACGTCTACGAGGGCATTTCCAACATAGAGATTACCGCTGTCGAAATACAAGATGGATTAGCGCATGTCACATTTCGCCGACCGGACGGGTCCACATTTTTGAAATCTGTCCAGGGTCTTGTTTATGCCGCTGGGCGGCGTGGTACCTTGGGGTATCTTGATAGCGAACTCCGCTCCGAAGTCCTCGGACATAACCATTCAGATGATGCCACCGTTTCGGCGCAGACTCTCCGTGCGAAGGCAATTGAAGACTTGGAAGTTGCCCCGGGAGTGCATATCATTGGAAGCTTGACTGGCGATTCACTTGTGCGCTTTGCGTACGGAGGTTGTGCCTATGCAGCGGGACGGCTCATTGGAGAGCGAGAGGGCGACCTGGGAACCCGCAGCACCTGTAGTAGCAGAGTGTCGACTCGGCCCCAATCCTCATCCCTGCCTGTCATGAATGGGATGGATGGCCACGATATCTTCCCTAATGATATGTCCGTGGTGACCCGAGACGATACCCTGAGCAAGGTGTCAACGGCCGGAGTGCCATCCACCCAGAGCTGGTGGAGGACAGTGACGCGTATGTGGAAGGACTTCATACGATAAAGTGAGATATAAATATCCTGTAAGCTTGTATGGTGTTGTATAGCATGTAGATGCATTCCAGCCTGTGAGGATTTATATGACAATTTCTAAGAGATGCCTGTCAATTACAATCGTGTTCATTGTAAAGGCGCCTCTTGCAATAGTTCAGATACCGTGACAACGGTGTATCCCCTTTTTTTCAGCTCCGGCAACACCACCCGTAGCATCGGCACAGTCCATTCTCGGCGATCATGGCAAATAATGACACTTCCTGGTCTCACCATGCTCAGAATATGCTTAGCATTCAAGCTATAATAAGAAACCTGCGGATCGTGGGGGTATGTATCACCCAATATGAGCTTATAACCTAAACTCTCAACTAAGCGCCGCATTCTCGAGCTGAAGAACCCAGAACCTGGCCGGAAGTACCACCCATCAGGCCCTTGGACCTGGTCGGCTGCATTATACGCCTCTTGTATCATCGTCTGGACAGCTAGAATCTGCGCCGTCAGCTCCTCGTCGCTTAACGCGCGCGAGGGCTCATCGTGCATCGCATGATTGGCCAGCTCATGCCGGGCCCGGACCAGGTCGGAGAGGACGTTTTCATACCCCGGTACTTGCGATCCGATCACGAAAAAGGTGGCTGTTGCATGGTGGACTTTTAGAATATTGAGAATCTCCAGTGTATGTGCTGATGGCGCGTCGTCGATGGTCAGCGCGACAATTTTCTTAGCAACTGGGTGGTGAAACAAAACATCGGGCCAGCGACGTTGGAAATAACAAATGAGGAAAGCCGGGGGCTTGTAGATGAAATAGAGAGGGAAGAACAGGCAACACGTTGACAGGAAGCCGAGCATCGTGGCGTGAAGAAAGCAAGGGGAACATGTGAGGGACACTCGACCCGCTTTTGGTCTCCATGTCGCAGCTTGTATAGATTCAGCCTGGAACCTCGACTTTTACGTATTCTTAAGGCCCCCGCATAAAGTCGGTGAGGTACATGATTAATTGCAGATAAGAGTCATTATCTCGCGCCTAATTCACCTCCCGGCTGTTTCTGGGATTCTTACCCTTGGAACCCTGAATGAAACATTGTTATCCGGAACTGGTAGAAACAGGTTGGTATATCAATGAATATATATCGACTTCCTCCAACGCTATTGAACTTTGCAGAGCTTCTTCTCAATTCAAACCTTGGAATTTACATTAATTGTTGACCGGTATCATGCAATTATATGTACATAGCAGTGCAATGTGATGCCTCATACGTACCTAGGGAACAGGGTCCATACCTGAGATTCGGAACTTTTACTGGTGAACGCGCTACTATCCGTTGATGATCAGCAAGCCCCAACGTATTCGGCGATCAAATACGCAATCCAACCGAACCGAATATACTGCTAGTGGACCATTGCATATGCACCCGCCGCGGCTGAGCTGAAAGGACCCTTTTGAAATCGTCCGTGTCACCCCGGCTACATGTGAAGTGGATATACGATCGACACTAGGATTTGTTTTGGAGATAAGCTTGCGAAAAGGTTGAATAAAAAAAGCAATCCATCCTCAAAATGTTCATGCAGTCGCACGATGTCGAAATTCGACCCCGAACAGAGCTCGAATGCCTCTGACACGGTCAAGCCAACGATATGGCGATGCTTCAAGGCACATATGAAGAAATGGTGGTGGCTGTATGCAATTGCAGTCATTTGTATCTTTTTGGTGATCTTCCTTCCCATGTAAATTGCCCGAGAAGAGCATCGACGACTGTCACTGATTTTCTATCCAGAATTTATGTTGGAATCCCACACCTTGCCGACGAGTACATCAATAATTATCAGTACAATGACACAGGCCTGTCCATCACCAATCCTCGACCCTCTGCTTTCCACATGAGTCAGTCTCAGAAGATCAGTATTGGGGGTGGACTTAGTGGAAGTGGACATCTATCGGCATTCAACGCGACAATCAGCACATCTGATGGTCAGGAGTTTGCGGTCCTTCCGTTGTCGGAAATCAAGTTCAGCGACGGTCCCGATCTGAAGATAGACCAAGATCTTGAATTGACCTGCGTCGATTGCTTATCGGATATGGCGGCTGCGTTGGCTACAAATGACAGCATCTCGATGGTGGTCAAAGGACATCCGGACTTGAAGATTGGTGCGCTGCCCACAGCTCACTTGAACATTGACAAGACGATGCAAATGAATGGTAGGTTACTTTCTTCGAGAGCTTTGGGGTGTGCAGAATACTCATTTGTCGGTTTTGAACATCTAGGCTACAATATCACCGGTAAGTTGAATATATGCGATTTTGGGAAATAGCAAATGAGCCTGACCTCAGGGCAGAATTTATGAACAGCAACGGGGCATTCAATATCACCAGTGTGGAGCTCCTGACGCCCGAAGTGGATGGATATAATTTCAATGCGACCATCTCCCTTCGCAACCCAACCCCTTTCTCAGTGGAAATGGTAAATGAGAGATCCTTAGACTGGCCATCATGCACGAGCTAACTCAACGAAAGGGAAATGTCGTGTTCAATCTGAGTATGGGAGGATCATCACTGGGATATATCGACATGCCTAATCTGACATTTAGTCAAGGTGTCAGCAACGCGGTAGTCTTGGGCCAAGTCGACGAGTCAATGCTTGTACAAGAGGCGCTGCTAGGCGACGGTGATGTTGGTACGGTCACCATTGATATCCAAGGCTACAGCTGTCATTATAATGGGCAAGCGATCCCGTACTTCGCGGCTGCTATCAGGGCTTCGTCTGCTTCGGTCACTGTGAATCTACTGGAATACGCATCAAGCTTGTTTGATTAGCAGGCCCTGGAGGTGCAAAATAACAAGCCCCTTCATTGACGACAGACCACTGCATACTTGAAAGAAACCTTTGGGAGTCGTGCGGATTGTAAACGCTTGGTGAATCGAGTCACTGTTCTACTTGCGCAATGAATTGCGACTGCACGAATGTAAATGTCATTTTAAAACGCAATAATGGGTATATATATATCATCGGCACTTTTTTCACATTTTATCCCATGATCTGGAGCTGATCCTCCGGAGGCCAGCGCACTTGTGCGAAGCTCAAGAAGCGCTTGATACTCTGTAGGTACTTTCGAGTAATCTCATCACTGAGAATGTGTGCCTGTTGATCACTCTGGTGTAGCTTTTCTCGAGCCGATCGCTCGTGAATACCAACCATGGTCACACCAATAGGCCATGCACTAAGTCAACAATTAGTATACGTATTTCATAGGGCAGGGGAGTATCATCTTACGCTTTTCCAATGCTCACGCGAAGATAAGCATCATTGGCATCAACGTATTTCCGCTGTTGTACCTTATGCACGATCTCCACAATTGGCTCTAGCAGTCCGTCCTCCAAATCTCCTTTCTCAAAGCGTCGGAATAGCGGATTCATGTTTTCTCGAGACTGAACCATGGCATTATACGCTTGTTTCCCCTGGTGGCTTTCACGAACAGACACATCGCGCTTTGCCAAAGCCAACTCCCACTCCGAAAGCATCATGTTGAAATAGGACGCCAATTGTCGGAAGAGGAAGAGCCGTTCGGCGTCTCCCTTCGGAATCTTGGCGGGAATAAGCATTTGGCTACCTGGAACAGGCTCCAGGGTTGTCGGAATCGGCCCGTCAGTCAATTTCTGCAGCGTAGCAGCGCGCTTGATGATTCGGTGGTAACGCCGGAGTCGCGAGCGGTGGTTTTCTCCAAACAATCGCGCAGGCTCGTTGAGATCCCGAAGCTTTTCAATAAGTTCATCCTCCTCCATATCCACGGCCTCCTCTCCATCGCCAGGGTTATCGTCGCCCTCGCTTTTGGTGGGCAAGTCTGGTAGTCCGAGTCTTCGTCGCCGTTCACGCTCCTTGGTCTCTTCTTCTTCCTCTCTTCTCTTTCTCGACTCCTCGGCGAGTCTAGCCCTCTTCTCATCTCGTTCACGTTGTCGGGTTGCCTCTTCCTCCTCAAATTTGCGCTTCTTGGCTTGCTTCTCTTCGCGTTCCTTTTGAAGAAGTTCTTGCTCTTCCTCGTATGCCGCTAAACGCGCAGCCTCGACCTCCCCTCGGCGCATGTATTTCTTTTGGGGCGCTACCACGGTGGTTTTCTCTTTCTGGGTTCCGGAAGACTTGGCCGAGTCGGTGCCTTTGGCCTTCGAGATCTCCTTAGACATGAGCGCGGCGAAATCCATGATGGCGGTCCTCAACAGAGGATTTCTGGATATGGCGGTGAAAAGAAGCTCAAATGTCGCCGAGTTTTAGGGCCAAAATATTGAGATCGATCGATCGATACGTGACGGGGGCGGATTGCGGGGATGGAAGATGTGGAAGGATGAGAGGAGAAGGATGTTTAATGTGGACCTAAGCTTCCAAGCCGCAATCAGACTTCGACTTCCCAAGCTATTCACTTCACCTTCCTTCTCCAAAATCTTCGCCAACTCTTCTTCTAATTATCGCATAAATCTTGTGCCACTTACCACGAGAGCTCTTTCTTCCAACAATTCTCAACAAAATCATCTCCAACAGCCCATTCCTGATTGGCCTCACGCGCGACACCTCACCCTACCATCATGGCCGCTCCATCCCAAGAAGGCCCCAAGCCCTCAATCAATCGCCAGACAACTACACCTTTCCACCTCAAGCTTTTCTATCGCACCAATGGCTTCCACTCTTTATCCGATTATAAACTTCCTATTCCGCCGCGTCAACGCGGTGGCCCCGTCAGTGGACCGAATGCCATCCGCGCGCCCTCTCCTGTAGCTGCTGCGACACTTCCGCCCCACCTTGAGATCTATACCTGGCAGTCATGTACACTTCGGGAGCTCTCCCAGCTTCTAACCTCCGCTTTACCGTGGTTACTAGGCGACTCGCCTACCGGTACCCGACTCTGTTTTCGTCTGATCTACCCCGATGCGCGTGGTGCAGCAATGGCAGGCAATGACGTTCGCGGTCACTATATTAGCAAAGAGCTGGGCAGTGTGGTTGTTGCGCCAAAAGAAAGCTCATACCGGGCAGATGAAGACGCAGATCATCAAGGCGAAGCACAATTGCGCCCTGGGCCACTTCGTTTCCAAGGTGGAGAAGCCGACAAATGTCTGCAGGACGCGCGATTCATAATTGGAGACTACATTGAATGCGCAGTTCTGCCGCCGCGTGAGGATGGATCCATCGCACCACCGATCCGTGCTGGTTCTGGGCCACCGCCGATGGGGCATGGCATGCGCGCATTTGGGCAGAATGGATCTGGGCGACCTGGTCGTGGTGGCCCTCGTGGAGATCGCGGCGGACCTTCTCATGTTCCCATGGGTGATTGGAGGCGAGGGGAAAGACTCCCTGAGGGAGGTGGTCGCGGAGGCCGTCGGGGATGGAATCCGTATTAAGAAGGTTGATATGAGCTTCAGAGTTTTGTCCTAGAAAAGCGATGATACAGGCCGGTCTGAGCTTTGGGGATACCCAGCTTATCATCATGTATTTGTATTATTATTATGTATGGAGGGAATGCCTTAGGTCATGTCTTTGTCGATATATCAAATGAGATCTATCGCCTGCAGAGTATATTTCAGAGCTTTACACCCGTCTATAACCGGCCAATAGCAAGATCTAGAGCTATAAGACAAGTGATATGATGCATTTACTGTGCAACTGGCGCTTCGTATGGGGAGCCAGTTGTAAATGAGAAACAGAAGAAATCCATGCGGTATATGCTTGCAGTAAGGTACATAGCCTGCCAAAGCAGACATAGTAAAAAAGAAAAAGCAGTTTTGCTCAAAACATCGCCTCGCGATCATTGGAAAGTGTGCGAATGGGCAATCCCACCTCCATAACCCTGCACCACCTCAATCGTATGATGGATGTCATGGAACCAGATCACACCCTCAGTCATTCTTCACCACTCAGAAATTGTGTCTCCCTTCCGCTTGCCACGGAGCTCGAATTTGCCCTGCAGATTGTCAGCCTATTCCGGTCCTCCGCCTCTCTGCTGGCAACTTGGATGACGGATCATACCTCGGTCTTGTAGGCAACATAAGTCAGGACACCTGGAATGATACCCATGTACACAATAGACAGCCAAGCATGGCGAGGCGTCCAGCGGAAGTACTTGTAGCGGTTGGCGTTGAGTTCTATGTTGATCAGTCAGTTCATGCTCATGAGCGTCTCCGGGGCTTCGGTCCGTGTCTAGATGTGCGAGCGGGTTCCCGTGCTTGGGCGCAAATTTTCATTCTGAGCATAGCACAGGGACCGTCTCTGCATGTGGACCTTTCTCGGAGCGTGGGGTCGAGAGGGACGAGGATAGGGCTTCAAATACCGTAGTATTTCTGGAAGGCCGGATCAAGGATCAAGGCTGTAGTCAATTGATTAGCGAGAAGGGCAGAATAGATTGGAGAGCTTCACAGCACTTACACTTGCTGGGGCCAGCCATGATTGCGATAGTTCTTGGGTCGAAGGCACAGAGACGTCGCTTTCGCCGTCCAGCGGATCGAGAAGGAAGTGGAGTGGTCACATGACCCGCCTTGCCGTCACCCAATCACGTGAGAGCCAAAATAATATCGAGCTCAACACGGACGATCAGTCGAATCATGATCTTTCATTAGTAGTGTTGATGGAAGACAATGACAAATGATACACATATCTCACACCGCCGTGACTGAGCTATTGTAAGGCCAAATCTCAAATTCCACTCGAGCCGCTATATCTACATTTCCTAGTATAGTCCATGGATCCCCATGTGCTCCCCAGTTCTATCATGATGAATGAAGGTTGCTTAAATTTTTGTTAACATTCTGCATCAAAGTGACGAATCAAATATTGGACTGGCCTTTGATTTTGCATTGAGTCACCAGCCAGTCCTTTTAAGTTGTTGCCTCGCTAGTCCTCACACCTTGCCACTTAGCTCTTGACTTAGAAGTAAGCAAGTCTGGCCCGGTTAGCGGCTATGGACCTAGCCTTGTTCTTCGCAAAACAAGGTTGGTTTTTCAAGGAACTCCTCTGAGTTTTACTCTATCAAGCTTTGATCTCAAATCCCCAGCTCTCAATATGTCGTTCGATATTGTCAATTTCACATTTGACAATGACTACCAGTATTGGAATCAAAGTGGACCAGAAACACTAAGACTGTCGAAGGGGAGATTGTAGGTGATTAGAATTGTCGTATATATTGAAAAGAAGAGTCAATTGGAATGGTAATAACAATTTCCAACGGTTTGAAGTTGGAGTAGAGGTAAACTGTTTACATGATGCTCATCAGCTCAGATTTATACCCAGAAGGGAATGGTCTATGTTTCTCACTCACTTACTTAATCAAGAATGTGACTCCGCGAATTTGATAGGCTTATCTGATATGAATATGTATATAAAGCTTAGAAGCTTTGGAAATTTAAATGTCTTGGAAGTTTGCAGTCTATCTTTATCATTGAATTCACTATACGCCATCCTCTGATTCCTCTCTACCGCCCATTGCAATCAACCCTCAAGACGTCAAATTATTCAATTCTCAATATGCCTACTGTCAGCTGTTTTGATTATCCTGGCTATGAAGAGCTTGGAAATATCTTCAACATTTCTGCCGCTGTTTCCATTCCTGCCAGTGCTCGCATTGTGGCTTGTTCCGGTCAAATTGCCGACAACCATGACCCTCTCTGGGGCAATCACGCCGAACAATTCGAGAAGTCCATGGCCAATATTCAAAAGTCCCTGGCTGCTGCATCACCTCACATCACCAATCCCGAGCAGTTGTGGGAGGGAGTTTTTTACGTGACCTCATTCCACGTTGGCGTTTTGTCGCGGGAGGAGCAACTGCAAATCGCCGAAATTGCCCGTAAATATTTCGGGAAAAACAAGCCTGCTTGGGCCGCGATCTGTGTGATGGCCTTGTTCCCACCAGAGGCGTTGGTTGAGGTCCAGGTCCAGGCTGCCTATTCTGATGAAAAGAAGGTTGAGAACTGAGGGGCTCTGATGGAATAATTCGACACCGAGCCCAAGATAGCTATCATTAAATCAACTTTGGAATACATGAAATACTTCTCATTTGACCAATATATTTAGATTGATTTGCAACTGCCACTGATCTCGGGAGACTTGATGAGATCTTCAGTAGTATATGTATCTACTTCTTGCGCATGAAGCAGGCAATTCCATATCAATACCCGAGCATTTGCATTTGCATACACTCCAGCCTTGTAGAATGCGATACCTTTAATGTGAATATAATATATGAGGAGCCACATGATCACCGAAAGTGCTCTGGAGGCCACAATACTCATACTCAGGTATTGATGATATAGAAGAACATCAGTTGGTGACCCAAATAAGATTCGATCCCTTGGAAGTGTTCACGCATCAGCACCGGCTTCCACCTCTGCGCCTCCGATTCTCCCAGCCTTGAATTCTTCGACCATTTGGGCAAAAGTACACCATTCCACCCCTTCATGTGAATTGATGTACTCAATCAATCGTTCGTGCAGCATGATCACTTGCGGTTTCCCGCTGACCTGGGGATGAATCGAGATTGGAAAGACGAATGTGTCGTACTCGCGATAGAAGAAGTCAAACTGCGCCTTCCATAACCGCTCAATGGTGTCGGGATCCACGTATCCATGAGAGGGACCCTCAACGAGCTGGAACGGAGGCCAATCGTCCAAATGCCAATTGGCAGGCACCTCGACAATGCTGCTAGGCACAAGCTTACTCATTGGCTTCATCCATTGATCAGCAGGCTTTGAGATGTCCGTCATAGAGAGCTTCTCGGGGGCATATGGCACATAGTAGAGCTGTGAATCATGGTGCATAAAGGAATGGTCATATTGCTAGGGCAAAGTGAGTGATTTTGGTTCCTTCAGTGGATGGAGATTCTTACGATTCCGAATTCCTCCAAGAGCTTGATACTCCGGCGCGAGGTTCTCCAAGATGGCGCAGTCCAACCTTTGGGGTATTCGCCTGTGAAGTTTGTGATAACTTCGATGGACCGAGCTAGAACATCCCGCTCTTGCTGCTCCGTGAGTGCGTCCACATGCTCATGTGAGTAGCCATGCAAGCCACTGAGCCTGTCAGCCAAAGAAACGTCACACAAAACGGCAGGTGCTTACATCTCGTGACCTGAATCTTTAATCTTTTTGATCTGAGACGGGAATGATTCAATCGAATGAGCTGGGACAAACCAGGACGTTTTGATATTATATTTGTCCCATAGATTGAGGAGTCGGTCAATTCCAACCGTTGCGCCAAATATGCCACGCGACACGTCCGTCAGGTCTGGCAAATGACCATCTTCCGTGTTAATCCTGCTTATCTATTAGAACTGATCTTGCAGGGATTCAGATCACCCGTACCAGCCACTGACAGCATCCACATCGATGCCATATCCAACAAGCACACGTTTCACCATGATAAATCAAGCAAGACGTGCAATCTCTTTGCACTAATTCTTCATTGACTGGGGATTAGTTTGTAAATAACATATTTGATCATGGATTATCTCTACTGCGCTGTGAGTGGATCGCCAGGGCGCTCAACGACCTGCCTAAAGCGGAAGGTGGATGAGTTGACCAATCAGAGGTCCTTTGCCGCTGGATAATAACGATTTGTCTCTGATATGAGAAGTAGCATCTCGGGCAAACCAAAGCAGAATGGGTCATGATTAAGGGAGTAAACGAATTACCTTTTTTTAAATTCAACTACCCTTTATCTGACATCATGGAGATTAGGACTCTTCTGTGGACTTTGATTATGCGGGGAAAGCCGTGATAAGGTTGATTAGCCAATCAAATGTGTCGTGATATGCCGTGACGATGGAGATGCCGAGTATAATAACTAGGACCAAGCGCAACAGTAAGCACCTGGTTGAACGAGAAGGCCTTTCAAGGTAGCATAAACCCTATACAATGAGAACGATAGAATCAATAAGAACAGCTTACAATTGACCTCATTCTGTTTGGAAATCGGAGCCGGTTATCGCGCATTTAGGCTTTCCCCGCTTCCGCGAAGATAAGGCCATCTAAATGGTTCATCTTCCCCAGATACTTTTCCTTCCTTCAGAATCCCCAATGTCCGAAGGTTATTTCGGTAGAGCGTGCAAAACATGTCGGCGTCGTGGACGAGGCTGCGATCGACGACTACCGACATGTAATACCTGCGAATCTAATGGTCTTGTCTGTGAGGGATACTTGTTACAGTGGCCTGGATTGGCCAGTCGCGGGAAGTTTGTCGGGAAAAGCATCCCTGTGAGCACCGGCAAAGGTCAAGGAGGAAGAGGGGGAAAAGAAGGGAAAGGGGAGAAAGGTGTGAAAGGGACAAAAGCGACAAAAGCAAGAAGATCGCGACGCACACAGCCAACAGAGGTAGAAGTCTCAACTTCGACCCCGGCTCCAGCACTAGCTCCGGCTCTACAACCGCCCCCAGATGAAGCCCAAGACACACAAGGCGATCCGGTACAATCCGGAATGTTGGATGCCCCCAAATTTACCACAAAAGAAATATCAATTGATCCCCAACTGGCCATTGACGATAATACATTCCTTTTTGACACTTTGATGGATTTTCAATCTACTGTTGAGGTGGAAACGTTGAAGATGCCAACATTGGACATCGGGACTTACATGGACATGAACAACCAATTGTATCCAAGGATCGATGTGTTGAATATTCCGGATGAACTGAAATTTATCATGGAATATCGTCAGTACCTCTCATACCAATTGGAAGCTGTCGCAGATGCTAATGGTTCGAAGATCTTTGTGAGGTAGTTCCGAAACTATGTGTTGACAACGAATGCCCGCAAAATCCCTACCGAGATTACATATTCCCTCTCGCGATCGAGATACCGTCCTTGATGTATGCATGTGCAGCTTTAGCGGCATGTCACTACAACGTGAGGCTAGCGACCAATCAATACCAACGGGAGTTTTACAAATTCAAGGGCAAAGCGATGAAGCGACTTCAAGAGGATCTATATTCCCAAGCTCGAGCTATCCACCCGGGAACTCTCGCTACAATACTGATGCTCTGTCTTTGTGATCTCTGCCAGGGCGGTGCTTCGGATTTCGAGTCTCATTTTCAAGGGGCTAAAAAATTAATGGAATTACGTCAAGAACGCACCTTGGGATGCTTTGTGGAACAGTACTTGATATGGTAAGCACGCACGCGACTAGACGCTTGCAGATAGTAGCTAACGCCGCCAATTTCAGGCTGGATGTGATGGCAGCTGCCTCCCATTCTAGATCCACAGTTTTTGCTGCACAAGATATACAAGAATTACTCTACGAAAGTGGAGACTTTTGGGGCTTTGACGCGATTCCTTGTCCGTTGGATCAATTTAAGGTGATTCATGAGATCGGTACTCTGCACAAGGAATCGGCGAGTCCAGACACCACTTCAATGGAAAGAATGGATCAGGTTCATGATATCAAACATAGACTGTTGCAAGGTCCAATACATTCGCAAAGAGGCCAGAATTGGTTTCATTTGACGGAGGCGTATCGATACGCCATCATTCTGTACCTGCTGCGACTTTTCTCCTGCGACGTGGATGAGTACGAATTAAACTGGCTTGTCAGCAGTGTGCTATATCATGTGAAGTCTACTCCGCCCGCGTCTGGCTGGTCGGATCAGCTGCTATGGCCATTGTTCCATGCAGCGGTAGAGATCAAGGATACAAAACAACGAGAATGGATTCGCGAGCGGGCCCAGTGTATGCAATTCTCCGGGGGATTTGGCAACGTACAAAGTGCACTCAAGATTCTAGAAGGTGTGTGGATGGGGAGTCGGCCTCCAGAATATTTGGACATGATGCTGGGATGGGGAGATGGAACAATACTTCTTATATGAGAAAAATGATGAAATTATTCTCTAGTCCTTGATATAGTATGCTTACAAGTTCTCTCTGTATCTACAGCTTGGCGCGCTGGATAGATTCTGCGTGCTGGTCGATGATCTGGCGTGCACACCGGAGGCCAATCAAATAAGCGTTGATCTGGGTGTGGTTGCTATTTCGCAGTTAGCTATCGGTTCAGGATGAGGGTACAGGGGAATCCTTACCAAGTCAAAACGGGACAGACACTGAGATCTGCCACCCGGAGGTTCTGCGTTCCACGCACTCGGAAATTCGAGTCAACCACTGCTGTGGAATCATTGGCCTTGCCCATGCGGCAGGTCGACATGCTATGGTATCCTTGATCCAGGTTTTTCCGAATGAAATCTAACATCACATCGTCACTGACCGTGTTGAGATCAACTGTGGCAAAGTCGATATTCGGGCCATGGACCATTTTCTCGATCACCCCTTGATACGCCTTGGAATGAGCAATCTGCAGCGCCTTCCGAACAGTCTCGATGGCGATCCGGCGATCAAAAGGATGAGACAGGAATTTGGGATCAATAATCGGATGCTCCCGAGGGTTTCGGGACCGAATGCTCACAACTCCCTTGGACAGGTTGTTTTGCAGTAGCAATTCATGGGTGATGTAGCTTTCTTCCGGTCGACCATTACCCTCATAGACGGAGGGTCCAGATCCGAGCCAGATCTCGGCTGAAGGTCTCGTTGGTTCCAACAAAAATGCCTTGGTTGGGGAGTCAAGGTCACTGAACTCCTTAGATTCAAACAGGCGTTGGATTCTTGGGAAAGCCACTGATCCACTGGATCCATACATGGCCAGAGGACCAGTTCGGCTTTTTGCATATTCGGCTTCAGCTTCCTCAAGGGCTTTCGGTTCAAGGAAAACCTTGTTGTGTGCCGGGAGGCGATTGTCGACTTTGTATTCACAAGTGATGATAGAATGGTCGAGCATGTTTTGACCGACTCCTGCGGAGATTTAGCAAGTAGGACCGTAGTTCAAGAGTACGGGGCCACAAACCTGGTAAGTCAATTCTGACAGGAATTCCATGCTGCTCCAACGTCTTTCTTTCCCCAATTCCTGACAGCATCAGGATTTTTGGAGATCCAAAGGTGCCAGCGGCTAGAATGACCTCCTTTCGACAGTGTACAGCGACTAGAGCGAACAATACAGAAGTTAGCGTAGAGCGAGTATTCAACACAAGGAGTTCTGACCAGTTTTCTCCGTAAAACGATCGTACAGATCCACACGAGTGGCAACGCCGTTGGTAGAGTGAACATAGTCGCACTCAGTGTTGGTCACAATCACTAGGTTTTTGAGACTCTTCCGTGTTGATGCCGGTAGAAAGGCATTGGCCGCATAAGACCTCTCGCCATCGCGGACGTTGAATTGGGCTAGTCCAACTCCGACTGGATTGCCGGCATTGTTGTCCATGCAAAGGGGGATTCCCACTTCTGAGCACGCTTGCATGTATGTTTCAACGCCCGGAACCATTTCTTTTCCGAATCCGAGTTTAATCGGTCTATATAACTGTTAGTAGTCGAGCTTTTACAGAAGAATATAGTCGTCACTTGCCCAGAAGTACCATGGTTTGCTGGCAAAGCACGTGCGAACTTGTTCATCCCCTCAGGCAAAGTAAAGTCAAAGTCTTCCAACTACATAATGTTAGTAAAGTTTACCAGTGACAATAGATGAGTCTCACATCTTTCATCATTGGGAGTATGTTATCCCATCTCCAGCCCTCATCACCAGTGATTTGGCCCCACTGATCATAGTCATCTCTGGGGCCTCGTGCCAATGCCATATAATTCACGGCTCTAAATGGTCAACGTGGTTCAACGCAATTCATGGATTAGAACATACGAGCTGCCTCCAAGCTGTCTTCCACGCAAGAAAACCAGTTTCCTGTCGTTCAACTCGTGCTGGGGGACTGTCGCCAACTCCCATAGTCCCTCCTTGTCCTCCTGTAGCTGCTTGACATATTTACCTGGAACCAGAACATCAGGCTCAAGCTCCGAGTCCCTACCAGCTTCTACCAACAGCACCGAGGCACCTGGAATAGTGGAGAGCTCTGCTGCGAGGACACAGCCTGCAGTTCCTCCACCACAGATGATATAATCGAAGGTGCTGCCATCGAGAGGAAGTGGATTTCTGGAACTCATGGTTTCAGTCATGGAAAATCCACTGAAAGAGGAGACTGTAGAAGCCCTCAATCTTATGAGTTTCTTGTGATGGTTGTATGCTGATACCCCGGATTCATGTTCCCCTTCCGAATCTCACTGAGTTGCCTAATCTGGAAGTCGGATAAGCCAGACCAACAACTGCATTGACCTTCCACATGAGATGTCGCTAGGGATATCACTGTGTATCTCATTGTTTTACTGAACAAGGAATCTCCAGGGAGTCACTTTCTCATTGCATTGACCAAGTTAGGTTGAAGCGCGGAGAATTCAGCAAAAGGTGGGTTTGAACTAGTATCCAGTTTTGATGCCGATAGGATGTAGAGTTGCTTATCGTATGCCATCGAAGACCAGTGTTATTTAAAGGTTCAGAGCCAAAAATCATAAGACACTCCAAGTTATCGTTCTATTCCAAACATTATACCACATCTTGTTTATCTTCATGATCATGGGCTCCATCACTCCTCCTCGTGCTGTCGAAGCACTCCCAGCCACTTCAGCATCAGAGAAGATCCTCGAGATTCTCTACCGCGATGGCGCTGTCGTTATCAAGAACCTCCTCTCCCTTGACTCCGTCGCTGAGATCACCGGCGAAATCAAGCCTTATATGGATGCCGACTACAACAGTGGACTGGAGGTCTTTGCCAAGCAAACCAAGACTGTCTGCGGACTGGCAGGAAAGTCGCCTGCCGCGGTCAAGTCCATCTTGCAGAACCCTAATGTCAAAACCATTGTCAATGATGTCCTTAGTGTCACCACTGAGAGTTGGTGGGGTGACGCTCGCAACAAGTGTGTCTCCCCTCCGCTGTTGAGTTCTTTCTTTACCGTTCGTGTGGGACCTGGTAGTGCTCGCCAGGGTCTTCACCGAGACGATCAGGATCACCACGCTACGCACACCCACGGTGATCCTAAGGAAACCACTAAGCTGGGATGCTTTGTCGCAAGTAAGACCCCCACTCTTTCCATTGATCGGCTTTCTGGTATGTACTAATCACGTCCGAATCAATAGCCTCCAAAGTCACCAAAGAGAACGGAGCCACCGAGATCGTCCTCGGCTCCCATGTCTGGGACGATGTGCGCAAACCTTCGGTGGATGAAGTCAGTTATGGCGAGATGGACACTGGTGATGCCTTGTTGATGCTGGGTAACTGCTACCACGGAGCCGGCGCCAATGTCACCAGCGACTCGTTCCGAAGCGTTGTCGTTACATTGTTCTGCAAGGGAGTTTACCGGTCGGAAGAGAACCAGTTCCTCGCTGTCACGCAGGAGCAAGCGAAGAATTTGGATCCCGAGGTTCAGGATCTCCTCGGATGGAAGGCCAGTGCACCGTTCTGCGGATGGTACGATTTGGGCCACCCCTACCGCCTCATTCGTGAGGTCGATAACGTGGGCTCAGATCTGTTTTAGGAAAGACTGGAAGAGTAATGATATATGTGATTCGGATTCAATTTGCAAGTTTCCAATATTAAACCTTGTTCAAGTTGCATAAGTGTTTTCAATGTTGAATCGTAGAATGGATACTGGAATGTGTATGGCTGCTGGCTGAGCCTCGAACATCTAATTTCAGTTGACCTCAGCATCTACATCAATTTCCTCGTGCTAGGCAAAAATTGAGAAATTCCCTTGACCAATGCTGTTTTCCGGCCGATCACGCGTGAACCGAGGTACTGTCGTTGCCGCATGTTGATGTGCTCGCTCTAATTGGGGAACGAAAATGTAGTTAATAGACCCAACACCCAGGAAAGCAAAACAACAAGTGCTCGATTACCTAGTCAGAACCTTGAAAACATGACATCCATTGATATCCCTACATCATATGAGACCTTTAATCTCACACACCTTCGGATTTCCCACTATCCTTCTGGAGCCCCGGAGGCAACTCCGGTGGTGATCTTCACCTTGGATAGACCGGAAAAGCACAATGCTTTCACACCGCAGATGGCCGATAGCCTCACTCAGGCATACAAATTGGTTCATGTTGACCCACGTGTAAAGGTAGTTGTACTCACTGGGGCAGGAAGGATGTTTTGTGCTGGATCAGATCTTGATATTGGATTCGGCAACGGACAAGGAAGAGCTGTTGACTTCCGGGATATGTATGTTAGCAAAAAAACCAAAAAAAAAACAAAAACATCAAGTCTCCCTCAAAATCGGGATCGCTGCTAATACCATCTTAGTGGCGGCCGAGTTGCACTGGCAATGCATCGATGCCACAAGCCTACTATTGTCGCTATGAATGGGTCTGCTGTCGGTGTTGGCATGACAATGACCCTACCAGCTGCTGTTCGGTATACGTCCTATCTATCATTTCTGGTCTCTCAAGTTCTAAGTAGCCTCTCTAGGATCTGCCATGCAAAGAGCAAGTACGGATTCGTTTTCACCCGACGCGGCTTGACCATCGAATCCTGCGCATCATATTTCTTGCCACGTCTAGTCGGCTTTTCGCGTGCCATGCAGCTGATCACCTCCGGTGGCGTCTTCCCCCCTACCTCCCAGCATTTCGGCGATCTTTTCACGGAAATCCTCTCCGATGCGGGGAAAATCCTCCCGCGCGGGCTAGAGCTGGCCCAGGAGGTTGCGGAGAATGTAAGCCCATTGGCCTCTTCCATGAGTCGTGCCTTGATGTGGGAAGGCGCCGAATCACCCGAAGCCGCACATCTACTGGAGTCGCGGGTGTTTCATCATATGATTGGCCAGCGGTATGATCTGTCTATGATATCAATGCAAGGATGTTTGCCTGTTTGGCTTTGCTGACGTCACGATAGAGACTATCAGGAGGGGGTTCGTTCGTTTCTCGAGAAGCGCAAGCCTTGCTTTGAGTCGGACTTGCGAGAGATAAGTTCTCCGAATTATCCATGGTGGCCAGAGGTCGATATTACCCGGGAGGCGTGTATTTCCAAGCACAAGTTGTGAAGTGGCAAGTACAGCAAGCGGCGTTTCAGGCTGTGGATTGTGTAGATTTCAATATATGTCGCCTAGTGGTTGGTATACAAGTTGACTACTATGAAGTACTGAAGGGAACATGTTGTACTGATGGATTGATTCATTTTCAGAACTGGATGAAATGGAACATATCTAGCGATGCATGTAGCCCGCGCCAGTGCATATGCTTGAGCGTCGCAGACCGACACCAGGAAAAAACACGCAGTAAGAGGAAGAAATCGAGACTGCCACTCGATAGAAATAACTGGGTATCAAGAACAAGAAAAACAAAGGCTGCCGATTACATGTCAGGCGCAGCTCGAGCTGGACATATCAAATCATAATGTCGAGCATATCAGGCAAAATCAGAAAAGAAAGCAGAAAACAGATCGTAGGAACACTGAATGCCCTATCGTAGCGCCGATTGAACTCCTAACCATGGTCGCAAATCAATGTCGTGGTGGAAAAAAGATAAATGGAAAGTATAATGTCGAGCAGATAGAAGTGAAGAATGGACTGCTGCCAGACCTGCTAGCGCAGTGATCGCCTAGAGCGGGGATCAGAAGGTGCTCCAATTCCAGTCACGAGGAACGCTGGCAGCGACGTCGGCGGTCTGACCCAGATTGGCTTGGAGTGCGGCACGGCCAGATTCCTGGCTGTTCTCAAGATCCTGGGTGGCGTCCTCGTCGATGCTCTTGCCATCCATGTTGTTCTGGATCTTGTTCAGGCGATCGGTACGTGTCTCCTCCCAGCGTTGGTGAGCACTCCAACACAGGTCGCAGGCCCGCGAGGGAACCCCCTCGGGATGGAAGCGCGCATCCTGGTCAAGGGGAACGATATGGGGAGTGTGAGAGGAGCAAAAGACATGACCACAGTGGCGACAGTGGTGGCGACGCAGGAAGATGCCAAAGGAGGAACGGCAGGTGGGCGAATCACAGTTGGGGGAAGCAGAATCCGCCTGCAGAAGAGAAGTTAGCAAGCATGTTCCATATAATGCAATGTTTGTAATCAGGACGCAAGCTTGTGATGGGGTCAAGGTATGCGCGCTCGTCATGTCCTTCAGATGGCGTGCTCGTGAACGACATTTCCGAGGGCGCATACGCCATTCAGACCAACCCGTCTTTTAAAGGAAAGACAATGCCCATTGCGAGAGTAAATTTCGGTAAGACTTACTTTCCAGTGCTCACGAGTAGGGAGACCAGTCACCACACCCAAGTGCTCCGTCTTCAACCATTCATGCTCGGCCGACTTGCTGATGCCACTGTACCTGCTCTCCATGGTGGAGCGACGACTGATAGGTTCATCAGAGTCCTCGTTCAGACTGTCCAGAGAACCGTGCGCGCTGCGCGGTGGGGTGATGGGGGAGGACTTCTGAGGACGCTCGGTCGGGCGCAGAGCAGCAGGAACATAGAGCGGGCCCTTGGGAGGACGCAACTGGCGAGACTGCAACGGGAGTTGGTGCAGGGTAGACGTAGTGAGACGAGGGGAGGTGGGAGAATTATTGGAGGGGGTAGTAGTATTGGAATTGGTGGGAGATGGATGACCGTAAACCGAGATCTGGTTGGCGGTACTGGGGGCGGTGGCGGTCATAACGTGAGTAGCCATTTGGTATGGTTGTGGTTGTGTGTATGTAGAGGGGAGAAGGGGGAGTGGAGGGGAGAAGTAAAGGAGGTAAAAGTAAATGTTATGGAATGGATAAAAGGGAGAGGCGAAGTGCCATTAAAAGTGGTGATGTCGAGGGGCAAAGTGAGCACACGAGGCAAAGAGAATCCAAAGAACGGTGAGTGGCCGAGATGGCGGTGGAGCACGGGAGGAGCGTTGAGGCTAGTAGACCCCGAGTGGAGATGGAATTTGGAGAAGTTTCACGTCAATCTTCCAAGATGCTTGACTGAGGATTTGGAGATGGAGAGATAGAGATGAGTTAGGAATGAGAAATGCGAGATTGGAAAGAAAGGTCAAGCCAGGGGGGGGAATTTGAAGTATATGAAGAGCGAGGATGAGATGTATAGTATCGGAATACTACGATCGGGTACGACGCGAGTTCGTTTTCCCGTCAAACTCCGAATCACTTTACCGTAAATTTGGTATGAGACTCACCGATATTCCTTGATCATGATCGATTTACATTCTCTACATCATATTCATGTTTATATCAAAAGTACAGATTGACCGCTTCTTTTGTTTTGATAGCTGATTGATTCTCCCCAGTCAATCATCTCGTTCTGACATGCAGTTGTGCTTATGTACCGACGCATGATGGGTTTCCGCATCGAGGGACTGCATTCCTCCACCGGGATCCGCTGAACTCCAAAGTCCCCGCTATGTTCCGCGAAGTCGGTGACCCATCAGAGCCCACGGCCGATCATGGGTTCGATGATCATGTAGATATTCCATCGCTACTGTGCACTTCAAACAATATCCTATCAAAATACAAGAATAGTAGCAAACATGTAGCTAACCTCTCACATTGATGCATCGTGATCTCGACGCCTGGATTCCCCCTTCGCTCCTTCCGTTTTCGCTACTTTGGTGACTTTCCTGATCTAGTCCCCATTGAGCTCCAAGGTTTACTAGTGGCTATGAAGGGAACCAATCAAGGAAGAGGTGGCGTTTTGGTCTTATCAGAGCACGCTGATTGGTTCTATGGGCCTCGGTTCCAACCAGTTGGGGCATGATTAATGCAGCACAAAGTCACAACACGGCCCAGTGCGGAGTCCCTCTCATAACCTTTCTACTTTCCACCAATCACAGCGACCGGCTTACAATATCCTGAATGGAGTAATCCTCCAGAAGGATGGAATGTTTCGGTCCTCGTCCGAGCTTCCCTTAGCTGCAGATTCACATTCTCTATGTAAAACGCTGAATGATATGCGGCAAATAGGATGACTTCCGAGAACCCTATTTCTTGCTCCAATGTGGCGGATCATGATGCTTTTCACCGCAACTCGGCACAACATAACGGACTTGGGAGCCGGTCCGGGAAAACGAATAATGCTCCCTTCTCCGGGTACTCCATACCAACAGAAATACCTTCTCATCCAAGCCTTATGTTACTCCATACTTTACAACCTTACACCTGCACCGTCTGTAACCTATGATGTACATAGCCCATAGTCTATTGTAGGAATCTGGGCGGGGAAGTACCCCCAACCTGGAGGAATGTTACATGTTGCTGATCCAATCTCCCAATGTCCCGATCAAATATCCGGGGAACCTGAGTTCCTTCCCCTCGCCGCTTGCAGCCATGGTCTGGGGAAACTCTCACCACTTACACATGGACATTGGGGGATGATGGCGTCATGACTCCCGTTGCTCCCAGGGCCCAGCCCGCCTCCATCGGCTTCTGTAAAGCTTGCAGCAAAAGAAAGATAAAACCAGTATCACAACATCATGAAGCTGGCCGTGTTCAGCGCTAAATCCTACGATCGCACTTACCTGGAGGAGGTGCGCTCTCAGCGATTCTCTCAATTGTGTGAGATTGAGTACCATGCCTTTGCCCTGTCCGAGGAGACCGTACCGCTGGCTAAAGGCTGTGATGCGGTTTGCGTCTTTGTGAACGACACCCTCGATGCGCGCGTCCTGCACGCCTTACATGCCGGTGGCGTGCGGGCGATCCTGCTGCGATGTGCGGGATTCAACCACGTCGACTTACCGACTGCCGAAACATTAGGCCTCTTCGTTGCCAATGTGCCAGCTTACTCGCCGGAAGCGGTGGCCGAGTTCGCCGTCGCCTTGGTTCAGACGCTGAATCGCAAGACTCATCGTGCCTACAATCGAGTGCGGGAAGGGAACTTCAATATCGAGGGCCTCCTGGGAACCACCCTGCACGGCAAGACGGTCGGTATCATCGGGGTGGGACGCATCGGCCTCGCGACCGCGCGCATCTTCCATGGCTTTGGCTGTCGGTTACTCGCTCACGACCCCTTTGCGGGGGATGAGTTCCGTCAGTACGGGGCCCTGGTTAACCTGGACACCTTGCTGCAGGAGAGCCACATTGTCAGTTTGCACTGCCCGCTGACCGACGGCACGCGCCACCTGATTAATGAGACCACGCTCAGGCGGATGCGGCCTGGTGCAATGTTGGTGAATACGTCCCGAGGAGGCCTCATCGATACAACGGCAGTCACCCACGCCTTGAAGACGCGCCATCTGGGTGGAATTGCACTAGATGTCTACGAGGCCGAGGGCGAGTTATTCTATAATGATCACTCGGGAGAAATCATTGACGATGATGTCCTGATGCGCTTGATGACGTTCCCCAATGTTCTGGTCTGTGGGCACCAGGCCTTTTTTACCCGGGAGGCACTCACCGAGATTGCCGAGGTCACTTTGACGAACTTGACGGCCTTTGTGGACGGTCTGTCATGCCCCAATTCACTTGTCACCGAGGGTCATGTCCTCGTGCGGGCAGATACGGCTCCAGTGCGATTGTAGAGTGGTTGGACATACTGTGTCTATATCACACGGTTCTTTGCCATGTCATGTACTAAATGCATCGCACAGTCATGCATAATATAATCATATTTATCATCGGTCATATAATCATCATACTTGGGAGTCTATTCTCCACATGAATGGATCTATTGGCATAATCTCATAGTATCAATTTCACAGAGGACGACTGCATTGGAACTGGTTCCGCAGCGCCTGCCACGCCCGAGGCAGAAATCGATGACCGTGCACGATCAAGGGAACCACGGCGATCAGCCACATGCCATAGACAACTCCGACGGCCAGCACCAGGCAGACCTGCTCGATGACCCGTGCGAGGATGCCAGTTCGGGGCTGCCGCGAAGGACTGTGCGACTCCTGGTCTGCATTAGTCAACGCCTCCGCAATTTGCCAGGCGGCGCGACGATTAATATTTTCCCAGGTTGTGTCTTCTGCTTGTTGACGGGCCGCCGTGGAGAGCTTCTTCCGGTGGGAAGTATTTTTTGATACTTCCCGGGTAAATTTGATAAATTGGGCGACATCCTGTGGTGGAACAAGAAATCCGGTCTGGCCATGTCGAATAATATCGGAGGGCCCACCCTGGTCTCGGGCAATGACGGGAATTCCACTGGCCATGGCCTCCAGAACGACGAGTCCAAATGTTTCGGTAACGGAGCAGTGCAGGAAAAGGTCCGCTGAGGCATAGGCGCGAGCCAGCGATGTCCCGGTGAGGAACCCTGTGAAGACGACATGATTGGGAATTTCTACGAATAATTGCTTGACTCTGTTTTCGACGACCGGGTTGCGATTCCCCCCAACGACGAGCAGCTTGAAAGGTATCTTCTCTGCGACCAAACGTATTGCGACTTGTGCGAGGAATTCAAAGCCCTTCTCTGGTGCAATGCGACAGACGCAGATGAGAATGATTTCTCCATTCGGGGCAATCTGCTGGCGATACGCTTCGTCTCGCTGGTCGGGCGTGAAGAGAACAGTATCGACTCCGCGGCCCAACTGGACCATTCGGTTGGTGGGGGCTCCCACGTGTTCAAGATAACCACGAATGGCTGAACAGGGGTAAAATATGGTGTGCACTGCAGGCGAGCGAAACAAAAAGCCTTGTACTATTCCCAGCAGCCAGACTCCGAACTGGTCCAGTGGCGCGGGAAGCATGATCTCCGAATAGGCCGATAGATCTGTCTGGAAGTTGAGCAGCACCGGGGGCGAGGATCGGAGTTGACGAATCTGCAACAGCATCTGAAATCCCAGAGATGCGGGACTGGCCAGATAGATGATGTCCGGCTTGAAGGCCTGTCGATAGACATCACCAATGTGAAATGGGTAGACCACCGTCAAGTCTGGGTTGTACGGCAGGGCGCATCCTGGCAGCCGTCGCTCCCATGATTGAGTTTGCTTAGCAGCATCACCCTTGAAATCAGGTGCAACCAGGATGAGATCGACGCCATTTGCTTGCAAGTACTCGACTAAACTGCGCGTGGTGCGACTGACGCCATTGACGGGGCCCCAGGATTCTGTTGCTAGGAGCACTTTCTTTCCTTCTAGGATACTGGGAAACTCATCACTTGCTCCCTGGAAAGAGGAGAGCAACGGCGCGGATTCCGACATAATGCGACATCTTCCAAGGGAAGAGAAAGGGGAGTGCAAGAGATAATAAAGTATAAAAAAGTGTAAATGATCACTAGTACATTCCGGGTGCACGTGCCGCAATTGGCCGCTGAGACGTGCTTAAGTATGAGAATGGATGAGAACCAGTCGTTCGGAGTGTATGTGCCGCGTGCATCAATCCAACTCTACCACAGGCACAATCCATGTCCCGATAACCTCGATAACCATCAATTTTTAAGTCATGAGGGGAAATCATTCTGAAAATATGAGTTTGGTGAAAAAGGAGAAACCAGGGATTCAAAGGTGATCGATCCCTCTACTGGTGTCAATCTTTCTAGTATCCTCAACTGACCCTCCACTCCCCCCCCCCCCCTTCGTCTTCGTTTTATTGTTCCTTGACGGGACCAGTAGTCGTGTCCAAGTCCTATTATTTGAATCACGGTCAGAACACTGGAGAATTCTTCAACTTATTCCAAGGGTGAAAGCAATCATGTCATGCGACGAGATCCCCATGGATATTCTCTTCTCAGAGAGTGGCGAGTCATGCTCTACCGCACCCACCAGCCCGAGCGCAAGTCCGTTGTTTCGTCCCTCGGACATTGATGATCTTAAGCTCGCGTTGCCTGAGTCAACTCCACCCACCGAGGAACACGAGCAAGTCCAGCCGGTCAAGAATGTGTGTGTGGTGGGCGCAGGTTATGTTGGTAGGCATTCCACTCTGAGCTGGCCCCATTTCGCCATTAACACGACGTAGGAGGACCAACGGCCGCTATCCTGGCCCTCCACAACCCCGCAGTGACTGTAGAAGTGTTGGATCGGGACCCACAGCGCATCAAGCAATGGAAATCACCACATCTTCCTGTCCACGAACCGGGACTAGACCACCTGGTGAGAGTGGTTCGTGATGGCGTGGAGAGTGATGAGAGTGACATTCCTCGGCGCCAGCGAAATCTGTATTTCACCAGTGATTCTGCACGGGTGATCGCCAAAGCGGATATCATTTTCATGGCAGTCAATACGCCCACAAAAATGTTTGGGGTAGGAGCTGGCTGTGCAACCAACATGGCTGCGTTTGACGGTGCTATGCGGGATGTCGCAGCTCATGCAAAACCCGGCGCGATCATCGTAGAGAAGAGTACGGTTCCTGGAGGGACGGCAGACCGAGTGCGAAAAATGGTGCGCTTGTTTTTCCAACCCTCTCCTTTCTTAGCTCATGCAGCGTCTGACCTGAGTTTAGCTTGCTGCTCACCGACCCGGAGCTTCTTTTGAGGTGCTTTCAAACCCGGAGTTTCTCGCCGAAGGCACCGCCATCAAGAATCTCACGAGACCCGACCGTGTGTTGATTGGATCGGCTGCGACCTCTGCCGGCCGACAGGCTGCTCGCACCCTGGCAAACCTCTACAAAGCCTGGATTCCAGCAGACCGGATCTTGGAAACAAACACCTGGTCTTCCGAGCTCGCGAAGCTTGTTGCCAATGCCATGTTGGCTCAGCGGATCAGCAGCATCAACTCAGTCAGTGCAATCTGTGAGCGAACCGGTGCGGACGTGGATCAGGTGGCCAAGGCCATTGGCATGGATGCGCGCATTGGTTCACAATTTCTCAAAGCGGGACTAGGCTTTGGAGGCTCCTGTTTCCGAAAGGACATTGCGAGTCTCGCCTATCTGGCAGAGTCCTTAGGCCTGGATGACGTGGCCATGTACTGGCGACAGGTCAATATCATGAATGAGCGACAGCGGGACCGATTTGCCCGTAAGGTCATTGAGCGATTTGAAGGGAACTTGGTAGGTCACAAATTGGCGATTCTTGGGTTTGCCTTCAAGAAGAACACGGGCGACACTCGGGAGTCACTAGCAGTGGAGGTAATTCGATTGTTGCTGGATGGTGAGGATCCGTTTCTCCCTGATTTGAATTCTTTGCTAACAGATCGATTGTGTTCAAGAGCGACCGGCCGAGATTACCATATTTGACCCCTATTGTCGCCAAGAAGATATCATGCGGGAGCTAGGTCCAGGAGTTGCCGAGATGGGGACCGTGAAGGTCCACAGTGACCCATACTTGGCTTGTTCACAGGCCCACGCTATCCTGGTGGTGACTGATTGCGATCAATTTCGCAACACTCCGACCAAGAAATCCAGCTGGAGCATCTCGGATCAGTCAACACACACGTCTTCCTCGGATTGCATGGACTTTCAGCCCACTTCCCAGTCTGGCACTAATGAAACCATTGAATGGCCACGGATTGCGTACAACATGGTTGAGCCCAAATGGGTATTCGACGGACGGGGCCTGTTAGATGTGGTGGAGTTGAAGAAATTGGGAGTGCGAGTGGATCGCGTGGGACGGCGTACAGAGCTCCACGTTTAATTACCATCTTTCTTTTTTTTTTTTTTTTTTTTTTTTTTTTTGCGATACCCTTCGTTCTTTTGAATTCTGATTGTTTATCTCTGCTTCAATCATTTACACAATCCCGTGATATCGAGATTTCTGCGTGGTTTCTGAATGGCGTTCTCAGTGGGTTTCGGAGGCATGATTGGGGACTTGCTACATCGATCTATATTTTCTCATTCGTACGTTAAAGAAGGCACGTCTAACAAGATTTGACAGAACATTCGAATGTGAATTCTTCTATCCTAAAATATTATGCACATTCACTAGGCACACACCCAAAATAGAATCCTAGCTTGAACATTAGAAACAGCTTTTTTCTATGTATTCAAATGATTAGGGAATGTTTAGGGAATATGGACTCCTTGCTTTGTCACCAAGGTGGTAAGGATTGAGGCTTTGATTTAGAACACCTTTCCATTCAGAACATCGGCCCGGGAGCCGAGATGGAAGACGGGGATATGTTCAACGGGAGCTGGGACTGTCACAGTCTGGCCACCAGCGTAGGTCTGGTTCGTCCACCAATGAGTCCAAGGTCGTGCAGTTGCGTTACTGGCCACCTGTGGAAGATAGACAGACCATTCGGTGACATTTGGGAGAGTAACTGGGGTCACCAGCAGGCGTGGACCAAACATGTACTGCTGCGTAGTGACATTGCTGTTCATCTGTGTCAACTTGGCAATGCGCGAGTCCGAGGACTGGAAATCCATGTACAGAGGGCGCATGATCATACGACCGGTGCGGTGGAATTGGGCAAACACTGCCTGGATGTAAGCAGCTAGTTGGTATCGAAGGTTAATGTACGAGACGATGATGGGTGTGTTCTGTTCCCCATATGACCATGGCTCATTGGCGCAGGTATACGCGTTCTGGACATAGCAGGCTCGCGATCCATGAGTTCTCATGAATGGTAGGAATGTTGTCCACTGCAACCAACGGAGGTAGAGTTCCCGATATTGAGGCGTGTCGATGTTCGCAGACCAGGAAACGGTCGGGTCGGCCTGAAAGCCACCCGCATCCACAGTCCACCAGCCCCAGCCAGTTGCAGCAGCGGAAAGACCACTCGCAACTTGGGCACTGAGTGTCTCCCAGACTGCAGTGGTGTCACCAGACCAGATCATGCTGCAGAACCGCTGGGACCCAATGTAGCCCGAGCGGCTTAGAGAGACTTGGTCACACGCACTGCCCATCTCGCTAGACGTGGCGTTTCGGAATCCCTCTTCGATCGCTTGCTGATGTGCCCAGGGATAGAGCTTACCGACGCTTCGCTGAGTACCGGCAGCATAATTGACATCGGGCAACGGGAAGGGAACCGACTGGATGTATGTACTCTGCCCATTATTTTCGTAGGCCTCGCCCAGCGCTCCTCCATCAGCCTGGTCAATCCAGAAATTCTTGATTCCCTTGTCAAAGTAGTTGCGCTTCAGCGTATCCCACAGAAACTGTCGAGCTTTGGGATTCGTGGAGTCATAGTTGCGGATGTAAGACCCATTCCACGAGTCAGTTGTTCCAGGTCCAGACCGCGTGGCAGAGAGGTACCCCTGGGCCATCATCTCAAGGTAATTCACACTGTTATCCGCGACGCTGGGCCATAGAGATGCCATCATCTCCGCATTTGTGAGGTTCTTTACCTGGGCTGCCATCTCAGCGACATTATCCCATAGGCGGGGATCCAGAGCCCAGTCTCCTTGGTGAGCCCACGACTGATAATCAATGACAATTATGGACACAGGAATGTCTCGCTTGTTAAATTCCTCAGCCAGTAAGACAACCTCCGATTGATTTTCATATCGGAGCTTTGACTGGATATAGCCGAGGGACCAGTCTGGAGGAACAGGGGCACGACCGGTGAGCGCCGACAGGCGTTGTTGTAGCGTATCATAATCTCCAGGAGTCGAGCTGACAACAAAATAGTCGACAACGTTAGCAGCGTCGGAGGTAAATCGATTTCTCAAGGTAGAGAATTCCATGCGACCTGTCGAGGGCATGTTCCAAATGAATCCATAGCCCTTGTTGCTCATGAACACGGGGGTGGGAATGTGAGTGTTAAAGTTGATCAGATCGATTGTTGAGCCCTTCTTGTTGACTTGATGATCTTGCTGGGTGCCAGTTCCGTATATTTGCTCATCGGGCGTCGTGCTGAATGAGAACTCGGCAGCAAATTCGCTTCCCGGGCCGGTCCATGAGTAGTATCGAGGGTTGATCGACTTAAGTGGTGCATACTCGTTGGTAAGAAGGGTTTCTGTGCCATTGCTTTCCACACGATAAAAGGCGAGACGATATCCTCCCGAATTACCACCCCAGCCGGAAGTACGGACAATCATATTACCATTACGTAGCTCTTCCGACTGATTCCCAGTGAAAGCGGTGTCGAAAGTCATGCCATGAGCCTGACCATCTTCTGGGCCTTCAAGTGGCGGGTCATACACGAATCCTATTTCTTGACCGGTTGGAGGGCGGAAAGGCCAGGCGCGCACGCGGAAACCGTCATATCCAAAGGGCTGGACTAATACAGTCTCAAAGCCATGTTGCATACGAAAGCCTTTGGAAGTTGGTTGATGGTAGTCTTGTTGCGAAGAGGCCGCCGCGCCAATTGTCCATAAGGCACTCAAGGCTAAAGTGGAAAAGAGCATATTGCGGAAATCGGGTCACTTAGAGATGCACACCTAGCCCTTGTTCGTTCCTGTCGCATCCCAACTGGCCCCGAGGCCTCTTTTAGTTTACAGACGACCCGTATTTAGGCTGAAATGGAATGGCACCACAGCTGTGCCTCTGCCAGGCATGGAAATGAGTTGCAGATCGACATCCCTCCTGCGATAACTGCAGGTATGAATGGCGGAGAATTCATCCAGGGTTAATACACAGGGTTCGGGTCGGATTACTCCGACGATGGACTGATCGTCGTTCTATCCGAGTCCGCGTTACTTTCATGATGTGGGGTGTGGGGTTCCGTGGGGGGTTATGTAGTATCAACATTGCAGCAGGGTCTTGAGATATTGATATGTAGAAAGTCAGAGCTAGCGTGGAAACCTGCTATCAAAGGTACTTGCGTCATCCGGTTTAATCACAAATTTCCTGTAATTGACTTTCCACCATTTTTTATCTGATTATTGATTGACTCCAAGCTGCATTATAAACCACCTTTGCTTTTCAAGATCCCCAAAGCAACTAGAGCGTAAGGTTTCATATTTAAAGCCAAGGCATGGAGTTGACTATCTGACTGCCACTGACTGCCAGTGACTGGTGCAGAAACACGAACGCCAACCTGGATTCTCAGGCATTGAGCAGAGTCTTGGCGGTGAAGTGATGTCACACACTACAGAAGCTACCTTCCCCGCATTGAACTTCTCCACGATCCTCAGCATGGGCGGTGGAAACGAAACACCGAGCCATCACAGCTTGAAAATGACGGAAACCTCGGGCCCTAGCCCGAATGCTCGTTTGCATGCCGTAGTGGACCTGGGAAGGTAACCACTAAGCCACATCTCCTATCCTATGACTCGATCACTTACTTGACACCCTACCCCGCAGCAATGGCATTCGATGTTCAATTTCGGATCTTTCAACCCCAACTACCCGAGTCATCCCTACCGTTCATTTCCATCGTGTCAATGTCTCCCTGTACGAGGCGCAAATCGACCCTGACACGGGCAACCGCATCCCAATCCCCCAGCCAGTCATCGACCGGGTCGTGAGCGCCATTGTACGATTTCAGATCATTTGTGTGGAAACCGGCGTTCCAGCTACTAATATCCGGCTGATTGCCACTGAGGCCACTCGAACGGCAATCAACTCTGCGGTTTTTACCGATGCGATACGCAAAAAGACTGGCATCACCGTGGAGATGCTTCCGAAGGAGGAGGAAGGCATTGTTGGAGCATGGGGCATCGCAAGCAGCTTTTCTGACGTGGAAGGTCTGGCCTTGGATCTAGGAGGAGGCAGTATGCAAATGACATGGATCATTTCCCACGCCGGCAATGTCCGCATCAGCCCGCGCGGCTCGGTTAGCTTTCCTTACGGAGCGGCCGCATTGACGCAGAAATTGGCCGACCTGAAGCGAGGCAAAAGTAAAGACGATGCTGAAAAGTCAAAAGAAATTTTCCGCCATGAGATGGCTGCCAACTTTCGGGCAGCATTTGACAGTCTCGAAATTCCCGAGAGTCTGATCGAAAAGGCCCGGTCACAGGGTGGCTTCCCGCTATATCTGTCCGGCGGAGGCTTCCGTGGATGGGGCTATCTGCTACTGTATCTGCATCAAACCCGGGGCCAGAGCTATCCCATCTCAATCATCAACGGGTATTCAGCGCTCAAGGAAGATTTTGAAAACACCAAGGCCCTAGAGGAAGTGGCCCGCACCGCCCACGAGATTTTCCGAGTGTCCGACCGGCGCCGCAAACAAGTCCCATCGGTCGCATTTCTAGTGAATGTGTTGGCCGAATCCTTGCCACATGGGATCAAGGAAGCACATTTCTGCCAAGGAGGTGTTCGGGAGGGAGTACTCTTTCGAGATATGCTCCCGGTGGTCCGTCAACAAGATCCGCTTGAGGTCGCAACGGCCCGTTATGCGACTTCATCCGCCCAGTCCATCGCAGCTTTGATGCTGGCCGCCCTTCCCCGTCCAATGGAAGGCCGTTCGGTTCCACCTTCCATTACCACGCATTTGGTTCAAGCTTTTGCCAATGCTCTCTACGTGCATGCGACCATGCCCAAGGAGCTATCTTCCAGCGCTGCCATGTATAGCACAAGCACTGGAATACTTGCATCCACTCATGGAATCCCGCATTCCCATCGCGCTCTTCTGGCATTAATGCTTCAGGAACGCTATGGAGGGGAATTACCACCCCGTGATGTGGAATTGAAATCTCATCTGCAGGGAATTCTGACCCCGGAGGAGGTCTGGTGGACACGCTATCTGGGTAAACTGGGACTCGTTCTCGGTGAGTTGTATCCTACTGGCTCCATTGGCTCTTCCAAGCCGCGTATTGTTCCATCCGCCAAATGGGCAGATGGCCTTGGCAAAAAGGGGAAGAAACATGGATTGGAGTTGAAGATTGCCATTCAGAAGGCCGCATATGACCCCACTCATCTCAAAGAGGAACTTACCCACGATGTCCAGAAGATTGTGAAAGTGGGGAAGCGCAAGCATTGGATTGGAGGTAGAGATGGCTGGGGTATCAAAGTGGTGGTTTCAGTTAGAGAAGAGGATTTGCTACAGTGACTCGCAAGTGGATCGTGACTTATGTTTAGCCACACCGGCTAACGTGATAACAACCACCTGTACGAATATAGCCTCACCGGGCCGGCTGTCCAAGGTATACTTTGGACTCGGGGGATGGGCCCACGATTATACATAGCACGACACTGCTGCCATGGCGAGACATGGCCTCTCATCATCATATACCCTTACTCACTGACAACAATTCAAAAAGAAGTGATCAAAAGCCCCGGAGAAAAGATTAAGGTCCTCTTCAAGATGTTACGTATTCTGACTCTGAAAATCAGCGAACGCATATGCATGAACTCCACTTTGTGGACACCCGTACAGCGTAGACTTACCGGGGTGAGGTATGTCATGATCTTTGCTGGCTGGCCCCTTCTTGAGCCTCGTTTACTCAATTTTACGCTATATCATCGACTCCCAAGCTCTAAGACGCAGCAGTACAATATCACTACGACCGAGTAGAGAAATCGCTGATTCGTGTAACGCACCCATGATTTCTGGATTTAAATTTTCGACTAGGCAGACACGAAAATAAAATGCCAAGTTGCAGGTGGACCCTTGAAAACTTGGGAGCTCCACTTGGATGGCCCTGTAGGGCTGAGAACAGGGAAACGGAAGTTGTCGGTCGGAGAGCGCCCGGATCTTATCTGATGACTACGAGGAACTATCTGATGGCTATTTATCTGATCTAACCCCTGAGCTTTAGATTGAATCCCATCCAAACCTATGCAGATATGGAGGCAAAAGACGTTGATATCAAGGAGAAAGACATCTATGAGTCCTCTGGGACGGGTGATGGTAGGGCTATCACTTCTCCGTATAATGAAATCTGCCTTCCATTCTGACAGCTCTAGCCGAAATTGACTCCCAGGCCGAAGTCCTCCGGGCAGCTGGCATAGGCTTAGGCGAAAATGACCCTACCGAACCTATCCTTACTCTGCGAATGTGGTCGCTCGCAATCGTCTTTTGCATTGTCGTCAGTGGCCTGAACACCTTGTACACCTTACGCACGCCCTCCATCACAATTTCCGCCTCCGTCGTGCTTCTGCTGGCCCATCCTCTGGGTAGGATATGGGAAAATATCGTGCCAGACTGGAATGTTCCATTGGGGGTTTGGTCATTCAGCCTAAACCCAGGCCCATTTAACACCAAGGCAAGTGGTCTTCTTCTACACATCTTGTTCTCGGGTTGACTGACTATATCCTCCTTGTTTCAGGAGCATGTCCTCATTTACATAATGTCGAACCTCAGTGTCTATGTGCGACTTGGAGCCGACGTGTTGACGGAACAAGAGATGTTCTATGGCTACAAAGCGGGCTGGGGCTTTCAAATTATGATAACTCTCGCTACGTTTCTATTTGGATTCTGTCTAGCAGGTCTATTCCGTGCCATTGTTGTTGTGCCGCGGAATTTGATCTGGCCAGGTGTGCTCAGCGTCACTGCGCTCACCACTACATTACATAATGTCAGCCAAGGTGAAGTCCAGGCGAGGTGAGTAAGAACTGAAATTGTATGAGAAGACTGTCAAGCTCATATAGAACTAGCTTTAACACTTGGAAAATGTCTCGATATGCATTTTTCACGATTATAGGCACCGTCTCTTTCTGCTGGTACTGGTTCCCAGATTTCATCTTTCCGGCCTTAAGCACCTTCAACTTTCCCTGCTGGATTGCTCCAAAGGATAAAGTGGTGAATCAGCTGTTCGGCATGACTTCGGGCATGGGTCTTCTCCCGATCACCTTGGATTGTATGCTTATCTCCACTCAATGGTTCTTTTTGTAGAGCTAATATCACCCAGGGAGTCAGATTTCGTATGTTGGTTCTCCGTTGCTCATTCCATCTTGGGCCATCCTCAACGTTTTTGTGTCCCTTGTATTTTGGATCTGGATTGTTGCTGTGGCCTGCTACTACACAAATGTGTGGAATACTGGCTATCTTCCATTCCAGAGTTCGAAAGGTACTGGGTCAATGGTTTATTCGCTTAAAGAATAACGCTAATACGACTATTAATTCTCAAATTAGTATTTGACAATACCGGCAGCACATATTCCGCATCGAAAATCGTTAACGCTGCGAATGGGTACAAGTTGGATGTCCAGAAGTATTTTGATTATTCGCCCGTGAGTCCCCCGTGATGGGCCAAGTGAGAAAGAGACTTATATGCTCAATAGATATACATGCCGATTGTGTATGGACTTAACATGATGGGCCTGTCTTTTGCAACTCTCAGTGCTCTTCTTGTATGGGTCTCTCTTGAACACCGCCATGTCATGGCAGACGCCGCAAGACGGATTCCATGGGTGATCAAAGAGTCGTTCTCCAGGCAGTACCAGGGCCCTCACAAAGACGAGACGGGGGCTCCTGAAGTGCCAATATGGTGGTATCTGATCGGGTGTGTATTGGCACTATTCATGGCTATCTTTGCAGTGGAATATTGGGACGCTGAATTGAAATGGTATGGTGTATTGTTGGCCTGCGTCGTGGCTTTGGTGTTTTATCCTCCGGTCAGTCTCTACAGACCGCAATCTGTGCCTTATGCTGACCAGGGTTTCGCAGCTCGCCCTCGTGTATGCCACCTCGAATCTCAAGATCAACATCGATATTTTTTGTCGGATTGTCGCGGGCTTTGTCTTCCCCGGCAAGGTGCTTGCAAACATTTGGTTCTTTGACAGTAAGTTTCCGCGCCAATCTCGACTTCCGACCCGGTTTCAACCAGGCACCCTAGAGTTTGACTGATCTCCGAGTCTCTTCAAGTCGGGTATATCAGCACCATCAAGGGGCTATACTTCGCTCAGGATATGAAGCTCGCCTATTATTGCCACGTAAGATGATTTTCCGCTTTCTAGTTTCTTGTACTGACCACAGATCAAGATCCCTCAACGACAGCTTTTCGTGGTGCAATGCGTTGGCATGGTCATGGGGACCCTTTCCTCCCTCGGTGTTCTGAACTGGGCTTTAAACCATATCCCAGGGGTTTGCACCAGTGCCGCTTCTAACGGATTCAGTTGTCCTTACTCGACCACCCACTTTAATACCTCGCTAATTTGGGGAGCGATCGGGCCACGACGGTACTTTTCGAACCAGATCGGGTACTCGGCCTTGCTGTATTTCTTCATTATTGGCGCGGTTCTGCCCATCCCGGTGCATTTCCTCAGCCGTCGGTATCCGAACTCGCTGTGGAAGAAAGTGCACATTCCTTTGTTCCTCGGCGGGTTGAACTATCTCCCGCCCGCGACCGGAATGAATTATGGTAGCTGGGCGGTGGTTGGTCTCACATTTGGCTGGCTGATTCGGAAAAAAGCGTTTTCCTGGTGGGCCAAATACAATTTCGTCCTCAGTTCGGCGCTTGATTCATCGGTGGGAGTTGCGGGGGTTTTGATTTTCTTGACCGTGTTTTTCACAGGAGCGAGTAAACATTTCAATTGGTGGGGAACAGAGGTGTATAAGGTTCGTTTGATTTCAAGTGGAGAGTAAAGGGGTCGCTAATTGAACCTATTAGAACAATTGCGACTACAAGAGCTGTGCGTATCTCTCTATACCTGAGGGGGGAAATTCGGAGTATGAGGTGGGAACGCGTTGAAATGTTGACATTTCTGGTGGTCGCGTTGCATTTTTGCTTTTTGGTACCTCGTAGAGTTGCCATGAATTCGTGTGCAACAATAGGTCCATTTGCTCTATATGGACCCTGGAAGGAGAAAGAAGGCCATGAAAATCGTTTTTGCATTTCGACATTGATGTGCAGGTGTTGATAGAGGCCAAGCTTAGAATGTACAAGGCTGAGCCCCCATGGAAGCTTGGGCTCGCCGCGATGCCCGATTGACCTACTCCCAGGGCTGGTATGTATGGATATATATAATTCACACTTGCCCAACATTGAATAAATTACATTGGAAGAGTTGGCTACCTACGGGCCTATATCAAACCGTGGAAGGCAGGGAAATATAAGATATCTAGATATAAGCTACCCGTGAACGTCGGCGGACTCCAGGGCTTGGACAAGGATCTGGAGTACTAGAAGTTCCCCCGTTCAAGAGTCACATTCCATTTCATCATCTAATTCCAATGCTCAAATCTTGCTGTATGCCGACATTCAGAGATGGAAGTAAGTATACAGCTTGGAAAGAATAAATGTACTGGTGCAAGTGAATGAAGAAAGCCTGAGTCTTGGAAGCCATGGGATATTACTACAATTACAATGCTCCGGAAATTAGGATAATGAAGCGGGCTTTTGCCAGTGCCGTAGTAACGAGATAGTGACTGACTAGATATGTGCTGGGACAGACTATGAGAGACATTCATAATATGGTGAAGCTTCAACACGGTCTCTTACAGTATATATCCAAAGTTGGCCTTAGAATGCATGAAGCTTACTAGGCCTGCAATTGTTATAATGCTCAAGGCTTGGAGTTATGGACTTGTTACGTAATACACTTGGCGACCCTTGATGGCTGTATACCGAACAGTTTTCTTCCATGGAGAAATGCGGAAACAGGGGAATCATGGAAGTCCCGTTCAGCTCAGGCTGGGCGAGACTTTGCTGGAGTATGGATCTGATTGCCACGTTGTATTGACTCGTGACCGTAGCTGGCTGCATACGAGGGCCAATCTGGCCCTCCATCTCCATAGGCAAGAAGCTGGCTGATCAAATAGATCCCTTCGCTTCATGGCACTGCTAAGGTGTGACGAGCTTTCCCTTTCCGACAAGATCATCAAATCCATCACGTAAATAGCTCCGTCTTGTTTTGTTCCTGGCAATCGAAAAAGAAAGTGAGTAGATACGACCAAAAGAAAACATGAAGTGCGGGTCAAAAGAAAGGAGTTGCCACGATCGAGATTACTCGTAGTCAGGTTATCGCCCAACGATCTCTCCGGCTGTTTTCAAATAGACGATAGCCGATGTGATATGATACATGATGCAGAAGCTGCATACATAGACCGTGGAGGTTCGCTTGACTGCAAAATGCGCGATGGACCAGTCAACTAAACTACCGGATGCTCCCGCTGCCCCGGATTGATGTGTTCCGCCAAGAACGTCGACACTCGTGTTCTGACCATATCCCCGAACAAGCAAACATTGCCCCTGCAGTAAACGCCGATCTTAATCAGAAGAACCAGCCGCAGCTATTTTCAATAGCTGGTCTGCCTGTGCAACCCACAATGCCTTGGGCCTTCCTGGGAACCAATCGCGAAAAGCTCTGGCCCAAACACTGTCGCTAGCGATCTACAGGAACAGCTGTGATCTCCGCTGCAGTACCGGCGCTCGCGTTGAACATGTACGACACCAAGCAGGAAACCACAGACGAGAAGGGCCTTCGGTATCCACCAAGAACCATTATCCCACGATCACCGCCGGGAGGGTCTCCAAGGCTATTGATTTTCAGGGTCTGCTGTGTGATACCAGGATGCAGCACCAAGACATGAGTTGAGCTGGAAAAAAAACAAAACGCATTCACGAATGGAGATGACAATTAGGGGCATGATCTAGAAGATATAAAGCCCCCAGGATTTCTCGTCCAGAATACCTCTTCATCATCCAGCCCAATCTCCCAAGCAAACCAAGAACTCCTTCCTTCGCTTTTCAGTCACTCTTTGTCTCTGATCATTCGCTTTACGCACCAAATAAACCATCAAAATGAAGTTTTTCGCCACTGCCCTCTTGCTCGCTGCTACTGCCGTGGCTCTGCCCCAGCCGGGATCCGACGGCAACATCCAGTCTATTCCCAAGGGTATGACTGTGAGCCAGGCTCAAGCCAAGTGTGGCGACAACGCCAAGGTCAACTGCTGCAACAAGTACACCACCAACAAGGATATCACCACCAACAACTCCGGCCCCCTTTCAGGTGCTCTGCAAAGTGCCCTGGCGCAGGGCCTGGGCATTGGTGAGGGGTGCAATGATCTCAGCGTCAACGGTATACTTCCCTTATCAAAACTTTACTAGTGAACACTTTCTCACGCTATCATAGTGCCTGTCCTCAACATTGTTGGAGGTGGTATCGACCAGCTGGTTGAACAGAAGTGCAAGCAAAACATTGCTTGCTGCCAGAACGACGGGTCGAGCGCTGTATGTTACTCAAGACTGCTTATTTCCCACTCAAGATTGCACACTGACTTCATGAACAGGACAACAACCTTGTTGGCGTTGCTCTGCCCTGTGTTGCTCTGGGAGGCATCATTTAAGCTCCCAGCACTTTGCCCAAGGAACCCTAGTACTTGGAAACTTCGTACATACATGTACATTGTATTGCCCCAGCAAGGGTCAAATTTTCCAGTTCAATGAGATCAGCAACACCAATTTGGATTTGCTATCTTAACGCACTGTGTCGGTCGTTTATCTTTCGTTTTGTCGCCTTTTCCTGGGACATCATTATGTACCTAGCTTTTATTAATATATGAGACCCTTGCATTCATGGAAGAAACTCCGCGTAGTTCTTAATTGTATGAGGATGCACGCCTGGCTGTGATTAACAGTCACTAATACAGCATCCCATAAGTCTCGATAGGGGAGATACAACTATACTCTGACGCAATCAAAGATAGACGAGTTGGAAGAAGGCGAGCTTCCAAGCTTCTCGCTTCCATAGAGAAATTTCTTCATGGGGGGAGGGTGTAGATATGGCCCACAAAAGTCGTCTAAAGCCGACCGTAGAGAAACAATAAATGACAAAAGGAAATTCTCAGCGGCCAAGGAGACTATGGAATATTCAGAGGTTATCGAGTTGTCAGGGGGAGCTGCTATTAGCACGCAATCACGCTTCGGTATAGCGCATTTAAGTGAATGAGAATGTTAACTTTTTTTTTAAACAACAATAACAATTGCAATGATTCCAGACAATCAATACATTTGAACAGTCCAAAGTGTCGAGAATAAAGACCCTATCCACATCCGTATTTCGGAATGAAAATTCAGGATGCCGATCTGGAAGTAAAATTGGGATCGGCCCTGAGGCATTAACAACTGATGATCCCGGCATTTACTACCATCTGTTGGTCCATCTTTTCGCGGCAATCCCGATGTCATCGGCAATGAAAAAGGGCCACGAAGACGGGAAACGTGTGGTCCAGAGCGGGGCCAAGTAGGACAAGCTTTTCAGTGGACCCGAGGGGCTATGCTAGGTTGAGGGAGATCAGACGTTAGCACAAGGAAGTAGAAATAATTCCTTGTCTACTTGGATTGCCAGACACGGATGCACAAAGTTTCTTCCAATTCCTTCAATGAATCGGCCAAGCTCTATCTTTTACGCCAAAAAGTCTGACGGCAACATTGAAAATAGAGCCCAACCAGTGATGCTTATACTTGTAAATCCGAATTTAACAGCCCTCACTGTGACTCAAACATCTCGCTTGATTGACCGATGAGACCACCTCCAAGAAAGGTGGAGACATGGGAGGATATTCCGTATGCAATTGAATGATGCCTTTGTTTCGGGATCGACGACACCTTCTACTTCCAAGTACCATTCGACCTATAATCGCCAACCTTATCGTCGCGGCATTGGCGTCTTCATATTCATACTTTGTGGCATCACTGTACGGGACGTAAAATTGATCCACCGAACTAGCGTGTTAGAGACAAGGCGAGACCCGGTGAATGTGGGCAAGAGTGGAGTAAGTGGCGTGGCCGTCCCTCCTTCCTCTCGACTCTGAACCCATTGAAATCCTTTCTGTATGGAAAGAGGTTCGTTTTTTTTTTTTTTTTTTTGGCAAATCGGCTCATTTCTTAATGCCTGATCAATGACATGGAAGGTCAGCCCGTAGAGCCGGTTAGAATCTGGAGGATCGGATCTAGGTCCATTGATCTTGTATCAGGACTTTGCATGGGAAGGCATACTTTCATTGATCCGTCTGGGTCCACAAGTGTGTTTGAGTTTTAGGGACGGAAGGCACGGGCTAGTCATCATGTCATGACGATCGCCAAGTTTTGCGCGCCAGCCGCAATCAGATAAGTCTGATCTTATCAGATTTCGCGCAGAAAAGTGGAGACTTGAGCAGAGTTTCGTGATTCAAATGTTACTTGCGTCTTGTGCTGTGCACAATCAAAAAGTAAGGATCGACGGTATGTACTGACGGGACCTGAAAATCCGGCCGTGTTTCGAGCGACATCGGATTCATTCACCGGTAAAATTGCCCTTCAAAGAGAAGTGGGATATAAAGGCTTCTTGCAATCCCTTCGTCAATTGCTTCTCAGGAACTTCCATTCTCAGACCTTCCAATACCCCTCTGCTTTTACCAAAACCACATTTCAGGATGTCGACCGCTTCTATACAGTTATTGGTGGATCAAATCAAGACAGAAGCCACTCAAGACTCATCCACCGCCGGCCATAATCATGCCCGTCTTCTCCAACTTATTGATGAACTCAAGCTAGTGATTGAAACACCAACTGAAACAATCCTGCGTCTCATTTATCAAGTATGCGACCAGCTCCAATGTTCCTTGACCGAGTATGAACTTACATTGGGTTCGAAATTTAGCCTCCGGAAAATGCCGCGTTGAGAACGGTGGTCGATCTCGGGGTATTCCCCCTTCTTGTCGGTAGTCCCAAGAACGAAGGTCTCTCGGCATCAGATATAGCCCTGCACACAGGGGCAGATAAGGGGTTGATTGGTGAATCTCTCTTCCACAATACCCAGAAAGTCGTTTAGATGCTAATCAAGCCTATGAAGTCCGCCTCATGCGAGTGATGACCTCCTTAGGCCTTTGCTCCAGCGTAGAAGCAGAGGTATACTGTCCAAATGATAAGTCTCTCGCCATGACCAAGCCGATCGGTCGTGATGGGGTCCCCTGCATGTGAGATGTGGTTTGACTTCCTTTGCTTTTCTCACACTGACAAGTCCAGATACGATCTTACACTTCCTGCCCTCTCCAAACTTCCTGAGTACCTCCGCCTCAACAACTACGTCAATCCAGAGGAATACTCAAAGTCCCCCATGCAGTGGGCTGTAGGCAAAAGCCAATTCGAATGGCTTGCAGAGAACAAGCAGCATCAGTTTCTTTTCAACTCATACATGTCAAGCCGACGGGAAGGAAAGCCAAATTGGTTCGACGTATACCCCTTGAAAAGGCTGATTGACGGTGCCATACCTTTACAGGATGCTGCCTTCCTTGTTGATGTCGGTGGAAATGAAGGGCATGATTTGGGAAATCTCTATGCCCGATATTCCAGGCCCCCTGGGCGACTCATTCTTCAGGATCTACCAAAAATGGTGAAGAATGTTGACAGACAGGGAATAGATACCATGGCATATAGCTTTTTGGACCCGCAGCCAGTCAAGGGTAATGCCCCATCACCCTTCATTGTATCCTTTACTGACCCACGAAGGTGCCCGAGCATATTACTTTAGAGCAATTTTCCATGACTGGCCCGACAGAATTTGCCAGCGAATTTTGCTGAATACTATCTCTGCCATGAATGCCCAATACTCGCGCATCATCATCGTCGACTTTGTTCTCCCCGATACAAATGTTCCACGAATGCAATCCGCTATGGACATTCAGATGATGAGCATCGGAGCGGGTGTTGAGCGATCGAAAAAGCAGTGGGTTGATCTTCTTGCCAGTGTTGGTTTGAAAATCAATGGAATCTGGAATTCAAATCCGGCCCTGGAGTCGATTATTGAGGCAGTCTTGATGGAAGATGCCGAAAGGCTTTGACTTTGAGAGTGATTCTTTTCCAAATATCGTTTTGTTTCGTGTGGTAATCCCAGTATGGTATACACATTTTGGAAATACTTATATTCGACATTGAGGGATGAACAATCTTTTCAGTAAGGTATGCCTTTGATATGTACAGATTTGTTCATTTTCAGTGTAACCGCCATAGTTTCCAGGGCCTGAGTTTGTATGTCTCCCTGAAGTCCTCGCGTCCAAGGGTGACATGTATCGTTCCGAGCCGCTACTAGGTCGTGTATGAGCCCCTTTCCTGAAGATTCTTGATCCTTCCGAGCAAGAACTCAAGCTGCCGGTAAGCAGCACCAGGAACGTACTGCGGGATCTCGTGCCCGGAGCCGTAGACGGTGGAAAATGTGAGGCCACGCTCTGTATGAGCTGTACCCAAGATTCCAGCGCCTGCATCAGCAGTGTAAGGAGCCTGCACATGCCCATTGGCGTCCGCATTCAAGGCATCAGTATATGGCACATAAAGTGGTTCAGTTGGTGCGTATTGGAACCCCTGTTTGCCATTCCATGTCTAAATATATCAGAGGGCAAAGAACGACAATATTCAGAAACGACTTACCATATTTTGAATTGTGGCCAAGCTGCCATTCATGAACAGCAAATAATCAAACCATCCATGGCCCAGAAGTACGTTATTGGTGCGTTCAATGACGCTTGGCAGTGGACCTAGCGCACTGGGGACGGATCCATCACCGTTCGGAAAAATGTCGCCACCGCAGACTGAGTAGTCAGTGATGGGAACATGCAGCGCCTGTTGAACAGTGGTTTGGTTGAAATAGTTATTCGGGCCACCAGCTAGCGAGGGAAACCCCATCTGATCCCACAGGAAAGGACAGAAGTCTGTCAGGTGATACATATTGAAGCATGGATTAACGTAGGTTGCTGCCTTGACAATCTGGTCCCATAAATCGCAGTCATTTTGATAAGGCTCTGGGGCAATTGGGAAATCTTTTGGCGGTGGGAAAGTCAGAGCCTCATCAAGGAACTTGTCGTACCCACAGCTTTCAGACTTCTTGTTTATATCTGCCATGAATGTATCATTCAAGCCAAAAAGACGGTCAAAATAATTCAACGCCGCGACCGCGGGGGCTATATCAATTCCTCAGCTTTGGCAGTTTGTCATATTCACGCAAGACTCACCATAGATCATCACACTATCCTCGTTGATGGATGGGTCATTGATTTGAATGCCCTTGAGGTTGAAATGGGTTGTATCATTCTGATCCAGCATTCCAGCCGCCAAGTAGGGAATGTATTGTCCCGCATAGCTTTCTCCAGTGATAAAAACCTTGTAGCCCTGCATACTAAATGTTTCAATGAACCTCTTCCAAAAGTCATTGAATTGATTTGAAACATCAATCTCATCCTGCACGGTGGCGGGTCCAGGCGAAAAGCCAGTCCCGGCTGGCTGGTCGATATAGACAACATTGGTCAGATTAGTCCATGAATACGGATTTCTGACGGGCGCATATGTTCCCGACTGCCACAGAAATGGACCGTTTTCCTGGAGCAACCCATCTAAAGAGCTGCACCCGGGGCCACCGTTCAGCCAAATGGTGATCTAAATCAGCAAATCAGCATCTGCCAGGTAACGGATGTTTTGATCAGTGCATACCTCTTGACCGGCAGCAGGATTGCTTGACGGGAAAAACCAAAAAAACAGACTCGAGTTGCCATGAGGAGTGTTGGGTAAGAGACCGGAATAGCTCTCGCCTATATCAAATGGCACCTGTGGAAAGTGTGTACCGTTGACGAGAAATTTCTCAGTCTTCTTATCCAAATATAGCAACTCAGACGAATGTGAATGCGTTGCTTCTCTTCTGTGCAGAGAGTTCGTAGGCCTTTTCAAAGATGCTGCCTTGCGATGGGGGCTCTGCAATGCAGCGACCGCGGTCGTCAGCAGAATTGCCGCAAAAGATGAGAGAAAGCGCATTTCAAAGTCCTTTCTGGTTCAAACAAACCATTGCATAGGCATTTTAGACGGGCCATTCTGTCTATTTATTGACGTGCTTGTTTCTCCTTGAACGATCGATTGACCTCGCTTGCGAATTACTATCGTTTGCCCAAGCGACTATTCTGCGAGTGGGGACTCCATGATTCATTTGCTTGCCGATCTCCAGTCTCGGGCCCCAATTGGACCCTGACGAGCGGGGTTTACCAGCCGCATGGATAAATTGCAACCTCGCCAAGGGCAATCGGGAAGGTTACATGACAGATGATGGTGTCATGGCCCCAAAATTGAGTTCAGACCCTGAAGAAATTCCCACGCCGACGGAGTCCTGGCCAAAATTTAGGCTACCATCGATAAAATCCCCGCGTACTGCGACGTGTTCCGTGATGTCCCGCCTCTTTTCCGACTTTGCGACCCTTGAACGAGGGTATTCGATGCAAATGCATATGACAGGTATTAAATATTAGGTTGGTATCGTGCATAAATGCAATTCAGAGTAGTGAATAGAGATAAGAATCATAAGAGTACACCTTTCATCGACAAACTGTGCAAACATGATGACACGTCAACAGACATCAAAATCCACCGCGCAAATTTGAACATTTATCTAAAACTTGGGGACTCTACAGTTTGCTCTTTCCAAGGGGTTCCAATGTTGACTTCCAAGGTTTAAGGTTTAGAGTATAGTCCTACTAAGAACGATAGGAGTTATTCAGGTCCGCGGGTGCGGGGTTATATATCTTTACCCTCATCCGTAAGTTTCTTATCTTATCTCTTATCTTCCATGTTCTATCTCATTGTTCATAACTCCGAGGTGCTTTCCAAGATTACAGGAGATTGGTCTGTTTGTTGCCTCCAACATAATTTGTCGGTCAAATGTAAGCAAGGACCTTACGAATTTTTACAAGCTTGTTCATCTTTTGACATTCCCTAAGGTTGTTGAACAGTATCGCTTCCATGGATGAGTATAGGCCCTTTGACAGACACGTAGAAGTTCATGCCGTTCTCTTTCGTCTGGCGGAATGTCGCTTTCATAAATATGCACTGCACAATACATCCTTACGTGAAGGCAGCGAAGGCTTTTTACGTGCCTCGTATAAGGCAAGACACTGGCAGCAGCTCTCGTTACGGGTACAGGTTCTCATGGCAATTGCTTTCCCTTAGTCGACATACCAACTCCCGAGGTCCAGGCATACTATCGTGTGTTCGATCTAAATATGACACCACTGAGAAGCTTGGAAAGCAATATGCCTCGGGTCTCGAGTCTCGATAGGAATTTTGACTATCTCTGTATAAAACCTTGAATGTTGACTAAAGTGGCAATTGTCTCCGAAGCTATGCGATAAGGCTACTAGCGTGAAACTACTTCTAATAGGTACGTAAGTAAAGTGTGACCGGGCGAATTCCGATTTTTTCCAAGGCAGCGGGAATCATTCTGGATCCGGGGTCGGATTCGGTGCCAAGGCCGCCACGATTGCTTGTATCAAGGGGGACGCGTGGAGTGCGATACGACTAGTGAACCAGCAAACCCCGAATAACTGGCTGATTACCCAGTGGGGACCTTGGAATATTTGACGGCATTGTCTCATGGAGGACGTGGGCCCAAGTCAACCTAATTGCAAGGCTCTCTATTACACCTCAGAGTGTCCATTGTTGGAGGCTAGAGCGAAGTATCTCCTGGGAATTATCTTTTTCAAGTGGCGAAAAATAACCCAGCGCAGATGCGACGTGCTTATGCCCAAGTCATTCAGGATCTACGTGGTGTTAAACAAGACGCCGATATCGCCATCAGCCATCAAGATTGGGTGGTATGCACGTCAAGCGCCCGGCGAACTTTCTTCAAGGCGCGATAACACCAAATCACGCAATAATGGCGCCGATAACAACAAAACATATATTGTATTGATTCTTAGCTGCGGGGGAGCCGAGCTATAAAAAGAGATCAGACCATCCAACCCTATTTCTTCATTCCCGGATTGCTTTTTGACCCATTTCTCAGTCGCGACACCCCGACTCACAAATGTCTAACACGACCAAACAAGAGGGTGGAGAGACCCTCACCTCTTTAAATGAGCCGGACAACCCAAAATCAGTTCATGTGGGCAATGGGGAGTTGACGGCCAAGGCAGGAGAACTAAATTATGAGGAGTACACACGCGGGGGAATGGGCCGACATCTTGGTACATTCTCAACAATCTTTCTAATGTAGGTTCACGGGTAACTCAGATTATGGCACAGGTGACTGAGAATCCTAGTGTGGGCCGCATTATCGGGACTGGCATTTTTTCGACGCCCTCGTCGGTCACGGAAAGTGTAGGGAGTGTGGGTGCTGCCCTACTTCTGTGGGTCTTGGGATTCCTTCTAGCTGCTTCTGGTCTTTGTGTTTGGCTTGAGATGGGCTCTATGATACCACGAAGCGGCGGAGAAAAAGTTTATCTGGAGGCTGTATACCGTCAGCCAAAATTGTTAATCACAATTGTTTTTGCCGTCCAAGCCGTGGCTCTGGGGTTCACCGCGTCGGGCTGCGTTGTTTTCGCATCTTATGTCTGGGTGGCAGCTGGCAAAGAAGCATCGGAATGGGAAGAACGTGGAGTAGCGATAGCAGTGATTGTGTTTATCACAATGTTGCATACATTGCTACCCAACTGGGGCGTCCGAGGCATGAATGTTCTTGGTGTGTACAAGGTTATTCTTTTGTTATTCATTGTCATCACCGGCTGGGTAGTACTCGGTGGACATGTGTCCAGTATTCCGGATCCCTACTCTAGCTTCCGGAACTCCTTTGCAGGCTCAGCAACCTCCAGTAACCTTTACGCTATTGCGCTTTTCAAGGTGTTGAATTCATTCTCAGGGTATGTCGAAAACTTCTGTGTCATGAGCTCTTCACTGACTGGATTTTAGCTGGTCAAATGCGGCATACGTCATGAATGAAATCCGCAATCCTGTGCGTACCGTGAAAATCGCGGCGCCGATTGGGCTATCGATCTGTGGGGTCCTATATATCCTAGCAAATGTCGCGTATTATGCGGCAGCCACCCCGGAAGAAATTGCAAATAGCGGGACGACAGTGGCTTCGTTCTTCATGGGAAAGGTGTTTGGCTCAGCAGCCGAGCGTGCATTGAGGTGAGACTTGACACGCAAAAAATCCGATTCCCTTATCATAATGGCATCTTTTCTGACGGGAGTTGTAGTGCCCTGGTAGCTATATCTGCCTTTGGTAATGTTTTGACCGTGACATTCGCTCAAGCTCGGGTCAATCAGGAACTAGCCAAAGAGGGTGTCATTCCGTTTCCCAAATTCTGGGCATCAAACTGGCCCTTCGGGTCACCATCAGCTGGACTGCTGCTGCATTTCATTCCATCCTTCATCGTCATCATTGCAATTCCCTTTGGCGATGCGTATGACTTCATTCTGGACCTTGAGGGATACCCCGCTAGCGTGATCGATTTTCTGGTTGTTGCTGGACTCTTTTATCTTCGGTGGACTGCTCCACTCGTGGATCGACCGTTCCGTGTTTGGTGGCCCGTGGCTTTCTTCTTCATGGTTGGACAGGCATTTCAGCTCGTTGCCCCATTCGTTCGGCCGCCAGGCGGCAAAGGTAAGTTAGAGTGTGTCGAATAAGTGGTGAAGATGATACTGATTGACTTTGTAGGCGATACTTCTCTTCCATACTGGTTATCGTCCGTGGTGGGTATTGTCATACTGTTGTTAGGGGTGGTCTATTGGGCAATATGGCGGAAGGTTCTTCCTGCGATCGGAAGATACCGCCTTGTCCCAGAGCACGAGGTGCTTTCCGACGGCACAACTGTTGTTTGCTATAAGGGGGTTAAATAAGATTGGAGTAAGCTTTCCTGGGGATGGATGGGAAAGCCGGGTCTGAGTAAATTACGTTACATCCGTTGCCTTTTGTATTCTCAGACGATGCAATCATTAGAGTTATCGCACGTGGCAGAAGGGTCATCCCAACATAATTGTGGGGCGTATGGAAATAGCTCTTTGAATGGGTTCACATCAGGTAGAGACAGAAAAAAAAGAGACAGAATATTATCGGAACTCCGTTTTCTGACAAGAGTGATGTTGTAGTTGGCGCACTGCCTCAGTAAGATAGCCAACGCCACAGGGATCACTCCGCGAAATACGAGACGGGGCTGTGCTGTCACTGCGGTGGGTCCTGCGCCCCCTGGACCGGGATGAGGCGGTGCTCAGTCCGAGGACCGATGTATTTATTATCTTAGATCATTGCAGTCATCCTGTTCCTTTTGAACTATCTCTGTCAATTCCTTCCATTCTCTTCCATCCTTTTTCAACCACCCCCCACGATGTCAAATTACGGCCCACCCAACAATCATGGTGACCCTTACTATGGCCAGCAGGGCCAAGGTTACTATCCGCCCAACCAGGACCCAAGCTTTCTACCCCAGCAACAGTTTTACAACCCCGCAGTGAGTACAGTCTTGAGTTCAATGGTCGCGTTGCTTTTTGCATCAGTCATTGTTGATTGCCATTTATATCTAGCCACAACAGTATAGCCAGCCACCATATAGTGAACAGGCCGTGACTCGCCAAAGTTATGCTGCTACCCCGGTTCCCTATGACCAACAATACTCGCAAGGCCCCCATCCTGGAGGTCCTGCTCCCTCCCACCAGTACCCTCCACAATTCCCCAGTCAAGATCGCGGGAACTCGCCCTACCCTCCCAATCAACAGCATCTGAGCAGCGGCGAGAGCGCATCATATTATGGGAGTGGCGTGCCACCTCAACCTCAACCGGGCTATGCCGCAGGCCCTGGAGGCCCCGAGGGCGATAAAGGACTGGGTTCCACGCTACTTGGGGGTGCTGCTGGGGGGTTCGCTGGCCATAAATTGGGCGGTGGTTTCCTTGGGACCGCGGGTGGTGCAGTATTAGGTGCAGTGGGAATGAATATGGCAACCCATGAGATGTGAGTTTGACTCGACAATGCTAACTGTCCCCCACGTACTTGAGATTTCTATGCTAATTTGGTTCTTTTCATGGATATAGTAAGGATCATAAGAAACACAAGGAAAAGAAAGAGAAGAAACATAAGAAAGAAAAACATCACAAGCACCACAAGCGTCGCGGCTCAGGCTCGAGTTCTAGTTCAAGCTCCTCAAGCTCCTCAAGCGATTGATATCTCAAGGGGTACTATCCTTGCGCTTAAAAAACTGAAGATGGAAGCTGTTATTTAACTAGCAACACCAAATAACATGTTCCTTATTCTCATATTGGAGATGTATACTATGGCTGCTCTGGCGTCAAATGGATCGAAGTATGATACTTGGCGCCCAATTGATTTTCCCGGGCCTTACTGCCTGGGCTCCTGTCATCATTGGCGGCCTCTTCTGTTCTTGATGCCAATTTAAAGACCCGGTACACTGCCTTTGAAGCTCGTTGCTACCCCTGGTGATCACAAATGGATATCACCACCGAATGCATTTGCGTCAGGTCCGTCAATCTGGTTGCGATGATCAAGCTAATGTCGGCAGAAATTTGTTCGAAGAAACGACAACATTCAACAAATCAACATAGCTTGTTCCTCCCAGATCTGAAACAAGGTCAAGTTGCACCCACATCAATTCAATCATTCCTTGGACAACACACATCCTTTGATGACCGGAGACCTTTTTTGTTCTTTCCAAGAGAGAGAGGATGATTTCCCGCTTTGTATCGGTATACGCTTCACATGCTATAAAAAACATTGGGAAGGGGCGATCGCATATTTCTAACTGTCGTATAATGTCAAAGGCTTCATCGGACCATCCGGCCACTCGTTGGTCTGTGAACGAGCCTTTCAAGACACGCTCAAAGTAGATTAGGCCTGCCAGTCGGTACAGCTGGGACATTTTGCTTCCATAGTCGACATCCTCTACGGGGTTCGTTCCAATCAGGCTTGTGGTATCTTGTTTAATTGTCATCAAGTCGTTCTCAATGGAATGCAAGATTTGTCGCTCTGTGTATGGAACGTCTTCCGGAAAGTTTTCGTAGGGCTTAAATTCCGACATTCTGGCGATCAGATTTATCATTTCCAGGGAGCATCCGAATATGCCCAGTACCTTTCATCCTGCTCAGCAAATTAACAAACCAGAGAAATTTTGAGACTCACCTGGTTGTTCGCTACCGAGGCTAGACTGGAGGCCATGCCCTGAACCTTAGAAATTGACGATTTTTCTGCGGACTGGGTATTCCAATGTTTGGAGGTGAATTTTGCAAGAATATCATGATAATGTACCCAGAGTATCAGGAGGTCGGCTTCCTCTAGCTTGGGGTGTCCACCTTCACAGATCTCATGAAGCATGCTTTTGGCACCAGATACATATAACGGCCATTGGAAGGAGGTCTCCGAAGGCAAGAAGATCTATGCACATCAGCATGGTCCAAGCCACGGGAGGCGAGGGAAATACCTCGAAAGCACATATCAGCATTCCTACGGCGACATGCTGGTAAATCTCTCTTGTTCCAATATTTTGCCTGTTCATCGATGCACTTAAAGAGCTTAGCGATGCGACTTTCAGCCGAAGAGACTCCGCAGCATTGCCATGACGATATACCGATGCCAGGGACAATATTGCCTGTAGGACGGCCATGGAAGCTGGTGAATCATCGGAGAAGGATAGTTGGAACAAAAATTTCGAAAGGTTATAGCCATCGGTTGCTATGGGTATTAAGGAGGCAACTACCTTTGTCATAACTACACCGACGCCGGTCAGCTTTGTCGAATTTCGCGAACAGATCTGAATCTTGTCCCATACAAAATGTAACTAGGTGGTTGCCATCACTCAAATTTGGCTGCGCATTCGCCAAGTTTGATAGCGGAAAGATGCACATGTTGTGAATTGGGATTTTACCTATAACGACCAGATCTCAGCCCAAGTCCATGGTGCGACATAACTGAATAACTGACCTAGACTTCCTGGTCCTTTCATATAAAGCAGCTCGACATTCATCATCGAGGTGTTGATAAAATGACCATTTTTACTTCCATCCCATATAGCATTAGTCTTGGTCAACATGGAATGTTGTATTGATCTCCGGGAGCCAGGTGCTGGCCAGCTTAAACGTAGTCCGTAGCCCTGGCAGTTACGGGACGATGATGCGCAGTTCTGACATTCTGGGCGTCCCTGATCACACGAGATTTTTCGATCTGCGGAGGAGTCAGCCAGTTTCTCTTGACCGAACTAAAATTGCTCTTACCGCGACATGTCCAGCACCCCCGCTTTGATGGAAGCCCCACACGATAAGGACCTCGTGGCTTCACTGGAGCCATTCCAGCTCAAATTCCAGCTAAATAAACAGGCGTTCAAGGCCTGAGATACAGATGAATGGAAGAGCTTGTCGGTACATGCAATATCATGGAGTTCAAGATTGAAAAAGGTCGTGCAAATCCCTCGTATTTGGCCCCTTACGATTAGTCATCAGTATGTGTGGCCATGTTCAGCGACCTAAGTCTCATGAAATATTTTCCATTGAAAGCATGAAGTTTCGAATTAAATAAGTTGTATTCCATAGTCATGATATCATTGTTTCGCGTGGCTACTTGAGACGCGCATTGAGACCACAGGGTACGACTTTATATCAACCTGCTATTTCATATAGGCGATGACGGGATCACCTCCGATAATATAGCTTAGTCCTGATTTACGTTAGCACCGGTTCCAAGCAATATCAGGTTCTTCGATTTTGTCCACCTCGATTACAGCCACTGTTTGTTCCCTAGATGCGAGATAAACGCACCACCATCTCCGTTCGCGATCGAGGCTTTATGCATGACCGAAAGGAGAGCATTTACCGATTCCTCGGGTGTCAGGGGCCGCTGAAAGTGCGGCGCGTAGTTGATAAACTTGCCCACAAGCACAGCTGCCTTTTCAGCATCCTCAGGAGCTGCCTCCACTGCGAATCATTTTTAGCGTGTGTACTCATGGCTAATATGAGGTTCGTCCATCATCTTACCTTTGTTTCGCTCAGTTGACACATATCCAGGGCTAACGGCAAGGAATAGAATACCATCCTTGTTGTAAAGAGCGTTGTATTTAGCCATAGCGATATTGACTGCGCCCTTGCTGATAGCGTATGGGCTGCCAAAAGCCACTTGTGTCGCATTGATCAGGTCGATATCGGCCATACCGGTGGAAATGGTGATCAACTTTTTCCCCTTGCCATTGCGAATGAGCGGAATAAAAGCATGCACTATCTTAATGGCGCCTAGTAGATTAATTTCCAGTGATTGTAAGATGTCCCTCTCCATTGTCTCGAAATCATCATCACTGCTAGTTGTCAGCATTGTTTATTTCGTTCACTTCAACATCTAGTGCATACAAGTCACCCATGGTTTTCCATTCGCTGATATGAGAAACTATGGCGGCATTGTTCACTAGATAGTCCAGACCGCCGCTGGTAATATCTTTGACCACTTCTGCGGCTTCCTAACTAGAAATCAGTATCGTATGGTCTATTTCTGAGACGAGCATGCTCACTCTCAATGATGCCAAGTCAGTATATTGAGCCTCGACCATGTGAACATGATGAATTCCTTGTTCCTTGGCCTTAGCCTCGGCTGCAGCCTTGTTGCGAACCAGGCCGATGACTGTATTGTCTGGATCCTGGGCAAGTTGCCGTACGAATTCGAACTATAAATGTTAGTCCACAACCATTCAAGATAATGAAAGGATGGTGACTAACCCCAAGGCCACGACTGGCTCCAGTTATGAGATAGGAAGACATTTTAAAGTTGATAAGTGGACGGATCTGGATCGGTGGAGAGAACCTTGGAATATGTAAATGCAATGAGATTTGAATGAGTCCCGGGTATCCATTACGTTTTAGGGTGGCAAGCTGGCACTATATATACCTGTCGAAATCTCCTACAAAATGGCTGGTTACTGTTGTTCTGCTTATTTGTGTTCGGAAACTCAATATGCTGATTGATGGAGCTCTCCAAGGCCGGGATTATGAAGCGAAATGGTGATCTTACTTGCATCAATATTGGGATCGGGCTTGTTTCCAGGCCGGTGATTGGGCCATGAGATAGAGAGCAACTATTTGCGAGCTTTCGGGCGATCCTTCCCTAAACCGGCCAAGACCCCATATCGCCCAAATGTTTACAACTATTTCGATGAAGGAACCATGCCTGTCAAGTCTATTTGAAAATGGGCGAACGGAAAGGGAAAGCTCTAGAATCGAGAAGCATGGCACGGAAGCCAAATACAATTTTGCCTCCTTTGGATGACGTGGAAGAAACTTTGGCTCATCATAATCTCCATAACATCATGGAACCATGGCTTCAACCATGCATCTGTCCGGGCGGGGTACTATCATTAGTCGACTGAATCTTTTCCGGTCGAATTTGCACATTCTGATCAACAACTATGACGCGGACGCGACCGTGTTTTGACACACTGAAGAACACCAAATATTGGAACACAAGAGTTCAGATGGTGGGGCATCCAGGCAAAAATAAATATAGAGGCTCTATGTAGCATGCGCGCATATCGTCAAAAGGATATGAATATAGGAAAGAAGCTCCTGAAATTGGATATACTGAGAGGTGAAGCTAGCAGCATCTATTACAATCTATTTTCCAAGCTGCTGACCGGTCTCTCTAGTCGACTACCTGACTAACGAGTACTGAATGAAGAAGTTGAGACCAGCTGCTGGAAGTGAATTGTTGCTTTGACCAGTTGCCCGCTAGTGGTGTACACCCACGAGGAATTCAGCATCGCCCTTTTTCCACGGGAAAGATTGTTCCAGTGACTGGATCAAGTCCCGATGTGCGGCACTTCTGGGCTGTATAGATAGCTTGAATGGGGCTGGATGGCTGATAACTCCCGGGAGGAACTTGACGTTGAGATCTTGAGATTCTAGACCTTTCGGCGGTTTCGATATCTTAAACACATTCAGAGACCTTGCAATAGTAAGGAAAATGTTGGAGTCGGCTAGAGTACGTCCCGGGCAAGCTCGACGGCCAAATCCAAAGACAAGCATGTGGGGGTCTCGCTCTGGAGCATGGTCATCTGGACCAGCCAAGAAACGTTCCGGTTTGAAGGCCATAGGATCAGAGTAGACATTCGGATCGTGTGTAAAGCCCCTGGAGTGGTCCCAACTCATGAGAATCCGGTCTCTCTTTTGTCATCTTCAAGTCTATAAGAGAGGCTTACCAGATATTGGCCACAATCGATGATCCCTTGGGAATGAAATACCCTTCGCAAGTGTCATTTTGGGTTGATACGTGTGGTATATTTGTAGGCACGACTGGGTGCCACCGAAGAACCTCTTTGACCAGCGCATTAATGTATGGAAGCTTCGCTCGATCTTCAAATTGCGCGAGGCCCTCACCCCCAACCACCGTGTCTAGCTCTTGCTGGGCTTTCTGTTGCACCTCAGGGTAAAAGGCCATAGCAAGAAAGAAACTGGCGATTGCAGAGACTGTCTAGCGATCTGTAAGTCTTCGTGAATACAATTTTTACACGGGGTCCATATTCCCCTCACCGTGTCTGCTCCTCCAGCGTATAGTGACCCAGCCGACCATTTGATGATCCTTTCTTCTTCGGACCCTGGTTCCACATCGCACTTTCGGAGAAGATTGGATAGGAATGACGGTGCACAAACACCGGTAGCCATCTGCTGCCTGACGAACTCGTATGGGATGTCGCTAAATGCCTCAGCTCTCCTTTTATACGCCTGGCAGGTTTTAATGAAATCTGCGCCAGGGAACCAGGCAGGTATATATCTCACTGATTAAAAAGTTAGGTAATGGAACAAACAAGTCTCCAATTCCAGCACTACAGTGGGGCCGATCTATGGTGACTTACGTATTGGAATAAAGTTAACCGCCCATGCCGTTGGGAGCAATGCGGACGAAAAGTCCTCCATTGCTTTGTCGGCTAGATCGACAAGTGGGTCCGGAGAATGGGGATCAATGGTGTAGCCGTATGCGATCTTAAGAACGATCCCCCCAGCCTCTCTGTTTTGTATTAGTTTTGGCAGGGTGTTCTGGGAGAGAGGAAGGAATCTGTTTCCCAATACCATCGTAAACTTACTTTCGAATGTGCTGTTGGAGCTTTTCAGGCTCATTCATTACCCTGAGCAAGAATCGACTCACTTCTGTTATCTGGACACTGTTGAAACAAGCGACGGAGTTATTTGAACCAATCTCTTGATACAGATATTTGCGAGTCATCCTGACATGCTCTGGATTTCTCAATCCTCCAAGTACATTTTGCCAGCCCGACCTATGGGAGTTAATCAGCCGCCATGGCACCTAGCTAACGTAGTATCTTACATTTCAGTGAAGTTCTGCTGAGGACGAGAAGAATGGATAGCAGATCGCTTTTCAAGAAGCTGAGAAGCTAACTGAGCATCATTCAGAATGATGATAGTCTTACCCAGCACACTAAGTGAGCTGATAGGTCCTGTTTGGACAAGAGTCAACATTAAAAGTTCAGATACAAGACGCCTTCTTACCATAAAGTGCCTTGTGCTTTAGCCAGTGCTGCCAGTCCTGCTCATCGGGGTTAGGAAGATCCCTAAGGTTGCCAATGATGGGCCTGGGTCGGGGACCGGGAGGAAGATGCGAATCCTGACTTTGCCGACTTCGCTGTGTGGTTCGAGCATAAAGGCCCACAGAAATTATGACTACGATTAGCCACAGTATGAAAAGCATAATGATGGCTGGATCAAGGGGAAACTTGCGAGTAAGTCTTGAGTATAGACGTAGTATGCATGTAGGACGATGTTGATTTTAAAAAGTCTGGCGAAATGAGGGGCCATGACGTTGTTGCATCTTTCCATGGTTAACGAAGGATGAGCTGGCTGTCGAAACCAGGTCATGTTGATGGGATTGCAGGGGTTATGCATTAGCCTGACAAGTAATCGGATGTGAGAGGCCTGTCATGTCACACTGCATATGAGGCGGGGTTAGGTGGAACAACGTAGCAAATCCGTTTGCATGAAGGGGCACTAAGTACTCCTGGCAAGGGGATTGTATTGGTGCAATTTCTGAATTTTATATGGCCAGAACCAGTCAATGTTGTTCAATATATTCCGTGTACGAAGTCTCTGGAGCATTCGTTGATACAGTATATGTAATACATACACCCTGGGCTACTGTAGGAACATCTTTGACGTAGACCAATGCTTTCCATATAAATCATGTTGGGACTCTTTTGAGGTCTAGCGCCGCAAACTGCCAGGTGAATGGGCCTGTCCCTGTGCTTCAACTATTATAACCTTTTTCACCCGGCTCATTTGAAACCCCTATTACTCCAGGGCTTTGAGAATCTCAATCATTCCCTATATTTAGCTCGTATAAAATTATTGCGCCAGAGCCTGGCATGACTGGAGCAGATCCGAAAGCGAGGCTGAGATGGGCTCAAATTGCTTACAACGATAGCAAGTGCACGGGAGGAAAGATTTGACCTAGACTGCAGATGGCCTTGAAAATCGCGTAATAATGCATCGGACGTGGCCTTTGTCGTGATCATAGCCACGGAAGCCTCTTATGAAGACTTTCTATCAGTTCTAGAAGATGAGAGTAAACTATAACTTGATAGTTGTGCTGGGGCTTATCACCCCAACCAGCCGTTGGCTTAGACGTATTCTCTTATCTTTAGGAACGAAGACACGTGGCTCTCCTCTTCAGCCGGCCAATCATCAAGGCATGTAATTTCATTTCCAACCAAATCTACCCGTTGGCGGCGGCTGGTAGCTTTCGAGAATTTCTGAGATTATTGGCATGAGCAATTGGCCAGATGCCTAGTTCCATGGTTCCCACTTCGCGCTTGAATATTATAAATCGATTGCAGCACCAGGTACTGACTAAGCGATAAGATGCGGGAAATTTAAAAGTTTAACGGCGATTAGCTTAGTCACGTGGCCCCTATTTGAAACATTCTCCCAAGGCGATAATGTCAGCCATCGCTGTCTAACCACAGTGGGGGGATATAGGCTGTCACAAGGGTACATCACCCAGGGACCTAGTAGGGAACGTTTCTGTTGAATCCCGAGGTTTCATTGCTCCCCCGGGGGAGATGGAAAAATGGCCGAACCCGAGAACGGGGCAACGGAGAGCCCCAACATTCCTGAGGAGCAAAAGAAATACTGGATCCCATTTTCTCTACGCCGCCCCGCCCTAATCTCTTTGGCTGCGCTTCTTCTGATTTTGGCCGTCGCCTGCGAATTTATTCGCTCGTACTCCAACCGCCACCAAGGACTCATCCACCTCAACACATACCGTGCCCTTGGACTCACTGCTGGACTCTTCGTTTATGTCCCTACCGGTCTTGCAGTTCTAGTTGTAGCACTATGGAATATCTGCACACTCGATATTTTGCGGCTGGAGCCGTATTTCCAACTGGCAAAACCCGAAGGCACCTCTGGGGCGGCGCTGTTCACCAATTATTGCTTCAGCTATGGCATTCTTGCCCCCATAAGGGCATTCCGGAACAAGCATTGGATTGTTTTGGTGGTTTCATCGGTTTCTTTGATCATGCGTACAATGCTGCCTTCTCTGATGTCGGGCCTTATTGTACTTGAGGACGAAAACATTGTCACGGCCAAGCCCATCAATACCTGGCCCATCCTGGTCAATCTGGAAACGCAAAGCACCTGGCTGGCTAGCGAGGCCTCTTACTCGAGGAATACTTCTATATTCCATGCGAATACGTTCTTCTTCTACCAAACCTACAACTACGCCATGCCACCCATCGTGCGGCTACCCGAGGACGACACAGAAAGCTCGACCTGGAAGATGAATCAGACGGCTTACTGGGCCGATATGAAATGTGTTGACATATCAATGAATGGTATTGTTCCAGAGAGACGGAATTTTAATTCCACAAGCAGTGCTTTAGCATGGAATGTCTCCAACGTTCAATTTGATCATCTCCCAAGTGGTTCAGCTGACAGCTGCACAATTAATTTCACTCTTGAAAGCCATATACCGACTGGAAATGGGCCTTTTCAGGTCCGACATTGGGAACCTCTCAATCCTAACGCTACTGTCAACGCGAGTGACACCATGCATCACACAGAGTGTGAGTCGTTTGCGTTATTTGGCATCGCGATCAATGTGGGACCCTCATCCCAAAACTTCTCTTCTAGTGCCACTGCTTTTGGATGCACAAGTTCTTATTTGAATGCAAGCACCGAGATTTCTTTTCCGACCAATACCTCGTTTGTAACTACTGAGCACGTCTCTGGTCCGGTCAGAACATTGAATTCTTCACAGCTCAGTATTTCAAAATTTGAGAGTCTCATCTACGCAAAGTACATCAGTGGTAGTCTGGTGACGCCGAATGACAGGCTTCAGATTCCTAGTCTCACCACATTGACTGGTGTCAATAGAACGTTAATCAGTGACCTAATACCCGCAAATACGACTGATTATCAGGAAGACATCATTCGGCTTTGGAATCACCATTTCATCAATGCAATGAACCGGTTCTTCAATACTACTGGCAATCCAAGATCAGTCATTTCACAGCAAACCACAGAGACGGTCCTTTACAAGGTCACCTCTCGCTCGGCTTTGATAACGGAAGGCATCCTTTTGGCAGGATTTGCATTGCTTCTGGTGCTGGCTTACATATACCCACTTCGCCCAAACTTCCTTCTTGCCGATCCAGGCTCCATTGCGGCGCAGTGTGCAATCATCACGGACAAGTTTTCTAGACCAAATCCTTTGATGCGGACAGAGACTGGGTTCCAGCGGGCCACGCCCCGCCGGATCCGCCAGTTTGCTCGAACCTTATGGTGTGAGTGGATCGACACTCCTGATGGGAAACGGATTGATATCACCACACGCGAGCGCACTCCTGCCCCTTTAGAATCACTCAAGGCCCGACCGCGTCGCAACCCAAAGCCCCATTTTCTGAACCTCCCGTGGTTTCTGATAGAATGTGCCGTGATGGCAACTGTACTCGGAGCATTTGGGGTCGCTTTTCAACTTATTCGCCTAGACAAGATTGATTACGACACAACTGGTGCCAACATCATCTACTTTTTCTTGATATATGGTCCTACTATCATCGCTTCCATGATAAGCACCCTTTATATCTCCATTTATCGTCACTTGAGTAACCTGGAACCCTGGGTCCGGCTTCAAAAGGGCATGGCTCCGGCCAAACAATCGTTAAGTGTGAACTACGGGTCTCAGACTCCTATCACATCTTGGAGGACGTTCAGTCCCACTGCACCACCAATCTTGGTCCTGCTCTCAGTGATGTGCTTCTTGGATTTTTTCCTGACCATTGCCAGCAGTGGCATGTTTGAGCCGCAGATATATAACTCCACAGTGCCCACATCGGCATTGTTCGGCCGGTATAATCAATCGCAATTCCTAAAGCCTGATGTCCAAATGGCTTTCAGTGGCAACAGCTTTATTTCGGATGGGTTGATAACTGGATATTCTCTACTAGCCTGGACCACGCCTAACACGTCATTCTTCCCATTACGAGTCGATATCAATGACAAGGATCCAGACTACTTCTACGAGGATTATCACGCTCGTACCCGCGGAGTGAGTGTCAACCTCCAATGCAAGGTAATACGCTCCAGCGATTCGTGGCAGGATCGTGTTGCCCGAAATACGTACTGGACTTACAAGCCATACCAAGATTTGGACACGACTTGCACGGCAAAATTCCAGCGACCAGCAGAGGAATATCGTCTACTCAACGACTCCGTCTATTTCAGAGCCTCCATGAACTCGACTGAGGTCTGCGAAAAGTCCTTTGTGGTTATCAGCTATGGAGACGTTGAAAATGGAGATACAATCCTTGGGGCAAATTCAACAACTTTCTACTGCGCACCGGAAATCCAGCTGCAGGACTTTGACGTCAGTTTTGATTTCGACGGAATGATTGATGAGTGGAGCCCAGTGGCCGGAACCTCCATCACAACGGGCGAGATGTTTCATAATGCTTCCGCCAGCCTGGTCCCCTTCACCTCAGCATTCTTGCGCCAAACCCAATCGGGCGGGCACGATGAAGCCCTTCTCGCGAACCAATACGACTGGGCTGTCGTATTAACCAGCCAAGTCTATAACACCCTGACTACCAACGAAGACCCCTTTGACCCATCAATCCTAGTAAAAGCTGTGGAACTAGGCTACCAATCGACCTTCAGTACCTACTTCACTCTGTGGAGGGACATTTACCTCGGTACGGTCCCGAAAAATGCAATGCCAATCCGCGGAACCGCAACAGATACATACTGGGTCATCGAGCCATCCAATCACATCATAACTATAATCATCGTTTTCCTCTCACTGGACCTAAGTGTGCTCATGGCCGTCTTCTGGCTTCGCCACAAACACTATAATGGCCCACAAGCTCCGACCTCCTGTGGCGCGCTGATTCCATGGATAGCGCAAAGCCAGATTCTCTCCGATGTGCGCGGCACCTCAGAATGGAGCGAAGCGAAGCGCTGCGAGCATCTAAACAAATTGGACAAGAGATATCGGTATGGGGAGTTCAAGATGTCAGATGGAAGTAGTCGGCTAGCTTTGGATCGTGATTTCAAGCCCCTGGACGACTCGGATGAGAGAGACTATGAGATGGATGAGCTACCCGTCCACCCGCCTCATACTGTGTGCGGGTTGGAGTTGAAACAGGATCAGCAAACGCATCTGCAGATAGGACTGTCGTTAGCTGCGACGTCAAGCGCACATTTGATATCCGACAGTAACGATGGATCGTAAATAAGTATAATGTGAAATAAAGTGTACTTTGTGAGGATACACAGGAACTAGAACCAACGTGCCAAAGCCCTGTACTAGACTACTTTATAAGTTGATCGGGATACAGATTAGCTACTGCTTTCTATCTTGATCTTAGGCTGTATCATGTACTTTGTGACAGAATGAACTGCTTTCCACATTTTATTTTCAATCAAACGATTTCTGTATCTACTTAGCATCGCCAAGGTGGTTCTTCAAGAAAGGAAGAACTTGATCCAGCGCAGGTTTGACCGCCTCAGGCTTATCGTAGAGCATATAGTGTGAAATCCCAGGGAGAACGACAATATGCTTCTCCTTTGAACCTGCCCGACCGTGAATCTCTTGGGCGTCACGATAGGCGCCAAAGCCTCCTGGTTTGTCACCGACGACGGCCATAAGAGGTCTCGTCATGAGAACTTCAGCGTGGTTGAATGCATCCCACCCAAGGGCAGCGCTATTGAACGAAAATAGACCGCTGGTGCAGCCGTTAGGCTCCTGGCCGCGCGAAGTCTTGTAGTAATCGGTCGCCTCGATAACGTCGATGTCCTGAGTGGATTTCTTGGCCTCTTCGACAGAGGAAGGGAGTAAATTAATGACGAGCCGTTCAGAACCCTGCGCTTCAAGAGTGCGCTGTTTCGCCATGTTCTCCAGAGAAGCAACGGGGTCGAAGTTGCCGAAAGCTTCGCGGGAGAGGCGGCCAAAATTGACCGGCGTGATACCGACGCAGCACTTAAAGCGGTAGTCTGTCATAGCTGCATTGATCGCGTAGCCACCTCCCCCACAAATACCCAGCACGCCAATACGCTCAGCATCAACATAGGGTAGCGTCTGGATGTAGTCGACGACAAAACGAAAGTCGGAGACGCGGAATTCAGGGTTCTCAATGAAGCGGGGCTTTCCACCCGAGGCACCTTGAAAAGACGCATCAAAAGCGATGACCACAAAGCCTGCGTCCGCCACTGCCTTCCCATAGATATTGCCTGAGGTTTGCTCCTTGCAGGAGCCGATAGGGTGAGCAGACACGACAGCCGGGTACTTTTTGTTCTGGTCAAAGTTCGGTGGGAAATGGATGTTTGCAGCAGTCTCCCAGGCAATGTTTGGGATGTTCACAGTCTTGATTGTAGACATGATAGCAATTTATAGTAATGCGCTTTTCAGTACTTCTGGTGTATATTGAGAAGATGAGAGCCACAGTGTGATTTATAGTTAGTTTGTAACTGGATTGCATGACGTAATCAAGCCGAAGCCGATCCGAAAACCGAAAAGCTTTCGGTCGAAAAACCAAACCTCATTAACTATCCTGCAGAGCAGCCGAAGAGGTTCATTCATTCGTTTCTCCACTAGCAAAGTTTGTTCACTTTGGCCAAGAAAATGAGTCGGCCTGTCTTTGATGGTCGCCCGTCTTTGAAGCGCAAAAGAGGGGTCGCGTCTTGCTCGGAATGCTATCGCAGAAAGCAAAAGGTCCCGTACCCCCCTTGCAATACTTTGAGATATTCAGCCTGATGTCCATTAAGTGTGATCACAAAAATCCTTGCAATAATTGCCTGGCCCGAAATGTCCCCACTAAATGCGTTTACGATGCTTCCGTCCCGTGAGTGACTTCATTGTTCATCTCTTCCACACAGCCGTTCTGTCGGACCCAGCCATTTCTGTATGCTTAAATACCATACATAGACCCATACAGGCCAAAGAGCCCGAGCTCCCAACCGCACCTAACCCTGCTGCTGCAAATCCGGTGGACCCGCAAGAATCGGCAGAGAGAACAATTCAGGGCTCGGTTGACCTTGGTTATTCGCTCATTGCTGGAAGCAATACTTTTGTGGGTTTGCAAGATGTAAATACACCATCCGATGCTTGTTTACAACTCGCTGACCGATTTGAGATCCTCGGAAATGAAGAATTCCAAACTATTAAAGCTACTTACAATGACGGTCCTCGACCCTTTAGATCCAAAGGGGACATTGAAGCCCTCATTGCGAAACTACCGCCAAGAAATGACATTGAAGCACTCGTTGAGTTCTTTTTTCGCGAGGTCAACTGGCATTATAGCATTCTTGAGAGAGTTTATTTCGATTCCTTATTTTCGCGCTGGCCTCCTGCCGCGCAGATGGAGGCAGTCAACTATCTGCAAATCGCAGAACTCTCAATGGAACTACGATACTTTCCTTCCCTCCTTTTCCAGGTGATCGCATTAGCGCTACAATTCCTACCGAATGACGGGGGGCCTCTAGCTAGATCATCATTAACGGGCATTGCAACTTCACAAACCTATAGCGACTTAGGCGACGAGCTGTTATCCCGACTGGGTAGACCGGGGTTTGCCCTTGCTGCAGTTCAAGCAGACTTTTTGAGGTCATCGTGGCTCAAGAATTGCGGGCGAGGCATTGAAGCTTGGCATGCAGTTGGACACGCCATCAGGTTCGTATGATGCCCATCCATATCATGGACAATTATTGACATAACTATCAAGGCAAGCCCAGGAACTTGGTTTGCACCGGCAAAAGGAAATATACCAAACAAATCAGATCAACATTGAGAAAACATTGAGTCTGTTTTGGTACGAAGAAAATAGAAAACGTCTATGGATCAATCTGTTTGTATGGGATAGGTAAGGCTGTTTTAAACATCAAAATTTTCTTTGTTTCGATCATCTGACTGGCATAGTTTCATGGCAATGATTCTTGGCCGCCCTCGAATGATACATTTGGAAGACTGTGATGTTAAGCCGCCTTTGGATTGTAATATACCCAATGAGCCTTCCACAGCGATACCAATGGCAGTGCGCCTCGAAGAAAGCCATGGCATCAGCACGGTATCCGCGCTTCTCTTTCGGTACGCACTTGCATGCAAAATGCATAAGATGCGTGCTACGAAAGCAGACAGGCCTCGTCCCAAAGACTACTCCGTTGTCCGCATGCTACATGAGGAAATTACATCCTTACTGTTGGAATTGCCTGGTTTTTTACAGGCAGAGAATTCAGACACCACCTGGGATGTGGAGTACCCGCATCTACCTCAGGTTCGTCAGGAATTAAAAGTTATGGCGAATTTGTTCCTGATGACATTGCACCGGCCACATCTGATCTCTAACGCAGAGAGTCGAAGAGCCGCTTTGCAGGCTGCACTTGAAACGATCGACTGCCAACAGCGTTTCTTTGCACAGGCTGAAAAGCATCACTATCATCTATTTGGTCTCGCATTTTATATTGTTGATGCCTCATTTCTTGTCTCAATAATTACAATCTTGTTTCCACCACAGAGCCAGGAAGGAAAACAGAGGATTGAGCACAACCTCCAGCATGTCATTGAGAGTCTGTCCGATATGGAGGCTTTTAATCCAATAGCAGTATCGGGATTGTACATTCTGCAGCGTTGCTATCACAAGCTCAAGGCTGTTCGTGGTTCAGCCAGCAGTACCTCTGAAACCAGACAGGCCTCATATATGACCCCCGGTGATGGGTTGCACGACCTGATAAGGGATTTAGGCTATGATGATTCCAATTCATTGCCAAATTTGTTACCGGATCATTCTCATTCCAACACACCTTCTTCGCTTGGGGTTTCAAGTCATCCTCCCCAGTCGATCAGAGACAGCTTTGATCAGACATATTGGCTAGATCAATTAAACATGATTTATCCATCTGTTTTTGATCAAGATGTTGGCAACCTATGGGAAAATCTTAGCTTTGATTGAGAGTACCGTTTGACTGGCTTAGGGCGAGTTTCTCCAGTCAAAAGGAATACTTGGAGGAACTGGGCATCGTCTGGCTCCTTGAGAGGGGACCTCTAGCACCTATAAGAAATATTCTCAGAAAAACTTGATGGATGGGAATTTCCACCATACTCTAAGTTTCTAAATTTGTAAAGATTGAGATCAGTGATCTCGGGGTTCAACAGCAAATCTTTTTGTCATATAATTTCATCTGTTGCTGTTCAATCGAGGACACGGTATATCGGGCCTGTACTAAATATTTTCAATTTAAGTAATTACCCAATCATTGACACGACTTCATCCGGATGAACGATCGCGCTTGTCGTATTATTGTACATCAATTCTCTACTGCTCTCAATAAAATAACGTTTGCTGTCCCGAGCTCGATGATGGCGCAATAACGTAATGGATCATATCGGGAAGTCAATATCGACCGAATTCCCTTCGGCCCCGATCGTGATCGGCCGATCGGCCGATCAATGGCGCAGCAGCGACCGTCTATAAGAACCCAACAATTTCCAGCTTTTGATTTGTCCAAACAACACGGCAAACACTTCAACCTCATTTCGTGAAATAAGCCTGCACAATGTCCGAAGTATCCATCAAAAAAGGCACTTTCAGCCTCGCAGGCCTTCTTTACAACCCTGTCGGACAGTCTGGCAAAACACCGGGCCTGGTTATCGTTCATCCCGGCGGCGGTGTCAAAGAGCAAACTGCAGGAACATACGCGAAAAAGCTTTGCGATGCCGGTTTTACGACGATTGTCTACGATGCGGCCTTCCAAGGTGCCAGTGGAGGAGAACCTCATCACCTGGAAGATCCAAACGAACGCGTGAGCGATGTCTATGCTGCCATCGATTTTCTGCAGAATCTTGAATCTGTGGACTCGAATAACATCGGTGTGCTGGGTATCTGCGCCGGAGGTGGCTACGCTGTAGCCGCGGCGAAGGCGGACCACCGACTGAAAGCTGTTGCCACAGTCAGCATGGTAAACATCGGAGACTCCGCGCGACTAGGCTGGGATGGTGATGAGGATGCATCCAAACAAATCGACTCTTTACGTGCAGCGGCAGCCCAGATCACAGCCGAGGCGAAAGGTGCTGAGCGTGCCAGTGCGCCATATGTACCTCCTCAGTCTGACGAGAAGACTCCTCGAGACATGAAGGAGGCTAGTGACTATTATCTTACTCCGCGGGCACAGCATCCCCGTGCTGCAAACAAAATGCTATATCTTAGCTTTCCCCGCGTGCTCACCTTCGACGCTTTCCACCTGGCAGATGTTTTTCTCAAGCAACCTGTTATACTCATCGCCGGTTCGGATGCGGGATCTTTATGGCATACCAATAAGTTGGACAAGCTAATTGGCGGCGCGACCAAGAAGGTCATCGTCCCAAATGGAGCTCATATGGACTTTTATGACAACGAAGCCTATGTGGGACCTGCTGTTAAGGATGTTGCTGAGTTTATGAAAAATCATTTAGCCTAACATGGTGATTATTCTTCGGGCTTGCTCAACATCGTTGCTGTGGGCTAGGACAACAATATAGCTACTCATATATATCTATATATTTTGATGCAAAAGGGTAGTAATAGCTGAATTTGTCTTGTGCGAGAGTCAAGTCCTGAGCTTATTGAAATATTATCATTCCTGTACTACGTATGTTCACACCACTAACCTGCATTGGCCATGAAACGTAGGGTTCTCCTTTTGAATTACTCCACGGGACTGCTTAGTCTTGAAAAGGGCAGTGGAGTTGTCAGAGATTATGTGACTGCCTCTATAGATAGATCACAGCTTCTCCCTCTTCTTCCTTTCTTCTCTCGTCGACAATCACAAAACATACCAAATATTGTTCTGTCTCCTCTTTTCCCTCTAGCGCCACACGCTATCAGAAGTGGTCTCCGAGGCCTATAATCCGAATCATTGTATTTGGTCAACATGTCCCGATCAATCACTACTTAATATTGGATGTGTCGGACATTTGTTAATTCGTGCAATAGATCCTTGATGTAGTTTTTTATCCATAATCTTATTAGCGCTCCAGCGGAGACTTTCCTTCGAATTCATTCGTCGAGATATTTAGCCTAGATTTTTTGGCGTAATTTGTTTTAATCAAGCAATATCCGCTAAGCCGAATAAGGCACGGCGCACCCTAATTTCCGGCCTCTTCCGGGAATGGACCCTCACGCTAGTAGCAATGGATGTTTCAGATGGATTCAATCTCATTTCTCGAGGGACGAGACTTAATTATGGGCTGATCCACCAGCGTGAAGGATCAAGCCATGTGAAGATGTGCAAATTTGCATTTTAATCAGTTGAAACACGGTGAAGCGTCCATACATTACCTTCAATGTTCCGCCGTCTTCCTTCCTTCCCTCTGTAGTTCTTTCCTTCCACCGGTCTGCGACAGTTTCATTCCCTTGCCAGTCTGGGATTTGAAGTCCTGACGTCCATTCATTTCTATCCAAAATTCTTTTTGGCATATCTGCCGCCACACTCTTTTTGAACTTCCCTCGTTTGGCATACAGACAACTTCAACCACGCTGCTAGGTTCATTTCATCCATATAAGACGATAAATAAGAAAATCATCGATATGAAGTACCAGCTTTTCCCCTCGCTTACTGCGATCATTCTCGGGCTCGTTGCGACCGTATCAGCTAGCCCGCTGATGAAGCGCGATGGTTCTTGCCCATCTGGGTACACCCTAAGCGTGTACTACGAGACGGTGACTATCACTGATGTCTCGACACCCACTTCGACGTCTGTAATGACTGCGAGTGCCAGCATTACCAATATTCCTATCGAAACACCCACTACCACATACCACGATGTAGTATCCACTTCTTATGCCCAGGCCTCCTCGTCTGTGGTTTCTATCCCCGAGGCCACCATTGTTCAAAGCCAAGAACATGTTGCTGATGCTGTTGCGTTGACCTCTGATGCTCCTCAGAAGCCAGCCACTTCTACTCCTACTACAGTTGCACCAGTGGAATCTTCTACAACCTCATCTTCCTCTACCACTTCTACTACAATCTCTACTACCGTTTCTACCACCTCTGCTTCATCTTCATCTTCATCTTCATCTTCGTCCAGTGAGACTGCAGGGACGGCAACATACTACGGCGGTAACCTCTCCGGTGGAACCTGCTCCTTTTCTGATTACACGTTGCCCAGTAGTCTCTTTGGTACCGCGCTTTCGATTGACCAATGGGATGATGCCGCCAATTGCGGCGCATGTGTTTCTGTCAAAGGCCCTAATGGCAAAACCATTAAAGCAATGGTAATCACACCACTTCCCGAATCAATTGAAGATCCTCTCTCAAGCTAACACCTCATTCTTTACCAGATTGTTGATGAATGCCCCAGCTGTGCAACAAACCACTTTGATCTATTCGAGGATGCCTTTGGTGAGATAGCAGATATTTCGGCGGGCGTCGTCGATATCGATTGGGAGTTTACTTCCTGTGACCTGGACGGTGCGCTGAAACTGCGGAATAAATCCGGATCATCGCAATACTGGTTTTCCATGCAGGTCGTTAATGCAAATGAGCCAGTTTCCGCTCTGGAGGCCAGTACCGATGGTGGTAGTACTTGGATTGCTACCACCCGCACATCCTACAACTACTTCGAGTACACCTCTGGCTTTGGCACGGATACCGTTGATGTGCGTGTGACAGGCAAGAGTGGAAATTATGTTGTAGTAAAGGACGTCTCTTGTTCTACTACTTCAGACATTACCGCAGACTCAAACCTATAGCCGATTCAAGTTACTACACGGGGACTAGACGCGTATCAGTATGCCATTGATTGATGGCAGAGATATCGTCTCTATCAGAGGCTATATTTGACAAGAAGAGCGGGAACAATGCTTAGACTTCCTTAACTGAACTTTAGATGCACGGAACATTCTATTTGTTATTGATTCATAATTCAATGGAATTACCTTCAATTTAACAACTTAATGCTTTGCTCTGGTGCTGCCATGTCTGACACTATTTTGGACTAAATACGATCATCTTCATCCCAGTTGCCATGGAAATAGCTTGAATGATCTTGTACATTGAATAGTCACTTGATCTCAATCTTCAGTTGTATATTACGATATATGTTATGTAGACCAGTTGCATAAAGCTTGGAGACCCACTGTTGGGTGGATGTAAGAATAGGACGAACTGCTATCGGAGACTTAAAACACATCAACAGCCGTGAAGGTCAGTGCAACATTAGTTACATTCCTAAGTGTGGGAGTGGCTAGAAGTGGTATGCGGGCCCAATTAATCGCCGTCTGTATCTATTAATCCTGATCTATGCTAAATTAGTTGACGCAAAATGTCCGGCTTGGCGATGCCTAACGCACTACCTTTATCCAGTGCTGGCTGCAAATGAGTTGATTTGTTGCTATGGACACGGCAGCCATGGGAGATTACGTGATAGTCATTACCAGGACTACCTCTGACCTGTATTGGATGGCTTCCACATTCGGAGGACTGGTAGCCCACTATAAAGTTGCTCTTAGACTTCACGCGACGATCGATATTCCGGCCAGGGATCACCGCATCTACAGACTATATCACATCATCATACTCGCTCCCCAGGAGTCTTTTACCATATTTTGTCTGGCATCACCAAAAGCTCATTTAGCCAGTCATAAAAAGCCCCCAATTAGGTCGGTACGACAGGTCCGATGTCGGTACACTTGGGCGTGATATGGCCGATGACTCTTGGGTCACTTCTTGGAGTATTATTTGTGGCATCAACGTGTCGAAGATGTGTGGTGCGTAAGAACCGCGCATCGGGCTACCATCCAATATCAATGTTTTGTTCATTCGCTGGGGGAAGTAGGACGCCCATTTTGCGACCAGATAGAACGCAAAGTACGAGTCAATCGCGTTCCACCAGTCTTAATGTGGTCAAAGTACTGGTTATCGTCATAAGATGCCCAGTGCTGGATGGTCATACCTTTAGAGACATTGAAGCCGTCCAACGGTGTGAGCGTGCCCTAGATTCAAGTTTGCTTTCCGGATTCTCGTTTGATAAGCGATGGAAGAGCGCCCACTCATCTGTCATAATCTGCAATAGCTTGGTATTATGCTCGTTAGTGCTAATAAGAACTGTCTTCGAGTGATAATAAGGGAAAAATGTCTTCCAAATTGTCTCTATCGTCGAGGTATAAAGGTGTGAAATATCAGGGAGGGAAGGGTGGCCTTTGAGTGCTAGCTTTGGCTTCCAGACTGTGATTGCTAACGCACTTGAAGGTGCCTCAATCTGGGAAGTAACGGTTACGCCTCTACTTGCGTACTGCCTGTGGGTGTAATCGAATTGATCCCTGATATAAGACTCATATTATTTTGAGTGAGTCCGGCGACGGCGGCATCCTTACTCAATAAGCGGTAGCTTTTGTACAACGCCCACTTTTCCGTGGTCCTGTACGTGTAAAATTGACGAAAATGTTATCACTTAGATGGCTGAAAACCCATTTTGATTTATAAAATGAAAAGTATGAGTAGATCCCGATCAAAAAGCCAGGCGAATAATAGTGGCGACCGTAGTCGAGCTGGTTGACGGTTAGTGATCGCTTTGAATACGCACTATACCGCCTTAAAAACACCAACCGTGGCTATTTGAGTTGGCTAGCCAGGTCTATCACTACCATATCCGTAGTCGCTATCTGTAGTAAAGTCTGAGTGCCCCACTAGGCGCCCAGGGACCAAAATGGCTGCTTTTAGTGTTGCGCGCCGCATCCGATGGAGTACCCTAAAATTGAGTCATTCTCTATAGGCTGAGCTATAGTCCATAAGGCTATCGTCGGGTTTATGCTTTATTTATTCCACAAAATGTCAGATGAAACTCAATTCGCAATCTCCGAGTATTTCAAGAGCTTTAATTGCAGGACTTCGGTTTCTTTCTCCAATGATACGAGACATAAAGACCTTCCTTTCACTCCTAAGAGAAGCAGGTAACTTCTAAGAGTAGCAGGTAATGAATTATGTCTTCTTCATCCGGTCTACAGCTTTGGGTGTATCAGCAGTGTCATGGTCAGTCTAACAAATGGGGAGTAAGTAGTACACAATACTTGAAAGTTTTGAGGCTAAAATACGCTATCCGAGAGTGATTGCAATTCATCTTCATATCTCAGATTCACGCATCAAGGGCAATTTAGCGCCTTTTCTAAAATCTCGGAATCTCCCTTCCCAAATGGATGGGTTTTCTCGAAATTGGCAATCAGCTGTTCATGCGCCTGACTTCGTGGTGTAAACACAGCGTTGAAAGGCACAGGGTGGCTCAAAATGCCAGGTGTGAAATCTACGATCGGATCCACCTCCATGCCATCTTCTCCAATAGGCTTCCTGATGTCGAATAGGGCGAGAGTGTGGGCAATCATTAGGAAAACAGATGTTTCGGCAATTAAGCGTCCTGGACAAACTCTGCGACCGAAGCCAAAGCTCACATCACCTGGATCAAGGGCAGGGGGAGATGTCAGGAATCTCTCGGGCCGGAATTCCCGCGGACTGGGATAAATAACAGGATCATTGTTGAACCACCTAGATACATGTCAGAGGGCACCAACAGATTCAACATGGTGAGTGGCAAAGATACCAAGCATTGGGCAAGATAATTGCATTCTTGGGAATCGCGAAGCCATTTATGAGATCATCTTCGTCCGCTCGGTGGGGAATCGAGAAAGGTGCAATAGTATGCCATCTGAGGGCCTCCTTGACCAGTGCATTGACATAGGGCAGACTTTCTCGGTCAGTTGTTTTCGGTAAAGTCGGCCTGCCAAATACTTTGTCAATTTCCTTTTGAGCCTCGCACTGAACATCCGGGAACATCGTCATTGCTAGGAAGAAGACTTCTAGGACTGCAACGATCTGAATTTGAGCGTAGAATGGTAAATAAGTATTTATAACTGAGGTTGCACATCAATTCAAACATACCGTATCAGACCCTCCGCCATACATGGCCACTGCGGCCCATTTGACTATTTCTTCTTCTTCTCCTTGTTTCAGAAGCGTCGAAACAAAAGACTGCCGGTCCTCGTCACGATTCATCTGGAATTTTGTAAACATGAATGGATTCTCCACGAGTCTTGTGAGGGTTGCAAAATGATCTCGGGCAACTCGCTGGAACCTTGCCCCCGGCATCCACTCTGGAACGTATTTCACTGAACGTTGGTCAGTGATGCGGTCTTGGCGTCACATCTGCCTTCCTCCGACAGATGACTTACATGCCGGAATCATATCGACTAACCATGCCCCTGGCATGGCTGCCTCTGCGAATTGCTCCAATGCGTGATCGGCTAGACACACTAATGGGTCTTCACCATGTGGCTCGATGCTATAGCCATACGTGACATTCAGAATGAAAGCGCCCGCAGCACTGCCACATCCAAGCGATAAGCCAGTCTATCCTGAAATCATCATGTATCCAGGCACTCACGTTCTGTTATGCTCCATGAATCTTCCAGGTGTGCGCAGTACTCGGCATGCAAACCTTCGTGCCTCTAATTCGAGTAGGCTGTCAAACTTGGACGCGGACTCTCGTGTTCCAATAATTCGTCTAATTGCTCGACGATAAGTCCGGAGAAGAGGCGTATTATCCTGGCTTGACATTAGCTTGCCCCATCCAGCCCTATACTCACCCAGTCAGCTTAGAATATGCACTAAAATCTCCTTGACGTTGAGCAGTGTAGGTAACATACAATTCGTCGGCAAATACTAGACGCGGTCGGGAAGAATGTCTTGCGGAATTCTTTTCCAGTATATGAAATGCCAGATCTCTATCGTTTATTATGATCAAGGTTTTTCCTAGGACTGTGATAGAGCTAAGGGGTCCTGTGTGTGGTGCTTAGCATTCTTGTTGCCAGAGATGGATACAAAATATGGATGAAAGATAGAATACCGTAGATATCTTTGTGTTTTAGCCAGTGTTGCCACTCCTGTACTCCCGGCGTGGGTAGGTCGAGTAAATTGCCGATAATGGGCTTGCCTCTCGGCCCAGGGGGTAGATGGGCTCTCTTGCTCCCTGTAAAACCCCGCCACAGAAGTGAAAGCAGGCCTAATGCGACTGCTAAGATCGCTAAGTGAGCTGTCATCGTGGTATCGTAAATTTGACCAGATGAGATGGTCTAAGAAATTGATGCGAATGTTGGCCCCCTTAAAGATTTGTGCTGAGCACCTGACGGGTAAGAATAAATATACGCTGAGTGAATAGAAGTGGGAAACCTGGAATGACCTTTTTTTTGTGAAGTAAAGACGTTATGATTTGGCTTTAGTCAGCCTTGGACGTTACATGCAGTGCACATACTTTCTCTTGCTGCCGTATTTGCGTTCATTATCAGCTGCGGGGTAGCGGGGCAATGCACCTTTTTTGGAACAAAGAAAACACAGTCAGACCATTTACCCTAACGGCAGGCTCCCTCCAATAGCTAGAGTAGTATTTGCAGAGCTCTGCTTTGTCGTCCCTTCTTTTTGCTTAGGTTATCATCGTTCCCAGTTTCCGTCGCGTTCTATGTACATATCTTGCACGCAAACGATATACAGTATAAAATGTATATCACGTTTAGGTACTTTTAAAATGACTTTCATCAATCATATGTGCTTTTCCTTTCATTTTGAACGTTTTAAAGAGCCTGGAGCCTTGTGTTCAGAGCAAGCTTTCGACCGAATAGCTTGAATACTATGCCTCTTCACTTCCCTATTCCAGTGTTCATCTGTTCTCCTCGAGAAGCTCCTTATTCCAAGCATATTTTTGCTCCATAAAGTAGGTACTGAATTTAGGATAGATGCGTCTTCAAGGCAGGGGTCTGGGATGTTTACGAAAATCTCACAACAATAATGCTGCAAATGGTGTGAAGTAGGACGGCAACTCACCAGCTCCCCACAACCGCGATGGACTGCCTCGAGTTCAGGTCGAGCGTTCACGGGTGCAGACCAAAAATGAATTGAAGCAAATCTCGATACAAGAAACATCGCCTGGAATCTGGAGAAGTTATTTCATGACGAGGAAGAGGTTGGAAAACCCAGGCAGGGATAAGGTGTGATAAGTACGGAGGACCCATGACCGAGAAGAGGGATATTTGGAGGAGGCCAGGGTATTCGGAGGTCCTCGGTTGATAAAGTCAGGTAACACCTTTATAGGAGCATCAAAAGAGTAGTATAATCCTTTGTAGTAGCTTGTGGTGTCGTCAGCCCCGAAAGCACTGCTGAAGAATTTTGTAAGGTCCAGGTCCTGTCCAGATGATTGTTCTGTTAAGATGGGGCCAAATGCAGCCTGCGCAAATTGATCCCTTTTGGGGTTGAATGCAGTGAGATTTGATCTCACTGTGCTGATAGAAGAGGATCAATTTCAACTATTTAACTTTCTTAGTATACTCAGCCACCCCCGATTAAAATTTCCAATGATAGGGGCAAAAAAGTGAGTTCCAAGATCAATTCTACAGGGGGAGCCAATTTTGCATTCTTTCAATTTCTACTCTAGTATTAATCAAAAAGCGAACATGGCTTCTTCGCGAAGTCAAAGTTGTTGTTCGAGTATTCAAGATAAAAGTGGTAAAATCCGTTGGATACAGTATGTGAACTAGGTGACCATTGACCATTTGGTCAACGTAGAAGAGCGGTCTACATAACCGAATATAGACAGTTGGGGGCCAACCTCATTGTACTTGCTTGGCATCTACCTACGTCACTACGCTTATTGACCTCCGATACGAAAAGGTCAGCCCAGCAGTGGAGCCAAGAGCTGCCAGCGAGTTTCTCGCCAGGAATAATGAAGCATGCAGCTATAGACCACTAGCTGGAGATTAAAACGAGTATCAGCCCCTGTACGCCTTGCTTGACTGGGGGTAATTTAATATGATGGCCCCCGCTTACTCGTGAATCTACAAGAAGGGTCGAACGCCCCACGAAAGAGTTAAGTAGTTGAACAAATGATAGTCAGCCCCCTTGATACAACCTAGGCATCATTTTGAGCACACCATACCCCACACGTTATGCATTTCACCAAAATGCTACAGTACACTTTTGCTCTCTTCCTTCTTCCGTATGCCTTGGGCTGTACACCCAGATCTGATACCAATGACTCCAGCAACCCTTTCGTTATTGGTGATGATGGCCCTGCACCCACGGCGACACTTGGCTACTCTCTTACCCACTTTGGTCTTCTCACGACGAATCTCACTGGGATGAAGCACTTCTATGGGGATATCTTGGGAATGCGGCTTCTTTTTGATGCCTATCTTACACCTGAGTTTACCGTGACCTATATGGGGTATGCACAAGGCGGACGAAATGGCACCGGGTTCCAAACTGGAGCGGAAATGTTTCGGGATAAGAACAACCTAAACGGCCTCATTGAGCTTATCCAATTCAATGTCTCGGAAGACCACCTTATAGCTACCACCAAGCGCTCCAATACATTTAGCCATATCGGCATTATCGTTCCAAATGTTGAGAAGGCGCAGGATTATCTGGAAGAACAGGGAGTGAAAATTCTCAAAAGGATCACAGAGCCTATCACTGGATTTACGGGTCCAATTCAGAATGCACTTGGAGTTGGCGAATTTGCTGGCGAGTTTATCGCAGCCAAGAAGACTTTGCTGAAGGCCCAGACCCTTATTGGCTGGGAGATGTTCCTTCTGATCGAGGATCCTGACGGAAATTTAGTGGAAATTCAGCAGCAGGAGACTGCAGATTTTGATGATTGATTGACAGACTGTAAGGAATGGAGCTTTGACTACGGAAATTGGTCAATCTTTCAAGTACGTCAAATATATACATAAGTAATTTACAGCCCTGATTTCGCGAGTAATGCAGGTGCTTTCCTGGATGGAATTGGGCATGATTGGGCACCTTATAGCCTTGCCCCGATTCCATGCATGATCTAATTCGGGGTCAGGTTGTATTATTATATATGTCCTCTCGCCTAGTCAATCCCTCTACCCTAGGAGTTGACGAAAGATAAAGAGAATGGGCTGGGCAATGCCCACTCACTTAATTCTACATTCAATCGCCCACAATCGACCCATAAGTTACTGACTCATTTTTATCAGAAGATGTATTTCACCAGCGAGCGACTCACCCGGTCAGTCGGGTCACCCCAAAAACACAGTAAATGCGATTCTATATCTCAGTAATGGACGCATTTCTAATACCAATTCTTTAAGATGATCACAATTCCGCTTCAGGAATTAAGTGTACTTTAAATAATAACTTTGATAATATCCTAGCCATTCAGATTTTCTTTAATCTTTGTTTCTTGGATTTGATTTTGAGAAAAATTTGAAAGAATTCGCGGTTGGAATCATATAGTCTCGACGTACTTAACTTCCAAGGTTTCTAAGGTTGTGTATGAGCTTGTAAGTTTACGGTACAGTTGCCGTCACATGTGGTGGGGCACCACTGCAGGGGCAAATTGAATGTCAAAGCTGAGTGGAAAATGAGAAGAAAAAGATAAAAAAAAAAGAAAATCTCGAAAAAAAAAGAGAATTACAACCCAAAATTTGCGGTGCGATCTACTTCGCCTATAAAGACTTGCTGGTCGAAGCAAACCCCTGTCCTTCGAGAAGTTGACTTCTCTTCCTTTTCCCCAACATTGAACTTCATTTCCCCCACTTGTCACTGCACGCAGCACCACTGCCCGTGCTATTTCCTCATGGCGGCTACCGAAAAGTCTGGTATCAGCCTTATGAGCCAATACAATATCGTTCTACCGAAAAGGCAGGCATTTGACTCTTCCGGCAAACCTATACCTGCATGCGACACCGATCAATGTGCTTGGGCAATAAAGGGGGAGGATGTCCCCGTCGATCTAAGTTCGTTTTGGCACCGGAGAGCAGTCATTCGTGGGATTCGTGATTCGCTTCAATTCGCAACAAGCCCGGCAATTATTGAGCTGTGCTCCGGCGACTATGGCCATCAATTTTCCCGCGCCCGCAATGCTCGCCTGATAATGAGTGATATAATCCCCGATATGCAAGATCCCGCCACTCAGCCGTACTGTATATGGTATCCCGACCTTGCATCAGACGAAACATATCGCGAAGTTGCCCGTCAGTATCCGTCTATGCGGTATCAAGTCGGCCGAGCGTGTGCTGCAGCATGCTATACAGATCTTTACAAAGAATTGGACCTTTTGCCTGATGTTTCTATTGCGGAAGAATCCCGCGAAGTTGACAAAGACAAAGACGCCGAAATCTACAAGATTATCATGTCTGCCCCCCAACGATATGTTGTTATGGAAGATTTCTCTCGATCTGTCCTTGAAACCCCACGAACACCTGCGTTCCTGAATGGTGATATGAAGCCCCGATGGGCTTTAGGGCAGCGAGTTTACCCTGGAAAAAATTTGCCAGAGACAACTGCTGATGATATTGACATCGAGGAAGATGGATTCATCGGCTTGCAAGATATCAGCTTGGAGGACTACGCTAAACTGGGCCCAGGCCAGTCCGATCAATTGTGGATGCCTCTTCCGCCTGATCTCCCATTTCACGAAAAGCGCCTTCAGACACAGATGGCCGCGTGGGAGGGCAATGTGGATCGATACAGTCGACTAATGCATCCACGAAGGCTGAGAACCAAACTTGAATACAATTGTATCCTTCGTGGTATTTATCACAGTACAAGCTTCGCCAGGTGGTGGGCCTATCAGCTGGAAACAAACCCTGGACGGGCTATCCTCCCCGGTAAATTGCTTGGCCAAGGCAATGAACGGGAGTGCAGAGAGATTCGTACTGCGATTCATGCCCGTATGATAATGAACAATGATATCTCTGGTATCGACAATGATTCAGACTGCCTCCCGTGGGTTATATGGGGGCCTGTGAAGCCCTCTGCGAACACTCTAATTGACCTAGTTCGAAAATGTCCGTCCATGGGACATCAAGTTGCGATCACTTGTATAATATGTGATTACGAATCGATATTCCGACTTTTGAAGCCCCCCTACACCGAATCCTTGTATGTGGCTGCCAGGCGAAGTGAAAATCCATTTTACCTACAATACCTTGAGAAAATCATAAAGGAGCGCAACATAATCCCCCCGGATTTCCGCGACTTCGACGACTTTGATCTCATTGCACCAGGCTTACAGACTGATCTGGAGCCTAGAACATCTCACACTGATCACACTGTCACCTACTATGACATGGAGATTCCGTATGGACAATATCAATGTGGAAATCCACACGAAGATACTCCAGGTACATATGGGGGCGGGCTAGCTACTGCGGGAATGGTGGAGAGATACATGTGGCTCTCAACCGAGACTGCACAGAAGTTGGAAGATGAAATTGGCTTCTCCTACCCAGGTGCAGATACTGGTCTTTTGTATGACGATGAGGAACTTCGTGATAAACTTTCACGTGGTATAGAGCCCATGGATTGGTAGTATGTAGGTTTCGATATGTCGAATACAGTCAGTCCCTTTCATTTTCGAGTATTATCTGCCGGATATCCGCTAGCTTAGTTACCGATGGCAATATTAGGATATAGCACGGAAATTAATATCTAAAGGATAATAATCGATGGGAATATGACGCTATTTCATACTATCTATATCACCTAGAAGGTCTAAATAGAAGCTACGTTAGCTATACCCCTATATTAGGAGGAATTCTTATTATGGCATATCTATAAGAAGGCCCGTAGAAGGGTCAAAGAATAGGCGCATAAGGACCTAAGAACACTTCTATATACTATAGTTCCTCTATATAATAGAACTAGCTAGAGAAAGGTTAACCTAGGATCTTAGGTAATCTAATTAGATAAGCTATATATTAAAAGTAGAATTATAGAGAACACCCCTAGAGTTCTCTAGTGATTATATTATTATTAATATTAATCCCTATAGTATACTTATGTTATGGCATATCTATAAGAAGGCCCATAGAAGGGTTAAAGAATAGGCGCATAAGGACCTAAGAACACTTCTACGTGCTATAGTTCCTCTATATAATGGAACTGGCTAGAGAAAGGTTAACCTGGGATCTTGGGTAACCTAATTAGATAAGCCGCATATTAAAAGTAGAATTATAGAGAATACCCCTAGAGTTCTCTAGTAATTATATTATTATTAATATTAATCCCTATAGCATACTTATATACTACTTGTGTTATTACTCTTATCTAATTTAACCCTAAGATAGTAGTCCTAATATTATAATTACTTCTTAACCTAGACTTAACTAGTAATATAAAGAACTTATAAAGAATAAAATATCGTATAATACGTAAAACTGTATAACGCGAAGCGAAGCACTAGATAACCCTATAGAAGAGTAATAAGAGGTAACTAGAGTAGGAGAATACCTCTATTTAGAAGCGTAGGAATCTATAATTAAGGATATAGTCCTAGTAGGAGAACCGCCTAATATAGACCTTAGCCTAATATAGGTAAATCTTAAGGCCGTCTATATCTAAGTAGAACTAATAGAGGACGCTACTATAATAGAGTATAATAAATAAATAAATATATAAGAGGCTATAGAAAACTCTGAGGAGGTTATAGACTAGATCTTAAAGACCACTATAGTAACTAGGAAGCTAGAAGAGGTTAAGATCCTTCTATAGTACTAAAGATAGGTAGTAGAGGTATAGAGAGAGATTAATAACCTTAAAGTAGAGGCTATAGAGTAAGAGAATATATATAATATCTATAAAAGAGGATAATCTCTAGTATAGTATCTTATAACTATACTAATTAGATTAAGAATATCTTCTCTAGTAACTACTACTAATACCCTACTATAGTAAGAGTAGGAGTAGGATAATATACTAATACTAGATATAGAGGAGCTATAGAATAAGCTTAAGGCTATAGACCTAGAGGAGAAGGTACTAATACTACTAAAGTATATTAAATCTTTTACTATTAGTACTATAGAAGAATAGGCCCTATCCTATAGGGGTCCTCTTAGTTAGGCTAACTAAGAGCCTAGCGCGGATTTAATATATAGGAGGAATATTAAGAAAAAAGCTAACTAAGGCTAACTTTGGGAACTAACTAAATATTTAAAAAGCTAACTGATTTATATTAAACTTTATAGAAGTCTAAGTTAACTATTAATCTTTCTTATTCCTAGATCTTAGAGGCTAAAATCTATTTAATAGGGTATGGTAATGGTTTAAAAATAGCGGGTTCTTAAGATCATTTTTTTAGTTTACGACCATAGAAAAATAGGTAGCGATAAGATAAGAAAAGTCTTAATCTTAAAGTACTAATTATCTAGATCTAAACTACCTTATTTAATTTAGTTTAATTTGATTTGATTTAATTCGATTTAATTTGATTTAATTTAATTTAATTTGATTTGATTTAATTCGATTTGATTTGATTCGATTTAATTTGATTTAATTTAATTTAATTTAATCTGATTTGATTTGATTTAATTTGATTTAATTTATTTTGATTTAATTTAATTTAATTTGATTTAAGTTAGTTATATTTAATTTAAGTTAGTTATATTTGATTTAATTCGATTTAATTTAGTTTAACCTTATTTAATTTAATCTTACCTAGTTTAATTTAATTAAATTTTTATCGAATTTTCTAGTAAGGCTTTATAATAATAGTAAAGTCTTTATACTGCCTAGTAGAATCCTACTAGATCCTCCTAAGTACTATCTAGTCCGAACCTAATAGTTCTTCCTAGATAGTATATAATCCTACTTAAATTATATCTAGTAGTATATCTAAAAATATATA